GATGACCCAGGCTTCCAGTGGGCGTCCAACTTCAACTGGATCTTCGGTAGAGAGGCCGCGGAAGCAGCTGAAGCGGTCAAGCGAGACGACCCCGGATTCCAGTGGGCGTCCAACTTCAACTGGATCTTCGGTAGAGAGGCCACAGAAGCAGCTGCCGCAGCCGCCAAGCGCGATGACCCCGGCTTCCAATGGGCATCCAACTTCAACTGGATTTTCGGTAGGGAAGCTGCTGAAGCTGCCACAGCCAAAGCTGAAATGGCTAAGCGCGACGGTACGTAACTTCCACGTAAGAAGACGATGTCTCAAACGAAGACACCTCGTATCTCAGTCCCATTTTCCTGACTCGCACTGACTTCGTATCGTGCGTCCAGATCCTGGATTTCAGTGGGCATCGAACTTCAACTGGATCTTCGGTAGGGAGGCTGCCGCAGCCGCCAAACGTGATGCTTCGAGCCCCCAATAGGCGTCCAACTTTAACTGGAATTTCTAGACTCCACCCAAAGTTTGGATTGATGATGTAGGGAGTGTCCCTGACGGGAGGCGTGTACGTCAAGGGCACTTTGTATTGGCTTGCTTTACGATTTCTTGCCGCGAGTATGCGGTGCGGTGGGGCGGCCGGATGGGACAGACAGTCACTAAAATTCCGGCGGACTGATTAGCTATTATGGGCCACAATATGTGTGACTTCGAGTTGGTGTTGATTGAACGATTACTACTTTTATGGACGCTGACAGGAGCTAGTCCTGGTTCAAATTAGCGCCAATGCGTGGCAGCTGAACGCTCAACTGGTCCACAACAGTAGCATTCATTCCATAGATGCCCACATATTCTCCCTCTCCCATTGAACTCCTCATCTAAACAATAATTTTTCCCGTCAATCTCAAATCCCTCGAGCTCGCCCCCACAAAGACCCCAAACTCCCCACTCGGCACAACCCACCTCCCCCCATCCCAGACACTCAAATCCCTCCTCCGCAACTTGAATGTCGCCGTGCCGCTCGCTCCAACCGCCAGATTCAACTTATTGAAGCCCCTGAGCTGCTTCGGCGGCGCGTTCGCACTCGCAGGATACCCAATGTACAGCTGCGGGACTTCCGCGCCTGCGACGCCGCCGCTGTTAGTGATCTTCGCGGTGACGGTGGCGACGGTTTCGAAGAGATCGGCTGGGCCGCCGGGTGCTTTGGCGCCGGTGGCGGGGCCCGCTGTGGGAGCGCCGGTGACGGTGAGGGCGTCGTAGGTGAAGTTTGTGTAGGCTGTTGCTAGTTAGGGGATTGGTTTGTGAGTGAAGAAGGCGAAAGGCTTACAGAGACCAAAGCCGAATTCGAAGCGGGGTGTGATGTTGTTCTTGTCGAATCTGCGGTAATCGATGAAGAGGTCCCAAGATGCGTCGTCGCCGCTTGTGACGGCGGTGCCGTAGTCGGAGGGCTGCTTGGCGATTGTGTATGGCAGCTTGCCGCTGGGGGAAGCAGCGCCGTAGAGAATGTCGACGAGGCCGTTGCCTGACTCTTGACCTATCCGGTGTTAAGATTGTGCTCATTGTACCAACGAAGGACTTACCTGGCAATCCAGCCCAAACAACAGCAACAACGTTCGGGTTGTCGATGTATGGTTCCAGGATGAGAGGGCCAACACTGTGGATGACAACAATAGTTTTCTTGTTCACAGCTGCGACTGCCTTGACGAGATCGTTCCCGTTGTGCCATGGGTTGAGATCTTTTCTGTCACCAGCGTTGCCTTCAACTGTAATGTAGCCTTCTCCGGAGTCGGAGTTGATGTGGACTATTGCGACCTCGGCGTTCTGAGCAGCGGAAGCACCTTGCTGCGCATTGTCGTTTGTTGACGTCGTGATAGTGGTACCGTCCTTTTGGGCCTGGGTCTTGATAGCATCCAGGGGTGCGATGAGGTATGGGAACTCGATAGCTCCGCTACCCCATCCTACGGCAAGAGTACCATCATTGCAACCTCGATCTGCGCTGTTGGTAGGTCAGCTTGCATCCTAATTTGGACAGGCGGGGCTCAGTATACCATGCATTCGCGCCCTTCGGTGCTACAATCGAATCACTTCCAATCACGGCGATGCTCTTAGGTTTCTTTAGCGGTAGCGCATTCCCTGTGTTCTTCAACAGGACGATACCGTCACGTGCCATCTTCCGTACATTGTCTTTGTGATTGCCGCCAACGTTATAGTTTCCGATCTTCCAGGAGTTAAAGGTTGCCGTTGGGTAGCCTTTGTCCTGTCCAACCAAGTACCAGGCTGCTAGGATGCGCTTGACCATGTCATCAACACGTGATTGTTGAACTTGACCGCTTGATACAGCGGACTGAAGCGCTTTTCAATTGTTAGTATCTTAGAGACGACGTCACGGGTTTGATTTGTTCACCTGCTCCCCAAAGAATGTTTCCTTTCGGGTTGTTGAAGTCGCTGCCTGGCATGGTCATATCCAGTCCTCCATTGGCACTTCCAGTCGTTGTATGCTGAGCGTTCCAATCAGACATGACATATCCTTTAAAACCAAGCTCATCTTTCAGCAGCTTGTTCATGATTCCTCCATTTTCACAGGCGTATGTGCCATTGATCTTGTTGTAGCTGTACTGAGATCAGTACCGTGAACCTTGCGACAATCACCACGGTCGACACTTACGAACACATAACACTTGCCACACCGGCCTGCACCGAGTCCGCGAATGGCCACAGATAGAGCTCATGCATAACCCTATCTGGGATCGCGCTACTCATGCTCTCCCGATTCTTCTCCTGTTCATTGCCGATGTAATGCTTTGCACAAGCTTGCACTCCAGCTTCCTGCATTCCTTGGATCGTTTCCCTCATAGCGATTCCCACGAGATAGGGATCAGCACCAAAACCCTCCCAGTTTCGTCCACCTGTTGGGATCTTTCCCATGGGTCCAGCGACAGGGCCGAGTTGTACATGGATACCCAGTTGTTTTGCTTCTTGTCCAAGGAAAGTTCCACGTTCGCGAATCAAGTCGATGTCCCAAGTTGATGCAGCGTGGATGCCAGCGGCAAAGGATGTGGCGCCATTGATGTAGCGCACTCCAAGAGGGCCGTCTGGTGTAACATGAACTCCTTGAAATTACTCCGCTGCCAGTACACTTACCTTGGAGACAGAGAGATGGATATCCGATCGAGCTAGCCGCTTTGGTGTTTCCGACGCAGTTACCGGCTTGCCAACCAGTGCCGGTGACGATACCGACCTTGTCACTCAGGGAGAGCTTGGCAAGAGCTGTCGTTGCCTTGGCGTATGCGTCGTCCCAGCTGATGATTGCTCGCTTCGATGGCTGGTCCGACGGCAGAGCTGCCAATATATCAGGACATGGCATATGTTGAGCTAGGCACTCCGTCTCACCTGACGCTCGCGTCACTGCAGCCGAAACTAGAAGAGGGATGGAAAACCCGCGCATCGTAGCAAAGAGGAACGGCAACCGATTTCCTCAAGCTCGTGTTCGCACGAGAGCGCGAACGCCCTACGGCACTCAACACTTTAAGTACAAGTGGTTCACTTGTGAGCGGCGATCCACGAGCCGACAGAATTGCACGGGACAATCTGGATCCCATAGCCGGCACCAAAATCTAGGAAACCACATGCTAGGCGGATCGAATATTCAAGATTTCCTTTGTGGGGATGTGTATTAGCTATATTGCGATGATGATAGACTCTGGCTGTGTATATTGAATTGTCGTATGGATTTAAGCATGCGGCGGCCCGAAGCTCCAGGATTTCATTCGGCTGACAGGGGTCGGTATATACACGATCGACGGCTAAGGGACGTCATCTGAACACACTGCATTGAACATGGATAGACTGCACTCGTTGAGCAACTGAGGGATTGTAGAATTATTTCTTTAGTGTGCGTGTGTCGCGCTGTTTGGTGTTCCTGCTATGCAACCCGGAATTTATGGGCAACCCAGATCGTAGTGGAGAACGCCGCTGTTGCTTCCCAAGTATTAACTCTCAGGTCAGGTCGGGTGCTTGGGCACCTATACCGGTACAATACCCGTGACTGCATATACTAAGGTGGAGCTAGGATCAAACAAAAGTGCATGCATCTTCTTCCTAGCTCGTACGCATCTTTAAGATAGTCCTAAACTGGGCTTCTTGTGCTGCGCGACCCTTTGTTTGAGCCGTGTTTTGAGATAAACAGCTCCACGCAATCTATTTTCGGGATTAGAGGAAGGTATGGATGTTAGTGTGTTGTTACGTACACTGTTCAGTGGTAGTGCTGGGACGATATCACCGTTTCGGAAGATGTTGTACACAAGACTCTTTCCGTATAGAGCATGACAGCTCCGGATTCGTTGACGTTTCGGTTGTTGTGGCGCGTTCCATCTCATACGTATTCGCCGTGCATGCAATCATCGTCGACCTTGAGGCAATAGGCACACGACGGCCTTTCTTCTGTGCATTTGCGTTTTCGTGAACGGCAGTTCAAACATCCGTTCTTCGAGCGCTTCGTTGGACCAGGTGCCTATATTGACACGTCCATAACACCCTCAGGCACTGGTCACAGTTAGGCTTAGCTTCATTGCACTTGATCCTCTTTTTGCAGCAATGCAGACATATGTCCTTGACAGGCTGTACAGGCTCTGGGGTTGGGTCCCGTGCCGGAGCCTCTTGGCACGCTTTTGAGGGTGATTTCGCTTGCTTTGTTTTCAGATTATTTTTCGTTGCAGATCCACTTCCTTCTAATTGTACCGCATTTTTCTTGCGCTTCTTTTTCGAACCAGCTTTAGAGGCCTCAGGAGACGTGGACATGTCAAGTTCCTGGTCCTGGAACGCAGAGTGGGCCTCCACGTGATGATCATTCTGGCTTTTCTTCCATTTCTTTGGCTTGGTGCCATTTGACGTGCCGGTGGAGGTAGTGCTGTTGCTTGATAAAGCCTGAGCTAATTGATTGAGCGTGAAGGTTAGCTTGGCCATGAGTTCTGTGTGTACAAAAATAGGTGGTATCACGCGAATGTCATGGCGGCAGTATAAGCTGAAAAGAATGGAACTCACCTCTCCTGGTTTGCTGGGCGGCTTTCAACATCTCCATGTATCGGATTATGGATGTACCTCACGTTGACAGCCTCGCGCTTTGTGGAAAATCTTGCATATATCGCACCACCACAATCATATGTTGATAGCTCAGATCTTTTCGATATATTCTGAGCGTTGCCGCCATCGGCGTCTTTTGAGCTGTTCTTTCTCTTCGTTTTGCTCTTTCGGTTGCGATTTTGCAGACTGTCCAGGCAAACGTATTTGAACCTGGCACCGTCGCTTCCATCTTTGCTCCAAGCCTGAAGCTCGGTATATTTGAATCCATCAATTGCCTGGATGGCCTCAATAAAGCCGCTGCACAACGATTAATGAAAGCCTTGGGATCGATACTGCATGGCACCCACCGCGCAATGGCTCTCTGGAGTTTGAGCCTCTCCTTGCCATCAATTCCATAGCAAAGAGCATGCTCGATAGTGATTCTTCGGGGGTAGTCGGCTGGCTCGAACAGAGCGTTGAGGTTCGGCTGCTGCGTCACGGCTATTGTTATTGTGGAGGCTTTGTTGAAGACGAACTCGGTAACGATATCCACAGGGATCAGGCTGGCTGTGTTCTTTTCAAACTCGCGACAAAGTGCGCCGTCCAAGGATTACCGGTATATTGAAATGAACTTAGCCACATCTGCATACACAACAGGAGGACTTGTTACCTCCGAGGATGGGCAGCGGTAGTAGACATCAGTTTTCAAATCGCGGTGGTAGCAGAGATCAAGGTCATCATCAATATTATCCATGGCGGCGGGTAGGATTTTTCAGTGTCACGGCGTGTTTATCATGTCTACTATAGTATAGGTAGCATTTGTCGAGTGGGATTGCTTCCTCGTGATCGAACGTCTTGGTGAGCGGTGCCCAGCCACTAAAAGAAAAGAGACATCTGTGGTTTGATTGGCTGAAGCAAAACCCTAAGGTTCCAGCAACGGCACCCTGCATCGAGCTTTAAGAACTGCTACTGTAGGATGCTCCAAGATTGCAAGTAACGCAGGCGCAGGTGCGTATCTGGAATCTGCCCAGGTGAGAAGTCAGACACATGACAGAGACCTCGGGATTGCCCAGCTCACTTAATACTGGTGTTGCCGTGTGCAGGCATAGCTAGTCTATGTTCTAGAACGTCCCGACAACTGTTATGCAGTGGCAGGATTCCCTTGACATAATTTTCCTCTAAAGACTAGACTTTTGTAGCTGTGAGAATCTAGGGTAAAGTATGAAATAATGGATTTGTGACGGTATCGTACAGTGAGTTCCTACAGGATGAGGTGTGCACGAGAAGTCCAGTACTTTGTGCCAACCACTGTGTGGCAGTCGCTGTTTGTACACATGGTGAATTCTCAAACGGAAGTGTTCGCCTCAATCTGGGTACCGGCCGTCAGCCTCGTTGCTGAAACTGCAAGATGCTGTACAACCGGCTGCAAAACGAATTGCGCCGTCGCGGCATCTAGTTTGCGGCTTCAGACAGCCGTCGCGCATCGCCCAGATGTCACCTGCGCGGTAATCGTGGATATGTTGGGGCTCGTGCTATGCACAGAGAACTTATACTTCGAATATATCTGCGTCAACACCTTGCTGGATAGCTTCGCGCAAAGCAGTGAACTGTTGGCTAAGAAATGTCTCGTGCCGTCGCTGCAGCTGCTTAAAAAAATGAGGGTCGCTCGCGTCAGACGAGAGGACGCTGTGGACGTGGGGAGGATGCTACCTATTTTATGAAGAGAACCAGGCTACGTTAGTTTAGCCACGCCCGCCGAAGGCGCGCTTAGCTCAACCTCCGCTACCCTTCATCCACTCACTCTCTGCGCCGGGCAGCGACAAGGCAAACGCTGCTGTCGTGTGCGAATCTCTCAAAGAAGTCCCCCAGCCCCCAGCCGTTATATCGGCACTCCGGCCGATCGCCGCGTCACGTTGCTGGCACCGCCTCGCCGCTTCCTTGTTCCAAACGCCCTCGGCAACCCGCTTTGAGACCTCGACTCTTCCGACATTGCGAGTTTCACGACGACAACTTACGTAGCACGCGCCTCTTGTGGTTCTGGGAAGACTCACAGGTACGCTGCCGCTGTCTCCAGCGCCACCTGTTGCTGTGCGGCGTGGCCCAGACTGACTGTTTCGCACCAGGCGCCCTCGCCCACAACACCCCTCGTTTGGATAGCCCACCCGTAGCCTTTGCAACAGCCAAACCGTTACTCTACGTTACCATTACCCTCGCACGCGACCGCAGCCACTCTCTCGCCGCTGCCGCCCGCCGCACCCCTACCGACCCTCTCCTACCGCACAGCCACCCTCCTACACCATGGTCGTCGCAACTATAAAGTACGTGCTAGAGGCATGCCAGCATGCAGGAATCATAACTAATTGGTTCTTCCAGGTGTGTCGTCGTCGGCGACGGTGCCGTTGGCAAGACATGTCTCCTCATCAGTTACACAACCAACAAGTTCCCCTCGGAATATGTTCCTACCGTGTTCGACAACTACGCTGTCACTGTAATGTGAGCCTCGCCCTCGAGAATCTGCAAAGCGAAACTCCCTCGTCATGATGCATGCAATTGTGTCACCGAAGAAAGGAGCCGCCAACATAGAGCTCCTGCTGATTGGTTGTAGGATCGGTGACGAGCCGTACACATTAGGTCTCTTCGATACTGCCGGACAAGAAGATTACGATCGATTGCGCCCGCTATCATACCCCCAAACCGATGTGTTCCTCGTTTGCTTCTCCGTCACGTCACCCGCGTCGTTTGAGAACGTTCGAGAGAAATGGTTCCCTGAGGTGCACCATCACTGTCCTGGTGTTCCCTGCCTCATTGTTGGTACGCAGGTGGATTTGAGAGAAGATGTATCAGTCAAAGAGAAGTTGGCTAAACAGCGGATGCAACCTGTGAGACGGGAAGATGGCGAGAAGATGGCCAAGGATCTGGGCGCAGTCAAATATGTGGAGTGCTCTGCTTTGACGCAGTACAAGCTGAAGGATGTTTTTGATGAGGTGAGTCTACCGTTGACACTCTAAATTTGATTTGTACTAATGCTAGTGCAGGCTATCGTGGCTGCACTTGAGCCTCCTACAACGAAAGAGGGAGGCAGAAAAGAGGGTAAGAGGAAGGGCAAAGTTTGCATCATCCTCTAGAAGGCGAATCGCTGATGAACCTATATTCCCTTCCAATCTTTCTCAGGGCTGGCGTGATTTTGGATACCTTGTGGTTTGCCAGCAGCGATGTTTTTTCCTTACTTATGAACTTGCACCCTATCCTTCTTACAATTCAAGATGTCAAAGACGTCACTTCTTCTTGATGCGCATCACGTATCAGTCTGATGGGACGATTTGTGCCTGACACAGATGTTTGCAGACAACAAGACTCGGCACGAGCACGGCGTCTTGCACAGCATAGTAAGCACCGCCTATCTTTTCAAGTATCGTTCCCTTTCGTTTCGCGTGTATCCCGGTGCGCTCGCCTACGTGCCTGCCATTTGCTGTCGGTTGCCCCGGACGAGGGCTTCTTGGTAATGGGTTAGTGAAGGCAACGCGTTTGCGAAAGTCAACCAAAACATCGCGAGCATCACGGCATTACCGCACCACCGCTTTTTTTCGCATTGCGTCTCTCCTGGATACGCGCTGACCTCCATTTTTCTTTGCAGTAACAGAGCCTGCCGCGTTCGTGCCGGCCGTGCAAATCCAACCGTGCCCTAGGCGGAGCTTTGGTATCGAAGCTGATTGAGGATCCCTCACCCGTGCATCTCTATTGCGGGACCTTAATCAAAACAACAGACCTTTGCCAACTGCTTTTATACCTACATTTGTATGCGCGAGAGCCATGGCGTCCCCGTATGAGGCGCAGAAGAAGCGCCCACCTCCCATTGAGATACCCCCGCCGTACCCGCCTCGCCCAATCGTGCCAGGTCCCAATGCTTTTGCAATTGCCGAGCGGGCGAAAGAAGAGCAGCGAAGGCGAGCAGAAGGGGGCCAACAAGTGTCAACGTCACGCCCAAGCACAGCTGATCCTCTTGGTTCGTCACAGTGGGGAGCCTCAGCTGCCGTTGTCCCTTCAAACCTAGCAGTCCCGCCCTCGAAATCGACGGCTACCAAGCTATCTTCCAAGGAGGCTTACTCGAACCTGGTCGACCAAGTTCGCAAGTCTCCACGAAAATCAGGCAATTCACAACACTCAACGTCGGTGACAAGCCGCCATGGTTCCACGGCGCGGTCCAGGCATTCTCAGCGGAGCTATCACAGCTTGACATCTACCCAGAATCAACTGGAAGGTCTTCGCGAAGCGGCTACCTCGAGAGCTGAAATAGAAGCACAGAAGGAGCGCAAGCTCTTCAGATTGATGGGCCTGGTGCCTGACACGCCAACAGACGGTAATTAGAGCCCGCTTTATGAACGTGCCCAGCGCCATGTTAATTGTGACAGGCTCTGCGCCCTTGCCTGGCAACTATGTGAACATAAACGACCTTAGACAGGACAGAGGCTCTCAATTGAGCAAGTCCTCAGATCAAGAGATTGTTACTCGAAGCCCAAAAAAGAAGATATTCGGCGTGAGCATACCATTCTCTTCGAAGCCCCTGCCCCGGGAAAGCAAATCGCCGGCTCCGCCTATGCCTCTGAAAGCGGCCAGGCTGATGGGAGCGACTCCACCTCCTGCAAAGACCAGGAAGTTCTCCCCTTTGGCAAAGATGTCAGGTGGAGTTGCTGTACCGCGATCGGATACGTCCAAGTCTCTTCCTTCAAAGGTGTTCAATCAACCCGGGACTTACGGCCATTCCCGTCGATATAGTCCCGTGCAAATGTCCCCTAGGGGTCGGACGAGCCGCAAGTCGTCACCACCAAAGTCCCCAACGAAAGCACCGTTGACCGCACATGAGCAGACACTTGAAGCACTGACAGGTTTCCCAAACACTACCCAGGAACTCCCGCCTATTCCGCCGCGCAAAGATTCACTTCCGCCAAATCTTCGACATCGATTTCCGGATCTAGAGAGGAAGATTGCGGCCTTGAAAACTACGAATGCCAATAGGACGGTGAGTCAGCTTCTTCAACCACCCACGCCAGAAACAGGACCGGACGACTTCGAGGACAGCGGCATGAAGCTGATGGTGCCTTCTGTCCCCCCTGTGAATCCCATTCCTTCACGGGGTGGTGAAAGCCCCAGCAAATACTGCCCTCGAGGTGGCAAGCCCGAGTTTGTCGAAGGTGAGCCGTTGTTCTCTGCTCACGGTGTGGTCGAGTACACCATTGACGAAGAAGACGAGCCCACTTACAGCGCTCCATTGACCTCATCGGACAAAAGCAATGGCCCACTTTCTACTCTGCGTGCTGAGCACCGGAGCGCTCCAACGACTCCAATTACTGCAACCAGCGCTTGGCTTCAGCGTGGCGCACAGCAGGTCAATGCCGCCGCGCGCCAAAAGCCCTCACCAGAGCTGGAGTACCTTCTTCCGACGGTGTATTCGCCTCCAAAGACTGCAGTCCGCAAGAAAGAGAAGGAAATCGAGCAGGTGAGTGACCCCAGTCGTGCCTGCCTTCACGCGCGGAAGCGACAGCCGCCCCGCCTTCACCTTCTCAAAATCAGCGCGCCTGCCTTCCCTTGAGCGGCGAGCACGCCTTCCGTACTCCCTTTTTATTCCGAATTCATATGTACCCTCCAAGTAATCAATGGCCCAGGAAGTTCTCCAATCCGCCGATCCCACGAGATCTAATTCTCCGACTTCTTCTTCCCTATCGATCCCAATCGTCTTCAAGGGCGACGTGGGCGAGATCGACCCGCAATCGGCGACGGCAAGATCGATCTCAAAAGGTGCAGCTGAACAACCGGTACTTGGCCCCAAGAACGACAACGTGAGCGCGCGCATCATGGAAGAGCTGCGCAACCGACCACCCACCGATGGGCCTGGAAAAGCACCTTCGCACGGCATTCTACAACCCGAGCAGTCCTCCTCGAAGCTTACAGACATGCTCAGCGGCGTGAGCCCCAGTCGGGTGGACTTTAACAACTACGACTCGTCCAGCGCCGTCCCGAGTCCGTTGCACAGGACTCCTCCGTGCGCGGTAGGCTCTCAACAGATGCGTATTTCAGGCCAGGTCCCACCCGTACTTCCTCATACACCTATACCACCTCCGCCCAAGGCAGGAGTGCCAATCCACGACCATTTCTACATGACGAACGAGCATATCGACGTAGTGGCAATGTCCATCTACGATTGGGTGCAGTCTTGTAACAACCATGCGATCAAGGCAGCATCATCCAAGCACGAGCAGCTCAAGACCACCGTTGACCAGCGATTCGACGATATCAGGTCGCAGATCAATTCTGTAGGCGAGAAGGCCGATCATAACGGAAACCAGAGCCACAATCTCAGCATCCAGCTGGACAAGCTGCGTGACTTCATCAAGTCTGAGGTCGTGGAGCTTCTGGCTGCGCAAACGGCGCGACTGAACGCGATGGACCATGGCATCAAGGAGCTCCAGAAGTCGGTGCAGGATCTACAAACTCAGGGCCAGAGCCAGGCGACTACGGCTGTGTATCCATCTCCTAGCGAGGTACGTACCCACCCATGCTGTGACAGTACCTTTACTGACCTCGACCTCCAGCCAAGCGCATTAGTCAATTCTCGTTCGCAGCCATCTCTACCACCCTTCTACGACCTCAGCGGCCCTGGCAACGACTCCCATCCCCCAGTTCCCTCAGGCCCAACTGGCTTTGGGCGGTTCGGAAACAACACTCTCCTTGGTCGTCCACCGTACGGTAGGGACGGTAGGGAGAACAACAGCAGCTACCCGTTCCCTAATATGGGCAATCCTTACCATTCTCCGGGTGGTTCCTTCGGCCACGGTGCAGGAGGGTACCCACAGCCGCCGAGCAACTACCCGCCGATGCATGACCAGCAGCCGTGTGGCTACAACCAAGTCTTGCCAAAATGAGGGATTGCAAAGAAGATGCAGACTTGCTGACGGCGAAAGGTCATTCGGACAGCCATAGGCATCGTGCAGAGTTGAATTGGGTCTCGATCCTTGCATCTCACGCAAACATGCGTCCGGGATACACATTCTGCATTGTCTCCTCTGGGCCAGCAAGGCCGAGCTCGGATACTGCGATTGGGCAACGCTAACGTTTGGGGGATTTCGTGCTTTTGCTTGGCCAGCTGTCTTTGACTAGGGAGATGGGCTTGTTCACGAAATTCACTTGTAATGATGCTTGGAAAGATGCCCAGACGTCTCTTTTGGGGCCTCAACGCTACTATGCCCGCAGCGTTGGCCATAGGGCGCGGAGCCGCTTGGCGTCAGCTTTGGGGAGGGCACGGATGTCCGGGGTACTTCTCGATAGTGACACTAATTCAATGACGTATGTGTGGAAAGGCATAGCTGGCGTTGCGAATGGGCGTGACTTTGTGATGCCAGTCTACCGTTATGCCTCGACCATTGCGTGGGCACAAAGTGCGGGCTGCGGGATATAGGATGGGTGTATGGATGTTGTGCCTAATCTTGGCCTGCGAGTCTAGCCGCGGAAAGAATCGTGCACAAATGAAGTAATCTCATAGGCCGGAATGCTTGCGATGGCGCACATGGGAGCAGAGCTGGGTCGCACAGGTCGTCGGGGTAGCATAAGGGGTCCGGTCCGGTGCACACAGCGCCAGGAGAGCGTGCGAGCCGCATCAGCGTAGGCGAATGTGCATGTCACGGCTATCGTGAACTATCGAGCTTCAGATAGCCTTGCACGCGCCAGCGCAATAGGCAGGCGTCCGGCAGGCACTTTCGTCACGCCTTGCCCAGACGGGGCCCAGCGGACGCCACGAACCGCAGACGCGGTCAGCGAAACACAACGGTGCCGCCGCAGCGCTCCATCAACACTTCGAAGATGACTTCGCAGCAGGGCGGCCGCTCGTCCCCCACCCAACTCTCCGCCCTGGCGGCCCCTCGTGCAGCCCGCAGCGAGTCACACTCGCATTCTGCGATAAGCAGCTCCTCGACCGCGCTCCACCCGGCCGCCAATGCAACCTCGAGTCACTTGAACGCAGCACTCCCGCCGCTCAACACGGACGACCCAGCCGACCCCTCGCTGCCGCGCTTCCACATCCGCAACCCCTCGGCCGCCCTCTCGCTCAACACCGACGTCGACGATCTATTCATGAAGGCTGCCGAGCGCCTGCAACACGCGACGACGCTCGGGGACGGCAGCACGGCGGACGCGCTGCGGCACTCGGCCACGGCGCCCATTGCGATACAGGAGGGCTATCTGCGGAGCACGTTTTCGGCGGGGAGCATGACCGGGTCGCTTTCACCTGGCTCTGCACTTTCATCACCCGCGCTGAACGCTTTGGTCGATCTCACCCCGCTCCCTTCGCCACTGGTTATGAGCGATTCGCCGGGATCATGGACCAGGGGAGGTGTTTCGTTTCGCCCTCGCTCGAGAGGCGCGTCAGGCTCTTCCCGAGACGATTCCTTCGCCATGTTTAGCAGAGGCGGCACGCTCTCGCCCTCACCCTCGTTGAAGAAGAAAGGGTACCAGAAGCTCAAGACAGCTGGAGAGCAGGCCGTGGACGCCAGCATGCAGACCCAGCACAAGAACGACGCCTCCCGCGAGAGGAACAGGAGCCTCAGCGAGTTTAGGCCCGACTCCATGCACAACATCGGCGCGCGACATGTCACCATCTCGAATGTGGCACCCCAAACGTCTCAACCCGACACTACGTATGAGTCTCGACTCCACCGTGAGGCCTATCTGGCCGCACAGCGAGGCTTGGTCCCCGCTACAGTACCCGCTGGCCTGCCCACACCACCCGCTAGCAATCGGAGCGTCACTGAGAGTGAAGAAGACGAGATCGCAGAACACGACAAGGTCGACTACATAACCGTGAGACAAGGCCCGCAGATGGTCAAGAAGCTCTGGCGCCCAGTACGCCAGCTCGGCCAAGGCACATTTAGCAAAGTCTGGCTAGCCACAAGCGAGAAGCGCTCAGCCAACGACCCACTCGACGAGACCACCCTCGATCCCCGCAAACTTGTCGCCATCAAGGTCGTCGAGCACGGTCCTGCAGGCGGCGCCGACGAAGAGCGCGTAGAACTAAGCCTGAAGCGGGAAGTCGAGATGCTCCGTTCTGTCTCCCATCCTTCGCTCGTCCATCTGCGAGCATTCGATAACGGTGATTCTCAAGCGCTGCTGGTTTTGACATATTGCCCCGGTGGTGATTTGTTCGACGTAGCCAGCACGAACCGCGACCTGCTCGGTGTAGATCTCGTACAGCGCATCTACGCCGAGCTAGTCAGTGCCACCCGTTACCTCCATGAGAAGCTCATTGTGCACCGCGACATCAAGTTAGAAAGTATATCACACCGGTCAGTCTGTGAGGGCAACCCGTACTAATATGTCACAGATGTTCTCCTTAATATTCCCGTTTCCACAGTACCCTTGCTCAAAAATCCACGTTCGCATCCGTATCCTATAGCAACACTCACGGATTTGGGCCTATCGCGCCGTATTCCTGCTCCGCCCGAATCACCTCTGTTGACTACTCGCTGTGGCAGTGAAGATTATGCTGCTCCTGAAATTCTCCTGGGTCAGCCGTACGACGGTCGTCAAACTGATGCCTGGGCCCTTGGTGTTCTCCTTTATGCACTAATGGAAGGTCGTCTACCGTTCGATTCTCCACCAGGCAAGCCCGTACGCAGTCGGCCGGCTCATCGCATTGCACGATGCGACTGGATGTGGATCAGGTTTGGTGACGACGACGGCGAATGGGACGCCGAGAAGGGCGAGGACTGGGAAGGCGCGCGAGCTTGCGTCGAGGGTCTTCTGAAGAAGGTGTCACGCGGCCGCAAGAGCCTCGAGGACATTGAGAAGATGGAGTGGGTGCAGAACGGCATTCAAGTGGACGGTGGCGTGAGGCGCAGGATCGAGGACGAAGAGATGAATCAGGGCACGCCTGACACCAACGCCAGGTGATCGTTAGTAAGGTGGTCTCACCTATGATCGATGCCCATAGCCATTAACGGCAGCATCGCCGCAAACTATGTATTAATAACGCGGTCTCCAACGGGACCGAGATTTCCTTGCGTCCATTTCATATCTGGGAAGAGGAGGTCGGCACTGGGCGGGTACGGTATCGGTCGGCACAGGATACGAATCGTTGAGATACCACGGGCAGGACGACACACGGCTGAATAGATGGGGCGGTACGGTCGGCTCTGGTTCTACGGCTCTTGGTCACTCGCTCGACACTCGCTCCTTTGCTCGATCGACTTCTTTTTCTTTCTCTTCTTGTACCTGCTACTTCGCTTTGATATCCCCTTTGCTTTTCCTTAGCTATGCCTCGGGGAATTGTATATCCCTTGCTGCTTACTTACTTTGCGCGTCTGTTTGCATTTGCTTTTCTTCCTGCGCCACTTTTCTTCTGGCATTAGACAACAAAAAGGCAGACTGGGCTACTGGCCTGGATCAATTCACATTTGGATTGGGTGGGGAGGGAATTTTTGGATCGATTAAGGTGGATGGGTACGGTATGGTGGTAGCTCCTTCTAAACAAAACAAAACAAGCAGAAAGTCAGTGTGGAATGGCAGTGCCCCCGATATGCGTGAGTGATGTAGGTAGTGCGATCCGCGATCCGCGATCCGATGGCGTGGTCGATCGGAAGACCCCTTCCGCAGATGCCGCCGCACTAACGCCGCCAGGGCCACGAAAGAGGTATGACAGCTACGACAGCGCGGAGGCAAGATGCACTAAACAGGCAAGATGGGAGCTCAAAACAGGGAAACGGACAGGGCAACGTGGTCCCCTTCGATGAGGTTATTCGGAGGGCTCTCCGAGAGTTCCGAGAGGACCACTAGGATAGGCGAGCCGATCGCGAGATGTGGGTGTGGCGTACGTTGGCGTTGAAGGTGCATACAACGACGTCAGTTGTGGACGGTGTGAGACCTTGATTTAGATGGGGTGAGCGTGCCGCGTGTAGCATTGAGGGTTTAACTTTTTCCATCCTGTTCTTTTGGGCCGAAAAGCAGAGGAAAACCAAGACAGCGCAGACATACCACTTCTATTTTCGAGAGCATCAAGGCATATCAGAGTGCTTCACATCTTACGAGCAAATCCGCGAACAGAAATAACAATATGTCGGGCTGGAAAACAATCTCGACGTCCGTCCCTCCTTGACTGCCTCGTTCCCCTTCCACTCAAAGCCGAGGAAAAGCTAACAGCGCATGGCAAAACAGCATGGGCGAACACGCCCGCTACATAGACCAAGACGGCGTCAACGTCGTCCATGTCCACGTCGAAATCGCAGACCCCCAGGAGTCGGCCGATGTCGAGAATAACCTATATGCGCAATTGTGAGTTAATTCCCTCTTACATTTCCCCCGTCCGCGCCATTCGCATTTGCCTTCCCCTTCGTTGAACAAGAGCTGATGTGTAACAGCCAGCAAGCCGCCGCGAAGAACCAAGTCCGCTTCTACCGAACGAGCCAGAAGTTGAGCGATGGAGGCGGAGGCGTCATGGTGTACTACAACGGCAAGAAGATCGAGCATAAGAAGGTGCTGATGGGGAGTTTGCCCGCGCTGGTGGAGGCGATTGCGGCGGCGTTGGAGAAGTATAATTCACACTAAGAGGAGCGAAGGGGGGAATGGGGCGGTCGTGATGATTCTCATCATCAGGCAGCGATGTCTGGTCGTGAGGGGAACGGTGTATAAATACTGCATGAATGGCATGGTCTCTGCTTCTTTACACTGCTCTGCTTGCATCCTAAAGAATGCCCAACAGGGACGCATTATGCCTTTTGTCTGAAAGGATATTGAATGCTGTTTCATGTTCTCAGCTGCTGGGACTTCTACAGCATGAACGGCAGGAGATCTTGTTCTTCACACTACTTCAGCCACGCACTGTCACATGAGAGGGAAGTCCATGTTTCTTTTGTATAAAAAGCTTTTCCAACCCTGCTATGTTGCCGGTTGTTGAAGATGTTAATGAGGTCCATCATCAGGTTGCCAAATGGTGGCAGTAATAGCTTGTGTGTAACTGCGACTTCAATTGCAGAGGCTCTTCTCTTCACACCACTGCACATGGGCACTAAAGAATAGCCAATCAAGAATTCATGTCTATGTCTAAAAGCTATTTGGATACCATGACATGCTGGTTTCGCTTGCCCGGGCCTCGAGTTTTGTAAGCGAACATTTAGTGGTGATGATAATGATGAGGTTCAGCATCATGTCTTGAGATAGATTGCAGATGACGTGTAAATGCAGCGTAGAAATTCAGAGTCCCCATTCTTTGACATCCGTTCCTGAACATTAGAAGGATCTAGAAAGATGGAATTGTGTATTGTCTAAAAGTGTCGTTCACGACTTCATGTTGTTGGCCGCGACTGCCCAGTTATGTATAGGAGGCTCAGCAGTGTCAGAGGTTGAGGCGATGATGATGCTGCTGTTCATAGTCGGCCATCGAGCGGTGGAAAGGGGTTGGCGTATACATACAGCGGTTGGGGTTATGCTTGATCTACACACTTCATGCGCTTCTCTTCTCGAGCTCCAAATTGTAGACTGAATGGCCTTGGCCCTGTCTAAAAATAATAGAGAAACTACTTGATGTTGTCTGATGCACTCTGCTGTGCTGAATACTTCCAGAATTTTGCTGCAGTGATGGTGTTCAACATCGAACGTGCTGCAGTGACAATTTTTGGTGTGAAATAACGCGTGAAGAATGTTTCTTCCTCCTCACACAGATCTTTGTGATCACCTTAAACAGCCACACCTTGCTCCACGGGTCTTCTCTAATAATGAAATTGGACATAGCTCATGTTCGCAGTCGCGCTGGCCCCGGTCTCTCGAAGGGCCGAATTTTGACTGTGACAATGGTGGGCAGCATCAGGGACCGGATGGAGGCTTTATGGTCGTAAAATTCAAACTTGAGTTAAAAAGTGCCTTGTGATTCACGCTGCACTTGCTGAATCAACGATAGTTTCTGGGTTCCGACTGACTCTATCTGCTGAAAGATGATCTTCAGCATTAGATGGCGGTGGTGAATGTACTGCAAGGTATAGAACCAAGCAAAAGCGAATGTCGTGCTCCGCATGCTACTTTTTTCCATGCCAAAAGCATATGCAGAAACTCCGCACGGAACTTTTTTAAAGCCCTGAGATGCAAGCCTCATATGCGCGGCGTTTTGGTCCCTAACACCAAAATTCCGACCCCGCTATCATGGGGTCGGTGTTAGACAAACACTACATGCATGAATGCAATTATTCAGGAAAAGCACTGAGTATCCGGTGAAAATTCGGAGGTGATTAACCTCATCAAAGCCATGAATCGGTGCTCCAGCTTCTGAGTACGTCAAGGTGACGGGTCTAGGCATCACACACGCGGATATGAATACAGTGCTGACACGGGTCATTCTTGCTCTTCACACTTCTCCTTCTACACAGTAATATTTATTTGAGGAGACCTCATGTCTTAGGTATAAAAACATTTGGAAACAAACCCCATGTGCTCGGTTGGTTTGTCTTCAAAGCATGAGAATGAGCGGTCCTCGTTTCGGTCAGGTACAGCCAATATCGACGAAAGAGGATGGTGAGGCACATAATTAGGGGTCCTCCTGAGGACTATATCACACTCAAGACTTAGAAGGTGAAGAAGAAGAAAGACCTGCATACAAAGCTGTATTTTTACTCTACATCCTCAATTATTCACCTCACCTAAGCACACCAAAAATCGCATGGGCTGTCTAAAATCAATGCGGAGATGGCTCATGCAGGTTGCTTCGACCTGGAACTAGGCCAAGCAAGCAGATAAGCATGATGAATCTGACACCTACATTTGTTAGAAGCAGGGACTTCTCGATTGGCCGGTTCCTGAAACAGTATTTTCAGCAACCCCATGTAGCGTTCTTAGCTTTTCTGCCTTATCAAGGCAATGGTGGACATCGCCACGCTCTGACGAAGTGCGAGAGTACTGGCTGGACGTGAGACCTGAAAGGCCATTGGTTCGATTAGACAGGCCAAGTATAAAATATCTGCTCCGGTCATTCTTCCACTCCACACTTCTCCAGCATGTGGAATCAAAATGCTCTGATCTCCGCGTTCACGAGTTCAAAACCCTGTGATGAGCAACAACACGTTTGTGTTCCAAACGTTTAAAAAGAATCGCACTTTGCATGCGAGTGCCGTAATTCTAGAGAAGATCGCTGAAACTTCACCATGGTGTGCATGTGAGCGAAGGCATGTATATTCAACTGCGTCTTCAGCCACTCATGGTGAGAGATATACATGTAGAGGTCTTCTATCGTGCTATATTGATCGTAAAGTCTTTTTCTGCATCCAAAATTGTTCTTCGTTCATACTGTACGGTTTTCACGTAACCAATTGCCGTCCACGCGCTCGAAGTGTGGGGAAATGGTGGAGAGATGCTTGCATTGATCTTGGCCCTTTGGCGTCAGATCCGGGTCAGGGATGTTCTCCTTGTCTTCTGAGGTTGTAGTAGCCTTCTGCGTGGAGGATGAGGCGCTGCTCGTATTCCAAATTGAATGTTTCAGGAAACGTTCTAGCAATATGTACTCGAGGATGATTTTGTTAGTTTGACAGAAACATTGCCTGGGCAGAGAATTAGACGTCACCGCACTTGTCAACTAGTCCGATGGTCGTATTGCCAATTGGTAGTTAATCGTCCTTGAAGATTATCATGTGTGGAAAATGGAACCACAAAGAGCCTTGGTGTAGAAGTACATTGAATGTCGGCCAAAACAAGGAAAAGGTATATTTTAAATTCTAGAACGACGCATAACGTGGCCATAGGACGAGCAACAACCGCTGGAGGAAACTCCTATAATTTGCCTTGTAGATCGTGTCATTGGCTCCATGGTACTATAGTTTCCTGGATCCAGCCATGAGGTACCGGCGCATGTACGCTAACGGGAAGATCTGTTTTGGTCGGGGCAAGTCTTCATGGATCGCCATGAAAGCGTGCATTGAACGTACTCTTGCCCTTGATCGGCTTTCCTGCTCTCGGGATAGTTTCATGGGTGAGATTGGCAGTGGACGTTAATTTGGCACCAAACCCAATTTCCAAGGTTGCCATTGCGACAGACCCGGGAGACGCCGGTGAGTCAGTGATTACCGCGTTGCATCGACAGCCACTAATGTTAAAGAGCTCGGTATGAGAACATGCTTTGAATTCTTCGATAGACTTTCGATTCCTAGTATACAACGGAAGAGTGCATATTTTACATACTTCAAGGCCCGCTTCTCCACCCTCCCCTACCCCTCCCTCTAAAGCCGCCCCTCCCACCTCCCCTCCCACCCCTAAAGTCACTCTGCTCCGTCCACGGCCCAAAGTCCCCGCCCGCCTCAACAACCCGATCCTCCTCATCAAACGTAAATCTTATCTTCTGATCAAGCCTGCTCGCTTGAATCCCTCTCCCCTTCCGCTTCTCTTCCGGCGTCCAGTGGCGGCTCGTTTCAGCCTCGAGGTCTCTTGTCCGCGCCTCCGCGCGCTCGTCTGACACAGCGAGGAAGTAAAGCTTGGGCTTCGCAATCGTGGAAGAGAACAGCTCGTCGAGCGTTTTGAATGACGCCTCAGCGTTCTGTCGGATTTCCTGCGTGGGTAGCGGTACGGCGCCGGCGCCGGATACCTGTTGGCTTGTGCGGCGCGGACCCTTGGGTGGGTTGAATGCCGCGGCACCGGCGCCTACTTCTTGGAAGACGGCTGTGTAGCCGCCGTTTTCATCCTCAAAATACACGACCTCGAACTTCTTGGCGGGAATGGGACGGCCTGCGGCACGCGCTTCCTTCTCAGCAAACATGGCGTCTTCCTCCTCCTGAATCCACGTGGCGCAATCCTCGTCGGGCACGAAGTCGACCCAGAGGTCTTTCCTATTTCCCTCGGGTGGCCAGGTTGTGCCGTGTAGAGAGGCGCGGACGCGGGAGGCCGCGGTTGTAGACGCAAAGCGGACGAGAGCGTGGGTTTTCATATTGTCGAGAAAGAGTGTGGATATGATTTCTGGGTCTGCATCTGTGGAGGGAGGTGAGGCGAGGGCGACCAGGTGTGCGCGGAGGGGCTCGGGTCGCAGGGGTCGCATAAGGTTGCGGATGTATAGGGCGGGAGTCGCGAGGTGGAGGGCTGGGGATACAGAGCGGTCATCTGGTATGTCAGATGGAGCGTCTGCAACTGAAGGCTCGGAGGCCGGCTTGAGCAACTCGCGGTAGCGGTCGATCTTTTGTTTCTTCTCGGCTTCTGGAGCCGCCTTTGACTCCGCTGCTGATATCGCTAGCTCGGCCTCGATCTTCGGGTTGCCGTTGGCGGCATCTTCTTCCATAGCTATCTCGTCCAGCTCTTTCTCTGCCTCCTCCGGTGGCCGTTGGTCCATGACAGTGTCCTCATCCTGGGGGACAGCAACCTCATGTACAACATCTTCACTCGGCCTCGGCTTCTTTGTGCGTACTTCTTGTGCGGACAGCTCGGGTGTTAGGCTCCTCCTCTTGCGCTTCCTTGTATCGGCCTCAAGTTCCTCGGTGTTCAATCTCGATTGATCCGCAGTCGAGATCACTGAGCGCTCAGGTATAGGAAGGAGCTCGGGCTTCTCTATTGATGGTTTCTCATCTGAGGCAGGCGAAGGAGTCTGTGTAGGTCGGGCGAAGTCGGTCGCGTGCGACTCTGTGGGTATTTGCGCCTCTTCCGCAATTATTATGGCCGGTTGTGGATCTTCTTTTGGCACACTGTCTGCAGAATTTCCTTCCTGAGCTTCAATGACGGTATTATCTTTCACATCATCTGGCGCTGTCGCTTCTGCCGCCTCGGTACGCTCTTCTGTCGTCGCACCCGGCGCGACTACTGGAGCGTCGTCGTTCGGCTCGGGTGGTTCTGAAGACGCTGCTTCTACTTCAGGCTCTAGAATTGTGTCAGCAGACATATCCCAAGCAGCGCAGACGCGCGCCTTCAACCTACCCGCTACCTCTACCTCTACCTCCTCCGCAGCCTCCGGCGCATGCTCAGCCTCCCCTTCAATCGCATTTTGGGCGTCCCACTCCTCCAACTTCTCGATGATCTGCGCCTTCCTCGTCAACCCCGTACTTGGAATATTCCTGTCCTTGAGCACTTGGCGCAACTTTGCGACAGTCTCTTTGTTGTAGTCCGTCATCGTCGCGGTAGTCGTAAGTTTTGGAATAGTTAGATCTGTCGCATGCGAATAATACAGTTGATGAGATGAAGAAAAGGTACAGAGTGAAAAGCAAGGCAAGAGGCGAAGTAAATCAGCTTGCGAGAAGGCTTAAGTCAGTGACGGATGCAGCTTGTCGTTTTCAAAGCACCAAAGCTGGGGCAGCGCGTCAGGTCACGCTAACGGCTGGGCTTGCATAAGCGCAGGTGCAAGCCACGCTTTGTGCCACAGTGATCTGCGGCGGCTTGTGCCGTCTCAGCAAAGGAAAGCGCGAAGCCAACAACAAATTGGTAAACGATTCATATTACCAATCTCAGGTGTATGTGTGAAGGTAGCAGAGTTTGTTCTCTGGGACTCTTTAATCGAACCATGGATACCTCATAATATCATGAAGCGTGTACGACAGGATCTCAATGCTGTGTTGGAGCAGCCCTCCCTAGGTTGAGCGGCAAGCCAGTAAACGGTGATCACTTATAGTACAATAGCTGAGCTTGAAGTCCGAAAGGATAACTGCGCATTCGAAAGAGCGAGGCTTGTCAGAGCATGGAATATAGTGTACGCGATAACAGGCGTAGCGAATTTTTTTAATTTTTTTTTTGGGACCTAGCCATGCCCGTGTCCTGGTTGTCACTGGGCGCCTCCCACGATCTTCAGTCATCAGCTGGTGTGGTGTCGGCTGAGCGTCGTATCTGGGAACCCCTCCATAATCGCTACATGTTAACATCATAGATATTGGAATCGCTGAGACGGTTCAGTATACCCGCCTCCCGGGCTTATGGCCTTCCATCTAGGCACAAAGTGCTCGTAGCGACCCGGGCTAGCTACATTGCTCATCACAATCAGTCGGCTTTGGTTGTTGTTCCACCTTCAGGCTTTCAGGGCAGCGCGAGGAAACGCCCCGAGTTTGAAATTCATTGGGCGTGTTGCTATTTCGAGCCGGGATTTCGAGCCGGGGTCGATCGACAGGCGCACTTATGCGCTGGTCGAACAATCGTCTTGAGAGGGGTGCGAAATATGTTAGGTCGTTTGAAGGACAAAATGGCGCTACCCTGGAGCCCGTGTCGTCGGGAGCTTATCTTGGTGGAAGATCCTCGAAGACAGGAAAGATGAACCGCTCCCGTTGCAAGTGTTCGTTGTGGCAACACGATGAGTGACCACCAGGTGCGCACGACACTCTTTCAACGATTCAGGCCTATCATGCGCGAAACCGCATGACCGAAGTATTATGATTGCGAGAGAGTAATATGCATGTACCTGCTCATGATCCTGCTTCTATAACATCCTTTCAACAGCGTAGACGGACACTATCCAAATGAACAACTGCCTTCTATCCCTGTCTTCATGCAGGAACTACTATCCTAACGTAGGCAACGCACTTATATAGCAGAAGCCTGGGACTTCTTCATAAGATCCAGTTGGAGCAATTTGTGCCATTGTTCACGTTCCTTGATCTGGATCATAATCACGAAGCACCACCTTCATCTCTAATGAATCCAAAAAATAGTAGCGAATTTCTCTTCCTAGTCATGCAAATCCATGCTCAAGTACTGGTCCTCGTAATCCTACATCCTATTCAAACATGTCGTACCAGAACCTGCTAGCCAGAACAATTCTCATGAGGGTATCCAAATGCAATCCGAGCCCCCCCAGGAATTCCATCCACCCAAACGCCTGTAATGCACAAGAGCCAAACCAAAAAACTAAGCGCAAGTGCTGTACACTGGAGAAAGCCCACTCGAAAAGACAGGCGTCGTTCAAATGAATCCATTGGGACCTTGATGTCTGGGCGGGGGCCGATTCTGTCCGTTGACACCGCCAAACATATCCCAATTTTGATTGTTATTGTACGTCGGTTGCGGCTGTTGATGCGGCGCGGACTGATATGATGTCTCCTGATGATCAAAGTATGGGTTTGACTGCATGTTCGGCGAAGCTACGCCGTATTCCTGTCCGGGCGTCGCAGCCTGGGGATGGCCGTGTGAGTTCCCGTAATATCGGTCGTTCGTGCGGTGGTACGGGTCCGACTCCTGTCTTGACAGAGTGGGATTAGCTTGTGCATTAGATAAAAGGCCTGCACGGTCAGAGTCAGACCGTTGTACGCCTATCTCTTTGTCCAAAGCAGACTCGGTTGCCGGCTCTCCGTTGCCAGCAAAGGTGGGCCCGCTGTGATAACCCGTATCCTGCTTTGTGAGAGGGTCCATCTTTGTCTGATACGAGGGGTCGTTCTTGCGGTGTCGCGCACCGACAAACAGCCAACGGAAGCCACGTCCACAAGCTTTGACTATGTCCCAAGGATTGAAGGTCGAGATGAGGGCGCGGGCTGGGCCGTGAGCGTATTTCTTGGGAACTTCGGGAACTTGTTCGTGTCCGGCCTGCGGGAGGGGTTCGTGACGTCGTGCGAGATCGTATGGCTTCCAAGGGAACGCGAACAGATGTAGAACTGCAAAAATAGACATCTCCACACACGTCAACATGGATGGGATGCCAATTCTCAGATCGGGTCCGGCAATCTGCTTGGTCGCTTTCAAAGGCCCACCTTCAGCAGTCAAGAGAGATATAATCCAGCTCTGCCAGAAACAGAAGAAAATGACGAGCTTGATGCAGAGCACCTTCATGAAAGGCCTGTGAGGCGCGAGATCCTCTTTCAGTTGGATGTAGAACTGAATCAAGCAATACATGGCGATTGTGACAGAGACGGCTTCGAACCCCGCCACCCATATATAGGCGAATCGTGGATCTTTCGAGCTCTGACAGTAGCGACCAAAATGTTGGGTGATGACAGCAACGACGGTGAAGAAGGGGCGGATAAAGCAATATTGGAAAATGCTGAGCCATACAACCTAGTCACCGTCAGTACAGGGTATCTCTCCCGTTCTAGGAGAACGTACGTTGAACCAGGTGAGCCCACTGCGCGGTCTGCGCAGCCAGCCTTTGTCCTGACCGCCTGTACACTTTTGCATCCATGTCACTGGCCACACCCAGTTTTTCGGCTGCACGCCCCGAAAGTACTCTTTTTGTTCGTGTAGATTCGGCGCGATGTAATGGCACATCAGCGTGAAGAAGCTAGAAATTGCAAATGCTTCGTAGCAATCGCGGAGGACCTCAAAGTATACAGCTTTGTGATAGTAGAGGTAACTCAAGAACGAAACGACGGCGTATATCGGTATCATGAGCAGGATGCGTATAATACTAGCCGAGTCAGTAAATATCGAGCCAGCGATGGAGTTGTACGTACTGCTTCTGTTCGTAAGGTTTTAGATAGTGCGTCGCATGCCGCAGGATGAGCATGAACGCTATGGCGACTGCGAGCGCCCCAAATGTCGCAGATATTATCAACCCAAAGTGGTGGAAGGTAAGACTGTTCCATAGTGGATCTTCATGAACTGCAATGCGGTCAGTCAGTCATGTCGCCATGTACGACGCAGCGTATGCCAACGGCTTACTGGACTCGTGTTCAAGCGCCTCGCTTTCACATTCCAGGCGCTTGCCCAGTTGGTGCGCTACCCTCGCGAAAGAGCCGATGATGGGTGCTGTCTCAAGGGGATCGGGCGCCTCTCTAGCGAATACGCGGTTTGCCATGGTTGGAGGAGGGCTTGTAGAGCATTCGGTCGTGGAGGAAGCAGTGTCGCGAGAGGAATGCGCGTCAGCCGGCACGGGTAGGTATGCGCTTCGTAATCACGCTCAGGCGTTTCCTGCGTACGATTCACGCTGCAATTGTTTGCAAGGGTGGCGGCAACAGCTCGCAAGGGGACCCAGCTTGCCAGGGATCCAGTGGTATTCGTTGTTGAGAATTCAGTTAGCAAGGAGGCTTTGAGGAAGGCGCGAGGTGACGAAGCAGCGGGGCGGTAGCGTTTCACGATTGGGCGTGGCATGGCACTTGTTATGCGGCTATAATGGGGATCAACGGCTATGCAGGGGCACAGCCGCCACAGGTGGCGCTACTTTCTAGATGCATTCACCGTCTCTTGTAGAGGGCAACAATAATATGTCCTGATGTCGATGTTCAGGCTTGCGCCGTACGTCATGTGTCAAGCCTCCACAAGCCTGCAGGGCGGCCATGGCGCTCTTGGATGCAGCGGAGGAAATCAAAGTCAATTTATTCTCGTTTGCGTGCGCCTCAGGGTCTACGCATCCTCGAAATACGCTTTCCATCGGTTCATTGGAATGTTTTCATTAGCAGCAACGACTTCTGATATAATGGCCGTGCAGACTCATTGCGCCACCGTCTGTAGTCGTTTGCGATGAACCATTGGGGACAATGAACATGTACTAGTGAGTTCTTCTATTGCGATCTACGGTCTATCACTTTAACTGCATGTTTCACGAAATAGAATCCTGCCAGGACCTACACGTCCAGCATCAATTCACTAAGCGACTGGCCAGTCAAAGGTACCAGGCCAACACAATTGCCGCGATACCCAGACTGTGTATTCGGTCTGCAGGCCCTACAGCGCCTGCATCCTGGCTTGACCAAGCAGCTTCGTTCATACCCCGCTTTACACAAACGACAGTTGCCTATCGAGAACATTAGCCGTGGCCTGAAAATACTTCACGTAAAGTTTGTAGAAGTGGTGCCCTCAGACATCCAAGGAAGGTTGCTGCGCTCATCGACTGTCGGTTGATGGGTTCAAGTGACAGCTAGCGTGGAAACTGCGAATTAAGGAAAGTTTTCATCATCGGGCAGGATGTTAACGAAAAGATATGGTGTACTTACAGCTCAGTGCAGACCAGCTTGGAGGCGCCGGAAGACCTTGTTGTAAAGACTGTGAGAGAAGGTGAGTGTCGAAGGCAGAGAAAACTCATGCTAAATAATCCCGGCCACTCGGTGACCCATTGCGATCTAGCGTAGCTTGGCCTTGACATATCATGTGACCCCATAAAGCCCTAAGCGAGCGCAAGCTGCCTACTACATGTACAGTCGCATCAAACATCAACATCAAAGATACCTCAAAACGACCAGTGACACCTCCCAGGATATCCAGTCGGCTGATTGGAGCCGGCAAACAATCAATAACACTGATGTAGGCCGAAGTCCGTACCGTGTTTCAACCCCGCTGCCGAATACTCCTACGCGGGCGCAACTTTCTCTCCGCACCACTAACCACCATCCGCTTATGCTTAAATTTAAGATTGTTCCATGCGCCATAAAGTGGCGCTTTACTCCGGAGCTTGGGTTGCGAGCTAATGATGTTGGGTTGTCTCGAGGCGGAAGCTGCCAAGAGAGGCTGCCGCTGATGTCTAGAGGCTTAGGCCGACTTGTCCGTGACAAGAGGATGAAGTCCAAAGGCCATCGGCTCCTTCTTCACGACTCGTCGTGGTGTTCGTGGAAAAACTTGGATATTTCCAGGCGCCTCACCACGAGCAGCGCATGCATGACGGCAACTTCTCACCCGAGCTTGAGGTTTGGATCTCTACGACGCAAGGTGACTTACTTTCCAAAAGGTGTTCCCATATACTCCAGGGATTCCCCAGCCCGCATCCTCTTGGTCTTCCCGCGAAAGCGGACATTGGCACACTTTCACCGTTTCGGCAACTGCTACCACGCTTGCTTGTTAGGCAAACCCCCAAAGTCATAGACTACACCGCCCCCAAGACCAACTTCCAATAACCTTGCCAGTCACAGTATGGCCCGTGATCGGAGTGAGTGTATGAGGATGTGTTTAGAAACAGGAAATAGAGTATCGCCAAGCGTGACAGCGCTAAGTGGTAGGCCTTCACCATGACCTTCATCTCCGTCGCGGGCTGTGATTTTCTTCAGCCTTGCCTTCAATGAATATAAATCAATATGCTCCTCACGATGAGTATACATGTTCGTTACACTTCATTCTTCAGCTTCATTCGCTTCGTATTCAGTTATCTAGATACCCCTTTCATTCTTTCCTGTCATCCAGTTAGTTCACTATGAAGCTCTCCACATTCTTCCTCGGGGCCCTTGCCCCCCTCGCTTTCGCAGCAGACTGCCAAAACGAAGACTTCGATCATGACCCGCTCAATATCTCCACCGCCACCGCCAAGCGCGCCCTCAACTCCCTTCGCACACGTGACCTGCAGCAGGTCGACATGTACTGGCACATCCTCGTATCTAAAAACCCCGAAGGCGAGGATTGGGGTCCCTCGATCCAAAGTCAGGTAGACTTCCTAAATGCCCACTACGAGACCTGGGGATACCACTTCAACCTCAAGTTCACAACGTATGTGATTGGCGCGGAGTGGGCCAGCGACATCGATGTGGACAAGGAGAACAAGATGCGCACACTGCACCAGGGTGACTACCAGACGCTGAACATCTACCTCGTTGAAGGCGCCGGTGGAGGTAAGCACTCCCGCTATCAATGACAACCAGCACTTCACTGACTTACATGCCCAGGCGTGTGCTCGTTCCCCGACGGCTCGGGTCAGCCCATCTCCCAAGACCTCCTCGACTTCGACGGCTGCTTCGTCCCCCTCGAGGCCGGCCGCAGCGCGACGTCAGGCACCCTCGCTCACGAGATTGGCCACTGGTTCGGTCTCTTGCACACGTTCCAGGGCGGCTGCGACGGCGATGGCGACTACTGTGATGACACGGCACCGCAGAACGAGCCTAGCCATGGCGCGCTGGCGACACCAGGGGATCTGGGTAGTTGCCCTGCTGCGGACCAGTGTGGGAAGGGCCCCGCGAATGTGAAGAACTTTGTGAGTTGCATGTCCATAATGAATGGTTGAGGTGATTGCTAATGGGAGACAGATGGATTACACCGACTGCAGCCAGGAATTCACGCCTTGCCAAGGCGGACGTATGAACGTTGCCTGGTCGCAGTACCGCGTTGGGAGGGCTTTGGCTGAGGGCGTGCAGGTAAAGTGGTAGAGGGGCCATTTGTGTCCTGTAGCCTGGGGCCGGCCGCAATATGTTGTTTCAGTTTCTCGTATTTGTGTTTTAGCTTGGGGATTTGCATGGCGGGCGATTGGGGGCTAGGTGTTTGGGCATCTCATTTAGGGCTTGCTGGTCACGGCCACTTTTACTTTCTCATTGCACACTTAAGGCATAGCTGCGAGGTTGTTGTTGTTGTTGTTCTTGCACGTAGGGACCAATTGCTCTTGGCATTATCTCATACGGTTAGGGCCTGTTTGGTTGCTCCGGTAGTGGCTCCGATAGTAACCGCCGTTTTGAAAATGGAGAGTAATCGGCGACGTGTTCGATTTTAAACGTCTGATAGGATAGTTAATGGAGGTAAAATTTATTAGTGATCATCCGCTAAAATAAACCTTACTAGACTGTGACACAGGCCAGATTTGACATCCTGCGTCTCCGATAGCATAACTCATTTCCAGAAGTTGATTTTACTATTGGAGGCGTCACGTGCCTCCTGTTGTTGTTGCTCTCCGTCCAAGATTGTTGTTGATATAGATCCCTAGAGGCGTGCTGCCGGCATGGCTACCATTAGTGCTCTGAGCACTGTCACCACCATATTATCCGAATCCTATACCAACAAGAAACGTCCAATAGGTATAAATAAGCGGGATACTAATTGACGGCGAGGAACGGCGTGGTTGAGGGACTGTATGAGCAACCACCAGCAGCTTTTTGAGGAGTTGCGACTTCGGCTAGAGGCATGGGAAAAGCTCCTTCGGTCTATGATAGATGAGTAACTTATTAAGGACGGCAACGTCTCTATAGAGGAGAAACTACTCACGTTTCTATATATATGCTCCAACGGGGCGTCCCGGCGTAACTGTCGACACAAAGTAGGCCACTCTATGGAGACTATTAGCTAGAACTTTCATGAAGTCCTTAACGCCATGCTGCGCCTGTATAAGATCGTCGTTAAGGGCCCATCGATAGAGGTCCCTGAGCAGGTTGCGGAGGAGAGCAGATTTTGGCCCTACTTCAAAGACTGCCTAGGAGCGCTGGACGGCACGCATATCCCAATATTTGTGCCCTAGAGAGACCATAAGAGATACCGCAATTAGTATGGAGACCTGACTCAAAACGTCCTCGCTGTTGTGGACTTTGATATAAACTTCTTATACGTGTTGGCAGGCTGGGAGGGGAGTGCCCATAACGGTAAGGTGCTCCAGGACGCCTACACCAAAGGCTTCAAGGTGCCTAATGGGAGATACTTTCTTGCCGATGCAGGGTACACTAACAGCCCGCAGCTGCTCACACTATATTAAGGTGTCCGGTATCACCTTCGGGAGATCAGGGAGGTGGGCAAAGACGCGAGGACACCTAGGGAGCTATTTAACTATCGCCACAGCTCCCTAAGGAACGTTTTTAAGCGTACCTTTGGTGTTTTCAAGCGGCGTTGGCGGATATTTGATCGTCCTTATGAGTTTGATATTGAAACGCAGACGAAGCTTGCGTATGCCCTAGTAGCGGTTTATAACCTAGTTAACTCTATATACGCAGTGGGAGACGATGCGTAAGAGCTGGAGGAGCATAAACGTAAGGAGCTTGACGTGGTGCAACAAGACGCTGAAGATCGCAGAAATCTGGCTGCAGAAGAAGTCAGTATGGACGAAAGGGAGTAGATAACGGAGAGCATATGGAACGATTACCAGTAAGCGCGGCAGGTCCTAGGCGTGTAGGAAGTGGGAGAAGGTGTGGTGTTGAGGAGAAGGAGCAGTAGAGGCAGCTAACGGAGCTATCAAATTGATATTAATCTAACTCTTGCCAGGTTACGCGCCTCTGTCTGGCTATTTACCTATTAAACACTTACAAAGACGATTAGTTTCCTATTAATAGTGATTTACTACTATAAACTAGTATAATTAGGAAGTATATTGTTGCTTTATATGTATAGGTGGCTGATTAGAGGTGTAATGCAGACAGATCTACGTAACTAAGTGAGAAAACGCGCAAAACACCAGCTACGCACGGACCACTATCGCGAGTCTTGGCATAGTTCGCTAGGTACAGACATATGCCTCTCCGCTAGATCCTAAGCGCGCCTTCTACTCAACTTGCCGCTGCTACTCCAGTCCAACGCCTCTACGCTCTCTCGGAGATCACTATAAGCCTCGTCCTTCAATAGAGCGTCGATACGCTGCTTTACCCACGCTTTCTGCAGCTGCGGCGTCTTCAGATTGACCCAGAACTTCGCGTTTAGCTCCACCATGAAGCTCTCAAGTACAGGCATCCCCAGGCGGATGCCCAACGCTGAGTTCTCCATCTGGAACCGCTCTAGAGCCTCTTGCTGATAGTCACGAGTCTTTAAAGCAGTTGCAAGCTCCCCGATCTGCCTTGCTATATCGTCCAGCCTCATTCCCATCCGGTCCTCTGCCGTGAGGTTCCTGGTACGCTTCTCTCGCCTCTCCGCCGCTATTGTGGCAGCCCGTTTACGCCCTTGAGACTTGTTGCCAGAGTCTATATCTGTTGACAAAGACTGGGGCTCACTGTTCTCTATAGAATCGGCAACCTGGCTGGCAAGGAGCCTGTCGATAGAGCTTGCCGCCTCCCCAGTGGCATAGTAGCCCTCGAAGAGCTCCCAGTGTAGGTCCTCGAACGGTAAGGCAAAGTCTCTATACCTCTCCGCCTTTGGATGAGCAACAAAGTACTCCGCGAGCGCCCCCTTATCTGTAACAACAACGCCGTCAACAACACTAAAGCCTGATTGCTGGCGGAGCTGCGCCCATATCTGCCACTCCTTCTTACAGGTATCGACTTTGCCTTTGCATTGTTCTATGGTGATAGGCCTGGACGACAACTCCTGCACCTTCTTCTGGGCATAGGACCAGGCCTGTGGCTTGAACCTGCCATCAGCTCTGTTGCCCTCACTAGCCTGGAAACATAGAGCTCTTAGCAGAGCTTCGAGTTGTCTATCAGACCATACCATATGCGTCCTCGATATTGGTGTTGAGCTGAGAGACCTAGGTGTGGGTGACGGCGACGGGGATACTGGCGGCGGCAGCGCTGGCGGCGACGACGATAGGGTGTCTGGGGCCGGGGACGGGGATGGGGACAGTGATAATAGGACCTCTGCGAGCGCTGATTGAGCAACTCTCTTAAGGTGCCTGTTACGAGGTGTTGAAGGATCCATTTCCCAACAAAACAACAAAAAGTGCTCTGCCAGTCAGCCCACGGCGATCAATAGGACACAGACTACCAAGAAAACGGTATTTTACAGCCAAACAAGCCTCCGTTTGGCAACCGGAGTCAGCACAGGCGCCGCCAAGCTCCCTACCGGCGATTCCTATCGGAGAACGAAACCAGGCAGGCCCTTACACGTTACTCGGCAGTGGCCTCTGAAATCCACATGACAGAAAGATACAAATTGGGACCTATGCTACTCAGATTTTCGATTACTAACTTCTACGTAGCTTGAGCTGGTGAGAGTGTCTAGGATTCTTTTCGGATGCTATATCTCCGTATCTCGCGTCTACCGTGACACATCGTGAGTTAATGTCCTGGTGAGCTTGTCAGTGATGCGCAGTACATCGCAGGCAGTGTCCGGGGCTTTCACACATCTCTTGCAGTGTCGGGCTTGATCGCGACTAGCGCTTGTGGATCATCGAAGGAAGCCAGCAGTTTACGCATGTCTTCTCCGCGGCCATATTTCCAGAGTGCCAGTCCCGCGTAATTTTTTGAATTGATTTTAAGAATTCGCAATCAGACAAGTTGATAGTACCAGCCATTGTGCGGTGGAGACTAGGTTGCGCAAGGATCCACCGAGCCGGTGCTTCCTTGGGAGCAAATAGTAGACCATGGCTGGCACGAGGTAATGTACAAATCGGCGTTGGTGAGTATTAAGGACGACTCGTTTGATAGAGGGTAGGCGTACAGCCGGATGACTAGAGCAAGAACCAAGCATTGTATTGAGAGACACCGTGCTCTCCGTGGACAATGATAACCAAATCAGATACTGTACAGTTTTCTACAAGAACTTTACCTAATTTACAGTCCGTCTATGTCGATCTGAACTACCGCTCGGCCAACATGTTCTTGATTTGTCGCCAGTAGTCCTCCTCGACCTCCTTCTTGATCTCGTCCTTGGCCAGCCACTTGAAATCTTTCAGGTCGAACTGGTTCTCCTTGAGGTTTGCCTGTCCAGCCATGATGCGGACCTTCATGAAGAAAGTCTTGAGTCCGACCTCGTCCAGGCCTGCGGCATTCTTGAGCGCTTTGGTGTAGTTGTGCTGGTAGTGGCCGATGGGAACGTTGCCGACTACCCATGTGTTCATGTTCACGCCGGCGGCGTACTCGAGGATGCGGTATGTCGCCTAAGGATGGTTAGCCTCGCGAAGCAGATTTATGATAGCTGCAGATGCGTACCTCCTTCAGTGTCTCCTTTTGCAGCCTGTCCTGCGGGAACATCCACCGCCCCTCCTTGTCCTTCACAAGCAGATACAGCGTCCTCTGCAGCGCGCGGTTCAAGCTCTTGACATCGTTCTTCTCGTCGGCTTCAGTAACTCGAGACATGGGTCGCTCGACCGCCTCGTGCTCGACCTTCTTTGGCGTGACAGCGCTCGACACGGCCTCGGCGGGCTGATCTTCCAGACCGGTCGTCTCAGCATCTTCCAGCAGCCTCTCGACCTGCCAGTTGAAGTCGCTCTCCTTGGCGCCGATCAGCACTTCATCGTTCCAGGCCTCGTCGCCGTATCCCTTGTATCGACCAATATCCCTTGCAGGGGTCAAGCGCTGCTTTATCTTTCGCTTCCATTCCCGGTCGGCAGGTGTTCGGTCCTTGTAGTAGAAGTATCGTGTGAATGGCAGTGCGGATCGCTCGTTGAGACGGCGTTGGTAGAGAAAGAAGGCAGATTCGAAGGGGTGGAGGTCGCGTGTGATCTGGGGAGGGCGAGAGAGGACGACACCGGCGTTGATCCCGTACGAGGTTTGCGTGGAAGCTTGGGCGACGGGAGGGATGTGCTGAGCGGCCTGGCTGTCGGTCTGAACCGCTGCAGCGGCTGCAGATACGTAGTTGCGGGAGAGCGTGTCTCTACATGAGCGGCATATCGGCGTGCCTATTTTCATCAGCACCAGCCACGGCGGGCGTCAATTGGGTTACATACCTGCTTTGGCAGCAAGGCGCCTCGTCGTCTGGTGTCCGGCGTTCATCTGGGCATGACCTCGTCGCGTTGTCGAATGCGCTGCTGGCCATCCATCTCGAAAAGTTTCGGGGCGGAGGTGCATGCGGTCTAGCGCGTATCTGGTGACTAAGCGCTCTCCAACCTTCATTTTCTTCAGCGCGGCGCCTCGCACGCTTCCTTCTTCAATCTCATGGCACCATCCTTATCCCCAGTATCCTCTCTTTCAAATGAGATAATGGTCATTAAACCGGTGCCTAGAAGAATTGAACAGTCTTTTTCGCTAGCCGTACCTTCAAAATTATTCCAAGGCGTACAGCTAGATAGATCCTGCTCACATTCCCATCAGCGTGAAACACGCGCCTTGCTGCCTCCTTTCGTGTCCTTCGTGCATATCATGTACTCCTTTCTTAAGAAGGCATTAGTATGCCTAGGAAGCTCGGTACGTGTCTTGCTATTGACTCCGTGGGGACATGTATATATGCATTTCAGTGTTCTCTTCATGGGTATGAGACACGGCAGACTTGCGTACTCTCACGACAGCGTCGAAACATACCCTGTAAGCTGGAATTGCCTAGAGCTGTTAGACCTAGAATAGTCGGTGATTCTACGTACATGCACCTGCCCGTCGCTGTCTCCAGCTCCAGTGCTGATGCCCATGTCGGCATCAACTTTCGCCGACGCGCCAAGACCAGTGGATTTTTGAGAATCAGAAGGCGCGTCCCGCGAAACTTCCAGGCACCACACTACAACCCCTCAGATACCCCTCCTCACGCCCAAGATGTCTCTCTCAATACCCAACGCCCCGAACGCCGGGCTCTTCAAGCAGGGCTACCAGAAGTACACCTCCCCGTGCCCCTCACCTGCCTTGGATCACAGCTAACCACCCCCACAACAGCTACGACGCGGAAGATGGAGCAGTCATCCGTAACATTGACGCATGCCGGACGATCGCCCAGACTGTGCAGACATCCCTCGGACCCTATGGCCGTAACAAGATTGTCATAAATCACTTGCAGAAGATGATATTAACCAACGATGCGGCCACCATATTGCGGGAGCTCGAGGTCATGCACCCTGCAGCGAAACTGCTCGTCATGGCGACGCAGCAGCAGGAGGCGGAGATGGGAGATGCGACAAACATGGTCATGATTTTGGCTGGAGAGTTGCTGAAGAAGGCGGAGGAGCTGATACGGATGGGTCTTAAGACGAGCGACATCGTGCTCGGATACGAAAAGGCACAGAATGCTACTCTGCAGGTCCTGGAAGGTATGAAATACGCGGAGCACCTAGACAAGAAAGAAGCTAACTAGGTACTTCAGAGCTTGTATGCGACAAGGTCGAAGACATCCGATCACAACAGGAACTCAGCAAGGCAATCCGCACCGTCGTAGCAGCCAAACAGTCCGGCAGCGAAGAATTCCTCGCAGACCTCGTCGCTGAGGGTGTACTCGCCGTCCTTCCCAAGAACCCAGCCAACTTCAACGTGGACAACATCCGGGTGGTCAAGATCATGGGCGGCAGCCTGGAGCAGAGCAAGGTCGTCAAGGGCATGGTCTTCGCCCGTCAGCCCGAGGGCACCATCCAGAAGGCTACTAAAGCGAAGGTCGGCGTGTTCTCGTGCCCCATCGACATTTCACAGACCGAGACCAAGGGCACAGTGCTGCTACACAACGCCAAGGAGATGCTGGACTTCACCAAGGGCGAGGAGCAGCAGATCGAGCAGATTGTCAAGGAGCTCCACGATTCTGGCCTTCGCGTGGTGGTCGCTGGCTCCACCGTCGGCGAGCTCGCCGCGCACTATCTCAACCGGTACGGCATCCTCGTCATCAAGGTCCTCTCCAAGTTCGAGCTCCGCCGCCTCTGCCGCGTTGTCGGCGCCACACCGCTCGCCCGCCTGGGTGCACCCATGCCTGACGAAATGGGCTCCGTGGACATCGTCGAGACCCTCGAAATCGGTGGCGACCGTGTCACCGTCTTCAGGCAAGAGAACGACCAGACCAGGACCGCCACCCTTGTTCTCCGCGGTGCAACCCAAAACCACCTTGACGATGTGGAGCGCGCCATCGACGATGGCGTCAATGTCGTTAAGGCCATCACCCGCGACCCGCGTCTCGTCCCCGGTGCCGGCGCAACAGAAATGCAGCTCATCGAGCGCATTAAGTCGCTCGCGGACCGGACGCCCGGCCTCTCGCAGTACAGCATCCGCAAATATGCCGAGGCCTTCGAGGTCATCCCGCGCACGCTTGCCGAGTCTGCCGGGCTCGACGCCACAGAGGTGCTCGCGCGCCTGTACGTGGCGCACGGCGCGCAGAAGAAGAACGACGAGTGGACTGTTGGCGTGGACATTGAGAACGACGATGGAACGGGCACGCTGGACGCCAAGGACGAGGGCATCCTGGACCTGTGGGTCAGCAAGAGCTGGGCTATTCGGCTGGCGACGGAGGCGGCAAGGACGGTCCTGAGCGTCGATCAAATTATTGTCGCGAGACAGGCGGGTGGACCCAAGATGCCGGGCAAGGCGCAGCAGGGGAACTGGGATAACGATGATTAGACGGATTAAAAGGGGTGGAGGAGGAGCGGTATGTGTATAATGAACGATAAGCTGAATACCATGAGTCGATGACACGATCATCGCGTTGAAAGTAAAGCATCCGTCTTGCACCGTGTTGGCATGAACCGATGTATTGAATTGTACTGTGGTAGACAGTGACCAACATTAGAAAGTATACTCTTCTAGCAGAAATGACTGTGTATACTCGCGCTGGACTTTTGCACTAAATGTTTATTACGGTATAATGGAGTGAGTTACCACAGCGCGCCACGAGCCTGTTTCGTTCGTGGCGGTCCTTGTAATTCGACCTAATCTTTGTATCACAAGCCCTCCGAGCCTTTTTTTTTTTTTTTTTTTTTTGGTTTTGGCGTCAGTTGTTGTATGATGTTAGCCTGCGAAATCTCATTCTCCACGTCCAAGATGCAGGGATTTTACCTCACCAGGTTAGCAGGTACGCTTGGACGGTGCATCAGTGTACTCACTGAACTAATATGGTTGAGGCGCTGCGCTTTTTCCTTGATGTAGCGCAACACCGTTGGTTCGAAATCCTAGCCAGATTGGTTTCGCTCCATTGTGAACCTCAAACCAAACCGGAATAACTTCTTCGTAGATTCCTAGCAAAGTGCAACTGTTTCTTTCTGAACGCTCTTATAGATACGTGTGATTTTGGATTGTTAGCTGGGGGTTTTGATATCAACATTGTACGCCTTGCAAATCTACTTTTGTGGTTAACAGCTCTCTCTCCTTGTTGGCAAGAGTAGGGCACTGGCTGATAAAAGAAGCTTAAAAACCTGCAGGGTGTGAGATGGAAAGACTTTCGTGGAGTGAGTTCCGACAGCATTAGATGCGTACAAAAGGTTGGTCTAGGTTTCTACGTTGGCTACTGTACCTCGTTTCGAGCTACATGATTGTGTTATAGGATTGATTCAAGATGTATATTAGCCTAGGTTACCCTCTTCGCCATCGCTGGTATCCATTACACCGATGCTTCCCGTTGTAGAGATACTTGCACTGTGTGCTGCTGCAGTCTCATTTGACTTTCCGCGCCCATGAACCTTGAACGCGTAGCAGAGTGCAAGCCAGAAGACGCCTCAGGCATCACGATGCAAGCCAATCCTGTTCACGTCTCAATCCTTCTCGCATCTTCGTGGTATTCTTCACATTCGTATTGTGTTTTACAAACGAGAATTAGCTTCAAATTGAAGGACGTATCCCTCGTGTGTCTCTCCCGCGACACCATTGTCTCGGCGTCGGCTATAAATTATTTGTACATAACAATGACCGTCTCCATCTATGGAATAAGGGTATCAGTCTGATCGCCTGACTTTTGCTCGCCGCATTCCCACTCGCCCCTATGTGGGCAGAAATGCAAACCCGATAACTCCAAGTCGTGGAATGCAAATGCTGATAATAAGAGTGTCGAGCCAACTCGTGCGTAGTATCCATTGTCGCCGTATTCGCTCTTCAACCCAGCTTCTCCAGCAACTTCCTCTTCCTTCGCTCAATCAGCTCCTCATTAACTTGCTCCAGCGTCGGCACGTTCCACCGCACGCCATCGCCCGCGTCGCCAGGTAGGTCCTCGAACGGGCGCGGTGTCTTACTCGGCTTCACGCCGAGGTCGTCGCCCAGCGCCAGAAAGTCGTCCCAGGCCTCCTTCTCCTTCGCCCGCTCGTACGCCAACAAGGTTCCATCCTCCTCGTCAAGATTATACCCATAGTACCCCGCATCCACCCGCTGCCTCAGCTCACTCCTCTTCTCCCTCCCCTTCGCCGCACCATCATCATCCTCCGGCCGTGCCTGCCGCTCAAACAGCTCTTTCACACCAGGCAACTCCTTCGCCCGTCCAAAATACCTATACCCCTTGCCACCCCCGGGCACCTCTCTACCCTCCTCGTCCAGCACCCGGCCCCCGCGCATGTAGTTCGGCCCGCCCAAGTTCCGTATCTGACTCTCCCACATGTGCTTCTCGCGCATGAGCTTGTTGATCTCGTCGTTGAGGTCGCGGATCTGGTAGTCTGAGAGCGCGGCGTCTTGGATCTTGGTTACTTTGCGGGAAATTTCTTTGAGGACTTGGCCGCGCCATTTCTCGCACACGGGGATGCCGGTCACGCCCGTGATCAGCTTGGGGCGTCGGGTGCGCGAGATGTCGATGATGCCGGCTTCAGCAGCTTGCGCGGCGCGGAAGCGGAACAGCATCGAGTGCGCCTTTTCGCTGTTTCGGGCCATGGTTGCGGTTGCGAGGTGTGTGTGATTTTGGGTGTGTGCTGTGTTGTAGTGGTATTACGAGGTGGATGGTCGCGCGATCGGGTCGGTGTGTGGTGCGTGGTATCAGGCAGCTAACGCGCTCGCTCTGTCGGGGATGCACGTCTTGCTATTACCCCAGCCAGCAAGCCAGCCTCTTTCCGTCCTGCGCTAAAGCGTAATCGTGTGTGTACAAAAGGTCGCTGCCCGCAGTCGCAGAATGAAAACCAAGTCGTTCGGGGTGCAAGAGAGAATGCGCTGATGTCGGCGGTGACGGCGGGTTAGTGTGGGAAATGCGTGGTGACGACGCGTTGAATGGATGAGAACTTTCGAGCGCGGCGAACCGGGGCAGAATTGTCTTGGCGGGGTGTTTGTTTCATCCATGCGCAAGCGCTTTCCTTGATCCGTCGACGACGCTCTACCGGATTAAGCAAGTGCGTTCATGCAAGGCACCGAACGTCATTTGTTCTAGATTGCAAGTGTGATGTGGCAGTCGTGCACACCCCCTAAGCAAGGCCAAGGTACACAATGGCTGACACAAAAACTGAACTTGGGGATACCTTATCCTGCAAGAACTTACTGTGTAAAACAAAATGGGCACGAAACTGTTGCCTTACAGTCGATTACGATATTTCATCGCCGTAAAGTCCAGGGTTTCCTATCACCCACTGTGCTACAATGTTCATGGATACGCTGGACTCTTTCGTCGGGACTGCGGAATGAATCTCATCAGAGCTTGTGTCTGAATACGAGCAGGCCGGCATCACAGCCAGGAGACATACGCAATTTAGATCTTTCTCATTCGCCGCGACCACTATTATGACACAGGTATCTTTCACAGCAGTCTCCCCTCCCGCCCCTTCAAGACACATACATTAACAATTCCCTCTTCCCCTTGCACCTCTCAAAAGCAATACATGAAAATAAGTGAACGACAGACTCGAAGCGGACAAAACGCTAGAAAGGAAAGAGATTATTGACAGGCTTGCCAGTAGACTAAAAAAGAGTAGCGCAAAACAGACACGATGTAGGAGAATCATCAGTCATGCTTCTTTCCCACAAAGGGGAAGGCAAAAGCGGAAGTCCAGCTCCATCCCCATTCTACCCTCTGAGCCCAGCTCCGGACGACCGAACGCCAGTTCCAGAAGAACAGACTCTGGAATTCCTACTTCCACCGCTGGGAGCCTCGAATTCGAAGCCATACCAAAAGACAGCACCCTAGCACCGAGAGGTGGAGAGATAACGACAAAGGAGACGGGTGCGCAAGACGCTTCTCGGATGGGGGACTTGTAGTGACTATAGGAAACAATTGACTGTCAGTCAACAGGTATAATAGGGTATCGCGCTGCCAAGGAGCAAATACGATGCACCAGATGCCTTCGCGGGATAGTAGAGGTAATCAGCAAGGAGGCTTAACCCGTAGAAGAGTGCTGCCTTTCCAGCTCCGTCTGATTGCGTGACTCATTGCGTGACTCTGTTCGCGACTGGGAACGGGAGCTCACGGAACCAATGAACGAGGGCCTCGAGTGGAAGCTGCCGTGTCGACCTTTGAACGAATGAGCGTGGAGCTGCCCGACGTGATGTTTGCCTATTTATGTTAGCATACGTATGATAGTTATTGCAGCAAGAAACTTACCGTCGCAGCAGGCTCTCACGTCCACCAAGCGGTCTGCGGCACGCTGATTCGACTCGACCAGCTCCCGACTAAGGTCTGCAGCTGAATTGCTCGGCTCCTCGTACGGAACAGCTTCTTGTACACTTGCTTTGCTGAATCTGCTCGAAAACGATCCCCGCATGGCTGAGCTAGAGCGAAGCATAGTACTGAACCTGGCACCAACAGAGCTTTGTTGCCCGGGTTCCGTTGATGCCGATCTTTGGTTTGTAACGTGTGACTGCCTGAGCGTAGGTACCTCAGCATGGTAGGGAGATGAAGTGCGTCGGGAGTTGTATGTCGCATGAGAAGCTCGCGAGCGACCCGTTTGACGTGAGGAACTCCTATATCCTCCATTGAACTCGCTCTGTATCTCATTAGGCTCAGAAGGCTGACCTTCGTCACCATCCTCAGTTCGCTTGAGCAGATAGAGAAGCGCGTTGAACCAGGTCTCGTGGCGCTGGCTGGTGGTCGCCGTAAATTTAATAGTTCGTCCAGGTGAGACGACTACCAAACTCTTGATATGGAGACCTGGAGGCAGAGGGTTATCGTCTGAGACTTCGTGCACCTCCGATATAGCCACACTCTTTGCCTTCAGCTGCGCTCTTCCGGCAGTTTGGGGGTCATGCTCGCTCCAGTACAGGGTGCGTGTGTACGGGTGCACCCAGAAGAAGCGACGGTGACGGGTCTCGGACATGGTCTCGCGTCCTGCCTTCCTTGTGTATTTCCAAAGGAACTCACCACACATGGTCTGCGTAATGGCCTGGATCATGCGCGGGTCTGTCATGCTCGGATCCAGACCAGTCTGGCTGAAAGTCATGCCTGCAGGTATGTTGAAACGGTGATCGATCTCAGAGCTGAATGATGACATTGAAGATCGGCGGGTGACAGGTGAAGTAGCGCCGCTCCGGGTCTGTGAGTTATGCCTGGGCCGTGGCGTGGTAGCGCCAGCTCTGGGGCTCGTAGCGATGGCTTTCGTCCTGATCGACGGGGTCGATGGTCGGTTCTTGTACGCAGAGGCCGGCATAATGGGCGGCCCCATGGTGCCTGTTGCGTTCGGAGTGGTAGGAGTCAACAGCGGTGGCGGCGACTTCAGAGCAGCTGCGGCAATGACTTGCTTGTGATCTGCTGGGAGAGGTGGAGGAGTGCCAGTGCGCGAGCGCATGCTCGAGGAGCTTCCTGGGCGTCGAGGAGCACGACCAACTTCGTTCGAATTGCGCCTGCTAGGGGATGCAGGCGGTGACACGGCCTTCTCAACGCCAGCCCCGGCAATGGTGCCAGAGTAGCGCTGGCTGCGTGCAAGGAGGAGCCTATCTATTTGCTCTGCAGATACCATTGTCTGGGTCCCCTCATCAGAAGTTGCACCAAGTGATTGCTTGGGGAAGGGGTAGCCATCCTCAAGACTGCGCTCTCTGGGCACATTCGACGATATCTGGCCCAACGGTACGCGGCCGTCCTTGCTGATTGGCCGCTGTTCTTGGGCAATTTCGGTCTGAGCTCCAGAGGATGAAGTGATGATTGGTATCGGAATCGCGCGATGAGCGGTCTGCGGCCTTGAGGGAATTTCTGGTTCAGTCTCATTGGCCACAATAGTCGAGAACGATATCGTGGGAGGTACGCGATTGGCAGTCGATGGTCTGCTTGGGCTTGGAAGGAATTCGGGCAACGTTGGCGACTCTGGCTGTGTGTTGTGCAGTATAGTGACGTCTGAGAACTGATGCTCAGGTAGAACAACTTCACGTGCGTTGACAGGCTCCGTGTGCTGAGTGGCTATCGCTCCGACATCCCATAGTCGGCGTTCTGGCTCATAAGGAGCAGTCGTCTGGTGAGTTACGACAGACAACTGTGGCGGAGATGGCTGCGGCAATTGCACCGGTTCAGTAGCCAGAGACCAGTGTTGCGATAATGCGGAGGCCGCAGCTGCTGAGGGTTCCGTGACTTGGTGTGATACCGAAGAGAATTGAGACGGCATCCGCTCTGGTGCAGCTGGTTCCGTATGTTGCTGGAACAAGGACGAGATGCTTGATGGCGGCGGTCGCGATGCCATCGGCACCGTCGCTTGCTGCGCAACAGGAGCAAATTGTGATGGAGCAGGACGAGGTACATCTTGGGGAGCAGTGGTTTGAGCAGCAACCGTTGACAGCTGCGATGGCGCAGGTCGCGGAGACTCGACTGGGACGGTGCCTTGAGAGAACAGTCCAGACAAGCTCAAAGGAGGTAATTGTGGTGCTTCGGTTGGAATAGAGTGTTGGCTCGATAGCGATGACAAGCCTATTGGGACTTGAGGTTTCTCCTCTACATGTGCCTCCCTTGAGCTGATCTCATGGCTTTCCATGGATTCCGTCGCTTGCGTCGAATAGGACGAGGCAAGTGATGACACTGCGAACGATCCGCTCGAGGAGCGAGACTCAACTGGCTCCGTCGCTTGTCTAGAAATAGATGACACACCGAACACCGCGGGAGCAGCTCGTGCCACGACAGGTGACGTTGGTTCCGTTCCTTGAACCGCAAATGATGACATATTGAGCGATGGCGGTGAAGGGGACTCCGGCACAGTTCCGTGGCCCGACACATTAGACATGAAGAGCGAAGGTGGTGAAGGAGACTGAGGCACAGTACCTTGGCTCGATACGTTAGACATGTAGAGCGAGGGCGGGAGAGCCGATTGGGGCGTAGTATCTTGCGCGGAAACAGAAGACACCTGCAACGGAGTGGGAGCATTAAAGCGAGGAACGGTGTTCTGTTCAGACAGAAGAGAGAGCTGCAATGGTGTAATCGCAGCCTCACGTGGATCTGTCCCTTGCGCGACCATACGTGATATGCCCAGGGAGGGAGCAGGTACCGTGTGTGGCGTCGTGTCTTGAGTTGCAAGCGTAGACATGGAGAATGATGGAAGGGTTGCCGACTGCGGTGTTGTACCTTGAGTAGCATACGTTGACAGCTCCAGCGAAGGGACCGGTGCAGATCGTGGCTCTGTGCCCTGCGTTGCAAGACCCGACATAGTGAAAGACGGGAGAACTGCGCTTTGGGGCTCGGTATGTTGCACCGCTATGGAGGAAACATTGCTGGCCTCGATCGGACGAGGTGGGCTCCACGGCTCTGTCATCATGCCAGAATCAACCATTGGCGGTCTAGACATTGTGACAGCCTGCAAAGGCGAACTGCGAAGAGCGGACCTCCTGAAGGCTTCTGGAGAAGACTCTGGGGACAGCATACTGGAACGAGTTGGCGTGCCTTCCGCGGCGCTACCATCATCACTTTCTCCTCCGCTTAGAGCGTCCAACTCAGCAAACAAGCTCCTTCCTTGAGCGGGGGTGCTATTGTTGCTGCCATGGGCGAGACTTGCAGGCGAGCCTCTCACTGCAGGAGACGAGTCCTGGAACATTTCTTGGCTTCCTCGAGTCGTGGGCCGACGGTTCGAACCCTGGCGAACCTTCCTGAAGCGAGAACTTTGAGGCTGCACAGGCGTCCTCATCTCTCTGTCGTCCCATTCATCACCGGAGGTAGAAGCCGTGCTCTCGTACGAGTCGTGATGTGCCATTGCCAGGGATGATGGTCGTTGTCGGATTGTCCCCGTGGCTGGCCCGGCCTCAGTCTCTGTAAGATCATCGCTGCTGTCGCCATCAAGCGTCTCTGCTCCGGTCTGGAAAGCATCAGTCTCTGTCGTGGTTCCATCACGCTCGTTAGCGGTCTCGAACGCGGCATCAGAGGTCTCATTGGCCGTCTCAAAGCCCTCGTTAGCACTGGTCTCCGCAGCAGAACTAAAGCCTCCCCAGGCGCCAGGCACCGACTCGACTGGTCGAGGTGCTCTGCTTGGCGTGGGAGGTACACCATCGTGCTCTTCCCACTCATCGTCATCCAAGGCCACAATCTCTTGGCTTCCGTGTCGAAGGGCGCCGAGGCGGTCAGGTCTTGCAGGCTTTTTGAAAACGTCCTTATCGTTCTTCCTGCGCTTGCTAGCACTGCCGGGTCCAGGTAGAGCATTGCGGTTGGACTCAAGCTCATCACGGGCATCCTGAAGCATTCGCTTGAGCTCAATTTTTTCGGTCTTCTCGCGATGGATGTTGTTCTTGAGCTGTTGGATCATACGGTGAGCATGGTGCAGAGAGTGCTTGAGGGTTTCAGATTCGAGTTGTCCATGACGAGGGGTAGGCTTGATTGGCGATGGAGGAGGTGAGTGTTCAGGCGTGATGGTGTTGCCACCGTCTGGATTCTCATCCGGAGAGGTGTCTTCGGCAGAACCTTGCTCTTCCGCACGCAGGCGGTGCTGGACAGCTCGTGCGAGTTCATGATTCTGTGTAGCCAACTCCTCCATTTTGCGCTGAAGAGCTCCACGTTCCGTCTCTCCCATGCTGACATTTCGTCGCAAGCCTGAGAGTTCGGTCTCATGTTGTTTGACCTTGAGAAGATGGTCGTCGTTAATCTTCGAGTACATCTGCTTCAGCTCTTCAAACTCTCGCTCAAGTGTTGCCTTCTCAGACCTAGCGAGGTTGAGAGTGTGGTTCAGGCGCTGCTCTCTATCCGTAGCTGCTTTGGTCTGGGTTTCAAAGTCGCGCAGCTGGGTTTCCAAGTTCCAATTCACGTCCTTGAGCCTGGACTCGCTCTCATCGAGAGTCCGCATGCGCTGCGAGAGTCCTTCAACCTCGATCTCTAGCTGTGACCTGTCCAGATTGGCGGCCTTCAGGGCCTCATCTTTCTCGAGCAGTACAGCTTGCAGGTCTTTCAACTGCGCAAGAAGCGAGGTGGAGATCTCGGTAGCTAGAGCAATGTCATTGATCCGGCTGGGCTGCTGATTTCTTTGCTTGCGGGACGGAATGCTGATCTTTGTCGGAGACTGGTGTCCTTCGCTGATGAACTCGGAAGCACCTGTGGCCGTGTTCGCCTCTCCACTTGGCACCCTGGACTTCGGCAAGAACGCGCGAGCCGTCTCCCTGCCGACCTCATTGAATTCCTTCTCCAGCTCAATCAGTTTCTCGCGAAGCTCCGGACCGATATCGTTGGCCTGTTTCTGTTCTGCTACCTCCCGTAGCCGATCCTCTAACTCCTTCCTCTGTTGAACGAGTGCATTGCCCAAATGTGACGTCTCCTGTAGTCGGCGTGTCGTTTCCGCGAGATGGGCTTGCAGTGCCCGCTCTGCTTGCGCGGGCGAGCCGCTCACGTATAGCGACGAGTTGTCGAAGGCGGCATATCTTTGCCTATGGGCATCGTGCGAGCCCGTGACGAAGGGATCCGCGCCGTTGGGTTCCTCGACGGCGAAGGCGCCGTGGGAGGGGTTTGCTGTCGCCATTAGTAGTCCTGGAAGTCCCGCGCTTAGTGGCCCATCGCCCGAAGTGCGGATGGCCACTCAGCTAGGGAGCGGGGGTCCTGAACGATGGCCGGTCCGGGCAAGCAAACGATAAATGTGGCCGGCTCGGGGGCAGCAAAGAGAAGACAAGGTGCGGACTCGGTGGAGGCGAAAGTGATTGAAGCTGTCGCTGCTGCAGCAGGACCCTCGGCGAAGTGAGAGACGTGGGTAAAGGCGAAGGAGTGTAGGTCGGTTGATTTGCTTGGCCGGGTGCGACGCGCAGGGCAGGGGCAGCCGACACCGCGGTTGCTGGAGGAGCACTGGAACGCGTCGATGTCACACGAAGACGGACGACTGGAACCGCGTCCCCCGCAGCGCTTAAGCAGGCAAGGAGAGAAAGGAACGGCAAAGGGCAAGGCAAAGGCAGAGCAGCGGCAGAATCAGCGCGGAACGGGTGTTGTTTTGCATGAGAGATGAGGGTCTGTGCTTGATTCGCAAGGTCCAGCAGCTCCACCGAAACATCCCGCCGACGCAACATCAATTGGCTCTCGGCGATTTGTGTGCACGCTCGATGACTGGGCTACTCGCGGGGTGCTACGCCATACGCCTGTTCCAACGCGCTTTGGAGGAGTGGCTGCCCTTTCGCGCTGCTATTATTGGCATGGCGCCTTCAACAACAAACAACAACCGCGTATACACGAACTAGCCGATGACTCCACTCTTCACGCGATCACGATGAACAACCTGGAAAGGGGCCGCCACGCCCTCATCCTGGGGTTCCTGGCAAGGTGTCAACAAGGCGAACAGCACCATCTGCCTGCCCGTTGTCGTCTGGGCCGAGACACGTCAACGCCACTGACAGGCCGCCCAACGTTCAAAGGCTCATGCACTAGAAGCAATTACTGCCATGATTCGGAACGGGTTGAGTAGCAGCCCTTGTCAGCACGTCTCACTCGAGTAGACAACCACGTAGATGCTCTGTGTACAAACAGCCCACTAGAAGGTACCACACAGGCGGGAATCCTGGTTACCAACGGTAGGCGGCAGATCGGCGGAGCAGGAGGGCTGACGCCACAATCATCACGTGATGGGATTTGTCAGCTGTGGCTCGAACTTTCCATAGTTGTGGTCGCGACGAACTGCTAAGCTGCATGGCAATTGCGCATCCCCTGCCAACACACACCACATTATGGCCGACACAGAAGTACCGGTCGTCAAATTCAAGAAGCGTGGGGCAAAGGCTGCACCAAGAAAAGCCGCGCCCCCGCCGCCGCGATCAGACTCCGATTCTTCAGACTCGGATGGCGAAGGCGACGACGGCCGCGTCGTGAAGAGGCGGAAGGTCAACGAACATGCCCTCAAGGCCTCGACAGCAGACCAACAAACTCCCAGGACTGCTCTTGAAGGCACAACAAAGTACGAAGCCAACCGCGCCGCTGTAATCGAAGCCACCGACGATGCCACCAAAGCGTCCAACTGGTACGAAAACGACCACGCAAGCGATGCGCTCAGTTCCAAGAGCCTCCTCGGCAGCACACGAATACTCGCGAAGCCCCAGTCATTAATCGAGAAGGATGCGAATGCGCCGGAGCGCAAAGTAGGGCCGCAAAAGTCGTCGTCAAACGTCCGTACCATCACCATGGTGGACTACACACCGGACGTGTGCAAGGATTACAAACAAACTGGTTTCTGCGGCTTTGGCGACGGCTGCAAGTTTCTGCACGCTCGTGAGGACTATGCCGCGGGGTGGAAGCTGGATAAAGAGTGGGAAACATCAAACAAAGGCAAAAAGCCTGGCGGCACTGTCGTAGCGTCGGCGAATCGCGACGGCAAGAAAGACGAAGATGGCATCGATCTGTCAATGCTGGAAAAGATACCGTTTGCCTGCATTATCTGCAAGCAGCCCTACAAGAGCCCTATCATTACGAAATGCGGTCATTACTTCTGTGAAGCTTGCGCGCTGAAGCGCTATCGAAAGGATCCTACGTGCGCAAACTGCAGTGCAAAGACATATGGCGTCTTCAACGGAGCGAAGAACCTGCAGAAATTGCTTGCGAAGAAACAGGAATGGGAGGACAAAAAGAAGGCAGAGGCAGAAGCAGAGGCAGCGGAGAAGGGTGAAGGTGGTGGCTGAAATACCCAGGCAATACGCGCTCATAAAAATACGAGAAGCAGTAAGTAGCACTGCGATATCTGCAACAGCGAGAGAGAATTGTGGTTTCTCTCACCCAGCGCTGCACACCCAAAAGGGAATCACGCTTGTCAGTTCTCAGGAGTGTGCCTGTTGGATCGACTGCGCTCTCCAACACTCAGGCCTATAAGAAGTTTTGAAGGATGACATTGTATTAGAGAGCTAGCAAGGCCTGACTCTCAATCTATGAATGTGAAAGGAAATTTTAGTAGTACTGTTCGACTTGCTACAGCCGCTCCCGTAAAGCTCTCGTACATTTATGTATATGCAATAGTCCACAAAACTAGCCTTGATCGTGTCTGAGACATTTACATCGCAGTCAGACAGGTACTACGTGAAACCGAACGAATGTTTCTAAGCCTGTCACGCGAGTTCGCGTTGCTGGGTACGCGTGAACGTCATCCGCACGCGAGTCATGCCACCGGTGCCAGCTCCGCCATCCTTCCGTGGATCGTAATTTCCACCTGCGACTCCCCCTCGTTTCACTCGTCAGCCGCATCTCGACCGGGTTCTGTACCTGAATCCGTATTCTTTTCCAGTTGATATTCTAGCACTTGCTTCCGCCTCAATGTTCTTCGGCTGCCCCGCATCCGCTAGATAAAATTGTGCCCTCGCCTATTGGGCATCGCCAGACCTCAACAACACGCGTAGACTGTGGCCCACCTTATCGTTGAATCATCACCATACCACCGTTGCGTGATCATAACTTTCACTTCAACTTTCAATCCTCCTCCAGCGTTTCGTGCAAGCTTTCTAGAGTATCATTCCAGCTCTCCATGACTGATCACGCTATTTGCCGGGCTCGTCTGCTTTCGGACTTGTCTGCACAGACACCTTGCGATAAAGAAGCGACTTCGTCCGACGGCCGTCTTTGCGCCTTCCACGCTCGGCAATGCCAGGCCATGTATCGTGGCTACAAGAAGCGCAACGAGGAGCTTGATAGAATCGCCGAGAACCAGCCGCCCTACCTTGCCAACAACAAGACCTCCATTGTCGTGCAAGAATTCAAAGACGTCGAAGATGAGGCCACTTTGCAGGGACTCCACGAGTATTTGTTCAACAAGTATGTCATACTCGAGAAGGTTATCAAGGCTCGCAAGCTTCACCACAGTCACTTCTACGCTGTCGATATGGATTATGGTCATGAGAAGTACCTGACAAAGCTTCTTAATGATAAACACGTCATGTCCAGGGCTTTGGAGCGCCTCGGTAAAAGAGGTGCCGAAATTGTGCACCAAAAGAAAGAGTGGCTCGGATGGGTGAAGAAACGCCAGGAGGAAGAAGAGAGCCATCGTGAGAACGAGAGCAAGAAGGTCAAGCTGGAGGCTCTGTTGCTCAAGCGCCACCAGAAAGAACTCCAACGTCAGCAGCAGGAGGCAACAGCGAAGGAGCAAAAGCAACGCGAGGAAGAGTACCTCAATGGAGTACTCAAACAGCGTCTGTCCGAAATGACCGAAGAGGAACAAGATGACTGGGATCCAGTTCAGGACGTCTTCGGCTACGAACGGGCTAACTATGTTGACCTGATTAAATTCTTCTTGATGCTTCAAGATCAGGATATCTTGACTACATCAGATGAGAAAAATAGCCCTCCTCCAGCCGTTGCTCCCAATGTTTCCGAACCTGAGAAGGAGAAGCCCCTGTCCAAGAGCGCAAAGAAAAGAGCCAAGAAGGCGAACATGGAGCAGAAGAAGCTCGAAACCCCCACGGGCCAGTCTTCTGATGATAAGGGACCGAAGACAATCGAAATGGAGGCCAAGCGCCAAATGCGAGAGAGGCTGTGTAAGCCTGTCAAGCATGAGCGACCCATGGGATTCTACCTATCATCACCTGGGGGGCCTGCAGGTTTCCACGCGGAGACAAAGGCCATTCCTGAAGATGAGCTGGATAAATTACTTGAAGAGGTCGCTGAGATCAAGCATCTGCTCTTTTGTCGGCTCCTGTTGTCTCATGCCACTCTGTTACCAATTGCCCTTCGATCGGACAGCATTGAAGACTTCCTGGCCGACGACGATGTCACTCGAGAGCACTTGCGTGACTTGTGCTTGAAGCTTGAGCGCCCGGGCCTGCAAGATGTTCGTGATGCCTGTGCTGATCTTGTGCGCGGAGAAGATGAAACAGCTGAATACACCGGCGCAAAGGGGTCGGAAGAGGACGATGAAGACAACAAGAAAGGCAAGATTCCAGACAAATACGCTCTCAGGTTCCGCGACAAATCACGTCTCCCAGAGAAGTACATGACGAAACGCGAGAAAGCTGCTAAGAGTGCCAAGATCGAACAAAAGATGTTCGGCCAGCAAAAGCCTATGAAAGATGCCATAGTTGAGTTTGACGACGACATAGATGAGACTGGCTACGAACGCAGACAAACACGCATCAAGGTCTGCGGTCGCTATATGTACAACTACCCGTCGGAGAAGGCTCTCCCTCGTGGTGGATGGTACCACTTCTCTGTCATTGCGAAGGACTCTAGCTTGTTTGATGCTATAGAGCTCTGTCGTAACTGGAATGAGTTCTTTGAGCTCAACATCCTCGCTATGTATCACTACTTCCCAGCGCCCAAGTGGACGAGGTTTGTGGGCGACATTATGCGTCAGCAGCTGCTACAACTCGGGTTCATACCATACTTTGTGAGCGAACACGCGGAGAAAGTCACCCACTACTTCCAAACTGGTTCTCGTGGCATGGGTACGTGTATATGCAAAGTAGATCGGTGGACCTTTCTAACCTATGACTTAATATAGCCCGCCGTTCTCACCAATTCACTGAGATGAGGAATTTCATCTGTGGTAACGTGAAACGGGACGATCCCGTCAGCCGACGCTTTATTCAGTATTTGTCCATGGAGACGTGGGAGATCCGCGCTCTCGTCCGTGACCGAAAGACGGGCAAAATCCTCGTCCGACCTCCAGAGGAGGAGTTCTGGCTTCTCCGCGAGAAGGCTGGCTGGGGCCGTGCTAGCAAGAACGAGTTCGAGAATATTATCGAGATCGGGCCTGAGTTCTTTGAAACCGTGGAGAACTCCAGAAAATGGCATTTCGGCTTCGACGAATATTATGACGTCTACATTTGGGATACTGCGCCTGGCAGACCATACTTCGTACTGCAGCGCAGGGTCGAAGAGGTGAGCGAAGTTGTGCTTGGCATGCATTGGCCCGTACAAGATGCAGCAAAAGCACCGAATGCTGACTGCTACAGATCTTGTCTCGTGCTATCCGCGTCAAGGAAGTAAAGGATATGTTCAAAGTCTGCGCGCCCATCTTTGAAACGATTACCATGGAAAAAGAGACCTCAAGAGTGCGCTCGATCAAACCTGGGGAAGAGGTCGAAAGCATGTGGGACCGCATAGAAGCCAATGCCCATGCGTTCCAGTACAATCCCCACCAAAAGACCCCTCAGGATTTGAAAATAGGGATCGATCAAACATTCGTCTACACCGAGGCGGACGAGATCGAGGATTCCATTCTCTTTCCTGAAGAGGGGACTGGCGAGATGAAGGACAACGTATTCCGAGCGAATCCCAGCTTATTGGAAATGTTCGAGAAGAAGCCCACCATTGATCTTCGACGCTTTGCGAGGGATCTTGATTCCGATGAAGAACTTTCGGAGAAGGACTGTTTCGGTGAATCTGATGAGGACTTGGAAGCGGTGGATGATGACGGTGATGAGGCGTGGGAAACGGAAACAGACGAAGAGGACAATGAGTCCGAAGGTGACTTCACTCACTCTTTCGCAAACACAGCAGATGTAGAGACTGCGATGGAGGCCTTGGAGGACCGATTCAGGTCTCAGACCATATACACGAAAGGTGAGTTTCAGCTGTTTCGAAGCCAAGCAGGAACGCCGGACATCCTGTTGTAAACGCTGCTAATTTTTACTCGATCGCTTAGGCGAACCTGACTACTTCCTGTCCATCTTCAAAAGTCCGACCTTTGCACACTACATACCGGAATCCATCAGGTCCCACCCTCCGGACCTGATGGCAACAATGCGTCTGAGCATGAGACGAGTCAAGGAATATAGAGATGATGAAGGGTCGATCGAAGCAGATTTCATGAGCATGCTTGACCGTGAGAAGTCAAAGGTAAGAGAACACTTGACCAAGAGCTTGTAGTATGTAGACTTACCAGCTCCAAGGTATTCAAACACAGCTGGCACCAAGGCGACCTTTCGCACAATGCTATGAGAAAAGAGATCCATTGGCGAGTGATGGCGTCCGTTATGGACGACATTATCATGACCAGCCTCAACTCCGGACCTTTCGAGCTCTGCAAGTTCATGGAAATGGCGCCTCTCTTCACCCAAGAACGACGAATCGTGGACGATGCCTTCAACGCCTACGCCGCCGTTGCCCTCTTCTTTGACACCCAAACCTTGCTCTCCTCGGAAGAAGGCCAGGTCTTCAAAGACTCCAACCTCATCGACCAAGTCGAACGCGCCAAGCACGTCCCCGACCGCCGCACCCACAGATCCAACAAAACCATGCCCAAGTCCTTCTGGGAAGCCTGGGACACGCTCCGGCGCGACCACGACCGCACCGAAGACGACCCGACCTACGACATCATGCCGCTCTCCTGGCGCAAAGCGCTACGCACCGCCATAATCCGCCTCTTCAAAGTCGGCATCATCCAGAACTCCTATACCGAGGGCGCAGACGGGTACGCCATTGCCGCCGCGGAGCCCGGCCGCCCGCACGACCTCTACATCGACTGGCGCACGAACATGCCCCTCGCGCAGGCCCTCAGCCACCTCGTGGACCCCACGCCGTTCGACCGCGTCTACCTCCTCGACAAGGCCCGCGCGTTCAAGGAAAAGCATCCAGGTGCGTGCTTCTCAGCGCTGAGAATGTGGTCCGCACCACACTTCTACCCGCTCATGCTCGGCATCGGGAATAGGAAAGAGGTCGCCTTCCTCGACGACCGCGAGCGCCGCTGGGAATTCAAGTTCATCCCCAAGGACATGCCGTGTAGCGAGTGGAGCGTGCACCAGCAGCTGAGTTCGCGAGTGGAACCATATCGCAGGATGCTGAAGAAGGAGCAGGTCATCGTGGCGCGCGATTTGATTCTCGTGATGGGGAGGGACAGGAAGGAGTGTAGGAGGCTGAGCGAGGGGGTAACGTGGGCGGTCACGACGAGGCCGTGGAGACTGGAGATTGATTTCTGGAGGAGCTTTGTTGGGGTGGATCTAGAGTTCTTGGAGGGGTTGGATGAGAAGTGGTTGGAGTAGTGGTGGTGGGCAGGGTTTGGGTGGTGCATTGAGGACTTGAGAAATTGGGTACCATCAGGAAGGTGGGACAAGGAGTTTGAATCATCCAACTACATGTGCATTTTTCTGGTCAATCGGTTCAAGATGTGAGGCTCACGCCGAAGTACGACCGTGCAAACGTCAAATATGGATCTGATTGCAGTTACGCGAGAGTATAAGACCTCACCAACCCAGTCTGCACGAACGGCAAGTTTCCTCTTTCCACCCGTCTCAAAATTATTTCAGGGTTCCAGACTGGCCGGCCCACAACACCGTTCGCCCCTTCCCGATGCCCTTTTTCCCGAGCGCTAGGTCGCGCCGTCGCCCCAGGCTGGCGAAGCCTGGTCTAAAACCTCGAAAATGACATCAGACAAGGGTCTCTGCCAACGTTGCCAGCACTGGTGCCAGAACTACGCAGCCATGGCCTGAACGTATATGTATAACTGTGCGTCCGCTGTCGGGAAACTGGCTTGGCCACATAAAAAGAAGAAAAAATGCACTTCGAGGACAGAACCGTGAGGGATAGTGATGGCAGGGCGAGCGCGCCGGGGGAGGAGGGTACACCGCCAGTGAAAGTTGGGCTTAGGGATAGGATTGCGCATTTCACTTGGTGAGTGTGATGTGGTCATCAACTCGGAAAAGGCAGAAGCTAACAGACGATGCGCAGGCCATGGTAAGCACCGCAACTCGGGCCCCTGGGACAGACATGTCTGACTGCTCCCCCACAGGTTCGCGTGCACAATGTCGACCGGCGCCATCGCCGTCGTGTTGGCAAACACCCCAAACACCTTCCCCGGCCTCATGACCATCGGCAAAATCTTCTACATCACTAACCTAATCCTTTTCGTCTTGTTCACCGCACTGATAACAACGCGCTTCATTCTCGTGCCCGCAAAACTCGTCGCCTCGCTACTACACCCAGTGGAAGGCCTCTTCTTCGGCGCGTACTGGGTCACCGTCAGTCTGATCCTGAACGGCGCGCAGAGCTACGGCGTTCCAGCCAGCGGACCGTGGCTCGTCAAAGCGCTCGAGATATGCTACTGGACGTACTGCGGCGTGGTCTTTGTCGTGGGTGTAGGACAGTACTACGTCTTCTTCCAGAGCGTGAAGCTGAACATGCACGACGCGGTGCCGGCGTGGATCTTTCCCATCTACCCGCTCCTTGTCGTCGGGACGATGGCGGGGACGATGATACCCAGCCAGCCGACGGACCGAGGGTGGTATATGTGTACGTCAACGTCTCGAAATGATGGATTCCACCATGAATGTGACAGCGCTAATCAGCCGCAGGGGTCGGAGCGGTGGCTTTCCAAGGTCTGGCCTGGGTCGTCGCACTCCTCATGTACTCGCTGTACACGCAGCGTCTCATGACCAGCGAACTACCCTCGCCCTCCACACGCCCAGGCATGTACGTCTCCGTCGGGCCCGCAGGGTACACGGCGGCGGGCCTCATCTCGCTCGCCACGCAAGCCTCCACTGTCGTACCCGGTTCCCAGTTCACGCAGCTTGCGCTCCCGGACGGCGATCTCATCAAGAACCTGGGCATCCTCGCCGGCTTGTTCATCATCCTGTTTGCCTTCTGGTTTTGCTGCATTTCAACGGTTGCGGTGCTCGCGGGTGTGCGCCAGATGTCTTTTACACTGAACTGGTGGGCGTTCATTTTTCCGAATGCTGGACTAACGCTGGCGACGATCCAGATTGCGGGGGCGCTGAACAGTGACGGAATACGAGGCGTGGCCAGCGCACTGACGATAGTGCTTGTGATGCTGTGGCTGCTGGTGGCGGTGCTCTGTATTAAGGCGGTGTACATGGGGGAGTTGCTGTGGCCTGGGAAAGACGAGGACAAGACCATGAAGGGAATCCGCTGGGGGAGAAATGGCGCGTTTCCGGAATATAATGCCGAGGCGCAGAAGGAGAGGGAAGACTAGAGACTGGGTTTTGTCGCGATGTCTTCGTTTGATTATCTCTAATGATGATACCCGGACTTTGAATCATCTACTATCTCTATCAGTTCCTCGACGATTGCGGCAATGCGTGCATTAGTCACCTAGGTACACAATTCATGTCGCCTCTACGATCAGCAAGCCCTAATACCCAGCCGTAAGGCAAACGCTTTGAATTACGATGTCTCAGTGACCAAAGAAGAAGGTGCATTGCGCTGTACAACCAATGATGACCCCATATCGCTTTAGTATTAGGGTCTAGGAATCGGAAGACAACCATTACCATCATGATATTATGATCTTCTGACGCCTTAGAAGACTACTAAGCTGAAATTTATGATTTTGTTTCCAGCTTCAGGTTCGCGTTTGTTACACGGATAATCCGTTTGCCACTGGTAATTTACCATCGGCGGAAGACATGATGGGATCGCCTTTGTAGAGGGGTACATAGTCGCCTCACAACCGGACTCGCAGATATCCATGTCCCATGGCCGAATCTTTCTTGAAGATGGACTGCGGGCGCAGGTATTCTTTCCGAGTTGCTGGGATAGAAAGAACTTGGACTCGCCTGATCACCGGTGGGTTTGCCTCAGTTTTTGCTGGTAGTAGCGTTAGAGAACGGAGGTGACGAGTCGCACAGATCGCACATGTCGTATTTCAACAGCACAGAGTACAACACGGGTGTCTGCCCCTCGACGCACCCCAATCACACCATCTCCCTCTTCTATGAAGTACTCTACGACATAAACAGGTTCGCGGACATGTGGTACAACATGTCGTCAGGATCCAATTATCAGCCGTTTGTCTTTTCTAACGGCGATACCACCGGCTACGGTTTCCATGCGGCTTTCGTGAACCGGTGGGCGGTCGACGTGTTGCAGCGCGCGACGACAATGTGTACGAGCGACTCTGGAAACGTGGAGGACTGCGGTAAAGTCACGCAGTACAGCTACGACGAGTGCAATGCGTGCAAGCTGCCTTTGGCCGTCGACGAGAAGACCGATGGATGGGTGGATAAGCTGCTGGGTTGCAATCCCGTAAGCTATGGTCCAGGACCTGCTACAGGGCCGACAGACTGTCCGCCGTCTGCAGGGCACGGGCCGCCGGTGAAGAACTACGTCGACTTGACTACGTCTCGAGGGTGGAGATATGCATGATGTGCGTCCGACAGCGTGAGCAATCGTATGCTGCCCTTTTACTATCCGTCATCCAACCTGACGATTGAGACATGCGTCGACTTCTGCACGGATCCGTCACAAGGGGGAAGTGGATTCAGACATGCGGGAATGGAGCATGACGGGGAATGCTTCTGTGGAGACCAACTGGAGGCTGAGAGAGCGCCGAAGTCTAGCATCTATGGAGGTTGCAGCATGAGGTGTCAGGGAACGAGACGCAGACGTGTGGGGGGCCGAATGCGCCGAGCCTGTATGAAAAGTGCAGTGGGAGTGGGTGCTGGAATTTTGAGTTTGTGCAGTTTCCGCGGACGTAGACTGTCGAAGAGGGATGCATGTCAAGCTCCAGCTCTTGCTTTAGGTTTGAACATGGGAAGGTGCCAGGTTCTTGGCTGGGCTGTAGGAAGGCGCGTTGGTTGTTTGGGCAGCTGCGTGGAAGTCTCGACCCTCACTACTAGTCCATGGCATGATCAGCATTACGACGCTGCGCTCCATCACCGACTTGGTAAACTGCTATGCTAGGGTGGCCCCTCGTTCATAAGCCCTGTGACGCACCTTGAGTGGAATCAATCTGCGTGGAATCACTCTGCGATACCATGACGAAGTCTAGATTGTATTGAGAGGCGAGTCCGCGCAGAACCCTTGGCGTGAGAGTGCACCATCCTCCGCAATGCCATCTCAACGTTGTTGCAGAGCATCGATGCCGTCACGCCATTCGCCCTACAGGTCCCAACAGTGCGCATCTCCGAGCGATTGCATGCTGCAGACCGGTCGGTCGCACAGCAGCAAGGTGCTTCATCGAATCGCCCTTGGCAGGAACACGCAGGAGCGGAGAGATGGGGTGGAACAGATGAGCTACAGCGGGTGGCTGATCGGTGCATGGGAAGCCGGGTAGCTGCTGCGGAGCGGCTGTGGCATGTGAACAGCAGCAGCAGGGTGTTTAGCCGGGTCGACGGAGCGGTGAGCACAGGATGAATGGCAGCTGTGCCGTCTATTGCGCGTCATTGGCGATGCATGGAGGCGTGGAGGGGATGCACGACGCTGCTGCCGTTGCTCCCGGCCGTCGTCGGTTTCCATGGCGAAAGCGCGTCCAGGACACTGCAAGCAACTGCGTCTTCTCCAACGCCCCACCTTAGTCAGCGCTGGTCCCCCACTACGGCGCAGCGTGCAGCAAGGCGAGGCCGCGGTGCATCGAGCGCCGGCTTTGACCGGTGCTAGGGTGGTTCGACAAAACAAGACCTCTCGTGCGCACCTGAGCCCCTCGATCCGCCATCGTCTGCCGTTGTCCTGCCCTGTTGGGAGCGTTGAAGCTGCGCTGGACCGACGCCTCGAGCCCGCAATTGCGCCACGGCCTCGCCCCGCCAGCCGCCCAGTTCGCCCCACGTGAGGGCTCCCCGGCGCATCCTGTGGCCCTCAGCGCGCAGCATAGTCAGAAGTACCAGGTACGACCACGCAGCCGAGTCCGGTGACCGCCCATTCACCACCACCCTTCCGAATGCGTCCTCCTCGGTACCAGCTCGACAGCGCTGAGGCGGCTGCCTGCCCAAGTCGCCGCCAACGGCAACTGACACGCGCGCAGAACATTGCATCCCAGGCCGACGGCGAGCCCTGCCTGCCGCTGCATACACAACACGTCCCGTGCGATTCGCCGCGCACCCGTCCCGTGATCCCGTCATCCGCCTATCCCTAGGTACCCGCGCAGCAGATGCTGCACGTCGACCCGCGCCTGGCCGAGGTTCCAGGCAGCTCCACGGTCCAACTAGAAAGCCTCGCCCGCAGCATTGACGAGAAGAAGCAGCGCCTCGAGGCCGACATCAATGCCTACATAAAGCAGAAGCAGCACGAGCTGCACGTGTTCCAGCACGAGGTATGCATTTTGGCTGCTCTCTCCTAGCGAGGCGTTGACTGGGCTAACTGGGTTAGCTCATTGCACAGTACCGCGAAATGGAATGCGGCGAGACAAACGACGCCGCGAACAGGTCCGACCGCCATGCCGACTCACACAACACACCAGCGCCTGCAGAAAACCCTCTTCCCTCGCCCGCTCAGTCCCCCGAGCTGACCCCGGAGTCGAAGCGGGAGGAGAAGGCGAAGCGGACAAAGGTACACAAGCGGGAGAAGGAGCTGTTCGGGCTCGTGACGCCCATCTTCTTGCCTCTTCTCGACGCCGGCGAGACCTCCAAAGACAAGGAGAAGAAGAAGCGCCATAAGAAGAAAGAGCCGGCTGACGGCAGCTCACCTCCGAAGCAGGCAAAATCATCATCCTCCTCCACATCTTCATCGTCGTCGGGATATGCCGCAGACACTCAGGGCGAGTCCGGACCATCGAGTAAAAGCAGCGAGAGAATGGAAATTCAAAATGGCAGCAGTAGCTGGGAGCCGCAGAAGGAGAACCAAACCCCGGAGAGTGTGAAGAAATCGAAGCGCCCGGCCATCAAGAAATCCTCGCTGCGAAACAGCGGCGAGAAACGCCGAAGAAAGCGCGTCAGCATAGTCATAGATGGCCAGACCGTCCTCCCAGCGGACCAAATCGCGGAGCCGCAGCTCATGTCCCCCAGCGAGACGACCGCATCCAGCGCCTCCAACTCGACCGCCTCTCTCGAAGACACAATAGACCCACGCCTCATCGGCGGCGATGTCCCACTTGTCCACTCCCCCAACGACGCCGTGCACCACAGCCTCAACCTCCCAGCGCGTCTCCCCAGCAACTCGCCCACCGGCCACACCGGACATACCCTCCCCGACTCACCCCACCACTCACCAATATCCCAATCACCCCCGTCACACGCACACCTCGAATACGAACCCCCACAGTTCACCACACGAACCTATCTCGACCCCTCTCCGCCAAGCGACCCGACCACCATCCCGCGCCACGCCTCGGCAGCACCCATCTACGCCAACGAGCCCGAAGTCGCCAATGAACAAGAAGAAGAGTTCAGCACGTACGTCGGCGGCATCTCCGGCTCAGGCGTCGACGACCTCGACCAGACGGGCAGCCTGGGATACCCCAGCAGTCTGGGCGCGAGCTACATGGAGAGTTACATGCAGAGCCGGCCGCTGAGCGTGCGGATGGCGGCGGCGGAGAAGGCGGGGATGAGTGAGGCGGAGCGGAGGAGGCTGGTGAATGGGCGGGAGAGGGAGCGGGAGGAGCAAGAAAGAGTGAGAGAGGAGCAGAGGAGGCAGGAACGGAGGGATGATGATGATATGGATATTATTGGGAGTATGGAGGACTTTTGAGCGATTGTGAGTGGAGGTGGACCTTTACACCAAGAGTCAAGATGAATCGAATCGACCAAGAAAACGCTGCGCTACCAGGCGTAGAGCGACTACCCAGGGGGCACGACAGAGAAGAAAAGGAAAAACTGGTACATGACTGGGTGGCTTTCTGTGCTACATTGTGCTTTTGTGCATATGCGTGGGTTTGGGTGGACTCTTTCTGATACGTGTATGCTTTCGCAGCACTTTTCCGTCACGCGCCGTTTTGCGTTTGCGCATGTACATAGCAGATTGAGAGAAGAGCAAGGAGAAATGAGGAATGATAATACGTTACGTCGAGTCGCGTTGGTCACCACGAGCACGAGTCATCGAACGGTCAGACAGGCAGAAGACACAGAAGAGCCTGGGAATGGAAAGGCACTCTGGCCTTGATCTATCTATCTCATGCAGCTGCGGATGCGGGTATCGCCCTCTCGTCCCCTCACGAGGGACAGGGATAAACAACGTTTTGGTTCTGCATCCAAAACGCGACTACGGCTGCCGTCCGTGGCAGCTCGCGTAAACGCCTTCACGAAGTGAGTATCCGTCCGTCCAACCCGTAACAATGCTGTCGAAACGCTCATGTCGCAACGTACCCAAAGCCCTCCATTTTGCTATCCCGCGGTGTCGTCTCAGCGCGCCACCGCCATGCATCCAACGTAATAACTTTCCAATTCATCACTCGTGCCGCCGCGGCCTAGGCTCCTACGCCTGCCCCAGCGGCGCGCCCATGTTCATGCGCGGCTTTTTCAACAGCACCCCATCCACCACGTCCTTGGCCGAACTCCTCCTCCGGTTCTCCTTGGTCTGCGCAGCAGGCGGCGCTGCATCGTCCTCGTGGGTCTCGTCCTCGGGCTCCGCCGAGTCGCTGCGCTCGCTCGCACTGCGCTCCTGGGCCAGCCGCAGCTTCTCGAGCTCCGCGTCGAGCACGTGCAGCGGAATCGTGTCTTCTGCGCCGTCGCCGGGCTGTGGGGGGAGGGTAAGCGGGCCGGTCAGGCCTGCGTCGCCGGGGGAGGCAGGGCCCGAGGACGGCAGGGGCGAGAGCGCGCCGGGTATTATGGGGGTGTGGCCGGCGTGCAGGGTGTTTGCGGCGGGGAGCGGGCTCATGAGGGCCTCTGTGGGCGGTGGGGAGCGGGGGTTTTCGTTGTCGAGGCCGCTGTCAGGGCCCGGGAGGGAGATGCGGGCGACGAGAGAAGGGCGCGTTTTGCGCTTCGAAAGTATGCTAGGCTGCATGGTGCTGGCGGTGTAGTTGTAGGTGTGGTTGGGGTTGTACAGCTGCTCGGCCTGGGAGGCGTGCAATGGGTTTGCATCTGGCATTGGTTCGGACGTGACTTCTAGCTCGTGGACGAGAAAGCGCGTCTTGTCGAGGCTCATGTCGTCTGGAGGCGTGGGCGTGCCGGTGATGTTATTAGCAGCACCGGTGTTGGCAGGCTGCGGGGACACAAGAGGGTGCGGGCGCAGTGCCGGGTCGTGGCAGAGGCCCTGGATGTCCGTCTGGCAGCCGCGAGAGACGTAATGTTCCATCGAGGTGACGGCTGGCTAGCACGCTACCCGGCACTAGGAAGGGTCTTGTGCGTTCCGGGTGAGCTACTGCGGTGCGGGATACCGTGATTGGGGCGGCGTCCGGGAGCGCGATCGCGATGCAGGTGAATGTTTGCGCGGGGATCGTGGGTGAGCGAGCGACGGTGGGCTGGAATGGGCTGCTGCGATCGAGGGCGCGCCGAGGTCAGTCATCAACGGAGTGGGCTGCGGGTGTTGGGGCGCACTGTGGAGGCTTCCCCAGGTGTTAGCGGCGCGACGGGCGTGTCACCGTTGAGTGAAATGAAATGGAAGCAGCCTCCAGCATCCCCACGCGCGACGTCATCGCCGGCCAGCGTCGTGTGCCTGATCGCCGCCACCCGCTGCTACGGCTGCATGGGGACGTTCTGCATGCCACGACAGCTGCACCAACACGTGGGCGTCCGCGAGCGTTATGGCTTCCGGCGCGCCTGCTGCTCCGCTGCCCGTGAATGGCACCCGGATGCTGTGCTCTGCTAGCACGCATGTGACAGCAGTCCCTGGGTGCCGCCCCCCGGTCTGTTTGCAATGCTTGGCACGTCGTGAACGGCCTAGACGCAGGGCAGCGCGTGGCTAGCCCCAATCCAGGCGGCGTCAACGGGGTGAAGAGGCGGGAGATTGTCGGCTGCACCGGCTGACTGTTGCTCAACCGCTGGCCTTCACCGTTCACGAGACTGCCTTGCCTTTTGGTCTGCAAGGTCGTACAAGCCAGCTGCTAGTTGCAGATCACTACCATAGGCTCGGTAGCTGGGGAGGGCCAACATGTCTTGTGTGGAATAAATGTGTGCGTACGTAATGTTGGGCGCCCTGCTCGATATTTAGGCGCGAGGCCTGCTTGATTTTCTCCCGACTCCCATTGGCTCTGGCGGCGCCTTCGCAGAGGGTCGCCCCCGCGCTGCCCTTGCTTGACCCCGCCATCAAGCCCCATGAGGGGTATGTCATGCTACGAATGACGGACCGCGCCGTATATCGATGCGTACACCCACAACGCCCTGGAGCGCGACGCTGCCTTCGTTTGCCATGTCTAGTTTGTTTATTTGATCTGCTTACTGAATGCTTTGGAAGATTCCGGGTTCTGCCGCCGTGCATCCATTGATCAAGCTTGCCTGCCTAGTCTACATTTGGATAATTCGACGCCAACTTCAGAGTTCTCCAACCGCCCCATCGGAGCGGTATCAGAACGGGAGCCTGTACAGCCAGCCCACATGTAAGCGATGGCCCGGAAACACTCCATCATGAAAGAGCTAGGGACGCTAGAGGCGACGATGAACCAGGAGCACAGGAACCATCATCCCAGCAGCGGACTACCACACGACCACAACCCATCCCACCAATCCTCAGAAGAGGACCTGCCACCCTACCCCGACCCAGAAATATCCTCCTGCATCCTCGACGGCAAGCCCGGCGCAAAAATAGCATATACGTATTACCCGGCGTCGCCATCCAAGCCGCACCGCCCAAACCCCTTCTCCAAATCCCTCGTCGTCTTCCTGAACGGCATGGTCCAGCCCCGAGCCGCGTGGGAACCCTCGGTGCAGAAATTCCTAGAAAAAAGAATAACCAACCGCCTCCCCTACCCCGCCCTCCTCACCTACGACCGCTACGGCCAGGGCGACTCCGACCGCGACCCCGACGACCCTGCGCAGGAAGGTCCTTCCCACGGCCACGACGCCATGAGCGTCGTGCGCAGCCTGCGCCAGTTCACGCTGCAGATCTGGAAAGAGCACCTCGACATCTCGAACCCGACGGAATTCCCGTGTCTCATCTTCGTGTGCAACAGCATCGGGTGCGCGCTGGCGCGCCTCTTCGCGCAGACGTATCCGGGGACGGTGCTGGGCCTTCTCTTCCTCGACAGCGTCATCGCGAACACGGATTTCGTGTCCATCTGGCCGGACCCCGACGCCCCGAGTTTTGATGAAAACGTGCTCCCGCCGGGCACCCGGCCCAGCGACGTGCGCGCCGCGCGCGAGAACATGGCAAACATGTTCCACCCAGACGTGCCCTCCCGCGAGGGGCTCTCGCGGCGCAACCTCGCCAAGCTGCTGCCCCACGCAGACGCCCCGCGCCTGGAAGGGTACCACAGCGAGGGCCCGTACATGACGGTCGTCGGGCACGACTGGGAGACGTTCGCGGACCAGACGGAGCAGGGCGTCATGAAGGTTCCGAAACTGCTAACCATGACGTATGTGAATCCGCTGTGGCAGAAGTACAATGAAGGGTTGACGAAGATCACGGATGAGGGGAAGGCGATTGGGCCGCTGGTCGCCGTGGGGAGTGGGCATTTTGTGCAGGTTGATAGTCCGGGGTTTGTGGCGGATGAGATGGTGAGTTTGTTGGATCGGGTGGTGAATCAGGTTAAGCAGATCCATGTGAAGGAGTATTAGGGGTGGAGTTGGGAAGCGGGTGGGATGTGGGACGAAGCTGCGTAATTGTAGCAGCGCGAAGCCTTGGAAGGGCGCTGGTAACATAATGTATTATGTATTATATTGGCTTCTGCATACGGCCTTGTTCAATGACTGATCCCAATGAGTCGGGAAGCACCCCAAAAGTCGTTTCTGAACCCCTTCCCAGATCATGCATTCTCGATAGCAGACAGTGTCACCTAATTGGGCTTTTTTCGTCTGCTGACACAAGATGATTCTATATAAGTAGGGCCATCTAATGCCTGGTAATCATATAGATTTCCCAAGCAATTCGGGGAGCGACATCAATACCGCATCATCCTCGACTGACCACGATCGACCCGTATTTTCAAGACCATCTCGGGCATTCTCGATCGATAAGAAGCTCTTAGGCCATGTGGTGCTGTTAAGATGATCTTTGACAGTAGCTCTCTGGGCATCTGAAAGTCTGATGGTGGTGTTCAAAACCATGTCGTTGAATGCCACGTAGGCATGTTGAATGCCGCTTATTTTGTTTCCCGTGGCCGCATTGTCCTCGAGCTGAAAGTGGTGAGGCTGTTGCCCTAGGTGATCTCCGGGTCCTGTTTGCTTCCCGTTAGACTAATTACACCAGTACTATAGAATCAGGAAGCCTCGATATGAGTGCAATCAGTCGATGTGCCAGCCAGCTCCGGACAGCCCGATATTTGACCTTTACCCCAATGTTGTGTTGCCTGGACGCTGTTCTACCATACCTTCTTGGGCTTGTTGCATAGCGGAGGAACCGTGTATGTTCGTTGTGACTTAGAGGTTTGACGAATACACTGTTCGTAGTCTATCAATGCGTTTGCAAGGATCCAAAGTATTTCGCGGTGACGCCGCCGTCCGAAGTTGAGAATATAGGTAAGTGTTATGCGACCAGCCTGCAGAAGACGCCGATGTACAGCGGTTTTATTTAATGACAGGAGTGCGTTCACAGAGCACCGCAATCACTTCGCTTGAGCTTCAGGACTGTGAAAGAAGTCACAGCCACCATTTGCCGCTCATGTATCGGCGAGCTGGTCAAGATTATCTTTCATCTATACATCGTTTTCGCCGAATTTCATGAAGAATACAGGATGTCAGCACAGCACCGCTCGCCAGTGAAAGCGCGGACCTGGCGAGCAAAGGGGTCACCTGAGTCGTCACATGATCTCTTCTTTCATTTCTCCCAACAGCATACAGTGGCTCATCCGTAGTACTTCCTTGGCACAAACTCGCGGCGAAGCTCGACCAAAATTCAATACAGCAACCACCCCTACCCTTCCCTCGATCACACCCACGACCAACTTCAGGCCAACTGCTCGATTTACCTTACCCCAGCCCGGACAGACTTCCGCCAGCCTATTTCTCTACTATCTGCTTCCTCACGATCAGATATTCGCATACGTAAAACATGAAGCCTTATCAACAAGGTACGCAAGGTGGCGCTCCTTGGTCCGCTACGGATATCACACAGATCGAGAATGCAGTTCGAGATGAGACTGAATTCACGCAAATTTGTGCCCTCTTTCCCTCGCGTACTGCTGAGGCAGTGCGTCACCGCGTCCACCTGGCTTGCCGTACCATCGATGCTGCGAACGCTCAAGCAAATCCCCAGCCAGTGAATGTTCAACTAACTCCCCAGCCGGTGAGCATACGAGCAAATCGCCAGCCAACACCCGGCATCACTACTCAGACACCAATACAGTATGCAAAGGCCGGTCAAGTATGGACTGCACAAGAAGTCCAGACCTTGGATAGCGCGGTCCAAAATGGCTTCGACTTCGCGCACATTCGTACACTGTTCCCCGATCGCCCGGTGGAGGGGGTGAAGCGTCGCTATCAACGGTCCACCCAGGAGGCAAGCTCTACGTCGATGAGCAAGCCGAAGAGCAAGCCCAAGCGCCAGCTTCAGATCGTCCCCTGGACTGTAGTGCAAGAACAAAAGATCCGAGATGCGCTGCGGGCCAAGGTCAACCGAGATACCATCCGCAAGATGTTTCCTCGGCGCTCTGCCGACGCCGTGCGACAGAAGATTGGTCGGATCTCCATGACTCTGGGAGAAGAGAAACCAGAGCCTGCTCCTTTGTCGACCGGCCGTGTACAAGCTTCAAATGGTGCTGACAGCGCGTATGAAGACGCCGACATGGACATGTATGCGGAACCCCTAGAACCAGAAGATGGCGACCAGCCCGACAAACCTGAGTCTGAACTGCCGCAACTCCAAGCAATCCGTTCATCAAGCCCCGAGGAGATCGACGTCGACCATGTTATCGGCCCAATCCCTGAAGATGAGGAGTTTGTGATGTCGGGAGCTCTACCAGTCCCTAATCCTGTCGCCGTTTCCGATGCATCACCAGTCCATAGCCACTCGCGCTCATCCGACTCTCCTCGAAGCGTCCGTTCCTGGAAGGTGCAGGATGTTGACGTTTTACCGCGTTCGTCAACTCCACCCCGACCTGATACTGAGCCCCTTACGCCACGTCTCCGCGCGCAAGAGCTTCCAACGATCGGGAACAGGGAGCCCACTGGCGACTACTTCGGCGACTACTTCTCATTCGAGTCTCCGGTCGAGAACATCGACCGCACAGCCTTCCGGAACCCGTTTGAGGCGTCTTGGCTCCAGACGCAGGACAATGGTTGGGATCTGGACTCTGGCCTCGATCCAGAAGCCCGAGCCTGGTTGAATGGCGAGCCGTGGTCACCGCCAAATAACTTCTCCGAGAATCGATCCGCTGGCAATGTTGGCCAAAAGTGCCATCATCATCACCCGGTCTTGCCACAAGACAGCCTGGCCCACGACAACTTTGCTGCACCAATCTCGCCATTCATGATGGTCCCCGAGCGTCACGAGGCTGTATGTGTGAACAATGGGCACGCCACCTTCGAGTGCGGGTTCTGCATGAATAACCATCCCGACGTCCACGACGGAATCGACTCTGCCCCGGTGCCGCATCAACCAGTTGCGCCTGCTGACTCCCGCACCTTGGAGCAGGTGTTCGCGGATCCGTCTGTGCCTCCGTCAGCCTTTCTGCCCTCATCAGCCGCGGAAACCTCGCCAGCCGCTTTGCTCGCGTCACTTGGCAACCACCGCAACCAGTGGATGAACTACGATGCCGACGTGGACATAGTGATGGAGGAGGAAACAGAGACCAGCGGATATGACGTGGTGGAGTAGGTGTGCTTCCGCGGTGCTAGGTTCGTCGTTGTATTGCATGTTGGCGTTTTCGTATGACAGTACGGGACTGGGGACGTTATCACTTGCTGGCATTTTTTATCGGAGTTTCGGAAGTTGATACACGTGGCTGATTGTGGGTTGGATCAACAACTTTCCATGTGTCATGGAGCTTTGGAGGATAGAAAAATGGAGCTGTTGATTTGCATCTTCTATCGAGTTTATGGTGATGGATCATCTTTAGCATAGTGATCTTCTAATCGGGGGCAGACCGCATAGTGTTTGCTCAAAGTCCAAGCCATCAAATCAGATTTCTTGCTGTGCCATCGTTTCCTAGACTCGTCATTCATCCCCAATGCGTGCCTGCTCACTTGATGAGTGTAGCGCACCTCTTGTTACTTGATTTTCTCTAGTTCAAGCAAGACGAGACCCAGCCCTGCTCGAACCCCGCCCTTGCCCTGTAGCCACAGTTGCTCGTCCGTGACAGCGATTCGGCCAACCACAGAACACGTTCTTCTTCTTTCGTGTTGGTCTTGGTCACAACTCTTCCTGTCTCTGCGGAGGCCTCCTTCAAGATTTGACTTTACGCCTGCCTCTGTTCAAATAGGGGTCGAAAGCCTCATGGATTCTTTCCCCTCAAGCGAGCTCCTCCATGATCTGTGAGGCATATGTATCGTCACAACGTTTTAGCATTTCTCCCTAGAGCCTATTTGGCAAGGTCCCGATGGATAAAGTCTTCGTCCTGGACGGACCATCATCAGTGCAGTACTCAATCGCCTTCTCCCCAAAACCATTCTACTCTTCCGACCCATGTGGCGGTGCACTGACTTGGACAGTACCAGAGACCAGCTTCAGTGGCGAGTGGTGTGTGATGTGCGATCTGATGGAGCCATTTGATTCTTCATCATTCGCTCATTTTCTGGCCATCATCCTCCTTCCGCTTAGTGCACCTTAAAACGTGTCGCTCGAAGTTATCTCGCCTAATGAAGACCTTTTCGGGGATCGAGCAAGCCGGGTTGGGACACCTGAAGCCACGTGTTTCAGCGGCAAGGTCCTTCCGGTGGACGGTGAGTTCATGACGTTTGAGATCAGTTTTTAGGTGGAAGTTGCTCGAGCAGAGCGCGCATGAGTATCGTCGGACGTGTTTGCGGTGAATATGAGCGCTGAATTCGATGTCAGCACTGATGCAGAAGAACGCACGGAATTTAATGGCCGGAGTGAACAAAGACGACTCACTTCAGCTGTCCGGTAGTCGCGAACGTGCGGTCACAATGGGTGCATGATAATTTTCCTGCTGCTTGTATAGCTTTCTGACCGCTTCCCGAAGTTATCAGCCTTGGCTGATGTAGATCTGGAAGTCTGAACGAGGTTGGGGATTGTGAGTTGTCCTTGGTAGAACCTTCAGACAAAAGTGGGTGCGACGAGTCCTGAGAGCTAGTGCTCGATGAAGGTGATGAGCCGGACGTCTCCTCCAAGGCACTGCTTTCCGGTGATCGCTCTTCTTCCTTTGTCAAGGTGTCGTGCTGAGCATAATGCTGCAGCTCTTGGTCCCAGGATAGTGGTGCTACTGCAGATCGCAAATTAGCAACTTGTTCACATTCAAGTCGACATGTTGGAACAGCTGCAAGATTCCAGAAGCCTTACCTTCGAAATTCATTGGGAGCCCAGGAGAAGGCTCGTTCTGGCGGGTTGCTCCCTCTTCCTGGGCCGCAACTTCACCATGGCCAAGCTTCTCACCTCTCGACCCAAGCAGATGCTTGAAAATTACTGGATTTGGTTGATGCTCGACCGCCCACGGACTGATGCAATTGCCAGGGTCAGAATACTCCTCCCCTTGCCGACTTGATTCGCCTTCAGGATGAAATATACCGGGGGGAAGCCGTGACGGAAGCACTGTGATTTGCGGAGTTCCACCCGGTGCTGAAGATGAGCTGCTTGCGACCGGCAAGCTTTGCAGATATGAGACCTTGTCCAGCCCAAGCACCTCTTCTGGCGTGGGTTGCGTAGGGGTTTTCGGTAGCGTGTTCAAAGGAGATGTCGGGTCCTGCTTTAGTCTTTCCAGTTCGGTCTCCGTGCGACCACCTTGCAGCTCCCTCCATCGTGCGATTTCGGCTTCAGTGAGCTCTTCTGCTGGTGCCAGTGTTGTCGTAAGGGTTGATGCGCCGGTACGCGCGAAGGGATTAGTGCCATACTTCTCATCGTGGGATACCGCAGTCGTGCCTTCCAGATCGCGCAACTCGTTCTGTTTGGCCCTCCTCTTTCGCCTCCAATTCGCATAGTATAGAAGACACAAAGGCCCAGCAAAAAGTACCAGCACGCCAATCGATATGCCCACTGCGACAACCGTCCTCTCTCTTCTCTCTCGTGCAGGATAGTCATCGGGCGATTGCTGGGGTGGCCCAGGTCCCGAGTCCATGTTTACGGTATTATCGACGCCCGACTGGACTCAGGGGATCGCAGAATATTTGAACTCGCTCATCCATTCACCGAAGCTTCTACAGTCGGCGGTCTTATCAGTGGAAAGCTACGTGTTGCTACAAACACACAGGTCCGTTGTCGCATACATGATGCTGATGGAACCGGGGGGCAGGTCTCCTGGAAAATGGGTGGAGAAGGAGAAATGGTGTATATGTGGTCGGCCGCCGGTGAGGCAACGAAACGCCCATGCACGGCCGAGCCGGGAGGCATACTAATGCTGAGTCCCAAATGTGATTGGTGGTTGGGGGCTGACCGTTGCACCGGGTATTTGGATATATTAAGCACGGCCTGGCGCTGCCCCGCTTCAAGACCAGAACCTGGCCTACGGGGTCCAACAATCTGATATCGCTTGCAGTATACATTTATCTCTGCCTGGTTGGTTCCTGTGACGTACGCGGGGGGCCCTTCTGGAATATACAGACGTCGTGGCGATTGCGCAAGCCCAGGTCATCGCAATATTTTGTCAGAGCTCATCTCATCCTTCGGCGCCATCATGCTTAAAACGGACTAGTGGTATTTCAAGACTGGGTTCGGGCGGCCCCCTTTTCCGGGAGAAACTGTTCTTCGCAACTGGTTTTTCGTCAGAGTGTGGATGAACGAGTTTCTTCGCAGTTGTCCTGCACGGGAGTCTGTCTTTTCTAGTTAGGTAGACTTGCTGCGCACATGCTTCGAGGCCTTCGTTACGGTATGAGAGGACGTCATTCGTATTAGCCGATTTGGGCGCAACGGTTCTCCATGGACAAACGCTCAACGGCTCTGAGAACTTCTCGGTCGTGTTGCTGGAAATTAGTGTGGCCCCCACTTCTTATACGTCAGGGTTGTAACCGCGGGTTTCTGCTTCTGCAGTTGCCATACTCGTTCGGTGTACGGCTACAGCTGCTAGCTGTATTGCAGGGTTCTACGGATTGCTGACCGCATCCAGAGCCGGGTTTCCCTGTGACTTGAGGGCGTTTGTCTGCATCCGAATATACGTCACCCGGCAGATGCTTCTTTGACGCAGCGTCGGACGTGGCGTTCGAGGTTGTCTTTCCGCAGGAATTGCGTGTTAGGGACGTTGCACCTTGGATCACTGCATACACACACTTCCTAATGCTTCAGGTTCTGCGTCATTTCGTATACGGTGCGCGGGTGCCGGTTCAGATCTGCTTTCAGCGCGAACCTGGCTGGACAAGGGTCGCAGATGTGACGTCGGCATCGCCTACGCTGAATTTGCTCACTTTTCAATAGTCAGTTCAGACGTTGAGCGGGATGCGATGCGGTGAATATACTTATGTCTTTTCGGATAAAAAGACAACCAAATAGTTCGCGCAGGTGCGCTCTTCTGTACTACGATTTACCATCTTCGGCCTCGTAATGCGCAAAGGAATCGCTCGGATCAAGCAATCGGCGACCTTTGATACGTACATATCGTCCAACGGTGATTCTAGATTAGACATTGGTGTGGATAGGTGACTACCAACTGCGCTTTCAAATGTCGAAGCAGTCTCCGGAGAGGATGCTGCTTCCTGGAGAGTGCATGTGCATTCATGCTTGCTACTTACCGAGGCGATCACCCACGCAGCGTTCAGACCTACCGAGCTGCTCGCAGACTTGATTTCCTGCTGGGTCATCGAAGAATGCATCATAGAGAGATCGGGCGCGGGGGCCCACGCATTCATCGCAGTCGTGGTAGCACTATTCGGCGGTTGAACAACGTTGATGAGAGGATGTGCTGGTGTTGAGTCTGCACTTCCATTGTTGATATTAATTTCCCTCAATTGAGAGAATATGATAGGGATAGGACTGAAGTCTACAGTCTAGGGATCGATAACAGGAGTAGAGCCATGCGTAAGATCTGGTTTGAATAGCGCCATCTTATGGGTCATGCCCGTGGAAGTGGCCGTCATCCCTTGGGATGCTGCCGACGCGTTCATCGGAGTAGATGTCGTGAGTGCCTGCGACATGTTTATTAAACCCTCGTCATCTGGATCTGCGCCAAAGGTAAAATGATCTCATGCATCCGAGTCCTTTCTCAACATACCGCCCTCCTTTTCGTGTCCCTTTGGGGTAATGGCACCTCGAGTGTAGCTCGTGTCGAAGACGATGCCTGTTTCCAGGTTATCCGGGTAAGAGTACTCATCGATGCTATAAAGAATGTAGGAGGGGTGAGCATGTTGAAGCTGGTGAAGCTTGCTGCGTCTGGGTGTGGCTCTCGTTCCGTTGAAAATTTGCCAAATTGTGGCTAGTGAGCTTCTTCATTTTCAGCAATTGTCCCCAGCGGCTCCTCTTCAAGGTTTGATAGACAAGGAGCGCGTGTACCTTCAGGTGGGGCTGATGGCCCACCTTTGTGAGGGGGCCGGGAAGGGCAATAGACGTGTTTCTGCCCGTCGAAGTCGCTTCTTCTCAGACAGCCCTTCCTTGTTCTCTGCCTGCGGGTATATAGGGTGCTTGGGAGTTGCCACTGTTATACTAATCCGGCACTTCGCCGTCAGCGTCGTTATAGGCGTAATGGTTGTAGTATAGACCGTAATTATCCTTGTGGACCACCTCTTCGGAGGGCAGGTCTTTTTACCTGACTTTGAGAGCCGCTGGGATCCTTTAGCCCCAGGTTGCTGCCGGATGGCCGATAAAACCAGCCTTAACATCGCTGGTAGCCGAGGCCGCCGAGGCCGCCGAGCTCTCAGCGCCTGTATGCGTGAACTCGGCACGAGGCGGAGGCGTATGGTTGGCAACAATTTGGGGTGATCTGGAATGCGCGGGAGGTTGATAGGGCTCGCACAGGTGACACTCTTGAGGATACCACCCAATTTCGAGGTCCTCAAACGTCATATCATCTCCAAGTTCCTTGGTCGTCGTACCACCTTCAAGTTCCGCTGGTGATATGTCTTGATCTGCTGAATCTGCAACAGGTCTCTCTGCTCTCAGCGAGCTCCAAAATCCAATATCTCTTCTGACCTTCGGCGACCTCAAGGCCTTGATATCTTCTGAAGGGCCGCATTGATCCAAAACCTCAAGACTTCTCTTCATTCGCCGCCGGAGCCAGCCACACATACCAGCGAAAGCAGCACCGCAACCGCGATGCCGACCACAATCAACGCCCCTACCGTTGAGCGCCATGTTTGCGATCCGGATATCAAGACCCAGACCTAACTCTTGCAACGCCCTAATTTCCCAAAACCATGACAATACAACAAAACCAAAGACACTCAAAAGACAATAAGCAATACCAAAAACACAAAGCCTATAAAGAAAGAGAAGGAGGAAAAGCCATGGCTCGTCGTGCATCGATATAAACGTCAGCATGGTGCACAAGGCTAGGCCTCGCTTGCGGAGGCATACATCGTCCCCGTACATTGTTTGTGATTGGCCCGCGTCGACCCACACGCACCAGCCTCAGCAGCCGGCGTGAGAAGCGTATGAGCGGCACGCACGCAGGCGACTACTTATGCACTAGCGGAGGGAGGCATACAAGGGAATTTTACTGTATCTGCGGGTTGTAAGATTAGGTCCGTCAAGGTGCGCTTTACTCGGCGAGGTGGTTACACGTTGAGGCGCTAGGGTCGCATAGATGGATCTGATCTGATTCTAAATCGCAGCCACCGCGCGCGATTGCTGCTTTATGGTGCATGCGTCTAGTTGCCTGCCTGTCTGTATGTTCCCTTCTCCGTTATGTTGATAGAAAATCACCGCCGTTTGTAGTTGTAGGGAAAGTACAGTGCGCGTGTAAAGCATACCCCCAAACGCCGTCGTCATGCTCCATATGGGGTGGTGTATGCAGATGGGATATCAATGAGAAAGCCCTACTTCTCCAAGATCTAAGTAGGAAAATGTAAGTAAAAGAAAGTCTGCAAAAGAAAGAGTGCTGAAAACTAGTCCGCAATGTTCATTTCTCACCAGATTCCAACTCTTTGATATATTTTACGAACGCTTTCTTGTGGACCTATATCATGGGTGGTTAGCGTTGATTTGAGGGCGGGAGCACTTTGAGGTGAGGGGGTGCGCGCGACTTACCAGCCCAGCGTACTTGCCGTCTCGCAGAACGCAGACGTATCTCAACCCAAGCTTGACAAAACACTCGTAGACAAGATCCATAGGGGAATGTATGTCAAGCGCAACAGGCGCGGGATCAATGTAGGGCGTGAAATCGCTGTTCTCTATCGCCTCACTGCTATCGGACATGTGCTCACGGCCAGCAGCCCAGTCGACAAGTGGGGACATCAGACACAAGGTGTTGTCTTCATCTTCCAGTTTGTCCAGGGCAAACTCTAGGTCTGGCGCTGGGATAAGGCCGACGAGAACATCATGCTTGAGGATTGGGAGACCTCCGTCAATTTCGCCCAGTAGCTGGAGGTATTGCTGCTTCTCCCTGAGTTCGGAGGCTGGGACGAGCGCGGATTCGGATATGTCGATGATACGCTGTGCGCGGGGTTGGGCGGTGATGTCGCCAAGCTCCGAGGTGAATACGGGCCGCACCTTATTATCGAGGAAGGGATAAGCATTCATGTCTGTCAGTAGGTCATAGATACTGAGTGGCTCGATGGCGTCGGCAGTCCACTTTGCGACCAAAATACCAAGCGAAAAGGGGAGCACGTGTTCCAGACTGCCAGTAAGCTCAAAGAGAATAACAGCCAGTGTGACTGTCAGACGAGTCACACCTGTCATCGTTGCCCCAGCTGCGACCATGGCGTAAACACCAGGCACGACGCAGGATCCAGGCGGTCCTGAAGGATCGCAATGCCCGAATAAACCTGCATCTGCAAAGCGCAAAGCGAAGAGCTGAACTGCGTGGCCGACCATACGGCCCGCAAGACCACCGACAACCATACTCGGCACGTAGATCCCCGCTGGTACTTTTATACCGAAGGTTATGACTGTAAGACCGGCTTTGATGACGAAAGCTACAAGTAGCACTTTGAGAGTTTGGGGTATATGCTCTTTCGTTGGGCATAAGCCGTCGCCACTGTCAGTAAAAGTGTCACATGGACTGGCGAGCTCGAACAGCAACTCTGCGACCGGTAGTTTAAGATATCGGTTCCAGAAGCTGAGAAGTCCGGTGACTAAGGCGACAAGGAGCACTTCCAACATTGGATACTTCTTGATGACCGATATGCGTCTGAATGTGCGTGCCCAAATGCGGGATGCTTTGATGAACAGAGCGCCGAGGACACCACCCAGTGCCCCAGTAAGGACGAATGGTAGCAGTTCGAAAAACTTCCAATCTAGGACATAGCGGACTTCGAATAATACAATTTTGCCGGTACCGTACGGGTTAAGAAACTTCAAAGATAACGCGGCAGCCTACCATGTTAGAACCGTGGATGAATGTAGAGAGCATATACTTACAATGCAGCAAAAGAAAGTACGGAAGAGAGTTTTAGATGGGAAGTAGTAGCTGACTTCCTCGAGACTGAAAAGAACGCCGCCGATGGGCGCACCGAAAGCAACGGCTACGCCGCAGGCCGCACTGGCGCTGAGGATCTCTCGGCGCTTTCCGTCATTCTTGCTATATTTTCTGAACATCCGGCAGGCAATATTTCCAATCGCCGTGGATATATGCACATAAGGGCCTTCTTTGCCAAGGGACATGCCAGATGCCACACTGAGAATCAGGCCCAGGGTTTTGATGACCAAAGTACGCGCACCGAGATAACCGTGCAAGACGAAGCCGCTTAGAATTACTTTGACTTCAGCCACACCGCTTCCAGCAGCCGAATAGTACACCATGGGAGGGCGCAGTTGGAGCTCGTTGTACCGTTCCTCATGATTCGCATCTGGTTTCCCATCGTCTTCGTCGTGTATTGCGTGATGCACCTCGGCACCCAAGTTTTCGTCCAGCGTTGCAATCGATATCGCAGAAGGAACAACCGTCTTGGTCATCAGAGTCAAGAAGCAAGAGGCTAATGCGAGCACAATGACGCTGATTACAAAGGCAGCGAATTGCGTGTTCACACTGTCCAGGCGGTCGCTACGAAGGACACGCGACCAGTGTAGCCAGTCCTCGCATATGCTCGCCCCATCACAACAGATCTTCCTGCTCTTGTACCATCGCTTTGTACAGTAGCCTTCTTTCCAATCGTAGAGGGTGCTCTCGGCCATGTTGACAAAGTAGGCCACCAGTGCCGTCAGGACGCCGATGATGGCCACGAGAATCCAAGCCTGTGCGCCGTCAAACCACGCCGAGACCCTGCCCCGGAAGTCCTTGCGGCTCCGGAGGGCTTTGACCCGATACGCATCCGCGATGGAATCATGTACCCCTGTACTCGCAGGAACGAAGTCAGCCAAGTCACAAAAGTGGGCTCATGCACAAGTGGTTATGTCTAAAACGTAGCGACTTTGTACCGGGGAGTTTCATACAATCTGTCGAAGTAAACTGGTCATACCAGACGCGGTCGTCGGCGAATACAGAGATCTTGGAAGCCTGCATATCCTGCGTGCTGTGCCGTCGTGTGATGCCCGACCGATCACCCAGCGCGTTGACGAGCCGCTGGGAGAAATTCTGGTTGATGGAGCCTTGACGGCTGTGACGCAGACGGGTGCTGGTTACGAGCTGGCTGGACTGCCGTACACCATATGGCGGACGTGGTGTACCGGGCACGGTTGCCGGCACGCTTGCGTATGAACGTGCATTGTGTGTGTTTCCCAGCAAAGATGAACGTTCTGTCACGTTGTGGTGGGTGAGGTCGTTGTCGGAGGCTCGGTTCGGGCGTGGTGGGCGGAATGTTGCTGTCGGCGAGGTAGGCGTTGCGCTGCTGATAGTATCGTGTTGTTCCTGGCGCTCAAGATCCGCGTCGTCGGTGTCGTCTCGGTCGTCGACGCTGCGGTAAGACATAAAAGATTTGGGCATATCGACTGTGCATAGAGCTCGCACAGGGGCTCTATCGGAGCGCTTAGGTTAAGAAGGCTGCGGGAGTGCAGGGAGCAGGCGGTCCGGCGCCGGGAGGCAGTCATCTGGGGTCGGCAGGCGGTGCCCACCAGGTGCCTCATCCCACCACCAGGATCCTTGGCATTGTAGAATGCCCCTGTCGACAGAAAGCTTGGATGGATCGGCGTCCCACAAACAGAACGCACTAAACAAAGCCCGAGAAACGACCGTGCAAAGCACGCATCTTGTGACTTTGAGTTCGGGCTGCTGTTGTTTGGTCGCCCGCTAATTTCGTCATGCGCTGCGCTAAAGTCAGGGTTCACCACGCAGGCGTCCCGCCCGAAGCACGCGATGCGCGAGGCCGGTGCTGAACAACATTGTAAGGTGGCTCGTTTTCGTTGCAATCTGTGCCCGTAGCTGAGGTGATGGCCTGAAGGCATTGAAGGCGATGCAGTTCCTCAATGCGAGGTAACTAATGCTGCAGCATGGTGGCTTCTGTGGCGCTAGACCATCACTCGGAGCGGTACGGTAGGTAACAGACGGAGCCCAATTATTCCGGCACCGCGAGATATGGGCCGTGTTCTCACGCCTACATAAACACTGGCTTGCTTCAGGTGCTCGAGAAACTGCAGAGTGGAAGAACGCGATACCGTAGACCACACCACCATGGTAAGCATGTCTGACTCAACTCCGCGGACAGCTTGTCAATATTAATTGCCCCAAAAAGGCTGCTACTTGGGACAAGATCCTTCTCTTTGGCGATTCCATCACCCAGGACTCGTTCAATCAGCAGCGAGGATTCGGCTTCTCAGCGGGTCTGCAACATGGTGCGTAATTTTCTCGAAACTTGACCCATGTTCTAACGCCGCAGCAACGCAGAGTACATACGTCGATTGGATGTCGTCAATCGCGGTTTCAGGTAACTTGCACCTCAGATACTTCAACTCGGACTGACTAAACAGTGGCTACACCTCCCGGCAAGCGCTCAAAATCCTCCCGCACATTGTTCCAGCGCCATCTGCAGCCAACATCCGTCTATTAGTAGTCTTCCTCGGCGCCAACGATGCCTCGCGTCCTGAAGCAGAAAACAAGCAGCACGTTCCTCTAGATGAATACGTCAGCAACCTCGAGAAGATCATCACCCATCCTTCCGTCACGGCTCACAAACCCAAGGTTGTGCTCGTTGCTCCAGCGCCCATTGATGAGCACCTGGTCTGGGCCAACGACCAGACTCAGGGCAGGGCCGCTGTTTCAAGGAAGAATGTAGATTTGAAAAAGTATTCGGAAGCTGCTGCGGGCTTAGGAGAGAAGCTAGGAGTTCCGGTCGTGAACTTGTGGAAAGCGTTCATGGCGAACACAGGATGGTCCGAGGGCAAATGGAAGGAGAGCGAGCCGATTCTTGGAGCATTGGAGTTGCCGCAAAATGAGGAATTAGTGAGGTTGTTGCATGATGGTAGGCACCGTACTCTCCATGTCCAAATGTGTCTCCACTGACTAGGACAGGGCTCCATTTCAACCCGGCAGGGTACCAAATTCTTCTTGTGGAGTTTCTGAAGGTCATCAGGGAGAGCTACCCTGAACTAGCACCCGAGAACGTACCCTTGCTTCTCCCGTTGTGGAACGACGCTGAGGGTTGGGCTACATGGGATGCTGCGCATCAATAAGCCGACAAGGCACTTGAAACATCATGTGGAGATCGTGACTGTGACGCAGAGAATGTACGTGATGCTTGGGATTCTAGATTAAATAGATAAGTAGATACGCCCGTCAACTTGTGTATAGTGTCCAGATACCAACGCATCTAGTGACGCGTATGTGGTCATCCCTCGCGCTGGAACAACGTATCGTGTCCCTGCTCCTTCGAATGCAGCAAGCTCTCCAAATACCATGCACCCTCAATCGTGTCAAGTACATGCCAATGATATACCAGGATCACGGTATATAAATATGCAGCCAATCACGTGTTAGCGCGCTCCGGGGAAAGCTGCACAGGCGGGCGACCGTTACGACCATCGAACCCCTCCGCATTGCGACGTCCACTTGGCCTGCTTCCCTACTTCCCGAACGCTTACGTCCCCCGATCAAGGACGCTTTCGACTGTCATTGAGGTTGTTGTGACACCTACCAACAGCTCGCCGACGGCACGACAAGCCTACACGCTTGGCCGACCGCACGAACTCAAGCCAACGGTCGAACGAACGCAGGCGGCGACTGCCTTGCAAACAGCTTCAGCTGCCGCTTATACTATCGATCGAACGCCGCTTGCCTACCGATCGCTTTCACAACACACTGCCCGCCAACTCAGTATCTGGTCCACGGATCGCCAAGCTGCGGATCGGGCCACTCCCACCCTTCATTGCAATCGCATTCGAAACCCACTACAACACCCCACACTGAGTGCGCCGTTTGTAGTCACGGGCGGTCGCGCGTACGACAGTGGGCTTTGGTGCCGGGCGGTGGAGGAAGGCGGAAGTCCCCCGCACATTGCACGTCAACCGAGGGATGCGAGGACCTGGTGATGGATCCTGAGAGCGCCGCTTTCCAGCCTCGCGACGACATTTGGCGGATACAAGACGATATGCTCCGCATGCATCAATCCCAACAGGAGCTTTCCGACCGTGTGTCTCGCTTGGAGCGCCGACATGAGGACGACTCGCGTCTGAAGAACGTCTGGGGCGGTGCATCGCCTTTCCCCTCGGTGCTGGGAGGCACCCCTCAGCAAGGTGCGACATCTATACGGTCTCGTGTTCTAGTTGGGACTCACACTGTGCCACCTAGGAGAGCCTAGACCACAGTGTGGATGCGACCAACTGGGACGTGAGACCGTATGTCCCTTCGAAGCATCACGTTGATGTGCTATAGTTCCCCTGCAACAGCCGACAGCCGAAAGATTCAGCAACTTTGACGACCACTCCTCCGCCTTGATCAATGACCTACATCTTGACGCCGACGAAGAGCCCCGCCGTCTTGGGACCACCTCGCGAGCGAACAGTGTGCGTTTCGATGAGACGGCGAATCATGGTCACTGGTCTCGGCCGTCAATGGACTTCATAACCCGAACCGGCAGCGGAATGGGCGGCCACGCCATGAGCGAGCGCAGCTACTCACACAAGTCGCTTGGAGGGCAGGTACGTGACCCTGAAGATCAGTAGCAGCGAGGCTTCGCTTCACGTTCTGGAGGTTTGGGTGCTTTGCAGATTCCGACTATGTTCACTCGAACTATACTGATCAACTTTTGTTCTTGTAGAGCTCAGCTGGTCAATCAGTCCATTCGGCAACATCGGGAAGGGCTAACAGCTTGACGGGTTACGGATTGACTGCACCCGAAGCTCCTGGTTTAGCTCCTGGTCTTTTCATCCTCGGTTCAGTTCCTGCTATAATCCGTTGCTGGCTCACTACCACGTTCAAGCATGACACCATGTTATACGCTGCAGTCTGTAGTGGTTCTTATGCATCGTTTCTAGATTTCCGACTTGTCAACAGACTAGGCTTCCAAGACCATGTCACGAGGACCGACGACGGCCGCCGCACAATCAAATTACCCATGTATCTCCCGGAAGCTGTACCGGTTTCTGCGTCATCGCATGCTAGCAGTCCTGCGCCTCAACTGCCCTCACTGACGGTCGAGTTTACTGTCGTTGAGAATCGTAATGATGAAACTGACAGCAAAGCCATCCAGATTTTCATTGGAAGTGACATGTTGCGGGCTCATAATGCAGACATTTTGCTTTCCTCCAATCAGCTTACTTTGTACGACGACGATAGGAGTAAACTCAGAATTCCTCTGGTTCGTCCGGAAGATGAGCATACGTTCAAATCTCTATACATCACGAGTGGTGCGCCGGACCGTACTCATACCGAGCTCGGAATCGAGGAACCATCATTGCTACCGACGAAGTCTTCGACGCCAAAGGAGCCGAGCGGCGCTCCGTACACGAGCCTTCCAAGTAGCTCTGCTGCAGCTGCTGTGAAAGCCACAGAATCAGCAACAACCAGCGGTTCCGAAGATGGTTCGGTAGGCCGACGAAGCCTCGAACAACGACCGCGCCTAGGTCTGTCCACAAGCTTGCGAACCGAACCGAAGGATGCACAGGATTCAAGTCCAGGCGGTGCGGCGGCACGTGCAGGCTCTTCTCCGGCTATTTGGAGCAACTGGCGACGTGACACAGAGAAATCCGGGTCCACGGATTGGGCAAACTTGGGTAAGACCTCGGCTCCCACATACCAACGACGCGACACGGGTATCAAAGTATTGAAGAAGCCGGGGGCGCGCACGCTGTCCGCGAGTGTATCACAAGGCTCTTCGCCTTCTGTCACCGGGCAGTCTCGCTTCTTTGACGATGGAAAGCGTAGAGAGGAAACTGCGGACGAGCGTGAGGGCAGTGTGCCGCCGCTGAAGCGCTCAGTGTCGGGAGAGAAGCCCAAGGAGAATGCTCCCGTCCTGACGAAGAATCGGTCTGCGAACCCAGTGGGTGGCGCTTCTGCTTTTCCGTGGCTGAACACTGGAGGTTCTAAATGAGGGCAGGCGGAATGATGTGCATGTTTGTTATGAAATACCCAAGCATATGTTGGGTGCTGAGAATCTGATTTACCTCAGCCTTAGCGAAAGAAATAAAAATGAGTTGCTGAAAGTGCTCGCACTCGTCCCTTATTCCACGATGAGCTTATCCTGTTCCATCAATATCATTGTTGGTGACAGCCCACCCGCAGCGGCGGTCTCGGACCCAGACCATGTGCATTCAGGTCGCAGACGCAGTGCATGCAAGCGAGACATAGGGAATGGTTGATGCGGCACCAGGTAGCAGTAATAATAGTGGCGGCTTGACGGTCCCCGCTTGGGGTAAGTTTAGGCGCGCGGACATGTCTTCACCCTCATTGTGATCAGCCAGCGTGGCGGCCGGTTCAAGCAAGGCTGGCCCGCACGCGAACGCGTTTGAGTGGTTGTTGCCATGCGGCATATCTGCGTACCTGAACCGGGTGTGCTGCTGGGTTTGAGTGGCGGGCGTGGAGTTTGGTCGCTGGCGCCAAGAGCTCAGGTGCAGCTCATTTTCGACTGGGAAGGCGGTAGACGCCAAATGCTAATAATTCTTCACTCCCTCCGCTTTCTCCCCGCGAAACATTGCTGCAGCCGCACAGACGCCCCCAGCCCTGCTGAGCCCCCCGAAGTCGCAGGCCGCAGTCCGCTGGTGCAGTCACGCGTCACCTACGCAAACGCTGCCCGTTAGCCTGTCCGTGAGCTTCCCCGTGGAGCTCACCAGGCCCGCCCGCCTTCACCACGGCCTCCAAGAAGCGAAAGACTGCGACAGGCGCCTTGCACAGCAACCCCTCGCACGGTCAGGACAAGGAAGCGGCCTCACATTCACCGCATGAGGGCGCCCGCCTAGACTCGCCGCGCTCGTCCCCACTCCCCGCCTCGACCACCTCGCGCAACTCAGCATCACCGCCTCGTTTTCTGCCTCCGCACATGAAGAGCGAGATCCTCGACGCCGTCAGCGAACCCTCGGCAGCGTCAACCCGCGACACTCCGCCCACCGTGAGCTCCCCGAGCGAGGCCTACGCAAATATGACCCTCGACAGCGAGAACGACGGAGATCGCAGCCGCTCCGTAGAGCAGCGTCCGCCCCTGCGGGCTTCTTCACCCGCCAAACGGTTGCACTCCGACATGGACGACGGTAGCATGGATGTGGACAGCGCCGCGCCCGCCCGAAGAGGCAGCGGTCAGTCGAGCCCGCTTGCCGCAAAACCGCCGCTTGCCGCCTCAGCTCGCAGTCTGCGCTCTACATCAGTAGAAATGGCCGACGTCGCCTCCAACGGCGCCAGCGCTGCCAGTTCCGACTCAACCTTGGCCTCGAATGCGGATTCGACAGCGACCAGCGTGTCCAACACACCGGCTGCAGACGTGCCCAGCCTGGACGACCAGGTCAACAAAGTGCTAGCCCTATCGCGGAAACCGTTACAGGATCGTCAAGTTGGCTATGTCGTCTCTCAGAAGTGGTTGCAACGCGTGTGGGCTCGAACGCCTCAGTATGCCGACAAGCAACACGAGTTCAACAAATCGGCTTTGGAAGGCGAGATTGGGGCCGTAGATAACTCCGATCTCGTAGATACAGGTACGTTTCCAAAGTCACATGTCACGTGCGTTAATCATGTTTTGACATAACCAGCCACTCTCTCCGAAGACTTGGCCGATCAGAAAGGCGACGATTTCGTTCCACTTCGACCCGGTCTCCTGTACGAGCATGACTACGAGATCCTCCCTGCTGAGGCCTGGGAGTTGGTCGTTTCGTGGTACGGGGTCAAGGAAGGCACACCGGTGATTCGACGTTACGTTCACAACACTAGCTCCAATGAGTTTGCCGAGAATCTGCAATACGAAATCTATCCACCTATTTTTACAATTCGCAAAGTTACCAAATGGCCACCGACAACACACCATCCTGCCAAGAAACTCGTTGCAAGCAGGGCTGATAGTTTCGCCGAATTCATAAGGGCGGCGAAGCTGGCTGCTGGCATAGCGCAGAACAATGTACGGATTTGGAGACTACTGAATCCCTCGACTGCTGCCTCAGACCCGGCGCCTACTCAACAAGCCACCGGCATACTCACACCCGAAGCTTCCCCACCTCCGCCTGCGACTCTTCCCCTTGTCATCGACTCAGCCAGCCTGACTAGCCTGGACATCGGCACTCAGCGCGAGGAAGTGACTGGCAAGGATGAAATGACCAACGAGACGTTCAACATCGACCTGAACCTCGCTGGAGCGGGCCTTGCGGAAGACCAGATTCTCGTACTGGAGGAACAAGACGAGAATGGCGAGTATGTTACAGGGACACTCTCACGGCCTGCCAAAAAAGCCAATGTAGGCAACAAGCCTGGTATCTCAAAAAGTACACCCAACAGCGGTCGAAGCACTCCGACTCTATCAGGAGCAATGACGCGAGGCCGGACCCGAAACGGAAAGACACGAGGAACAACAGGACTCACGAACCTCGGAAACACTTGTTACATGAACTCTGCTCTTCAGTGTATTCGTAGTGTCGAGGAACTGACGATATACTTCCTCGCCAGTGAGTTCAAGCGTGACATCAACGCCGACAACCCTCTAGGGCACGGCGGTGCCATCGCAAAAGCATATGCAGGACTCATTGCTTCCATCTACGATGAGGCTGGTCAATCGTCGTTCGCTCCCAAGAACTTCAAGAACACTTTGGGTAGAGCAGCACCAATTTTCTCAGGCTATGGGCAGCAGGACTCACAAGAGTTTCTGAGCTTTCTTGTCGACGGGCTCCACGAAGATCTTAACAGGATCAAGAAGAAGCCTTACACCGAATACCCCGAGTCCGACGACAACACTGTGAATGACCCCGAAGCTATAAAGGCACTGGGCAACAAATTCCGGGATATTCATCACTCTCGAAACGACTCAGTAGCCATGGACCTCTTTAACGGCTTCTACAAGAACACCATGATATGCCCTGACTGCAACAAAGTGAGCATTACTTTCGATCCGTACAGCCTGGTGACCCTTCAACTGCCCATTGAACAAACATGGCAACACACAATCAAGTTTATCCCCCTGTACGGGAAGATGTGGGAAGTTGATATCGACATCGACAAGAACGCCACTATCAAGCAATTGAAAGAGTATATCGGCAAGCGTTTCGGGGTCGAATGGAACCGCATCATGTTATCCGAAGTCTATAGTCACAAGTTCTACCGCCACATGGATGACCAAGACACGATTGCGGAGTGCAGCATCCAGGCGCGAGATGAGTTCTACGCTTTTGAATTGGAAGCCGTTCCATCCAATTGGCCTGGGCCCAAGAAGAAGAAGTACCAGACGACCATCTTTTCTAGTGACGATGTCGATATACCCAAGTCTGATCACGTTCACCATGATAGGATTCTGGTCCCTCTATTCCATCGTAAGCCTACTTCCACATCATACCGATCACAAGGGTGGGCAATAGATTTATGGCCGTCATACATATTGGTGGATCGGGCGGAGGCTAAGGACTACGATGCGATTCTCAAGAAGGTCCTGGCCAGAGTTGCCCAGATGACTACTCGCGACATTCTCACCGAAGCGGATACATCACTAGCGCAGTCGTCTTCTGGATCGGACGTAGTATTAACGACAGAAGAGGATGCCTCCCCTAACGGTGACCCTCGTATTCAGGACAGATCGGTCGAAGGCGAAGATCTCGTAGAGGTGACGATGACAGAGCCTACAGAGACTCCAGCCGAAACACTAAAAGCTGACAACGAGCTGCCTGAGGTACTTCGACCAGGCAACTTCCTCCCACCCCAATTCCGGAACTTGTTCGAAATGAAGTATGCGCGAAGTGGCAAGGAGTATCTGCCTACCGGATGGAACAATCTCGACTCCAACAAAAGCTATGATCCCATTTCTAAGCGCGTTCGTGTTCCTTCGACCCGTGCCTCTTCGGTCCAGTCTTTGGAGGCCGGAAGCGATGCTACGTCAAGCGACGCAGATGATGATGAGAATATGCAATTCTCTGCCGATGCTCAAAGCTCGATAGAACTAGCGAACCAGAGCAGTGACGAAGACACGCAACCCTCCATCGAAGAGCCTCCTGCGTTCTCTCGCGGCGGCCGACAGAAGAACAAGAAGCCTAAGAAAATGACGAAGCACGAGCGCAAGCTTCTGCGTAACAAGAACTTCAACAGGGGAAAGAAGGGCAAGAATCCTTACCATATGGAGCAGCCATCTCAATCGTACAACGAACTAGAGGACGAGGATGACGAGCGGCTAATCAAGCTGGGTGAAAGTATCATTCTCGATTGGGATGCTGATGCTTGGGATGCTCTTTTTGGTGCCAATTCGTACGAGGATTCACGGGGCAGGAATGCTATGATCGATGTCGAGACCTGGGAAGACAAGGAACTTCAGGCTAAGAAAGCTAAGCGGGCCGCTCGAAAGAAAAACGGTCTCACCCTGGAGGAATGCTTCGCTGAGACCTCTAAGACTGAGGTCCTCTCCGAGGATAATGCGTGGTACTGTAGTCGCTGTAAAGAACTCCGCCGCGCCACAAAGACACTGGAGATTTGGACTGCACCCGACATACTCGTCGTACATCTCAAGCGATTCAGCTCACACCGGGTTTTCCGAGACAAGGTTGACGTGCTCGTCGATTTCCCCATTGAAGGTTTGGATCTGTCAGAACGGGTTGGACTTCACGAAGGCAAAGACTTGGTATACGATCTTTTCGCAGTTGATAACCATTACGGTGGCCTTGGTGGAGGTCACTACACTGCCTATGCCAAGAACTTCTTCGATGGGCAGTGGTACGAGTATAATGGTAAATCCTTTCTTTTCCCAACTCAGTTGTCGCCATCGCTAACACCTTCCAGACTCTAGTGTATCAAAGAAATCCAACCCAAGACAGGTCATTTCGACTGCCGCCTACCTCCTATTCTACCGACGTCGCTCAAGCGGCCCTTTAGGTCCTCCCGAACTCCAAAGTCTCGTCAACAACTGGCGGAATCCCGACTCTGAAGCGGCCGGCGCCTCGGAGGAAGAAGATGCCACCTCCCGCAACGTCTCGCCTTCGGGAAACGGCTTGCGCCTCGGCGGCTCGTCCCGCAATGGTTCGTCGAGCGCTTTCGGAGCCGGGAGCGGAGCGGCAGTCGGAGCCCTGCGCGGGGGTGGTTCGGACGGAGCAGGGAGCCTTCTACGGAACGGAGTCTCAGCCGGGACTCTCGACGATGAGAGCCCACCTGGCTATGAAGATGAGGGGTACGCTGACGAAGATGACGTTGCGGGCGCATATCCTACTAATATCGAAGACGTATATGCGCCGTTGCACAGCCGGCTTGGAGGTTCACCCAACTGGAGCTTCAACAACGTCAACAGAGACCGCGACGACGGCGACAGCGACGTTGTAGCCTTTGACGAGGAGGAACGGGATCGCATGGCGGAAGACTTCGGCGAGGAGTTGAGCTTCGCACCTGGGTCGCCAGTCGGAGAAATGGAACTCATCGCACCCGTGGAGACTGACGATGCGGAGCTGGCCGAGATTCGCCTCAAGGGGGACTAGGCGGGTTGCCGACGTTTCTTTAGAGCTTCAGTCGCTTGTTTCTTCACTGCATTTCTGGCTTTCAAGAGGAAAAGTATTTGCTTATCACTAACCACAGCGCTCGTGGCACGAGTCTGGAGAGGGGTATCCATGTGTATTGCATTGCGTTGCATGGCACGACGATTGTTTAAATAGATGATGATATCGATGACGGCGATGACGCAGGAGATGAATGCGGGACGTACATGGGTTACGTGGATTGGGCTGGGAATGAATGGGATAGAGGTGTTGGGCGGTGGCTCGCGGCGTTGTATGCATTAGAGGGTGCGAATGGACAGATTTCGTAGAACGAAATGGTGAGATCCATTCGACTTGACTGCGGTGTCTTGTATGCGTGTGTGCTATCCCTTTCTTCCACCACGCCTACTCCAGCCGCACAACCCACCCATCCCCGACCTTCTCGCCCTCGGCAATTTCACCGCCCCAAAACAACACGCTCCTCCCATCCTTCATCACATCCGCGCCGAAAAACGCCCGCGGTCCCGGATGCAGCTTCCCGGCCCCGGCGTCGCCCAAGTCATCCGGCACGCGAACGTCGACATCGCACCACGTCCACTTCCCACTCTCGGCACCCACACCGGTGCGTATCGCGTCCTTGAGCTTGGCCGGCTTGATGGCGTCTTTCATACTGAGGGTCGCTTGAGGCGCGAGGTTGCTGGAAGGGAGCTGCAACGTCCATGTGTCTGACCATTGGGTTGGCTCTGGCACGGGTTCCTTCTCTGTTGTGGAATGGGAGGAGAGGTCCTGCTCTGTGAAACCGTCCGTTGGTTTGGACGTTCTCGGAGAGGGTTCAGACCGCGCGCCCAGCAGATAGACGAGGTAGTTCCTCCCGTAGCCTGTGGTGAGGGGGAGGAGGGCGCCCGCGTAGCGGGCGCGGGGGCCGGGGACGAGCGGGTTAGTGGGGAAGGTTAGCGTTGTCCATTTGGCGTCTTTGGTGTCGAGGGGTAGGACGTGGAGTTGCGAGGACACCGGGTTGGTGGAGGAGATGAGGTAGAGCGTGTTGTTGTGGACGGTAGCGTTGGACGGGGATGTAGGAGAGGGCGGGGGCACGAGAGTCTCGTATGGGCTTGGTGCTGAGGCTGGGTCCGCATCTGCGGAGAGGGAAGGCGTGAGCCTGGCTATGGTGGTGATCCCATCGGTGGAGTCGCCGATCAAGAGGAGCAGGGAGGTGTTGTTGAGAGGGAAGATGCGGGTTTCGGTGGAGGGGTGAAGGACGGGGCCGTCGGTCGCGAAGGAGTGCAGGATTGACCAGGTCTTTGAGGATGGGGTGAAGAGCCAGACGTCGCCGTCATCGGCGGGCTGGCCGGTCGAGGAGGTCCCCCCATAGACGACTACGCCCTCCTGAAAAGCACATGCTGCGTGATTGGTTCTTCCACGGGGGATTCTTCCGTCTTCTTCTTGAGGAATGGCGGGGATGAGCTGGTAGTCCGGCTCGTGGTTTGCCCCTGGTTCGAGATTCACAACGTGCATGTCGTTGGTGGCTACCGTGGCATCGGCAGTCTCACCGCCATAGATATATGCCTTCGAGTCTACGATGGTGAGGGTGTGGTTGGAGCGCGTCAGCGACCGCTTGTGCATTTCATCGTCGTGGACTACGGCAATGCGCGTGAAGGTAGCATTGAGAGGCTGGGTTGGTTTGACCAGAAAATAAGTCGCTACTCCAGCTTGGAAAGACGTCGAGAGGACCTCTTCCGCCGCGAGGGCGATGCCGGCGCCGGCTGCTAATTCAGCCATTGTTGTTGGGTTTTGTTCCTTGGTGAGTGTATGTGATGAGCTGTGAAGTATGAGATTAGATATGGTAGGTGCGAGTTGATGACGTCAGTGTCTGAAATATGCAGACCACGTTTGCTTGTGCGATGTCTCACTTCAATGAAGATTTTCGATTTTTGCCGTATCGGTACGATGCAACCAGAGCTGTTGTACAGTAGTCGCTTCTGAGTGCTCAGTCGGTGGCACGCGTTCAACGCTAGTCGCACTAATTATTCATGCCACGATGCACCTACTATATTGCTTAGGCTCCAGAAGGTCGACAATTGAGTTTCGTATTGAAAGAGGCAGCTTTGCAGCTGTCCGGTTTCTGCGGACCGATCTGGGTTATGAGCGTGATCACTCTTTCCTCGCGGGGCGGCGACTTGTGCTCTATCGTGGGCAGCAGTTGAGTGGGTCCTCAGGAATCTTTACCGTACAAGATATCAGAACTAGTAATGTTCACTGTGTCCACTCCGGGTACATCAAAATCCTAGTAAAGCTAGCTTCTTTAGTATGTCCGGAGATATGAGATCAGAACGCTCGTCCTGGAACCTTTCTCAGAGCGCGGAACAAGCAAAGTTCTGAGATCCGCCATTCTTACGGTAAGCGATTGAGCCCAGGAGAATAGCGGAAGTCGCAAACAGAAGGGTGATGCTATATGACATCACCATTGCTTTTTCATTCATGTTGTATACAATGGTGGTATCGAAAATGGCTATATTGGTTGGGGTTCCCTCTGATTTTCTGGAGCGTTTGACAACAATGAAAGAATACGTCCAAGATCGCAGAATTACAAGAAGCAATCGTTAGCGAGGAGCGACAGAGTGACATTATCACTCAGTTGCTATATGTTCAACGGTCGTGTTGTCATATCCCCAAACAAAGCCTTGAATTCCTCTTGTCTCTCTTTGGCACTATGAAAGCGAATCGATCGGCTACGAAACTCAATGAAATATGTGTAATTGAGGAACTCAGGAACCATGGAGTCTAATTTCCAGAAGACAGACTGGCTACCAGATGCATGAGGACCTGGGAAGTTCATCTTCGGGATGGCAACAATAGTATTTCTGTTAAGTCCCGAGGGACATCGCAATCCCCTCCTTGATAATATTGAATCTCACATAGATCTCCATGTGCAAGATAATTCGTTCAAGACCAGCCAAAGTAGTCTGCGAAGTCCGTTGCTGACGCTATACCTGAGACGTGAGAATCGCTACTATCCAATTTTTTAAAAAAAATTTGGCTAGAAAGGCTATTGCTGTGCCATCCGGAACATTCCACTCCTGTACCATGCTAATCGGTGCATATACAACCGTTCAAATGAGAGAGCAGTGATCTGGACGCCAGATTAGTGCTGTGAAAGTCCCCTTTGGTCTACAATACTTACGCAAACAGTGAGCGAGAGCGCCTGCTAAACCGACAAGAAGTGTAGTGATCATTTGTATAGGGACGCTCCAGAACTTGCAGCCATGTCGCCTGTAGAATATTCAAGGTCATTTCTTTTCTTTTCTTTACAGGTGTCGTCGCAGCACGCCTAGCATCCACTCAAACAAGGGTTTCGACCTGACCCTGATCGTGCTTACCGACACCGTGCACGAGGTTTTTGGTGATGGGATGTGACCTGCAGAGTGGATTTGGAGAAAAGCACATCGTTGAGTGTTGGTATCGAGTAATTCAAGTGTCACTTAGTTTGATATTCCTCAGCATTGACTTACTGATGAACGCTGGGCTACATTCAGACTCGGCTCATAATGACTAGTGGCTTTGACATCTTACGTGGTCCAGTCCACCGTTAAAACGCTTCTCTCATATCATTCGGCGGCGTTCCAGGCCCTAGGAGCCGCGTTAAAATGCGAGCCACTGCTGAGCTTGGTGCACATCCATATTCTCTTCACCCTCGTGTATATCGATCAATCCTTGCAAGGGACCATCTTTCGGCACAAAGCAGTCTTGAACACAGAATCAGAGGGTTGAAACATGGCGACTTATAGGACTGGACGAGGCATTAATTAGCCGAGGAGTATCCAGAAATGTACTTTGTGGTACTTACGGAAGCGGGGAACACAAGGTGCTGGCTCCAATGATGATAGCCAGGAAACTTTCGAACAGGTGAAGCGTAATGATAGTTGAGTAGGGTTCCGGTGGTGATGCAAGATTGAGTAGAGATTTCAAGCTCTAGTATTTCATGCTGCATTCATGACATCGTCGCGTAGACTATGTCGGGCAAACATAACCCTACGGTTGATCTGTGCGCATAGTTCACAGCAGTATCTTTCGCCATACTATAGCTCCTACATTATTGAGAGTGCATGGGTGCAGATGAAATGAAAACTTCGTCGGGCACTCCATTGTCATACAGTGTTGGACGTCGAATGGACTTGCTAGTTCGCATTGGAAGGTGGCCAGGTTGGATCATCACTTCCAAGAGGTTTCGGCATATCCTCATATCCTACATGAACCCCGCTGATCGATGCCGAGTGTGTAATGGCCTTCAACACACCCAGCGTGGTGGCCCTTGTTTCCATGTACTTTTCGGTGACCTCGGAGCCAGGGCTTCCACGGTCCTCAAGGGATTCCTTCGGCAGCTGGCCCAAGGAGCGGAGGTATTTCATAACTCCAGCGAGCGAAACATGCACCTCATAGGCGCCGCCACTTATTGTGCGCTTATATAGTGCGGCCATGATTCCAGTAGCCAGGAAATAGCCAGATCCGTGATCAAGGGCTTGACAAGGAAGGACTTTCGACGGTTCCTCCAAGTCAAAATGTTCTGCTTCTGCAACATTTAAACCAGAGGCTGCTTGTACAAGCGAGTCGAACCCACGGTTCTTTGCCCAAGGGCCATCTTCTCCCCAAGCATTCAGAGTCGCGATCACCAAGTTTGGATTGATTTCTACAAGCTCCTCCGATGAGAAGCCCTGCGCAGCTAAACTGCCCGGTCGGTAGCTTGAAAGAAAGACATCCGCCGTGCGTATCAACTCAAGCAGTTGCGCCCTGTCTTGAGGCTTCTTGATGTTAAGCTGTACCGTGCGCTTTCCCCTCGCCATGTCGATGTCAAGCTCCGGTTGGTTTGGCAGGGTCGGCGAGGTCACCCAGATTACGTCTGCACCATGGGCGGCTAGAGTCCTTCCAGCTACTGGTGCCGCAATGATGCGGCTCAGTTCCACGATGCGCACACCTCGTAAGCAATACTTGTTTGCATCTGCACCCGACGGTAGAGGAACGGGTGAGCTTGTTTCACGAATCTTCTGTAATCTGATAGGGAAGTCCGCAACAGCCTTAGCCTGAGGAAGTATATCCCACTCTTGGAATGAACGCAGCGCCACAATAACAGCTTCGTGTTCGAATGCAGCTGTCTCGAGCTCAACGGCTTCGAACACTCTCATCTTATTTGCTACTTCCTCCCTCGTCGGGTGGAGCTGATACGGGTAAAGCCCAAGGAGTTTGAGAGCATTATTCAAGTGATGAGGAAAGCCGTCGTGCATCCGAACGTACCCGTCAGCAGTCTTGTGAAGTCCTCCGAGTTTTCCAAATGGAGACGGAAGACGTATCCCGTCTAGCGTATACAGTCGTTCAGATATGAATTCGGCACATGCATGCTCGCTTGAAACCGAAACCACGGGTACTGGTTTGCTAGCTTTTGTAGACCACAGCAGGGCCGCTGCAAGTGCGGAGAGAACGATAGAAGCATGGGCAAGGTGGCCGACCTTGAATGAAGACGAGAAAAAATTGGCATCCTCGACAAGTTTCAGCGACCTCAGAGCATCGCTAGGCAGTTCAAGCGTTCTCCAGACGTGCGCCACAGAATCTAGAGTGCTGAAGCTCTGTCGGTCTATGGCCCTCATGCCTTCTGGCTGATGAAGCACTCTTTCATTCGATGGTGTATCCATCTCTTGATGCTGCGTTGACTCAAAGGAGCGAAAATACATGTGTAACCTCGTTTTGAACCGGGAGAATCGAATACTTTTATTGTGATGTACGATGAGTCAAATCCGTAATACCTTTGATAACCGTTCCGTATTCCGTATGACCGAAGCAGCGTACGTAAGATTGCCGAGGGACACTAGCTCACCCACGACACGCACGGCTCATAGGGTAAGGTTGTTGTAGTTCAATCTAATGATTCTTGTGCGATAGTACTTCTTCCGCGGAGTTGTCAGAGAGTGCAGGCGGCACATCTGCCAAGGCTGTGCACTGCATGTGACAGGGAATGTGATGTGTATTAGTAAGTTAAACTACGCTAGTAGCTCCTTCACGCTAACCTATTCCTATTTTTCACTGTGTCTTCATTCTTTCTATCTGCCAATTTTGTCATCTATGGAACACAATCTTGATACATAATCCAGTTGGACCAGAAATATGGACACCTTGTCTTAGTTGCGTAGAAATATCATAAGGTATTTGCGAGACCGTAGAGGCGTACTGACGTACTGAACTGGCTTTCGCAGGTTACGAGAAACACCCACAGTGGCCAATACAAAAAAAAAATTAACTTCTACAGTACATTTTGTCCTGTAGGAACTCACTATATAATGCTGATTCAAGCTATTATTTAGTGGGTTGAACCTGGGTTTGCATAGCTACAAAAGTCCGAATATTACTGTCGGCCACTGGTCGTGCATGTTGTCGAGCCCAAAACAACTTTCGCAAGTCAAATGTGTATTTGGAGTAGCTAGTCATCCGAAGCTCAGGTCTCAGAGATTGGAAGGTAAACTTGGCTAGAACGACCGCGTTCATTGGCACTCTCAAATTTCAAGCAAGACATGTACAACGAGGAGAAACCGATCAGGCTGTAGCTCGGAATAACGACAATACCTTGCAGTGATTAACAAAATTTCAAGATTTGAGTCGTTGTGCTCAACTAGCCTCTACACTCAGGAATCTTGTGTGCTCGACCGCTTTGCGCAACCCGCACACCAACCCCATATCCCAAGACCATGTACCCACGCCCTAGTTCTCCATCTTCACTCGCTCAATATGCACACGACCGACAGGGGATAATCCTTCAAACAAATGGTACCCCTTCCACCAGTCTGGGATGCTGCCGTCCAGCTCGCGCACGTCGCTCGGGGCAGGAGTGTCGATAGAAGTGAAGTCGGAACTGGTGGAAAACTTGTTGATCGCAAAGTGTGACTTCTTGAGAGAAGTATGCACACAGAGAATGTGAAAGGAGTCTGAAGTTGATGCTCCGACGCGCACAATCGCATAGGCGAACTTGTGGGTGACAGCGGACATTCTTGCGGTTTTGCAGAGAGACGGGATCGTGTGAACTGAAGTTGGATGTGAAGGGGCAGCCGAGCAGTACATTCGTGATTATGCAAGTGTTTGCTGCTGGAAACGTACTGAGTCTGCTGCCTCGTTGGGTTGCAACATCTTGCCATGGTCCCAGAGGGTTTCAGGACGATCTTGCGTCGGTGGACTCATATCAGTATCAAGGCTGCAGTTTTGGTACGATAAGCAAGATGATGATCCAAATGCCTTAGGACATAGACTAGCAGAAAGTCCCTAGGTGAGTCTGGCACTGGTCGTTTGCCGCTGCTCACCCGATCAGATCAAACGATTGTGGGCAAAGCGCCTCTAAAGTTTCACGCCATTCCCACTGATTGCTTCCAGGCCTTGCGGGCTTTGTGATACCCATCTGATCAAAACGGAATTGTTGCAGTTGGTTATAAAAGTTCGTCGCGTTGTCGTACTCTCACAAATTACCACAACATTGGTTCCCGAACCCACATCAGAACGACGCATCACACACAACCAAACATACACACAATGGGCAAAACCACAAACGACACAGCAAACTGACGGAAACCAGCAGAGTACCTCTTTCAACTCGCACTCCCAGCAGAGATACGGTTATGTCATTTTCCAAATTAACGACGTAGACCTCGACCCATTTTATTCCGATGTTCATTGCATCTTCCACATTGAAGCGGCTGCCCCACAATTTTCTCCAAGAATTTGTGAGGGTTCTCCTACGATTCTTAACTCGACACCCATAAAAGCGGCACCCTGCCGGTGGCAGCTGAACGGACGAAATCCCTCAGGATGAAAAGGCTATGATAATCATGACGAGGAAGGAGATCAAACGGGATCTATCGCTTGCATACGAGTTCCTTTCAGAGATTTCTGCACGGGCAACTGGGTTCGATGAATTATTTCATGAGGGTAGACGCACGTATTCGGGAAGGGATAGGGTGATGCGGGCTTGCGGATTTGATTGCGATCCTGAATTATGAAGATTTGGTGCCAAAGAAGCGTTACTACATACGGCATATGTACAGTCGTGGTAGTCGGTAGCTGGAATTTAATCCCCCGAGAAAGCATCTCTGAGACTGTGAAGCAAGCTCTTGCCAATGAATGTGACTAATACTTTACATGCGTATGAATATTTAACTAGCTGTCCACATTCACACCTGGTCTCCCTTTCACAAAACATTAAGAGCAGGCGAGATCCAATGAGGGAGATAATTTGTGGAGGAAGGTATGCCGAGCAATGTAACCCAAAGAAGCCAAAATCACGCGTGTGTTCCACTAATTGGACAGAACCCCACAGACGCGTTAGTGTCCCAACCCCAGGCCCAGCTATTACCAACTCGCTCTCACGTACCGGTAACCCCACCAAAATCAATGGACCGTGCTGGAGATGCAGGCTCATGTGATGCGGATGACAGTGCTCCGAAACGTTGTATATAAATATCCCCACGCTTCAGCCTGCGGCCTCATACATGACCACCACCTTTGGGATCATTTGAGGAGTGCAAACACAGTTGAGGCAACATGGGAAGCGCTGAGAAGCAAACATGGCTACAGAAGCTAGACGAGGAGCGTAAGACACTTCTTCTGAATCCCTAGGAAGATGGAATGCTCACAACCTCAGTGAATGTCGATGTCGACTGGATGGACCCTGCCTTCTCCGTGCGCATGGCCACCGACTTCGGCGTCAAGCCAAACGACATGACGAGCAACAACATCTGGGCCAACGTGCAGATGTCACACCCCTCCAACAGCTCTCTCATCCAAGACTCCGTTCGTGAACTCAAAGACGAGGGCTGGTTGGCCATCTACAATCGCATCTGCGTAGGCATGTGCAAAGCGAACATCGACAATATCAAGGGACGCGTCGCGCTGCAGATCAACCCGCATGAGGCCTACAACACCAAAGCTGTGCTTGAACATGCGCGGGCGTATGCGAGAGAGTTTGAGAGAGCGGGAATCCCGAAGACGAGATACTTTATCAAGATTCCTGCGACGGGGCCGGCGCTGAACGCGGCGCCGATTCTGGAGGCGGAGGGGGTCAGGACGCTTGGGACGGCAGTGTTTGGTCTTGCGCAGGCGATTGCGTGCAGTCAGGCGGGGATGCTGTACATCAGCCCGTACTTGAATGGTAGGTCCGTTGCATTTCCGCGCTGCACAGCGATAAGCTGACTTGATGTAGAGGTCCGCGCGCATAGTGACACGAGTCTGTGGCCGGATGTCGAGGATCCGGCTACGCTGCATCCCAACTCTGCGCGTATCTGGCAGATCCTGGAGACTTACAGGAGACTATACAAGGAGACAGGGAAGGAGCAGCCTTTGCTGAAGAATGCCAGGCAAGTCATCCCGGGCTACTCCAAAACCTAGCTCACAAGCGCAGCATTCTCTCGCCACAAGAAGCAATGGCATCGGGTGAGATGGGATGCCACTCTGCCACCATATCACACACATGCATCGAAGCGCTATCGAAGCTGTCATATGACGGCACGAAGCAGCCCGGCATCGGAGCACCGAAGCCACTGCACGTTTACAAAAACCCGGGGCCGACACCAGAACGCTTGAAGAAACTTATGGAAATTGACCCACTCGCGTCGGCAGATTGGGATGGGAAGTTGGCAAGCACAGATATTGACTATCTTGCAAATGATGGGGCGGAGCTTGAGAGAGCGATCAAGAAGGATCCTATGAGTGTGGCCAGGTTGGAGGATGCGCTGAAGCTATTCCAGGACGCGATTGATGAGAGTCGAGCGAAGATTGAAGATGTACTGCGAGGGCTGTAGGTTGAATGTTGGTCACGCGAGAACAGGGCGTGAGGAAGGCACGTGTACGTTTGTGTGGAAAAGTACGAACCAAGTGTGATTGCTCGACATGAAAGCCGACTATCTTCAGTTCGTGAAAAAGTATGCCGAAGAAGAGAAAACCGTAAATCATCATATCATGTAGTACGTAACGAAACTCGTATCGATCGTTCCGTAGATCGAAAAGTCGTACCAGCATGTATGCAACATGAGCCTCTGTTCACTGCTCCAAATCCAGATTGCCAGAAGTAAAATGTAGAGCTTAAGCGCCCATAGCCAAGAAGTCGGTGTAGCTGTGCACAGCAACACCAGCGAAGTTTCCAGCGCTCTTCTTCGCACTCGTTGTAATCGTCGCCAAGTCGCCGATGAGGGTGCTCAAGGTCTTGCCCGCGTAGCTGATCAAGCTGACGTCAGAGCATTCGCTGCTGGTCTCAACGGACAGCCAAACCGGGATGGAAGAATCGACGCCCTTGACAGCCTTGAGCACGGGGTCGGCAATACCGAGGAGCGACTTGGCGGTGTTACGGTATGTCATGAAGGTAACAGAGTCCAGCTTGTCCAGGAGGCATGTGTCGAGAGTGGAGTCCGCACACGCGACAGTGTTAGCCCAGAAAGGAAGATCGGCGCCAAGAGGCATGTCGAGCGACTGGGCGAGTTTCTTGGTCTGACCAACAATGGAGACGAGCGAAGAGACGTACTCAGCCTTGTTGGAGTCGAAGTCCTCAAGCGCCCATGGCTCGACGTCGAGGTGGATGCCAGCAAGCTTGGCGTCAGAGGAGGCGCTTGCCTGGTAGTTCTTGATCCAGTCGAGCTCGTGCTCCAGGGTGGGTCCATCCTCAGTCGTGCCACCGACGATCCACTGCTTGTCGCCCATCAATGCTTCGACTTTGAGGCCTGCAGCATTGCACTTCTTAATAAAGGACTCCCAAGGTGCGTTGCCCATGTCGCGGTCGATGAGTGCAAGGACAGTCTGGAAGGGGTGGTTACTGTTGGTCATCTTAGAGAGGAAGGTCTGGACCTGGGAGTCATCCTGGATGATGTCGGAGTTCCATAGCCAGATGGCGCGCTCAGAGCTTGCTGTTGCAGAGCGAGGGTCCTTCAACGGCAGAGAGAGAACTGGCGCTGCCAGGGCGAGGAGGGGAGTGCACCAGTGCATCTTCATTTTGTTTGTTTGTAGAAAGGAATGGCTACGCAAAAAGTTGCGTAAAAGGTGTGTCGGAATGAGCGACGAGAAAGAGAGTGTGAGACCTGAATGAGGGATGGCTACATGGATAAAACGAAAAGGGAAATCGCAGTACTTATAGGCACTTAGCGATTACACACAAAAAGGACGTGAGATGAGATGGGGGCTAGCCCCAGAACTGCACAAGTCAGATTAGATGAGAGGGCGGACGGACTTGACTGGTGTTTCGGCTAGGCGAAACAAAAGGCGCGAACGCTGGACCGCCGAAAGGCTCGGGAACTTTGTAGCGCGCGTTTCCTGCAGGTACCCACCGGTCGAACGTCCGGTCTTACTTAAATCTACGAAGGACGCACGCCACTTTAAGTTGTGCACCTAGAGCAGATTGCTTACCCCTCAGTCGCAATATCTTGCCTCCCTCATTGCCCGACGTGGCGCTCGACTTTGATCATGAGACAGAACGCGCCTAAGGATTACGCCACAGATCCCAGTATAGGTGGCTGTCTGGAAGCAACACTCACACTTCCACATGCATCTTCTGCTTTCGTGTTTCGTACACATGGCAAACATTTTGAATCTTTGGTTGACTGCCTGTGCCCCATTTTTCGCGAGCCGCCCCTAGCCCGAACCAGATCCATCAAATGAAACATTCGACAGGCACCTGTTTCCTATTGGTTGTGAAGGGTGGGTCAGCAAGCATGGTGCGGCGTCCGATAAGTCGCAGCGTAGCGCCGGGTGGATCTTCCGAATACCTGGGATTCTCCTCTGTTTCCTACCATTCATCGTGCGTGTTTACCGTTCGTTTGACGCACGTTAAGAGATGCGGTAGTGCCATCTTGACGGGCATTATCGATTAGATACGAGGCAGCGGTCACGCGTCATGTCAGATTTGTGGAAATTCGAACGACAGCTTGGAGTGCAGACGCAGTGCGACATCTGATGGCGTGAAAGCCGGCCCGCGGCGGTGCCAGTATTCGTCATCACAGGCTTGTGGAGATTGATAAAATACGTTCCAGGTATAGGTGCATCGGAAGGCAGCGTCCGCAGTACAGGGAGCTGCAGCTCAACAAGCTTGTTAAAAATTGTGGTGCATTGTAGAGCGAAGCGATTTCGGGAGTGGCGTCGTCGGCTGGGCTACGGTGCAACAGCAAAGTTTAGGTCTTCTCGGAACTCGGCGAATCAATGTACCCGGATCCAGATGCCGGACAGGTAGATGAGCAGCCCGAATGACACATGGCTAGATTATCTGATGTATGTGGAGCCAGTCGGCCTGTCTAGAAGCAGAACCAAGTGCCAACTCTCTTCCCCCAGCTCAACACACCCTTCTTTTCCGGCTCGATGTCCTCCTTCGTGTACACATCGGTAACTAGATCCATCTCATGTGACTTGACAAACTTAGTCCGCTTGAAAACCTTCCATAAGACAAACATGAGCGCGAACACAGGCAATTCGATGTAGTAGCTGACAAAGTCCACTGGGCTGAATACCGGACTGAAGCAACTCCATCCCTGCACAAGCACAAGAAAGCTGTTGAGGACAACGGCAATGATGGGACCCCATGGGTATGTCCAGTTCTTGAAGGGCAGCAAGTGCTCCTTGTTTTGAGCCTTCAGACCAGCGCGGAAGCGGAGAGAGGCGATGCCAATGCTGATCCAGGAGAGCTGATTGGAGACGCCGACAATGTTTTGTAGCCACGTCCAGAGTTGACCGGCCCCAATGAAGCTTGCACCGAACAGGAGACCGGACAGGATACTCGTGGTGAGCACGGCGACCCAAGGAACTTGAAAGCGTGTTAGTTTTGTGAATACTTTCGGCGCGTGACCATTAACGCCCAAGCTAAAGAGAAGTCTGCTCCCGGCAAACAAAGCATGGTTGCCAGCTGACACAACAGAGGTCAAGATAACAGCGTTTACGAAGGATCCGGCGACTTTAGATCCGGCCATCTGGAATGCGATAGTGAACGGGGATGTAGCGGAGCTTTTTGTCTTGAGACCCGGCGTATTGTATGCGACATTGAAGCCGATCATGATAGTCGAGAGGATGTAGAAGAGCAGGATGCGCCAGAAGACGTTCTTCACTACGCGTGGCAGTTGTCGTGCGGGATCGCGAGTTTCACCTGCGGTGATGGCGATTGATTCGGTGCCTCCGTAGGCAAAGGATGCGGTCACGAAAACAGACGCAAACCCTCCAATACCACCCACGAAAGGTGCATCGCCAATCTTCCAGTTCCGTGCCCCGATGTACTCATGTGCGGTATTGCCACCTGCATTGACGGCTATGCTGAGAATGATGAAGATGATGATGGTGATAACTTTCAGCAGGCAAAGCCAGTACTCGACCTCGCCGTAGGCGCGCACGTTAATGATGTTGGCTGCGACAATGATAACCCAAACGATGAGTCCCAACGCGTACCAGGGGAAAGTCTCCGTCCAGTAGTTCATCAAGAGCTGAAGCGCGACGAGATCTGCGGCTGTTGATACCACGTCGTTGAACCAGTAGTTCCAGGTTAGAGCGAAACCGAAAGCGTCGTCGACGTAGCGACCAGCAAAGGTACAGAAGCTACCGGCAACAGGGACGACTTAAGCTTGATTAGCAAAAACTTCCCTGCTATGTTCTATTACTTACAGGCTGCCATCTCTCCCAGGCACATCATCGTCACAAAGACAATTCCGCCGACAATTGCATAGCACAACACCAGCGCGGCGGGTCCACCAGTCGCAAGAGATTTTCCAGTTCCCAAAAACAAGCCTGTCCCAATTGTGCCTCCGATTGCAATCATTTGGACTTGTCGGGGCGAAAGCGCGCGGCGCAGCTTATCTTCAGCAACGATGTGCTCATGCTCGTGGTGGTAGCCATCATACTCGGGCGCTGGATGCGCGCCTTCGTAGTACGGTCCCTTCTCGGTGTCTGCCATGTTCGATAGATGCCGCAGGTGCTATGGAGGAGAGAAGGGCTGCGACAGCAAAGAGAAGCCAGGAAGCTTCCTCGCTGACGCGCGAAGCTTGAGGATCTCTATCGCCATGGTGCCTTCGAGCACGCAATATGCGGCGTCGCGGATTGGTTATAATAGCGTTGCACGGGCCTAGGCAAGGTAGCATTTGGAGGTTTTCCGTGTTGGCACTGCGCTTGGCCCTTTACCTGCCTAAAGCGTGGGTCCCGTGTGAAAAGGGCCTTGCGGCTAAAAACTCTGCGCTTTGGTGCTCTGCACTCATGATTCGGTCTTTGGACGATTACGTACTGCAGGGAACATAGCGCATTGCGGGGAAGCCGAAGCCCCACCGTCAACGGCTTCTTGTTTCCATTCTAGCCAAGCGTCCGGCGATTCTTCTTTCACTTGTTCAGTTCAACTATCTACCCTGCGAACTTGATACTGGAAGGGACCGTACTGACGTTGCCTGCACGAGGTAGAAATGTGAGCGGAAACGGCTTGTCATCAACCATTGGACCTTCGGTGTCCGAACACGTACGAGAAAGAACCATGGCACCAAGAACGTCAAAATAGCTTGGAGAGTCTGTTTTCGCAGTATTATGACTATAGTATGTCTAAGGAGAGTCTGCTGAAAAGGTCATAGGACGCAGCACAATGCAACACCGATCTAATGCCATCCATGACCCGCTCAACCAAGAAAGCCAAAATCAAGGAAGGAGTAAATCAACAACTCGATATTAAACGTATTTCCAAGCTTTCGCAAACCCCACCAAGCGATGCATTCAAAACCATGACACTCCAAGAAGAGATAGCGTTGCCATTCTTGGCACCGCCGGACAACCTCAGGGCAATCCTCTAAAGGAGCAGAGGAGTGCACATCATCGTCGCACCATCCAAGTTGATGCCGCCGCTCTTGAGGAGAACGTATGTCTGGCGGGCGTTCAGCTGACCAAGCTGGCCGCCATTTATGCCATTGATGGTGCAGTCGACGTTTTGCGGGTAGTCGATCAGCTGAGCGCTGGAGGCAATGACTTGGTTGGGGACGCCGACAGGGGTGCCGATCAGAACGTTGTAGAGATTGATGACAGTGCCGTCGAGAGGTGCGACGACGGGAGCGTGGGCACCAGTCTGATCGTTGATGAAGGAAACAGTTGCTGTTGCGCCTTGGGCGGCGGGAAGAGCGCAGGACGTAGCCGCGAAAAGGGCGGAGATGGTAGCGATGGTGAATTGCATGGTGATTATTGGTGGTGGAGGCGTTGAAACGACTGTTGATAGGAAGTGGCAGAAAAGGAACCTGGTGATGCTGTTGAGAGGAAAGTGTTGTAGTGGATGATGATCAACTTGAGTGCTCGACACTGCCATCTTATATAGATAGATCACTCTGAGCTGCACCTTAAAGCGCAGTGTCGCATTTCCATAGCTATGTGAAGCTACTGAGCCTCTTTGCATAGAGTACATCCGATCTTACAGCTCGCAAGGGGTTGCGTTGAGGCTGAGATACCACCCGAGCATACCGCAGGGTAACCACTGCGCCATTTGTGTATCCAAGTATAACTCGTTCTGGTGCGGCTAGCTACAAATGGTACGTCCAAGAAGCTGTGGCTTGAAACGAACCACAAAAGGTGCGAATAGGAATTTGTGGCGTCCAGCGACGAGGATCTACCCGGATGTGGCCAGAGCTGCGAAGGAGGGATCTCTTCGTCATTGCACTTCTCTTAGTCCGGCTCTAGGGTGTGCATCCTCCCGCCACAGCAAAAGACGCAAAAGACGCAAAGACACAAGGTGCATCCTCATGTTGCCACTCGAATTCTCATCGTAGTGGCCGTAGCTTCAAAATCAGCCCATGAAATACGCAAAATATGTAAATTCGTCAGCCTCTGTGGTGGCTTCGAGTGGACGCTGCAGGTTCGTTCGTTTGAGAGATTGGGGAGCTGAATAGTGGGAAGTTTGGTACAATGGACAGAGCGAGACCGCATCGGGATTGCGCATGCGATTGGCTAACGCTTTCTATTGTGCACTAAACTCCTATTATAGCGTTGGCCTGCCACGCTTGTACAGCTTCGGACCGACAAACCATCGCTTCAACTCATCAAAACGATCTTAGTGGCAGGGAGCTGAAGAAGAGCTTGCTTGTTTTGCAACCAATCTTTAGAAGGTAATAGTTGAGTAACAGTATCAGAGTGGCGTGACTTCATGAATGATCGACTCTGAAACTGCCCAGGTGGGTCATACTTCATCACAAATTTGCAGTAGAATTGTCTCTCAGCTAGTACCTCTACACAGCCCCATGTGAGGGCTTGGTGTTCAGTCTGGCCTAGTTCGATTTCCTTACCAAGTGATTCCTCAGCCACGTCAATCCATCTTTCTTTAGTCTAGTGCAAGGCCCATTCCTCTAGGTATGCCTATACTCGACAACCTGTCTTTCGGATGTAGCTAGGGTGCTTTCTGAAGTCCAATTCCTGAAATAGCTCCTTAGCAGCATGGGATCCTGCTGGCCCAGAATACGTATGATAACCACCATCCGCACGATTCCGGCCACACATGCGCTGAATCCACTCATGTCAGCGCGCTGGCACGTGGAAGACGAGAGCCTACAATAGTTCTGTACGAATATGCTTACCACGCCAAATTTCTTCGCTGTGTAAGCTGTGGTAACCATTACCTTTCATATAGGCAGCAAGATAGTAACGTTGATCGTTGCCTCGACTATGAGCATAGGTGCCAAATTGACACTTATATCGTCTGTCTTGGATTGCACAACCATGTGGTGACCTTAATGATTACAAAGTAGAAGAGCCCATCTGCGACGATAAAGAACCATAGGAGGTGATAAGTCCAGCTGATATGGTTTGGACTGAGTATGCAGATTAGCTGCAGCAGGATCGAGAGGTTGGTAGCGAGGATTGATGCGCTCTATATGATCTCGAGAGTGTTTTTTACTTGCCCTAAGCGATTAAAGACAGAAACAAATATTCTTCCGAGTAGTACTAGATGGGAGAGGCCCCACGGGCAGTAAACGCCTAAGCCATTGTGAGTCGCTGCCGAACCGAGAACGTTCCATGCCATATTACGGGTCCATGCTACATCTGGAGTCTGCTATCTCATGAGATGAGTATATGGAGGTTGAGCATTGGGTAACTGACAGTCCTCCCATACGTGTGCCCTCTGTATGAGAAATCGTGGCCATATTCGCATTATCATGAATACGAAACCCAAGGTCAAGCACAATCCCATGACAAGTCTGGTAGCAAATTTGTAGTTCTCCGGATTTTGGAAATTTGACAATACGCCGTTGGGGGAGTATGAGCAGGTAATGTCATGGTTCGTGGTAGTCATGCTTATAAAAGGATCAATAGCATCTATAGAGGACAGTGAACTTATTGTATATCCAGATGCTTTAGGCACATATACAAGAGCGCCCCTATCTTTTGTACGAGAAGAAAGCAACCTGACAAAAGACAACCTCGTGCAGTCTTGCACAGCCTTGCATGCGCTGTGGTAGCAAACTCATCTATCGGGCAAGCCTGATAGCTTGTCATATATTGAGTATGTTGCATTGACCCTCTTACCATGGTGTGAATTCTTCTGCCCCCAAAACAGCTCTTTGGCTCTTTCAGATTCTGTCTATCAACTGCGTCGAATGAATTGATGCAAGTCTTGAATTGACAGACTTTTCTGGCATAATTGGGAGAAACAGTCGGCGGGTGCGATACGGGCTCGAAAAGTGCCGGGGTAGAATGTTAATAGGATACGTAGGTTTTCCACGCGTCTGTAGTGAGTGAAACCAATGTAGGAGGAAATTGGCCCTACCTCGTTTAGCGAGGGCCGGGGCGGGTCGGCAAAGCTCCCCAGCCCAAACTGATTTCAGCCAGCCAACCTTCCCTCGCAATAGCGACCACTGGCTACCACCAGTCTTCAGCAATCCAGAGTGCCGTGAAGCGCTCGGTATGCTACGTACAATCCTATGTCTCGTCGTAGGTGGCGACTGCTGCTCTAGGGGAGGACTGCCACGCGCACATCATCATGACATGACAGCAACATCTCCATACTCGCTGGTCTGCATAGAGCCGTGGAGTATTTGAATCACTGACAATCGCTTTTGAATACATAGTAATTCTCTCACCATCCAAATAGCACTTCCATCAACCACACCGAATATGGTCTCACTATTAGGAAACACATTCGACCCCAACACGGAGATACCTGACTTGAGCGGCAAGGTATGCTTTCCGCTTCCCATGTTCGATTTTGAGATGATTCTGACATGCAATCGAGGTATACATCGTAACAGGCAGGTCTGCAGGTATTGGTTTTGGCATCGTTGCGCATCTACTCCAACACAATCCCGAGAAAATCTATCTGCTTTCCAACAAAGAAGAACACGCCGAAGAAGCACAACAAGAGCTCGCAAAGAAGTGGGGTGATGCCAGCAAAGTTGAGTGGCGGCAATGTAACCTCGAGTCCCTCAAGCAGACAGACGAAACCGCGCGGAACTTGGCGAATGAGCTGACCAGGCTGGATGGCCTCGTTTGCAACGCGGGACTGGGTGTTGGTGTGTACAATGAGTCTGAAGATAAATTGGACACACATATGCAGATCAACGTGTTTGCGCAGGCGCACTTCATATTGACCTTGCTGCCGGTGCTGCGGAAGACGAAAGACTCTCGGATTGTGTCTCAGTCGTCAGACCTACATCGTGCCGCTCCCGCATCGACCAAGTTCGAATCGATCGATGAAATGAATCAGGACATTTGTCCAATGTATCTCTACAACCGCACCAAGCTTGCACAGATACTTTTCTCCAGCGAGCTCTTGAAGCGCATCAAAGCGGGCCAATTCGGCGCAGTCACCGAGACAGAGGCTTTACCGTGGATCAATTGTATGCATCCCGGTGGTATCAAGACAGACCAGCAGTTCCAAGCTGAGGAGGCCTATGGATCCCTGGGCAAGATCGGTTCAAGACTCGTACGTCCGTTCCTAGCCGACCCGGTAGACCAGGGATGCCGCGCAGCATTGTTCGCTACCACGAGTCCCGACATTGTCACAGAGCAGGTGCAGGGAGCATACATTGTGCCTGAGAGCAAGCCTACAGACCCTTCGAATCAGACAAAAGATGAAATCCTTTCAGCGAACTTGTGGAGATTGACGAAGGAGATACTCGAGAGCAAGATTGGGAACTTGGGTTATACCATGTAGATTAGCAGAATCTGTCAAGATTTGGAATCAACAACGATAGACAGGCCGCGACGCGCCCTATGGTATCTGCTACAAACGGAAGTTGTGTTTCAGTCGTTGATCGTAGTGACATGTACAATAGGGCGTAGATGCGCCCTAGGTTCATCGTGTGCTTTTTCCGGTCTATTATTGGGAGAGAACCACAGCGGGTGTTTAAAATAGGGGACTGTCTATTTCTATAATATATCTAGATGGAATATTCAATTACACCTTTTTGAGTGTAACGTACAGCTGTTCGTCTAGGATACGGTACTTTTAAAGTCTATTTGTTTGAGTCAGCCACTGTGGACATAAGCGGAAGCTGTTTCAGCGTTACAGCATCACTGAGCATCGTCGCGCAGATCGCGCGATAATTTGATGCATCTTGTCGAGCATCTTCTTTCTGGGGCGAACGAAATGTGTTCTGACAATAGGGCTGTGTTGACCATAGGGCGCGCGTATAAGCTACGTCATTTGGAATCCTCGGTTAGGGTGGGGCCGTTACTGCATGAGGAAACCGACACAGCATCTGCAGACCCGCGGGGCAAGGATATCGATCGAAGAGGGATAAAAGGTTAAGAATTCTCGCTGTTTGATGTTCACATAAGGTTGCCTCAAAAACATATCATCCCGCTTATTGCTGTTCGCATCTTCATCAAAGTGTATACATTGCGCCTGCCTCGTGGAACAACAATCGACAGTACACCCCTTCCCTGGAATCTAACTCATTCGACTCTACTAGACCCACCGAACAGCATGAAGTCCAAGCTCACCAATTACAAGCTTCTCTCGTTCGACGTTTACGGCACCCTCATCGACTATGAACGAGGTGTTCTCCAAAGTCTACAACCTGTGCTTGAGAAAGCCGGCAAGACGGACATCGATCCTCTGCACATCCTAAAAATCTCTCAGCCATTGTTCAAGGATGAGCAGATCAAGAATCCCCAAAAGAAATACTCGGATTTGCTCTCCACATGCCATCCCGTCATTTGTAAGGAGCTCGGTCTCCCTGAGCCTACTGCGGAAGAAAGCAAAGCATTTGGCGCCAGTGTCGGTAGCTGGCCCTCGTTCGAGGACAGTGTTTCTGCATTGCGACGACTGAAGAAGACGTACAAGATGGTCGTGCTTTCCAACGTGGACAACGAGTCGTTCAAGGCGAACAACGCGAACTCTCTTGACGGCTTTGAGTGGGACCTGGTACTCACCGCTGAAGATATTGGCAGCTACAAACCTGATCCGAGGAACTTCGAGCACATGTTGAAGACAGTGAAGGAGAAGTTTGGCGTGGAAAAGCATGAGGTGCTGCAGACTGCGCAGAGCCAATTCCATGACCACCATCCTTGTAAGGACATGGGAATCACGAGTGCTTGGATTTATCGACCGGGTGCCATTATGGGTAACCGAGATGATCCTGTATACAACTGGAAATTTGACCAACTGGCTGATATGGCGGATGCGGTTGATCAGGAGTTGGTGGGAGTGAAACGAGGCGTTGAAATTAGGCTTTAGAATGGACCGTGCGCATTAATGAAACATTTTTCGCATACTGCTCCTTACGGACAACAGAAACAGTGCATTCACTCTTCAGTGGAGAATCCTAGTCTATGATGCGTCATGAGAGATCGGAGGATCGACCACCAAGCTTGGCAGCCCACTTCGCGCCTCTTACGTCCGTTGCACCTCAGTAAATCAACTCTTGCATTTGTAATACCCTGCCTTCTCAAAACCATCACATCCCCTCGCCCGTGACTTCCACCCTGCTGCGCCCCATCACCAACGCCAGCCGCGACCTCCTGCAGGCGCCCAATTTCCGCACAGTGCCCGATTGGAGCAGAGTGCCCGACACTGCGTACAGCACGGACCATCAATAGATCCATTCTAGGCCCATAACCAAGCTTTGCCCAGCCTTGGCGACGAAGCTTATTGCTGACAACCTATCGAAACGGCGCGGGACCCCAGCTGAAACGGGTTGACTCCAGTTTCCGTTTTCATCCCGCCATTTCTTTCGGGTCGCGGCGCCATGCAACCTCCTCGTTCATCATCTCTATATAGAAGAAGAAGCGGTTTGGATACCCCTCAACCCGACGATATGGCGCCCCGGGCGACCACGCCTTTGTTTGCAGACGAGGACAATGGCCGGGACAGTCCAGCGTTGGGTTTCGGCGCCTCAACGTCGTCCTCTGCACCGCTATTGCCCCTAGACGAGCCGGTCATGATGAATTTTGGTTACAGAAGGCGAAATCTCTGGCTGAGGAATCGACGGCGGATACTAATCGGGTTCTTTGTCCTTGGAGTGCTGGCTCTGCTTGGAAGTTACCTGACGCCGGGCAAGCGGAGAACAGATCCCACGTTGCGACTTCCGAATGAGCCGCTCATCGTCAAGTTATCTGGCTACGGCAGCTTCCAAGGGACGAGAGTGATCAAGAACAGAAAGAATATCGTCTTCGATGAACCTGTCAATGCCTGGTTGGGCATCGAGTATTCGACGCAACCCGTTGGCAAGCAACGATTCGGTGTTCCGGAATGGCCGGAAGAGTTCAACGGAACGAGGAATGCCACGCAGTATGGGAAGGCGTGTATGCAGAATTGGGGCTGGAACCCGCAGCACCACACTGAAGCTTGCTTGACGTTCAACGTGTTTCGACCACAAGACATCCCGCTCGACCAGAAGCTTCCGGTGTTCGTCTTCTTCCATGGAGGTTCCTTCGTGGTTGGGGACGGCAAGAGTTTAGATGGCGCAACCTTTGTATCGAAAAGCAAAGCGCCACTCATGGTAGTAACGGCACAATACCGCTTGGGCGCTTTGGGAAGCTTGCCGAGCAAGCTATTTGAAGAAGAGGGCTTGCTGAACCTAGGAATGCGAGACCAGAGGCAACTGCTCGAGTTCCTTCAGAAGTACCTGACAGATTTCGGGGGCGATGCAGACCGCGTAACGATAGGCGGCCAAAGCGCAGGAGCACACGCAGTCGGTCTCCATCTGTTCCATAACTACGGTGACACGGAAGGCAAGAAGCTCTTCAGTCAGGCGATCATCGCTTCAGGAGCACCAACCGCGCGATCATTTCCTGGACCTTCATACGCACTCAACGAACGCTACTACGACGAGTTCATGACCCAAGTTGGATGTTCCACCAAGACGAACAGAACCAACGCCGGATATCTTAAATGTCTTCGCGAAGTCCCGATGCGCAAGCTACGTATGGCTTCAGGGAAGATCTACACCTCGTCAAATTACAACATCACATGGCCATGGCAGCCTAGCCATCCAGGTCCCCTCCTAGAGAAGCCAGGCTCCCAATCCGGCATTGATGGGACCTTCTTCAAGATCCCGCTCCTCATTACCTCGGTGACAGACGAGGGCAAGATGTTCGCACCTAAGGATCTCCAGTCGAACACCCAGTTCGTAGACTTCTTGGCGAACCTGCTACCCGGCCTTACCCAATCCGATCTCGCCGAGCTGGAAGCCCTCTACCCCGACCCAAGTGGTGGTAAAGGACCGTACGCGGATCATGTAGGCAGGTTCGTCAGCACGCAGTTCGAACGCATCAGCGCCGCCTATGGTGATTACTCGTACATCTGCCCAGTGCAAGAAACTGCGCATCGACTCGCCGTTGCCGGCGCTCCCGTGTATAAAGCACGGTTCAATACACCCAACGGTGCGGCGCCACATATGGGCGTGCCACACGCGTCGGACCACGGCTACTTCAACGGGCATGTGAATACGCAGTTTCCCGAGATCGCCGAGATCTACCACAGCTACTACGCCAGCTTCGTCGTCAGCGGCGACCCGAATACGCACAAGAGTGCAAAGGCGCCGAAGTGGGATCGCTACTGGCAAGAAGGCAGTGCTCAGCTGGCTGTGTCGAACGCAGAGAGGGGTGGCGTGGCCATGGAAGAAGAGAGAAAGGGCATTCGAATGCAAGAGTGCAAGTGGTGGAGAGATGAGGAGCGGATGAAGAGGCTTAACAAATGAGCATAGTGCATGCGAGTTTGTCATGGTATGGTTTAATGGTTTGCATAGCGGGCGTGGCTTGTTGGGAAGGCGTTCGAATCTGTGTTGTGTATGTCATGAATGTCAGCGTTTTCAGCTTTTGAACAAAGTCCACTGCGTTTCCACATCGTCACTCGACTTCCTCCCCACCTGTAGGCTTCGACTGCCCATCCGCCTTCATTATTCAATTCACACTTCAACCTGAAAACAATCACCATCGCCCACACACCCCCCTGATCATCCTCCCCACGCGATAACCACCTGACAAGCTTTCGACCAAGCATCCACCAAATCTTGGCACCTCCAGCACCTGCGCTATCACCACTGCGCCTCGCGCCACGTCAGCCGTGCTACGCCCCGCTCCCCGCTCGTCGTACCGTTCGCCAGGGCGTATTCTTCTCTGACGTCTCTTCGCCCAAGGCAGCATAAGCTGAGCGAGGTGGGTGAGAGTGACGACGCGGGTCCGTCGCCAACCCTGGACCACCACGTATCGCGAGCGAGAGCCAATGAGCGGGAAGCGTGCGTACCTTCGGGCGATGCACAGGGGGTGACAATGAGAAAGGGGTTTCCTGTGGTTATGAGACTTCAAGATGGGCTATCAGATGATTATTTTACAACACTACGGTCGGGTGATTTCCTACAAGATTAGGTATTCAAAAGTAAAGTACGATTTTTTATGGCAGTCCAATGTGACGCGAGATCCGTCTACAAACAACACTGTTCGACGAGATGCGCATGAAAAGTAGTGACTGTACCGTAACAATTGATATTAACTAAGCAAGCTAGGTTGCACTTCGCAGCTGTGGATGCCAAATATGGTACAAGAAGGGTATCACCCCCATCGCAGTAAATCAAATCATCAAATATACGAGACCTTGACGCCCATGCCCACCGTCCGGCGGACCTTGTCGAGGCCATTTCTTAGGACGCGCATGATGCGCTCCCTCAGATCGCGCCGTCCAAATGCAACCGCAAAAGCAAGAAGAAAGAGGAGCGTGCGGAAGAACGCCATGGGGTTCGCCGTCATCGAGTGCGCCGTGTTCGTGATCATAGCGTGCATGGAGGATAGCAGGGCGGTCGCGCGGTGGTATAGGCCGGGCGGCGGAGTGACTGCTTTCTTGGCTGGTCGTGATGCTCGTGATGATGTGGAGGCCGCTTGACGGGGGGCGTTGCCCTTTCCTCGGAAAACCTCGTCGGAACCTCTGGGCTGCCGCCTGTTCTCTTCTTCACGTTTCCTGCGTTCGTCTTCTGCACGAGACTGCTCTAGCCGGCGGGCCTCTGTTTCTCTTCTCCGTTGCTCTAGTTGCTCCTGCTGCTGTTGGCGTAGCCGTTCTTCGCGCTTCTCTGCATCCTCCTTCTCTTCCTTGAGCGAGTGCAGTGCAAGCAGGAAGGCCTCTTTGCGCTCGTCGTCGAGCACCTCGGACATGGAAATGAACTCGCGGGCATAGTCCCACTCGTCGTTGCGGGGCAGCACATGGAGGGTGTAAAGCTCGAGGAGCTTCAATCGGGTGTTGAGGTCCCGGGGCGTGTCGGTACCGTTGTTCTGCTGGCTAGGGCGGCGCTGGAGATATGCAGAGGAGGTCATGTGGGAGGAGATGTCGAAGACGGGGTTGGCCGAGGCCGATAGGTACGTTTCCAGCTTGTGCTGGTTCAGCCGCTGCGAGGGTGAGTGCGTGAGTAGAAGGGTTGCCCTGCGATGCGTTAGACGGGCCACAGAGGAGCCATGGAACAGACGTACAAGTTGACAACGACCTCGGCATCCACGTCGCCCTCTACGCCGGCATAGCCATCGCGCGCAACGTCGTCCCACACGCTGCCATCGCGGCACTTGGAGACCAATTGCTTCCATCGCGTGCTGCCAAATGCAAGCTTGCCCTCTTCGGCGCCCAGCTCGACGACGGCATTGAGGAAGGTGAGGTAGAAGCTCCACACCTTGACCCGCGTGCCCCGCGACGCGGTTGCTATGGGCGCATAGCCGGCGAGGTCGCCGTCGGGGGAGCCATTGACATCGTCCTGGGCGGGCGGGGTGATGATGGGCTCGATGGTGGACAAGGCCTCGGGCAGGCGACGCGTGAGGAAGAGCTGGGCGGCCTGGCGGTAGGCTTTGGCGATGTGCTGCGAGTGCTGCCGAGACGACGACAGCGACGAGACCGAGGCCCCCAGGTTGCGCGAGCTGCCCAGGTCCCCGTACATGGCGACTGTGGCGGCGGGCGGCGGGCGGCGGGCGGCGGGTGTGTCGGTGGTGGTGGTGGGAGAACTACTGGAGCGCGACAGCGGCGTGGAGACGAGCCATGCCAGCCTGAGGTCTGGGGTAACGAGGCCTTGTTGACCGCCTGCCAGCGGAATGTGAAAGCTCAACGGGCCGGCAGCCGAGGTTCGGAAGTCGCGATGCCCCAGCCTTGGCACTGTCCTCGTGCCAGCCACCTCCATGGTGCCAACACCATGGCCTCTGCGCCGAAGGCTCGCTGTTGTCGCTTGATCGCGCACTCGGGACTTGCCTTGGTTGCGTTTGCAAGCACACCCGCAATTGCTTGAGATCTGGTGTCTTGACACACGGCCCCGTGTCTTGCTCCGCTCTTGCTGATCTTACTAACGTTTGAGGCTGACTCCAGGTTCGCTGCAGCTGCTATACAAGGTGCCTCATGCGTATTCTCCCTCTGTTACTGAATCCTCATGGTCCTGCGCTAGGCAGCGATCTGGGTCTACTTGTTAGCGAATTGCGCACGTCAAGACTCTTGTTCTTCAACGCCACTTAGATAACAACACCAAACGTCCGCATACAACCTCACCCCTGCATTTACCATCTTGGAAGCGTCCCCGCACTTTCTGGTCCGAAACGCGATATCGCAGCCTGAGTAGACATGGACATCGATGCCGGCTCGTACCCTCACGAGCTGTTAGCCCTGCTTATCAGCATCTCAGAAGCCGATTTTGTGTCCCTCGACCTGGAATTTACCGGCATACCATCGCGCATGCCAGGGAAAGAGCCCTGGAAGCCTCGCCAGGGCCAGGGAAGGAGAACGCTTGAGGATCGCTATCAGGAAACCCGGACTGCTGCAGATCGCTACAACATTCTTCAAGTTGGTCTAACGTGTGCACGCTTCGACTATATCGACAACAACTACGTTCTAAAGCCATACAACATATCACTCAGCCCGCTCCTCAACGAGAACTACAAGCTTGATATTGAGCGCGAGATTCACATCCAGAGTGGCGCCGCTACCTTTCTTCTAGGGCATGGCTTTGACCTGGGCGCTGCTTTCTCTCAAGGGGTACAATATCTCTCGCGAGAAGAAGCCTACAACGTCCAACGAAGGGTGAGCAAACCAGCGTGTACAAATTTGATGTGCCTTGCAGAAGCAAAGGCGCTGAGACATGCACCACCCTCTCTTAACTCACACTGACTTTGTCTCCGTACCTTAGGTGAACGAGCGTCTAGATAGAAAGCCTGAAGTCGAAGACATGCAGCTGAAACCAGGAGACGTTCAGTCTCTAGACTTCGTGAGACGCGCTCGGGACGCCATTGTCGCTTGGAAGGTGAGCAAATCGCCAGGCACAGGTGGATAAGCCTTTCTTACAAAGGAATGGCTTAGTTGCGACGTGTACCATCCTGTCTTGACTTACACTGACTTTTTATCCGTACCTTAGGTGAACCCAGAGGACAAGGACCCGCTGGAGATTACGACGCATACTGGCCTTCCCAACCCACCTCCAAATCCCGCCATATCGCGATTTGAAAAGCGTTTGGTATGTAGTTGGGAAAGGTCTGCGCGCAATTGACAGTACTGATGTCTTCTTCTAGGTCCACCAGCTCGTTCGAGCTGAATTTCCACATTTCGTCACGATAGGAAGACAAGAATGCATTCGCATCATAGTTTATGACGAGCAGCGGGAAGAGGAGAACAAACGCAACATCAAAAATCGCGTGAAAGAACACATCGCCAAGCAGACAGGCTTCCGTTGGGTATTCGAAGCCCTGGCAGCCGATGGTGACATCCACGAGGCAGACCCTTACTACTTCGGTCGATATACGAATGCACCGATCATTGCCGAGGGTACGGACGCCAAGGAGCGATTTGATCGAGCTCAAGAGCGTAAGTAGACCACCGGGTACAAAGTTGATGTCTCTTGCCTTTGCCTCTTGGCTGAGACGTACACCATCCTGGCTTAACTTGCACTAACTTTTAATCTGCGCCTTAGGTCTTCACAAACACCAAACTGTGCTCGTGGGTCACAACATGTTCACAGACCTCGTCTACTTCTATCGTTCGTTTGTAGGAGAGCTCCCAGCCACCCTAGACGGCTTCCGCTCGGCGCTTCATAAACTGTTCCCCAGGATCATTGACACCAAATATCTCGCAACACACGCCGAGGGAGACTTAAACGCGTCCCCAACGTTGCAAGAAATTGCTGACAAGCTTAACAGTCAGCTACTCCCAGACATTGTGACACACCCCAGGCACTCAAAATATCACAAAGTAGCCATGTTCCATGAAGCAGGCTACGACAGCCTGCTAACAGCAACAATACTCCTACGTCTGTCCGCCAAAATGAACGCCGACCGCCGACCGCCAGGCTCACAAAGCCCCTCAAGTCCATCCAGAATACCGGACGATGCTTCAGACATAAGCTTCAAGACTGCAGCGGAGCAACCACACAGCAAGTCTCAAGCACCCATGCCGTTGACAGACCGACTTCGACCTCCACAAGCAGAGATGTTGGTTGTCAAGAAGAAGGCGAAGAAGGGAAAGAAGGGCAAGAGCAAGTATGACATCGTCCCGGCGCAAAGCCGCTTCCAGACTCGTAATGCCTTTGAGCAACTTAGCCTCGACGAGCAGGGAACTTCATCGCCTTCGGACGACGACCAAGGCGGGGTCGCAGTTGACTCCAACACGATGCCCTCGTGGCAGGACAAAGCATCCGAGCCGGACACGGGCGGCTGGGTCCCCATCGAACAGAAATCACGCGAGCCTATGGAAATGATACCAGCATGGGACACCGAGTTCTGGCAGTCGTTTGGAAACACGCTGCGCGTGTACGGCACGGAGGAAGCGGTCTTGAAGATCGCTGGGTGGGACAAATGATGCGGTACCATTCAAGGAAACATGCTGCCTCAGGAGTGGTATCCTCGGGCGGAGCTCGGTCTTGATACAGCGAGTTTAGCCGCATCATTGCGTGTTTGCCATTTGATGGTTCTAGACTAGGCGTGTCGTTGTGTATTTGCTTCTAGCGAATGGTCGTAAATTTTAGTTTGCTACAATTGCAAAAGTGAGAGATACGGCTCTATATGCTGTACGTAGGCTATGTCCTCTCATTCGACCTGTTTCAGCCCGCCAGCTTCCGTGAAATCTTACCTACTAAGCGCTCTATGGCTCTTTCCTTGTTCGTGGCCTGTGACTTCCCTCTCCGACGCGGGCTCCACCGTACCTTCCCAGCATATCTGAGACACACATCGTCCCTTTCAGCTCTTCTCCATTTCGTCCTCTGCCCACGACAAGGCCGAAGATATCGCCCCCATGCTTAGGTGGACGGGATTGTGACTGAGCCGCATCCATTGACAAGTTGGCTGTGGAGGCTGTAGTGATTGGAGAGGTCATGGATTTAGGTTTTCTGAAGGATGGACACAGAATGCACGTCTCAATGTTGGTACGGAAATCAGGCTTGCTACCTCACCCTAGCATGCTTGCTCCCACCACGCTTGAATGAGCAAGCCCTTCATGGTGTGATGTGTGACTCCCATCCGCCAAAGAACAGGCGGTGTATGCCAAAGTCAACTAGCCCTGCATGGCACGCCCTTGCGGTCCATAAAAATGCAGTATGCGAAGGAATCCCACGCCCAACCCATGATGTAATAACGCCCCCAGGGTATCACTGAATCCAGACCCAAAAACGCCTCTTCTATAGCCCTCCCAACCATTCCAAGATCCATGACATTTTCGCAGGCGCACCAACCTACGAGGCACCCACGCTCGCGACGCTAGCCATGCTTCCCTTCCTCTGCGGACCCGGACCGGGCAACTGACCGGGCGCAATCATCCTCGGACCACCCGCATTTCCCATGTTAATGGCGCTCGGCCTCCTGCTTCCCGGCCCATCCAGGCCTGTGCTCATCGACGCTCCAAAGCCACCCATCCCGCCTGCGCTGTTGGGAAAGTTCTCTGATGTAGCGCTCCCGGGCATCATACCATTGGAGAGGGCGAGGCCACGCACGGCGCCCATTGTGTCGGGGTTTTGGCCATAAATGGAGGCGCCAGGAGGATTGCCGAGGCAGGAACGGAGCATATCTTTCATACGTCGGTGCTGGTATTTGGCCTGGAGCGAGACGGGGGTAAATGTGACGACCGGTCGGGGGCGATGGCGAGCGAGGGCGGCCATGATGGCTTCTTTCTCCTCGTCGGAGTCGACGGCGCCTGAGGGTTCGAGATCTTCGGGGAGTGGAGCGTTGGCATCAATGGCAGCACCTATGATGTATGAGTGTTGAATGTCCGGACTCGAAAAAGGCGTACTTACGCTGCTGTTTCGCCTGGTTCTTCTTCTGATACTGGGCTAGCAGCATGTCGTACGGCAAGCTTCGTCCAGGCACGGCGCGCTTCAGACCCATGCTATGGCTCTTGCACGTCAAACTACGCGCGCAGAAGCCGCCATTAGGCAGCGCAACACCGCACTGCTTCTCGACGTCAACAGGTCCCTTCGGTTTCGCTCCCTTTGGCTTGGGCTCGTCCTTCTTCTTTTTCTTGGGGCCAGGCTTCCCATCGTAATCTTCGATCTTCCTCTTCTTTCCCTTCTTCGCGCCTTCTCCGTCGACGGTGCCTTTGATTGCCTTGCGCGCGTTCTTACCACTGTCGTCGTCCTCGCCCTTCTCCTTGCGCAGCGCAGCGTCTTTGGCTTCTTTGGCCTCCTTTTTCTTCTTCAGCTTCTCCTGCTTCTTGCTCAGGCAGTCGCGGATATGGGTCGCAGCAGAGGCGCGGAGGACAGGGCGGCGGCAATGCTTGCACTGCACCGTGTCTACTTTGTCATCGACGGGGCGGCCACTCGGAAAGCCGGCGAGCGTCTTCTCCTCTTGTCCGTTCACGATCGGGGATGTGCTTCCTGCGATAGGAGTGTCTTTGTCTGTAGTAGCTGCTTAGCACAGTCGCTATTTGGCCGTTGGACAGCCATACTGCTGGCATCGCTCTCCTTCCAATTTCCGGGTATGGAAGGCTTGGACACCGCTTTCTTGAGCTTCAGCGTGACCTTGTCCTTCTTATCTGCTGGCATGGCGTCCCTTATAGCATCTGTGTCGATAATGCTGTTTTTAGCTGAAGCCGGGGGAGCTGCTGCACGTTAGCCAGGGTCGCGTCACAGCCTTCTTTGCGCCCTCTGTGGAGTACTGCATGCGTTGGGGTGGACCGCGCGCGTTGCTTGTTGGCGAGTGCGGAGGTGTGCCGCAGCCGAACTCACCTTTACGGGCAGCACCGTTGGCAGCCATCCTGGGCGTGCTGCAGCGCGTTTTCGAAGCTTAGGTGGTATCTGCTACAATTCCAACGAGTGACGGAGATGGTTCAAGGGTTGCAGCGGCTGCCGGCGATGGGAGGCGTTGACGGTGGATGCCGTGCGTCGTGTGCGTCCTGCATTCGCGGCGCTAAAGCACGTGATATCCACCTGTCCCTCCAGGGTGCACAAATCCGGCCTCAGCGGCGAAGACGCTGGCCATGGTATTGCACTTGCTTGATCTTCTCTCTCGAAGGAGACAAGGTAATACTAGGGACATCACAATTGTTCTGCAAGCCCAACCATCATTTCCACAGTTACATTTACACGAGTGATGAGTACACAGAGTTCACACCGTAACGATGCCTTCATACAGGTCAACCCGCCCTGTAGACACACTCAGCCGTAGTCAGACACGAACACCCCCCATCTCTATGTTTTAAAGCGCCCTGGTGATTGATCAAAACTCCGAGAAGATGCACACATATCCAGTCCCTCTGGGACCCAACGACCAAGAAATACCCCGTAAACGCCATGTGCTGTCGTGACTCGTCAAAGAGGGGAAAACGGTATTGAGCGAGCATCAAGGTGAGATCGCCGGTGATCTACTTTCGACCCTTGCCTTTGGTGACCTTCGCAGTGCCCTTCTTGGTCCGCTTCGGAGGCTCGTACTCCTCGCTGTGGTTGTAGCCCTCCCGCTCGCGCATCATGCTGTTCGTCCAGAGCAAGCATCGTGGCTGTGGCACCTCATCAGCCTTTTCAACAACTGCGCTGGTCCTGTTGCGGGTCGAACGTGTCGTGGGGACCTCTTCTTCCTCTTCCTCCATCTCTTCATCCTCGGTCTTTTCCAGATGTGCCTTCATCTTCTGCATGTATTCCGTGATCCTCTCCCGGAAGATGACTAGTTCCTTGCGAAGAGCCTTCTCACGCGTACCGCGCTCGTCAAGCCACGCCATCAAGCTGTCAATGTCTTCAGGGTCGTCATAGTAGCCCCAATCGGCAGACGTCTTAAGGTGCGTCGGGCCCTCTTCGCGATCCTTCCGCATGGGAACCGTCCAGCCAAACTCATTCATATCTTGCGTTAAAGCGGGCTCCTCCATATTAGGTTGAATCTCAAGCTCGTCCGGTCCCTGGACCCATACACGACCGTTGGCGTAACCGTACTCTGCAGTCGAAGATTGCGGCACGCCTCCGAAGGGCATGCCATTATGCTCGAACCAGTAATACTTATTCAGGAAGCGGTCCTTACCCAGGATCTTAGAACGGTGTACAGAGGCTTCGCGAAGATCGTCGTCCAGCTCGGCGATACTGGCCTCGCATTCCCGGAGTTCCTCCTTTTTCCTTTCGATGTCGTCCAAAAGCTTCTCCCAGTCTCTCTGCTGCTTGCTCTTCGCCGCTTCTGCCTTGGCCTTCTTAGCCTTTTCCTTCTTTGCCACCTCGCTGTCCCGCTTGCGCTTCGTCAACATTACAGCCTTGCGCTTTTTGCGAGATGCGTTCTTAGCCTCCTCTGATGAGTCGCTGCCTTCCTCATCCTCCTTGGCGTCTTCTACATCGGCCATGGACACGTCTGGCGTATCTTTCGTATCGGTCGGCGATGCTGGTGTGTTCAGGGGAAGCGCAATCTTCCGATCAATGTCGAGCTTGAACATCTCATCGGCTCTGTGTACGTGTAAGTTCACTGGTGACAACGAATCCAAGGCATACGTACAGTTCCTTTCGCTTTCGCTGGTATTCGATCTTCTCTTTGCGAAGATTGGTCATATCCTGAGCAGCATTCTGCAGTTGATCACGAAACTGTTCAGTGGTGACAGTGAGGCGCAGAGCAATGTCCAATGCAGTAATGCGCAGGTTGACATCAAGGTTGAGATAATTTGTCGCGATATTCTCGACGGAAGGTTCCTCGTCCGGAGGGACAAGCTGAGAGAGGATCTCGTCGCAATCTTCCTTGTGGGATGGGTTGTATGACAGCTGGTGAAGCAATCCTACAAGGATAGCTTGCCAACCGCCTTCTCGGAAGTTCCGCTCCTTGCACATTTCCACCCAGTTGAAGTCCTCCACAAACTCAGCAGCCTTGTGGATTTGTTTTGGAGGCTCCGGGGTTGGAGTACGTGGCTTCTCTACGATCTCAGCGACTTCCGACTTCCTCAGGCTGCTGCGGGTAGTCCGCTTCGGCGGCTCTGGTTCCGGCGTTGCTTCCCTGCTCGACTCTTCTTCGTCTTCGGACTCGTCGTCATCGACCATGCTGGGAAGATGAATTTGTAGCTTTCCAGAGCTGTTGACGTATTGCTTGAGTACAGCACAGTGCACCTCGATAAGCAATTCACACTCTGGGTCATCCGAAGCATATCCCATCGCCTCAACAAAGTCATCTATCGTGAACGAATCGAGAGAGTAGATGGTATCGTGGACGTTGATGGTTTCCCATATGGTCAGCAAAGGACCAATGCTCTTCATCAATATTCCTGTCTTCCTATCATCCTCAGGCGGGTCAACGCCGTCTGGAACATCGTCCGACAGAAACTTCAACGGAGGTCGCGTGACATTGACGCGTGGCTGTCGGATTCTCAGATCATCGATAGGATACTTGATCGGTTCGAATGGCCTAGGAACAGGGGCCGACTGATGCTGAGGCCCGTTCGAAGGTTGATTTGCGAGCGCTTGATATTGCATGAAGTTGTTCTGGAAGGGCAGGCTGATAGGCAGACCAGAGCCTTGTTGCGGGATATGCTGAGCGAGCTGGGCTGGTAGGTTGGGGTGTACCTGGCCGGCTAGGTGAGGTGGTATATTGGGGTTCTGGAGGTGCGGTGGTACGTTGAACTGAGCAGGCGGGGGTCCGTTGTATTGCATGGGTGCTGGCCCGTTATATTGTAATGGAGGAGGCCCTGAGTACATAAACAGTGGTGGTTGATGGCCAAATTGCTGACCGTTCACACGATGAGGGTGGTTTGTTGTTTGTTGACCGACGCCGATATGTCCCGGCTCGTTTCCGTGCATTGGTCCCCTCATACCGTTCGTTTGGGGGTGTCCCGCATTTCCATGGTTGAAAGAGTGACCGTCGTTGAGACGCTGAGCATTTGCTGCTCTCTCTGCATTCGCGGCTTTCTTCGCAGCTATCACAGCCTCGCGAGTCTTGGCATCCGGAAGTTTGGTGGGAATATTGTACCGCTTGGCCAGGTGATCCTTAACCATCCACGGGGCTCCGTGCCATGGCTCCCTGGAAACGGCGCTGCGCAAGAACTGTTTTAGGATGATCTTGGAGTAGACTCTGCGATCTCGCATCAACTCGGAGGCCTTGTAACGGGTAAGCTCTTCGCCGTCATCCATTTGCATAATGTAGGTATATGAGCGGAAATCCTCGTGGAGCTGGCCATTAAACATGCTGTGGAGCCTTGATGTATCGGTCATGTTCTTTATGACACCATACCGGCGGCCGCTTTCAGTGTCCACGGCTACACGGTCACCTACGTTGTAATGTTCGCGGAAGTGCTAGAAGACCACATTAGGATGATGTCGGTTGGGAGGATAAACTCCAACTTACATCATAGACTTGATTAACTGCAATCAAAATTAGTAAAGCGCCGAAGATAAGACCGTACAGCAAACTTACCGAGGTCATCCATGCGCGGAGTGATCTCGAATTGGACAAACTCCAATACCCGCGACCTCAGGCCTTCCGGGAATATACTGTCTATCTCCTGTGACGCTTCTTGCTGTGGCGTGGTTATGGTCACGCTTTTGAGGACCTCTTCCAAGGAGCGACCCGGACGTACCTCGCTCTCCATTGCCTCAAAGAACGTGTAGCCGGAATGCCCGGTCGATTCGCACGTGAAGACTCGCTGTGATATGCTTTAGTGTGAAAACTGCGTGGAGAGGTCGAGCTGGACTCGAGGATGGTGGGGCTCTGACCTGCAAGTAAAAGTCACGCCTGTCATTCATGTTAGCAACGTCACTTCATGGAGCCATGACCTAGACCTACTTGTTGAGGAACTTTTCATAGTCTACGAAGACTTCCCCAGTCTGCTCAATCTCCCAGACCTGTCCATTGTGCTTAGTTCACTTTGTGAAAGACGTTCAAGTCTCATGGGCGCACCTCGGTATTGTCATCGATGAACGGTGGCAAGGGCTCGGTCTTGACCGGTTTCCTCTTGTATTGAACCTTCATATGTCAGCGACATGTGCTTAGGTTTGTCCTGAATCCGTTTCCTACCATCTTGCTTCGGGTCTTAGCTCATCGGAAGCTTCCTCAGTATGAGTTGTCGCGTCGCAGGCTCCGGCACCCTCGCGGTCGCGATTGCGAGAGATCCCGGAAGGTTTGGGTCAATCTTCCGCGATGGAACACGTCGACCACCTCTTTGGAGCGCGAGTCAAACGTTGTTGAGCTCCCCCGCGCGTCGGAGGAAGTCCTAGACAAAGTTGTAGTATTCCGCAATCGATCCGAAGAGCGTTCCGAGACGCGTCGAGATGCGCGTTTCGCGTGGTTCGTTTGGCGTTTTCGTTCGGGGCGCGTGGTGGAGAGGCGGAAGACGACAGGGTGGTGGAAAAGAGGAAGTAAGAGACAGGCGATTGACTGAGGGTCGAAGGGTAGTTCAAAAATGCCCAGCGGCGCGGACGTCCCTCAAACTAGGCCATACTAGGACAAGCACCCTAAACGCTCCTTCTCCTACTTCGCCGACACGCGCACCTCTGCACTTCAAATACCAGCGTATTTGGACTCGTTTTAAAGCTTGAAACCAAAGCATTGAACAAGAATAGGTACAGAAACAACACAATTTGATAACCCCCAGTTTCGTGGGGGGTTGCGCGAAGGGTATCTTACACATGACGCCTCCATGCTTTGAGCCACCCCAGACAGCAGCCTGACCCACTTACACGATCAAACCACCCTTACCGCGCAATTGCCTGCATCCGTCCACGCAGAGGTGAATAAAGTATATGGACTTTACCTACGACTCAAACTTAATGTTCTGCAGTACCAAGAGGAATCAGGGGCAATTATCTCATCATGGTGTGGTTGTTGATGATACTCCCTTTCGGCCTTATTCCCCCAGAGGTGCAGCCCACAACCGAGACATCCGCGACATTGCTTACTACCGCTCGAGATTGCATAACAGCATGCAACATGTTGGAATCAGATCCTCTATGCTCGGTTTTCTACACTAGTGATCGAATCTCGTAAGACTCGAGCACTCTCTGCCAGCTTGTTTTGGAGGGTACACACTAGAATTATCTACAATCGAGGAAATGAAGAGCAATGACTTGATTTCATCTACGATGATGCAAAGATTTATGTCGAATGCTAAGAGTCCATGTAGACCACTGAAAATCCTATCCAGCTCCCCACCACTCCTATGGCGGAGTATGAACTGATAAACATGAGAGGTAGGAACTCATATCTCTCGCCAAACACAATGGTGTGGATGAGCGAGCAGTAGGCGATCAGGGGTATCGATAGAGCAATGTAGTAGAAAGAAAACCGATCAAACAAGAAGACCCGGAGTTGCGATGAGCTGTCTCGAGGTTAGCGTGGCGCAACATATGGCATCATGAACTTACGCGGGCGCGAGTCGATCAAAAGCCAGTAAGAAAGCTACAAGCCATAAAATGGAGTATACTGTCTTGACTGGGAACTCAGCTGGGGTAAAAAGGAGTGGAAACAACGACACATGCCCCGCTACAGCCAAAGGTCTGAATGCACTGAAGTATCGACGGTCTCTGAGCGCTACGAGGCTGAAAGGGATGATGACAAGGAGGATGGCCTTCTCATGGACATGCCAGCCAAAGAGGAATGATGCGTAGCCGCAAAGCGTCACTGCACCGATGAAAGTCTCCCATGTGGGTCGGAACAGAAGTCTGATGAGGAACGGCTATATATAGTTAGTGGTGGAATGTTGTTGAAACGCGGCGCACTCACCAGTTGGAAGCCCACAGTAAGCAAGAAACATGTCAACGGCACGACGTCCGGAAGTACGGCGAACGATGTGTCTCCAACAAGCCCTCGCGTCACACTTTTGATAGCCTCCTGGTCAACGTCTAGGCCAAGGTATGGCGCCACTACAACCGTTAGTCACTTCTCAATATTCAGGATGAAATGCTTACGATATATGAGAACGCGGTCAGTGAACGAGTATATAGCCCACATGTTCGGTGCCCAATAAGCGTGGCACAATCCTCGTGAAAAGGGAAAGAGACGACGGGACACTTGTTCGAGCTGACCCCAGAGTGCAAAAGGTCCAAAGGCTGCAGCGAGAATGGAAATGATTCCGACAGCGAGTTTGATGCAGTTGAAGAACCGGATGCGGAAATATGGGAATGCCGTGCGATCGCCCAAACAGTAGGCACGTAGAAGGAAGACGAAGTAGGCAGGGGCAATGTACATGTAGATGTGCTTGAAGCACAAGAGCACCGCGAAGGTAAGGCCACTGAGCAACAGAGTGGACTGCTTGCGGGCCAGGACCAAGGACAATACTAGGATGCCGTACATGAATCCATTGTACTGGAAGTGAATGTGGTCGATGATGAGCAGTCCAGGCGAGAGCAGAACAGAGAGTGCAGCTGCATGTGCAGTTGCTTTATTTTTAGAGCCTTTGACATAGCTACCAGCTTTAGCTTTTGGACGCAAAATGGTCTTGGAGAGCATACAGATGTAGGGCGTAAACCAAGACTAGCTCAGTAAGGATGACTGTTGCACGCTGGAAGTAGACCGTCTGCCAGCTGTCATAGCCTAGAGCCTTCACATTGAGCAGAGCAGGCTCGAAGTAGACAGCGGCCTGAGACATCAGCCATTCGAAATAAGCGAAGAATGGCGGGTAGTCGAGAGTCCATTCCGAAGTTTTCTGCCGGACACGTCAGCACGAAATGGAAAGCTGAGCATCCTGGCCATGGCAATCACCTCGTAGTACCATTCCTTGATTGGCAGCGAATGGGTCAGCGCCAGCCAATTGCGATGCACTTCGAAATCGGTTGACTTGCTGCCAAAGACAATCAGCAAACAGCACAGGATACGTGAAGCCCCTACCAAGTCGACGTACTAGGCAGGAAAGAGAAGGACTTTGAGCGCAGTGGCCACAACGGCGCACTGCGCAATAGAAGGATATAGGTCTGACATGGGGATGACGGCTGCGCTGGTGAATCGGATGGTACCTGGTAGGATTATTGTAGCGTCGCGCGGTGAGCTTCGCGACACGTGACGAGTTAGCGAGATTAGCGGGGCGTTGATTGGTCTGACACCATCTTCACGCTCTCGCTCGCATGTTTCTGCCATGGTTCGGCCCGCACAGTTCCACGTGTCGGCTGCCGTTTGCCAGTACGAACGTAGAACTGCCCTAGCATGTACATGGCCCCATCGCCACTTCGTCGCGCCAAAGTGCATGCCATTAACACGAGCTTTATCGGCACTGCGGCGTTCGCCCGGCTCCCACGATGGCGCGTACAGGCCCCACGTGAGAAGGCGCCTGGAACGGCGCGCCGCGATGCAGCCCTGAGTGCGGCTCTGCCCCTGACTCTCTCTGACCGAGAGAACTTCTGGGTCTGATGCTGCACGCACGCACCGCACGGCAAAACATTGCTGGCACGGCACCTGACACGCCCGGGCCCTTTATCAAGACTCAAAGGGCCTTTCCAGCATGCACGCCGCGATGGGGCCTAGCAGAGTGGTCTCCTGTTACTCATCGGCTAGTGGCCAGGTACGCGACGTGTGCTGCAGCCCTGCGTTCTCGCTGCACCCAGCCGGCTGCATCGAGTGACACGGCGCGCCGTTTGAGTGCAGCAGATGAGTGCATTCGCGCTGCACGCAAGCGTGTGGCGCGCGGCGTCTAGGCTCGCCGCCGAACTGCGGGGCCCTGGGCGTTGGTGGTTTGGATGGTTTGGGATGCGGTGGGCACGCGCGTTTAAAATAAGCAGGCGCGCTATTCCCAATCGAGGCGGCCTCATTTGCGCCTGCCTCCTGTCTCTGGGCTGCTCCTTCGCTTTTCTCAGGGCTCGTCCTCTTCTAGCTCCCAGCTGCTGTTCTTCGATCCCATCCGCTCATTACTTATCCTTCTCCACAGCATCGAGGTCGCGGACAAACATCACCTCCCTGCGCCTTCATTATTATTGTGGTGTCGTTCTTTCAGCCCCTTCGCATCTTGCAGAACAAGCCCGAGGCCCGTCACCTCCGCAGCCACAGCTCCCCAGTCCATAATTTGGCCCTCCTACGACCGGCCGGGATCTGCTGCAGCTCCATTCACCCCCAGGGCAAGGGAATGTTGTAGTTGTTCACGCCTGCTCAGCTTGCATTTTTCAGCGGCATTGCACGCTCCAGTCACCCAGGTCCACCATCAACCGACCGACCTGCTGGGCCCCTTTGATCTTCCGTTTGGCGCCTTGTACCTTGTATTGAGTGCCGGATTAGCCATTGACCTGCTCCGTGAGTCTGGTTTTCGCTTGCCGTGCCACACCCTTCGCTGACTTGCCAGCTTGATCTCCACGAGATTTAATACCCGTTGTCTTTGCACTCGCCGCAGCCGACCTGCACGGTGCCCGTATATCTTCTGCCTTGCATACTTCTCAGTCCGGGACTCGCACAGCTCCGGACGCAGTAATACACCGTCGCCACGGCTGTCCTATCTCAGAACACGCGGGACAATTTCGTCCTGCCCCCGCATCTTTTCGGAATGCAGCACCACGACGGTGCCCCGAACGCCCCCAGCGGGCCGCGTCTCCAGCAAAGCTTCCAGAAGCAGATGAATGGAAACACGGGCTTTTCGCACGGCGCGTTTCACACAAACCAGCCCGGCGGCTATGCGGACAGGCACCCGGAGCGCTCCAACATTCCTAGCATCAACACGGGCAGACTCGCTCCCGGCAACCACAACACTGAGCTGCAGACGCCGGGAACTGGCTTTGACATGAACTTCACCCCGCTTCTGCCTTCGCAGCTGCTTCTCGGAAGCCCTTTCCAGCCCGGTTCTCCGAATGCCTTCACCTCGCCTCAGTTCCAGAGTTTCGCCCAGTTTGCCGGACAGAACCAGATGCAGCAGCAGCAGCAGAACGCCATGGGCAGCCCGCAGATGCAGCAGGGCCCCCTTTCGCCTGGCCTGTACCAAGGTCTCGTCTCCCCGACGAGTGGCTTCTTCAATGGACCCCAGTCGCCCACTGGAGGATTCCCTGGTTACGGACAGCAGGGCCTCGGCGGTCTTGGCTCGTCCCTGCCTATAGCCCCCGGATTAGTTTCCGGTACTAGCAGGACAGTCTACTTGGGCAATATCCCACCGGAGACCTCAGCCGAGGAGATCCTTGGCCATGTGAGAAGTGGTCAAATTGAGTCAGTGAGGCTCCTCCCCGACAAGAACTGTGCTTTCATCTCCTTCCTCGACAGCAGCTCCGCCACCCACTTCCACTCTGACGCAATCTTGAAAAAGTTGTCGATTCGTGGCCAGGACATCAAGATCGGATGGGGCAAGCCGTCGCAGGTTCCAACATCGGTCGCCCTTGCTGTGCAGCAGTCAGGTGCTTCTCGCAATGTGTACTTGGGCAACCTGTCGGAGGATGTTACCGAGGAGGAACTGCGCGAGGACCTCAGCAAGTTCGGTCCCATTGATACTGTCAAGATCGTGCGCGAGAAGGCAATTGGCTTTGTTCACTTCTTGTCGATCGGCAATGCCATCAAGGCGGTTGCCCAGCTCCCCCAGGAGCCCAAGTGGCAGGCCCCCAGGCGCGTCTACTACGGAAAGGATCGATGCGCTTACGTCTCGAAGACGCAGCAGCAGAATGCGGCCCAGTACCTCGGAATCGCCCCTGGATACGCTCACGTCCTCAACGGCGCCGACCGTGACATGATCTCCAATGCTCTCGCCCAACAATCAGTCGCTGCGGCCGCGGTCGCGACTTCTGCTGGAGGTGTCAATAACCTCGGCAACCGGACGGTATACTTGGGCAACATCCACCCAGAGACGACAATTGAAGAGATCTGCAACGTCGTCCGCGGGGGTCTGCTTCACCACATTCGATACATTCCTGACAAGCACATCTGCTTTGTGACGTTCATCGACCCCACCTCTGCTGCGTCATTCTACGCTCTGAGCAACCTCCAGGGTTTGATGATCCACAACCGCCGTCTCAAAATCGGATGGGGCAAGCACTCCGGTGCCCTTCCTCCGGCCATCGCCCTGGCTGTTAGCGGTGGTGCGTCGCGCAATGTGTATATCGGAAATCTGGATGAGTCATGGACTGAGGAGCGTCTGAGACAAGACTTCTCCGAGTACGGCGAGATTGAGTTGGTTAACACGCTGCGCGAGAAGAGCTGTGCGTTCGTCAACTTCACCAACATCGCCAATGCCATCAAGGCCATCGAGGCTGTGCGAGGACGTGAGGAGTATAAGCGTTTCAAGGTCAACTTCGGCAAGGATCGCTGTGGTAACCCACCGCGCCAGATGAACAACAACCAGGGTCAGCCCCAGCATCCGGGCAGTGATGGCATTCAGTCGCCGTCGCCTACCAGTGGTCTCCACCCTAACCGTAACAACACCGGTCCATCGGTGTCACCGACTGGGTCTGCCGCCCCTGTATCCGGTGGCAGCACCAACGGACAGTTCCCTAACGTTCAAGCGCCGACTCCTTCCACCATCCTGAACACGGGCGTGAACAACCCTTTGATGATGTACCTCCAAGCTCAGCAAAACCAGCAGCAACAACAGGCAGAAGTGAGCCTTCAGCAGCAGCAACAGGCTCAGCAGCAGCAGCAACAGCAGCAACAGCAGGGATACCCATCGCCACAGTCAGCTTTCTACGGCGCTGACCTCAACCAATCGTCGCAACCCCACGCCTCCCACGGTGCTCACCAGAGCACCTCGAGCTTTAGCCTCATCAACGGAACCTCCAGCCAGTCTGGCGCCACAACCGTTGGCGGTCTTTTGGCTCCCTCGAATTTGAATGCTCGCGCTCAGCACTCGCGTGCGGTCAGCCTGCCGGTGTTCACACAAGGACCGTTCAACCAGCCTGTACAGTCGTCGCAGGGCCCGCAGCAGGGCTCCTTCGGCAGCTTGAGCTCCGGTATCGGTGGCTTTGGTAGCGGAAACGGTGGCTACGGCCTTGCTATCCAAGGTGACGGTGGCCTTCCTGGATGGGCGGAGGAAGAGATTGGTGCGCAGTAATACGGAAAAAGTGGCGGATCGGATTCCCCTTCTCTTCCATTCCACTGTGCGATACTTTGACCGACCTTACTACCTTTAGTGTCGTGGATGCCATCACCCACCTTGTTGCTGTATGCCACTTATCTACCTTCATTTTTATATTCCCCTTTTGCATCATCTTGGGTTTTTTTCGTCATTTTGGATGGAAATGGTGTTTTTGAGTTACTGTACCCTGTTGTAATTGAGATTATTGCGATTTTGAAATGTTCACACTCACTTTACTCACTAATACTCCTTGCTTCATTCACTTCTGCTTAGCTCTTTGAGATGACGAGGCGGGTCGAAAATTTGGTCGGACGAGGAATTATAGGCAGTCGCTGCGTGCCAGCTGCGATGTGTTGTTTTATACCTGTATGGATGTGGATCGGGCAGTATGCATGCGAAATGTTGGATACCAACGGGTAAAGGAGTGATATGGCTGGGTGGGATGGGATAATAATATGATCTTGCTGTTTACACATTGCGCTGTTAGGCAAGATACTCGTGCCTCCTGGTGTTTACATTCCTCCATCTATGCTTCCACAGTACTCTCCCTAATGAAGGCCAGTGGACAGCAGTGAAGCGCGAGAATATTGCCCTCTGTTTTGCACCAAATGAGATCGATCCTCGCTACTTATCCTCGGTATTCTTCCACCCCGCGTTTCAGAGTCCTCCATGCGACAGTATCGCATTGCTCACATCCCAAATTTCCGATTTCTACTTTCGAATGGCTGTCGCCATCAAATTAGCCTAGGCTTCTCCATACGTTTCGTAAGGCTGCCCATCATGCAAATGAATTGTGCGAGCCAATCGAGGCTTTTGCACTGGCTTGTATGTTTCACGGGGGAACACAAAGAGTCGGCTTTCGCAGACGTGTGGGCGCATGATATTTGACAATAATGTAGGGTTATTTCCTGATATGGGTGCTAAGCCTGGGATATCGTACATACTTAATACGCTGGATTCCCCAGCCTCTGGCGAAAGATGGAATCCTGCACTTCTGCAAACTTGGTGTCACTCATTTAATCGCTTTTCTACCGTAATATCAGGAGAATTTGACTCCGTCTCTCGTAATGCTTCCCAAAACCCCAGTGAGCCATGGTCTCACTGCGCTCTTTCTGGCAGCAACAACCTCAGCGAAGATTCTCTACGCTGGTGTGAACTCTGGTAGGAACATCAAACTAGGAGAAGGTCACCGGTGCTGACTATCACATAGCTGGTGGCGAGTTCGCGCAACAGAACCTGCCGGGTGCTTTTGGCACTGACTATCGGTTCATCAACCAAAGTGCCATTGACTTCTTCATTGATGCTGGGGTCAATACCATTCGTCTACCATTCCTCCTCGTAAGTGGCTCTCAAAGCGATCAAGGATCTTCAAAAAAAACTTATCTCTGCAATCTGGAAGGAGCGCATGTGCCCTCTCGACACTGGCTTGGGAAGCACTTTCAACGAAAGCTACTTCTCGGAATTCCAGACTGCGGTGAACTATGTCACGATGCGTGGCGGCTACGCGGTCATAGATCCACACAATTACTACCGCTATAACGACCCCAGCTCCCAGCCATCCTCAGGCTCCATCATCGGTAACACCACCGATGCCAACGCGTCCACCACAGCAGACTTTGCCGCCTTCTGGGGCGAGCTTGCAAAGCGCTTTGCCACAAATCCAAACGTCATTCTGGGTCTCATGAACGAACCCCATGACATGCCGACCGAGCTAATTCTTTCCAACAACCAAGCATCGATCGATTCTATCCGGCAGGCTGGCGCCAAACAGCTCATCCTCGTTCCGGGAAATGGCTTCACCGGCGCGCAGAGATGGCTCAATTCCACCTGCTCCGGCTGCAAACCCAACGCCGACGTCCTGACCGCCATCACCGACCCCGCCAGCAACTTCGCCTTCGATATGCATCTCTACTTCGACAACGACACATCGGGTACGCACAATGAATGCACGCTCGCAGCGCCCGGCAATCTCGCTGCGACTACGACATGGCTGCAGGAAAACAACTACACTGCGTTTCTCTCTGAGTTCGGAGCTGGAGCGAATAGCGTGTGTTTCAAAACGCTAAATAATACGCTGATGTGGTTGGAAGATCATCCGCAGTTCATCGGCTGGACGTACTGGGCTGCGGGACCGCTTTGGGGTGATTATTTCTTGAGTGTGGAGCCCGGTGTTGGGCCGCAGAGTAATAGCACATGGCCGCAGGTTCTGGAACCGCATGTTAAGACTTATGCGCCGATGCAGAGGTGTGGTGTAAGTACGAGTGGCCTTGGAGGGTTGTTTGTGGATGTTGAGAGAGAGTTGGAGGGGTGTCTGGGACTGAGATTGGGAGGGTGATAGGGCTAATATTCAGATCTCAGTCCGTTGGAAGCAGATGAAACGTTGGCTTTATGGAAGAACGAAATTAAGTTCTTAGGATGTCAGTTCTTTCTCGAGACCTGTGAGGACCATGATGTCTAATCTCAAACATCCCCCCATCTCCCTACTTAGCTGCCCAGGTGTAAGTCACCTGTAATTGCAGAGAAACAATGCGTGCGGAGTGTCCTCTGCATATTGTAGTTTGAACACGATGCGGGGTAATAGCACAACAGGAACACTCTTACTAAATAAGGCAGGTATCTTGACCCATTACCGTCTACCCCAAATTGGGGGCCACTTCCCCCAGTATATGTACCCATCGCCAAGTCCAGTCCCGCCAAGGTATTCTTTTTCCTTTCGGTTGTTCATAACATGGCGCAAGACTTGGCACCTTGTGTAAGTAAAAATACCTAAGCAGGGGCTTTGAACTGAAGATGCAGTACAGTGTGCGCAACTCAGTGCCATCATTGGCCTCGACGTCGCTTTGCCGAACAGTTCACTGTACGCTGCGACTGAAACCGCGTACTGGTCTATCCAAGAGGGTTCACTTGCTCCTTCTTGCATTGCGAAGCCTAGTTCGTCCGAACATGTTGCCAGCATCATTGCGTCGATCGCAAATCAACACGACTGCCCGTTTGCCATCAAGTCGCAAGGCCATGCTCCTGCAGCCGGTTTCGCGAACATCAACAATGGCATCACTATTGACCTGACAGCGCTCAATGCTATCACCACGAACAAAGATGCTTCAGTCGCTCACATTGGCACTGGCGCAAGCTGGCTCGACGTCTACGCGCACCTCGACACGCTCAACAAGACGGTCGCAGGAGGCAGGAACGGCGGTGTAGGCGTAGGCGGCCTGACGCTCGGAGGCGGAATCAGTTACTTCTCACCGCAAGCAGGCTTCACCTGCGATACAGCCATCAACTTCGAGATCGTCCTCGCAAGCGGGAAGCTCGTCAACACAAACGCTACATCTCGTCCCGACTTATTCCGCGCGCTAAAAGGCGGCCTGAACAATTTGGGCGTCGTGACTAGGACCGACTTCCGCACGCTGCCCATCGGTGAAATTCTAGGAGGGCGCGTAGTAAACAGTGTTTCGTACCGTAGTGAGGTCTTTGCAGCGTTCGCGAAGATTGCGGCGGCAAAGCCGTACGATGTACACGCGTCCATCACGACTTCCGCTATTTTCAACGCGGTGACCAAGGCATGGACGCTTCTCTCAGCCCCGATCTACACGAAGCCGCAGACCGATCCGGAGGTGTACTCCGAGCTGTTTGCTATCCCCAGTATATCCAATACAGTACAGATCACGCAGCTGCATACTCTGGCCAACGAGACTGCGATGGCGCAAACCAATCAGCTGTTCTCGACGGGGACGTATGGTGTCTCGGCAGAGCTTCTTGACAGTATTTTCGACATTTGTAATGAGACGTTGTACGACTTCAACGTCACTGGCTCCCTCCAGTGGATCGTAACGTTCGAGCCGTTCCCCGCCGTCTTTGCTGCTCAGGGTGCGCACGATAACATCCTTGGAACGATACCCGAAGTCGGCGATGGGATGATACTTCTATTCTCCGCTTCGTGGTCAGACGCTGCTGCGAGTTCCCTCGTACATGCCAAGAATAAAGAGGTGCTGCGCAAGATCAACGCGGCAGCAAAGCATATGGGGCTGTTGCGAAGTTTCGTGTATGCTAATTACGCGGGAACTTTTCAGAAGCCGATTTCAAGCTATGGTACACAGAACAGTGCGTTCTTGTGCCGTGTCGCGCTGAAGTATGATCCGCTTGCGGTGTTCCAGAGGCAGCTACCTGGAGGGTTTAAGTTAGCCGATTGATGCATGTGTCGCTGGTGACTCTCTACAACCACAGTGGCTGACAATAAAAACTGGACTTATTATAGTTATCAGATTGCGGTATAGACTATCAAGTGATGATCCTGGAATCATATTATACCATGAGTTACTGCAAGATGAGGTGCTCAAAAAAGTTGTTGCTCCTTATTTCAGGCCCTGTGGGCTGTAACAGGTGCCTAAAAACTGTAGCCAGTGGTCGTATTCTCAACCGTATACACGTACAATTCACTGAAACATAACTATCAGTTGATCCTGGTGATAAACGATGGCTCATCTTTCCTAGATTCCATTCATACTGTGGGATGCAGGCAGCACCTGGTCAGCGTCTGTAGAGACCGGAATCATCACTCCGAGGTTGCCGTTGCTGCTGATGTGGTGAGTTTCGCAACCTTCGTGGAGAGTCTTAGGAATTGGCGCGAGGTCATTGTTGAGTAATGCAGTGGCGGGGATGTCAGCATTCTACACGAAAGACCGTGATGTCCTTCCAACTGCTAAGGCGAAATTCGTGAGCGTAGATTGCAAACTCACAATCTTGGAGACCTTGGCTGCTTACGACGCAAGGAGAAAAGGCCGCATACATCCACAAACTGAGACCAGCAAACGGATCAGCAACGTGTGAGGCTCTTCTCGTGGATGGACCGGATGGCTATGACGTATGTACAAAAACAATAACTTGATTGATAATGAAAGCTGTAGACCTGAAATGCATCTCTCATTCGCGTCCATGAAAGTGGTGAGGGGCTCCCGATGGCTGTGTACACTGAGGACCAACTATGCTTTAACCCCCTTGACACGTCTGAACATCCCAATTCCCCTCTCTTCACGCACCCGGAGCGGGATCATTCAACAACTGTACAATCTTTCCCCGCGCGTTACGGAGGCCCCAAGGGTAAAGTGTAAAGCTTATAAGCTCTCAGCTGAGGTTCGCAATAGAATCCGTTCGCTTTGCATCTAGTGCAAGGGTTTGTGTCAAAGGGCATCAACCCATCACACGGCGCATGATAAGCTCCCTGCGTCGCACAGCATTCGCATTTGGAGCCTATTGGTCGTTTCTTGCTGTATCCAGCTTCCTTGCAAGTTCTCCGACTTCTTTCACAGGGCGTGCAGGGAACCCTGTCGGTGGGATGCCAATCGCAGGATACGTCAGATGATTAGCTGGAGTGACGACTAACTGTTGATTTCGAACGTCTTCATTGGGCACTTGGTGCTCCGGGAGAGACTGCCGCCTATTCCGTCTTTCATCCACGTCCGTATTTGTTTGGTGGTACTTTTGAAAAGGACCGGATCGTCGTAATGTCCTCTGCAGTATTGTGCTTTGACCTGCGGAACGATCTCCTGTCTTCACTTGACCGATCGGATATGCCACCGAAGGCCCCTGAATGGAAGGTTCTAGCGAGGTCTTTTCAACCGAGAGCGTAGGGCCGTCTTCGTGTTCCCAAGTGTCAGTACTGTCCATCTTGTCAGAGTGGAATGGGCCAGTTGCTCGTAAATCGACATCGCTGGGTCAGCGTTTAGCTATAGGTGTGGTGTCTTCTTTGATAGCCCGCTTCGTTTCGCGAAGTGGAGACTGAACTCAGGAGTTCGTGATAATATTACTGAAGTGCGAAAGGAGTTTCGGTACCAACTTCTGAAGTGGCTGGCGAGGAGAGTAGGCTTCAAGTCCGGTCAGGACTCAGGCTCTGGGGCTCAGTGCCTCGCACCACATGCGCACGACGGCCTCGCGATTCTGCTCTTCGCCACGGCCAAAGTCTTCAGTAGGCTGCATGTGCTCGCGGACTTCGGCACGGCCAAAGGTGATGTCCTTCTTGATGGTGTTCCATAGCTCTCGGATCGAAGCTTGTGCGTACTCGAAATCGATAGCGCCGTCGTCTGTCGGCGGAGACGAAGTGCCGTCGTCGTTGTCTGGGCCCCCGGCGTGAGTAGAGACGCAGACGACAACAGCCGGAGAAGTGTGGTTGCTTGTCTGCGCCTGGCGCCGGGACCGAAGCTCGCCAACGTATATGAGGAAGTCGCCCGCCTGGAAGGTCTTGCCGTTTACGACATCGAGCATGCGCGGCGGGGTCCAGAGAAGCGGCATCTGGTTGGCGAGGAAGGTGGCATGTGCATCGCCCTGGGCCATAGGGAACGATGCTATGGCAATCTGCGGCGTGGTGCTCACGCTGCCATCCTGGCCAGCCTTGGGCGGGTGTTGGATAAGGTTGTACGCGCGGTCTGGGGTGACGGTGGACACGTGCAGCAGGTGCTGGTACGCGTGCGGGTAGTCTGGCTGGGTTGTCTCGCTGTACGGAGGGTTGTCGCGGAGCATACGGTGGGTGAGTGCCCAGGTGCCAGCCTTGTCGGCACGAGGAAAGCTGGACTCGATGCCGGCCACAATGGCCTTTACATAGTCGAGCGACGCCGAGAGCTGCGCGCCCTGGTTCGGGATATAGTACACGCTGGCATTGTCAATAGTTTGTTCACATCCCATGGAAATGACCATTGGCGTCCGAGATTGTCCTGCGCGCCGGATTTGAACACGGCACGCAAAAGGTGGGTTTACCCCGCATCGCAAACAACAACGGTCAAGTATACTGGGCCTGCGCTCAGATGGGGAACGTACCCGTGGTATTTCATCGCGATAACGCCGCGCCCTGGATTGTTGAATTCGTGGTGACGTGAGGGTGGAAGCTAGGATTGGTGGCCGGGGTAGCTCCTGCCGATCGCCGCCTGGACGCGTCGCGCCTTCCCCGAGCCTTATCGATAATGCACACGTCGGGGATGCCATGCAAGCCACGCAACGCAGGCCCCCAGCGGATCGTTCTCCGTTGCCGATCGTTGAAACATGCTTCTGCTCTCCTTGTCACCGTCACTCTTTCCTCCACCTGCATTTTCTACCTTGTCTTACTTCACTCGCTGTCCTTTGTGATTCCAGAGGCCCGATCTGTCCAGAGGCACTCCCTTCTTGTGACATCACACGCTCTCTGCTGGGTCTACTTGTTTCCACTTGCTCGTTGAACTGTACGCTATTCAATGCCAATGATAATCGTTACTTGAACGCTTCTCTTCCTGCTCGCTCGCTATGGGCTTCTTTCTGCGACGCTTCGCTATTGCTTGCACATTTACCGGCTTGCTGTTTCTTGCTTACCACCAGCTCGCCCTACGAAATGAGCCTCTCCCTACCAACGGGACGTCATCATCTCTAATCACTAGTCCGGTCGTATGGAAAGACATACCCCAGCGATACCCTGTTACCTCGATGATCCCCTTACCCAAGGGCACGCCCTTACCGATCCCTCGTATCCAGCACCACTTCGGCGTCGAGACGGAGAACAACAAACAAGAGAGACTGCAAAGGCAAGCTGCAGTCAAGGCAGCGTTTACGCATTCTTGGGAAGGCTACAAGAAGCATGCATGGCTACAGGACGAAGTTACTCCGCTCTCCGCGAGCTACAAAAACACCTTCGGAAACCGCGCTGCGACTTTAGTGGACTCGTTAGATACCTTGTTTATCATGGGCTTAGATGAAGACTTTGACATAGCACTCAGAGCGATACAAAAGATCGACTTCAGTACCACGGCCGAACCTGTCCTCAACGTCTTCGAGACAAACATCCGCTACCTGGGAGGCTTGTTGAGTGCATACGATTTGAGCGAAGGAAAACATCACGTTCTCCTGCAAAAGGCAGTCCAGCTCGGTGATATGCTTTACGGAGCTTTTGACACACCTAATCGCCTCCCCATTACACGGTGGGACTGGGTCAAGTATGTCCCTACAATCTGCTACTTTTTTACCATCCGACTGACTTCATGTAGTGGTGCGCTTAATCTAGACCAGGAGGCCCCAATGACCGCCTTGAGTGCCGAATTGGGTTCTTTGAGCTTGGAATTCACCCGGCTGACGCAACTGACCGGCGATGCGAAATACTACGACGCTGTGCAGAGGATCTCCGATCTGGTCGAACTCCAACAGAATGCTACTGCTATCCCAGGACTCATACCGATCACCGTTAGCCCGATTGACAATGATTTGACTGCATACAAGACCTTCTCATTCGGCGCAATGTCCGATTCGTTATACGAATACTTTCCCAAAGAATACATGCTGTTGTCCGGACGCCACGACCAGTATCGCGTTCTCTACGAGAATGCCATCGAAGCAGCGAAGCAGCATCTCTTCTTCCGTCCGATGACCCCTCAGAACCAAGACATTCTCATCTCAGGCAACGTCCGGATGAGCAGCCTCGGCATGGTCAAGCTCGACCCTGAGGCACAACATCTCGCCTGCTTTGCGGGTGGAATGGTCGGCATCGCTGCCAAGATCTTCAACCGCACTGAGGAACTCGAGGTCGCGCGGAAACTGGTCGATGGGTGCATATGGGCTTACAATTCCACACCGACCAACATTATGCCCGAAACGTTCCACGTCGTTCCATGTGCAGACCCAAACGATTGCGAGTGGAATGAGGAACGGTGGCACCGTGGCATTATGGATCAACACGTGCTTGACAGCACGAAAGACCCTACGCAAATCATCAAAGACGACGGATTACAACCTGGAATGACCAAGATTGGAGACAGGAGGTTCTTGCTGCGACCAGAGGCGATCGAGTCCATCTTCATACTGTATCGGATAACTGGCGATCCGACCCTCGAAGATGCGGCGTGGAACATGTTTACGGCCATCAGCAACGCGACCGAAACTGCCATCGCGCACTCCGCTATCGAGGATGTCACGGTTGAACAAGCCCAGGGGACGACGAAGATCGACGAGTGTGAGAGCTTTTGGATGGCGGAGACATTGAAGTACTTTTATCTGATCTTCTCCGAGCCGGGACTGGTAAGTTTAGACGAATACGTGTTTAACACGGAGGCACATCCGCTGCGCCGGCCGCATGCAAAATAATGGTATGCATTGGACATCATACGGAGTTCGGTAGTATATTGGATATGGACATTGCGAAATTTGAAGGCGCTTGGATAGACAAAGTTTATTATACCTTGGATGCATCGAAACTCACGATGTGGACGCACAGGGCTAGAGGCTCTGCCATCTACAGTACAGTATATTTGAAATTTAAATTGACGTGATCACCGTGCTCTTATAACAATCAAAAGACTGGATCTAAGCTAACACCTGTGATGGTAGAAAAATAGCCGTAGGGCCCAGGGTAACTTAAGCTACGATATGGTTTTTAATTCTTGAGCTGATACTGTATCGCCGGTGTTCACGTTGTCATGAGAGAACGGGGTCGTGCTCAGGCTCGTTGAGTGAAGCTTCCTGTGTGCCCATTTGGGTTTAGCTTCTTTTGACATGCAACTTCGATTGCTGCCTATGCTCATCCTCATTTGCCGCAGAATACGGACCATCTCATACTCTCTCGTGTCAATGGCGTTAGCGCAACTGAGTGCAGAGCTCCTGCTCTTGGTCGCATCTCATCTCTCGCAACCCGACCTCCTCAATGTGTCGTTGACAAGCAAGCACTTGCGCGTAGCCACAGAGCCTGCATTATATCGCGAGTTCCACCCTCCTTGTCTCCGACGCCGCCCTTTGTCGAAATTCATCAAAGCCTTGCTGAAAGATCCGAAAAGGCCCAACTACGTGAGATGCCCATCATTGTTGACTCGCCCACACTAAATTGAAGGGCGTCCAGGTGCGCAGTCTGCGGCTTCCCGAGTGGGAGACGATAGAACCAGGGAATATGGAGAACGATTCTTGGCATGATCATATTATAATACAAGCGGCCATTACCGGAGGGAAGAGAATATACTACTCTATGACTACAGGGTGGGACCCCTACAAAGTACCCGGTGAGTGTCTCAGTCAAGGAGACTACGACCTGTTTACGAGCGCGGCAATTACGAGTGGTTATTTGAGAAATGTAACGCCTTACGCCAAAGGTGCTGTCGAGTTGAAAAGCTGGGAGAAAAACTATGACGCCTATCGCGCGACGCTGTTCTACTGGTATTACTTTTCGACGGCAAACCTCGAAAGCCTACCCCTGGATGAGCAGTTCTGCCACTTGCTGAAGGCTGGAGTTGACGAAGCGTACATGATGCTTCTGCTGAGTCTCTTGACCAACTTGAGATGTCTATCATTTCCTTGCGTCCCAGCCCGGAGGACACTGCCGTGGGCGAGGGCGCTGCAGCGATTTTCCTCGTTGCGAGAGTTCACTGCCATACCCGAATCATATTATAGCAACGAGTACCACCCGTTATCCTTCTGGGTCAACGTCCTCACACTACCAACTTTGGAGCTGTTTACGGCCCATGGTTGCGCAGGTGGGTGGGTTCAACCCGATGAAGTCGTAATGCGTAGCCCTTGCACACGGCTTTCGGATTCTTCGAGCATAACACGGCTCGTGTTGGAAAGTTGCGGTTTAGAGTACGGTGATCTGGAGACAGTGCTAGGACGATGTCGTAACTTGAAAACCTTCCGATACTCAATCCAAAGATACCGGAGAGCGACCGTAACGTCGAAGCGGATCATTGAGTTATTGGCACCGTTTCAGGTATGACTCACTTGTCCAAACGGTCTGATTCTGCGTTAATCATCGTCTCTGTAGATGACGCTCGAGGAGCTTTTCCTCGACAACGACTCCTATGCCTATTGGCGACGCTTTCATCATGAGGATGTCTTCGTTGATGAACCTTTCACCTCGCTAGCTCAATTCTGTCATCTTGAGAGACTTTGGCTACCGACACACATGTTCGGCAATCTTCCTGTAGCAAGGGAAGAGTACCGCGACCCTGCCGTGATAAGCACTTTTGCTGGAAGTCTACCCCCCAGCTTGAAAGAATTCAAGCTCTACGATTCACACACCTATCCGCTTCTTACACATCCGGTTCTTGACTGTCTAGTCGAGACTGCCAGCGTCAAGTTGCCAGATCTTACAACCCTCGAGGTAATATCCAGCCATGACCATTCCAAGGAGGACTTGAACATCATCGAAGAAGAAAGAGAGATACGCCGAGACTCTGGTACAACTTTTACTTATAAATTTAGGTGGTCCCATTTCAACGGCTTCCAATTGCCGCAGACTGCGGAGGAGAAGAAATGGTACAGCCGTGCCGCAACAGAGTACACATGCTGGGATGAGGATCGCTATGCCATAAAATCATGGGATGCGTTGCAGATGCCGAACATTTTGAGTAGGGAAGAAGTAGATGAGAAGGAACATGAGGAGATTCTCACGATTCTGGCTGAACTCGAAGACGCGCCTACGTGCAACGACGAGATCCGTGAATTGCTCGAGACGGAGTTCGACGAGGTCGCCGCGATGGGATTGCAGTTCGTTTAGGATGCCGCGTGATGCTGATGCGACGGACCTGGTTCTCGGAGCATGGCCATGCAGGGAATTATACCGTTCCAAGAATGAAGATTAGTCTACCAGTTGTTAAGGTTCTCCGAACGGCACGGCCACATGCAATGCGGATCACGTGAACAGAATGTTAACGGTCGATCCTTCCGAGAATTGACGTCATTCATGTGTTGCGGGGAAATACCCGGCTCGTCCAAGCCCAAAACAGCAGGTGCATCGCCGTCACCTCGGCAGGACTTGTTTTGGCCGCATTACCTCTACCCGACTCATGATGATCAATTCGTGGAGAATCTGTACGGTCGGTCAATAAGCCCTAAGCGGAACTGTGGGGTTGGGAAATGGCCCTGGCAAAGCTAACGATGGTACCTGACCGGACACAGCGGGCAGCGGTGCAATGTACAGCGAGGCGGTACTGACGGTACTTTATCCAGGACTTTTCCGCCAGGTCTGCGCGTGAACGCAGGCCACAACCGTCGTGATGGGCTCCCTACGAATTGTTTTGGCTGCTGCGGCAGCTTTCCGAGCTGTCGCTGGCCATGTTGCGTCGCCAATTGAAGCTTCAGAACGTATGTTCTCGCGACAGGCTGTTGCTAATGGCAGCTGGCCCTATGGACCCTTTTCGACGAAAGACCGCGACATTGTCGACTCTCGTGGCGAGGCAGTGACCTGGGCAGGAGTCAATTGGCCAGGTGAGTGAAGTGAACTACGAAATCCTGGATCGTCCAAGACCAATTCGAGTGTCAAGTACGGTGTTAATAACACTTGAATATAGGTTCTGGCGAGACAATGGTCCCTGAAGGCGTGGAGTGGAGTTCTGTTGAAGACATTCTCGACTTGGTCAAGAGCGTTGGGTTCAACTTCATCCGCCTCACGTACGCCATTGAGATGGTAGACCAGATCTATGAGCGGAATGGCAGCGATGTCCCTCTCGAAGTCGCAATGATCACGGGTCTTGGTTACGAAAATGGCACCAAGGTGACAAATGAGATCGTTGCTAAGAACAAAGGCTGGACGAAAGACACTGGCCGATTCGAGGTCTGGGATCGCATTGCTGAAGCGGCGCTTGAACGGGGAATGTACATCCATCCAGACGTGCACGTTGGAAAGGCTCAGTGGTGCTGCAACAACACGTATGTATTCTATACAGAGCCACGACATGCTAATGTGAGTGCTGACAAAGTCAAGTGACGGAAATGCGTGGTTCGACGATTACAATTTTCCCGTGAAGAATTGGCATCGTGGACTACAATACGTAGCCAACTGGGCAAAGAAACACCCGAACGTTGTTTCAATGTCTCTCCGCAACGAACTTCGTCGTGCCATCAACACTACCGCCCCAACGTCGACAACTGGGTACAACTGGTTGACATTTGTGGGCAACTATACCGCAGCAACCGACGCAATCTACTCGGTCAACCCAGACATCTTGATTACCTGGAGTGGCTTGCAGTATGACCAGGACCTCTCTGCTCTGTACGTCATTCCTACCATTTCGATGCTTACGGACTGCTAATACAAGTTTGTGTTAGAACATCTGGCCTCAACCTCAACACAGCTCCACTCTATAAAGGTGACGCTATCCGTGATGGCTACCGTCGCAAGCCAGTAGTGTTCGACCTAGCTTCCCACCCATGGGCCGACAAGGTCGTCTACGAACTGCATCTCTACAGCATGTCCGAGAACCTCGACACTGGCAACTGCCCCATCATTGAGGCCGAGCTCTACCAATCCGGCTTCAACGCGCTCGGCATAGACGCACCCGCCGCCTGCAACATCACACAAGACTGCCCGAAGGCCGTGCGCCAGACGCCTGTAATCTTGTCCGAGTTTGGCTCGGCGCAGGACTCGTCCATATTCAATGACACGCTGCAGGGATGTCTGAAGCAGTTCACCACAAAGAACAATGTCAGCTGGGCTATGTGGAGTTTGGCGGGAAGCTATAGGATACGCAGTGGTGGGCAGGGTGTCCCTGATACATGGGCTCTGACCAACTACGAGTGGGATGGATGGCAATTTGACGAGGGGATTGAGAAGTGGTGGAAGCCATGGGCGAAGGCATCGCTTAGCTAGATACACAAATAATGCATAAAGTGCGATGGCCAAATAATTTCCAGTGCATTTTGCCCTTGTTCAATACTTGGCCCGTGTATTGCACTCCTCCAAACCAGAGGATCTGGGTTTCATCCACTGAGTTATTGTAACTTGTATCCAGTTACTCCTCGCACTTCAGCTCAATCCTTCAAATTCCATAAATGTCAACAACAATAGCGGGGTATTGTCCAAGCATATATATAACTTTCCTAACGTCTTGATCTCTCTCCAAAATATCTTTCTTCGTCCAATACTCCCACCAACGTATCCTGTCCGACCCTATACCTCTTCCCCGCTTCCAACCCGTAAACCCCAACCTTTGGCGCTCTGGCAGCGCCATTCGTGATCCGGGCTGTGAACAGGCACCGCCAACGTCAAGGGTATCTCACGCTGAAGCGTGTGGAATTCGTCCTCGTTAAGTGTCACGTTGACCCAGGATGGCGGCGAAATGTGGCAGTGAGTGCGGATGCTTCGTTTGACTGCCTGCCTGCCTGCCTGACCGGTCTCAATATCGGTGTTGGTTAGAGCGCCACACATGAGCATGGGCCGAAGTGATGCATCGTCGGCTTAGATGGTGATGGGATGTTAGCATGAGGGTAAGTCTCGGTGCTGATGGAGAAGTGCAGATGGAGTGCAATCTTGGGTGGTTACAACACGAGGCTGTTACGTGAGGTGGTTTATTCTGGTTGTCCATCTCTTGGTCGTTTTTGTAACCACTTGATACTATCTATCTTATGCTTCGCAGAAGTGTCGCCTACTTAGCCTCTGTCGTTATCGGTCTTTGTACCGGCGATGGCTTGGGGCGTGGACTCGGCTGCACTGCATTCATCTGCATGTAAACCGTTCACAAAAGATCAAGCAAAGGACCGACAATAAGAAATGGAATCCTGTGAACATCCAGGGTCTGTGTTAAGGTAATAGCTTTGCAGACGCATCATAGGTTGAGTTACCACGAGATGAGGCGCTCAATAATATTTCAAGTTTCTCGTGTCTGCTACTGTGGTATTGTTTCGTGTTATTACGCACCTCTGAAGTGCAGCAAGGCACAAAGTTTGGACGTCTTGGCCAGAACTTCTGGCGAGTTTCATATGCATTCTGGGTCTGGGTCTATCCGGCCTGTTTTGACTCAATCTATGAAACAAACCTTACTTGGGTCGCCTTGAAGAACTTTTGCATGCGCACACCCCATTTGGCACATTGGGTGGTTTCACCAGATCGACGGATCGCCCGCTTGGACCGGAGCGATCCTGGCGGGCCAAGCGCCATTGAAGTGGAGCCGCATTCGCAAGTCGCAGCACCTCCCCTTGCGAACGCTTCTGCTTAGTACATTCCGTACAATGTGAGGTTGCGCGACATCCTGGTCTCGCCGGTGCCCATTGGTGGTCCTTCGACGAGCTGCTTTCCTGTGCTCGTTCGATCCCCTCGAACTTGGATCAAGGGGCAGATGAGAAGTGATGGAAGTCCTTGCGAGGAGGCTGGACGCCAGACGCAATGACTGGGACGCGCTTGCCAATTGCTCTTGCCTTGTGGCGATGACACTGACCCTCGAGGCTCTTTCGGCAATCGTAACAACCGTCGCTTCCTGTCTGAGCAGAATGGCGTTCACGGGCCTGGCAAAGATGGTTGCTCTGGCCCATACCAAACCCAGCTCCAGCTAATCGTCGCTTCGCATCGCTGTAAAAATTTGTGGGTTGGGAGTTCTAATGCTGACTTCAGTCAAACAAATACCGTTGCTCTTCCCAGCCTTCGGCCGTCCAAGTACTTCTCGTCCAATTCTTCTCACTTTCAACGCGAGAGGCGTGCATAATCAAACCATCAGGTACTATAAATCGGCGTATAATGCAGCCTGCATCAGACCGAGCTTTGCTTGGAGCACCCTCCACGACGGCCGCAATAAACACACCGCCCGGATCGACCCGTCGAGTGACACCATCTGCATCCTCCATCACCGACGAAACCATCCGTAAGTCATTGGACACTGTCAAAACTTCAAGATCACCCTTCCTAGGCAAGAAGCCCGTGCCGAAACGGGCCAACAGCCAGCAGATACACGACAGTCATTCAGACGAGGCAGACAAAGACACCAATGGCTCGTATTTTGATCACAGTCCTGCACCTTCCCAGTTTTTAGCGCAACGTGGCCGGCCTCTATCTTTTTACGATATGAAAGAGCAGAAAAAGCAAAATCGCACAGGTCCAGCGCCCTTGAATCTGCGCAACTCCTGGCGGGGAAGCGGTGAAATGCCGTACAACTATGCTGATATCATCGGGGATAATCGACATGGATATGCTCCCCCACGACTTGGCCGAAGGCAGACTGAACTTGCACCAGATGGATCTACTCCGGGTGCTACAAAAATATACCTCGGACTCCCTTGGACGATGTGGATGAATAGTGATGTCAAGAACATGTTCGTCGCATCGGTTGGAGAATGGGTTGGCACTACGCTCTTTTTGTTCTTCGCATTCGCAGGCACTCAAGTTGCCAATGCCCACTCAAGAACGTCCGACGAATCCACAACAACGAATGCTACAGCTGGTTTTAGTCCTATTGTCATGCTGTATATTTCAGTCTCCTTTGGGTTCAGCTTGATGGTGAACGTGTGGATTTTCTTCAGGATATCGGGTGGTCTTTTCAATCCTGCTGTAAGCTCTCTTGTTTCATCCTCGTCAATTAAGGACCTCGCACTCACAACTGAGCAGGTCACTCTTGCTCTGTGGGCAACTGGTGCTGTCGGTGCCACGCGCGCTGTTTGTCTGTTCATTTCACAGATAATCGGCAGCATCACTGCGTCTGCGCTGGTTCTTGCCATGTTCCCTACGCCATTAAACGTCCGTACGACTTTATCCGAGGGTACATCTCTTGCCCAGGGCGTTTTTATCGAGGCGTTGATGACGGCGGAGCTCGTGTTCACCATTCTCATGCTTGCCAAAGAAAAACACAAGTCTACTTTCATTGCACCTGTGGGAATAGGATTGGCTTTGTTTGTCGCAGAGCTGGTTGGTGTATACTATACCGGTGGATCGCTCAACCCAGCACGCAGTCTTGGTCCATGCGTTGTTACGAATAAGTACGACACCGAGCATTGGATATACTGGGTGGGTCCCGGCATTGGCAGTCTTCTTGCTATTGGTTTCTATAAGTTCATCAAGATGCTAGAGTACGAGATGGCAAACCCAGGGCAGGATGGGGATGACAACAACGATCCGACCAAGAATCCTAATCACGAGGTCAGAGAAAAGCAGCGTTTGACCACGGCCAAGGTTCTCCAGTCGTTAGGGTACCCGCATCTGGCTGATGGGCAAGGGCAAGCATCTCTCGATACAATGAAGCAGGCCGAGGAGGGCGGATACTACGGTTGCCGCACACCTTCGGTGCTTGACATGGCAGATGAGCCGGAAAGGAGGATGAACCCTGGCCTGGTGCTCTCCACGGTGGCCTCGAGGAGTGATATGCACAGTCCAGTTAGAAGCGACATGCACAGTCCTGGTCGGAGTGATATGCACGGTCCTGTTCGGAACGATCTGCATAATCCGGGATACGCGCCGTCAGAAAGAACCTCTTCCGACAGGAGGACAAATGCGGGGGTATATAACTGAGGGTAAGGAAGCCTGACTGAATAATTATAATACACCGCTGGAACTTACTTCTACGTCCATTCTTTGGCCAATTGGCACAACAAGGATGCTACTTGTTTTCGCAATCACCAAAAGAGTAGATACGCCGCTATGTAGCTTTGATATACAAGCCGCGCTGACTTCGGGGATTGCCCTTCGTCGTATGTGCAATTACGACCGTTGAGAACCTCAATGATTCTATTTCACTGATCCACTGTGAAGGAAACCAAGATCATTTCATTTTCCGAGATGGAGGTATTATGTTATACACGTTTAGGTTACTGAAGACGTCACTGTTCTCAGCAAGATTCCACTGGTGCACATTACCGAGATCAAACGCCGAGACCAAACGCCGACATCCTACGGCATTTGTTGCGGCGTTTGGGGATGCCGGCATCGGACCTAGCGTCAACCGTGCTGTAGAGCGGCGTGCTCTGCTTGTAGCAATCAGTCCGTGGCGTGTCCAGATGCAGTGATCCGGCCCGCTATGCCTTCTGACTTCAATCGCGTGGCTGACAACAATGCCGTGTTTGACATGATGCGCGGTGGAGATGGGACCGCAATGCTTCGCGTCTTATAACATGCACTCGACGCTCCGACCCTCAAGTGGGTACAGTCGCACACTTTTTCCATCATGATCGCGCTACGTACGGCGTCCCATCAAGTGCGTAGAAGCCTTGGGGCCATCAAACCCGTGATACATAGCCGATCGCAAACAACCCGTGCATTTTCGCGCACACTACGGAGATCGGACACTCGTGCAGGCCAAAGCAGTCGTTTTCGATCAGCTTCATATTTCAACAGTAGATCTGGGGTGATATTTGCTTCATTCGTAGGCGACTTGGACATCGTATACTAGATGCCTCTTCTAATTGAGTGCAGGCTATCGCGAGTGCATATTTGTTCCACGAGCAACCCGCCGTACAATGCGAGGCCCCAGAAGTGCCATCGCTCCAGCAACAAAGACTGATATCGTACGACGAAGTGCAGAAGCATGTCACAAAAGATGATTGCTGGGTTATCATCAATGTGGGACAAACTTCTAAGAAAAGACAAATGGGGATGGACTAACAAATTCAGGGACTCGTGTATGACATGACAGAGTTTTTGGAGGCGCATCCAGGAGGGCCGAATGCGATAATACAACAAGCAGGTAAAGACGCGAGTTCAAAGTTCCAGCTACTACACCCGCCTGATGCCATCGGGACACTCCCTCCAGAATACTGCCTGGGGGCCATTGACCCTGAGACTATCCCAGCACCTGAGGCAATAGAGCTCACGGAAGACGAAGTAAGACAGGCAGAGGCAAGAGAAGAGATGCCACAAGCCGCAGACATGCTCTTGGTACAAGATTTTGAGAATTGGGCCGAGCGCGTGCTCAGCACGACAGCTTGGGCATATTATCGGAGCGCATCTGATGAGGAGGCTACATTTCACGACAATCGCGATGCGTGGCGGAGATATTTCTTCCGCCCAAGGATTCTGCGAGGAGACATGTCCCAGGGTTCGACCACAACTACGTTCCTTGGTATGCCGACCTCGATGCCGATATTTATCGCGCCTGCTGCTATGGCCAAATTGGGACATCCTCTTGGAGAAGTGAACTTGACCAAAGCAGCGGGGACATCTGGTATCGTTCAGGCAATTTCTGCGAACGCGAGTTGCGGATTAGAAGATATGTTTAATGCGAGGGTCGAAGGCCAACCGCTCATCTTCCAGATCTACTTGAACAAAGACCGCTCAGCGTCCTCCGCGCTCATTCAACGCGTTACTCGGCTTGGCGCCAGCGCTATCATTCTGACTGTAGATGTATGCTGGCAGTCAAAACGTACGCTCGATGTAAGAGCGAAATTAGGAGAGAAGAATGATATGCCCGCACCACCGTCACCTACTGCAACGACAGCCGGTGAGAAAGGCAAAAGCGTCTCTGAAGCAATCAGCGGCTACCAAGACACAAATCTAACATGGAGCGACATTGCGTTTGTTAAGAAGCACACGCACCTACCAATAATTATAAAGGGTGTACAGTCCGTCGAAGATGTACAGCTGTGCGTCGAGTATGGTGCACAGGGTGTCATCCTAGTAAGTCATGCGCTCCAATCATCCTATTGCTTTCCAATACTGAATGATTGGCTCAGTCCAACCATGGAGGCCGCCAAGCAGACTACGCCCCCGCGCCCATTGACGTGCTCTACGAGCTTCGTGAACTACGTCCAGACCTGTTCTCAAAGATCGATGTCATGGTTGATGGTGGTGTACGCAGCGGTGCCGACGTCGTGAAAGCTCTCGCTTTAGGCGCAAAGGCGGTTGGAGTCGGTCGGCCGATACTTTATGCGAATGGGACACACGGTGAGGAAGGCGTAGAAAGAGTACTACAGAGTATGTATCATTCTTGGATCAAGGCTCGACAGCGCTGACTTGAAGACAGTATTTCAAGAAGAGATAAGAAATACAATGAGGAACATAGGCGCCAAAAATATTGAAGATTTGAAGCCTGAATTGGTAGGCCCGATGGGCCCGTGGGTTGGAAGAAACCGGCCATCGTACGCACCAGCTTCCAGCCCCATTTAACTGTGGTGAATCGGGAACGATGCGCTGTTCTGGTCTTGCGTAGTAGTGCGATTCTGATTTGTAAAGTTATCGGTGGCCGACAAAAGCTAGACTGGGCCACTATGTGTAATAAGTGTCATGCTGTATTGAGCACAGAGAAAACGGTGATGGCGTAAATTTCTAAGGATCTAGATCAATATAGTCCCATTGCACTGGGAAGTATTTGTACTGTTAGAAGATTCCTTTTATTGACTCCAATCAGCCTTGCCAACATTTGTTGAGAAAGGGTGAATTTATCGTCACCAGTCCATCAGTATCCTTCCCGTGGCTTGTTCTCCTGCGTCTGACCCTTTGCAACGCCGAGCTCGCGCAACATTCCTTCGGCTAAGACTCCCACGTCCGTGATGACGGAAATCATGTCAAATCCTTGTTCCCTGCGGTTGTTGGCGTCCTCTCCATTGGTGCCTAGGAGGAGTTAGTTTGCTATCACAGCTTCACTTGAATCAAATTCTCCTCGCTTTGGGTGAATAGCGAAGAGTATTTGCTAACTTACAGAAAATGGCGGCCTTCTTGCCGGACGAATGCGCAGCCTTAAGTGTTCGCTGAATTGCGGCCTCGTGCTCTTCGCCGCCGCGTTGAACACCCATTTGTTTCGCGAGGTCGAAGGGACCTGGTATTCAGCCATTAGATGTTATCCCAAGCGAAATTGAGCTAGCACACACTTACCAATGAAGAGAACGTCGATTCCATCAACGGCAGCAATCTTTTCTACACTCTCTACACCTTGCCTGGACTCAATTTGAACGATTACGAGGAGGCTGTCATTTGCGTTGTCGTCATACTCCGCACCAAATACGCCTGGTACGGAATGTGCAAACATCGGGCCATACCCTCTAGTGCCGGTGGGAGGGTACTTTGAGTATTTCACGATCTTTTTTGCATCTTCCTATACCCTAGTCAGCTGCTTGATCTCACATTCTTCGCGGTGGTCCGTAATTAAGAATCGCATACCTCCGAATGGCACATAGGTGTGACAATGCCTTGCGCACCAGCGTCAAGAGCGCGCTTGAGCATCCACTCCTCACCCCACGGCACGCGAATAATTGGGCTGGCGCCTTCGGAAGCCACGGCGTTCACAAGCTCATAGTAGTGAGTGTCGTTGATCAAGCCATGCTCGGCATCAATCAGAACCCATTTGAATTGTCCACGGCTTGGCCGCAAAATAGTCTTTGCAACACCAGCGCTCGGTATACTGTATACCACCATAGTAGTTAGCTTTTAAATATTCCTGGAACTCTTTTTACTGCAAGAAGAAATTGATGATGGTCGCTTACGTTAGCCAGAAGCCATATGCAGTGTCCTGCTTCTGGAAGGCCGTCTTCAGTGGCGTGTCGAATGGCATTATGGTGGCTATAATGTAGTGGTAAATACAGGATATAAGGGTGCACCTTGGGCTTTGGTGAAAATATGTAAGTGCAGGGCTGTATTGTGGTCGTTAGGATAAGTAACCGATGGATGGAGGGGCGTTGCCACTACTGTTGACCCTTAAGTGGGCCCTTCGGCATAAGATGTCGCGATGCTACCCCGCTATGCGTTCTCAGAGCCGTCATCGGATGCCGGCGAATGAACTCCTCTGCAACACATAGACATCTATCCTGCACATGAGAATCCATCTAAGCCCAGAGTGGCATCATGAATGTATATAAACACAGCAATTATTTCGATAGGTACCTTTGTAGTCTTTTTTTTGGCGATTATAATGCAACGTGTACAGTCGACCTTTTATTCTATAAAGGTATATACGGCAATTAAGCAACAGGTTGGAAAGGGGTGCAGAAATTTCGATACAAGGTAGATATATTTGGTTGAGATAGAGCACATAACTTGAGTACAATGATACTCGTCTTCGGCTAACTTAGCGTGTCTAGAGAGCTCCTTACCTGCCAGCGTTGATGCTGCGTAGAGTTAATTAGCTAGCATAGTGCGAGAATACCGAAGTCTCCTTCATGATTGCACGTCCCAATACATCTAGAAAAGCAAATTTGGTGGTTCAGTGTATATTGAGACAGCCGAATTACGCTACGCTAACCGAGTCAACCGGAGACAGTGCTGCAATTTGCATTGTATATGTGTCGGCGAACTGCTCAAAACTTTCAATCTTTCCATCGAGGAGGTGCCAGACATGCGATGCCCTAGCTTCAAAAGACCGGCCTGTTTTGCGATGCGTACCTCGGTATGTACCGACTGCGACAATCCGCTCATTTCCGTCCACTAGGTATTCAAGTGAAAAGCGGAAACCGTCCCATTCCTGCCTGAGCACATTGAATACATGGCGATCAATGTCCGCCCTGCTGCGAAACACTCCTGGTGTTGGAAAGCCGTCACTTTCCTTCCATGTGATGGTTGGCGAGAGATCCCTGTAAAAAGCCTCTGAGTCGGCATTATCGTTCGCGAGGTAGAGATTTTGAACGATTTCGAGGTTGGATGGTCGAGCCATGATGCGTGAGTTGGTACGATGTAGGATTGAATGTACGTACGGCTTTTGTGTAGCGGCGCTCTGTTCGTATCATATATCCGGAGACAAGACTCGCCAAAGAGATCGCAAATTGTTTATTTGTAACACGCGAATCTCTGGCTGCGAATAGAAGGTTCCATTGCATGTCAAACACACTATTCTAGGCGACCAGATACTCAATGAGTAAGAAGATACTTCCGTTTACGGAATGAGTCGAAGTGGGTACCGGACTTAACTGAAGACCACATGCACACTAGTACGAAGGGAAGATGCTGACATTTCATCTCGATCCAGTGATGTTGTTATGCGAACTGGCCAATAAAGGCCCCTGACGCTGTGTAAGCGCGGGGCCCGAGATCATCCGACGAGGCGTAGAATCAACTACTAACATATTTGACTTATGCAATTCGTTTCTAGCATGCTTTACAGTTTATTAAACCAGACCCAATGGTGATCGCGTGAATCGCTCGAGCTCGGTTTCATGAAGACTATGACAAGAGCTAAACCATCTTTAAACGCTTTATATGCCGCATCAGCCGCGAACATTGTCTAACTTTAAGAGTCGGTAGACTAGCTCTGGTAAGCAAGGCGTTTCCTGGGGCACATTAAATGCATAGGCTCTCCTTTATGCCCATGCCCCAATGAGAGCCATACAAAACGCGCCGAAGAATACTAGAGACATGGCAATAATTCTTCTGTTTCCTCGAAGGGTCCTCCAGCTATGTTCACTCAAGAAGTCCTCAGACAACAGATCGACCAAGCTCGTGTACGCGAGGAGCCCAGCGGAGAAAGCATTGAAGCTGCCAACAATCACCAAACCCGTGGCAGAGTTAGGATCGTAGAGATCCCGCGTCGCTATTCCTATTGCTTGGCCCAAGGGCGTCGTGCAACCGTATGCTAATGCCATGATCCACGGCCGAACAGCGTTTGGTCTCCATCCGACGGCAGCAATGCGAGATCCAAGCGCCAGCCCCTCGAAGGTCTGATGAAATGCAATGGCGATAAGAAGGATGACTTGCTCGCTTCCAGTGGATACAGCCAAAGCCAAGCCGATAAATACGCTGTGGAACAAGATGCCGCATTCAAGGAGTGCGCACTGCATGAGAAGCTTCTTCCTATGCTGCTTTGATTCTTTTTTATCTAAGCCGGTCTGAAGGTTGATGGAGCGGCACTCCGGAATGACTGAATCATTTAGACCCTCGATCACTCGAGGTGCAGGCTGATCTCCGTCAGCGCACGAAGCGTCGATACGCCGTTCTACTTGTCTCATGATACTGTGAGATCTTCCGCTGCGGGCGCGTCCAAACTGTAGAGTGATTGATGCTGGCGCTTCACCGTCGTCATTTTCCAGGCGAGTTCTTGTCGAACTTGATCTGCGAGAATGAGAGAAAGCCCCCAGGTCATGTGCGTTGTCAGATGTTGGACCCGAGCAGAGAGAGCGACCGGGGCTGAATATCATCTCAGCTATCGTTATCATGAAGATTGCTGCGAGCGCTATCGCCCCTGCTAGGGCTGGGTAATCTTGGTTGAAGAAAGGCGGAAGACATGGATCGACCAGAGATACAAAAGCCGTTGGCAGCAAGTGCACGAATGCGGTGGCAATGAGAACCCCAGTGCCGAAGTGCCTAAATCCAAAATGTACATTTGCTGGTATTCGTAGTCGGGGTACTCTGAGGGCTATTATTGGCACCGCACAAGCACCCGCTGACACTCCAAGAATGATAAAGAGGGCTCCAATGTGCAACGGTAGATCGTAATCCACGTCCGCCTTCCTTGATTGGCACGTGGACATGATTGGATAGGAGTTGTTGAATGGGAAATGCCGGAAAATGAGTCTTCGAGCGGATTTTACAGCAATTTATGTTGTTGATCCCGAAGCTAGCCGCGAGTCTTACCGTGAGGACACTACTGGTTCCTGTGTCGGACACGCCCAGACTTTGTATTCGTCCGTACAACACGCTTCTCTACCTGAACAATCAGTTATTGGGGTAGGCAGTTCTCTTCGTATGCGTCATGTTGTAGAAGAAGAATACAATAATGCACTGACGCTGGTTTGCCGCGATTTTCAACGTCAACAGTTGAACCGCGGAACAGGCCCTTGGCAGGTGCACTTGGCGGGCGTCCCTTCCGACTTGGCGGATCGCACCAGCACACGAGCTCCTACTACGAAAGGAGACTATCAATTTGACAGTATCGTTCTATAAGTCACTTCTCGTTGCTTAGTTGTCCGCTTTGATTATGTCACCTGCCCTCTCAGCTACAGCATAGACCAAGCTCTGGAGGTTGCTTTGCGGGATGAAAGGAAACACGCTCGCATCGACGATTCTCAGTCCATCACCTCCAAATACGCGGAGTTCCGCATCAACAACACCTCCCTTATCGCGTGGAGCCATCGCACAAGTCCCGCATGAATGCCAGTTAGTGGTTGACATGTTCCGCACATAAGTCTTAGTCTTCTCCAAGTCTCCTCCCACAAATGCTTGCGGGTCGTTTCTCCGCCCGTTCGACTTCAACAGTGAGGCGAACGGCTCTGTCGCGGCGACAGTCTCCAAGTATTGCACGTGGCGTGCGTGAAACTCCAAATCTAGCGGATGCTGAAGGTACCGATGGTCGATTATGGGCTTTTCGTTCACGTCTGCAGATGCGATGTGCGTCGTACCCGCAGACAAGGGGTGCGACAACGCTGACACAAGGGAGATGTAGTTCCCTGGTTGTGGCTCTATGCTGAATGAACCCACCGTGTCCTTACCAGCGGGCCCATCCTGTGCCATGAAGAGGAAGTATTGACTAGTGCCTTCTGTCTCGGTTTTGTTGATGCTTCGGACGTGAGTCCGACGTGCCGCATCCATCGTTGACTCCCCAGCCACGCTCTCATTGAGAGTCTCCAAGGCTGCCGCGAATGCTTGAGGCTCTTTTTTGAACTCAACAGGCGGCAAATACCCGAAGGAGGTGATTCCTGGAGTAGCGAACGGCCCTGCTTGGTACTTCTGATACATTTCCATCGCGGACTGGAGCGCTGCTGGGTCCCCACGGGTGAGATCGTCGCCGGTCGGGATGCCGTCCTGAGCTTCGAAGTTTATGGAGCATAATATGTGGTCCTGCAAGTTGCGTCCCACATTCGGGTTATCCACGAGCACGTCGATGCCAAGCTTTTCGAGGAGTTCAGCGTCCCCAATGCCACTGAGCTCCAGGAGCTTGGGTGTGTTGACAACACCAGAGGAGAGTATGACCTCTTTCCTTGCGTGAAGAGTGGAGCTTGTACCGCTGCGAAGTACGTTGATTCCTTTGACTGCAGGATGGGGGGTGCGCTGACTCGAGCAGAAGTTTCTCCGCCACAGTGTTCAGGTTCTACGTTGTCCCTCTCAGGAAGATGATTGTAGTACGCGCTATTTGCGGATGATCTGCTTTTGGTAGCCGCATTGATGGTGGATGCGCCATTGTATGCTCCCGTTGATCTCCCTCCGAAAGGATTTCCTGACAACGAAAATCCAAGATGTTCAAATGCATCTAACCACGCCTCTCCCACGGGGTTCTCTTTCACGTCAACAAATGATGCATTGACTGGCCCATGATATGTATCGGCAAGCTGCTCTGCCCATTCAATACCAAGATGCTCGACGGTCTGCTCATCGGGTAGATCGATAGTGAACGCTTTTTTGAGGTATGGAGATAATGAGTCCCAGTTCCATCCAATATTGCCGAGCTCTTCCCAAGAATCGATATCAAACTTTGAGAACGAAATTAAAGCTTGTGCGTTGATTGAGCCTGATCCACCAAGTAGCTTGCCTTGGGCTTGGCTGATACGACGCCCATTCAGCGCAGACTTGGAAAGCGTCAGCATTGTGCTTACTCGCCCAAAATGAGCCAAGAATGCTCACCTGCGGCGTTCCTTCGAAATCCCAGTCCAATTGTGAGCCAACGGCAGAGGTGAAGAGACCTAGCATTGCGACTCTTGGATCATTTTCCGCGTTAACTCCTGCTTCTATGACGGCTACGGTAATGCTGGGGTCCTCAGAAAGGCGGCTTGCGAGGACAAGACCGGAAGTGCCGGCCCCAACAATCACGTAGTCGAAGAATTTGGTGGTCATGGTGAACCTGGAGTATAGAACGTGAGAGCCAAAAGTGACAGTGATATTTAGGAGCTCCTGAGTAGAGATCAACTCGAAGATATACAACCAGCGGGTGGCGTAGCGTGCATAAGGATATTGCGGTACGGGTCATTGTCTCCACCGAGCTTACTGTGCCGTCGATGCGACCCACTTAGAAGTTGATTTCAATACATACGTTAGGCATGGCACAGACAAGATGCAGTAAGCCAATGCTGGGCATCTCATAGAGCAGTGTCTTATCGATAACCTATGATTACGGACAAATTCGTGCTCATGCGCTGCATTAGGGCACTGCTGAACGAAGACTATGACTGGATGGGACGCACATCAGGAGGTGACAGTATGCCAGTCTCGTGAATAGCATCAGTATTAGATCTTCGCGCTCGACTGGGTTTTCCAGTCCGCAGTCGGTGGGGTCTTCACAAAGCTGCTTCGTTGCTCCCACTTCTTCATCCATTGCACCAAATTCGGCCTGCCTTTTGCCCAATCAATGCCCAAGAACCCCATCTGCGCAGTCGTCGCAGTAGCTACAGCGACCGCGACCTCATTCTGAGTTGCAGGCTCGTTCCCAGGATCAGGCAATATGCCTTTCCCCGCTACGTTTTCAAACCTGTCCAGAGCCCGCAAGATCTTCTGCTTCTGGCCTTCCACCCACTCATCGAAGTAGATCTTGCGTTCTTTGCGAATACGCACCTCGTAGGTGATGAGGACGGCTGCATCCATGATCCCGTTCGCCGCCGCATTGAGCGTACGTAGCTGCCAGTACCTTGCATCTTTTTTTGGAGTCACCGATGCGAGGTCGCTAAAGTACTCGCATATGACCCGTGAGTCGTAAATGCCGTCCGGGACATTTTCTGGTACCAGGCAAGGAATTTTTGCCATTGGGTTGTACAGCGCGACGTCTGAGTTGTTGTCGCTCCACCCCTCGATTGGCACTGGACATACCACGACTTTCTGGAGGGCGATGTGTTCGGCAAGGCCAAGCTCATGTGCAAGAACGAATACTACCCGTGAAAACGGAGAGAATGGATGGTATATGAGCTTCATCTGTGGGATCTTGCTCCGCGCTGTGACAGGTTTGGGGCTCTGCTGGATCCCTCCAGACTTCACGATGCTGAAATTCCAACGAGGGAAGTGGACGTGGATGCCCAGTCTGTTCTTTATCACAACTTCAGTGAGTCCAAGGCCGACCAAAATACCGGTGCTCTTGCCCATCTGCCCGTAATCTGACGGATAAACCTCGACCTCTTCCCCATGCTGTACCTTCAGTGCGTCGTTAGATTCGAACGACGTAGCTTCGCTCGCAGATTGTCCGTTCAGCACGCGGTCGCGCATAGAAGACCCGTCTAGTCCCACGGGTTTCTCTGTGCTTTGTCTTTTCCTTTCCACTTCCGCCATAAAACGTCGAACCCATGCATATACCCTTGGATATCTCTTCTCTCCAAAGTGTTCGTCTGGGAGGCTTCCCCGCATGCCTCTGTCCACAATCATCCACTCGAATGGCCAGACAGCATCAATATCTGCCACTGTGGGCTCGTTCGTCCCAAGCACCCACTCTCTACCGTCAGCCAAAAAGGTTGTCTCAAGCAACGCAAGCGCCTGCTGTATATTCTGTAGACCGTCCGGTCTTCCTGCCTCCATCGCCTCAGCGGTCATCCGCCTTCCACCCATTAACTTCTGCCTATCATCCAAGAACACCTTGTTGCTCAGAAGCCCGTTTTCAAGCCAGTATGGCATGAGTTTAACCACGTTAGCAAAGATGCCACCGTCGATAGTCCAGTTCTCAAAGAGTTTACGAGTTCCCGCTTCAGCTGGCGTGGATGGCGCAAGAGTATTTCCGGGGTACAGCGACTCAAGCTTGGAGATGATGAGCCGAGAGTCGCAGTATACGTCTTTTCCTATAGCCATGAGAGGGATTTTACGATATCCGACGTCGATGGATGCGAGGTCCGGACGAGGCATGACAGGTGGTTGGATCTGATTAACGTGAGCAAAGTAAAAGGTAGCATGCGTCTGCGAACTCACACATTCATCGTAAGCAATGCCGCGTAACCAAAGATACCACAGTACGCGGTGCGAGTAGATGGATTGCGGGTAGTGGAATAAGATGGGCTTCTCGGTGGGTGCCATGATGTATGGCGTTCTTAAGCAATCGATACCACTGGGGTGCTCACTGGACAATTCTGTTCTTCTTGATCAGTGTACGCGTTCGGGATTGGTGTGCTGTAACCTCCGCATTTTGCTGTCCACCTGTAACTTGCCGCTATTCCCCTCCCGGTTAGCATGACGTTGAGCCTCGGCTCAACAGCAATGACTCGTGTTGCCCGAAGACAATGCGACTTCGCAACCCTAAACATCATCATTTTGGTTCCATGGGATCAGCAACCCGTCATTTCACTGGGCGAATAAATATATCGAAATTGAACAGCGGCGACCTGGATCATTAATGCGTGAGCAATAGCCATTCACTACCAGCCTCTTGAGAAACCGTACGACCTCTATAGCCGCATCCTTTGTATGAACCAAGTCAGCAACTGATGTCTTCGTAGCGAATCAACAGTCGAGTTGTTTGGCGCTGTTTTACGCTAGTGCATCCCGATCTCCTCCAATTACTCGGTCTCAAGCATCTTTTTCTTATATCAGGCAACCTCTTCTGCGCTCAAGTGCTCGTTTGAGAAGGGTATAAAATTTGCTTTAAGGCTAGGTTGCGCCTCAAGATGCGTGTCAAATGGCCACATTGGCCTTTGAATACGATGATGACCCAACCTTCCTAGGTCTTGGTCCACGCCTCCTGGCGTCAACGCAAGCATCCAATCCGACGCCATATCATACAACTCCGGTTCTAAATACCCGATCTTGACGACCACGATATCTGCCTTTCGAGGACGCAGATCTAGCTCGGTAAAGTCTCGTTCCTTGTGATATGGCTTGCGCAACTTGGTCAATATGACAAACACGCTGCCCGTCTTCAGCACTACTTCAGTCTGAGCATGTGGATCGCCGTGCTTGATTGAGTGGACTTGGCCTGTTATGGTAATGGGACCGGCGTGGAGGTTGTCGATCTTAGCTCCGGCAGTGACAGTGATGATGGCGCCAACACCCGCATGCTCCGCGATTGCCACGGCTTCAGGACCGGGGACACTGGCATAGATTACGGTGGGTCCAGTAGCTTCGCGAAATTCCGGTCGAGCAAGGAGTTGAGTAACACCCCAAGTAACATCTCCAGAGCCACCGGCGGTAGGATTGTCGCCAGAGTCTGAGATAAAGTAGGGTCGCGCTTTCGCGCCGAGGGCAGTATCTAGACATTCCGCCAAGGACCCCGTCGGAGCGACGAATTTAAATTCGTGGCGTGCGTCCCAAAAGGTGGCTGCAAGTTCTTGTGCTCCATCCGCAACGGCATTCTTATCCCACCCTGTGACTACCACGGCCGCACGATTCCGTGGCTCGTCGGCCCAGGCGTAGCCGACCCAGATGGCCGCATCAAGAACCCCGTCTCGCTTCTCTACCTCCGGCACTGCGGCATAGATGCGTAGGGCAGGCTCGTCGCGCGTGGATGTTTGCTCACCAGGGAGGAGGATCGGAATTGGTATCCAGGCTTTGAGCGGCAGCGAACCACCAATATTGCGAACCTTGAGCGTTCGAAGAAGATTGCGGCATGCCCTCATCTTGGTCTCCCACACATCCACATGAGGAGCTGTACGATAACATGTAATAATATCCGCTTGATGAGCAAGCTCGCGCGACACGTTGCCGTGTAGGTCCATGGATGCAGAGACGATGGTTGTGGGTCCGATAACAGCTCGTATGCGACGAAGTAGTTCGGCTTCAACATCCTCATGGCCTTCAACGTACATCGCGCCGTGTATGTCGAGCCATAGACCATCTAAGGGATTCTGCAGCGCCTGGCAAATGTCCGACAAACGCTGGATGATCTCAGCTACCAGCTCTTCAAATGACCTTTTTTCGACGATGCCTCCTGGAAGAGCATGTCCGATGAGGGCACCTTTCCAGTCTGCTTCATCTCCTAGACTTGTTTTTGGACATAGGAATTGGTAATGCTCGATAATCTCTTGCCCACGTTTCGGGTGGAACGCTGCAGCTCGAGTGCGTGATGGGGTGAAGGTAGAATTCTCGCAACTCAGTCCGGCGACAGCCACAACCGGCAAACGCTGCTTTTCAGAAGCCATCACTCCATTGATTGCTGGAGACGAAACTCAGAATCTCGGGCGGTGGTTTCCTGCTCTTGAGCACGTGAGCGCTGCAGATCCCAACTTCATGGAAGATAAGCGGGGTAATTGCCGCTGGCCTGGTACCATGGCTATATCGATTGTGGTTAGAGATGAGATAACCTATCCCGTCAACGCGCCTTTCTGATCACCACTGTCAACACAATTTCGGCAGGTGCTTCCTTCCAGATAACGCTACGCGGTGAACCCCGCGTTCTACATTGCACCGTTCCAGAATGGCTCCGCGACTTGCATGTATAACAAGCAATGCCCAGGACGACGGGCTTTGCTTGTCTACGCCACATTTTTGAATGATCGTGTTGTCCATTTTCAATCTTGACGACCATGTTACAGAAATCACCGACGGGGACGTGGCTTCCCTGCTGGGTGCCGAAGTCCACTACGACGGTGGCAGTGCTCCTGATGCTCTGTTCGATTGTGCAGTCTACTGTGAGCCTTAGTATCATAAATCTTCATAATCGCATGCGCTGAAGTACTATTCGTGACAGACTGGAGGATACGACGGGTCGATGCTCAATGGCCTCAACATCCTGCCTTCGTACACTGATTATTTCAACCTGAATGCCGCAACCACCGGTCTCAACACCGGCTCCGTATTCATCGGTGGTTTCTTCGGACCTATCGTCTCGGGCGTTATGGCCGACCGCCTTGGTAGACGTCCCACTATCTTTTGGGGGTGTCTACTTACCATCGTCGGCATCATCCTTCAGACTGCTGCGCAGAATATCGCCATGTTCGTTGTTGCGCGCATAATCCTCGGGTTTGGATCCATCGTTGCAGGCATAGCTTCTGGGGTGTATCTTTCCGAGACATATCCCAGCCGATGGCGCGCTTGGGGCGTTGGCCTGTTAAACGACTTCTATTAGTATGTTGTCGTTTTGCGAACGTGACTTGCAGACTAGACGACTAATCAGCGCAGCGTTGGTGCGTTAATCGCTGCTGGTATCACATTAGGCACAGGTCAATGGCAGTCAACCTGGGCTTGGAGAGCGCCATCATTGTTCCAGGCCATCTTTTCCGTCTTGTGCATAATCGTACTGCCCTTCATGTAAGGATTCGACCAACGATTCCCACGACTGAGCAATGTTGATGAAATCGTCAGACCCGAATCACCTCGATGGCTCGTACACGAAGGCTTCTACGAAGAAGCCCGAACAGTTGTCGCCCAAACCAATGCCGACGGCGACCTCTCCAACCCAATCGTACTAACAGTGTATAAGGAGATCCTCGACACGCTGGAGTGGGAGAAGAAAGAAGGGCGCACTATGAGCCCGAAAGAGATCTTCAAGACGCCCGTCGCGCGCAAACGCCTGCTGATAGGCATGTCCGCGGGGCCATTCTCGTGCGTCGCTGGTAATATCATTGCGTCTTACTACCTTGGGTCGGAGCTCAACACGGCTGGAATAACAAACGCGAACGACCAACTGAAAGCGGTGCGTCATTATTCTCTCGTCCTCACTCATATTATGCTGATGCAGACAGAACGTCGTTCTGAATGTATGGTGCCTAGGCTGCGCACTCGCCGGGACCCATCTCGCCGCGAAATGGGGTCGCAAATCCACCGCGCTCCTCTCCCAATCTCTCCTCGTGGTTTGCCTCTTCGTGATAGGCGGTCTCTCAAAGCTTTACGCCGATAATCCCGACGGCGCTTCCAAAAGCCTGATCTACGGCGATGTCGCGGTCATGTTTCTCTTCCAGGGATTCTACTCGATTGCGTGGACGCCGCTGCTGTATCTGTATCCGCCGGAGGTCATGAACTACTCGATCCGCGCGAACGGGCTGGCATTTTCGCAGTTCGCGCTGAATGCTTTCGCGTAAGTAGACGGCGCGATACAGCCTGTTGGGTTTATTTGCTGATGCGTGCGCAGCTGCGTGCTGGTGTTTGTTATGCCGATTGGGATCGAAAACATTGGATGGAAAATGTACATGGTCAATGGCTCCTGGGACATCATTATCGTCGCCCTCATTGTACGTACGCTCCACGCCCTCTATCTCCACCTGCTGATTCCATACAGGCTGTATACTGGGTCGAGACCAAAGGTAAAACTCTCGAAGAGATCGACGCGATCTTCGAAGGCGAAAAGCATTCTGCTGTGCCGGATGTAGAGGCCGTCAGAAAGGGCAAGGCGACTGTTGATACCAAGGAGCTGGAGCACGAGGTCATGATGGAGACTACGTTGACGGGCGAGAAGGATAGATAAACTGATACGAAGGGATGTGGTGGCGCTTCGGAGAAAGCCATGGTAAAGAAGGGGTCGTAGTTGCTGCTAGTACTCCGACCTAGGACTTTCCACGCCAATTACGGTACTCAGCAGGGTAGTCAAAGTTGTACAGTTTCTAGTAATGACATTAGACCAATATAGTAATAGACTTCTGTGCGCCGAGGTTAGAGACACTAGAACCTAGTGGAGTCGCGGCTTACGCCTGACGCCAGCTTCGGAGACTCAGCCAAGGCACGTAGATAAATCAATCTTCTGGAAGCGATGGCAGCGCAGCTGCCAAACTTCCCAATCAGGCAATGAAAGGGCTAGGTGTTGATGACAGCCGTTCCCGTTCACGTTCACCGCGATTAGTGACTGGCCTGTGCACCGCACCCACATCGATCTAATACGGAATAGGTTAGGCAGTCACGACCAGTGGTATCCAGCTGATGTAATTCAAGAGAGCAGCGAGCTTTGGACGAAGGAATACCATGCAATGCTAATCACTTCCGAGTCTATGTCTACTCCTCACGCATCTTGTTGCGTTTTCCCTCGCAGCTAGAGCCCTAGGCCCAACTCGACTAGCTTCGTACTGTATACAACCTCATGCTTCAGTGTGCTCCTCCGCGCTTACGCAACTCCACATTGCTCATATTATCCTTCCACCATCTACGAGAAGTCAATCTTCCACCCGCGTCCAATGCCCACCTTCGGGTCCCGCACAATAGCCCAGTCCGCCTGCTTCCCGCTCCCAGCGTGGAACTCCATGGCGACCGTCTTCCTCCTCGCGCTTTCCTTCGCGCCCTCTTCCATGACCACGACCTCCGTCTTGTCCTTCCACGCCTTCGGTGCACCAACGATGATAACCTTCTCGACGCGGACCTTGCTCATGCTCTTGAGGTAGGCCTCTAGCTTCGCGGTAAACTTTGCGCCCAAGGGTACGGCGTTGGTGGAGGTTAGGATGCTGCGCTTGCCGTCGAACGCGAAGCGGCGGTGGATGTACGCGCCGGCCTCGTAGTCGAAGGTCTCGCCGTCATCGAGGTAGAGCTCGCCCTTGGCGGCGTTCTCCTTGTCGAGCACGACGACGAGAGTGAAGGGGTCGAACTTCATCAGACCGCTCGAGCGCCGAGGGCGGTCGCGACGCGGGATGATGTGTCCGCCCTGCATGAGTAGCGGGATCTTTTCGAGCGGCGCGGAAACGGTATGTGTGCCTGCGCCCTGGTAGCGCGTGTAGTCAAAGTAGTCATAGTACGGTTGGTCGTCTGCAAGGTACACGTCTACGCTGGTTGCGCCCTCTTTGGTGACTGGCTTGGCAAGCAAGCCAGTGGATCCAATGTACAATTGATCGTCGACTGCGAAACCCCTCTCGTCCTCTGGGTGGACGTAGAAGTTCGGACGAACGATAGGAGCGCCGGTGGTGTGCGCCTCACGGAAGGCCGTGTACCACACAGGCAAAAGCTGGTATCGAAGCCTAAGCGCCTGGGTGATAATCTCCGTGTATGGCGCACCGGGAATATAAGGTTCGCGGCGGCGTGTGTCGATGTGGGCGTGGCCGCGGAAGAAAGGGTAGTAGATTCCAGCCTGATACCATCGTGTCAACAACTCCTTACTAGGGTTACCGAAGAAACCGCCAACATCAGCGCCTGCGAACGGGAAGCCGGAGATACCCTGGTTCAAGATCATGGGAAGAGACGCCTCCAGATGGGACCATTCGGCAAGGTTGTCACCAGTCCACATAGCAGCGGAGCGCTGGCTGCCAGAGTAGAAGGAACGCGTAAGTACGAATGGGCGGCGAAGTTCTCCCTTCTTACGCTCGGCGATGGCCTGGTAGGTTGCGTTGTGGAAAGTCATGCCGTTCAAGTTGTGCACATCGCGGTGCTCCCAACCACCAAAGTGGATGTTGTCCTTGGGCATAGTCGTCTCAGGTCCGTTGAAGACGGAAGGCTCGTTCATGTCGTTCCAGATGAATGTGTTGGGGAGCGTTCCCTTGAAACTGTCATACTTGAAGAGGCCCTTCCACCAGGAGATGGCGGCGGGGTTGAAGCAATCGATCCACATGGAGCTGCCTGGCCAGCACCAGCCCTCGTATTGGTTGCCCTCTTTGTTCTTTACAGCAAGATCTTTCTTCTTTAGCTCGTCAATAACTGGGTAGTTGTCCGTGTTCTTGATGTGGGGGTCAATGATGACCACAAGCTTCCTGTCGCTCTTGTCCAGCTGCTTGCCCATTTTATCAGGGTTGACGAAGGTCAGAGGATCCCAGGTGAAGTACTTCTTCTCCTGTGTATATTCAATGTCAAGCCAGATGACATCGTACGGTATCTTGTGCTTGTCGAACTTGCGATCGACATCCTTGACATCTTCGTCGGTAACATAATTCCACCGGCACTGGTGGTAGGCAATGGCGAAGGACTGGGGCATAGCGGTGTAGCCAGTCAGCTCGCCATACTGACGGGTGAGATCTTGTGGCGTGGGGCCCAGAAACACAAAGACGTCCAACTGACCGCTCTCAGAGATCCAATGAGTCTGAGTGTCAGTGTGGCTCTTCACACCAAGTGCAAGAGGGTTCGCGCTCGACTTGGCCTTGACCACATCGATCCATGTCTCAGCGGCGTTTAGCCAGAAAACACCGACAGTCGAGCCCTTGCGGTGGGCTTGCATGAAGGGGATGGCACCATAGAGCGTCATGGGGCTGTCCATTTCGTACTCGAAGACGTCCGCGTTATATAGTCGGTATGGCTCGCTATATGCTCCATCACCGCCCCTAGTAGTTTGTTAGCGTTTTCACACTTTGTAGGTGCCATGCTACTCACCTGGTGGTCTTCAAAGACAGGCCGGTGGCATGCTCAGGAATGCCAAAAACGTGGTCATAGCCCGGGAAGGTGATATCCAACGCGATCGCTTCCGGGCCCCTGGGCTTCGAGTCGGTAGCTCCGCCAAAACTCTCATCCCACCACGTGCTCTCGTCTTCGCCAGCAATCTCTTCTTTCTTCTCTTCTTCCTTAGTCTCTTCCTCGCCTTCTCTCTTCTCCTCGGCCGGCTTCTCTGTCTTTGGTCGCCAATGCTCGAGGTTCAGCAGACCGCGCTCGTTGAACTTGACTTGCGTCTCTCCGTCCCTTTGGAATTCAATGCCAAAAGGTGCGTGTCGGATGACAGCCTGGTGCTTGCTTCCCTCGCCGTAGAATACCTTGGTATACCCCTCATCGGCCGTCTCGCTGAGCGCAGCACCGTCGGCAACCTTCAATCCACCAACCAGTGCCCACTTCCCAGCCTCGTTGTACCGCTCCTTCCGCGCCTTGCTGTCGTGTCGCAGAGTAATGTCACCCTTCAGCCGCCTCGCCTCGTCCAGCGTAACGCGCGCGACCCCGGAGTCGAGGAATGTGACGGTAAGAGGAAGCTCGACCTTCTCCTGCCCAATTTGCAGTGTCTTGAGAACCGTGGCGTGTAGCTCCCCGTCTTTGAAGGTGATTGTGGCGGGGTCGACGGTATACGGGGAGGCCCACGAGCTCGTGGCTGCGGCCGCATCGGCGAATTGACGGTTGCGTTTACAAAAGCCGGACTGGTCGCATGTCTTGAAATTCTCATGCTTTACCGTGACTGGAAATGTTGTTAGAGGGTACAGGAACGGTCGAGAGGCATGCACTGGAGCTCGAGGGCTGGCGAGCTCGCATCACAGCTGCACGTACCTGCAGGGACGAAAAGGCAGCACAGCGCCGCCCATAGCAGGAGGACGGCTATCCACCGGGGACCAGAATCGCCTCTTAATTGCAGCATGTTGTAGTCCTCCAGCTGCTCGCACAAGAACTACGTGCACCTGTCTGTCACCAAAGCATCATGTCTTCGAAACGCCAGGTGTAGCATTAATCCGACTTAGGTAAGCGCCCGCGCTATTCTTACTATGGACAGCAGGGTCCGTTGAGGCCACACAGTTGACCGCCTCGCATCGTCCCGTGTGAGCATTTGCAGAGTCTCTGCCCAGTGTGGATGACCATGCGAGTATTCAGTCAATTGAGCTGCGCAGTCGCCGTTCTGTTGCGCGTACTCTTCTTGACACAGTTATGCATGGGCTGTGCAAGCCAATGCGCGGTGAGCTGGTGCCCCGCCAATTCTAACCCCACCATGGTAGCGCCCAATATTTTGCCAGTCCTCAGCACACCCACCGCTCTTCTTTCCCCTCAGTCAACACATCTCGACACAGCACCAAACATGTCCAACGAGCAGACGTATGTGCCAATTGACAGCTCAGCAGCGCCGCGCAGCGTATACTGACACGTGCATAGCTTCATCGCTATCAAGCCTGACGGCGTCCAGGTACGTTCCTTCCATTTCGCCTTCGCTCCTTCCGCTCTCGATCCTCCCGCTCCTGCTTTCGAACAGAAAAGCTAACGCAAGCACCAGCGCGGCCTCATCGGCCCCATCATCTCTCGCTTCGAGAACCGTGGCTTCAAGCTTGCCGCCATCAAGCTTACCACCCCGTCCAAGGAGCACCTCGAGAAGCACTATGCCGACCTCGCGGAGAAGCCCTTCTTCCCGGGACTGATCGCCTACATGGGCAGCGGCCCCGTCTGCGCCATGGTCTGGGAGGGCCGTGATGCCGTCAAGACCGGCCGCAAGATCCTCGGCGCCACCAACCCCCTCGCCTCCGAGCCTGGAACCATCCGTGGTGACTTCGCCATCGTACGTATACAATATTCCCGGCAGCATATGTCGTACGAGTTATGTGTTCCCGAAAGAGGCTAACCAGGCCAACAGGATGTCGGCCGCAACGTCTGCCACGGCTCCGACTCCGTCGAGAACGCCAAGAAGGAAATCGCTCTCTGGTTCAAGGAGGGCGAGGTCCAGACCTGGAAGCAGAGCCAGCACGACTGGATCTACGAGAAATAAATGTCTTGCTATCCTAGCTGAGTTTTGTCACGCCGATGCTCTGTCCTCGCGACAAGCACCCGAACCCGTGTCCGCACGGATGACGACAGTACGGTGCGTAAGGTAGACGGGCGATAGTGTGAATCATGAATTGGCTACTTGGAAGACGGCATAACGCTCTCGCTAGACGTGCACGAAAAAAAAAATGAGAAATGATTATCATGATGTATCGTCTCGCAGTTTGATCCCAGGCCTTGTCGACTCATGTGATTATGGAGCGCCACTCTTTGGCACCAACAGTTCGATGTGGCCGCGGCAAGAATCCTGGCGCGTAAACGATCAATCCGCGCCAAACCATTCGTGGGGGCCAGCCAACTGTTGCTTATTGCGCGTCGTAAGATCTTGGCAGCACACGCCTTTGTTCGACTTCGCCTCAACTTCGCGTCAGCCCCGCCGACAGCTGTTTACTTCAATAACTTTACAGTGTGCCTCGATTGCACTGATATGGCATTACTCAACGCATTTCAATTTACTCTTATATATGACCGCGCCCAAAGAGTTCAAGATAGCTTCGCGAACCGAGTTCGCCACGCCGCCCTTCAATATGTTACTCGCTGTGAAGGAGTTCGTGCATGTTACGTGTCAAAACAAGTGTCAAACCAAGAGTACTGGGTGTTCCTTGGTGAGAGAAGATTTGATTTGCCCATGTCGCCGCTTACGTTTGTCCAGTCCACAAGGACGCCCAGAGCCATAGACATTTCCTCGAATCAACCATAGGCGTCGGTTTACTGATTCCATTCCTTGACTGTCCTCCGCGCATTTATAGTTTTCCCGAAGGACCATTCGATTTTCTTGTCAACAATGCGAATCTCCACTTGAGTCTTTATGAGTTCGACCCGAGACCATCGGCCGCAAATATGGCTAAGTTCGAGGGAGCATTAAAAGACCTTTGGAACCCACACGCAGTTATCTTCGCGCCGGAAAACGACGAGATGGCCTCTTCCTTTCTAGGAGTGACTACCGAGACGAAGAGCCTGCTTTCCGCGGCCCGAAACTCGAGCATCGATGCACCGCAGTATACTGTGCAGAGCCAGGTCATTAGTGTGGACCAATTCGTTGTGTCCAACGACTCAGATACACCAAAAATCCCATGTCGGATTACGACTGCAGGAATGCTCCGTGTCGACCCTCGTCTTTACGGCAATGTCTCCTGTGACGATTCAGAATTTGGAGTCACAGCACGGCCTCAAGGCATCTGTTTTCGACCCATGGAAGACATTACTGACGCAGACTGGTTCAGTCGCAATGAGTTTGATCAACCAACTACCGACACTCACGGAAAATGCTTCAGCATAACCACAATCCACTTCGCCCAGGAACACGCCGACGGGGATCTCAAAGGGGATTGTGCGATTCACCATGGACTGGAGATGCTCCACTGGTGCAAAGAAGATCACAACCCACAAATTGTAATCATCATCGCGGGTGAGGTTGTCCCTGTAACGCAAATACAGGTACTAATAGCATATTCGCAGCGTGGAAACAGGAAATGAGCTTCAAGCACTTCGAGGCAATTCTCTCAGAGAAGCTCTCCCCGAGCAATGATCTATCTCTTACCACGCGCGATCCCGAGTTCATATCCTTTCCGGCGCAAGAACCGCCCGACTGGGACGACAACACTGTCGTCGAGCTAATCACTTTCGACTTCCCAAAACCCCTGTCGCATGTCGAAAAGGCCGCTTTCGAGTGGTATCTGAACAAGTTCCTTGCGTACGTCGCTTTTCAAATTTCTTCTCCGTGCACGAGTTCAACTAACTTGCCGCATCCAGCACTATGCAGCCCTCCGGCCCCGACGATTCCAGTATCGTGCAGCCCTTTGGACCGCTTTGGTCCGCCGGATCATCGCATCAGTGTTTTGTTGCCATCAACTGGACCGAGATACCTGCGCGTGAGGCGTGGCTGAGGAACTTCCTTGCGCATCCGTATGATGTCGCTGGGTATCTGGTGCATGGGATTTCCTTGGCAGGGGCGGTGGTGAAAAGTAGAACGGGGACGCTGCATGCGATTCATCACTCGGGGTCAAAGTATGCAGAGGACGATGCGGCTAACGCGGGAGATGAGGATGAAATAGACTTGAAGTTTTAGGGCTATGGGTTCCTGCGATTCGAGGGTAACATCCGGGCACAATACTCTTAGACGCATATATGACCGAGGTGAAGATATACTGTCGAAAATCGAACAGATTGGGGGTCTCGAAATGAGCAAACAAACAAGAGGGAAGTCCACGTGTGCGTATTCCAACCCTGTTCGCATGCTACGCTCTAACGGCTAATAGGCCGTTGTAATGACGTCGAATTTGGGGAGACAAGCTCCACATGTTCACCGCGTGACACCGGACTCCGACGCCTCAATACATTATAGGAGAGATTATCGGTGAAGCTGAAGTAAGAGGCCAAAAGGCCAAGCGCGTCGATTACAGTAGGAGAAAGCAAATAAAGAATGTCAACTTCCCATGGGGTTCTTCTGACTCTTTGCTAGAAAAAGTCTTCAGCGTTCGATCGCGGCGCGTGTGTAAGTCTCCTATGCATCAGCCGTCTCCTAGTCTGAAAGTCTACCCACACCACCACGCCACGCACAACATTCAGCGGAGGTCTTGCAATGGCAATAACAAGAAGTGTCACTGGTAACGCAACAACAAAGTAAACCCAGAAGTTCTTACTGCCCGGCATGTACTCAGTGTTCATGCTAAACAGACTAGCAATGAACGTCAAAGGCACAAAAACGAGCGCAAGGACGGTTAGACGTTTGATATTTGCCTGCTCAGCGTATGTACGTCGTGCATCTGCAATTTGAACCGACGTCATCACCATTTGCATTGTGTTCTCCAGTCTTCGCCCAGCGTCCTGCATCTTATGCAATATAAGCTCTAGGTCCTCGGAAAGACAATCGAGCTGCCGGTCGTCTTTGTGGCTGTTGAAGTTCGGTGACTGAAGCAATCTAATGAGCCATTCGACTTTGCCTAGTGATAACACCGTGCGACGCGACCATGCTTGAAGCTCCGTCAGATCTCTGTTGAACTGGTCAAGCTCCGGTAGATGATTGTGCTGATATTCGAACTGTTTGATGCAATGGTTCATCACAGCCACGTATTTCACCCACTCTGCAGCAACAATGTTGAGTGGATAATACGAGAGAGCTTGCAATGATGGGTTAGTTGCGTCGAAACAATTTGGCAAATCAAGTGTCCAATAGTATTGTAGGTCTTCCAGTAGGCTCCCAGATTGCACACCTGTATACCCTGTAAAGCCGGCGGAAAGAGGTCCCGGAGGAACAAAGTCTTCGTAAGTACCTAGAAAGGGTTGTGAAAGCACGTGCATTGCGCGCTGCTTCTTCCATTTTTGACCGTCGGCATGGTAAATATGGCCAATTGGTGGATCGACAAGTATGAGGGCTGCTCAAATCAGTAAGACAAGCATAATCAGGACCTGGGGAACTGACCAAGCCAAAATTGGCGCATACTATGTGGATCAATGCGTATGACTGACATGCAGTGCTGCACGAGCCCAATAGTGGTGGATGGCAAGAATATCAGTTTGCGGTCGATCACAGTATCTCGCAGAAGCCGCCCACCATCTACCGATGTAGTTCCAGTTGTGATCGCTCGGTGATAGGCCATATTGGTGAAGTTCTGGGAAGACAATCGGGAAGGCAAGGTTGCTTGATCTGGAGTCTGATGGCGGATCCCGGTTCTACTCACCACATGCAGATGCATTGCAAAGAACAGCGGGTCAACTCCCAGACCGGTCCCAAGAAGTTCGACGATTTCCTTTGTGAGATCTTCGATGACTAAAATCCGGCCTAGAAGTTTTTTAAAGCCGCGTGAGCGAGTGTCTTCATGGAACTCCTGGCCCAGATGACCTGCATTTATGCTTGCCCGTGCAGTTGGATGACGATTCCCGTCCTTGAAGTCGAGAGCAGCTACTCGACAACATATTCCTGGAATATTTGGGTTTGAGAGAAAGGTATCAAGGCTTTGTAAGCTGGGATTTCGCAAGCACAGGGCCTTCACGTAAGACTGGTATGACGCAGGAGGAGGAATTTCCTTTTCGAGCCCAACATGAGAATCATGAGATTTTTCTGCAAGCACTCGACCATTCATCGTGTTCAACGAAAATATTGTGCCAAAGAGGTAGTAGGACTGGAAATGAGGTATGTGCACGGACTTCAAGTACTGTCATTGATGAAAGGCACTCAGCCACCTCTTTCATCTGTGACCGACCAGGCAGATTTTCACTCTTGACCGGTTTCAGGCAGCCTGAGCCTATGAATGTCGGGTAATATCAAGACTCCGTGCCTTCGAGTCGACATAGAACGCATGGTTGACTCATACCTACAGCTGGAGGGTGTTGGTCCATACCCACCATATCGGGCTAGGCTTGACGTGTCCGAGAAGCTCTTCGCTGTACGAGTGGACAACACATCAGCCTCGCGACGTCCAAAAGTACCTGTGTAAACTTTCAGCCTCGGCTGAGCGCCTTCTTTGCACACCGGTCCCATCGTATCTTCAACCTGCACCGCGGACTAAGAGCCTCTGCGCAGCTATATAACTGGCCAAATTCAACTACGGTCGGTGCTTGTCTTGAATATCCTGCATTCTACCTTTTGCCCTGCACAGTAAGCTCTGTACCCTTCTTTGTATTATATAGCCTTCCCAATAACCCTGATTAACGCATATAACATCATTTTGGATCACTTGATGACATGATTTTGAGCAGACCGTCCATGGTCTGATGTCGCCGACAATGGCATCTGACCAAGCAACATCCCCAAGACATAGCGAAGTACCAATAGTCGTGGAAAATTTCCTGAGGTATTATTCTTTCGAACATTACGAATGTCTGGCCCAGCGTGTTGAAAACAAGCTGAAGAAACGTTTTGGAGAGTTGAAGAATGAAGAACGGCTACAGCCTTGGGCGACAGCATATCGCGCTAAAACCAGAGAAAGTCTACGGGAGAAAGTGATGGTGAGACACAGCGAGGTGAACTTCAGTTCGACAGAACAGATCAAGAAAGACATGTGGGATTTAGCTGGGGTTCGTGTCATTCTCTACTTCCCCAGCGACGATGAGCACAGCAAAGTAAGGGACATCATCAGAAAGATATGGCGAGAAGAAAACATCGAGACACGCAATCACAAGAACCGAGTTCAGCACTCAAATGGAGATAGAGGAGCGGAAAAGAGGACGAGAAGAGTGAAACACTCCAGTATACACCAGCCGATTATGGTGCCTGAGAACGGTGGAGAATACAAAAAGACACCAAAGCAGTACGAACCCCGGAACGTAGGCTACACAGGGATCCACTACATTTGTCAAATGGAAGCAACGCAAGAGGACCGACCCCGCTTCAAGTGGAAGTACGAGGTCGGTGATCAAGTGGAGATACAAGTAGTGTCTGCACTCACTCATGCCTGGGCAACAGCGGGCCACGACCTCCTCTACAAAAGTAGTCTATTTGGCGAGCCTACACCCGAGGAGCATAGGGTATATGACGCATTGAACGGCCTCATCCAATCCGGTGACTTGCTCCTCGAACAGTTTCAGTCTATGGTACATGGACGGACGTATAGGCCCTTTGAATCTCCCCACGAACTAGGTGTCCATCTGGGAAACGCCGATGTTCTGCAAGATCTGAAAGAGAAGCCTATGCCCCCCAGCGAGGGCTTGGAGATTCTCTTGAGGTTCCTTCGCCATCCTAGCGTTGGGAAAGATTGTCCTTTCAAGTTACGTGGGGCCTTGAAACGTCTTGGATATCCTACAGGCATTGTGCCGAAAAAAAGCATCGATCAATTCCAACCAAAATTCGAATGCGTCCACGAGATGGAATTGGTAGTATGCCTTTTCGCTGACAATCTACCAACCCCCGACCCAAACACATCTTCCGAGGACTTGGCATCGGACAAGCTGTGCCGCATAATGATGTCCGCACTAAAACTGCTGCAATCCTTCTTCCCTTTGCCCGAAGAAGCAAACGCGTATTTGCGAAGTCTTCAGTTGGACTCAGAGGAAAAGATAAGTATGGACTTTGTACTTTCGAGTTCAAACAGACAGATCATACTTGCCGGGGATGGCAACGAAGATACTGATACAAAAGATCTTCGGCCAGCCTGGAAATGGTTTAAGAAACAGACAAACGACGCGAGCTCTATCTGCGGTCTCGTCTTTCGCGTCGCAGAGATGGAGATCCTTGGTGAAGTCAAGTTCCAAACCTTGTTAGACGACTTGAAAATCGGCTCATTATCACGATCAAGCACCACTGAGACCGAGGAATTCTTTGAGGACACACATGTAAGCCCGGACTTAGGCTACTGACACATAACGGGATGTTGAGAATCACACAGGAGTGACTGATCTGGAATATTGTCTATGGCGACCAAGGGGGTCATCTGTACGGTTTGAAATCCTTGTAATAATGTGTCTGCTCATTGAAGCACATGTGAGCCAAAAATTGGGATTCAAGTTGTCGTTTATCCAACCACATGCACGGGACGTCGTCAGGCAACTGAAGGAGCAGGGCGGCGCGATAGTGATTGGAATTCCTTGATACGGGCATGACGCAAGGCGTGAATTTTCTGCATGCTAAGCAGGTTGCGTCGTGGCCGGTCACTCGTCGAGGAGCAGGCTGGCGCTAACTTGCAGGACGACGACAAGGGTATGGAACCAATGCACGCAGTTTTCTTCAACGCCCTTACCCTAAAGACAGCTTGGAGAGGCTTAGTGTGGAGTAAGCAGAAACTCAAGATTTGGTCTATTGTTTTCTATTGGATTGTTAAATCGCTGTACGAGAAATACCCTAATGCCTTGTGCACCTGAACCTGCACGGAAAATGCATGCAGATTACCAAGGCAATGCAGAACCCTGTGCCCAACCAAACTATGAGTTGGCACCATAGCATGGCTATAAAGCCCATGAAGCCTGCCACTGCTCCATTCCTGGTGTCATTTCAATGGCCAAAATGCTGGAAATCGCTATCATGTACACTTTCCTTGCGATGCGGACGTATCTTGCGAGATGATGGCCTCACACACCTTCCAGGTCAAGCATATGAACCGAAATCACTACGATTCCGACAAAAGCGACGAGGAGCAAGCCCAAAATTATTCCTGGGCCAGCGAAATTTCTCTGAATCTGGCCCTTTCGAACGTGTCGTCTAGAAACCTGGGTCGGTTCTTGGATCACAGTGTAGGTTGCTGTAGGGACGAGCTTCGGATATCCTTGTCTGCTGCTGTGGCATACAAGCCCACGGCCACACCGAGTACCGAGGCATACCATGCAAAGTGGTCCGGTTGGACTAGTCCAAGAAGCGAAAGAAGGCAACGCCATTGTCTGGACAGCTTGGAGAGTTCGGAGTCGATCAGCTACTAGAAGCCGATGTTGCTTCGTTGGGTCCTGGTAATTTTGGTCCCGTGGCTCAAACCACGCGCTCACTGACAAGGTCAGTGATCTGACCAAGGATAATAGCCTTTGGAACAGCTTACTCCATATAGATCCTTCTTCCGATTGCAGAAATATTTTTGCACATTCTACATCTTGAGCGTCAATATACCTTCCCATTTTCAACCTCTCCTTGAGCTGGATGACCAGCTTCCCAACCACGGCGGCTTTGTTTGTATGATTATACAAATCTCGAGGGGTGTGATAGCTGACACGTATGACCAATTTGCCTTTATGGTCCCGGTCTGAAACGCGCGGTTTTCGCAGGGCGCTACTGACGCTATCCTCGAAAGGACGACTCACATCGCCTATGCTCTAATCAGTGTCGGTTGCGAAGATAAGCATACAGCTGCAATGATCATGATCCCTAGGGCCAGAAAGGTGAAAGTGCGGTATGATGCTATTTGGCAACTGATGATCTGCAGATAGCTTAATCCCCAAGCTCTTGATGCCTTATCTCATCGAAGACTTGCATCGCAGATCACCAGCTGCCACAGCTACGTTCTCCATCGCCGATCGAGTCGCAGGCCATCCCGAAACTCCTATCCGAACAACGTCGAGAGATAGATCGTTCGTTTGGAACATAGCCAGCACTTTGGACATTGAAGAACGATCAACTGCACATACTGAGGTCTGCAAGAATGCAGGCGTGGATTCCACGCGGGATCGAGTCGGACATGATTGCGTTCGTGGGTGGAAGAAGAACGAGTGAAAAGTCTAGTCTACAATATTACAGCTTGCCGGGCGGAAACACTGGATTGTTGTAGTGAAGAAGGTGAGAGCTGTGATGTGGGGGTATCCGAAAGGGTCACTTGCAGGACTAAAAGGCCCGTCTGATACGATGACGCCTGAACTAGCGTCCTCCTTCGCCGAACCGTCTCACCGCATGGTACCTGGCAGGTTCTCCAGTCTTGCACCATTGGTACTCGGCGTTTCAGTCGCACATTGCTGTCTGTGAGCTGATTGAAACCGATCCGCGGGCGTGGGTACACAATGCAGACTAATTGTCTTCCGTAATCATGATCAACTACGTACTTTCGTACGAGGAATTGAGCACATCGTTGGAGTACTAGCTCATCCGCACGATTGGTTGAACATGCGCGACATTGTTGCCTCAGAGTTCCATCGGCCGGGGCCTGCCTTGACGGCGCTGGATCGCGGAAGGTACGTGCCAATCGGGACGTACATTTATCCTAATAATGACTTTGTCACTGAAATGATGCAACTGCTTAACGACTTGAAAAATGTGCTCCGCCACTTCCGATCGTAGGCATCAAAGTCCTCCTTGCTCTGCCTCATCAGCGTTGTCTCCACTTCTTACGTTCCGGCGGTGCTGGAGGGGAAAGGGCACAGCAACGATGATTGAGTCAAGTAAGAAGCTTCCGCATCTTCATTTAATCGCGTGGGTGGCAGATGCTAGAGTATTGTCATCTCACTTTCCGGTCATCAGCATTTCTGCCACCAGAGCCAATGCCTGAGGTGCAAATTCGTGACCCGCGGCCCGTCCATTGACCGGTGGTCCTTAATTCGTCGCTAACGAGCGTTGCACAAACAGGCGTGTTGGAACCCAAGGCTGGCGGCAGCAGTACCCCAAGAGAAATGCTAGTGTCAGGGCGAGCTCTGGTTTCCAACTTCTCGGTAGTCCGTCCAAAGTGGCGAACTATGACCCCCAGAGCAGAGCCCCTACAGGCTTCGAAGACCCATGTCGCGTGCAGGTCCCGGCGACAGGGCTGTCAACAACTCAACCGCTCTCAGCCACGCCATCTTAGGTATCGCAATTTCCTCTATATTTGTCCATTGTATACCTCTCAAACGCAGAGAGATCCTTCAAAAACCCTCAGGCAGAGATCCCAAGAAGATAGCCGCAAAGCGAGGTCTGGAGGCTAATTCCATTGAGGGAACTGAGCGCACTCGAGTGTTAGCCACCCGTGCCGGTTATCTCCCCAAGATGACTTCGGGCTTCTCTAGCTTCGCCGTATTACATAGCGGTGATGGTTTTGATTGTGGACAATTTGGTCCTCTTTTGGGTGCTGCTTTGGTGCGTTTTCGCCACATGATGTGGGTACATAACTGTCCCGAGACGAGTGTCGCAAGATTGCTTCTCTTGTCTTGCCCTGCGGCAAACATGCCAGCACGACTCAGCCAATCCTGTGTCGACGCGTGCTGGGCTGTGGTTGGGGGACTGGTACAACAAAGCAACGTGGGCGCAAACCACCGTGAGCCCGAACCAACATGACAAGGGTTTTGCGCCTCCAAAACGCCAGAGTCACTGCCCCTGTGTATTTGGCAGCCACCTTGGTATCCCTGCGCTCATTACACGTCGGTTGGCGTTTGGTGCCTCCTGGACTCTCTCTCGAAGACAGTCGGCCTTATGCACTTTGTGCTTTCTGTAAGATCTTATACATGCTCACCAGCCACAGCCTTGACCTTAGCTTACGCAACTTGTTCCGCAAAATAGCAGCATGCGCACAATACCGTAATCAGCTGCTCTCTAAGCGATTGCGCACAGTCGTTACAAGGAGGACCTGCAGCACACCTGCCTGTCATACTCAGGTCCTCAATGAGTTGACGACTGACATCAATGTGATCCCGAGAGGGACGAACAGTTCTTTTGCTAACACGACAGCGTTAGCCAAGGAGCTCAAAACGAGCCTCTTGTTCGCAACGGCTGAAGCTCAACCAAGAACCAGGGAACACGAGAGGGAAGGAGACAGCAGGCTCGTCATGCTTAAATTGGCAATTAGGGCCAAACGCATTTCAATAAAGGCCCCAATGCGAGGTTCCTCGATGATGAAAACTCTCGCTAACGCCAAGGAGTAGTCATTTGTGTGGGCATCTACATAGAAGCAGAAGCGAACAATGGCGGCCAAGAAGTGTGCCCAGAGAAGTTGGGCTGCGAGTGGCGAATAGTAAGTGCTTCGCAATCTTGTTGGGCGTGCGTCCATTCCGCGGTGCTCAGTAAAGGATGGGCGCTATCCCAGCGTGGTCGCCGCCGTGCAACCGCACTGGGCGTGCGTCTACTTCGGAGGTGCATAAGCGAAACACGGGCGGGCGGCGAGCATATGCAACTCCTGTTACACGCACAACATGCTGCGTCTATTTGGAAGGGTCTGCGAGGAGGCCTATGGGCGGTGAGCGCCCGAGATTTAGCAGGGGCAGTTACGACGAAGCCGGGACAGCAGACAGGCCACCTCCTCAGCGCGGGATAAGCCATTCCCAGCGGGAAATGGCGGCGCCCACGCCGTCGACTGCGACGCTCAGCGGATGAAGGCACTGGGCGTGTGACCCTGACAGTATTGCCATATACCCAGGTGCCGAAACCGCCTGCTCGCAGTGTGCCCGAACCTGATCGCCGATAGCTCCCAGAATGTGATACGGAACAAATTTTTGTCGACCTACTCTCAAGTAGTGAGCTTGGGCTCATTCTTACTTGCCTCTGTCGTTGACCATTGCCCCTGTCCAGTCAATGACAGCCGTCTCATCGATAAAAGGCATTTGATCTGTGTGCATCCTGAAAGCCAACGCTGAAACCGGAGCAAGTCGGACGCAGCCGATCGGATATCGAGGCTCGACACTTTTCGCTTCAGTTGCCAGCGAAGTCGTCAGCGAATGCCTTGCGTTCAATGAAATTCACCTCGGTAGATAGAACCCTCGCGAGCGGCATACCACTGTATGAGCAAGATGATCTTACCCGTGGCGTCGAAGTCCCAACTCTTTATCTCCAGCTCCTGTGCTTCTCCATTTCCATCCTACCTTCCTCTCTCCAGCAATGCAATCAGCCCCTCGCAGTCTTCATCCCCCCCGCCCTCGCCCCCGCCCTCGCCCTGCCAGCCTCCCCCCAGAAAATTACTGCGCCTCTCCCGCTGAACGTTACCGCCACTCGTATCACCGCAACCACGCTTCCATACGCCACGGCGCTTACAGCCTACACCACGGCCGACCCGGCAACGACCACAAAGAGATTATCCCACACCTCATCCGCCGCCCACGTCTGCACTTTCTTATGTACCTGGTTCCCAATCGCCTGGACAACTTGATAGTATCTTCGCGCTCCCTGCCCATTGAACAAAATGTCCTGTAGAGATTCGATCGAGGTCCGATTCAGATCAGGCTGTTGAAGTGGCATGTGTAATGGAAGTGATCCTCGAAGATGGAGGTAGACAACCTGGCGCGAAAGAACTAGGAACTCGTAGGAACGTAAGTACTGATAATATTCCATTTAACTTCCATTTCCATGGGGATGCTCAGCACTGCTTTGTCGGCCCCTACAGGTGCGATCCACTTACTGCTCCCTTAGATCCCTCAGATCGTACCCAACCCCATCCTGACCGTGAGCCTGCGTCGCCCCTCCTACTCCAACCCCTGAGACTGCGAATGCGACTGCGACTGCGACTGTAACCCCTCACCGCCCTTATCCCTACTCCTCGTAACCCTCGCCTTCTCCTCGACCTCCTGCTTCACAACATTTACCCACCACGCCCTCACCTTCTCGACCTCTCCCCACTCGCCTTCCCCCCGCTCAACAGCAGGTCCCTTAACCTCCTCGCGACTCCGCACTTCACTAAAAGCGCCGCGCTTCTTCCCCCACAGCGGCTTGCCATAGCGCCAAACACACCACGCGCTCTCATCTCCGCTGACGAGACACGGATGCCGATTCAGACTCTTGACGCTGAAGGCGCGCAGAAGGACGACGTCGCCGGCTTCCGCGACAGGGAGTGCGTCGGCGTAGACGCGAAATATCTGGACTGTGGTTTGGGAGGGATATAGGGAGAGGTCTGTGATGTGCAGGGTGGTTGTGTGGTGCTTGGGCCCTTTGACTGCGCGGGTAGGCGGTGTGGAGGCGGTCGTGACGAGCGCGAGGACGTCGGGAGAGCCGGCGGAGTGGAAAGATGAAGAGCGGTTGATGAAGTAGGGGAGGTCTTTGAGGGGGGTGTAATAGGCTACTGGGGTGGACAGACCGATGGAGGGTTTTTCGACCTCGGCGACGTCGGCTTCTTCCTCGGAAGCAGAGCGCACGCTGGGTCTGGGTGAAGCCGATGGTGAGGCTACGTCGGTAGCTGTTGCGTTGCGGCGAGGCGTCGTTGGGAAGATTGACGGAGGTTGTATAAGGGTAGATTCTTCTGCTTCGAAAGAGCTGGCTTCCAGAGAGTGGCGCGTGGCAGCAACGGATTGTGTTAGCTGTGGTGTCATTGGGAGGCTTTGCTCTTGATATCTCAACAAACTAGGCTGTACCTCGACGAGCGCGTGCTGTGTATCTTCTGGGGTCATGAGAAGAGAATGCTGGTTTGCGGTGGCGGTCCGGGCATTGTCAGCTGGCGGTGAGCTGGGCGCATAAGTACCTGCTTCGCCAGTGAGATCGCTCTCTTCGAGTTGAGAAGGTGCTGGAGGTGACCTCTCCATATCAGTATCAGTATCGCTCTCTACAAGAAGATCGGCCGAATCCTTGTTTACACGACGCGACCTGCGGGGACTACTCGTCACGATTCCAAGCGAAACAACCGAACGAGCTGACCTGATCGGGCTGCTCAGAGGCAGTTGAGTAGCGACTGACGACACTGACTGTTTCGAAGCACTTCTCGTTGTCCTGGCGACTTGCGTGCCCGCTTTTTGCACTGGTGTTACGGGCGAAGTAGGTTGCCGACTTGTGGTGCGAGTTTTCCTTGGCGTCGAGCTGAGCTCTTTCACTTGCGTATCTGGGACTGGCGGATCGCTGAATTTTATGTCCATGTTCCAGTCATCAGAGTACTGCACAGTGGAAAGGGATTGTTCAGAGTGTACGCTGCCTTCTTCGGAGTCCTTCACACAGGGCACGTTCGAGAACTTGCCCTGAGAATTGCCCAGTTCCTGAGACGGCCCAAAGTTTGTCCAGGGGAAGTCAAAGTCTGTGGTCGACGACTGTTGGGTGAAGGAGGCTTGCTGTGGCGAAGGCTCCGCGCTCGACCCCGTTTGCGTTGAGCGTTTACGGGAACGTATCTTCTTGGTACTTGCCAAGGAGGACTTTGTCGGAGAAAGATGTTTGGACTGGGATCGCAGGCTGTAAGGGGATGCTGAGAAGCTTTCTTGTGTAGGCGTGGGTGTGACTGTCCCTGTCGACCGAGTCGCCGGTGGTGATATTGTTCTTTGGGATAATTGAGAAAGAGGTGCCAACGATCCTCTTTTTCGAAATCGAGTACTTCGTGCGGGCACATGAGCTTCCTTCTCAGGGGACGTGGACAACTTTGTTTTGGACCGGGTGCTTCTGGCCGGCGCAGCATCAGGGACTGCCACAAATTCGAGTTCACCTACTTTATGGCCCTCTGCCGGAACAGCTATGAGGAGCTGGGCATCATCGCCGATCGTAGATTCATTCTCATCTTGAATGTCTCTCTGTTGAATGGTATCGTCGAACACTTCTTCGACTGATTCTATTTTGGTATCCTCATGGCCCAAATGAAGATAGGATGTAGATGGGTCCTCAATTCCTGCGCCTGGGCTTACTGCATTGCTGATGTCAATTTCCTCTGTAGGTTCCGCCTTGACATGCTCCGACCCGGTATCCTCTTTGTCAATTGTGATATCGTTCTTAGCAGACTGCGACGATGGTGGATACTCCAACGCTTCTTGCGCATCGTTTTCGCTGCGATCCCGCTCCGACTGGTCCCCAGGCGCGTGCTCTTCGTCGTTTTCATCTTGAGCAACATCAACGGATATGGGAAATTTCCACTCCTGATCTGATATCTCGTTCTCATCACTACCGCTCACATCCGAAGAGGGTCCAAGATCGACGACTTCGACTCTCGAAATGGGAGCAGACTGTTGTAGTTCTGAGTCACGCCCGGTATCTGTGTAAGAGCTCAGAGAATCCGCGTTCTTGGCGGCATTCTCGGTTCCAGCCTCAGTAGTGCCTGTCTGGTCATCGAGCTCTGCTCGAGCGACCTGGGTGTTGAGTGTAGCTGATCCATGGATCTCGACATGGTCTCCGTTGTCACTCTTGTGTGGAAACTCAGCCATTGAGACGTCTAGCTGGTTATCCCGCTCACCATCTATGGGTAAATCATCGCCGGTGACTTCATCAAGGCTGCTTTCGTCGTGGGCCTCAGGCGCTTCTTCAGCCATTTCGACGTCTGGCTGTTCGTCTAACTGTTCTTCCGGCTGTCCATCAGGCTGTACGTCAGGCTTCTCGTCCAGTCGTTCTCCAGACTGTTCCTTCAACTGTTCATCCGGTTGTTCAGCGGGAGCGACGTTACCAGCCTTGGGGCTAGAGGGCAGAACCGACGTCTCTGTTGGCTCAACCCGGTGCGCCGCGTGTGATTCTACCGGAGAGCTCGCAAGAAAATCATCAAATGGCCCGTGATCCTCTCCGGTGTCGCCATTTGGATCTGCCAGATCATTGGCACGGATTGGCGAGTTTTCTCGAGCTCCAACGAAGCCCTCGACCGCCCCAGCGGGCTGGTCTTCGGCTTTGTTCGCCCCCGAAGCCGTCTGCGGTCGGGAGAAAGCAGCACCATCCATCCCAAACGTGAACCGCACATCAGTGAACGCAGACTCATGCGTTGGCTGGAAAGCCGGGGCACGAGCAGAGCTTACGGAACTATAAAAGCTCGTCTCCAGGATGTAATCAGCTTCATCATCAGGCACTTCCTGTCTGACATCGCCTGCAATACTTTGAGGCCGCGACTGCCGCGGAGTGCTGACGTAGTCCAGGTAGGAGGATATGTTGCCTTCGCGTCCACCAGGGAACGGAGACGGCATGGGAAGCGTGGAGGAGTCTAGAGGTTGCAGATTCGGACTGGAAGGCTCCTTGCCGATAGGAGTCAACATACCCGGGACGTAAGGGGTGTGGAAGTCTGTTTGGAGAAGAGACAGTGTTGGTGGAGGCGGCATGACGAGCTGAGGTGCATTTTTTGAGGTACTATCCAGCGGTGTTAGATCGCCACACGTCTGCGGATCGTCTTGCACGCGCGGGTCAGATGTTTCTTCCGTTGGAATGTCCTGCTCCTTCGGCTGCATCTCAGTGGTGATATGCGACTCCACAAATCGAAACATGTCTGTTGGTGCAGACGCTGTAGCGTCTTCTTCCTCAATTGCCTCATGAACATTGAAGTCGTCTCTCTCGGCGAGCTCGCCGTCACTTGAAAGAATCTCTTGGACCTCAGCATCGACTCCCTCTTCATCCTCCTCCGTATCCGACACGGTGTCGCTCAACTCAACGACTTGAGCTTGTCCAGCATGTTGTTCATCGGGCGCGGCATACGAGTCGTAGTACTCAGCATCAATTACGAGGTCCTCGTTTGCTTCCTCGTTCGCCAATTGGTTGGATTCAGATGATTGGTCCTCGACCTCACTGTGAGCAATCCCGATGAGATTATGTGCGCCACCTTGCGGAGATACATGTCCTCGGTCCAGTTCTTCGCCCATATGAGCATCTGCCGGAGCTTTCGATGGGGAGACAGGAGTCGCAGGCAACACCGGACGGATCGGCGACCCGTCCCGATGACCCTCTCGGTCCATATCCACATCTGTATCTTCCTTCTCCGGCGACGGTGTGCGCGCCAGGTACGTCCACGCATTCCAGTCCCTATACGACCTCCTCCGCCGCTTCTTCGCGTGCGCATCCTCGATGTCGTCCGCAAACGGGTCGAACGGCGCAAGCACCGGCCCATTCGACAATCTCAAGCGCTTGAGATACGCCGGCGAATTCCACTGGCCGGCGGCTCCCCTCTCCATACGCGGCGTTGCCCTCACGGGCGACGCAGGTGCAGGCGTAGGCGTGACATCGTCGAGCTCTAGTACCGCCAATTCCTCTCCCCCTCGTACAACCGTCGCGCCTAGCGTCTGCCCATACTCCAGCTCCCACTCGATACTCTTCCCGGGCGTGCTGACATGGCTGTCCCGCACAAACCCCACGCCGCGCAGCCCCAGCACGATCTCATCACCAATGCCCACGCCCGTGCTGGCGATCGCGCGCGCGCCCGAGCCCGAGAAGCGCACGCGGACCTGCCCATTCTTGCGGCGCCGGCGGAAGTCAGGGTCGCCGAGGAGCAGCGCGAAGCTGCGCGCCGAAGACGAGTACGGCCATATGAGGGTTACGACGCCGCGGATGTGCTGGGTTGCGAGGCCCGGGAGCTCTGGCGTGAGCTCGGCGATGGGTATGGCGTCCATGGGTGTGGTGGCTGTGGTGTTCACCTGGTGGCGAGGAGGCTATGGCGATAGCATTGGCGTGCGCATCGTGTCTCGAGCGGATGGGTCGTGATTGCCCTCACTCGCTGAGGTGTGGTCGTGTGAACTGTGCTTATTTAGCGCATGCTTTCCGCGCTCCGCTCACGCGTCCACCGCACCTTCCCTGTGTCGATCACGCTTAGTCGTCTAACCTGCTTCGGAAAGCAGCACTGCGGCGAATGCACCGTCCCATGCATATCAAGACGTTTCTCTATTTCGCTTGCACATGCTGCAGAGATGATGTCGAAGCCCACTGCAATCGATAAGATGCAGCTGTTGAGGTGCCGGAACCCCGAGGGAGCCCTTGCACGCGCGACGGCATTGGTCTAACACCGAGAGCGCACTCCGACTCGGATGTTATTTAGGTAATGAGAATGAGGACGAATCGACTCTGTTGGATCAATAGGGCACCATCGCATTGCGGAGCCAGTTCCAAATTCCGACTTTCTGACGACGAAAAGGCAAGCGGAGGGATATCAACAACCTCCATCATTGCCCACTTCAAGCAGAACCAGGTATCAAGCCCCCTTCCATAGTCCTCCGGATCCGCTCTACACCATTTATACCACATAGAGATCACTCGCCTCTCCATACCCATTATACGCCACACCCCTCAGGTTCCACTCAGGACATTTCACCTGCGTATTCCCACTTGTATCAGTCGCCCGACTCAACACCTTCCTCCCATGGCCCTTCTCAAACTTCACCCTCGCTCGCCACAAAGACCATGCCCACTTGAGTTCCGCACCGTCTGTCTCTTGGTCCTCTAGCAGCTCTGCAAGTTGCCATGTCTCGCCGTCGTCGGTCGAGATCTCGACTTTGGTAATCGGCCCATCGGAGCCTGAGGGCAGCGCGTATCCTTTAACTTCTGTGGTGCCGTCGGGCGAGAGGTGAATAGTGGAAGAGGAGGCAGGGATCGCGATGACACTGTTGATGGGCATGTCTTGGAGGGCGGACACGCGATCCCACCATTTCTCCGCTTCTTCTTTGCAGGTGGCTTCAGGAGGGAGGATCTTATAGTCGTGTCTGCGTTTGCGGATAGAGTCAGCGTGGGGCCCCGATGTTTTATTATATGGTAAGACTTGTTGAACTAACAATGGTGGGTTGAATGGAGTATCAGGGTTACATACCTCTGGTAGAAGTTGTCCGATTCGCACGTCTGCACTGTTACACGATCCAGCCACTTCACGCTGCGCGCTCCTGCAATACCCGGCGTCACCACGCGCACAGGTGCCCCGTGGTTCGGCGACAACGGCTTCCCATTCATCTGCAGCGCAAGAATAATACCGCTCTCGGGGTCCATTACACGTGATAATGGCACGCTCGCGCCATACCACTCGTCTTCTTGGGTCGGCGTCTGGAAGCAGGCGAACGCTACGTGAGTGGTGGCATAGGAAGATTCGGGTACATTAAGGGAGGCGGAGGTGAGAACATCGCGGAGGAGAGGGCCGGTCCAGGAGCAGTTCATGACAGCGCCGTCGAACCAGTCGATGCCGGAGACTTCTTTGAGCTTCGTGCGCATGGTGTGGCGACGGTTGCCGGCGCATTGTCTGTACGCAATCAGCGGCCTGTCCAAACGTGCAATACTTTTCCGACAAATCGATACACCGTATTTCGAAGGGATAGTCGAACTCATAAAGATGCAAATCTCTTGCATTCTTGGACCTTAAAGAACGATCGGAGGGTGATGGACGGTGAGGAAGTCGGGACAATGCCAAGCATTCGACTTACAGTGCGCATATTATACTCTTCTGCGGAAGCTTCTCCAATTCTCCAATACTAAGATTTAGCTCTTTCTTCACCAGTCCATTGACTTTGACCTTATGCTCTTCCTTGTCGATGTGTGGTATCGGGCCATGATTCCTGTCGTAGCCCTTCCCTTCCTTCGTGAGGAAACTGTTCATCTTTTAGCTTTGGCCATAGCTGGAGCAATGTCGAAATGTTGCAGTGAGCTACGCACCTTGAAACCAATTCTTCTAATTCTGGCTCCCGATTCAGCGGCTCTTCGACGGAGTACTCATACTGGAATGCGCAATGACGTCAGCGCCACAGCACTCATGCGAACAAACTATACAAACACGCTACTTTCGAATAGCGGCGCAGGCCTACCTTTGTCGAGTCTGCCCTAGCCATAATGCTCCTTTCAGCAACGTATGTCGGGAATAGGGAACGTCCGGTCGACGTGAGTGCTGTGTAGGGATGTCGTGCGCAAGCGTGATATTGGTGGGCTACACGATGGGGCGCCAGTAATGATGTAAGTACATGCTGCGGGCGACAGACGAGGCGACGCGCGATTTATACATGGTGCGTGGTGTGAGTTGTTTGCGTAGGATAGGCGCGGCCGGCGAGGGCTCGGAGTGATGTGGTGCAACTGTGCGTTAGCTGTGAGACGCGGGTAGCTGCGGCCGGGACGCTGGCTAGGCGGTGTGCAATACAACGGCACAAAGGTACGATTGGGGCGGCGTGGACTTACGGTAGGGCATGGTCGTAGAAGCACTCCGAGCGCCGAGTTCAGAAAGGTATAAAGTACATGGGAGGGACGTACGTGCATGGCGATACAACCACCACCCACAGCCAGCCGTTCAAGGCATACTATCGATTCGTAGGATGGTAAGGTCTTCCGCTGCACGATATACTCCTGGGACCACGGTAATTTCCATAATCACTTGCTATGTGCTTGCAAGCTGGACCAATGAACGTGTGAAATGTGGCACGTAGGATTTCCTTCAGTGTTTGACCGATGGTACAACACACTGCATAGGCATCTCCAGCATGAAGCCGGGCCGAGTTCTTGCTAGCCACCACACACGTCTGCCGTCTTCTCCGGAACCAAACATTCGGGAATCAAGGATGAGAACTGCGAGCACGGCGGCCTGCATATATGCGATAAGTGTTCCGAAGCCTACGCCGACTACGCCGCATCCACACCGCGCACCCAATGGGAAACTCCCTCACTCCAAATACGTTAGGAAAGACGGTATCAAAACAACGCAGCCAAAACCAACGGCGGGTTTCGTTCCTGAAACTCCTCGTCACTCATCCCACCCAGTCCCTGCTGCACATCTTCACCCACACCCTCACTCCAACAGAACCCCCTCAAGCTCTTATACCGGTGCTCCTGCAGCAGCCAGTACACCCTCACGCTCTCGGACACGTTCCACCGCTGCCTGCAAACAATGCCTTGCATCCCCACGCTCTTCTCGTCGTTCTCAACAACGTACAGCTGCGGCCATGTAGACCCGTCATGCCGCTCCGCCTGCGCAGAGTACTCGTGATGGTACCCGCGCAGCGTAGACGGCGTTCCAATAAGGCTTTCCTTCCTCCAGTCCCACGCAATCTGAATATCTGTCGTGCTAATGGGATGCGGAAGATCGTTCCCCTTGTACAGAAGGGTCCCTGTGAAGTCAGAGGGATATGGCTGCGCATGGCTCGTCGGGTGCACCGTCTCGTATCCCGATAGATCTGAGACGTATTTCGAGAGTGCGCTGATGCTTGATTGAACCTTTCGCTCATCCATGATGATCTGGGATAGACGGAAGAGTGCATAACCGGAGGAGACGCGCATCGCAGTTTTGAAGTTTGCAGGATATTCGTTCTGCGGGTCAACGAAAAGGAGTGTGACCTTCTGGAAGTGAGCTGAGAGGACAGGGCGAAGGGCGACCACGGCTTTGTCGAGTTGATTGTCGAAGGCGGATGTGACCAAAGATGCGGGGATGCGGAGGGTAATGTGTCGAAGAGATGCGAATGTGCTGTCAAGAGGTATGTCTGGAATGATTCTGGTAGGCTCGGATGTGTATCTATCGAAATTGCGTTGGAAGTCTTCCAAGAATCTGCGCACGCCTTTTATGGCTGGTAGGCGGCTCTCAATGTAAGCTTGTTTGCAAGAGAGGGGAAATCCGGCGTATTTGAGGGATTGCGATATGGGTGGGAGGTGATGTTCCATGAATTGATAAATGATTTGGCGCACATCGTAGTTGAGATGCTCAAAGAAGGAAGGCTGAGTGTAGTAGCGCGGCTGGAAAGCCATCGGTGTGGTATTGAAGTTGGAGATTTGACGGCAAGTAGTATATGAACAGTATCACAGCGCCGTTCTCGTTCGTCTCTCGCTTCCTAGTCGGTTGTGGGGTTCAGCTTGGTGTTTTTTGTAGCTTACGGGGCGTGGTCATGGTCACAAGGCCAACCGAGGTCACACTGTTGTTTGTCGCCTTAGGGTCAGCCGTAACAAAGAAAAGTTTGAGCTGCACTGCATTGATATATGGCAAAACATGAGCGTGGGGTATTGGGTGTATGATTTTCTGGAGCTACATCTCAAAAATGCTCTTACTCTTTGGTCCGCGAATCGTGGGTGGCTGGTTGGGATGTCTTGGCATATGCGAGGTCACTTTTCGAAATCTGACATTGCAGGCTGTATCGAGCTGCACCCCACGAAACAGGGGTCCTCACTCAACGTCCCGACCTTGCCTGGAAGCAGTTCAGTCCCTTCTATTTCCACAGAAGATGATCCAGTAGTTTCTCAGTCCTAAGGTGCGCGTGCGAAGTCAGCATGAGTCAAATAGTAGGGTAAGACGCCTTGCGCATGTCTCAGCCTGGCGAGAAAAGTATCATTTTCCTGCCAGGAAAGTAGCACTGCCGGGTAGTTTACTTACCCTATTCCGGTTGGCGCTCCATCTCCTCCATATAAATTCTCTGACGCGGTACTTGTTCAAAGCACCTCCCACGTTTACATCTCCACTTTTAGTATTACTGACATCCCACGGCGGCGGCACCTCCACGTAAACCAGCAACAGCGTCTTGTGAACCTGCGTCTGCACCCGGTTGAGTCGGTGTAGCCACCACCAATCTCTTTGCGCCTTCTTTTTGCATGCCACAACTCGCTCCGACGTCGCAGACCAGTATGGATCGGAATAAGCGGGAATGATCATGATGGCGAACTCAGCGTGGGTAAACGCGGGACCGCGCAGGTAAAGTAGGTAGTCGCACGCGAATTTGATCCCTGGTCGGACAACCCAGCCAAGCGATCGGAAGTGATGGAAGACGACATACTTCAACATGAAGCTGTTATCAGGTTCGATGGGGTACGATGCCGGGTTATTGAGAAGAGCTGCGGTGGAAACAGGCTCACCACTTGACATGAAGTCCGAATGCGCACAAATGAGGCGAAGAAAGTCTGGTGAGCTGAGGATCGTCTCGCGGTGGTAGATGTCAAGAACACCAAGCACGTAGCTGAGGAAGAAGGCTTCTTCGAACGTGAGCTGCAGATGTTCCTGGTCCGGAAGTCCCGTGTCGAAAGACGGCTCCTCTTCAGCCAGGGTCTGCTTGACTGCTTCAATGGTTGAAGCTCCACTCGCTGCAGCGCTAACACCCAAAGGTTCCCCAGCATCAGGCGGGTACAAAGTTCCCAGAGGTGACTCGCTCACACTTCCGTTCTCCACTAGCTCCTCGAGATTAGTATCCGCATCAAGCTTGCCCTCTTCACGCAGCTGTCGCTCAATTGCTTCTCTTTGCGCCTTTGCCCTTTCAAGCTTAAATTGTCGTCGCTCCTCTCGTCTCTTGCGCGTCACTTCCTCACTCGTTGTGATCGCGTCCAGACCGCGCTTCCGCTTCTCTTGAGCTGACCATTGGGGCTCACTGCGACTGAGCGAGCCCGAACCCCAGAAGCCCTGCTCCCATAGAGCGCGAATAGCCTTTGGGTCGGTCACGTGAATAGATTGTGTCTCAGAGGAGAAATAGGCCGTGTATACAGCAGGCCGATGGTTTGGTGGCCATATAGATTGAGAGACCAAGGCGATGGCTATCCGCACAATTGAGAGAGGGTTGTGGGGAATGAACGCTGGAAGAGGAAAGACCTCAAGAGGAAGTGGTCTGGCATGGATCTCGTTGTAATTGGGTCTTTTGTGCCGCGGTCGTTTGGATCCGGCGTTTGAACACTGTTCTATTGTTTTGCCTGCTGCCCCATTGCCTGTCGACCCATTGCCTATTGCTGGCGCAGGTTGCGCTTGCTCAAGTTGAGTCGCGGCCATCTAGGTAAGTTTCCTGATAAGATCCTTCAAGCTGTAATCGAGTTAGCCACCCATTTCATTGAAGCCATTTTGCGCGAAGGACAACATGTATTTCAGATACCGTTGTAGTCTATTGTTTGCGACAGCATAGAGCGCAGGTAACTAGCCAAATGAATGCCCAGAGCTGCGTCTAATATGAATTGGAATAGTCATCACGGGTGAGAAGGAGCTGCACCGGTTTGACTTACTGCTCTTTGCCTATATTTGTCCACGTATGAGTGGCTTCAACGTCTTCGTATGGAGGTTGTCGCTGCAGTCTCAGAGTCAGCCATTTGGAGCCTCGAAAAATAGCGGAATGCCAAGCCGCTAATACTGATTTGTTGGCGGAGAACCACTACCTCTGCTACTCAACTTTTCTTTCTGCTCGATCTTGTAAAAGAGATTTATATGAGGACTGTTTTTATTTATCAAATGCTAAGTTATTATTATCTTCAACTTCTTATGGGGTGACATTTAAGGTATCTGGATGACGTAATAATGCGCTGTTGCGGCGAAGAGCTCCGAAGCTTCAGTGAGAACAAATTGTAGCACAACGTCTTCTCTACCACACATGCATTTCCTTCGCACTTTGCACGTCAATAGGAGGCCAAGCGCAATCGTCCCCAGAATGTTGATTAGAACTGACACCCTTAACTTACCTTAGAACACTATCACAATAGTAAACATGTCTGTCGGAACACGTTTATCGCTGGCGTTACCGCGACATGTACGAAGCCTTGCAACGCGTAGAATTCCACCAGGGCCGCGCGGGTCCATCCGTCGCGCGAACTCTTCGAAGCTACCGAACTCTTCGAGAGTAAATCGTTCAGCTGCTTCCCAGCAGCCCGGACAAGATGCAGACCGACTTCCGCCGCCACCAAACGGTCCGTCGCCGTCCAAAGTCGAGGCTGTCTCCAACGCGCTCGCCACGACCTCTGACGCCAACAATCCACTCCTCACGCCTGTCCACATCCCGGAAGATCCAAATGGCGTTATCAAAGAGAACCATCCCGCCATGCGCCTCCTCGAGAACTCGAGCATCGTCGTACAGAGACAGCTGGAGATGATGAACGTACTCATGGGCTTCGAGCAAGCGAATCGCTACGTTATAATGGACCCGCATGGGAATCATATCGGATACCTGGCAGAGCTGGATCATGGCCTTGGAAGGGCTGTGGCACGGCAGGCGTTCCGGACACATCGGAGTTTCACAACTCATGTCTTTGACAAGAACGAAGTCGAGGTACTCAGGTTCCATCGCCCTTTTGCTTGGATCAATTCGCGAATTCGCGTGTACGATGCCTTGGCATCTGGCGTTAGTGTCTCTGTAGAGCCCGGGGCTTCGAACCTGCCGCTTTCTAACATGAGGATCATTGGAGCAGCAGAGCAGGAATGGGGACTTCTACGGAGGAAGTACAACCTATTCCTCGCCCGCAACATAGCGTCCGCTACCCCCGGCACTCCCCAACTCACCTCGGGCGACCTTCCCATATCAGATCTCAAAGCTCTTACAATATCCGATGACAACAACAACAGAGAGGTCGGCATGGTCCAGTTTGCGCGTGTTGACGAACCGTTCTTATCTTGGGACTTCCACCTTATGTCCGAGGACCAACGACTCATTGGCAGCGTAAACAGGAATTTCGGGGGCTTCGCGAGAGAAATCTTTACAGACACGGGCGCGTACGCGCTCAGGATGGATTCTGCGGGCCTCCAGACTGAGGTACAGCAGGCTTCGAGTGTCGAGCAGGTGAAGTCACTATCACACGACAGCCCGGGTATGACTCTCGATCAACGCGCCGTCATGCTTGCCACAGCTGTCAGTGTCGATTTCGACTACTTCAGCCGACACAGTGGATCGGGAGGAATGGGAGGAATGTGGCCTATGTGGATGCCCTGGTTCGGCGGCGGAGGCGAGGCTGCGGGCGGGGCTGCCGCAGGGGGAGCTGCTGCCGGCGCTGGCGAAGCTGGTGCAGCGGGTGCTGGCGCTGGCGCGATTGGAGCGGCTGAAGAAACAGGCATCGCCAGCGAAGTTGGTGCCGCTGCACGAGGTGTTGGATCTGCCGAAGGATGGGCTGCTGGTGCAGGTACCATGGCTGGCTATGAAGCTATGCAAAGGGCGGCAGGGCGAGGAGAGCCTTCAGAAGGTGGAAATGAAGCAGCTGCAAGCGATCCGTATGGTCACGCTCCTCAACAGCAGCAGCTCGGGCAAGAAGGAGGAGATATATGGGGCGAAAGCAAAGATCCATGGGCTAACAATGACAAGGATCCTTGGGGTGGTGGAGACGGAGGGGAAGGCGGCAGTGGAGATGGAGGTGGGTTCGACGTTGACGATTGGTTTTGAGCATCTGTACTACTCATTGTACGATAAGTCGATCCTCTCATAACTTTTGAAGAAGTGAAACCATGACCTGTAACATTTGCATTGAATACAGTGATCAGGGCAACGGGCCCGGTGAATGCCACAAGCACGTGAACAGGTGATGTGGCCCGTGCCCTATGACGGCGGCATTGACGGTTTGTCCGCTTCTGCCGCAACTTGTCCCTCAGCAACCCGCATAACACTCTCGCCTACCCGCATATCCTCTCTGATAGATCTCTTCTTACTCTTGAAGCCGTTACACGGACCTACACTTCCGAAGCCGCAGTCACCAGCAACATAAGATTTCCCTGGGCCACCCCACCCTCCTCATACGCCCCACCTCAACCGCACCTGCGCACGCACTGTTTCTTCATATCCGCTCACAATGACGTCTCAAGCCTCGAAGCGACTGTTTAAAGAATACCGGGATCTGTCGTCTAACCCACCGGATGGCATCACAGCGGGCCCGGTGACGGAGGACGATATGTTCGTGTGGGAGGCACTCATACAGGGGCCGGAGGATACGCCGTTTGAGGGCGGCGTATTCCCTGCGGAATTGAAGTTCCCGAAGGACTACCCGCTTGCGCCGCCGAAAATGAAGTTTCTGGTCGAGATGTGGCATCCGAACGGTACGTAGCATCCGGAGTCTCGGAGATGGAGGGGCATATTCAAGGTGTAGGGAGGGGATAACATCGGTAAGGGAGTTCTGCGAGAGTTATACTGACGGTAGACAGTGTATCCCAACGGCGAGGTCTGCATCTCGATCCTGCACCCACCTGGCGACGACCCGCACCACTACGAGCAGGCGTCCGAACGGTGGTCGCCGATACAGAGCGTGGAGAAAATCCTCATCAGTGTGATGAGCATGCTGGCGGAGCCGAACGACGAGTCGCCAGCGAACGTGGACGCGGCGCGAATGTGGAGGGAGAAGCGTGTCGAGTATGAGAGGATTGTTAGGGATAACGTGAGGAAGAGTCTTGGGCTGTAAGGTTCCAGGAGAGGAGGATAGAGCGTTTCTGAACGGAGCAATTAGATACGAGAGTCGAGAGCGTCATGATGTTATGTTTCGATGCATTTGCATGGCGTTTGGGATCGACTTCTGTGGGAGTGTGCAAGAGGTGCCTTAAGCAAGAGATACCAGTCAATGGCGCTCGACCTCGAGAGCCAGGGTGTAGAACCCTTTCCGATGCCTCAACAACCAGCGAATTCTTGGTCAGGTACAACGCATATTTGATCAGTTATGGTCTGTCGGCATGAACCACAAACGGATGCTCAATCCGGATGTCTAGTCACAGTGGGGCCATAAGTAATCTACGATCAGCGAGATTTTACAGGACTGCCTTCACGCATATGCTTTGAGAGGCAAGTGTCTTGCTGGACCAAGAACACTCGGCGATACAGAAGGAGGTCGTGATTACATATGCGTATAGTACCTCAAGTCACCCTAAGCTTAATAATAGGAAGTCTAGTTAGGCTATGCCTTTAATAGTGTTTATGTGTATGCGAGACAAAGGTATAGTGTAAAACATGTAACTAAAGATTGACGCGCCTTGCACTCGTATATGTAAGTGCGAGCGGTATTGAGCAGTGAATTCGCCGCTGGTTCTTGCGATCTAGAGCGGTCACTGGTTGTTCCTGCTGCCCCTCCGTAGACGCAGATGCGCTGGGACTACCCCTGGGCATACATAGATTTAGCGCGGGTTTTGGAGCTGTAGATGAAAGAAGTACTGCGGCCTTTCGAATTCTCTTACTCTTTGACCGCAATCTATTCGAGCCAGATCACTTTTGTTACAAATCTCCGTCCGATCGTGTGATACTCAACCAGTTACATGCCTATGGCGGCCCGTCCCGAGGGAACGAATCACTGCAACTCCTCTTCATGGTACTATGGCAAGCCCTCCCGCTTCCAAGACGGACGCAAACTCTTCGAGTCCACGAGCAGCAGACATCTATCCGATCTGAAAACTCCCCACGGAACGACGCGAGCGGGGTCATGACTATCTTTCGCCCATTTGTGACCATCCATCAACATTTCGAGGCCTCATGCTCTCGTGCAAGCAAATGCATGAGGAGATGCGGTCAAGCATCCACCGCTGTACATCTGAATAGCCCGTTGAGGCGGCTGATAAATGGGCCGAGCAAGGCAGGGAAGGACTACGTATATGTAGGCCTCTATAAGTCCTTGTGTGCTTCCCGTTGTTCTCTCACTAGGCCGCGATTAGGGACATGGAAGCCTTACGCATGCACACGCTAGAGATGCCGACTGCCCTTAACATTACGCAGCTAGAAATCTAGTTCTACGACGAGAACAACGATGAGGACAACAAGAACAAGTGAGGCTGGCCTGGGGACAGAGACAAAGACGAGGAGGACGATAGCGACGATGACGACGAGGACGACAAGAAAATCGGTACGCTACAGACTAAAAGGAATATGCTTATAGAATGAAAACGCGGTCCCTAGTGCATCTTGGAGACAACAGGAAATTATATGAACAATCTCATCCTTGAGTTTCCTTTGGACGAAGCTTTTCCATTGCATTTTCTTCCCCTCTGCAGAGCATCGTGCATGCCTGCATGTCACCATGAGCCCTCCCTACGGCAGGAAAAGTCTTCCTACTCCGATACCTGATGAACCGAGCACTTCAAACCGTCCATCATCCCCGCTCCTCAACCCCCAATGACAAGCGTCTCCTTCACCGTCCATGAATTCGTCAGCAAACTAAGCGTCGTCGCCGGGCGATGCCATTCCGTCGTCACCCTCAGCTCGTTCATTGCCGTCGTCTCGCTGATCCGGACCAGCGTGTATGGAAATGAGGTCGGCGCACTCAGCCACGGCTCGTACACGGCGGCTATCGTCGTATCTACCCACTCCTCTTGCGAGAACAAGGGAAGACCCGGGTTCGGATATTCCGTCTTAGTGGAGTATGTTGTCCACTTTGTTTTTGTAATGGTTGTAGGGAAGGAGGTAAGGGTTGACGGGATAGCGATGGTGGGGGTTGGAAGGGCGGTGGATGTAAGGGGGAGCAGCGTTGATAGGATGGCGAGCGTGGAGGGAAGGTTTGTTTTGGACATGATATTTTTGCGTATTCCTTCTTCAAAATTTATGAATTTCGTTCAAGTAGAGATTTCTGTGGCGAGTATGCTAATGGAATGTGTAGATTAAGAGAAAGAGAAAGGCTGTAGAAACACAGCTTTTTGTTGAGATCACTGGGTTCTCTAGCGCGTATAAACTCATGATCTATTTCGCTCGATATTGTGGCATTAAATGAGATGAAATGTATTTTCAAGTTAAGTGGCTAGAAGTGGTTTAGGCTGATTCGCCGAATGTTCCAGGCGTATGTTCCAATAATTGCCGATAGCTGCAAGGCACGAATTCCAGCGAACTTTTACACCTATTTTGAAATCGTAAAATCCAGGTTGATGGATCTGGCCATCAAGTTAGGTTAGAAAGGGGTGAAGATATACATGTAAGTGAATCAGCGCATAACAAAAATGGGTTCCAAAAACCACACTGGCTGGACTTCTTTCTCAGTCGATCATGAGCCATCTCTAATGACACTCCCAGCTACTTGGTTTGTCGATGTTGTTCGAATTAGTGTTCACAGCTTGTTGAGGGTATGGGCAGACGGGGCGCTGGCGGCGAACAGTCGTCGTTGTGCCCTGCCAAGTTGTCGCGACAATAGAAGTTGGGGCGCTGTTCTCCTCTACCCAATTCATCAAAGACGTTAAAATGTCGAATTCACTGTTTCTCAGAACAGATTCGGTCTGCGGGATGGTAGCTAGGGACTGTTGGCCTATACCGCCAATATACCATGGTGCGAAGTACCCGATGTCGTCATAGTCCGATCTACCGCAGTGGTGCATTCCTGGGATCTGATAATATCTTGCAAAGTTTGCAGTCGCTCCCGAGCTAGCAGCGTTAACATCTTCCCAATACTGTGTCGTGCTCTTGGTTGGTATCAGTCCATCCGCCAGACCGTGGTACATGATCACTTTCCCACCACGCTGATTGAAGGCGTTCCAATCGGTTGATTTCGGTTTTGCCGTTGCACGCCCTGGATCAGCCTTCTCTGCATCTTCAATGATGTGGTCAGAAAATGTAAAGCCTCGTGGGTAGCCCAGGAAGTCGACCTCCCACTGCCAATCAAAGCCATCCGGTGCCACGGTGACAAAGGGACCAAGATAGGTCTGGTAATCAGCATCCGACCCCAACTCAGGTGCAGGAAACCCCAAAAATCTTCCAGTGCTATTGGAGATTGTGTAATTCTGGTAGAGCTGGATCAAAGTGTCGATCTGTGCCGGTCTGAGGCATCCGTCCGAAGGAGCGCCCACAGCCCCGCAAGTCAAATTGTTCTGCGCCACCCTTGTAATGTTACACAGGTCTGGTCGGCTGACGATAGAATCCCTGACCCCATCGAGGATATCGCATACCTCTCGGACTTGCCTGGAAATAAGGACGACGTCGGTGCCGTTGTTGAAAACCGAGGATGCAGCGCCGGGCGGATTGATTGTAGCAAGTTTCGTGATCCACGGTAACATGTGCGTCTGATTCCAGGCCGGCGCACCGATCAGCAACCCATCGAACAGGCTTTGGTCTAATTCGAGCTGCTTTAACCCTTGTCGACCACCCGTAGAACATCCGCTGAAGTAGGAGTGCTTGAGCGAACCTTCGCCGTAATACACACCCAGAAGAGTCTTCGCTGCTCGTGTTGAACCATCTATCGAGATATAACCCCAGTCGTTTTGTGCCACCTCGTTATTTTTCGCCCAGCTCATGTCAGCCTGCGTGGAGTTGTGGCCCGTATCAGTTGATAAAGTCGCCAAGTTGTAGTACTTCGGACCCGTCCACATATCCTTCCAGTTTATCCCCCCTCCATAGGAATAACTTCCAACTGTCAACAAAGACCCATTCCAGGTCGTCGGCATGATAAGTCCAAATCGATAGGTGCCCATATTCACAATGAGAGCGCATGATAGGGGAAGATGGGTCGCATAGTTACATGACGGATTGTCCTGTGCATTTTGGCAAACGCTCGTATCGGAAAGTACACCATAGAAAATGTTCGAGGAGGTATCTTCCCCAAAGCAATCACCATCTCTGATTTCGCTGATTGTCTCGATGAAAGCCCCTTTTAGTAACGTTTCCATTCCCGAGAATGTGTTGTTGTTGCAGCGGCTAGTGGTAGACGGTCCATGTCCCGGGCACCAGTTCGTCGCAAGTGAAGGCAGTACAAAAGCCAAGAGATAGTATATGTTCATATTTGATTATAGTTTGACCTCTATTCTCGAACCTACTTCTTGCATCAGCGCAATATAAATCCATTTCTCTTCGTACATGTTCGTAAGATTTGGTATTGGAAGATCGGAACGCCTTGCGCCTAAAATTGCGCCACAACGATAATCTGACTAAGTAATGATTGGAGCTGAGTTGAAATCTCGTCATGCGCCGTACCGCACGACAGACTCACAGGTCATTTGATTCGCAAAAGGTTGTGCACTGGTCAGCTGGAGGACTAGAGTAGCCTAGGCCTACGTTGTTGGCTTTTCTACTAGGTTCGTATTGGTCGAACTGTAGTCAGTGGGCGACTGAGTTGGCCAACACATACGAGGCGATAATTCCCGATAAGGAAGATCGCTTATGCGTTTGGCATCTATCACGATCGTGAGGGAGTGTTGCCCTTGTAGTATCGACATCGCTCGCACTAAACCTCATTTGGTGAAGAAAGGACCATTTGACTTAATTCTTGAAGGTAAGAACCTAGCCCAGTTACAGAGTAGTATTAGTAAATGTATATTGTGATATCATGAATGATCTCACATGTGTTATTAACCACACACCAAGGTCCCTGGCTCCTTTCATACAAGGTATCATCATGCTAACCCGCTTTGACTGGTCAAGGATGGAGCAGCACGTCTCGAATATCGCAATATCGATTCCCCAATTTCTTAGGTTGTTACCAATGGTTCCCACGATGTCCTTCTCCGAACTCGGACAGACTATTTACTTACGCAAGCCCAAGGGCATGCCCATGTTCACATTGGGAAACGGCCCTCTGCTTGATATGCCTTTTGACAGTGCCCTGATCCGAGCTACCTGGACGAGGACGAATTTGTATTGAATAACTAAAATCGCCCGATGCAGACCATGAGTAGTAGATCAGATGAATTATGTATCAGCTGGCCATTTTTTAATTGTGACGATATTCACGCTAATAGCTATAGCCAAAATTATGTTGTAACGCGACCAAATCAGCCAGCCCGTCTAGCTTTGATTAAAGAGCTAAGATCCAGATTCTCATGTCATATGGGCCGTGTCTTTCGTCGGAGGTCTCTGGATGGCACAAGTTGGTGACTGTCAATCTCCATGATCGACACAGAACAACGATTCTGATGGGTACCTAGGTTGAACAACAGGTAAAGCGAATATCGTGTAACTTAAAATTTCCGGATCTGATTTACTTGACCTCAGACCGTGTCTAGTGTCGCAATGAGGTTCGTGATGCCATGTCGGCCACCGCCAATGTCGCAAACTGAGGAAGTCACAATACGCGTCGTAGCGGGCTCTGTTGAGCTAGCACGCAAAGTCATTGACGATTGAGCAGTCATTGATGTGGCACATGCGGCTTCCTCAAGCTGGAAAGTTTCGTTCTCGCCTGAAGTCGTTCGGAGTGGACTTGGAGCCTTCAATTTCCAGAACTGTCTGAAGATAGATACCCGAACGTTCATATTACGTCCCAAATTGACCAGGATACCTAAGCAGCTTCCTATTTCCATGATTTTGTGCTATCATTCTGTCATGATGTGATTGAAGGCTCGAGTAATCCGTTCGTTCTTGAAGTGATCATGGCATTCTACATAGCCAACTTATGCATATCACCAGCACCAGCTGCAATTTCGCACCTTATGAATGTGATGGAACGCCAAATATGGTCAATCAATGCTCACTGAACTAAAATTTGCCGTATCCAAATGAGATCACGTGGACAGAGACGGATGACCACATCGCAAGTATACCACCGGACCGCAGGAATTATGTGGCAAAGTAAGTGAACAAGTAACTGTCTAAATACAAACTAGTCAAATTGTACACCCTATCAACAACGGCAACAAATCTTGGACTGTGCACGCCTAAAAAGCAGACCTCCCGACGACCGCTGAATGTTCAGCAATAGTGACTTACATCGGCATACCCTCCATACCGGGGAGCTCGGTGAGCCCTGGACTCGATTAGTAACTTTCAATAATATCCAACACACGGTAGAAAACTCACAGGCGTCATGGTCCTCATTGACTTTCGAGGAAACTTTGCACTGCTTAGCAGAATCAATCGCCTGGTTCTTGAGGTCTTTGCACTTTGCACCCATGCCTATACTCAAGTCAGCTGAGTCACAAAAGTGCATTTGGGTACAAGTTGGCCATGTTCAAGTCATAGCTACTTTGTACCTGGGAGCCTCATACAGTTTGTCGCATCCATGCCCTTCTGGAGCTCATCATCTTGCCAGCCAAAAACGTAGTCGCCGTGCTGTCCGAGGCCGGTGTTGTCGCCGTAGCTGAGGTAGAAGGGCTGGGACCCATCGGTAGGCCAGAGGCTCTTGTCGTTGAAGGGGGTCGTGTCCCAGACGACTTCGTACATGAGCTGAGGGATGCGGACCGGGTGAGTGGAGGGGCAGCTGCCGCCGAGGCTGAGGAAGTTGGCGGGGCCGGTGGTTGGGTAGGCGACGTGGGCCTTGTGGTCTGAGGGATGGTTAGCGGACCATCACTCGTTCAGAGATGTTTACTTACCTGGAGAATCGAGGTTCTTGCCGTCCCAGCAACTGGTGTGGATGTTAGCAGTTTTCTAAAAATTCGACTCTAGCGCTGCTTACGTAGGGAAGAGGATGTTACTGCGGATTCCGCCCTTGCATGGTGCGGTAGGCAGCTCCTGGGTGTCAAGCTTGCCGTCGGCACAGGGAGCGGCATTGTCACCACCAAAGTTAGGTCCGGTGTAGCATCGGAAGCAGTTCTGCATCTTCATCTTGGTGTCCTTCTTGCGGTTGAGTGGATCTCCGACGAGCATACGGAACCCCGGCTTGAAGGCAGTGATCTTGCCTGGCTGTGCGGAGACATAGTACACTAAAACGCCGCCATCAATCTTCGTGCTGAAGTCGTCGTTAAATTGGCGTCTAGAGTTCTGTTAGCTTTTGGCAATCTTTAATACATTCGAATGAGGGTCAATAGCCTATAGAAGCACGTGACACTCTTTCGACTGCTTGAGGCAACGTACGCAGCTCCTAGTTGCCTCACACGCTTGTAGGTGCCGTTCTTGGCTTTGAAGTACATATTCGCCGTCCAGTAGTTTGACAAATCCTTAGAGAAGGCACAGGTTGTGCATGATGCTGTTTTTGAGACGTCTCCCGTGGTCATGGATGCGTTGAAGCCATTACCACCAACAATCTGATGTTGATGGGTCGAAGGGATCTGGCCAGGGTTGACGAGAGGGTCAAGTCGATCGATGGTCACTTGAGCACATCCGAATCTCAACATGGTAGTTCCACCCTGGCGCTTGGACAACCAGCTGGGAGCAGCATCGGCGAGCGCCGCGAAGGCGAGCAGTGAGGTCCAAAGCATCGTGAGTGAACGTATGCGAAAGGTATGGGAATGAGTGGTGTGAGCGGACTGGCAAGAGATACAAAGCGGCTCCGCGCAGCTCATAAACGAAACAAGACGTGGGATGTGGGCCCAGAACAGGTCGCTGACGGGCCACTACACCTTGCCAACAAGTCTGAATGCCGAATCCTGTTGGTCTGTGACTTGCAGTCAAGATCGTCACGGACTACAAAGGGTATTGATGAGCGGCCAATCAACGGCGTCCATGTTAGCAAGTCCAAGACTTGCGGACTTATCCGGCTTCGCAGTGGCTACATTATATGAAGGATTTGTGGGGTAATTCCACGAACATGTGTCTGTGCTACGGGGTAATATCGTGGGGCCCTTGTCAGTATATGTGCCGAAACATCCTCGTGTTCTGGAATTTACGCGCCGAGACCATGATTGGAAGGCAACAGCCGAATCCAATTTACGAGTATCCAAACAACCAGGAAAGAGGGAGCTGAGGTGTAAACTTTCTTACCGCCCCGTTCGGCCGTGCAGATGCACGATTGCCCAAGTGGGGGAGACAGACTTTGCACTCACAGCGTCCATCTTCACTGCTGCTTCCTGAAAAGAATAGAGCACAGCGGTGGAACGCATGAGAGTGCCACACAGCGCCTAGAGGCAGTAGACGTTTACAATGTTCGCAACATGGTCATGCACAGCAAGCTGATATAGATACTTGACGGACTGACAGCATGTCCACAGCCAAGAACACTGACTGAACGATTCTATGGAAATCCTGGACGTACGAACAGAAACATTACAACTCGTTGCCTTGTATATCATACTTCATTGTCCATGCAGCGAGTGTCGTTCTGGTCTCGTTGTTGGGATTACTTGACCACCCACGCGAGCTTTTCGCATCAGGAACGGTCATTGTGGGGCCATTACAGGACACATAGATAACGGGCCATCCACACGATAGACGATGCGGACACGATCTCTTCGCCGCTGGGAAACGTGGTGCGGAGGAAGCTTGGTCCTGCTTTGATAACACCTTGTACGAATTTTCTTGCCTTGATGAGTGTGACGCCAGGATCAATCGACAACTCGCAGAGCCACGTGTGAACCAGACGACTTTTAATTTTCTGACAACGTGGAGACCCGACTCTTCTCGGTCGCTAATTGCCGAGGGCAAGGCCATGCATAAACCGGACATGTACAAAGCCCTATCCACTCGGACAAAGCCCTATCCACTCGGACAAAGCCCTACCCACTCGGACACAGCACCATCCTTGATTTTCGACACTTGGTTGGGTCATGACTGCCTACGTCGGTGTTTCCAAGCCCGAATGCTGATAGACCATATATCTGTCGGGTCAGGAGGCGGCGAAAAGGAGATGACTTGCGCAGCGCGTGACTCTATGCACTTTATGTATGTGGCAAGATTACCTGCGTGGGTCTCGGACACCGGGTGTCAGCGAGCTGACTGTCCAGCTTCCTCTAATGCATACGGACGAACGGAAATCGCAGAGTATTAGCGCATCTTAGGTCCAGAGATCTCATCCGGTGAAGGGTGTCCACAAAGGCCAAGCAGCTATCAGTGACAGAGCTTGGATGAGAGATACTATGACAGCACGCTCGGAGCCGCGTCGATGACAGTGGTCTGCGCAAGTTCCTAGCCGTATCTGCTTGTTGAAAGGAAGACAAAGCAACCAGTACAGAGTCAGTCGCCGCGGCTGTGCGATGCCCCACCATGGTATATGTCCCGCAATTTGATTCTCTGTGAAACTGTTTGAAAAGTTATCATATCGCAACTTGTCTCCACCTATTTTACTGTCGACTAGGCCAGATAGCAGTTGTTCAAGGTAGCTGACCTAGCGACATCGGTCTGATGGATCAAGGGAGGCAGGTTGGTCTTGATATGCGCCAGCATCTCCGCAATATGCCGTTACATGTCAGCTATAGATTCAAGTTTAAGATAATTATACGTAGTAGTTGTTCATGACTGCGATATGTCTTTGCATAGTCGCGTTTCCGGTGGATTCAAGGCTTCATCTATACCAAACGGCGTAGCGGAAAAAACTGTGAACAATGCTTGATACCTTGCGAAGTTCTGTTCTGGCTGAAGCACCCCAGGTAGTAACGAAGAGATCCCGCTAGTAACTTGTTCACTGGATTGTTCGCGCACCATGACCCATACATCGAACGTGAGGTTGCACAAGTGGGGCCGTTGTGCTGATCGAGCGGAAGCTACCAGAGGAAGGAGAAGTTATATTCTTTCACAGATAAACCCACGGGGCTGGGAGATGTAATGGCAAGATTGCCGATGGTGGTAGACGGATTAGATCGCGCGTTTTAAAGTATCGCGTGACGTCATCGTTCACACTAACCGAAAAGCCCATAACCGCCCTGGCACGGTCCTACGCGTCTGCCAAAGTGCATCAGCACATCAACATTCATTTCCGATCCATGCCCTCTTCTCTTTTTGCGATTCTGTAGATGTCGATGTAGTGCATCACCCACGTTTAACTTCTGCCATGTATGATTTGTCGACCTTAAATGGCTTTTAAGCTCAACAAGGAAGGCGCCAAGCAGTTGTTGCGATGCTCCAAGACTTCGCTTGAGCGCCAGAATAGCAAGTGCTCGAGTGAGGCTCTGTATAGCAGTCGCGTGCGTTCAATCAAGCTCTGCCAAGCGCCATCGGCCGTATTGAGGAAGTGACCACGGTTTTTACGCCCAACCATTTGTAGTAGGATCGTACAGCAGGTTGCGCGCCAGAAATTCAGTTTGTCGGAATCTCCAACTCACGTCGCAGCTTCGTCATGGGTCGTCGTGCATGTTTTTTGGCCTTTGCTTCACTTATCTTCCAATCTTTGGCTCAGAACGCCAATATCACGTTGACTCCAGCGGCCGTTGGCTTTGAAGCTGATAACACCGCATTCTATTACTCTTCCTCGCCTCTCCTTCTTGCCAACGATGGAAGTGCGGCCGGAGGCGGGTTTCGTGTCTTTGACGGGAAGCAAAACCCTCAATGGGCTGAGGTAGCACATCTCAGAACAGGTCGCTCCAAAGTTGCCATCCCTGTATACAACATTGGAGGCCGGGACATCGTAGTCACGATCGCTGCCACTGACTCCAATATGCGAGCCTTTGAGGCGAACGGCTTGAAAGAGATCAAAAACGCAAGGAAACCCATCCTAGGCGACTGGTCGACGCTTTGCGGTTGGCAAAGTGCATCCAGTGGTAACTCGTACCTTTTACTTTTCGGAAAGAGAATAGTTGTCCAGCTGCTTGTGAGGAATCAAAGTAAGCGAGTCGAGATTCTTGCGGTATGTGATCTTGCCTGACTGTTAGATTCTCGCTCACCACCATAAGGTACAAACGTTCCCCACCCCGATTGAGGGCGAGTCTTGTGCTGTCTTTCGGGATGGCACCGTCTTTTTCTCCGCCGAAGATCAGCCATTGTACTCATTTACAGCATCCGAGTCCTTCCAGGCCCCTGAAATCAAGATACTCACCAAAGAGGTACCCGTCCTTGGCCTGGCGGCGTACCACGCCGATTCCGAAGACTTCTTACTCGTTGTTGATTCGGAGAGTCTCCACATATATGACCGCAACCTGAACCAGAAGAATTCAGCCCTGCTCACTGGAATCCCTGACCTTTCGGTCGAAGGCGGCCTATCAATCCTCCAGTCTACTTCAAAACGCCACCCTTCAGGGCTCTTCGCTTTCGCCTTTGAAGGCGAAGAGGATACAGGTGTTGCTATCGGCTCACTACAAGCGATTCTTGGAGCCTCAGAGATTCGCCCTAATACTAAGTTTGATCCCAATGAGAGGACATGTCGGAAGTGTACGCAGCCGATCTCTAAGAGGTGCTCCAACAACGGATATAACCAACATGGGATATGTCAATGCTTCCCGGGCTTTGGTGGTGGTGACTGTTCGAAGATCACATGTCAAAACTCTTGTTCCGGGCACGGCTCCTGCATAGGCCCAAACATTTGCAAATGTGCACCTGGAAGGTCTGGTCCGGACTGTTCATTTGTCGCTGTGAAAGCCAAGTACGAGACAGATGCCAATGGTGGCGATGGGGACGATCCCGCTATCTGGATCCATCCTACACGCCCTGACCAAAGCCGCATAGTCACAACTACCAAGAGTGATGAGGGTGCTGGTTTTGCTGTTTTCAACCTCAATGGAAAGCTTCTGCAACACGTGCCAGGCGAAGAGCCGAACAACGTGGACGTGATCTACAACTTCACAGTGGGTGCTCAAGTTACTGATCTGACATTTGCCGCTTGCCGTGGAGATAACACCCTCTGGTATGTATGACACCTCAGGGCAGTTGAACAGAACTAATTATACTTCTAGTCTCCTGAAGATCAACTCGACGGGCTTTCTCGAGTCAGTTGACGGCGGAATTCAGCCGACGCCAGAAGACTACGAAGTCTATGGCTCCTGCACATATCGCTCTCCAACTTCGGGCCGCCAGTACCTTTTCGTGAATAATAAGGATGCTGAGTACCTCCAGTACGAGTTACGCTCGACCGCGAACGGCACTCTAGAGACAAATCTTGTGCGCAAGTTCGTTGGAGGCTCCGGAGGTCAGGTGGAAGGCTGCGTATGCGACGAAGAGCAAGGCTATCTGTTCCTCGGAGAAGAGCCAGAAGGTCTCTGGCGATATGATGCTGAACCTAATGGCTCATCTACCGGTATCCAGATCGCCAGAGTTGGTGATGGGACACTTTATGCAGACGTGGAGGGTGTTACATTGGTCCCGGCGAAGAACTCTTCGGATGGCTATCTGTTCGTCTCCAGCCAAGGCCGCAGCGCGTATTTGGTATATGAGAGAGCGCCACCTCATGCTTATGTGATGACATTCACCATCGTAGACAACAAAGAGGCGGGTATCGACCATGTTTCCAACACAGATGGAATCGCTGCTGTTGGAAACCGCTTGAACAGTGACTTTCCGAAAGGACTGTTTGTCACACACGATGACGCCAACGAGCTCGCTGGAAGAGAAACTGCAGACCAAGCCAGCTTCAAGCTGGTCAGTCTCGAGGATATCTTAGGCAAGCAGCGCGCTGCACAGCTCGGGTATTGACTCATGTTCTATGTCAAGTAGTTAGTGCCCACTGGAAGCATGTAGATTTTCTTTCTTAATCTGCCACAGAAATGGGTGGAACGCAGATGGTTTCAACCGCGCCAAATATGCGATGCCCTACTCCGTACATTCCAAAAACTTGGCGCCTTCGACCTCGCGGTTCCCCCAGTTGCGTGGTCCATATTTCTCACGAGCCTCCAGTCAAGGAACCATTCGTAACGTGCTGGGACCAAAGACTCGCGCCTACTTTATTCCCATCATGACTCCTTCGTGGCACCCTTGCGCTGTTTCTGCTAATCCTTCACAGCATATTGTGCTACGTCGTCCAGGACTTTCTGCATGCCGTATCTATCAGAAGCCTTGCTTAGTTCCTTCGCTTTAACTCCATAACTTGGATTTTCAACAATCTTGTTTCTTCTTGGCACCGGGCTGTTGGACCTTGAGGTTGATCTCAACAAAAGTGAAATGGAATCGGTGATGGCCCCAACAGCAGCCTTGTCTTGGCCTACACTGGGTATCACTATTGGGATGCCAGACATGAGAGATTTGTGCACGGCTCCATAAACTTCGTAATTCATCATGAGATCCACAGATCAGCATATGTTTTTCATTCGGTCCGTGCACACCTGCGAAAGGGATAAGGCCCTCATGAGGAATGTAGTTCGCTACGCGCGGAACGTCGGCTATGTCGGCCACTACCAGAACTAGAACATCCTCAGGCTCCGATACGTAGAATGGAAACAGGAATTAGCATGTCATTACGATCTTTCAGCGCCTCCAATCTTGCAAGAACAGGTCGTTCGGATTGGTTTCCATAGTGCCTTGGCTAGCAACAACGACTTTTCTTGCCCGCCGCCTTTGCCATTTGCGAGCCTCCTTACCAGCTGTTTAGGTCAATACTAACGCCCGACTTCTTCTGCGGCTTCTTCAAAGCGCCAAAGTACCGTGAATTAAGGTCCAGATCAGTGCGTGGGAACTCAAACTCTGGGATACCCATAGTGACGAGAAGATCCGGATTGCAATTGAATGCCCTCCAGAATCCGTGGGAATTCGTCTTGGGTGGACCCCATCTCCTTCAGGTTCGCCCACCACGCCTCGATGGCCTCCCATTCGTACGGGTCGCTATGGCTATCGTAGGCTTTTTTGTGGACCTCTCTCGCATCTGGTCCCTGGTGGAGTTCCTTGCGGCCGCGTAACGGATATGTATTGTTCGAATATACCATAAGCGGCTGCATACCGATTGATGCCGATGCTAGTTTCGGGTTTGAATCCTGGCCTCCTAGCAGAAAGGTCTAATGTCCGCAAATATTTGATTATAGGTCGAGAAAACTGGGTTTACATTACCCTATTTCTTTCAGAAATCTTCAGAGTAGGTTTGGTATGTATTATGAGCATCTTGCGCGCCTCCGACGATCTATGTTTTTATTTTTATTTTTATTTTTTGGTGACCCATGTCTCTGTTCCCACGTCTTACAAGAGGGACTGCCAATGCGCTAAGTCTTCCTCCGTCAACTTATCATCTATGCCTTTGAAAGGAATCAACTCGATATTTTGTTGCACCTTGGTAATAGCTTCTTCAAATAACTTGCGAGTCATCTGAGTCATAGGATGCCCAACGTCCGCCAACGTTGCTGCAATATCAACCACCTGCTTAAAGTGAAGTTGGCGTGATACACTAGACACTAACAGCGTTATCTCTGAGCGAAGGGGGAAGCGTTTTGGTGGAGGAGTGGGAAGACGATATTCCGCCTAGTAAGATTGTATGGCATCTTTGAATATACGGAAATCTCGGGTGAGTATCCTCGTGATTGAGCTTGGTGGGAGATTTTATAGGGTTGATCGTTCACCAACTGTGCTTCATTTCCGGCGCGCCAAATTGAGCGGTTCTACTATTCTGCAACGCGCTTCAGGGCACCACCGGCCCTTCCAACAAGCTCTCGCAGCCGCCCAGCTTGACGCCTGACTTATGAAGCCCGTGCCCGCTACATTCAATCATGGGACTTATCTTAAACTATGACTAAGGCTATAATAATGGCAATCAAAGCGTCTACGATGTCATCATGAAATTACAAACCATGGAAAGCGGCATGTAGCTATTGGTAATTAATATTTCAAAGACTAGTTGTTACACTCTCCCAGCGTACTGGAAATGGTACATGCTAGATCATGGTCTATTAGTCAAATGAATAGCGGCACTGAATCGTCCCATGTTTCTCGTTTCATAGTAGCCAGTCTTCGAACTAGCATTCATGTTTCTTTTGAACAGCGAGCTCGCACAGAGGAAATAGTTCATAGTGCGAAGGTTTTGTCGAATATCACAAACATGTCGAGGTGTGGACGGTGCGTCTTCGCGAGAATCACTATTGACTGCAACCCTCAATTCCGACTGTAGGACACCTTGACCAAAAGCAAGCTCTTGACTGGTCGTTGATGTCCCTCACTTCCAGGAAATGACTTGATTGCATTTTTGTCCAATCGAAGTATAAGCCTTCCATCTACGCCGTGACAGTACCCATATCTCTTATGTATAATTTCACTCCTGTCCCATCATACCTCCAAGCTCGAGCCGTAGCGGTTACCCGCGGGTGCAGGACGCGCCCTAAGCGTGATTTCTTTCCCCTCTTCGACTCACTCCACTGCCGCAAAACCTTAATCAAGGCCCTCCCAGTCGCGCCCTCTGCTTACCGTAATCTACTTCACTCTATTCCCTCTTGCACAAAACAACCCACCTCGTGCACCTCGCCCGTCCATACCCACTTCATAAGAAAAAAGCTAAAACCATCCCAACAACAGAATCCTAGCACCCTCCACCCGATTCTTGACCGACTGGAGACCAACATAGACAGGTCAACCAAAACGTTAACCAGCCATCATCACATCTACTGTCCCTCGAAGCGCGATGACGAGCAACAACGCACCCGGCGTTGAAGGAAAGGCGCCTTGCGTGGGTTGGATAGCCTGTACCAGTCCCTATCCTCGAGTTGGTTCTGAGCAAAGGAGCCCCAGAGCACCCACCCAGCGCCGAGCTCAATTCGCCTGAGGTGAAGCCTTTCCTCGAACTTCTTCCCCGGAGACACGATGCGCCGTCTACCGCACACTACTTCGGCTTTCTTCTATCATGAAAGAGAATCTATCACGAAGCTAACCATGATCGACCGGACGACGGATATACCACGTACGGAGCTCGAGCTGGCCAAATCAAGCCGTGGACCCGACTGATGGACCGAATCGTGCGTATGGGGTATCTGCAGAGTGTATTTCCTCTGCTGAGCGGGCTAATGAGCATTCGGGCGAGTAACATCATAGCGTAACGGTGGGAACGCAGCGGACGTTCACCGCGGAGACCGAGCCCCGCGCGCGGCACGATGGCCTTGGGCTGCTTTGTATCAATGCCGCAAGGGCTTCCGCGAGTCTCTCACAGTATCAGCGCTCGCTGGGAGGAATGGGTATTACTTGAAGTTCGTTGGTATGCTGGGTGGGGAGTAATGAGAGTAATACCTCTTGGGACCGCCCAGTGTCGGCGTCGCAAGGCCAGTAGTCGTTCCGTATGAGCATGCACGTGCCTAAGACTCCTGCCAAGAATAACCTGGACGAACAAGCATAGTCACTCGTTGGTGTCTTCACACTATGTATCTAACAGTGGTATCCATCACCGCGCGCCCAATATCACCCACCACCGTGCTCGTCACTGGCCCACCAATCACAGCAGAATAGAAAGTCCTTGCAAAACAACAAATATCACGTTAAGATATACACAAGTCGCTTCAAACATTCTACATCTGAAAATCAACACGTCTCAAGCCCCGCTTCTGACACAACTCACAAAGCACATCAGCCAGATCTACCTGCCTCATACTTACACATCGCATAAATAGTCCCAATCACAGCATAGAACAACCCTCAAACGAAACAAAAATATTCATATTCGAATACAATCCAAAATTACATCCCACTCCACTCCATCTCCCACAATCCTTCCCTTGCGCTCTATTACAACACACCACACACCGGTTCACAAAACATACAAACAGCCACCCATCCAATCCATTCATTCATGCATACTTCTCTACCCACTTTCTCTCCCCCACAGCCCTTTCCTTCTCCCAAAGTAATCACCTCCTAAACACACTGATCCCTTACAAGCACCTCATCACACAGTCCACTCTCACACGGCTTATCACACTTCGCACCGGGCCAGACATACACATACGGCTGTCCGGGAACCTTAAACTGCTTGCTGAAATCCTTGTTCGCGCCGTCACTCAGCTTGAAGCCCGCCCGACATGCGCAGTAGTACTTGCTACCGCCCGCCGTGGTGCAGCCCGTGGAATCGTGGTCGCAGAGATTCTCGGTGGGATTGAAGGGATTGCACTGCTTGGGGCAGACGCCTGCGAGTGTGGAGCCCGTGAAGGTGTCGCCGGAGGACACGTCGCCGGCCGGGAAGCCGGCCTTCTCGGTGGGTGCGGCGTCCGCGGGCGGGAGCACTGGGGCTTCGGTAGGTTCGTCAGGCTTGGGGGAGGTGAGGGTGAGCAAGGTGGTGGGTTTCGCAAAATCGGGGTTGGTGGTGGCGACGAGTGTCTCTTCCGGTGCGCCGTTGGTGGGCTTCTCGCCTTCGCTAGAAGGAGCCTCGGTGGGTTTGCCACCGGCTTCTGTATCGCTGGGCTTGCCTCCGAATCCACTCTCACTGGGCTTGCCACCGAATCCAGTCTCGCTGGGCTTACCGCCGGATCCAGTCTCGCTGGGCTTACCGCCGAATCCAGTCTCGCTGGGCTTGCCGCCAAAGCCGCCGCTTGCGCTGGGCTTCTTGTTTTTGCAGCTCTTGGGGCACTTGCCCTTAGCCTTCTTCTTCTTGGAAGACTTCGAGGTTTCCCTGGGTGCGTCGTTCTCGCTGCCGCCGGAGCTGCCGGTTGGCTTGCCGCTGGATTCCTTCTTGCCGCTGCTCTTGGACGCACCGGATTCCTTGGGCTTCTGCAGGTCGCTCAGCCAGTCCGGGAGAGTGCTACCAGAAACGCCGTCACCGCTGTCAGAACCCACTTTGGAGCTGCTGTCGGCACCCTGAAGATCAGGTTGGACGCGTTGACCATTTGAGCCCTTCTGCAACTGGTCAGAGATCTCCTTGTCAAAGTTCTCGGAGGAAGAGGCCGATGCAGCGGGGGCATCTGAAGATTTGGATGCAGAGCTGTCAGAGTTGTCAGCACTTGCGGCCGTGGCATCTGTCTTTTTGGATGGCCACACGAACCCTGAGAAACCGCCGCCAGACGATGGCGCATCATCAGCAACCTCGCGCTTGTACTCGTTTGTGTAGACAACATTGTCGTCAACGCTGACAGCGATACGATGGGACTTCTTAGGCTTCTTCGCCTTCTTGCTCTTCTTCTTCTTGTGTTTCTTCTTCCCACCGGTCTCCTTGGAGTATTCGGCAGACACGGTGCTGGAGGCCCAATTACCGGCAGACGCGCCGGAAGAGGCTTCGGGAGAGCTGGAGCTATCATCTTCAAGGCACCACTCTGGGCACTCCTCTTCAGAGTCAGACTCAGAGCCAGAAGCAGGTGGGCCATTGCCCTTTTTCGGCTTCTTGCCAGAGCCCTTGCTTGAACTGTGAGAATCGCTACCGTAGTCTTGACCATCGTACTCGGTGGTGTCTTCGGTACCGTAAGATGCGGAAGGGTCAGATTCTTGGCCGCGGTGAGGACCGCCACTGCCATGAGAACCTCCGTGTCCCCCACTACCGCTGCTGAAACCCTCGCCGTCATACACAGAGTTGTCATCGCCATCGTAGCCGGAAGGACCAATCGGGAGCTTCTGGAGGACATAAGGCCCGTCGTTGGCACCTGTGAAAGGATTGTAGGGAGGAGAGTCGGTTGGTGGCGGAGATTGCTGCTGGATTGGGTCGTAAGGATTCGGCAGCTGGAAGGGGTCGGAAGGAGTGTTCGGGTCGTACGAATTCTGTCCCTCAGTAGGATCACTTCCAGTTGGTGCCTCAATAGGAATGGTATTAGGGTCATTAGGGTCGTACGTGGATGGCTCCTCGGATGGGTCACCTGCATTAGGTGCTTCGATAGGAGTGCTATCTGCGGGTCCACCAATAACATCGAGGGGAGTGTCGACTGGAACAGAGATTGCGGAGGCTTCGATGGGCGTGTCAACAGGCGCAGGTTGGATTTCGATGGGAGTCTCGAATGGTGCAGACCCGTCACCAATTTGGTTCTCAACCGGTGCAGAGATGACTTGAGGCGGTTCGAAAGTGGTCCCCTCTGGTGGAGGAGGCGCGGACTCATTGTCAACAGCAGGTAGAGAAACCTCTTCCGGTGTTGGCGGAGTGAGGTCGCTCTGATCTGGCGGAGCGGCTGCAAGAGGGCCTGACGAGGAGCCGCCATTGAAGGTTGGCAAACCCTGTGGCGTAGCTATGGGCAAGAAGTCCTCCGCAGTCGCAAAGATAGGCAATATCACTGGAGTGACCGTGGGAAAGTTGTTTCCCGGGTCGAAAATTGGCGGGGAAACGGGGAGATCGGTACTGAGCGATGGGTCCGTCCCTTCAGCGACGGGGACATCTGGCAGGGGAGTCTCAGCGCCAACGGTGCCAAGGTCATCAACGATCGGGAAGCCAGCAGCAGGCGCAGCAGTGCCATCGCCCACAGCCGCAACAGGGGGAATCAGGCTCTCGAGAGGCCCGTTAGTGCTTCCTGCCACAGGCGCGACGCCAGCGAAGGGATCATTGCCGACAGGTGCGGTAACCGTATTGACCACTGGAGGAGGCGTGACATCGTCCGCAGGGGCTGCAACCTCGCTAATTGACGTAAGCACAGGAGGGAACACTGCATCGATTGGAGTCGCAACATCGTTGATCGGGGCGGTGTCAATCAGAGCAGGGTCTACAGGAGCAGGGAGGATGGCAGCGTTGTCTGCGGGACCCAATGGACCCACGAGTGGCGTATCACCGCCCGTTGGACCGGCGGCCGGAGAAACTGCATCCGTGACTCCGACGTCGTTTATGGGGACATTAGGCAGTGGAGTTGACTCGGTGATACCGTTCAAAGCGTCCGATAGAGGCTCCTCGGGTGGTGTTGGAGTTCCCTCATCTCCAAATGCAAACGCACCGAATCCACCGGGAGTAATCGCCGGCTGTGGTGGTCCAACAGCAGGCAAAGTAGGAACCACCAGCCCTCGGACGGCAGACGATGCTACACCCGCGAGCGCGCCGGCGAGCGATCGTATGTTGGGTAGGATGGTTGGACCGAACTGAACACCGGTGCCTGCTGCCGGCAAGACAGGAAGCGATACGGCTGGTAGGGCCGAAGTCAGGATGCTTGAACTGGACTGAACACCGGTGCCTGCTGCCGACAAGACTGGAAGCGATACGGCTGGCAGGACTGAGGATAGGCTAGGGAGCGTGGCTTCTGGTAGCACAACATCATCTGTGCCTGGGGGTATCACACCACCAACGGTCGGCAGGAGAAGAGGCGAAAGCGCTGGAAGCGATAGAGGGGGAAGCGTTGGAAACGATAGAGAGGGAAGCACTGGAAGCGATGGAGGGGGACGCGCAGGAAGCGATAGAGGCGGGAGCGCTGGGAGCGATAGAGGCGGAAGTGCTGGGAGCGATAGAGGCGGAAGCGCTGAGAGCGATAGAGGCGGAAGCGCTGAGAGCGAAAGAGGCGGAAGCGCTGGGAGCGAAAGTGGTGGAAGCGGTGGAAGCGATGGAGACGGGACCGCTGGAAGCGAAAGAGGGGGAAGCGCACCAGCGCCTGCTTGTGGGAATTGGAAAGGAGGAAGCTGCGCTCGAGCGGTCTGCAAAAGCAGCGCGCCGGCGACGTAACCCTTCATTGTAACCCGCCGTCAAAGAGAGACAAAAATGAGAGACACGGCCTCGCGAAAAGAGTGAGTGGCCGGAAACGAGGGACGGAAAGGTTGGAAGGCCTAGACATTGTGTGAGACTTGTGCCATCGCTAGTTATAGGGAGATCTCCTGTGTTGAATTCTTCGCAATCAAAACAACCCTTCAGGAGGAACCGCTAGCTTGGTTGAGACGGCAGGGCAAATGATATTGCCGAGCGAGTAAAAGCACTGGTTGAGAGAGATGGCCGTTGTCGTGCTGGAGCGCTGGAATGCTGATCTTATTGCGTGTTCTGCGATCTGGCTCATTCTTGGCTTGAAGAATGCTGATGTCCAAAACAACTAGCACGCGTCGTTAGCGAAGCATTTTGCTGTCGGGACGAATAATGGTACACGGAACATATAGATTGCTTTAACAGCGGGAAACCTGAGACTGGTGCGACGGCCATGCAGGTGCGGATGATGTCAAGTAGCGCTGTAAGGCCACTGTTTGTGAGTGATTAGCGTACGGTGCGGCTCACGGGTTGTACTGTTGACTTGTTTGTTGATTTTCGTGTCATCCTGGACAGACAATAAACAATCGAGTGGAAGATCGCAAGGTCCCGTTGGGCGTGCAATGATACAGTCCTCCATGCTGCCTTAAGAAATGGAGAGCTCATCGCGAACGACGCATCGCCTCATCCCGAACCCACCCATGTACGATCACACTGGGGAATGTGCCAGCAGCTTGCAAATGGTATACGCAGATGTGAGGCCGCACGCTGGATGGTTTGTTGACAGGTCGGTGTTCATAGCAGCAGCCGAGTAGTCCCACGCTGCACCTTTAGAGCACAGGCACCGGTATCCAATGCGACACTATTCCTGTCAAACTGAGATGCTTTGCCCCCAAATATCAGACACTCACCGATGCCAAGCGAACGACCCGAACGCCGTGGCTATGCATATAAACAGATGTTCCTCCACGCGTAACTCGCCGAGCCTACCGCCTTCCCCTGCCACTACCACCACCTCCCATGCCTCCCATACCGCCCATGCCGCCCATGCCGCCCATCATGTTCGCAAGAGCGGACATGTCGGGCATGCCGCCTCCTCCTCGTCCGCCACCACCCATCATGTTTGCGAGGGCAGACATATCGGGCATACCACCTCCGCCTCGGCCGCCTCCACCGAGCATCTTCATCATGGAGGCCATGTCGGGCATGCCTCCTCCGCCCATGCCGCCTTGGCCCATGCTCGCCATGCGCTTCTGCATGGCGGCGAGTTGCTGTGCCTTGTTTCCTCCGCCCATCGCGCCCTGTGCCTTTTGCATGTTCTTTAGGCCTCCGCCCATCTTCTTAGCCATACTGGGGTGATGTTAGTTGAAATAGAATCACGTGCAGGATGATTACGTACCCAGCCATCATCTTGTGCTGCGTCAACAGCTCTTCGATTTCGCGCACAGAGGTGCCGGAGCCACGTGCTATACGTGTCATGCGCTCCGGTTGGTCGATGAACATCTTGCCGTCTGACTCGAGCTCTTTTTCGTTCATGCTGTCGCAGATGTAGATCATGCGCTTTAGCTTCAAACTGCCTTCTTCGTCGTCCATTCCGTTCATCATGCCGCTCAGTCCGGGAATCATGCCTGCCATCTTTGAGAGAGGGCCCATCTTCATGATATTGGAGAGCTGGTCTCGGAGATCCTTGATGGTGAAGATGCCCTGCGTGATGTGCTTCATCGTATCCTTCTGGTCCAGCTTGAGTGACTGTACGTGTTCGACGAGACCGCCGATGTCGCCCATGCCGAGCAGCTTCGAAACGAAAGGCTCGGGGCTGAAGCGCTCGAGATCCAGCATGTGCTCTCCGGTACCAAGGAACACAATGGGTGTGTGTGTTGCTGCGACGGCAGAGATGGCACCACCTCCCGCTGCCGCACCATCCGTCTTGGTGAGTATGATGGCTCCGAAGTCTGCTGCCTCTTTGAACGCCCGTGACTGCGCTTCTGCTGCCTGACCGATTGTTGAGTCGAGAACCATGATGGTCTGGTCGGGCTGCACGGCCTCCTGAATCTGCATCATCTCGTCGAAAAGGTCCTTCTCTTGTCTGTGCCGACCGGAAGTATCCACGATGATGATCTCGAAGCGCTCCTTCTTGAACTTGTCCACACCTTCTCTAGCTACCGCAACTGGATCCGTCTGCGTATGGCTTCCAAAGTATGGAATCTTTGCGCGCGTCGCATTTTGCTTCAGTTGGTCGAAGGCACCAGCACGGAAGGTATCCGCGCACACGAGACACGCCTTGAACCCGCGCGCAGAGTACCAGCGCGCCAGCTTGGTACACGACGTCGTCTTACCCGAACCCTGCAGACCGACAAACATGATGACGTTGGGCTTTCCTTTTTTCGGCTTGAAGGGTTCGGCGTGGGGGTCGACGAGCTTGACGAGTTCGTCGTAGACGGCTTTTTGGATGAGGCGCTTCTTGTTCACGCCGGGCGCGAGGTGCTTGAAGTCGACGGAGCGTTTTATCGAGTTGCGCAGGTTCATTACGAGCTTGACGTTTACATCGGCTTCGACAAGGGCGTTGGAGATCTCCTTGACCATGGCATCGAAGGCCTGCGAGAATTAGCCACGGTGCCACTGTCTGCTGCGGCGAACGCGCACCTTCTCGTCGAGGTTGGGCGACCGCGTGAGGTCTGAGACGGCGGCATTGATGCGCCGCCCGAGATCTTGAAGCACCATGGCGGCGGGTGTGCTGTTGTATGCGGGCTGGGACAGTGGGTAGGGGTAGCGATATATCAAGGCCAGCTGCTGTGGGGGACCTCAAATGGCCGCTGCGGGGCTGGTCCCTTCCGCGCTGGCTTGGCGACGGCGCTTTCTTCGCCGATCTCCAAAATTAATTCTCCAGACGCAAGCTCACGACGTGCGCAGCACAACCACACCCAATTCACTCCGCACACCATGGTAAACACGAGCCTGAAGCGGAGACACACAGAAGACCGCTTGCGCGGCAAGCTGCCGAAGAAGGACAAGCCAAAGATCAAGCGCCAGAAATACTACCACAGCTCCAGCGAGGACGAATCTGATGACGAGGGTGCTGCACGAGATGCGCCGCGCGAAGTGAAGCGGCCGAAAGAGCCGTCGCCTGCGTTCGAACCAGAGGAAGGCACTGCAAATGCTCTGCCGCTCAAAGAAAGGACTGCCTCTGCGCCTGCGGCTGTAGCCGCGCCCGTGTCCGCGCCCGCGCCCAAAAAGTCCGCCTTGAAAAAAACGGAGCCGCCCAAACCCGTGGAAGCCGGCGACGACTTCGACGATATCGCCTCCGGTGAAGAGGAAGAGGAAGAGGAGGGCTCGGAGCCAGAAGACGACGAGCCGGCCATCGGCTCCGACGCCGACGACTCGGACGCTTCAGACGCTACCTCAATATCAGAGACGTCGACCAACAACCCCGCGCGCAAAGTGCGGAAACGAAACGACCCGGAGGCCTTCGCGACGTCCATCTCCAAGATCCTCAACACGAAGCTCACCTCGACCAAGCGCTCCGAGCCCATCCTGTCGCGGTCCAAGTCGGCACAGGAAGCGAACAAGACGCTGTCCGACCAAAAGCTGACGCACAAGGCAAACAAGCAGTTGCTGGCGGAGAAGCGGGCGGTGCAGGAGAAGGGCCGCGTGAAGGACGTGCTAGGGCTGAACGACCCGAGCATCAGCACGGCGGCGACGACGGCCAAGGAGAAGGAGCTGCGCAGGACGGCGCAGAAGGGTGTCATCAAGCTGTTCAACGCGGTGCGCGCGGCCCAGGTCAAGGGCGAGCAGGCAGAGCGGGAGGCTCGCGAGAAGGGCGTGGTGGGTCTGGGCAAGCGTGAAGAGCAGGTCAAGGAGCTGAGCAAGCAGGGCTTCCTGGATATGATTACTGGAGGCGCAAAGCAAAAAGAGGGAAGCGTCGAGGTGTAGGTTGCTTATGAGCGAGGTTGGAGACTGAATCCATGGAGCTCCACCGTCCATCTAATGCCGTGCTCTGCGTGACCAACGCCGGTGATGTGTCTGCGTATAATACATGTGACGAGCCCTCGTCCTTCCCGGCTACCTATGTTGAACGTACTATACAAATCCCCCACTCTTTTTCCACGCCTCCCCCATCCAATAACGTCGACGCAATACTTGCTTACCAGCCTCCATGTCATCTACTTGGTCTCGAAATCGCTCGCCTGCAAATTTCGCGTCATGCTCGGCAGTCTCACCACCAGCCCATCCAACTCCCTGCTCATCTTCACCTGACACCCCAGCCGACTTGTCTCCTGCAGCCCAAACGCCAGATCCAGCATGTCGTTCTCGTCGTCGTCGGGCTCCTCCATCTTGTTGTACATGTCCTCGCTTTCCACAATAACGTGGCAGGTCGAGCACGCGCAGGACCCGCCGCAGGCACCCTCCATCTCGAGGTCGTTGTCCTGGGCGATGTCCAGAAGGTTGTCGCCGTCGGCGACGGCGAAGGTGTGCGAGGTGCCTTCCTTGGTTATGAAGGTTACGTGGCGTCTGGGGGGAGTCAGCGGGGGGTTGGGGGGAGGGGTTGGGGGAGGGGAGGACTACTCTTCACCGGGCTTGGGCGGGTCGAGGTGGTTGTGCCGGGGGATCGGGGTGGAGGAGAATTTCCGGCGGTTTCGCGCAAAGGGGGGGAGTGTGCCGGATGTGCTTGTCCATTGCGGAGACTGGGACCTCCACGGCGTCTGCACGCGGGTGGACGTGGTTCGCGATGAAAAAGCCCGTCGAGACAGTGATGGTGGCGTCGTGAGGGCTTGCTGGTCGGTCCTGAGGGCGCGGGAGAGCGCAGACGGCCATTGGAGACGGGCTGGCATGGCGCCGGCTTGCAGGCGCGGTGGAGGAGCGAAAATGGGGGTGTGGGCGGGAGGACGCTGCGGCGCAGAGCTCTCGTTTTCGTGCCTCGCAGCCGTGCAACCAGCATTGCTAGCAGTGGGCACGGGCCTCGGGAAAGCCAGAGGCGACCGGGGACGTCACCAACCCATCCTTGCCGTCGAAACCGCGCCTGGGGGTGCAGAACCGCGCGCACACGTCCCCTATTGCCAGACACACCGCAAAGGCACGCCATGGCGACCTCGCGAGACGCCCCGAATCCGCTGCGGCCGTACTACATCCCGCCCTCGATCGGCCTGCCGCCCGACCTGCCCCAGAGCAATTCATCGTCACACGCGCACTCGCCCGCCGCGCCCGCCTACTCGTCGCGCACGCCCAAGCCCAGCTTCGGCAGCCAGGCGCGCGACATCCTGTCCGACCTCGACTACGACTCGTACTTCGCAGACGCCTCCCCGAGCGTCGCCGACCACGCAAAGAAGCTGCTGGACCAGGCGCTATGGAACTACACGTCGGTGCTGCTGGCCCAGCCCTTCGAGGTCGCGAAGACGCTGCTGCAGGTCCACCAGGCCCAGGGGCAGGCGCCGCCGGGCCTGCGGCTGAACGGCGACGAGATCAAGAGCCGGCCCAACTCGTTCGCGAGCGGCAAGTTCGAGGACTACCCGTCGGATGAGTCGGACGACGACTCGCCGGGCTACTTCACCAGCACCGCGCCCTCGATGCACGGCCGCACCTACTCGCGGGGCGCGTCGCGCTCGCGCAGCCCGCAGAAGAGGAGGCAGCTCGCGGGAAGCCGCTCGCGAGACACGACACCCACGCGCGCGCCGCCGCCCCCGCCGCGCAAGCTCGAGCTCCGCAAAGCAGACTCGCTCCTCGAGGTCATCGCGCAGCTGTGGCAGAAAGAGTCGGCCTGGGGCGTGTGGAAGGGCACAAACGTCACCTTCGTGTACAACTTCCTCCTCAAAACCACCGAGAGCTGGACGCGCAGCATGCTGTCCGCGCTGCTCAACGTGCCCGACCCGGGCCTCATGGGCACCTCGGCCAGCGGCATCGGCGGCCTCGACATCATCGACAGCCCGTCGCCCCTCATGTCGCTCGCCGTGGCCGTCGCCGCGACCGCCCTCGCAGCCACCCTCCTCGCGCCCCTCGACCTCATCCGCACCCGCCTCATCGTCACCCCCACCTCGTCATCCCCGCGCACCATCTACCCCTCGCTCTCCCTCCTCCCCTCCTTCTCCGTCTCGCCCTCCCTCCTCCCCGCAACCCTCCTCCACGCCACAGTCCCGACCTTCATATCCAGCTCCACCCCCCTCTTCCTTCGCACCTTCCTCGCCGTCGACCCCATCGTCACGCCCACCGCCTACTCCTTCGCAACCTTCTGCTCCGCCACCGCCGAGCTCTTCGTGCGCCTCCCCCTCGAAACCGTCCTACGCCGCGGCCAGGTCGCCGTGCTGCAGGACCACGAGAACGACCGCCTGGCCGCAGAGTACCGACACGTCCCCGAGGCGCGCGCACTCAAGTCGCCCGTGTACGGGCTGGACGAGGATGCGTCGGTGCGGTGTTTCCACACCGTTGTCGAGCCCGGGCCGTACAGGGGCGTGCTGGGGACCATGTGGTTCATTGTGCGCGATGAGGGCGTGCAGGTTGTTGGGCCGGGCGCGGCCAAGGGGAAGGCTCCCGCTGCGAGCTTCTCTGCGCGGACGCGGATACGCAAGGGGCAGGGTGTGCAGGGGCTGTGGCGGGGGTGGAGGGTTGGCTTTTGGGGGCTGGTTGGGGTGTGGGGTGCTGCGGCGATGGGGGGCGGCGGGGGAGAGTTTTAAAAGAAGATCAAGATCAAGGGCGGCGTGTGGGAGCCGGAAGGTCGAAACGAAAGAACACTTACGAGGGCAATGTGGAAGGAGCCGACTTTCTCTTCTCGCGCCTGTTTATGATATCCCCCGTATATACATCTCCTCTTCACTGGTTGGTCTGTCTTAGAGCTGGCGTTTGCGCTTTTGTACGACGTACGCCACACGCATGTAGAGCCTCTGTATACCGCGCTAGCTACCTACCTATCTAATCCTCCTCCGAAATTCAAAAATCACAAAGTAGAGCTGACACCGCATGACCGGATTCTCAGCGCACGTGTAATCCTGTGGTAGCTCCCTCCATGCCATGTCCTTTGATATACTACGTTGTACGCAGTCCTAGAGTACCGCAGCCTATCATGCGGGTGATGGAGTTTGGATCTAAGAACGTGAGGTGGGCATGGGCGTGGAAGGTGTAGCTGCAGGGATCCTAGTCTTGATGTCGCATGGGGTGATGGCGTGGAGATGAGATTGAGCAGTGTTCTGCGAAGAGTTTGTCGCTCCGGCGATCTCCTTGCCCTCTTGTCCTGCAAGACATCAGCCAGGAGGCACATGTACAAAGCCAGCAAAGGTCTGTTTGTGAACTAGATTGTTGCCTTTTGTCATGTATACGAGGAGGTCATGTACAACTACACGGCACCCGGTCCACTCAGGCCCTAGAAACCACCCTCGCGCAGTGCCCCTTACGCCACGTTCGCGCCAAAGTTGTCCGTCGGCGCCTCCTTCTTCACGCTCTCCCAGATCTCATCGATCTTCTCCGCGGCGCTCTTGCTCAAGGCGCCCTTCTTCAGCCCCCCGGCCGTCTGCTCAATCTGGCTGATTTTGCTCGCCCCAAAGATGACCGCATCCCCAAGCTCCGCCTTCAACGCAGAGTTGTACCCCACCCAGCGGTACGCCAGCTCGGCCTTGCTCACGCCCTCGGCCTCCGCAATCTTGTTCCACTCACCCAGCGCCGCACGCAGGCTCGGCTTGTTATATAGCCGCAAGTACATGCCCCCGATTGCCTGCTCGTTGAAGCGGCCGGCGCCGGCATCTAGGTCCGCGGGCGTCTTGGTCAGGAAGCCGCCTGCCAGCGGGGAGTAAGCGTAGAAGGCGATGCCGAGCTTGCGGAGGGTGGGGAAGAGGATGGTCTCGAGGTGGCGCGCGACGGGGGAGTAGTTGCCCTGGTAGACGGTGGGCTTCACATAGCCCTTCTCACTTGCGATGTCGTAGACCTCCTGGACCTGCTGCGGCGTGAAGTTGGACAGGCCGAAGCGGCGGAATTGGCCCTTTTTGAAGGCGGCGTCGATGCCGGCGAGGGTGTCGGCGACGGGGATCGAGTCGTCTGGTGCGTGGATGTAGAGAATGTCGACTTGGGGGATGCGGAGCTTTTGCAGGCTGTCGTCGATGTCTTTGATCACCTGGTCTTTGCCGAGGTTGCCCTTGTCGAAGCCGCCTTTTAGTTTTGTGTCGATGGTAAAGTTGGTGCGGCCTTCGAGCTTGCCGATCGCCTCCTCGGAGCCGGCGTACAGACGCGCGGTGTCGATGACGTTAACGCCTGCTTTCTGGAGGACGTCGAGAGCCTCGGCCTGTACCTTTGCGTCGGCGTACGCGCCGTTTGGAAAGGCGGCGCCGCCAAAGACGGCTTTGATCTCAGCCATGATTCTGGTGGTGTGGAGAGGTACTAGTATGCGGGGGAGTAGTCGGGAGGTTGTGAACTGTGAATTTGCCTGTGTAAAGCAGCAAAGACGGGAGGTGGTGTGATTTATATATCCCCCAGAAAAGAAGCAGCAGCCATCACACAACAAGGAGATACCGCGGCACGCACCTACGTAACCACGGCCATCCACATGCATGATGCTACCCCAATGCCGGATTGTATCATGCCGCCCCGCGGCCAGTCGCCCCACACTTCCCCTCTAACGCCGATACCTCCACTCGAGTAGTTGGTACGAAAGCGGCCTAATTTTACATGTCCTGGTGTGAAACGAGATGCAAGAAGCTTGGCTTTTTAATTCGCGTTAGTTCACCTCGGAGGCATCGCTGCGATTGGGCAGTCCATGGACCTCGGATTATAAATCGGCTGTGCCGTGTGATTGGGACCTGCGAAATACACCTGGCGCAGCGTCTTTGCATTTCTGATCACTCTCTCTATCAGCCCGACTGCGGATGAATAATCGCTGCGGTAGGCCGTCGACCGTGAACATGATGACTGACTAGCTGCGCTATTGTACGTACAGCTTGAGAACTCCATGTTTTGTCCGTATGCTCCTGCAGGCACAGGCTACTTTAATTTGTAGACACATGATTATTGAGCAGGTCGCAGAAAGGTGTAACTATAAGTACTGGGATCCCATAGGATGGCTGTCTACAAATGCGACCTCATAGCAGCATACGCCAGCCGTGCAGTCATCACGGTACACGTTCTCATCAAATCCCTTATATTACCGATCCATCAATGAGACCATGCATCTGGTGAAGTTCACGCACTGAGACGCACGTGCCGAAGCGGGCGTCCGCTGCGTAATCACTGTTTGCCTCAGTAGGAGTTGAGTGGTTCCTGCATGTGACCTCGCATACGCACAATCATGATTACACTACTCACGCGCTGCACAAGCGATAATTCTCAGAAACCTCCAGACACATTGAACGTATCTTACACCCTCGCTCTCAACCCCTGCCTCACCGGGACATCCTTCCACGCTTCCTCGAAACCTGCACTCCGCACCCACGTCGGCCCCCCAGCCTCGACGCTATCGACCGCCATATTACCCAGGCGCTTCCACATGTCCCCCTGCACCACGAATCCCTCCTTCCCCTCAAACTTCTTGCACACCTGTTCGCCGTGCGCCAGCGCTCTCACCAACTTGCTCGCGTGCCCGTCATCCGAGAGCGCGTTAACCCTCTCGATGACACGTTCCCACGAATCGTCTTTGTCCGTGGTCTTGTAGGTGATGAGATCGTCCATGAGGAGAGCTGGGGATGCCCGGCTGGCGTACATGGCGAGGTCGGAGCGGACCTTCCATTCTAGGAGGCGGCGCTTTGTAGCGGAGGTGAGGGAGGAGAGGGCAAGGAACGTGGAGAAGAAGATGGAGGCGTTTGTGACGTGGATGTAGTAGAAGTCGAACTTGGGGACGTTGGGAGGGTGCTGGGCGGCCGCGGTGTAGAATACTGTTATCTCAGACTTAGTGTCATGGGATGTGGGTTTGGCTGAGAGGATGGTATTGGAAGGCAAGCTTACCAGCTGCATTTATCATCTCCGCAGTCTTCTCCTCGAGCTGCGACTCGGAGATCACGTATTGGCTGGCGTACTTGAGCATCTCGTCGGGCGCGCGCTTCAAGATGCCGTCGCGGATTTTATTTCCGTCGCTCCAGTGCGCTGCGGAGGAGAGCTTTTTGTCTGCGCGAATGTCGTTGAGGAGCTGCACGATGGTCTTCGTGTCCTGAGGCTTCGCGTCTGATGTCTGTGCGGCCTTTTCAGCGTCGAGAAAGAAGGGCAGCATCCAGTTGTCATGGACTGCCGTTTGGGCGAGTGCCTCGGCGATGATGGCGGGCTGGCGGAATTCGACGCCAAAGCCGAGATGAATGATGGGGTGGAGGAAACCTCCATAGAGGCGTGCCAGCATGTCGTCTGCGCGCTCGTCGCCTTTGAAGAGCTCGTCATTTAGCACGGTCTCCCAGCCTTTCTTGCTGATCTCATCCCGGAAGTACTGGAGGAAGTCTTGATAGTATTGCTCCTTTCCCAAGTATGTTTTGAACTTTGCTGGATCGTGCATATCATCCACTATCGCTTTCTTCAGGTCTCCTGGCGGCCGTTGATAGTACTTGTTCTCATTGTATCCGCGCCTGATCTCCTCTGGTGTAGCCCTGAGAGCGAAGAGGGTTAGGAGATGATGTACGATGTGGTTCTATCAGACTCTAATCAGCGCCGCTTTCGGTGAAGAGTGAGATAAACTTACGTGAAAGCCACCTCGATTGAAGAAAATATGGTGCTTGTCATGGTTCTCCTGCAACAAGTCGCTTGTAATCCTTGCGCTCTCATCCGTAATGCCTTTCACGAAAAACTCCGGTTGCACCCCGGCATCAAGCTTAACTGTACTTGCTGTAGCCATACCTCGGAACAGAATTCTTTGATCTACTTTCCAAACCAACTGTTGAAGTCCCCGTGGCGAGTTGATGAATGCTTTGTTGATACCCACTGCAGTCAGGCCCACGGCAGAAGCAACAACAGCAGCAGTCTTTAAGTAGGCAGGCCGTCTGGCGAACATCGAGTCACTTGACAGGCACGTCGAGGCCTAGAAGAAACGCGTTATATAAACGCGGGGACTTCATTGTTTAATCCCCGGTCACTGGACGCGAGATTGACGTATGGCGGCGGCGAAGGGAAGCTTTAGCCGCATGCGGGAGGCTCGGGAATCGGAGGTACCGGGTGCGAGCTTAGTCACGGCAAACATAGGAGCATTGTGATTTGCGGAGCGCGCAGCATCAGCGTCGGACATCTGAAGTACGCGAGGCTTATACGAAGGGAGTGTAGATGAGGTGAAGGGGATCGTATTGGCGGGGAATGGTTGTGAGTAAGCTGCTCCCAAGGTGAAGAAGTCTGGAGCACTAGATGACCAACCTAGCAACAACGATGATGATCCGCGAGTTTAAGGGCATATTTTGGATAGATTGCAAAATAGGGGAAACCAAGCTTGGACTCAACAAATGGTTGGTGGAAGTAGCCGTAGACAGTCACGTAAGCGCGGAAGTGAAGAGTAAGAGGTCAGTCACTGCTTGTATCTACGAGCTCTCGCCCCAAGTCCCAGAAAGAGACGCCCATGATCCCGTGTTCCGTGTCAAGATCGGTCAGATATTGACGGTTCCTGCATCACCTATCGCGGTCCCTGTATCGCGTATCCTGCGATCATAAAGATTGCCTCGTTTTACGCCATCTTTTGAGCTCCATCGCCATGCATATGTCAAATCAACTTGTCGTGAATCGTAAATGTCCTCGTATAAGCAAACTCCCTCAGTACTTCTTCGCTTCCATCCCCTCCGGAGGCTCAGGTGCGACATACTTATTGCCCACGCTGCTCCAGTCAGTACTTAGAACGGTGCCGCCGCTCTCCTGGTAGCTCTTCATCATGGCTCGTTGTGCGTCTTCACCGGCGCCCTTGTAGAGCGTTTTGAAGAATCGAGAGGTCTCATCGCCGTCGTATTCGTCCTCGTCACCCTCCTCCGCGGCAAGCTTGTCCCAGTTCTTGGCGCCCTTCTTCGATGATGTGGGGTATGAGGGTGCAGCCTCAGCGGTGACCCTTGCGCGTTCCGGGATTACTGCCGGTCCTCCAGATGTTTCAGTCTTTTCGGACACGACCTCGAGTTCGCCCTCGAGTGTCTTCCACTTCACACCGGGCTCGGCCTTCTTCAGCACGACTTCGATCTTGGTAGGTGTGATGCGGTAGGACGACGTAGCGGGGTCGACCTTTCCGTAGAAGGGGAGGAGGTTGTAGTTGAAGTCGTTGCCGTTCGCCAGAGGATAGGAGATGTCCAACGAATCTGCCTCGATCTCCACCTTGGCTTTATCCTTTGGCACGTTCTTCGCCAACAGCGTGAATGTGACTTGCTCGTTGTTCTGATACCAGTCGTGCTTCGGCTTCTCTGTGGGCGTCGGTGGCAGCTGCGGGCGGCTAGCAGAGGGCGTGTCTGCAGGTTTGTTCTCCTTTGTTGGCGGCGGAGCCGTGTCGACGTCTACATCAGGAACCGACTTAACGGTAACATGCCTCTGCTCGTCACCCTCGGGGATGGCATTCAGTTTGGTCGCAATCTTGGACTCCCAGATGGCCAGTGTCTTCTCCTTGTCGTCCATTCCCTTCACAATGTCGAATACAAATTTCGCGTTCGCATACTGGCCCAGGAAGTAGAGCGCTATGCCTCGTCGCAGCTGTGAGTCTTTGATGAGCTCGCGACGCGCGCGTTTGTGGGCGAGGACGACAGCCTTCTCGGCATCTGCGAGGGCTTCGGTGTACTTGGACGACCGCTGGTAGGCCGTGGAGCGCTTGATGTAGTAGTCGACAGCGCCCGGGTTCTGTGCTATCGCATTGGTGTAGTGCTCGATCGCTTCGGCGTACTTGCTGGCAGAGAGCGCCGCTGCGCCGCGGGCTGCTTGGTCCATGGTGGGGTGGCTTTGCGGCAGCTCGGAGGTATGGTCCTGATCAACGGGAACAGCGTGGTGTCCTTGGTCGGAAAAAGGTGAAGGTGAAGGGGATACTCTATGCAGGCTTTGTCCGTTGAGCGGTGGACCCGCGGCGCAGGTTGGAGTCAGTGAATGATTGTGGAAAGTTCCATGCCCGCAGCTTCCAGGCACCAGACGCCTGCCCAGCTAAAAGAAGCGGGGCAAGGATTCACCGCAGGCCCGGAACGCTTACCGCAAGCAGGACAGCGCGACTTCACCTGAACATCTGTGTCGGGCGGCATCTCACCCTCTTACCCTCGTGAAAGCGCGATACGGCTCAAAGCCTCCTTCTCTCGGTCCCGCTGGTCCGTTGTGCGCTGTGGTAGGTGCCTGTTGTATTGGCGCTCGCAGCTTCCCCCTTTTCGGTACCTAGGCTCGCTCGTGTTGCCCTCGCGGAACTCCCAGGCGACGAAGTGGCTGTTGGCCTTTTGCGCCACACCTTGTCGATCAGATACATCCGTTCCTGGTAATCTCGTGTTTAGAGATGCTGCGATAGCGAGCATGCTGCATATCCTTGTGCTGGCGGCGGCGTTCGCGCTCGCTGCGGCTCAAGGCATCGCCGAATGGCAGAAGCCGCTGCCACAACCTCCAGGTGCAGCTAATTGTGGCAGAGGTCGCAAAGCGATCCACATCGGCAGCAGTTTTACGTTTCAAGTGAGTTCGACACTGATCTGATCTTGCAAAACAAGTCATTGACATCTGCTCAGATGAATGGCGATTGGCGTTATTACTTTACCGACTACTTCCCCTCGGATTGGCATTGCGACCGAGGTGAAGTCACCCAACTTCACCTCAATGTCTTCGACGACATCACCAACCGGATTGCTCCCATAAACAAAGACCCCTACTCCAAAGGACCACCAAAAGCGCCCAAGAACCAGCAATCTTCCTTGATGATGACGCTCCCCCTCGACACCGAAGCCTCAGGACCGCTCGTCCTGGAGCCCGAGCCGGGGTGGAAGCTCTTCCATCACATGGATACGAGCATCGATATTGTATGGACACCTACGAAACAGCCGGGCCGTCGCCTCAACGTTACTTCTATCAATGTATCTAAGGGCGTTTCCGTTAGTGCAAGCACGGGACCCATCAGTCTCGCGCTGCATACCCCGTACATCAGGCTTCCCCACGACGTCTACGATTTCATGGCCAAGTTCACACAACCTGAAGCCGTCGACATGGGCCGCGGTATGGACTCCGTAGACATCGTCAGCTGCAACGCCACATCCACCTTCCCAACCCTCAATCTCGATTTCGAAGGGGGCGCGCAGCAGATTCTTGTCAAACCCGCGCAGTATGTTCTCCGAGTCAGCCAAAGTCTAGGCGGGCCGTTCAAGGGGAAATGCGTGCTCCTCGCCAAAAGAGGAGGAGAGCTGGAGATTGGCTATGCGGCGCTCAGAGGACGATCTGTGTGGTTCGACTGGGCGAACGCAAGGACGGGCTTCCAGGCGTGAAGTGGATGCCGGTGGCGTGGGAGGGAAGGGCAGGACGATCTGGAGGCGCTGAGATACCCAGCAGTGTTTATATGTAATTCCTGATGTTAATTTCGTAATGTAATCTCTTGCAGTGCGTCACAGTGCCCGATAATTGAACCTCGGACTCCTTTGGCGGACCCTGATATGAGCTGTCATGCTGGAATAATACAGTGTAGCTTTGGCATTATTGTGAGCCAGTTTGCGGGCAAGGCGACGAGAGTGTGTTGGAGGCTGAGTGTGAATGTCTTATGCGACGCATGAGGTGAGCTTTGGGGGCCGTCCGGTGGTGAGTGCCAGTCGCTCAACACCTTGGCGTATCGGGATTCCACATGGACGGTGCCACAGGGGTCAGGGGAGGTGAGACAGGCACATTGGCACGAAGATAGGCGCCGAACACCGTCTAGAAACCACCTGCGAAGATGTGATGCGAATCAAGGCAGTGTAAAACGTGACCGCACAGAAGACGTTCGCGATTGCGGAGAACAGACGGTATACTTGCACGTCTCACACAGCGGAAATATGCCACGGAAGGGAACACGACCTAGTTGACGGAGGAAAGTGATGAGCTACAAATCTCGCAGACGATGTCTGGAACAGAAGGAGATATCTCGCCGAGCCGAAACCGTTACAAGAGGCAGAAGAATGCCAACGCCCATCGCCAGCGTACACTACCCCACCACATCCCACGCATCCCGCCCTCATCTACAACACCATCGCAGCACCAAGCACAACGCTGGCGACAACCATGCCGACAAACTTCATCGGCACCTCCGTAGCAAATGCAGCGCCCTCACTGCCACCCGACGGCGCCGCACTACCATTCGGCGTGCGCGTAGGGGCCCCTGATCCGGCTGTTGCGGTGCCCTCGCTCGCTTCGCCCGCCCAGTGGCTAGACTCATCGCCGTCAAGTCCAGGTCCAGTTCCGGCGCCCTCGTCCATGTACTTTTGCGCACCAGAGGGCATCGCAAGCAGGGCCTCGCTGCTAATCGGCCAGTCGTCGCTCTCGGGTGGGCACTCGCTGGCCTTTCCCTCTGTCGTCTTCGCGCCGCCGTTGCCAGACGGGTTCGTCACGTTGGCGTAAGCAGCCTTGAGGGACTCAAAGTCCTCGTTGGGCTCGATGTCGCCGCTGCCGTTGATGTCGACGATGCCATAGCCGTTGGGTTCGACCGTGTACTCGTACGCGAGACCGCCGGAGTACACGCCCGTCATCTTAGTGCTGAACAACGCAGCGATCTCGCCCCACTGGCGGTTGGGCTCGATGCAGCCGTGCTCGGAGAGGAAGATGGGGCGCGGGAAGTTCTTGTACGTCTCAACTTTCTTGTTCCAGCCGGCGCCGGTGAAGGTCTGCAGGCCGTCTTCTTTGTCGCACCACGAGTAGTCGTTGAAGGCAAAGAAGTCGGCGCGCGCGTCGTCGGTGCCGCAGTCGAAGTAGAGGGCTTGCTGCTCGATAACTTCGGCGACGTCGGCAGCGGAGTAGCCGACGGGGATCTTGCGGGAGTGGCGGTTAGAGATGTACTGCTTCATGTCGCGCGTGACGGCTTTGATATAAGGCGCGGCATTGGTGTTGTTGACGGCGTTGATGACTTCGTTGCCTGAGAAGAAGACGAGGAGGTTGTTGTAGTCCGCGAATGCGTCGATGGTGGCGAAGACGGACTGGAGATAGACGTCGTTGTAGGATCGGTGGAGCGTCGCATTGGACTCGCGGTTGAGAGAGTATTGCGGAGTGTTCGCGTCGAGGGCGAGGTAGATACCAGCGTCGTCGAGAATCTTCATGCCCTCATCATGGTTCTTGGAGTTGTCGATCGTGTAAATGCGAATGGTATTAATTCCCAGGTCCTTGAAGTTCTTGACATCACGGCGCAAGCTCTCTAGGTCGAGGAGGGGATCTTTAGCATCCGATGCGCCACCTACAAAGGTCAATCACTTGCAATGAACCATGTCGGTATGTGTTTACCTGGCTGGTAAGCAACTCCTCGCATGTAGAAGCGCTCATTGCCCGCGAAGAAAGCATTTCCTTTCACGGTAACCGGCGTAAGTTTGCCCTTGCTCTGTCGTGGGGCGACCCCAGCGAAAACGGGTGCGATCGCAGCTCCCAAGATGGAGAGCACAGCGAATGATTTCATATTGAAGAGAAGGGAAGATTACAATATACTAAAAAAAAACCAGGATAATAACGAGTGACTGGTAAAAGGGAAGTACGGTCTTCAGACTGGCAGCGGACGGAGCGGGACATGGCGGGTATTTGAAGCTGCCACACATTAGCCTGCCACCAAAATCTTGGTTTTCCGTCCTCCTCTTACATGTGGAGCCCTTAAGAAATGCCAACCGTCCCTAACGCTTTGGTGTTGGCGGACCGCCAAGGGCTCAGGCGTTGCCGCGCAGCGGAGCGGATCTTGGGCCAAGACTTCCAAGACTTGGTGGACCAGCAAGATTGTCGATGAGCGACGGGCGCGAATTGCGCCTAGGCTTGGAAAGGGGCAATTACCTCGAATTGAGCGCTCTGCCATCGGATTGCGATCTCGCCCTGAACACAGCCTCCCTCTGAGATTTCTGGGAAGCGCATCTGAAACTGTGATTGAAAGGAGCGAGCGGGTCGTTAGGGGAGCCGTAGAGGGATAGGAAGGCTAGTGGTAGGTATGCGCTTGGCGGTGACGTGTATATGTATTGAGATGCACGGTGTTCCGCAGGCGATTGGACTGGCGCTCTTTGTTGCGGTGGCTGACTGGTTGCTGTGGAACTGTTGATGTATGTGCCACCTCGCCAGATCACGTGCCGATACCGACTTGCTACTGTCCAGGGCTCGCCATACTGCATCCTTTGCTGGACAGAATCTGTTGCGTCGCCGTCTTCTCGTGGTGAATCAACTTAGAGGCTCTGAAACGCGTATCTCAAGCTTGCTTTTTAATACCCACAACCACCAGATTCCTCGGGCTTAACGCGTAATCGAAGACCGGCTCGACCCACGCTCTCTCCACTTCTGGTTGCTCCTTCAACCACAACCATCGATCGGTGACAATAACGGCTTCGACCACGCCTGCGCTGAACGCCATGAGGCTCCACATGACACTCAATTCATGCTTCTTCTCCCTGAACCTCTCCTCGTAGGCCTCGATATCCTCATCCGTCAACCCATCCATCTTCCCCTTGATGAAGTCAGGGTCGACCTCGCAGAAAGAGTTCGGGCTGATCAGCTTCGTGATCGCAGCGCGAACATAGGACTTAAAATCACTGTAGGCGAACTTGCGCAGAGTGCCAATGGTGAGCGGGGTGGAGGTACCGTCGGAGCTGAGACCTGGTCCACGCCCGTTAGGCGGCGTCCACTCGACTCTACTGGTATGCCCAGATGCTGATCCGCCGACAGTGCCGTCGCCGTCCACAGGTGCGGATACAACGCCGCGTTCGAGAAAAATGCGTTGGAGGAGTGCGCGGTAGTAATGCCTTGAAAAGAAGAGCTCGCTGTCGACACGACCCCAATTGAAAGGGGCCTGGACGGCCATCATGCGGGATGTGATGTTGAGACGGATACCTTTCGGCTGCTCGACTGATTCCGGCTCTCCATTCGAAGTGGGCAACGGAGCGTGTGGCAGTGGATAAGAAGCAAGTCTTTCGGACATAGGGAAGCCGTGAGGATCGAAAGCATTCGCAGTCTTCTCGAGACGTGGGTGGTTTGGCCGAAGGGTTGGCAGCTTGTAGGTTGGAGGTCCGAGGCGCTCCGTCACGAGATTATAGCAGCATCCTACCATTGCCACTGCGGAGACAGCTGGGCTAAGAAGAAGCGAGCGAAGCCCGTGATGGACGAGATTGCCACACGAATGAAGAGACATGACCATAGCATTAACCTCAGTAGACTTCGGAATATTTGAGAGGCTGGTAGTTTCTTCGACAACCGTGGGCGTCGATGAAGAGGTTTCTGGTCGGATAGAGGTGCTGTCGCGGACCTGATCGATGACTGGATTCAGGTCTCCATCTTTGATGATGTGCTCAACATATTGCACACTGCCTTGGCCCTCTGTGTAGACTTGCAAATTGGTCGTGATGGTGTAGGCATTGTCGCTCGTCCCATTATATTGAGTGCCTGACGCGACGTTGCATCCATCATCGTCGCATTTGAAGGCATTTGTCACTGCCGTTTGAGAGCCAGCATCTGGCACAGTGACAGTTGAGGCCTCACCTGCTGTGGTGGTCACCCTGCCTGAACCGTTCTTCGCATCGCTTGCAGATACCAACTCATCAGCGTGAACGTTCAAACCCTTTAACATATTCTTCTTCCTCCTCTTGTCTTGCTCATTTTCTGCCCGCCATTTCTTCTTGTTCACGTAAGTGACCGGCTTCTCGACGAGTTTAGCTTTGATGTCCATTTTTTTGGCACCTTCAATGTTGTGTTGTCTGCTCTCGACGGCTACAAGGTGCTTGGAGTAAGGTGGTGCAGCCAGTGCTCGTCCCAGATAATTCTGTCCTGATCCAAAGTCGACAAGATGCGTGATCTCTTTCCTTCCAGATTCTTTGATTTCCGCAGTCAATCTGTCAATGAAGCGAGCAAAGTTGTCCACTTCGTGCACTTTCTTGACCTTCATGCCCATAGCTATATGGCGCGCAATGCTGGCGTTTTTAGGCGCTGCAGGTGCTCCCGGGGGCGGGAAGTCTCTTGCTAGCAGGTGTTTCCGCACATCTCTGATATACAGCAAAAGCTCCTCTGGCGGCACCGGCCCGTCACGCCAGGTCTGCTCTTCGCTGGAGTCATTGAACTGGCCAAGGTCTTCCCGCATGAGCAAGTCCAGAATATCCATGATGTCGCGCCCTCGAAACCATTTTCGCCATGACTCGGGCAGTATGGTAGCGTACAGGTCAGGGGATCGCGTGTAGAAGTCTAAAATGTGAACCCCTCCACACAAGGTCTGCAGCATCCACGATGTGGTCGCAAATTTCAGCAGTGACTCGACATACTCGTCCACGTCCGAGAATTCGGCTGGGAGGGGGAGAGGCGCCTCGGGACCCATGTTTCAGCCGTATTCGTCTGCCGGTATGGCGCTCTTGGGAAAATCACGAGTCACAGATTTGAGCCGCATGAGGAAAGCTGTGGGTTGAGTGGAGCCTGTCGGAGTGAATTTGGGCAGGTGCCGACGTGGGTGGTCTGTGCGGCAGCTCCTTCTCTCGGCGTTAGCGGCGATGGCTGGACAAGACACTCCTGGCAGTACTTGAAGTACAACACGCGCGTCCTCGACTGCTGCAGTTTCTGGCCTTGTCTTCGTTTGATAGCGTTCTACCGTTCTGTAGCCAAGATGATGACCACATCCAACGACGAGGACCCGTTCCTCCAGGTGCAAGCGTGCGTGTCCCGCATCCCGCTGCCTGAATGCGCTCACTGATACGTGTACAGCGACGTCCTGTCGGCGCTGGATACGTCGCGTCCACTGTTTGCTTCCTACCGGCGCATACGATCCTCGGCCTCGTCGGCCAATTCGCCCGAGCTCCGCGAAGCGCGCAATGAGCTCGAACAGACGCTGCAGGAGCTCAGCCAGGATCTCGAGGACCTCATGGCTAGTGTCAAGGCGGTCGAGCACGACCCCTATAAATTCGGCCTGGAGATTGACGAGGTTGAGCGGCGGCGGACGCTCGTCAAGGACGTGGGCGACGAGATTGCGAACATGCGCGACGAGCTGCAGCGCACCGTGCAGGATGCCCAGAACAAGGGCAAGGCTGCCGCCAACGGAGACATGCTGCCGGATCCCGACTCGTTCGAGGACGAGGACGGCTTCGCGCAGTTCGAGCAAGAGCGCCAGATGGAGCTGATGCATGAGCAAGACGAGCAACTGGACGGAGTCTTCCGCACCGTTGGCAATCTGCGCCAGCAGGCCGACGACATGGGCCGTGAGCTCGAGGAGCAGGGGGACCTGCTCAACGATGTCGACAACGTGGCCGACAGAGTCCAGGGCAAGCTGCAGACGGGCATCAAGAAGGTCGGCTGGGTCATCAAGAAGAACGAAGACCGCTGGTCGAGCTGCTGCATCGCGGTCCTCATCTTTGTCCTCATCCTGCTGCTGGTCCTGCTGCTCGTTCTCTGATCTACCTCTCGCGTGTGGTTCCTGATGGTACCACCTTTTAAAACCCCGTTCTTTCGCGGTGACCGCGGAAGCACATACGCCATCATGGCTCACCGTGAAGCACCGATCGAATGGATATTATCCAGAGCCTGCAAACCATGGGCATCGGCCACAACGGAATGCGTGGCCTTCATAAATCCCAAACAAAGCAGATACAGGTTGAACGGCGCAACCGTCGTCGTAGCACAAACGTCGACATGCGTTGTAGGAGAACGTATTGGACTGCTTCGGAGCCTGCGCCCGATGGGACATTCAAGCGCTGAAAGCCTACTGGTGCCTGGGTAGACCGGCATAATCAAGATACCTGGCTGGGGATATAAGCCTGTGCAGCAATGCACCTCGCCCCTGGCACCCCGGAATGCACGTGTCGCGGCGTGTGCAACGGATGCCGACTACCCTCCCAACTTCCAACATGCGGACCAACGTCAGGCCAACTTTCCGCGCCATTATGGCAATCGAAGTCGTGTGAGGAAATTGGCTGCTTGTAGTGGGAGCTTAAATTAATGCGAAACACTTCAGAGGTTGCTAGGAGAACCGCAACCACCATTACCCAGCCTGTCTGAGCCTCCCTTTCGTCCAACATGCGCTTCATCTCCCTTGCTCACGTCATTGATTTTGGCGCGCGTCGAGTTTATTCTTGTCCCTCTCAGCCGCTAGGTTACCACAAACATGTTCTTCTCGTTTGAGACAGTTTCCGTAAGAGGCTACCTTTCAGGCTCAATTCCGGAGCTGGTACCTACATGACACCGTCAGGCACCGGATGCCATCTCCACCACTATCTCTCGCTTAATTCAACCACATTCCTCAGCTTTGGTACTCTTCGCCGGTACATTCTTTTCGAGATGCGCCTGTCGACACTCTTTTCGCTCTGCTGTCTGTCTTTCCTGCCTCATGAACCATATCGAAGTGTGTCCTGTTCCAAGCTGAACACTCGGTCATTTGATGGCTGAGTCAATCGGCGGCGGTGCACCTGGGCAGCTGCCAGCCAAAGTGGAAGCCTCGGCGATACCCAACTTGAGTTGTGCTAGAGTGACGCGGCGCCAATGGACCCTCATCGCCATCACCGGCCTTCTCAATGTTCTTTTCGTCTGTTCTGTACTCTGCATTATTGTCCAAATTTACGAAATTGTCTCTGATCCGGACGACTCGACCAACGTTGCGTCGGAGATTCTGACTTTCATTTCGGTACGTCAGTTACTTGCAGCACCAGTCCAACTTATGGGCTTCTCCCTGGGTACCACGGTGCACCCAATCTTTGATAAGGCACTGTAGCTGCAAGGGTTTACTGACTTCTTAGGCGCTTGCAACACTAGCTTACGTTGTCCTCCATAGTATTTTCTCTCTGAAACAGAGAATATGGCGACACCAAGGCCAGCTTCCTGCCAAGGACAAAAAGACTTCTTACATCGCGGTCCGTTGTGGCGGGACACTATGCATGTTGTGGCTGCTGACCAGCGGCTGGAACATGATCATTGTTGCTCGACGCCCAAGATGCTTGCCTGGGGCTCTCGGTTTGACTAGTTGGGAGATCGGCACGACTTGCCGGGTAGGTCGAGTGGGCGTCGCTTTTGCAATGATAGCCTTGTGGGTCTACCCCGAAGCACATTGCCCTCTTTGCTGACCAAACGACAGGTTGGCTTCGTGCGCACTGTTCGGCATGCTAGCAACCGTGAGGCGACCATTCGAAGCGCATCTGCTCAACTACAAGCATACGCCACATGCTCCTACGCCAACAATCACACCGACTATCTCCCCCAGGCAGTCACGCTCTCGCAGCACCTCGGTCGCATCGACCAGATTTAGCAGAAGGGGTGTATCCTTCTCAACCCATCGAAGCACGCACTCGAACGTGTCCAATGCAGACGTTGACACGATTGATCTGAACTCAACGGCCGCCTCGGATGGTATCGCAGCACCAGCTCCCATCCGTTCTCTCGGCACAGGGATATTCACTTCCCACGTACACCCACCGCCGGTTCCTGCGGCTTACGCAACACCATCTCACAACCCATTAGTTGGACTCCCTCCGCCTATCTTCCAACCCTCTCTGTCAACTCCCAACCTCCCTCTCCCACCACGCATGTCCGCTCTCGTCTCATCATCGGGCTTCGTACCGCTGTCCATTCCAGCTCAATACGCACCCTCTAACTGGCGTGCGGTCCACCCCGCAGCCCCTTCGCCACTGGCCGTCGCCGCCTCACGCTCCCAATCAAACCTTCCCTCCACAGACCCTTCACAGCGGTTTTCTTACCGAGCTCGGCACGCGCGCTCTTCCATATCGCTGACGCGCCCCCACCGTCTGAGCACCTCCACACCTGCCCACAGCGTAGGCTGGAGTTCGCGCAGCGGTTCCACGAGCCCCCGCGACAGCCACGATGGCAATGAGCGAAGGGCTGCGGCGGGCCAAATCGCTTTTGCTATACTCAACGGGACGAGGATACCAGGGACGGACTTTGCGAGGGCAGCGGGGAGGCATGCGAGACATAAGAGTGCGCCTGATGCGTCGGCGTCGGCGGGCGCGCAGGTACTGCGGAAGAAGGTGCAGGTAATTCCGGGGCAGGGGAAGACGCTGGTGAAGTCGTCGTCTGCAACGCTACTAGGCGTGCATGAAAGTGGTCCGCCAGCACCAGTGCAGAAAGACACCGCGGTCAAACCAAGTACAGGCATTGCTCCACCTCAACGGAAACTGCACTCGGAGCGTCCATCAGCAGTCTTGCCGAAATCGAAACAACCGCCACCACCACCTCCGCCCCTGCGCTCGCCACCGCCTGCCAACGTTCCTGCTGTACCTATGCCACTTATGGTCACTGCCCCGCGGCAGGTGCAGCGTCCACCCCCGGCAGCGCTGACAAAGCGACTGAGCGCGGATCCTAGCATCGCAGCGCTGCTCGGTCCGGCATCGTGGGAGAAGGAGAACGTTGAGGTTGGGCTTGGGCTTGATTTCGATTTTCAGATGGTGAAGAATAAGCCGTTACCTAAAATCATGGGTGTTGGAGAGGACGTGAAAGCGAAACAGAGCGGGCAAGGTGTGTATTATAGATAGTGGTGTAAATGTGGAGGGCGTATGTTGAACATGGAATTATGATTTGGAGGGCGGGCGCGATTGGCATTTACATGGTTCGTAGGGGTAATGTGGATGGCGTTGGCACGGTGTAGTATATCCAGTAATTAATGAGTTTGATATGCGCAAGAGCCCGATTTGATTCGCTTCCCTCAAATTGACGTCTGGCGGGTTGTCCTTATATTTGTACGGAAGTCAGCTCAAACGTGGGGGACACAAAGGCAAGAAGAAAGAAAATCAGATTACATAGACTGCTGATAGTTAAACTGTAGCATCAGGGGGTCACGGCAAAGTGATAGATAGTTAAGGAAGTAGGCGACTGTTAAAGCTTGTCGCGTGATCAACTTCGAGACCGGTGGGGTGTAGCAAGTTTGGTGTATGTGGATGCGTGTTCTCTATATTCATTGCGAGCGGTTTTGTGTGCTTTACGCGCTGCAGGTGGCTACTTGAATGCTCTTGAGCACAGAAGGTTAACGTGAGCTGTTGATCTGGACACAAATTTCGAGTCGTAACTTCTTCTACATGGTATGCACAACCTTGTGGGACTGTCTGTGGAGCGACCAGGCCGGTGAGCATCCCTGGACATGCAGTTGTGGCGTCGCTTCGCCTTGACGCAGTATATAAGCCTGCCTAGCAGCTGCCCACCCTTGCTTGCTCTTACTTTTTCATCAACAGAGCACTCTCACGAAGCAGCCTGCAAATCTTGGATTCTGCACAAGTGCGATGGGGACACGTGAACGAGATGGAAAGGGCCGCTATGTGTCCAGCGAAATCGAAGGCGAAACGGTTGCCGACATTGCATCCGAGAAATCTGAACTTAATACAGATGTCATGATCGCAACCAAAACATCGCCGTTCTCGCAACATAACACTAAGCACTAGATAGGGTACAGGATAAACCAGAGCCCTCGTCCTTGCAGAGTGTGCGAAGACCTCAAGGAACAAGCCATCCAACTATCAAAGGACACATCGATCGATGAGATTATCATAAGTAGTGGGGCAGGCTGCCAATCATGTTCACTTGTTTGTCGCATAATAGATCGGCAGTGGCCGGTGAAAGACACAACTTCGCCAAACGCTGATAATATGGAAAGGCCGGCAGCTTGAAAAGCAAGTAAAATTAACTCTGTAGAGCTTGAAGTAATGAAACACGGCACTCTGAGTGTTACAACCCAATCGTACTTTGTTGGATTTTCTTACCACAGCTCTATCTTGCACGTATTCGCAGTACAAGGTGAGTCAACAAACGCTGGAAAAACGAATTTTCTTTTTCGTTCCATTCACAATAGATTACTTACTCTTTCCTGCTTGCAAGCTACAGTTGACTTATGCTGCTCTACCTGATCTGCTCGTTGCAAATCGTCTTCGAAGAGGACGGCGTCGTGTAATAATAGGCGAGCAGTGAAAATTTACTTTTATCAAACGTATCATTACTCTGAGCCCTGTCTTCCAATTGTGGATTCAGCTTTATGAACGCGCCATGCCTCGACTGACTGGCCCCAACACGCCAAAGGCAACAAGTTGCAGAGGATCAACAACGGAGTAAGGGTACTATTCAGAAAGGAATGTTTTATCATGCAACAGGATTACAAGAACGCCGTGTCCATCCACAAATCGTTTTCCAAAGCATGATATTTCTCAAAAACAGGAAGAGCCTACACAATCCCTGCAACGTCGATGCCAAAGTACGATATGTGGAAAAACGCGTTCAAAGACGGCACCGGAACAAGGCGGATGATTTGGCCCCTCGGATCAATACCTAGAAGCACCATAGATAACAAAATCTAAGGATTTCATGACGTTGTAACGAGGGTTGCCGTGACATTCAGGTTACGTGCGTAAGCTCTTGGACTGAATAGGCAGGTCTGGTCCTCAACTGACCAATCAGACTAGCAAGAAGAGGCAAGGATCGATCCTTCGCACATCTCTCAGGCTGTGCACATCTACTACATCTGCGCGAGCCGAGGCCAGGCCGCATTTGTATGGCATAGTCTACGAAGAACTCGGTCCCGTAACAGTAAACCCTTCCTACATAATCCTCTTACGCCCCATGCACACCATAGCTTCCACACGCGCAAGAAGAAAATCAACAAAAAATGCACATCCCCAATGCCCTTATATCCCTCCTCCCGCTCGGCCTGCTGGCCGTAGCCGTACGCCTCCCCGCCCCTTCGGGCCCCTACAACGTCGGCTTCACCCAGCACATCTTCAACCACAGCACGCCCAATGACCCCACCCCTGGCCCAGGCACCTCTTACCTCACAAGCATATTCTACCCCACGCGCTCATCTCTCGCCCCCAACACCAGCGTCCCCTACTTCGACCCCACCTCCGCGGCCATCTGGGGCGAAGTATTCAACATCCTGCCAGCGGACCTAGAGTCCCTAGAGACGACGCTGCAGTGGCAAGCCCCGCTCCTCTCCGCCAAAGACGATGTAGAGAGGGTGAAGGACCGGCCTACGCTGGTGTTCAGTCCCGGCGGCGGCATGAACGCGGCATATTTCACTTCTCTGCTATCGGACCTCGCATCGCAGGGGTACACCGTTCTCGCGCTGGATCATCCCGGCGAGGCACCGTACTTACCCCTACCGTACGGGAACCCCGGCGTCGTCGGCTGGGACATCTACATGCCATACAGCGACGCGCTGATTGTGGAGATATACCAGTTCCGGCGCGCAGACATGCTCCACCTACTAGGACCCTCTGGCTTCCCCGCGCTGGTGGAGACATACGGCGCCTACTTCAACACCGAGGCGTACGGCGCGTTTGGGCATTCCATCGGGGGGGCCACGGCGACGGGCGCGATGGATCGAAACCGCAACATCATTGCGGGGTTCAATATCGATGGCGGGCTCTTTGGCGACTCGGTCAATGCGAGTATGCATGGTAGGCCGTACTTCATGACGATGAATCCAAACCACCTCGCCCAGGACGCGGATTCGTGGCCGGCTTTTGCGACAAGGTATTACAATGAGTCGAAGACGGCGCCAGGGTGGCTGGACTGGACGACGGTGGAGGGCAGCGCACATTTGGCCTTCAGCGATGTGGCGCTGTGGGTGGAGCTGTTGCCGCAGATTCCGAATACGACGGCGCAGGTGGATCTGGGAAATGTGACTGGGACAAGGATGGATTCGTTGCTGAAGTCGTATGCCGGTGCGTTTTGGGAATTTGTCAGGGGCGGGGAGTATGATGGCAAGCTGTTGGATGGAGAGGTGGAGGAGTGGCCGGAGGTTGTGTTCAATGCGAGGGTGCGGTCGAATGGGACGCAGGGGTACTAGAAACAGGCAAAGATCACTCAAGAACAGAAATATATGAAGATGATTGTTTCTTTCAATTCGTCATATCACGTCATGCTAGTGAACGTATCTACCAGCCGCGGCGCTCGAAGTGCTGTGGGGCCCCGTACTGGTTAGGGTCGTACTGATCCGCGCCCTGGTTGTCGATGTAGTGCTCGTCGTACATGCGCTCAGCGTTCTGTTTGGCCTGGCGCTTGGCCTTCTCCCTGTCGAACCAGTCCTCGCCCTTGGTCTCGGCGAGCTTGTCGACCTCGGCACCCTGAGTTGTGTCAGCACATTGGCCGTAGAATCTGTGTCCAGTTGAGAGCTAGGAGACGGGAGTTTAGCATACCGCGAAACCGGCGAGCAGCTCCTTGGCGAACTGGTGGGACACAGGCTTGCCCTCCTTGCGCTGGTGGTCCTCAAACGCCTTAAAACCGGCGAAAGCGGCACCGCCCGCCACGAGCTCGTGGCCAAAGGAGCTCTTATTCTCCTCGAAGTTGTCGTTCTGGTAGACCTGGTCGTAGGCCCGCTCAGAGTCTCCCCATCCGAAAGGCATAATGGCGACTTGTGAAAGGTAGATAGGCTACGTGTCTGGCAGAGAAGTTTCGACCTGTACAAGATCGAGGAAAGGCGTCAATTGAGATGTGAAGTAGCTTGAAGATGACAAGCAAGTGGGAGCGGCGGCTGAACCTTTAAATAACGCTGCCCCGCCTCAAGTAGCTCGTGATGACCCAGATCCCAGGCCCAACACGCAAGCTGAGATGCCGTCACCGGCAGCCCATAAGCAGGTGCTTGCCCAATTGCTGCCACTCTGCCCCTCACCAGGACCCTGAGCAGCTGCAGGAGCTGCGCCGAGCCACAGTTAGCGGATCCGGCTCCGGGATGAGTGCATAAAGCCACATCATTGACTTGAGGCGACATCAGGGTGCTATTACGCACGGGTGGACCCTCCGGCAGTCGCAATTGGTGGCGTTACCGGCTACCCGCTGTCTCGACCTCGCATTGATGCAGGGCGGATGTTCGGCGAGGGCGCGAGTGGACAAAGAGGACTGGACGCATACGCAATGGCTCAAGCTAACCAGGGTCCTACCAAGCTTTGACGAGCCTCCTTGGCAAAGCTTATTTGTGGAGCATTACCTGATATTCACCCCGCGGTAGCTGGTGAGGGGCAGACCGAGTCTTCACATCAGCTTCGTAGCAGCAGTTAAGTCCGTCATATCACGTTCAAGACAGAATAGACTCAGAACTTCCCAGGGCAGTGTGGAAAGTCAGGCTGTACTCAAGCTTCGCTCCCACTCCTTCCGTTCCTTGGCGCAGATCTGCGTCACAGCTCGTTCCCCACCAAAACGAGCTCCACAGCCTCACCCCACCGCGACGCTCATGTCTTCTCGCCCAGCGCCACAATGCCCGGCCGCCTTCCCACGCAGGCCGACTTCCCGTCCTCCGTGACGCTGAGCATCACACCTCGTATGTTTCATCCCAGCCTGCTGTCCACAGCGCTGCGTCACGCTATTGAGCTCGATGCGACTCGATGGCATGCAACGCACCTGTCTCTCGCACTCAGACTCGGCCCAGCACGGTAGACCGAGGGTCTTAGATAATGTGGCATCTTCCCACTAAAACCACCCAGCACCACCCTCCCACCCCGCCACCAACATCCTCATCCTCCTCCACGGCCTCGGCGACACCCACTCAGCCTTCACAAAACTCGGCACGCAGCTCAATCTCCCGGAGACAGCATGTATATCCCTCCGCGCGCCGGCGCCGCTGCCCTTCGACCTGCCCGGCTTCCACTGGGGCGACGACATGGTGTTTGACCAGCACAGTGGTGAGATGGACGTCGACACCGGCTTTGCCGCCTCCACGAAGGTCGTTTTGGACACAGTGATCAAGGAAGGATTGATTGCGAAATGCGGATACGCGGCGCGGGAGATAGTGCTATTTGGCTTCGCGCAGGGCGGCATGCTCGCGTTGCAAGTTGCTTCTTCTTGTGGAGAGGAGCTCGGCGGTGTCGTTAGTGTCGGAGGCGCACCGAGTCTCTCTGCGCCGCTGCCGACAGTGGGGAAGAAGAATCGCACGCCTGTGCTTGTGTGCAAGGCGAGCCGCGGGTCCAGCGTCACGGATAGCGCGGAGAAGAGGCTGAAGGATATATTTGAGTTTACAGAGGTGAAGGAGTGGAAGCGCGTTGGCGATGGCATGATGCGGAACCGAGAGGAGATGCTGCCGATTATGCAGTTTCTTGCGCGAAGGCTGCGGAGCAGAAGGGGTGTGCCGGAGGGCAGTGTAGAGTTGTCGTGATGCGATCGACGCACAGCATTTAATGGATGAGCGCCTTACATGTGTGCAGCTGAAAGACTGGCCTTCGAGCTGGATGCATTATGGGCATAGCCTACGATCTTTACTGTGGCCTATGAAGGAAAAACAAGACGGTTGGACCATACAATGCAGCGCGGAATAAGATCGAGCTGATCTGTGCCGGACAACCAGCGTCGAATGGATCCATCACACCTCGCGCCCATGCCACATCACGACCTGCGAAGCCCATACAGTGCACACCCTGCGCAAGTCTGTCTAACTCGCCGGCCCCGCCCTTCCAACTTCAACCTCACTCCTCACCCTCTCAATCTCCCTCGCACTTTCCCTATCGCTCGTCTCCCCACTGTGCCCTTCACCATCGTCATCATCATCTTCGTCGTCGCTGTCATCGTCCTTTGCCGCAGCCTCACCCAACTCAGGTTTCTTTTTCTTCTCGAAATCCTGGTTGTGCGCCGTCCGAAGCGCCGTGCCCATGCGCTGCAGACCCCGCGCCATGGGGCTGGGCTGCTGCTGTAAGCCTGTATCAGATGCACGACGACGACGCGCGGAGATGCTGCCGACATCGGCACCGGAGGCGTAGGGTGGCATCGGCGCAGTGCTTGTTCGACTCAGGTGTGGGGTCAACGGCTGTTCTTCGTCGACTCGCTGACCGTGGTCTTGGGAGGTGGCGCCGTCGGTATCGGACGATGCAAGTTCGTACGGCAATGGGACATCGCGCGAGGCACGGAAATGACCGACGTTGGAGCAGTGCTCGTTTTCGACGCGGAACAAGGACCACATACCTCGCCGGAATACCTCTGAGAAGGACACGAAGAATGAAGTGATGGCCGAATGTTGGAGCTGGAGCGGCATTACGGCATAGAATATCCAGTTGAAGCGCAGGATGGGGTCGATGACCATAGCGAGGTAGTACATCCATACTTTCTTGTAGCCTAGATTCTGTCGGAGGAATGGGTGTTTGGCACTTGGATCACCAAGACTCCAGTCGTAGTAGACGTCCCAGAAACTTGTGTAGATGGAATTGACGATGGCGAAGGTGATGAACACGGCGCGATTAGCGGTGGTCTTATCGATGCGGTAGATGCTTAGCGTCATGTAGAAGATGATCGTTGCCATGTACTTGCCCATGTTGAGCAAATGCGGGAAGGCGTTTCCGGTGTCATGGTAACGACGGAAGCATTGTACTGCTCGCCATATGCCGGGAAGTGTGGCAAAGAAACCAAGTAGTCTGGAATTTGACGAGTTGCATTGGGCCGGGTTATTCCAGTAATTGGCGTAGAGGCAGAAAAATAGCTCGATATTCTATCGTGTCCAATTAGTAGCTAACACATAGCTGTGGGAGCTTGTGACTTACACCCATACTGTACGTGAGAGAGCAAAACATGTCGCCCATGTAGAAGTCCCTCCATTCTACTGGATAGTATCCAGCACAAATCAATCGCCACTAAGCTGGGTCAGTATATTCCCACGTAGTAAGGTTAGATAGCCCACCATCGAGAATATCAACCAGAATCTACTCCTGTGGTGTAAGATCGGTAGTGGATTGAACAGAAAGATCGTCGCCAAGCCAAGGAGAATCACAGGGTAGTAGATGTACATCGCGTCAGATCCGTATTGACTAAAGTTGAGCCACATAAAGAAGCCCAACATGAAGAGAAAGAAAGAGGGTATCTGGATCAGTCAGCAGGTGCAATCAGGCCGGGGAGTCCATATTACTTCAGCGAGTTGCCTCCAGTCCAGATGGTGGCGGGTATCATACTCGAAAACAAAAACGTAATTGATTCTGCTCGATAGCCAGACCCTGCAGTCCAAGCAGAATAACATAAACAAGAAGTTCATCAGGAAATAGCCTGCATATATCTGAGGCGTATTAGATAACAACTGTCTCTCAGCCGCAAATTACGCACCTGAAGTAAATAGCTTGTGTTGATAGCCAAGGTCGCATCATGGGAATAGAGTAGTTGGGCGGCTTTGACAATCCCCTGGATCCCGAAAACGGCGCCTAATCCCAGTAGAAGACCGTTTCGAAATGACTGTTCTGTATAGTCGCCGGCGCGGGCAATCTTAATTCGAAGTTTCCCGACTGCTACTTTGCGCTTGCCCTTCTCGAAGTATCGGGCGTAGAGATCTTCTGTTTGTTGTATGTGTCCTTCGATGACGTCGCTGTTGACGAACCAAGCCTTGTTCACTTTTTCTGTCATATACCGTAAAGATGGCCTCGCATTAACGGCCTTGTCGTACTTTTTGTTGATTTTGCGGAAAGCAGTTCTGTTGAGTAACGCATAAGACTTCAACAGTTCGAGACCTCTGTAGTACTCTTGCATTGCCACCTTGAGCTTTCTCCTCGCGGTGTCGTACGAAACATCCGTTTCTGGGCGGCGAACATAGTCGCGGTACTCGTCCAGTCGAACTGGTCCCATGGTTGGCGTCGCAAGGTTATTCATCGCTTTCGTACTCTTCCCATATCTGCCTGCTTGCACAGCTTGTAACGCAGAGTCAAGAGGATTAAGCCAAGACGTACTTTGAGTCTTGTCCTTGACGTCTGTGTCGTCCTCAGAGCCTGATTGTTGACCGTTCATCAAAGGTCTGCCCACATCGCCATGCTTTGCCTGCTTCTGGGCCTTTGCTTTGATTTTGGCGGCCTGACGGTTGATAAGGTCGTCTAACCGCCGGTCTCTCATCATGTGCAGCTGTTCCCGGAGGACGGCCAAACGAGCTGTAGCCTCGTCCTCTTTTTGCTTGTAGAAGGTCTCTACCTTATCTAATTCCATATCTAGAAAGAGGAAAAACTCTGTCTGCCGCAGGTCAAGTTCGCGGTAGGCTTCGAGTGGAACATCGTCCGGACTTGATGGTTGTGGATCCTTTTGATTGAGAGAGAATACGCGGCTTAGTAGCGGTCGTGGTGCCTGCGTGACGGGCGAGGATGGGTTTGAGTTCATACGCTTAGGTGTGAAGATACTCCTGTATCTTGCAGGTAGAGACTTGGTGTGTTTGTGTGTTGGCGACCGCGTCTTCCCAACCTCGAAAGCATTCGGGGGCCCTTGTCCCTGGTTATCATAGCCTATCCCTTCAATGGGACCAAAATCCATGTCCGTAGTTCTATTCTTCGGTGTCGAGGGTTCTGGCGGTGGTACGGATCGTGGAGAGACCTCGTCAGCGTCCAGAGCAGCCCCTGGAAGTTTCAAAGACGGCGGCGCCCTTGCCTTCCCTCTGGCTTTAGGTGGTGATCCAATGATACTGCCGTATCGCGTCATTCCTGGAAATTTCGGGTCATCATGTGCATTCAATGGCGCTTCCTCGTCCTTCGCCACACCGACAGCTGGGGACGCCTTGCTAATATCCTCCGGAGAGCTCCTCCTCGACAAGCTGTTGCCAATCGCCAGAGTCCTCAAGTCCCCGGGCTGTCTTTCGACAGTCGCCGTGGCTTGTCCATGGTTGCGATTGAGAAAGGAATATTTGGGCGCAGTATCGTAGGGCGAGGGCGTGAAGCCATTGGGACCACGGAAGCGCGTGCGGGGTGTCTGGTGAACGGTCCGGAGCGCGCGTTGGATCGCCTTGAGCTTCTTCTTGCCGAGCTTGTGCGGTGTCAGGGGAGGCAATCGCGACTATCGTGAGGGTGGGGGTGGGGGTGGGATCGTACTTTGTAATCCAAATACTTGACGCGCCATTCAGGTACCAAGTCGCGTTCTAGCTCCCTGGTAGGATTAGCTACTTCATCTTATGCATGACCTTATACACATGGGCGGTAAGCATACTTTGCGAACTTCATGGTGCGCGGCTGTGAGGCGTGCAAACGCAAATTCCACCTGCGCAATCAACGAAAGGTGGATACGAAGAATACAGGGGAGCCAGCGCAAGGATATCGAGACATCAGGAGGTTCAGGTCAAAAGCTGTGCGGATTTGTCGGATTTCGGGCAGTAAATCGTGCGCGGATGGCAGATTGTGGGCTTGAATTGAATGTTGATTTCAATTGATGCATCGCGTCTCAGGGACGGCTCGGCGCTCGGACCACCAAATCGGTAGGTACCAATGCTGATTCGTCTTGCGTCATTGCTAACTCAACACCAACAGCACCTCTACACGTTTACGCAAAAATTGTTTCAAGTATACTCGAGTGTGACGGATTAATACACACTAGGTAGCTGCGAAAGCCGCCCGCCATCCGTCAAGAGCGTCTCGCCATTCAGATATGCTCCAGCCCGACTCGCTAGGTACAATATCGTACCCGCAAAGTCCTCCTCGCTGCCCGTTCTCTCAGCAGGAGCCAAGGATGCGTCCGCCTTATAAGCACCTGAGAAAGCATCATGCCCCTTGACCCCTCCGAACGGCTCCATGTCTTTTGTCTTCCCCTGAGTCATCTCTGATGGATATAGCCCAGGTGCAATCAGGTTGGCGCGAATGCGGAACCCGTTCTGATTGAAATACGTTGATAGCATCTTGACTAGGTGGTTAACAGCAGCTTTGGAAGTCGAGTACGCAAATGACGAAGCCAGGAACCTGCTAAACCCGGCCACGCTTGAGGTCACAATGACCTGGCTATCCTGTGGGACGTTGCCCTTCTTGTTGCCCTCATCAAGCAGATCGAGGAAGGCAATGGTCGTGTAGAAGACCGCCGTGTTATTTACGTGCAGCGCCTGCGTAAATTCCTCAGGATCAGATGCAAATGCCGCTTTCTGGAAGTCCTTGACGCTTGGTTTGTCGGGTACATTCTTCACGTGATTGGGTCCACTGATGCCTGCATTGGCAAACAAAAGGTCGATGTAGCCTTCTTCCTTCCGGACCTGCTCTGCGATCTTCTGGAGGGACTGCTTATCCGTGACATCGCCAACGATGGGTCTCAAGGTTCCGTTGACGGCAGTCTTGGCTGCTTCTTTGAGTGTCTCTTCGCGTCGACCAATGATGTATATTGCTTTCGCGCCGTTAGCATCCAGGGCTCTAGCAGCATAAAGGCCAAGGCCTGAGCCTCCTCCAGTGATGACGGCGACGAGGCCGTTTACGTTGAAGAGGTCCTGTGCTTTGTTGGTTGGAGACATGGCGGGTCGTGTTTGTGTCGCTGTGGTTGCAGTAGGCGGATTCAAGCGCTGGTGTACAGGTGCAAGTGCACAGACAAAGCTAAAGAGAACTGAAGATTATGTATCGTACCGATGCTCGTTTTTCGGTACTGAGGGGGGTTATGTTGCCAGTGACGTCATGTCTATTGGTGACCGCTTCCTCCAGATGTCGTGATCGACGCACGCCCGTTGTAAGGTATGATTTTAGCCTACTGATGTTCGTAATGGGGAACGAGCCAAATACATCACGAATGTTCTGTTTCAAGTAATACCAACGCTATTCATCTTCAATGAAACGCCCAATGGCGCCTGGTCTGGCTGCCCATTCGCCTTCCTGCAACTCCACGTTGTACCAGCCATCGAATTATATCTCTGTATACGCTGTTGGGATGGAATAGTCCACCCCAACCCGTGTTCGCTTCCCTCTCCATAGCTTGATATTAGATGCACCCAAATAGATCCCCTTTCGTCAAAGTCTTCAACATCAAGGTCCTCGTGAAGATCATCCAGCGCATCGATAACAGCCCGATCAACCATGATATAGGCATGAGATCGTGTGCCGACGACGCTGTCGTCATCTTCATGCTCTTTGGGCCAGTCTTGGAACCTCCTAGAGTCATGAAACTGTGAGCCTCTTCCATAACCAAGCCGCAAGTCAGATGTATCAGCGACTATAGAACGCAGATGGGTGTTTTTCTTGAAATATCTCCAACCTGAGCTTACAGTTCTTTCGGCGGTTCCAATCTGTTCTTGCCCCTTATATTCATCAACGTCATTCGTTGCTTTCACCATATCTTCGCATCAGGTTTAAAATTTGGCTAGATACCATTGATTCTTCTGGTTCAATTTTGAGATTATTCCTGCAATGCGTGTCCTTCCGCAGATTATACCTCTGCTATAGGTTGCCTGTTCAGTAATGTCACGCTCAATCCCGGAACGTATGTTAATTAGCCCGTTCAGTAGAAATAAACCAACTGGATTGCTTACCGCACCATAGAAGACGAAGTGACAATGGCGATCGAGATCATAGTCTCTCCCACGTAGAGACTTTGGGAACCATTGCCTTGAGGCCACGTGCATCCAGAGGTGGGAGAGCTTCTGCTGGGCGTTCGAGCAAGAACCCCACCGAGATGAAACCTACCAAGAAGAAACGAAAAGTATCTCAAGACATGCCGTGATGTGGACGGTTGGCACCCAAATTGTATCGAGCAAATCATCCAACATCTTGAAATTGTTTTAAAAGAGATCTAGAGATGGGATAAAATCAACTTCAAAATGCCAATCTTGTAGGTTGAGCAAAGTTGTAGTTGCTTTTATGTAGCCTCAGGACTTGCTGATCTTGTCAGTGTGGCACCCACAGCAGTGCTTTCGGTATGAATGGCCAACTTCACAGACAAGAAAGCCGTATGTGAGATCTTGAAGCATTAGAAACAAGTCTGCTTGAACATATCATTAGACCAATCTGCCTATTTTTGAGGTGAGCCGTAAGACTGTCATGGAGCCCGCCATGGCTGTTCGGTGTTTTGTGTAACGGCCATCAATGAGTGGAAATAGATTTGTCTACCTGTGTGGGCTCTAGAGCATGGCTTGATATAGAGTAAGTGGCTTGGGACAAGCAAACATGGGCCGCCATTGTCTTTCAGGCCATAGCGTTTCCAGTCTTGCTTGTCGCCTGCTCACCAATGACACGCCCATGCGGCTTCACAGCCGGATTTACGAAGCTCAGCAACCACCCGCCCTTTTGAGCGGTTTTGCTGCGCCACGATGACTTCGTGCGCGCCGCCAGGCATCGCACCTCAACGACTGCTCCCAAACCACAAAATTTTTTTTGAAGATCATTTTAAAACTAAAAAACAACCCCACGCTGCTGTCTTGCATGCGCGAAAAGCTCAGAAGACACTCTCAACCTTGTGCTAAAATGAACGTGTTAGACATTTGCTCAGGAGTCAGAATAACTATGAGATAGAGATACATCGAATACTATGTTCCTGAAACATAACCACTCAAGAAGTAGGTTATTTTAGCCTATTGTGTGAATGCATCAATCGGAGAATTTACGATGTCCACTGGTCGCCCCATCCTAGCTCCATATCTACACCGCGATACGATCGCGAAATCGGCAGATTGTGCCCGATTCATTTAGACTGCATTGTCAGCAAAGCATCCGCTTGTTAGAAATCCCCGAGACCATCTGCTTCAGGAACGGAGCTTTGAAAATTTGATTGCCTGTTACTTCTCGCACGAATAGATATAGTCAAACAGCCTGCTCAATCTCCATGTAAATGGTTCTGAGACATGAGCGCTACTGTATCATATGAAAATCTGATCATTACTTCGGTAAATGTACACTAACATTCTCCATGATCTAAGTGTACGTAGTCATTCCTCGTCAGAGGCATAGTTACGAAATAGTGACTACAAAGTACCCGTACCACGAAGTGATCACTATTTCCCCTCTACTTTAACAAAAACAGTTTGATCTTTGATAAGACTCTTGAAACCCTCAACCAGCCCAATTTAGTTCTACTTATCCGTGTGTGATCTCATGATTACCGATACTTACCTTCAATGCGTATCTCTCTTGCATGCTTTCAACGAAAACAAAGGAAAAAGAGAACTCATCGTATCCAAGTACTGCCACTCGAAGGCGACATGCAGGAACCGTAATCAATACGCGGGGCAACCTGCACCCACACTGCAGTGTAGCGGCCAACATATTGCTCCTATATTGCATGTGAACAAGAGTAGTACGAAACAAGGTCGTCATGCACTCCAGGACAGCCTATAAATATGGAGACTTCTGGATGATAGTACAGCATCGCACTACACTCCTTCCACCAATTGTCATCATCACGATCCACTCTCGTCCACAATGAAGTACACAGTCGCCGCACTCCTCGGCCTTTCAGGCCTCGTCACGGCCCTACCCGCAATCCAAGACCCACCGCAGGGCGTACGCATCCTACCCCCCGGGTGGGACTTCACCATCACATCGCTCAACGGCCCCGGATGTCCTGATTTCGGCGCTGACCCGGACAAACAACGAACAACGCGGACTACTTTTGGCGAGAACACCATGGACGGCAGTGAGATCTACTATTGGTTCATCGCATATCCTCACTTGCGCGTGGAGCTGGGTGGAAAGGAACACTCTTGGTGTGAGACAGAGGTGAAATATACTGAATATAAGGATCGCAATGCAGGGACGAAGGGAGCGGATTATCAGTTCAGACTGCACAAGAATGGAACGAGCGTCATCGCGACGTATGATCTTGAGAAGGGGGTGAAAGCGACATTCAAGTTTGCGTACGATGTTGGAGAGGGAGTAAGTTTTCATCTCTCCCGTTTCTAAACCCCCAATGCTCCGCTCAATCTTCGCTTTACCCTGTTCGTGGTACATAGTCTGACTCATTGATCACAGGTCACCGACACTATCGTCTGGAAAGGCCCGCTTGCATCCGGAAAGTACGAGCTGCAAGACACATCGCCTGTTGCTCTACCACCTAGCCTCCGACCCTTGCCCAAGTGCGGCTCCGGCACGATTAAATTCCGCACCGACCTATACATCTCTGGTGATGAAGGGAAGAAGGGCTTCGTGGCAAGCGAGCACAGCACGGATGCGGAGGGTAAGGAGCAGTACTATGGTATCCAACAGGGGTTTTCGTACGATTGGCAGAAATGTTCAAAGTAGATGACGTAGGCTGTATGCATGAGGCCAAGAGGTGAATCAGTACTGGACGACCAATAAATGAGGGATAATATCGATATGCTTGTGTTCATGTTCTGTTGTCCTGTATTGGCGAGAGTCTGGGTGATTCATCTTGCAAAGTGAGTTATCAGTAACTGCAACTATTACTGTCCTTCCAATCTCTTGTGCACATTGGATGGTTATGCAAGGCCAGCGTTTGCTCGGCCAGATAGTTTCTACTATCAGTCCGTCTATTTCATTCTGTTAATGTTTAACACTCACACCTCGAGACTGGCCAAGTTTCAAAACGCTACACTGCATGATGACAAAGAAGCTTTTACAGAACAAATAACTCATGACACTCCACACTAGCCTTTTCTAGTAGTATCGATTCAAACTACATCCACCGCCGATGCCGTATATGTATGTGAAATCCTCCAGAATCGTCACCTTCAGTCATCCGATCGATCGAGCGATCATGCACCGAGCGCCAACTACGTCTGGTCGAGCAAATCTCAGGTACTTGTGACTTGCTGGAGCGTCGAAAGTAGCATCTACGAGATGACTCGCAGCGATTGGGTGTAGTCTCATACCGTGATCGAGAGCGCTCGCTCTGGTACCTGTGATACTCGTACTTCGGATTGTAGAGGTCTCTTTTGCACGAGTATGACTCGTGCCGCATTGGACTAGGCCATGGCGACGAGCGACGTGATGATAAAAACGGACCGTATTTGCAAAAACCGTCTTTGGGAGAATAGTGTCTATCATAGCTTCCGTAATGTTGATCATACTGAGTGTAGGTTGTGCGTCGAGGAAGGTGATCGTATGCATTTTCCTTTGTCCAGGATTTGTTGTGGTAAGAGCTGCGGGACGAGCCATACTCATGAACGGGGTGGTAGCAGTACCCATTCGTTCGAGCTTCGTTGATATCCCTTAGGTAGCGCATATGTTCTTGGAGATTGTCAGAATACATCTTCCGTTCAGTGCGATACTTATATAAGGGAGTCTCACTATGGCGTCGATCTTCGCCCCATTGTGTTTCGTTCTCGTAGGGATTCATGTTGGGATAACGGTAAGAAAGCGGGCGACATTTCCATTCATCGCTTGACCTTCTTTGCTCATTATCGTAATAATATCGGTGAAGTGTCGGCGTCCTTTGTCCGCGAGATCGGTTTCGAGATCGACTTCGGCTACGAGAGCGATACCGGTATCGCGTGCGGCCACGAGCATCATCCTTCTCAACATCAACGTGGTGATAAGTCTTCTCCGTAGGTTTATGTTGTCGTGGGCGGCTACGGGCTTCGTCCTCGAAATGTACGTGACGGATGGCTTTTCTAATGAGAGGATTCCGAGGAGGAGAATTGTAACTCTGACGTAAAGTACCCATCTTGCGATGTCTGGAAACTCCGGTTTTATTTTGGTAGTACAGTATTCATTTGGTATCTAGAAGTAGTGAGTTGCTGAGTTGTGGCCATGGAACTAGGTTATGTAGGTCGTTCACGTTCAAAGGACAAAGAAGACAAAACCGTGCGGAATACGAACGCCCAAGTCTCGCAAGCCAGGGCGTGAAAGAAATGGCTGGAGCCTTGTGCGAAGCTCTTGGTACGAGAACTCACATTGACAATTATTCACGGCGCGGAAGCCATAGCTGAGGCTATAAGTATCCTCCACCGTTTCGAGATCACATCGTAGTGCGCGATACGGACAATGAAGTACTTGAAAAAGCCTCGTTGGGAAAGAGGCATGGATTGCTAAGTTTGTTGTCCAACGTGATGAGTTCAAAGACGATCAAGTGGCAAGTAAGTACGTACCTCGTGATTCTGATCTCATGGACCTCACCTGAGCACTCTCCTTACAAAGCGACCTCCACCAACATTCCATATCCCCAGAACAAACGATGGCACATTATTTCTCGCGCCATTTCTTCCATTACTGTTTTCCCGGGTCAATGTTGCGCTCGCATTTCTAAAGAAAACGCCAATGAAAGATCACCGTCCGCTCACCGAGCGTCGGTGTTACGATTAGTCACATATGTGTATGGCGCGACGATGTCATTTAAGGCGCCTTTGCTGGCATTTCTGCGAGAAGCATAAGGCCAAGTTGAATCAAGTAAACTGCGCGCACTGTTTCTACAGCAATGATGGGGAATAACGATGGGCGGAGCAAGTACATCGACAAACACGAGGAAGAGAAGACCTGGTCTGCTGCACTGGGCGAGTGCAAGGAGAAGGGGTATATAGCTGCAGGATCTGAGCTCATCTGCCGGGGCTGCGTATCATGTACACATGGTACATGTGTTACCTCTATGTGGGATGGAGAGTACTCTTGTATGCCAGCCAGCAGGTCGGAGTCTATTAGATATCGCTATCAGTCTGTCACAGCTCCTCTGGTATCTACGATGGTAGTTGAACGAGTCCCACTTATTCCAATCGGGAAGTCCTTCTTTCTAGCATGTTCTCTCGTGACTTCATGTAGGAAAGCGTCTCAGCGGCGTTGGGACGTTGGGGCCGACGGACTTCTGTTGTTTAGTTGAGATTGAGGCTGTGCTCTTCAGAACCATGGTTGAGGTGACGATGGGTCGGAAAGGATCTCCACCCGTGCGTGTGCCTCACAAGGGAAAAAAGTTCCTGACTATGACACCTTTGCGTGTGTGCGCATGGTGACAGAAAGCTCTGGGTTTGAAAGTGTAAGATCCATGTCTCCCTCATCGACGGAGGTCTCTAGAAAAAATTGTTCCTTTTAGCCCTGACTGACCTCGTACATCAACGCCTAGGCTCGATTGTGGCATTATTTTGGGCATGGAATAATTTTCCCCACTGAAAACTCAGTTAGATACATGGCTGCCCCCTCTGTAGTCTTCTTTACCGACCAACATTGTCTTTTCCGAAAGGCTTTCAAACTTGTCAAAGACGACGTGGCATGATGCAAACCTGACGAAAGGAAGGGTTGTGTTCGCGATTGGCTCTCACGCCGATCATATGGGTTGCAAAGTTTTCACTAACGCAGCAGATGAAGTCCCATCACGGCACTCTATTGCTGGCACAAGGACACTCATCGGTACCGATGCAGCTGAAACAGTGGTGTCTGTTCGAGCTGTGGGCTGGGGGTGTTTAGCAGGTCATAATAACACTTAGAGGGGCTAGTGACCATTATCCTACCCCACAAGGCACTTTCCTCATAGGCTCTTGGAATGGTAGAGTCCCAAAGGCCAGGAACGTTGAGCCTGGAATCAACGAACAATGCACCGCAGTAATATTGACCAAAAGACTTCCATTTGATTGGGTCGTAGCTCTGGTACGATTTATCGAACCGGCTTCTCTGTGTGAACAGCTGCTCGCTATCTCTATACACGCTTCAGTCGGACAAGGCTGTGCTCTCCCACCCGGCATGGTTAAAACGAACATACTCAAATGAGTTGATAATCAGCGTTTGACAGCCCGACAGAGATGTGTCACTGTCCCGTTCACCTACTGAGTGCGGCATATATATGATCATGTCTAGCAGTCTGGTCGATGACTGCTTGACGCAACTTGAATTATAAATTTTGGGGGTACCCTAAATTTCCGATGGGTTGCAAAGACCGTAGGCATGGTCCAATTGCCGCAGGGCTCAATCATTACAAAAGGCCGCGCTGAGCGTCTCTTGTTCCTGCCGCCGATAAATCTCCATTCGATTCGCGCCTGCTGTGTTCGTTGCTTTGACACCTGACAACAGGCGTGCCCGTCAACCCTCCTCCACATGTGCTCTACGCTGCTGGGGAGCACATGTCAGTTATCGCAGGGCAATACCGCGAGTCTGCTCACGGCACCTCGATATGAACGGACATCCCCGCCAAGGCCAAGGCCAGGCGCCGACCGCCCGAGATGATCCGAGATCGGCCGAGGGCTTTGATGCCATCAGTATCTTATCAGATCCGACGACCGTCTACTACTACCTGCAGCAACCTCCAATGCCCGCCATGTCCAATGACGGCGTTTCACCTGGAGCAACGCCCGGTAACTCATACAACTCGAATCCTACCCCGTCACCCACCTCGCACCCGCCGGTAACGCACGCCCAGCCGCGACCCTCGAGCTCGCGCGGTAAGTCTGAGCCCCTCTGCCAATTTTGTCGGATGTCCCGTACCTGCGCTCTGTCACTGCGTACACAGCGGCCCCGACAGCCCCTCCACCACCCATGGCGCCCCAACACCTGTCCCACGCCCCCGCCGAGGGTGCTGGTGGTACCACAGTAGCCGCGCTTCTCATTGTGCTTCTGCTAACATTTCCTAGCAATTGTGCCGACGCCCACCTCAACCAGCTTCACGCCCGTCACGACGACGACGGCAGCGTCACCCACCGGTGCCTCGCCCTCGGGCGCTGGCCCGACCAGCGGTAGTTATGTAGTCCCGCCGCGTCCCAAGCCAGGCCGCAAGCCCGCGACGGACGAGCCAGCCTCTAAGCGGAAAGCCCAAAACCGCGAGTCGCAACGCGCCTTCCGCGCACGCAAGGCCGCCAAGCTCACTGAAATGCAAGAGCAGGCCGACGTGATGAGCAGGAAGCATCGGGAAGAACTCAATGAGATGGTGGCTGAGCAACATCGCCTCAACTCGGAGTACAACAACTGCCTGACGCAGCTGGAGGAAGCGAAGGAGAATTTGCAGAGAGTCACCAAGGAACGGGACTACTGGAAGGATCGCAGCTCCCAGATCGAGGCTCAACACAACACCCTTCAGCAGCGACTGCGCGAGCAAAACTATCCACTCAACCCGTACAGCGACCAGGCTACCGTCTTCTTTCCGCAGCAAAGCTCTCCGACTCGTTCTTCCATTGGCTCGTTTTCTGGCTACAGCTCTCCCAAGTCCATGACACAACTTGGATGTGGGAACTGTAAACCTGGTAGGCAAACAACACCGCTTTGACGGACCCTGTCCGAACGTACACTGACTTTGTATCCGTGTTTCAGGTGATTGTGCTTGCATTGCTGAGTTTTCTCAAGCTCCGAACCCTTTCGCCGGCAATGTTCCGGTAATCCAGCCACCGTCGCAGACCAGCTTCGTCGACCCGTTCGCAGATCGGGAAATTGATTTCACCGCTCAGTTCTCTAAGCGCGGCAGGGCTGATCAACAGCTGTCTGGAACCCTCCTCGCACAAAGCAATGAGCCAGATTCCAAGTGTGGCTTCTGCACAGACGAGTCTAATTGCTTATGCAGGGACCAGACGCTGCAGTTCCAGGATGTCCCGCCTACGGATGACTCTTTAAGTGTTAAGCTGGGTCCCGGTAGCTGTGATGCCTGCCAGACCAATCCCAAGCAGAGAGCCTGGTGCCAGAGGGTCGCGCAACTTAAGAAGGAGGAGTTCCGACCACCGGCAACGTCTCGGAACTCGAGCGTCAGCAGCACTCTAGAGACCATGGAGCCACACATACCGGATGCTTCCACCCCTTATGGTGCGAAGCAGACTCTTGGCTGCAGCGAAGCTTTCAAGTTGTTTGATGGCCGTATCTCGATGGACCAAGACAAGCTCGATTGGATCAGTAATCTCCGAAGAGTACCATCGCAAGGCAGGCGGGATACAATGATGTAAGAGATCTCAATCCGTCCTGACACAACCCACACCGACTTTGTACCTGAAACACCATTTATCCACTTTCTTGCTTGGTTGAGACATAAACCGCCCTGACTTAACTCACACTGACCTCGATAGGCATGCCTCGCGCCAGTACAGCGCCATTGAGCTGGATACTGCCGGCATCATTGCAACGCTGGGAAACACCATGCAACCACTCCAGCCCCGCCAGGAGGACGGCGAAAACCAGGATATTGTGCGCGCGGCGCAGGAATTCCAGAGAAACACGCAGTCACCGCACAGGAGCCCTAGCTATCGCACCTAGTGACGCAGAACCAAATTCCACAGCGGGTGCCGAAAGACCTCGAACGCGTTTGGGCAACGTTTGTTATGACGATGTCGGAGGTTACCCTGGATTCTCCATGTCTGACGCAGTATGGCGAAGATTTTGCATGGAGAACCACCAGCTCGGGCGCGTGTTTTTTGCACTTTTTAAATAGGCTCACTTTTATGAGCATGCTCCGAGATCCCACGAGCGAGGAACGCCGCGTCCCGGGAAGGGCATGGCTGGACGGTGTGTTTGCGGGCTTACGAACACCCAAGATACGGAGAACCACGGTGGCAGCTGATATCTCAACAGACCAACCAGCAAGGGACTGTGATGGAGCACTCCATGACGATGCTTAGGAGAAGGACGAGCGACCAAAAACAGAACGATGACCCTCAAACGCGAGCATAGGGTGCATTCGATATACTCGAATGACGACTGTACGTTTGTCATGACAGAAATTGTTTTGGCAGTTGTTGCCGCGAGCGGAGGACCCCTTTGGCGAATCCCTTCAGTATTTCACATCGCTTATGCGATAGCTTCTGTTATACCCCTTCGTTATTTACACTCACGACTAATGCTACATGATACTACGCTCTACGAACCATGGACACATAACCCTGACTGGAAGCTATGTTTTGGCGCGATCGGTCCCACTAGCTACAAAAATCAATTTCCTGGGGACAGGACCGGACGCCAGATCACTCTTGCGAACTGCGGTCTCGGAGTCGAACCACCATGTGCTGTTCGTACAAGGAGCGGCTCCAGATGCGTGCAAGCGGAGATTGTTCGGAGATTAGTGTTCATGGCGTGATTTGCAGCAGATATGTCCGGGGTCGGTCCGGCGCGGAGGGGATAGAGGGTCTACTTTGGGATTAGCGCAGCAAAATTTGCATCAGATAACGTGGGAAGATTTATCAGATCGAGATGGTGCGTCGCACTTGATAGTGAGTGGGCGTCGGGACCTTTCCAGCAAAATTTGGGCGGGATGGTGTGGACTGTGTCATGTGGTGGTCTCCAGGAACGAGGATGTCATGTGAAATGGGTCGGTTGGGACTTCCTGCTGGAAAGCCTGCAAGGCTACCTACGATGACGGTGCTACAAACATGAAAGTAAATGTTGTTCTTCTGTACTATACCTATGCTCTTGTCGACTTTGCTATAAACATTGAAGTTTGTATAAACACGAGAACGTCGACATGTTGATCTTGGAATTAGCAAAGGGGAGAGCTCCTTCCTTCATAAAAGCTTAACGTTTTTGTTAATATTCGTGCCAGCTATATGTGCACAAGCGCTTGTATCCTACAATTTGACTATTATACTTGCGTTCAGTCCGCATCGTGGCTACTGTTGCACAGTGGTAGTGTGGAAAGTGTAATATGCCATGACTTAGATGGAATGCAGCAATACCAATTGATCCCTTTTAACGCGCATTTCCCCACTCCATGAGAGAATGAGAATTGATATCATTCGTGGTCATAAAGTCAATTATATCTACCCCTGCGTTGAGGAGAAGTGAGGCGATGGCTCACTCAATCGAAAGATAGATGCACAAGAGGGAACGCTGAGTACCCGGTGATTTCGCGCGTTAGATCTTGTCCAGCGCTAACCGGTGTAGCGCCCAAGGCTGTCTGATTAGCACATTATTGAACATGCCAAACTGCGGCATTATAGATGGAGAGGTGTCAGAAGACGTCAGAAAGTTACTAAGCATGGGGTTTGCCCCTCGTCGAGAGAAACATAGATAAAGGACGCCTACTTGAAGCATGCGATTTCAGCTAGGCTTAAGGTATCTTTTCATATCTTCCAAATCTCTATATTGTCATGGCGCCTTCTTTCCTCATTGTTGGTGCGACTGGAAACACCGGGCGAAGTGTGGTGGAGACGCTCTCGAAACTTCTCAAAACTGACCACATCTTTTCCGGCTACCAGATCATTGCTCTCACGCGATCTGCGAGTAGCCCAGCCGCACAACAGCTTGCGCGATTGCCTGGCGTCGAGGTCGCAGAGCTGAGCTGGGTCGATATCACCCCTGACTGGCTTCGGGAACGGGAGGTCGCAAGGGCATTCATCGCGCCGCACAACCTGCCAAATCAATTCGCCGAGGAATCCACATTCCATCTTGCAGCCTTGAGAGCAGGTGTCAAGTACGTCGTGAGGATCTCAACGACAGCCGCAAACGTTCGTCCGGATTGTCCTGCATACTATCCGCGATCGCACTGGGCTATCGAGGCCCTGCTGGGCTCCCCGGAATTCAGCGCCTTGCAATGGACTTCACTCCAGCCTAATGTCTTTTTTAATTTCTACCTTTCCACTGCTGCGGAGTTGATCAAGAAGTTTAGAAAGGAGGGCAAACAAGACGTACTCCGACTCATCGCGTCCGAAGACGCGCCTGTGGGTGTCATCGACGCTGACGAAGTCGGCACCATCGCCGCTCACCTCTTGCTCCAGGAAGACACGGCCGTGCACAATAAAGCAAAATATGTACTCAACGGGCCGGAAGATATCACTGGACGGGGGATCGTGAAGATGGTCGAGGAGCGCATTGGAACACGCGTTGAGAATGTCAGCTTCAAGGACCTGTCCTTTGTGGAGCAGATGGCGGCTGCGTCGCAGGAATCGAAGAGTGTCATCATGTCAATTCAACATGCCGCAGAAACGTCTTGGGAGGGAAAGGCCTCGGCTTCTACTACTAGCAAGGAGATACTTGCGCTTGCTGCGCCGACGCGGACGCCCGCGGACGCTTTGAAGACTATGCTGGGGGAATAGATCAGTAGTGAATGAATTTTTACGTCTTTCTGTGCAGGGTCAGTGAAATTTCGTGCACCAGAAACGCGGGTAAAATATAGGGCGTGGTGAGAGCATAACAGGACGCGGATTCCACAGGGGAGCTGTAGGACACGCGCAAGCCTTCTAAGGCTAATCAATACTTCGACCTACTACTTGTAAGTCGGACCAATACGACTTATTGATTTCTAAAGTATACCATATTCAATTACTGTTATCGGTCTTGTAAACTTGGAGACTACATATGAGATATCAGAAAAGGATTGGAACCGATATATCTACATATGTTTGCTTAGCCGTCCGTCAAGTTCCTGGCGACAGTATCCCTCCAGCTGCGAACACCCTTGTGATTGTCAGAAACGAGAAGGATACAAGAGACGGGAGGGCCCTAGATCGCAGTAATATATTCCGAGCGGAAACAAATGAAATTAGAAGTGGAAACAAATAAAATTGGAGAGGAAACAGATGTTGAACGGATGCAATCTAGGACTTCCCTCAGGTCAAAGTATAGTCAACGCGTATTGTGGAACTATGCTGTACAAAGCATCTTACAGCGCCGTTTCCGGCCGACATTTTCCTCCAAGAGAGATTCCTCTGCCGAGACTCCCGAGGAATAAGAATAGGGACGCTTTCGATTTCTAGTTGTGCGTCGCGGTCGCTACTAATTGGCACGGCGTGAGATGATCCAGGCGAAATCGCCAAAGGCGCTCAATTCACAGATGGGGCAGTGATACTCATCCACTTCCATTTTCAGTAATGTATCAGGACTGTTTAAGTTAGCACTGAACTGTCAATGTAATGGCGGGAAGATTATTACCAACAGAGCGCTTTGAGTGTCCAGCCTCGCGTCCACCAAACCGTGCGGTAGCATCCCACAATTGCATTCTGGCGGTTGCTTGCAGGATCAACGTTGAACAATCGCGACGAGTCGTATGCTTGAGTCAGATTCAGGGCCCACGACGGGATATTTTGCCTCCCCAACACCTCTGTTTGTTGAGACGGCTAACATAGGAAGTCAAGATTTGGGACATCGAATGAACCCTCCACAGCATATTGATAAAGATGCAGTGCTTGGGTTGTGCTATTAGCCCAGATGTCCGGTATTGGGGCTGGCGTCCATGTGTTCCAAATAGAGCTGTGCAACTGTTTTGCGGGAGAAGTCGATGTTTCACTCGAACCCGTTGTGTACCTATGGCATGTTCTGGAGCCTGTCGACGGAAGCTGGTCCTCCCGGTGCGTAAGCCACTTCACGGTCTTTTATAGGGCCGAAATACCGCTCACATCTTGCGTGCGACCCAAGCCTACTTCGAATTTGTTCATGGACATCTTCGTTTTCTTAAAGAAACCAAATTTGAGAATTGTATCCATATTAGCGATGGGTCGGATCAGCCATCAGCGCAATTTTAATGGGAAGCTGTTTTCCGTCCAAGTGCCCTGGGATGAGTCCCCAGAATCGGCATCGCGAGTAATGGCAATGGGCTTCCATACTACCACAATCGTCGATGCTTCCCAGCAGTGGGCTTACGTTTATAGCTTTGATGTTGGCGACATGGTGAGATCGGAGTAGGCTGAGGGCAACACGCATCTGCCCTTCTTACCCTCTGCCCTGTCGTACAGTCGCCCTCGCTTATCCATCGATCGGTGCGAGGCAATGGGGAAAATTCGAGATTTTGCATTTTTCCTTTGCGGGATGAAAAGACGATCGCATGCGCATCCCGAGACTTGATCTGAGAAAATCAACCATGAATATCGCAGCAGTGTTGTCAATCAGGAAGGAAGGGTGTTGTTGGAGGAGGGAAACATCGCCCGACGGTACGAGATCCGAGACCAGGATGGGCAGGACGCGAAACGCACAGCCAAACTACGTCACGAGATTTGCGTAGCATGAACTTCATCTTGTAGATCCTTGTGGGACACGAATTGATATCGCTACATTTGTTTGCCCATGTAACGTTGAAGCGCTTCAGCTTTACACGATGTAGCTCACCATACTTCTGGCAGGAACCAGCCCATTGAATCCAGGCTCCCTAGATCCTCCAATTGCCCGGAATTCCACTCCAACTGTCAGATTATTTGCGTTGTTCGTGAGCCAACTGGTCACGTTCCCTACTGTTCCGTCCCAGCCCGAAATCACAACGTCAGTCCTCACGTCAACGTGGCCGTTGTTGATGATATTGACCACGACCCCTCCATTCACATTCTCGAACGCACTCACCCTGACATACCCTATGCCACTCTCAACCCCCACTCTCACGGCGCCAGGCTTCACGAATCGCGAGAACTGCGCAAACGCCCACAGTCTCGAGCTCACGGACACGGTATCATTCGCCAACCTGATAAGTGCTGAATTCGTTGTTGTTGTCTCAGCACCAATCCAGTACAAAAACCCGGAGACATTGGATAGCGTAAGAGCTTGTTGGATTTTGTTCGCCCAAGCCATGCCCTCTCCTTCTTTTCCGAGATAGTCCCAGGATGTTCTCCAACTTCCGTCTAGATCCGCCCATTCCGTCTGCCAAGTTTTGGAGATTGTGGTCTTGAACGGGAGAGCGGGGTTTGACGAGTATCCGTGCGCAGAGTATACCGCTAGACTGTCCTCAGCGCCTGGAATGCTCTGCAATTCGGCGAGGATATCTTCTCCATCATTCCAGCCTGTTGCTTCACAGCACACTATTTGTACATCTTCGAAGCCAGAAGCCTTGAGAGTTGGTGCGAGTACCTTGAGGAAGTCTCCAGCTTGGAAGCCAGATGACTGCATAGATGCATACGTCTGATTCAAGTCCGGCTCGTTCAAGAATCCGAGATGAGTTATTGCAATCCCCTCCTTCTCTTTGTAGAACCGTATGTACTGAACTAAGTAGTTCGCGTACGCTTGTCTCCAGTCTCCAGATGCACAAAATGTTTCTTGCACGCCGCAGATAGAGCCTCCATTCGAGTCGTTGCCATTTGTCTTCATGTACGCGGGAGCAGACCAAGCATCGGCATAGACCCATTTCACGCCATATCTGAGAGCTTCCTTTGTCAACCAGACCTGAGAGCCGTCGTCCCCATCCCATTCGTATTTCGCGGTTGCATTAGGCCCTCCGGGATCTGTTGGCTCGATCGATTTCATAAAGTCGCGAATGTAAGATGTCGACGATCCAATTCCATTGCGCAAACTTGTGAGACCAGCGCCGACCTCGTTGCTGAAGAGATAGTCTAGTACCTTTCTTTGGTTCGACTCCGAGAGCCCGGCTTTGCCATGCACCTGTGCAGAGCGTTGGAATGCTTCTGATACCCCAAAACCATCAATGACTTGAAATCGTGTTGAAGCATTTATAGCGATCTTCACTGTAGGGATGGCAACGTCATGGGAAATGTGTCGCTGAGAATGGCTGGCAGCACTGAGTGGAAGAACTAGTGACCATATCGAAACGTGAAGATGCATCGTGACTTTGGCAAAATGAGCATGGATCTGTCCCAGTGACTGCGGTCTGCTTTGACAGTATTCTCTAATCAATACGACGAGCATGATGTTATGTCCTCGGAGGGTTGTCACAATTCAGGCTGAATCCATGCGGGGTGCAGGACATCTTCGCAGCAATGTCCAGAACTTGTGACCATACTAGCTCTGACGAACACGAAAGATGATATTAGGTCGCGAGTTTACATTAAGGTACCAATACAGCGGTACGGAGATTTTTGAAATGTCGAACTTGAGAATTCTTGAATAATGGATCAGTTTCCCCGCAAGCATCACGCTATGCATGTCTGGACATCAGTGATATCCGCGTTATGATATTGAACCGAAACGGACACACTCTCCTAGTACTTTCCATAGATACATATTTCGCAATTAGCAGGCGTTGCGAATCAAAACACTTTGACAATAGCATCGACGAAGAGCTAGGCTGTCAATACCTCGGGGTTTGAAAAAGGCGATGAAATCTTCAGTACACCTCATTAACCCCATCTTAAAGTCGCCAAAACCCCCATGAACCTTTTTCATTAGCCACAACTCGCTAACTTGCGTACAGTCCTCAGACATAAGTCTAGGTACAGTGTCTTACCCGGGGCTGGTGATGCAGGTTGTACATAAATTCTTATTCCATCCGGGCAGTCACTTGAGCCTTACTTCTTCTCAAAGAAATTGAAGGTTCTTTAACACTCCCTGTCCAGGTCTCGCGATCGCCATCTCCTTTTTCGCTTCCTTCTCAACGAGTTGGTTAAGCTCCCAAAACTCTGTCTTCCCGGTTCGATCAAATACCTTTCTCCTCCCCGCATTCCCTAAGATATCGTACGCCCTGTTAAGCTCAGCTGTCCTCTCGGTTGCGTTGTCCTGCTCTTCTTTTGTTCTGCTCATGTGCCGATCGGGATGCCACTTCCTCAAGAGGAACTTGTACGATGCGTCGATGTCGACTTGATCAACGGTTGGACGTTGGCCTTGAAGCCCGAGAGCGATGTAGGGATCGAATGAGCTGACTGGAGGAGTTTTCCGTGGAGCCTCTATTCTTTTCGTGAACGATGAAGAAACCTTGGACTCGCTGTTGATAGTGTCGTTTTCGTAGTATACGTCACCTTCGTCATCTTCTTGATCGGAGGCTTCGGGTTCGGGCTCACGAGCGCGGGACTTTTCGCGCTTCTTGGTACTGGACCGTTTAAGGGTTTCTGTGCTGAGAGATCCTTTATGCGATGAGCGTCTTCTTGAATGACTGCAATCCCGAGAACGAGACCTGGCTCTATGTTCTTTCTTGGAATTGTTATTACGATCATCGTGGTCATGTCGACCGGACCGACCTGACAATCGCTTACGGTGGTGGTTCCTGCGGCGTGGAACATCGCGGTCGTCCCTTCTATCATTCTTCTGTTTTCCCTTTCCGTTCCTTGAGTAGTTCCGTTCACCCTCGCTATGGTCATCCTCTCTTCGCCTTTCCTTGCGTCTGATTGGGCTTATGTGCTTCCTTGCGTCATCCGAGTCGGATTCTTCCATCTTAGCCTTTACATACTTCTTCGACCTCTTCTCTGCACTCTTTGAAATCTCTCCGTACTCATGATGTGACCCATGCCAGGTTGAGTAGGGTTGACGACTACCACTACCATGGTGATAATGAACGATGTGCTCAACTTCTATGACGGGCTCAGAGAGATACACATGTTCGTTGACTGTCTTTTTGATACGCTCCGGCTCCAGGTGCCGTATTATCTCCTTTTTCTTCTTTACCTGAGTGCACGTGCAAGGTCAGTATGGGTAGCAATTAGGTGTTACATGTTATATTGAAAGCAAGAAAGAACGTTGAGGTCTTCTGCAAGAGAAATCCGTCCACTTACAGCAGGTTTTGGGTCCGGCAGGTACACATGCTTCTCGACTATGTTCTTGACAAGCTCCGGCGGTAAGTGATGTTCGACAACCTTCTCCTTCTTCGTATTGTCCCTCGGTAGGGTACAATCCAGACGAACCAGTCTCGACATAGTCTCGTGTACATCCTTCTCTTGGATCAGGTTTGCTTTGAAGAGGCAGGATGCATTCTTTCATTTCTTCATCACACACATGCTGAGTGACCCCACGTAGACCGAAAAAGTATTCCTTGGGATCGTGAGGATACGATCATGAGGAATCGGGTGATAATAGTCGCATAGGAAAGGGTCTTTTCCCTGAGGTACGCGAGGGTCGTCGTTGTAATTGAAGCATTTTTCTTTTCTTTTGTCCAGTCTCATATTGAACCCAGCCTTCGGCATTGCCTCGCGTCGGTTTATCCGGGCGTATTGTTTCGCGTCTATTGGCGTTAATTTTTTATTCGTAAGATTCATGATACTACTAATTTCAGGCACCAGGGTTGTTAGAGGATTTTCAAAGGATACATATAGTGCTCCCCTGATTGAACATTCACCCCGTAGGATTTACTTTCTGCAACGAAGACTGAAAGCTAGATATTCAAGATTCACACACATGCCGCCTGTATTTTATTCTATCACCGCTTCACGAATCGTATTGACATGCTGGTGTTCCTCCTGCGATTTATGAGGCACTTCAGCACTTCACCGGCAACCGAAAAAAATAAAATTGTTTAGAGCCTGAGCTACAGCGAGTAAGGGCATCACAAACCGTGTGTGGAGGAGATCATTCTACCAAAGTCCCGGAATGGCGAGGCCCTACTATTCCTCTCGGGCAATGAAGAACCATTATCAAGACGGGTGATCCATGGACGCAGACGTACGCCCTCGGTTTGCCACAAATCCCGCTCTACCAGCCCACAGCTACTCACAGTAGATGCACCGTCCATGAGATCCTTAACGATCCTTAACCACATGCACTGTCCCCACTTTCCAGATCCTCCTACTTCTTCCTCGAGATAACTGAAACGGTAGGCTCCTTCTTCACTTTCGGCTGCTTCTTCGTGCTGGCTTTTGGTTTTGGCGTCGTCTTCGGCTTCTTCCTAGCCTGCAATGCATTCACCTCTCCCTTCGTCTTTCCCTTTCCCTTCAACGGACTGTCATTATGCGCCTTCGATGACCTACTCCTCTTCTTTGGAGTCGAACCCTCGCTCACGTCATCTTCTTCACTGCTGCTACCCGCTCCCGCCTTCTTGCCGCCATTCTTGTCCTTGCTCTTCTTCACGCCCTTGTCACCCCGCTCCTTCCGCATCATCTGCGGGCCATCCACGAACCCATACTCCTCAAGGTAGTATATCACATCCAGGGCGATGTCACAGAACTCTTGAACACCGCGAATAAGCTTGTACGAGGGCTTGAGTGTCTCTTCGGCAAGGCCAACGCGCCAGCGGTCCATCACTGCGAAGAAGATCTCGTCCTTGGTAGCGTCGAGAGCCTCGGTGTCATTCTTCTTATTGTTCGACGAAGATGAGGCAAACGTCGTGGCCTCCAAGTCACCGACTTCGTACGCAGTGTACGCCTCGAGGACCATGGTGGCGATAGTGTGAAAATTCAGGAGAGCGACCATGGGAGCAGGATCGGGCGTGGCGAGGCTCTGCTGGCCCGGCATGAATAAGTGCTTGAGGAGGTGAATCTCCTGATGCGCATGGTCTGGCGTCAGAAGTAGGCTCTCGCGTATCATGCCAGGGAGATTGACACGTACTTCGGGGTAGTCGTCTTTGGTCCTGAGGGGCATGACTTCGACGTGGTATTGTGGTAGCTTAAACGAGATCTCGTCGGATGGGGGTGCTTCGGGAGCAACCTCAGGTTGGAGGACGGGCAGAGTGCGCTGAACGGCGGCTGGTCCTGCAGTAGGTATACCTGGGAGTTCTAACTTGATAGTAAGGCTGGGTGAGGGCTCCGAAGCATCTTGGACGGAGTCTTGTGTGGGGCTGCGAGTGTCTATGTCTATGTGCTGGACTGGCTCCATGTCTTTTTGTCTCTTCGCACTTACCTCCTCGTTGGTGATATCGCGTTCTTCTTGCTGATATTTACCAGGATCTTCAATATCCTCTCCCTGGTCCTCATCTTGGTCCTCGGCTCCTTCGTCATGATACTCAGAATGTGAGCTACCAGCTCGCTTTCGACGCGCCGTCTCTGCTGCCTGCTTGCGATACATCAACGGAGCATCCGCATCCGAATCCGAATTCGAGTCGGGATCAGAGTCTTCCTCATCTCCAGACTCAGATGGAAAGTAGTCGTCTCCTTCCTCAGGCTCCTCCTCATCCTCACCCGACTCTTCCTGGCGCTTTCGCTTTGCCGCCGCCTGAGTATAGTGGTTGTCTTTGCGGACGGACTGCGCTGATGTGCGTTGTTCGTGCATCGCATGGTCTGGGATCTGGTATCCAAGCATAGAAGGTGAGAATATTGAGCGGTAGGCGTCATACGAGAGGCTAGGTGTAAATTGCGGCGAAAGAATCTGCCTGTTTTGCATATTTTGCAACATGCCGCGGGAAGCAGGTGGATAATGGGATGGAGGCTGCAGTATTGAGCGCGGCTGCTGCAAGTCATCCCAAGGTCCTTCATTAGTCGGCCCATGCGATACACCTTTGCGATGGACATTCTCTAGACGACCTGAATGTTCATCGTGTATGCCCGATGAAAGCTTCTCTTTGTGGCTCATGTCGCGCAAGCCGTGCGAAGATCTTGCCGATCCGGCCAAATCCGGGTGCACATGTTGAGAATTCTGCCTCTCGTTGGACTCATGGTAGTACTCCAGTGCGCCCTTGGAAAGGTTGTTCGGATATTCCTTGGGCAGGATTGGATGACTGCCGCTCGCACGGTTCTGACGGGCAAAGTGATAGTTGACCTGCTGCATGAAGACGGAGTCACTGCTTGGTTCGGGCTGCGGGTTGGCGGGATTGCCCTGCTCTCCAGGGCGCCGTGAATGGGTCGGCAACGGTGAAGACGGCGGAGCTTCTTCTTGTCGGAGCGTAAAGTCTGCTTGCTCGCTGGCTCGTGATTTGTTGCCTATGTTTGGAACTTTTGCAACTTTGTCGTCGGCACGGTTGAGCTCCGTTATCTTCTCGTCTCCAGGGACTTCGCGCTTGACGCGTGGATAACTGTCATCTGGACCATTGGAGCAGGGTTGATCAGTCGTGTGATCGTTGATTCCACCCTCGCCCTCGACTTGCAGCGCACTATTGATGCCATGCTCACAGGGTATCGGGTCTGTGGCCTCGTCTTGTCCCTCTGAAAGTGCTTGGCCGAAATTTTTGCCATCTCCAAGACAGCTAGAAGGTTGACTGGCGCTGGAGCCGGCTTCACCATTATCACCAGCCGGGGTGGTGCCAAATGCTAGCGCCTCATGATCTCCGCTCTCCAAAACGCCGCCGAACTTGAAAGCTGTATCGTTTTGCTGCACGCTGTGCTCCTTCTCCACGCTCTCGACATCGCAATCACCACCGAAGCCGGCTGTCGCCTCCATAGCCGCCTGTTTGTTGTCCGGTGTTGCGCTCGTCAGATATGCGCCGGGATTTCTGTCTTGTGCGAGGTTGGTGCCGTGTGTGAGCGGGTACGCCGAAGAGGTTTTGTGGGTAGGTTCGGGGGATGTAGCAGTCAACTGGAAAGGCCAGAGCAGGTTAGAAAAGACGGGCATCGAAATGCCGCGCCGTCAGTCTTCGCAGTAGTCGTTCTGAGGGTAAAAAAAGCTGAGGGAGAGTAGAGGAGTAGGTGTAAGAGCATCAGGAACAGTGGTGAGCTTTGCTTTTGTAATCATGGTTGATCCAGAGACAGGTGAGAATTTACAGCGCCCTCTTACTTACCTAAGAGCTACGACTTTCTACGTGAAGCGCCGTTTCCACCGGCGGACGAGGAGCGTAGAAGTGAGAGAAGATTAATACAGTGTTTGCCAATGGATTCAGTACAATGTGGTCTACCAGGCTCGATCCAAGTAATGCCGTTTTCAAAGTTCGAAGAAGGCATGATGCTCCGAGATAGGCTAGGCGATGGCTGATTAGCGACATTGAGTTGACGTCCATTAATTCAGCGCGGATAGCACGGAGATTAACTATACTCGAATCCTCACGTTCCGACTTCAGTGCAAAGGTCAGGATGGGATACCATGTATCCGGATGGGAAAGGACAGGTGCTGTGCAAGATTTCGAGTAGACTGGAATCATTTGTTTAGTTGATGCACTATTCAACCACACTTTGGCGGTCTCTTGAGTACTTTTATGCTCGTTCGTGACAAAAGGGCTTGTTGGTCTACATTGTGGCCAAAATCCGGGCCAAGGGCAGTCCTGCCTTGTTACATTATTGACCAATATGGAATTTCAAGGTGGGCTCGAGCGAGAATCAAGAGAATGCCTTCGACGGTACAATCTTAGCGTGGGTGACTCGAAGGTCTTTGCCGCAGAGCGCCACCTTTCTTTTCGTGTTCGATTCTGAGGGCGACCTAGAGCACGTTGTGCGGCTTTCCCATGTTCAACAGGCTATAGATCAGGGATTTCGATTCCACAATAAAAGGGATCAGATGCAAGTACAAGAATATAGCGTAGTTACCCAGCCGCAACTGGCAGTCGCCCATGTGCGAAATGATTTCGTATTTTGCAGCACGGGCTGTTATATCCTTAATGCTCTTTCCGCCAGATATCATCGCCATCTTGAATCCTGCACCCCCATTAGCATCTATTAACGTTGTCCCTGAGGCGGACCTTGCGCATCTCCATAATTACACATTGAAACTTACCATTTCCCCCAATGTACCCTATACCTCCCCTCCTCAGCCTTGAAATGCTTTGCCCTCGTCCAGGCGCCTATGCAGCCAGCCCATGCAAACGCGATAGTGAGGTTGATGCCGATGAACAGGATTGGGTTCTTAGGCGCGCGCCGAATCAGGGCGTCGACCATCGCAATGTCGACTGGCACCTGTCGATAGATCGGACCGAAGAGAACTTGTATTCAAAGGAGCTGCACGCATGCAGCTGCACTTGATCTCAGCGGATGGTAGTAGCGAGTGGTCAGAGATGCGGTTCAGGTCCTCAAGGGAATGGAGACAGCAAATCATGACGTCACTGCCTCGTTGGCTTAGTTCGAAAGTGACACAACCTCTATGTGTTCTTTCATGTTCAATTATTAAAAACCTCTGTCTTAGCGAGAAGTAGTGCGAGGAATGTTTGTAGGGATTTTCGCGTTGATTTTCCGTCTGTACGGCGAAGTGAATGTTGATTCATCCACCGTGGAAAACGCCTGGTGAAGTGCTAACCTTGGGTTTGTAGCACAAACTTTATGTTCCGATTAAGCTCAGAAAATTGATGACGATGTATGGTACGACTTGGTTGAAAAACGAAAACTCTTATGTAGAGACAATAAGGTCGCCTTTCCCCTACCACATTTCACCAAGCAATGCTTTACACAGCATCTGGTCTTTGAAGCTAGACGATATTTATGTGTCTTATGTCAGTTTTTCCCAGAGTTACGCCTTCGTCTCAGAGCCTCTTTCCAAAAAAAAAAAAAAAAAAAAAAAAAGGCGGCCTCAATCACACTTCACTGAGGAATACTCATTAGTGGCTTACTATCGATCGCATCCATAAATCAAGGTGCATCATTTTACGGGACACATTTTTGAGTCAACAACCAAAGATTATTCCCATACGCTACTGTTTTAGGATTTTTTTTGGTTGTTGACTTGAAAATGTGTTCCCCGAGAATGATAGTCAAAATGGACTGCAACGCCTGCCGCCCACTATTAAACAGAATAGACCATCAGATATAGCTACGAATGAGGCGAAACCGACCGTTCGATGCGATCAGAGAACTTCTCAGCAATGCTCCTATTGCGATTCACGGAGGCGAGGCCGCAGAAATTTCGTACCCTAGTGCTTTCCAGGGAATGGATGGGAATAGATGGGAATATATGGGAAATAATTACGGAGCCGCCACAACTATTACTCGTTCCTCAGGAGCATTTCCCTTCACTTCATCTGCTGATGTTTTCGCCTGCATTGTAGATCCAGGAGCCTCTTTGCCCGCCCATTTTACTAAGCTCTCGCCCGTAACACTTTCGAATCCCGATATCCACACTATTTCCATATCCCGATGCACCAAAGCACACGCAGGGTCCCCGACCGCATCGCAACAGCTCGTTGCACTCACACAACCATACGAAGTATAAACTCGAAGCCAATCACACTCCTTCAATGCGACTCTTCGCGCACTAGGCCTCCCAGACCCAAAACCTTTTCCCGCCACATGCCACTACCCACCCGCAGAAACCCCTCGGTTTGGATTCTCCGCCCACCCGTGCACGGGTCGAGCCCTCAACCACGCTTTCGCCCCCGCTAGACTACGCTGGTCGTCCTTCTGGTGCCTGCCTAAGGAATGAAGGCAAGTATTCTCCTCCCGCGCGCCATCGGCCCGATTAAAATGCGCCGCCGCCGCCCGGTTCCTCCAACCCCGCAGCGCATGCGCACCGCTCGCTGTCAAACCCAGCAAGCTGCGCCGTCGTACATCAGCTGTAACAAGCTGCGCGATGCGATAAGTGCCCGCGCGGTACGATGCCTCGGCCGTATGTACAGCACGCCTGTGGCGTGGTATGGTAGGCAACGGTTCCGCGTCCTGCCGCGCCCACGAGCTGGGGCGCGCCACATGATGGCATCGCGCAGGTGCGCTGGAGGAACCGAAGCGCTGCCGGATCTAGCCTGAACTGGCAGTTTCCGTCGGAGCTGGACGTGTTTGCGGACTGTGCTTGGGGTGGGGTGGAAGTTGCGGTGTGCGTGTATGCGGAGTGGAGGGAGGTTCGACGAGGCGCCACGTGGTGGGTGACCAGGGCGTTGTTGAGGAGAAAGTAGAGCGACGATGCGCAGGGGGAAGGGTTTGGGTTGGTTGAGTGTGATGGGTGTCGCATATGCTGTGGTATGTACTGGCTGTTAGTGACTGACTGACTGGCTATACGTGAGGTGGGTATACACAGTCAATCTCGATCTTGTGAATGTTGCGTAACGCGCTTGAGACAACCGAAAACCTGATTCAATCCGATAATGCGACAACGCGTCGCAGTTCTATATCTCAGACCTCGTCCTTCTTCAAAGCTGACTCGTCTTTAATGGTCATTTCGTCCCACTTGGAAATGATGCTATCCATGCGGGCGTTCTGCATGCCTGACGTCGTCCTGCGCATGTCTGCAATATACTGGCTGCTTACCATGCTGGCCGCCGTCTTCGTCCACTCGTCACTCTGGAAGCGATCTAGGGCCGTCGTGATCTCTGGCGGCAGCGGGATATCTAGTGCTTTGCACGACTGTGTGGCCAGCCGGAACAAGGACTGCGAGTAGAAGTTGTACGTTGTGATGACGCTCAGGCCGTGTAAGCAGGTTAAAAGGCCTTTATAGGCTTCGTTCGCCTCTGGGGTGAACACGGGGTTCTTCTGGCTGGCTATTTCGTCGAGCGAGCCGAAGACGGATATTGTGAGTGGATGCAGAATGATAGTAATGGTGGCGGCCCAGCCATGCTGGCTGTCATTGATAGAGATGAGGTGACGGAGCTCTTTAGTAGCCGCTGATGTTCTTCGGAGAGCTTGGTCGCGGTATGAGCTTATGCGCTCGTTTGAGCTTTCATAGTGGGTGAAAGGCTGAAACAGGCGAATGACCGATACGTAGTATTGCATTCTGCGAAGTGTTAGTGATTTATTCCTTGTCTTGGGAGGGGATTCGTACGCAGTCAGGAGATTTTCTGGCGAGGGATGCTTCGTCGGACAAAGACTTGATCTACGATGATCAAACCACAGTTTCAACCGCAAGTAGAGGATCTCGATTTGCTCTGGCTTTGGTGGTAGATCTGACGTTGGATCGTCTGGGTCGATGAGTGTATTCAAACATTCGAGGAGAACGACGCTGCGAGCGCACTCATCTTGGAATAGGGCTTAAATACGTCAGAATCGATTGGTTTTATAGTCACAGCAGTTTTGCTCACCTTCATTATCCGACCCTTCATATGGTATTGCAACAGGCGGAGGCGAGTTGATCAAGGGCGGTAGAGAATAAGTGAATGACATCGTCCTAGCTTAGTTAGGTCTACAACGAGCGTAGCTGATGCGAGTTTGCTTACAGTTGAAAGTTGAACAGCGCCCAAGCTGTAACTGACCGGGCCCTTTCCCATTTCTCTTCGGTAATGTGCAGCGGTCTCTGGGTAGCGGACGATGGTAGGCGAAAAAGGCCTAGAGTCCGAGTAAGCCGGCATGCCTCCTGTAGGAACATGTAGCCGACTCTGTCTCGCCCATGCTTCCCGAAGACCATGAACAGCGCCAGGGCTGCTTGAACTCGGGTAAGGCTGTCCTCGCCCTCCCCGGCTTCCCACAACCGCCGAGCTTCTCGATAAAAGCGCGTGATTAGACTATCGCCAAAGGGTTTGGATCGGTTCTTGACTAGTGAAGAGTGAAACTGCGAGCCAGTCAGAAATGCGAAAGATCTCGGCCAGGTTTATTCTGGAGGGCTCTATTTAATTAAACTTACACTCGCAGAAGCTAAGACTGCATTAACAAGAAGCTCAGAGCAAAAGTCAGTACGCCCGCTAGATATATCGTCTAGAAAGATGTCCCAATCGAGGTAGTGGTAGTAACTATACTCCCACTTATGCCAGAGGGTCATGAGAAGAGCCAGAAAACGGGCATCTTTGATAATCGGAGTCCAGCTCGGGAGGTTCGCAAGTCGTGAATCAGACGAGCCTTCGGTTCCGGGATGCAGAAGCGACTCTATGGAAGTGGGCGGCGGCACTGAACTAGAAGCATCTGAGCTGGGGTTGGTCAAAATTGTCCCTCACAGTTTTCGATGCGGAGACAACATACCGAGCGGACACATCAGTGTCCGAAGCGTGTCGTCTTCGCTGGCTGGTGGGCTCGTCGTAGCCTAAAGGGAATATGCTTGTGAAAGGCAAGGTATTGGGATCGGAGCTTGGCGAATCGAGAGCAAGGCGTATAGGTGGCAGCGTCAAAGGATGCGCAGGTTCGCAATGCTGTGCCAAGGACGGTGCGCTGGTGAGCTGTCCTTGGTGGAGGAGATTGATCAGTTGAATCTGTTGAGCTGACGAGGCTTCTGGGGACCCTTCTCTGATCTTTTGAAGGATAGCAAGAGCCTCATGCTCAGGACGAAGCCGCAACAGATCGTAGAGCTGGCGCAAGTTGGATAGCTCCCCTTGCATCTCTTCGTTCTTCCTTTTCATGGCTTGAGATGGCTTTTCGTTGGGTCCCAGCTCGTAGACACAATGAGTGTCCTTTTGAGCACAACAACTGCATACTGGACGGTTGCCATCGCACTGAATTTGTTAGATCACTCCGATCACTATACGTTTCAATACGTACTTTGGACTTTCTTTTGCGACCTATTCATTGTCAGATATCATTAATCATTTCAGATCAACTGTTGCCATGTCAAGTTGGAGGGAAGCCGAAAAATCTTCGGCCCAAGCTCCGACATGGGCTTCGCCACGCGAAAGGGAGACTCACAAGCGACACAAGCTCCAAGAGTGACCGTGCGTTTTGGTTTCATTGCCGGTAGAGGCCTGGCCTGTATATTAGGCGGTTGTTCTTCCATGGGTGCAGGTTGCAGAGGACGAAAATTTGCCATATCAGGACTCAATCAGAATGATGGAAAACGGAAGGACGCCCGAGAAGACTGCGCATTTTCATGAGTCCTGCGAGCGCTGCTAGAGATGTTGATATGCCCGGCTTCGACCCCCGATGACATGAGCGCTGGAATTTCCCGGTCCAGCGTATGCTTCAGAAGCCTAAGTTAGTCATAATGCAAGTGGAAGGCTGTCGATGGGGGAGAGGTGGTGCTGGGGGACAATCAAGCGACGGGCCGGGTCCGAGAGCCGACATCTTACTGATTCTGGAAATCATGTCATGGAAGCATGCATGCGGATCCCAGCCAATGCCACCAACTCAGACCCCGCAGATCCCGCGACTAGTTGTACGGACTGCGCCGAAGATCTTCCCGGTACTTCATGTAGAGTTGCACGCTCCGAGACTACCCTCGCATGAACCCTTCGCGTGGAAGAATACAAGGGGTCGCCGGAGAGACTTCCCTTCGCTGCGATTGGTCTTACACTGCGTGAATTTCCACTGCAATGGTAAAGTGGGGCAATTCGTCGCTTGTGACCGTTGCACTACACGCGGATGATACATCACTCCTAGGTACGCAAAGCCACACGTGACTGTGACATCTTCTGGACCAGACTGTTGTCGTAGCGCGAGGCAGGAGTACTGTCCGGAGTGCTGGCTTAGGGCTGAAACGTGTGTTGCTTGCTTGCTATATGATGCCGAGCGGACGTAATGTACCAGTCGCCTGGATGAGGCGATCCATGTGTCGACTTACAATGTTTAGCATCATGAGAAGATTGTATGATTTAACATACGTCCTGCGATCTCCAATATAAAGGTTGACGGTGCGACTCTCGGGTGATGCAATGCGATTGTTGGCCGCTCACATGTTAGTAGCTCCCGCGATCTAAGGAGCTGTGTTGCTAATTGTAGCTGTCAATTGTTCAGCACGCCGCCGGTGCGGAACGATCGATGACAGGGTCGGAAGACCTCCGACTTCACTTGTCTGTTTGGTTCCATGTATTCCTTTTCGGCCCTAGAAAGCTCGTGTGACATTTGTCTCCATGCCCGACCATAGAATTTTTCGAGCGGGATTGTACCAGGCACGACTGCGGAGCTGCGGGGCAACTTGCCGAAGCATGCATCCCATGGACATTGGAACACTCGCCAGACCTTATGTATACCTAGTACAATGCAAGTTGGCAACGGTAAAAACAAACGCTCACAATCCCACCTCCTCCCTGATCTCGACACAGTTCACCAACCCTCTATCCCAACCAACACTGTCTCCCCTCAAGCGTTTTACTGCCCGGGCATTCATTCGGCAGTGGCAGGCGCCAGAGGATTAAGTTTCCACTATTCTCAGCGGGCTGCAGCATTAGTGAAGCGGGGTCGCGTGGCTTGCCGTCTCGCATGAGTGTTCCCCACCACCGACTGACTCCTTCCGCGCCGTCACAAACCCTGAGTCCGAGAATATCAAGGGGATAGGAATGCTTGAACAGATTTAGGTCGTAGAATTCACATGCTCGTGAAGGTCTTTACTACAATGAATGCGGCATCTGTCTATCGTCCCGCATACCAGTGAAACCGACAATCCAACAATTGGAAAGCGGAACTTTCTGATTAGCAGACACCAGTCCAAAAGTTGCAAAATTATGCATGCATCATCGATGCCGGATAATATTTACATCGTAATGCTACAAACCCATGACGGCTCTATCATGAATTCGATCAAGCCGAGGATGCTGATGCATTGTTGCACAGCCCCACAAGATGCAACCCGGTCACCAGGACCATGGTGGTGACTGCAACGAGCGACCGCGCCTGCGGACGGAGTTTCCTCCGGATCTGCTCAAGCATAGACTTCAACATCTCATTGCCGTTGGTCGCTTATTGTCCAGCAGCCTTCCTCTTCTTAGCGTTCGTATGGCTGCTATTTAGCTTGCGGATGAAGTTGTTCTTGACGCCCTTGCTCTTGGAGAGCTCCTTATTCTTCGTCTTGTTGTACTCGATATATGACATGCCCGCACCTCCGGAGAGGTCGGCTAACGTGCCTGCAGTGCGGCGTGCGCCGCCTTTCTTGCGCTTGTTGAGGTTCATGGAGAACGTGTCGCCTGCGATCTGCTCCTCTGCGGCGTCAGATTCCTTTGCGAGACAGACCTCGGTCAGCAATTCTTTTCGATCGGTCAAAGTCCGGAAATATAAGTCGGTGCGGTCCTCAATACCCTCCAATCTGGTGATGATTTTGAAAGCGTACCCTTGATCGACAAGGAATGACTGCCGTCGAGCAGCGTATGTCATCTCATCTGTGTCCTTGGAGACCAATGAGTAGAAGAAAGCGTTGAAGCCTTCGTCATTACGCCGCTTCGCCCGAAGGATTCTTCCGAGTCTTTGTGCCTCTTGACGGCGAGACCCGTAATGAGAGCTGATTTGGATGAGACATGTTGCTTCGGGTAGGTCGAGACTGGTGTCACCGATTTTCGACAGGAATATAGTATGGATCGCCGGGTTGTTCCGGAAATTGTCTAGGACAAGTTGTCGCTCATGTTGTGGGGTGCCACCGTGGATCTGGGCGCACTCCAGTTTGTTAGAGTACTTCGTGAGCGCGTACACATTGTCAGAAAAGACAATGGTCTTGTCGCCACGCTTGTGGTGATAATCAATGAGAAATTGACAGGCTTGGAATTTGTATGGATTAAGGACAGCAAGCAGCTGCTTTTTGGGGCTGTTAGACCCTGTCGTGTTCAGCCATTCTCGATAGAATTCCGGGGCCATTCTACACCAGACCTCAGCGCATTGCACCTTGGCTATGTGGCCTTGTTGGGAAAGTTCTTGCCAGTTCGCTTCGTAGAGCTTTGGTCCCACTAGAAAGTTCAAGGTCCCTATCTTGTCGTCTTCTCGAAGCAATGTTGCTGTCAGTCCTAGCTTGCAGTGCGATGCCACTGAATAAGTGACCTTCTTAAACATTGCCGCAGGAATTATGTGAACTTCATCGGCGATGAGCAAGCCCCACTCTCGCTCTTGAATGAATTTGAGAGCGGCAGCAGTATCGTGCGCCCGTTTCCCAGATGCAGCGAGCATGTGGTAGGTCGTCACCAAAACTCCAGCAGACCTGGGGAAGACGTTCTTCTCCATGGAAGTTAAAACGGCAATGTCGTCGGGGTTGATGTTGCTCCAGTTGATAAACTCTGTTCTCCACTGTATTGCGGACATGGTGCTGTTACATAGAACTATGCAAGACTTTTTAACTCCGCAGGCAGCTGTGATGCCCACTAGCGTCTTGCCAGCACCGCACGGGAGAACTATGACGCCGGATCGGGCTCGCGAGTTGGAGAACATCTTACTCAGTGCCTTCTCCTGGTAGTATCGGATCTGCGCGTGTGGCTTTAGATCGATGTCAAGGTTTGCATTCACTTGGTCATTATTGAAGTCATATTCCTGGGTCAATGGATAGCCGATCTCCCAACACTGCTTGATTACAGCCTCGCGTGTCTCACTTCTGATCTGAAAAGAATGCACTTTGGCCTCTTCCTCCTCTTCGTCATCTTCTCTAAGTGCAGCGATTATTTTGTTGGGCTCTTCCGGCTCTTCAGCAGCGATCTCGGGTTGCGCAATCTGGTTGGCACCAGCAGCCATCTTGGTGCCCGGAATCATCATCTGGCCGAATTTTGGAGCCGCTTCGGTGATCAATGTGGCGCTGCTGTCGGCTAAACTTTGTGATATGACGGGGTCCTGCAGCAGCTGGCGCAACAACGCAGGGTCATCACTCTCGATGTAGGAAAGGGTCTTTTTCAAAACAATTTTGGCTTTTCCGTAGGCGGCAGAAGACTTCTTGATGAAGCTGACTACGCTAGAATTGAGGACAGCTTTGGAATACTTCTCGAGTCTGTTGATGATCTCGTCGGGGGTATGGCCGACAGAGACTGCGGCAAAGAGGCTGTGGGCAGTCAAGGCGTACTCGTGCATCCTCGAGACACGCGAGATGGGTTCAGCGATATTGATCAGGAAGTCTTGCGCCTCGGGGAACAGAGGGCTGAACGACTCTAGAATGATCTTGCCGTCCTCGACCACCCACATGGGGCGGCTGGCGTGGTCTGGCTTGAGAGGCTGGGAGGCCTGATCATTTTGAAAGAGTCCCGAGGCACCGTCTGTCTGGTGTCGAGGCTTTTGATGTCCGACGAGAGAAAACTTGTTCTCGAGCCGCTTGAAGGTTTCGGCATCACTCAGCTCTCCGCCAGACCACTCTTGCCCGTCCACCTCGGCGTCGGCGGCGTCGGCTTTGCGCTTCTTGGGGGGCATGTCGATGCGTCGAGCGGAAGGTCGCTAGGCGGAGCGCTCTTGCGCGCCGTGCTACTCGAGGCTGCGGTAGCAATACGTCGTCGGGCAGGAGTCGCAGTGCAGCGGCGCAGTGGGAATTGCGAGAGCGGAGCGGGCGGGAGAGAGTGAGGATGAATGAAAGGCAGCTGCAGGTGGCGCTGGTAGATATGACGCTTGAGGCAGGCGCGACTGCCAAGACCACTTACTAAGCAGGGTTGCTCTCCGACATAGTCCCAGGTGCGCCGAAGGGTGATGACGAGTGACGAAATTATGTAGTCGCAGCTGGGAGGTGGTGGCTGTGTGTCGCGTCGAGGCGCGCGCTCATGTGAGCTGTGGGGTGCCCAGGTGCAGGTGTTGCTCCACCGCAGACTACTGACTACTCCACAACCACCGGCCGCGATGCTTGCCTGAGGGTATAATCCTCCCATGGGCGCGTCCGACTCCAAGCTCAGCTTTAAGCAGGGCATCTTCCGCCTGGCGGAGCCCAAGCAGATCTCCGCCGACGACACGTACTGGACCAGCGTAAGCTCGCCCTCCCAACGCCCGTAGCTATGCACATTCCCATGCCCACGTTGATGCCCATCCGCTGACGCCTGCGCTGCCACAGTTCTGGGAGCTGCCCGAGTCGGCAGAGGATGTCTTCTCGCTCTTTTCGCCTGCCGACATCCGGCGCACACGCGACAGCAACCTCGCCAACCTCGAGACGCTGGTGCTCGCCGTGACGTCGCGCCTCTGCGTGCTGCGCAACCACCCCTCGTTCCCCGACCCGGAGCTTGCGCCCGAGCGCGACGCCCTCAACTGCATCCGCGTGCTCACCCGCATCCTGCCCTTCATCTACGAGGCCGACCATCTCGATGCCTGGGAAGACAACTTCTTCTGGGGCGCCCGCAGGAAGCGCAGCCGCCGTGGGCAGCCGCGCACCGAGGTGCTCTTCGACGAGGCCGATCCTGAGCAGACGCCGACCGCCAACGAGCAGGAGCCCGAGTTCGAGCAGGCCAAGCCGCTGGCAGAGGACATCATCGACACCCTGATCGACCTGCTGTTCTTCTCCGACTTCACCTTGCCCAAGGTGCCTGCCGCCAAGAACAAGGTCTCGTATGCGATATGGCAGAGCGGCGTCGGCTGCAACACGCCCACTGCTACCACCAAGGAATTCGAAAACAACCGGACCGAGATTCTGCGTCTGCTCCTTACCTTGGCGAGCAAGTCCATGTACATGTCTGCCAATGTGTTGCCTGTCAAGGGCGTCAAGGCAATCACGTACATGGCAACAAGCTTCGACAAGCAAGTCGTCTTGTCTGTTCTCTGCTCCCTGCTCAACACCGTACGTCTCCCCGTTGCTGCATCTATCACTCTCCGTCTAATTTCCGATAGACTCTGAAGTACAACCCAGCTTCGTGGCGAGTGCCCTACGACCATGTTGTGTTCAGGGACCAGAAACAGATACTCGTCACATATTGCCTGCAGTTACTGCTTGTGCTCATACTTTATCCCATCCCAGAGCCAGGCACTGGAACGCCTCCCCGCAACACTTTCCGTTATTTCCTCGGTCGCTTACACCGGCCGCAAGATTTCCAGTTTTTGGTCGACGGGATGACCAGGATACTCAATCAACCTGTATGACCGCTGCACATCACGTTACCCTGCGTCTGCTGATTAGGCTTAGCTACAAGCAACATCCACATACCTTCCAGGAAGCCACAAGTCACTGACGTGGGCACCAGAGATGATCATGTTATTCTGGGAAACCTTGCAGTGCAACAAGCGCTTCCGGTCCTTCATTATCGACACTGATAGAGCCCATGATTTTGTTGTTCTGGTGCTGTATTACGCTATGGATCAGCGCAACGACCCTACTAAGCAGGGTCTCGTCAGGATGTGCATTTTTGTATTGCAAACCCTGAGTGTGGAGTCTCACTTTGGCAAGAGCTTGAACAAAACATTCGAGGGACAAGAGTCGCTACCGGCCAGCATTCGCATAACCAATTTCCATGGCACATATGCCGACTATCTTATCACAGTAAGGTCTCATCTGTATACGGGTTCACTCTGCTAATACGCACTGTAGTCAATATATACACTGCTTACCACGAGCAAGGGAAAGCTAGACGCCATATATCCAGCGTTATTAGCAGTCATCCAGAATATCGCTCCTCATGTGCAAAATTTAGGCAGGGCTCCAAGCTCGAAGCTTCTACAGTTGTTCGCATCAATGTCCTCCCCTAGCTTCTTATTCGCGAACGAAACGAATCACACTTTGCTGCAGTCCTTGCTGGAAGCTCTCAATGCTATAGTCGAGCACCAATACCAGCGTAAGTGTATGCCTTGAAGCTAGAACCGTAGCTGACGCCCCAACAGACAACCCCAACCTGGTTTATGCCATTATAAGGTCACGGAAACGATTCCAAGCCCTCCGCAACTTTACACTAGAAAGTGGCCAGGAGGAAATCGAACGCCAAAACCAGCTGCGAAAGGAGAACAGTGGGGAGCATCCGCGAGCGGACTCGATCGACAGCATGCGGAGTCCGACTATGCCACGTACACCTACGCTGAGCAATGTCCCTGAAGAGAGCAGTGCTTTCGCTATTGGTGACGATGAAGATTCTGATGCTGATGAGCCTCACCCGGCGACCACTCCGCAATCGCCAGTTCACGCTCCCTCAGGCGCTTCGAGAAGTGGCTCGATAGCATCGTCGATAGACGAGTCAGTACCTCTGCAACTCAGAGGCATGTCCGAGAAGGCACGCGGGAAAATGCCTGTTGGACAGCCTGCATTCTCGCGGCAAAACAGTACCACCAGTCTCAGCAGCATCGCAATTCCTATCTTAGGCACGGCTGATTTCTTCACGCCCTCTGCTGCATGGGTAAGCTGACAAGGGCTTTTTGTACATTCGGTATGCTGATCAACTACAGATCGAAAGCTGGCTCCCTGAATTGCCGTTGCACACAATTCTTATGCTGATATCTGAGCTGGGTCCGAAGATCCCCAACACTGGCTCCTCAACTGCCGACACAGCAGCCGCCTTGAAGATCATACGCGAAAGCGAAGTTCGCGGCATTGAGCCTTCGCCAATCAAGAATTACTCTTTCGAGTGGTCGCCGCTCTCCATGGGTTGGTACGAATCCCTCCTCTGGAGCTTCATTTTTGCAGGCGAAATGGTAGTGTCCAAAGGCACGGCGGGTGTATGGAACAACACGAGCATCCGTTTGTTCAAGGTGCAGGAAGCGGCAGCCCAGGCGCCCAGTCTGTTGGCGCCGCGGGGCGCCGTGGACGCGGTGGGCAGCACGATCGTGCAGAGGATTGGGAGTCTTAATTTGAGAGACCGAGCCACTCAAATGGCGCAGGGGGGTGCGCCTAATAGTGGCAATTCCGGGGAAAGGCCGAGTACGGTTAGAGAGATCTAGGGACACTACAAGGGCAGTAGGACCCTGAACGACCGAACGCGTGTGGTCGGTGGCTCAGCCACGCTTTTAGAGTAGCAATTCTACATATTCATCATCTTGAAAGGTAGAGGGAGGGTGATTGGCGATCTAGGTCTGTGCAAGATTGGCCGGTTACGGGAAATGTGTAGCAGAATGCAGATCAGGGACTGACGTGGCTGTGCTCCGCCACGTGTGGCGAGTGCTTCCCGCGTCTTCTAGCCTATCACCAGGATTGGGGCCCTTCATTTCGACAAAGTTACTCGCCCATCGAGCTGTCAACCACGGTCGCGCCCCTTTGCCTGGATCTAGGCCGCTTGGACCCTGAGCCGAAACGCGTAATTGCTTATCGGCTATGCTATTGTGTGGGAGATGGGGTTCCAAATAGTGGGCCGCGCGCCTACCATGTGCTCAATCTCTCTGTTTTTGTCCCGTGCCTTTTTGTTGCTGTGTCTGCAGCGTGTTTTGATATCCCGATACATATGACTTTACCATTCTGCTGATTTGTCCGTTCCCTGTAACGATGGGCGAGGGTAATGTTAATATTGCGATTGAGGCGGGTGCGGATGCGGAGGTCACGCCGTATTCCATGCATGTAGGTCGCCCTGTCCTCTAACCCGCTCAGCAAGCTTCCATTGATCTGGGAATACAAATGCGATGCGAGTGTTTGAAGTGCTTCGAGAATACACAACATGCTGAAACCGTCCTCCAGGTGTCTTCCAAATATCTTGATTTGACGAAGAAGAAACTGGAATTAACACGTTTGCCGAGGGAGCTGGAGCTGCCGGAGGAGAGACGCTGGGACTTGGGAACTCCGAAAGCAGTGCTGTGAGTGTGCATCTGGTCTCGAGTTCGATTCAACGTGTCTAACTTTGTACAGAGAACCTCTGCTGGATTACTGGTTAGTCAAATTTCTGATCCAAGTGCTGTTGTCGGCGCTAGCATGATATGTTGTTGTCCTTGCGAGCTTCAATATCCACTTGATGGCACTGCGATCGGAGACGCCCGTTGCTTCCCCAGCTCGGGGTAGGGGCGGTCGTGACTTCCCTGCATCGGGACAACTCATCGCGAGCATGTCATCCACCTGCCCCCTCCTAGGTGCATGCTATCCTTCACTCCATCGCAGCTACAGACCAAGAAATGGCCAGCATTCACAAGCTCGATCTAATGCTCGCAATGCAAAACTATGCAAAACTATGCATGTCGCGTGGTTGCGGATCACATTGGATTAGGTCGCGCCTTCCATGGCCCTATACTGACTCACATATAGGCTGGAGCACTACGACTGGCGTGCGCAGGAAACCCACCTCAACACCTCACTTCCCCAGTACCGGACTACCATCAACCTGCCATCAACAGACGATGAGAAAACAGTTCAGCCACTGCGCATACACTTCGTGCACAAGCCTTCATCGCATCGGCATGCGATCCCGCTGCTCTTCTGCCACAATTGGCCCTCCTCGTTCATAGAGGTCCAGAAGATCATCGATGCGCTTACGGATCCCCAGTCGCTACGAAGCTTTGGAGATGGCGCACAGCAGGCTTTTCACGTCGTCGCCCCCAGCATCCCGGGTTTCGGCTTTTCCGATGCGAGCTCATCCGAGACCTTCGGCTTGAAGGAAACGGCGGAGGCGTTCAGCAAGCTCATGAACCGTCTGGGTTACGACCGATATGTTGCCCACGGCACCGGATGGTACGCGCGAGTACTGTTGACCACAAGAATGCTGATCGCTGACTACAGCACAGGGGCTTCAATATCTGCCGAACATTGGCCTTGAATCATCCACAGAGCTGCATCTCGGTTCATACGGCAAATCCGACCTTTGACCAGCCGAAATTCCAGCAAAGCCCCGTTCCGTTCCTAAAGTACCAGGTCGCAAAGGTCACAAAGGCTAGCGTAACCTCGCTGAGCTTTGGATACGTCCCTTCCGAGGTTCAGGAGGGCTCCGGGAGGGACACTGCAAATCGATCACTGTCGAAAGGTCTAGAGAAGCTTAGAGGCCCGCTGGGTCCTACGCTTTCGCATCTCTACTCTTATCGACCACAAACTCTGGCTTTTTCACTCTGCGACTCGCCTATAGGCCTCCTTGCAGGCCTGCTCGATGTGATACACACCACCCAAATGCCTCCTTCTCTGGAACCTGTCACATCACGGTCTCGTTCGCCGTTCTTATCTCCGATCGAATTGGAGCAGCAAGACTCGCAACACGATCGCGCATCGGTGGAAACTACGTTCAGAGATGCTGTCCCTGCGCAAGGAGTAGAACAGCCATCAGAACCGCGCGAAAGCGAAGCGAATTCGGGAGTATACTCGTGGTCGGCTACCGAAGTTTTAAATTGGACGATGAGTACGTATTACCCGCCCAGGTGGAAAACGGAGCCGTAGCAACTAACTCTGTACCGCGTTTAGTGCAATGGTTACCCGGGCCGGTACGTACCTCTGTTGTCGACCTGTACAGAATGGAATCAAGAAAACTGGATGGCATGCATGTCAAGGCCTGAGTTCCGCTAACGATTGGCTATTGCCATCTAGGAAGCCTCGCTTCGATGGCTGAGACGCACGCAACTTGACACAACGCCGACATCCCCGTATTCAACGACCCACTGCCCAGTGCCCCTCGGTATTAGTGCTTTCCGCGCGCAAAACACCAACGGCCACGACAAAGCTACACCACTCATGTGGGGGAGCGCGACTTGGAATATCGCCTGGGTGAAGCGACATCGACGCCCTGCCGCGCTCCCTGCGTGGGAAGCGCCGGATCTTCTTGTTCTCGACATGCGCGAGTACTTTCAATCGCACGGCGGAGCTGCCTTCAGAACTCCATCCAACCTTCCCGCTTAGGCAATGTCGTTGCGCGGACAAGATAAAAGCCGTGGAAAGCTGCTATAGGTATATGGGGTGTTGCTATGGCGCATATGCCTAGTATATGCGCCGGGAAGCACCATTAACACAGCAATTGATTTGCGAAGGGAGGGTTGGGAAGCGGTAGCGATGCAGTAGTGCCGGTGGGCTGGGCTGCGCGCAGGATGGATATGCAGGTGCATGTGGCGCATGGACAGTAAGGTGGGATCGACGAGAAACATGCCACAAACTCTCGGACGTACGGCGGTGACGAGAACAAGAGCTGGTCAGGCAGTGGGAATATCATATGAGAGGATATACACGAATACACGAGCTCACGAAATCGAGCGCCTAATGAAATACAGTCAGTTTTCCTTGCGACGGCCACGGCGCCATTCCCTCGACTGCTCTGCGATTCCGAAGCCAGACCTGCTTCAACATCTTTTCTTTCTACCGTCAAAGATTGGTACGTGCGCTTGATGTTAATATATGTGGTTGTATATGATGACGGCGATGGTTGGGCCGGGGGCGCTAGCTAGAGCTAGTGGACGGTGCGGCGGCTCGCTCGCACAGGAACACGAGGTATAAACATACATGAGTACACAGAAGTGACAACACTGATCTTGGTGATGGTGGGGAACTCGCGCTCTGGGCCCTCTAAGGTGTGTGTGCTCAGGCAGCTATTGCGGAGGGATGGATAGGCAGGTAGGCGGGGTCCACCGTCGTCGGGTCGATGTATTAGATTGTGAAGACAATGTATATTAGTTCTTTTTTTAGCACTGGGAACTTTGGTGCTATGGATTTTGCCATGGTGCGGAACCTGGCAAGAGTACTCATACTGTACATGTACGTCTGAGACCTGTAGCTCACTGAAGGAAGAGAACAAGTACAGTATTTCTGGAGGGGTACTGGAATGGCACGTAGCAGTGCGTGCGATCGATCACCGATCGGGCACGATGCTGAGTCTGGGCGGGGCGGTCTGGGTAGTTCTTGCCTTGGAAAGCGCGGCCGGCCGCGCTCGCGTGCCCGTGCACATTGACGTCGAAAAACAACGAAGCGCAGAATTTGGTCCCTCCGCCATTTCGCCCTCTGCAACCCTCACAAACACCTGCAGCGACCAGCAAGACCGTCAGGAGCTTATCGCAAACCCGTACTGTAAGTCTCTCTCGCATACACTTTACATTCAACAGCTTTCACATGCCGCCCGCCAGCTTCTGATTGCAGGAGAGCTACTGATGCCCAAGCCAGTTCACTCTCGAGCAGCAAATTGCCCCCGACCCCTCCCGCGTCGACTTCGCAGCCTTCAAGCTGGCAGACCTACCCAGTACGCGTAACAATACTGCATAGGCTCTAGTAGCCCGCAGCCCTCTTCTCGACTTACTACCACCGGTTTTATGCCGCAAGAGGACCTCCTGCGATTCCTTTCGAAGCCTTCAAAGTGCGCCACGCCTCCTGCAAACATACTTGTTTGACAGAATAGACACGCTGACTTTGATTCAGGCCCCGATAACGCGTTTTACTCCCCGTCTCCCCACTCCCACCTTTCATACCCAACAAGCAGATCCTCTCGTCTGCTGGACCCGATACTTCCCCAGGGTATCGGAATCTAGTCGCGCGAGGACTACAACCGCCTGACAACATTTCCCGGCGCAAAGCCTCATTTATTCCCCTCTCCGCCCGACCTCCTTAACGCCCTTTCGGACGTTTCCACCAGCACCCGACGATTGTAGCTGGCAGCCGCCAGCCCCTACAAGCTTTCCCACCCGTGGGCCTTCTCTACTCAGGCGAGCACCGCATTGCTTGTCTGAGCGGCAGATTGTGCTTCACTGCCAATAAGCCAGTCAACTGCTACTCGTCGAAGACCAATCCATACCAAAGCTAGCCGAACGGTGTACTTGCATGTCAATGGAACAAGAGATGGTCGGCACTATCGATATTCCTAAGCACTACACTGCGTCTCCGTCGTCGCACATTGGCACTCCGCATCTGACGATCAATAAGGAGGCTACTGTCGACCTGGACTCAACTAATGCTTTTGAAGGTATCGCTCCTTCCATCAAGCCATATCGATGAACAAGCTAATACTTCTCAGGTCCCGAGAAACTCCTAGAAGTATGGTTCAGCGGCTCTGCCACCGACCTGCCTGGTCAGGCCGGTCCGCTAGGACTCAAGGCCGTGTCCGCTGATGTCTGGAAGGAAATGCTCGATCTCGTCAACTGCAAGGTCCTTTCCGTCATCGAGTCTGAGCATGTCGATGCGTACCTCCTCTCGGAGTCGAGCTTTTTCGTGTTCCCGCACAAAGTGGTGCTCAAGACTTGTGGCACGACAACCCTCCTGTTGGGCCTGCCTCGCCTTTTGGAGATCGCAGCTCTCGAAGCAGGCTTCCCGCATGTGGCTCCTCAGCCCAGCAAGGGTATCGCCACTGCTGCCACTCCGTACCGCGTCTTTTATAGCAGGAAGAATTTCCTGTATCCGGACCAGCAGCGTGGACCTCACCGCAGCTGGCGCGACGAAGTCGCCTACTTGGACCAGCGATTCCAGGGTGGAAGTGCTTACATGATCGGCAAGATGAATGGCGAACACTGGTACCTCTACATCACTGGTCCTGACACGACGTTGACTCCGCCACCTAGTCCGGGACGAGAGATTGTCGAGACGGAGACCAAGGTCATGAGCTACCCCCAGAAGCTGCTTCCTGAGACCATGACGGACGAAGAAGAAGACGAGACGCTGGAGATTCTCATGACTGACCTCGATGAGAAGAACGCCCGTCAGTTCTATCTCGAGGACGCGAGTGCGGTCGCGGAAGGTCGATTTCTCCAGAAGGCCCGCGAGGCTCGCAAGAATGCCATCTCATCCCTCGGCTCGATTCCAGAGGAGCACCCCGAGAGTCTGGGCGGTTCCACGGTCCTGAACACGAACCACACAGACTCGTCGTTTGATGTTTTTGAGCAGACCTCTTCCGACCATTCTGGCTTCAACTCGGACGAGGATGACCCTCTCACCTTCCCGGAGGAGCTGACCACCGAGGGTCATACCCTGGGAACGGTCGTCTCCGAGACTTGTGGCTTGGCCGATGTTTATCCTACCTCGAAGTACCCCGATGCCCGCATCGACGCGTACCTCTTCACGCCCTGTGGCTTCTCGGCCAACGGCGTCATCCCGGCTCCAGGGGGCGCTCCAGTGGGCACCAAGAAGGGCTCCGATGCCACGCACTACTTCACGGTGCATGTCACGCCCGAGCCCCAGTGCTCTTACGCGTCGTTCGAGACCAACGTTCCCGCACACCAGTGCGGTCGCGAGACCTCGGACATCGTGGACCACGTGGTGGGTATTTTCAAGCCAGGACGCTTCAGTGTTACCTTGTTTGAAGCCAAGCCTTCGGAGGATGTTGCTTCTGGTGCGAAGACGGCAAAGAAGAGCAAGAACATGGATGCGATCAAGGGGTATAAGAGGGTCGACCGTATCGTGCATGATTTGGATGGCTATGATCTAGTCTTCAGGTACTACGAGAGGGACGACTGGACGGGCGGAAAGCCGAGACTTGGGGAGGTGTTGTAGGGGATTTAATTTTGGGGGAGCGTGAATAACCTTGCTGGGACTAAAAGTGCCTGCTGTGCAAACTGTCTGAACTTTGTCACTATTTTTTTTTGTCACGGCCTTCCTTTCAGCGGAAAACAAAACTGCAGTAATGATTGCGTGGAGAAGTTTGGTATTGGACGGAGGTGGCCGGAGCTGTATAGTTCTTTCTGAGAGCGCTTTGCGCTGTATATTGTGTTTCCTGCGAGTTGTTGCCTTGCTGTACTCGGTGATGGAAGTGCCTTGATTCGACCGTGAAATGGAGTACACATGGTTTATTGATTTGAAATGACAACTCAGGGTGATACGTCTTTGTCATGATTATTATACACCTCACAACAGCTGTCTTTTCGTTTCCGTTCACCCTCCTGATGCACAACGATTTGCTGCGATAGCCAAAGAGTCCAAAGAACTGCGATGCTGCGCAGCGCTGATGAAGAGTCCCATCCTATCTCTGAAGCACGTCGCTGTCTCCTAGAAACGTAGGGAGGGGGCGGGGAGAAGTGTTGGAGGATAGGCAGGCGCCGTTTTTGATTATGGCACTGTACGTGCGGATTCTCATGGTATCAATTAAGCTGGATCTGTCGAGGATGAGACCTCTCATTGCACCAGCTTCCCTCGTCGTTAACATGCCTTATTTCTCAGCCTCCTCACACGCGGGTCCTCCCTTCAACATCCGCCACCAGCCTCCCAACAAAACCCTCAAACACAGGCGCCAAACTACACTCCCGATACTTGTCCACCAACAAGCCCTCCTTGCTCTCGACCCCCTCTTCTCTCTCCACCAACGCCTTTCCCCCAGCAACCGTCCCCTTGGGATACCGCGGCCTGACGCCCTCCTCAATCAGCATAACAAACGCCGGGTCAATCGGCACGCTGCCCAGGAACGGGACGTGGAACTCCGTCGCCATGACCTCCCCGCCGCCCTTGGAAAAGACGTTACAGCACTCGCTGCAGTTGGGACACACAAAGCCTGCCATGTTCTCAACGACGCCGAGGACGCGTACGCCCGTCTTGGCGCAGAAGTTGAGTTCCTTCTTGACGTCGGAGATGGCAATGGCCTGGGGCGTGGTGACGACGACGGCGCCAGCGAGCTGCGACGTGCCCGCCGTGGTCTTGAGCAGCGTCTCGAGGAGGGAGATGTGCTCGTCCGAGGTGCCGGGCGGGGTGTCGACGAGCAGGAAGTCGAGCTCCGGCCACAGGACGTCCGTCAGGAACTGGCGCACCATGGCGGTTTTCTTGGGGCCGCGCCAGATGACGGCGTCGCCGCGGTTGGGCAATATGAAGCCCAGGCTCATGCAGGAGAGCGCGCCGACGTGCGTGCCCTGGCCCTGCTCCTGCTCCTTCTCGTGCGTGCTCCCGTTTGCGTTGGCGATGGCGTGTTGCGTCAATGGCAGCGTCTGCTCTGCGTGCACCTCGACTGGTATCCAACCGCCCGGCGCTTGCTTCACCCTGCTCTCCTCGATCCCAAAGAAGCGCGGTATACTCGGGCCCGTGAGATCAATGTCCAGGACGCCCACCGATTTGCCCTGCAAGCTCAAGGCGAGCGCGAGCTGCGTTGTGATGCTGGATTTGCCGACGCCGCCCTTGCCGGACAGCACGAGCACGATGTGGCGGATGTTCTCGAGCGGCATAGTGACGGAAAGTCGCGCAGGAGAGCGGGCTCAGCCTGGATCGGGATATATTGGTAGAGCGGGTGTATGCGAGGGGCGGAAGAGCATGGTGTTGTGGTGAGTGATGGACGTGATTTCAAATCGGGAGAAAAGTGGCGGGCGCGCGGACATCGGAGGTTTTGGCGGGGTTCCTTGCCCCTCCATCTGGTAATGTCAAAATATTCGAAGCTACCACAGGTAGCTACCACCTACCGCCCGTGCTAGCAGGGAATGTCGTAAATCTTATGTGCCATCTCAAGCAATATTGGATTTAGGCGTTCTGTAAGGCAACGTGCGTGAAATCGCATTAGTCTGACTCACAGTAGTGTGGAATAGTAATGTGTGCGGCGGCCTATGGTGGCTATCTGGTACCTGAACCATGGGGGTTCTAGCAACATTACAGTACGCGACCAAAGGTCCAAGAGGAATTGATCTGTCTAATTCGCGCTCTTGTCTGGTACGGTATTTCTGGACTCTTCACCTTTGACAGGGGCAAGCCGCGAGTTGAGTTTTTAAATACGAATAGCGAAATTGCAATGGACGTCTATTAGGAAGTTTCGTATTGTGCGTGCCATGCGTGGTCGGGATCGGAGATCAAGCTTAACACAGCGGTCGGACAGGTTTCAACGTTTGGAGAGGGTTCTACGTTTGATCTTGTCATGCTGAAGACAAGCTGCAGATGAAGTGGGCAGTGAACAGTCTACACGAGTGACTGGACTCCGGTCACACGAAGAGTCCAACCAACAGCTACCGTCATGGTCGTTAGCCACTAGGCGATGGGTATTGCGAAAGCCATTTCTGGGAATGTTACGGGACATGGAGTTCCGCGAACTTGATCTACTGGTTTCGCAACGCTCGTGGAAATGCTCTAGCTTAGGATTTGGAAGAGAATTGTTAGAGGGTGACCCACAAACCAGTCACCTGGCCATCGCCGTCCCGGGCCTGCGACACTGAAGCCTTACATGATCTGTCCACTAGTACTGTATTATTTTCTAGCATTCTTCAACTTTCTCATCATTGCTCGATTCTATGATGGCATCCCTTCAATCCGATATGCCGAACAGACTTTTCAAGTTGCCGCATGAGCTTCGTGAAATGGCGTATGGATACTACTTCATACGCGAAGGGGGCTACAGCCCGGACTTTGAGTGGAGCAAGCTGGGTCTGCGGACGACGAGCCTATCGAACAATCGCTCATGTACACTTGCCGACAACTCAATCAGGAGACGAAGGGACTCGCACTGAACGTAAATACCGTTACGAGAACACCACTGTGATCCGATGCTGGCCGCACGTGATCGAGAGCCGCCGAAATTCGCGACTGGATAAGAGACCTCTACGACGTGAAATGCGACCTACTTTGTCAGACGCATCATCTACTTTCGGCTTCTATTTGCGGAAGCATCCAAACGTGATTCCTTTCTTGCGCACCATTTCTTGAACATCTGGCCCAGCTACTCTCAGGAGGTTGTCTTGAGACCAGAGAAAAGATCTGGCGGCACCTGGTACCATCCAGCTTCGCGAAGGTGGCGAACATGCTCCAAGGCTTATTGCTGGGGACAGACGATGTTGCCACACCTCTAAGCAGTTCAAGAGTTCATTTTCATGGACGAAGAGCGATAATAATGGCATGGTATGCTCGACTGGAAAACCATGGTGGCTTCCAAACGATGAAGATCTCGATTTTTGCCACGGAATCTTCAGGACAGAGCATCCTTTTTGAAAGGTGAACTTCTGAACGAGAACTATGGACTTATGATGCGTACTTTGATCACCGGTGACTACTTCGCGGGCTAGCTTGTCAAGTGGACCGTCGAAGTGTCCGAGTTGCCGACCACTGGCATGTCGAAAGATTCCAGGTTGGAATTTGATGCTCCCCCGGACCAGCTCCAAGCGACATCGACAGCCTCAAACGCAGTGCTTGCATAAAATATGCTTTCGAGCTGGCTTGTGAGAAAGGAGAGGTCGAGAAAGCTTCTCAGGTTTTTAATCGCCTCTTAGGAAGAGTCCCTGCCTGGTATCCCATACATGCGCTTCCGCAATACGTCCCCTCTTTATAGAATCATCAGTCATCAGCATCGATGCCGAGAAGGGGCGTCTCTGGAACAACGACAGTCTGATTGAAGAAGCTCGAGAATGATCAATAGGATGATCTAGAGACTCGCACAGATGCGGCTGTATTTCGGCTCGACGAGCTTACCAAGTTTTACAAGAATCATCAATGGCTGTACTACCACATGCGATGAACTCGTTGATCCGCGAAGTGATGGAGTGCATACAGCAAATTTCCCTTTTCCCAATATCTGTACTCTGGCACCGTCCTAAGTGTATGTACTGCGTTTTGCCACGGCTCGCAAAAGTAAGCAAAGTATTAGACTTGACAGCAAATTAATTTGGTATATTGCGAAGGCTATCTACGATCATAATTACACTCCTCGGCCTACAACATCACTGAATACCACCGTCATTACATGCTAACAAGCCAACACTGAAAACCCACTCTCCGCATCCTCCTCAAACGCAACACTCGCCCAACTCCCCGCCCCACTCAGTGCCACCTCAAATTCAAACACCGTCCCCTCCTGACACTTGAACGTCGCGATTGGACTGCTCACTATATCCGTCGTCTCGCCCTGCTCATCCAACTCCAGCGCCGCAAAAGTCCCCACAAGCTTCTTATCCGTGCTGCTGTGCCGCTGGTATACATTGAGCTTGGGGGCCGCGTTGCCGTCCACGCGGACGGGGAACCCACGCTCAAAGTTGCCGAAGAGCGTGCACGTGCTGGTGGAGGTAAAGGAGGGCTGGAATTCGAGGATTTGGTTTTCGAAGTAGGGCGGATCGTCAGGGAAGTCCGCCGAGGGGAGGGAGGCCGAGGCGTAGAAGCCCGGGTCGGAGACCGTGCGGTAGGAAGTGCATGCGCGGCGGGATGTGGGCGGTAGAGCGGAGACAGTGGCGCTCAGCCCGAGGATGAGGAAGGTTGGGAGGTACATGTTGGATTATAGAGTTCAAAGGAGTTTTAGTCGGATGTGGCTGGTGGTGATGCAGTTCGAACAACAAATGCCTGCTTTATATATCAGTTCTGCTAGAATTCAAACTCTTCATGCTTGTGGATCTCAACACATGTTGAGGATGTCTAAGGTTCGTACTACACTCGTTCTGGTGAGAGGATTCGAGAACATGTCGAGGCCAAGACCCTGAGGCTGCATTGATAACGCACTAAGCGCATGATCAAGGTGTGAGCATATTTTGTGAGGAACGCGGTCCCAGCCAACCGTATAGGTTCGAGAGTATCTGAAGCTCTGGTACATGGCGTTTCGAATCACTTCTGCGTTTCAATGTCATTTCTGGCATTTAATGTTGGTGTCGTGACATTGTTGCCTCGCCCTTTAGTCGTCGTGGCTAAGATAGTGACAGTATGCAGTTGTTCGGAGTATACCGCGAACGCTATCCTGGACCGATAACGCGGAAGCATCGCCTGCTTCCCGCCCGTTCATCGTGCCGCAGTAGGATCCCGCCGACAGGGAGCACGTAAGCGAACCCTTCAATTGGTGTTTCTCATCGACATTTCGCTCACGCTTTGCCTGTCTAGGGCATGCCCGGCCCGCTTTGCAGCATCTCGATGCGGGCTTTCCCGTGGCATGTTCAGCTCGGTGTGAGATGGTACGAGTAGCATGGTCGCGATTCTCGTATGTACGAGAAGGAAGCTTATGCAGCGCAAGCCACTTCGTGCGTATGTTCCTGCCAACTGCGTGAGATAAATCCTCCACCAATTGGTTGCTCTAGTTGCTTGACACTGGCAAACTATTCCCTTGATGTGCTGATACCTGACACAGAACTGGGCAGTTGGTGTTGTAAGCTGATGTCTTGAGCGGAACTCTTGGACTGTTCTAAGCCTGTAACACGAGCACCGTCCCTTCCGAAGTCATACTAGAGGCCGCATCATCGCTTGGCAAGGGATTTTGCGACGTATTTCATGCCGGGACAAGCGAGACAGTGAATATGGAGTTGTATATACTGTACGTCGGAGCAGAGAGTACGATTCGTCCTGGCCACGAAGAACTGTCGGACGTATCGTAGAATCGTTTTATTTCTAGTCATGGCGCCGACGCGTCTCGGATCAAGGCTACAGGCAACGCGAGCAGATTGCGCCTGCATCGCCTATGTTGGGGAATCCAAGCTGTGTGATGATGAATGGAGTCTTGGTGGTCAATTACATCCAGGAAGTCTAGCTGCTAGATTGCGTGTCCGAGGCATGCATATTCAAGTGCCAGGCTGAATGCATGGATTCCTGGATCGTAAGCCTCCTGACGGGGGGATTCTGCTCCGCATGGCAGCGTTTCGATGCCGCCCGTGCAAGTCGAGTCTCTACTATTGGGTCATTACGAGTGCAGGATCTTCCATGGCTTCCAATTGGAATGTCAGCACCTCGAACGGCTAAGAGAAACTGATAATTCATCATTGAGCCCTCTCGGTGAGCGCAGCCTTCTCTTGTCTACTTGAAGTCATTTCTGCTAACGGTTTGCAGGAGAAGATGAGTGTGCTACGCGTGTGTAGGTCTCTCGCCTCAGACTAAAGCCCTCACGTAAGCCGGGCAAAACTTGGTCGCGTGATTTGAACGTATGAATGCCGACGATGTTCTGAATAGATGTTGTGCTGGTGTGTGGAGAGCAGCTGCATGGAACATAACGTGACCAACGCAGGCGCCCTCTTGGCATCCCCGACTTCCGACATTGTCTTGGCGTCTCTGGAAATTGTTCGCCAGCGCGACGACGTCCATCACAGCTCCAATGGCACATCCACGCTCCTTCCTCGCTCCCCTGAGCAGAATAACCGCCCCGTCAATAGCGTCCGCGCGGCCGACGTTAACGCAATTAGCCGCCCTCCCGCTGCACCAGACGTCAATACGATGCAAAACGACAAAGGCACCCGATGCGAAGAAGAGGAAGGCGCGCAAGCACTACCTCCAGTCTGACCTCAAGAAAGCAGACCAGTTCTCGCTGATAGATGCGATGCAGTACGTCGCCCTCGCACACGCGTGATCCCGTACAGCTTTGAAACTAACGGCTGCGCAACAGCTACATCCGCGCCTTCGAAGTCGGCCGCACCCCGACGTCCTCCAAGTACGAAGTACACGTCCGCTTCCGCACGCTCAAGAACGGGCCCTCTGTCCGCAACCGCCTGCGCCTGCCGCACCCCGTCAAGACCGACCTGCGCATCTGTGTCATCGCACCCCCAGGCTCCAAGGCCGCTGCCGACGCCCGCGCGGCAGGCGCCTCGCTCGTCGGCGAGGACGAAGTATTTGCACAGATCAAGGAGGGCAACATCGACTTCGACCGCTGCATATGCCACATGGACAGCCTGCAGAAGATGAACAAGGCCGCGTTGGGAAGAATCCTGGGTCCCAAGGGGCTGATGCCGTCGACGAAGACGGGGACCGTGGTCACCAATGTTGGGGCGACGGTAAAGTCTATGGTGGGCGCAAGCGAGTACAGGGAGAGAGATGCGGTGGTACGGCTGGCGGTTGGGCAGCTGGGGTTCACGCCCGAGGAGATGCAGACGAATATCAAGGCGTTCATGGAGACGTTGAAGAAGGATATTGCGCGGTTGAATGGCACACCCAAGGAGATCCACGAGGTGGTGCTCAGCTCGACAAACTCGCCAGGGTTCACGCTGAATGGGGATTTCAAGGGCCCGGATTCCGTGTCGGCGAGGGCGTTGTCGGGACCGTTGTAGCGGATGGTCGAGCATTTTGTACAAGACCGCTTTTGTAAACTTCCACTAGATGTACAAATAATGTACAATACGTACTTTTCCGGCCAGGACGCCACGCTGCGCTTGCAGTCTTTGCTACGCTATGCTGGGTATCAATCACGCGTTCAGCCCTGAGGCCACCTGCTTTCCGTTCCTCGTCATGCAATACCAAACTCTCACGACCTCAGCCCTTTGAGTACCTTGACCGCCTCACCCTCCTCCCCCATATCCGCATAGACCTTCATGATCCTCACGACGCTCCCCTTTGCCCCCGCCGCCTTCGCCTGCCTCAACGCCGCACTCAAATCCAGCAACAGCGTACTCCTCACCTTCGCCATCCTCGGCGCCTGCGCAACCACAAACGGGTGGCCTGTCAGCCCCTTTTCCGCCTCCCTTACAACCCTCCATTGCAGCACATGCCGTGCCAGCTTCGCAATCGACACGCCGCCCACCATACCCTCTTCGTCGTCCTCATCCTCATCCTCATCGTCCTCGTCCTCACTATCGCTCGCAGCCACCTCCACAATCCCCAGCCCCTCCTCTACCCCCTTCAGCCCCTCCTCAAACCCTACGAGCCTCCTCCCCACCACGACACCACGTCTAATCCTCTCCCTCTCCTCCACCAATGCCTTAACTTCCTGCTCGCGCTCCCCAACACGCTCCGCCAGCGCGCCCACCTCTTTACCAAACCCCAGCAGCCCCACCCTCACCTCCTCGACTTTCTCATCACCGCCGCGCAAACTCGCGCCCAGAGTGAGGAAGTCTGTGTAATGCGTGTTGACGAGGTCGAGCAATTCGCGGGAGAGCAGCGCAGAGCGGGCGCGCAGGTCGGAGCGCAGGTCTTCGAGGGTTTGGTGGCGGTTGGACAGGGTCGAGAGGTAGGACTGGGGCGTGAAGGTAGGGGAGAGGAAGGAGGACCGGGAGAGGGGCGCGGGGTATGGGAGTGTGGCGTCGTTTTCAGAGTCGGAGTCTGAGGCCGAGGAGCGATGGGTTGGGGAGGAGGGGGAGGAGGAGTCGTCGATCTGTGGTTGTGCGTTAGGTATGATGGAGGGGAGTGGCATGGGCGAGGGGAACGGGAGAGGACGTACGTAGAAACGACTCATGGCGCAGGGCGGCTATCGCATAGCGTTGCGGTATGGTTTGGTTTGGTTTGGTTTGAACCGTCGAGTTGTCTGGTTCGCTCGTTGGTATGGACACTGCAGTCGTACTTGCGCTTGGCGTGTGTACGTTTAGCAGTAGTCGCGCACCGGAGATAAGCGGCGCATCGGGACGCTTTTCCGATTTCGGAACCAGCACCACATCAGCGCCGACGGATTGGTTTCTAATCGCGGGGCACGATGTCGTCAAGATAAACAGCCCGAGGTAGTGCGGTATTCTTCGCATCGCGTCCCTCCTTGCCCTTGTCTGTAGTAGTTCTGTCTTTCTTTCAAGTCAAGCTTCCAGCATATACATCCGACCGAGGTCTGTCTCTAAATTACCTAAAGGTACCGACGACATGCCACTGCCGCAGCCCGACCTTCCTGAGCCTGCGCATCCCGAGGTCGACAGCATGCTCTCGCGAAAATTTGGAAAGGAGATTGCGAATTATTTCTCTGGTGAGCCTAGGAATCAAGCATGACGAGCACTGGACAAGCATTAATTGGAAGCTCCACAGGCTCCCCTCTGAACCGTGTATCCTTCCTCCGCCCCGACCACACTTTCCTCTCGCAAGCAATCCGCCACCCCAGCACTAAAATCCTCCTCTTCAACAAGCTCGAGCCCCTCGTCCACCCGCCCACCTCCATAGCCACACAAAGCTTTGCCGACGTCACGTCTATCGTCGGTTCGGACCCGTTCTCCAAGTCCGAGGCGGACACCATCGCCGACTACAACTCGAGCACGTATGTGCCGCAGATAATATTTCTGGGCCTGGACGAGAGGCACGAGGGCCTAGTGTATAAGGAGCACTACAAAGGCGTGCCGTGGTTCGCCGTCGACGTCACGCCCAAGGGCGCGCTGGCAGAGAACTTCGAGAAGCTGATCCAGAAGGTGACGGCGGAGGGGAAGGAATTCAGCAAGGGGCGCATGCACTTGAGTCTGCCGCCGGAGGAAGGTGCGTTGGTATTGTGTGGATTGAAGGACGTGGACTGACACCCGCATAGCTGCGATATACGCCGAGGCGCGCCACCTGCTCGACTGGAACGCGAGGAACCCCTTCTGCGCCGCCTGCGGATACCCTACGCTCTCGACACACGCGGGGTTCAAGCGGACGTGCCCGCCAGAGGATATCGCGCCTTCCGTGCTGAACCCGGTGCGGCCGCCGTGTGCTACCAGGACGGGCATCTCGAACTTGTGCTTCCCCCGGACAGACCCCACTGTGATCATGGCCGTTGTCTCTGCAGACGGCCAGCGCATGCTGCTTGGTCGCCAGAAGCGCTGGCCGCCACACTGGTACAGCACGCTTGCTGGATTCCTTGAGCCCGCCGAGTCCGTGGAAGAAGCTGTGCGTCGCGAAGTGTGGGAAGAAAGTGGAGTACATCTCGGACGTGTGGTGATCCACTCTACGCAACCGTGGCCGTACCCTGCGAATCTGATGATTGGCGCCATTGGCCAGGCTATTCCCGGAGGCGAAGATATCCATCTAGGACACGATGCAGAATTGGAAGATGCGAAGTGGTTCACCGCTGATGAACTCAGGGAAGCGCTTAGAGTAGGTACGAGTGGCTTGGGAGAGGAGCCTGGACCGGAATACAAGGAAGGCGGATTGAGACTTCCGCCGGCAACGGCTATTGCGCACCAGTTGGTGACTGCGGTTGCAAATGGGTTTGCCAGCGGGGCACCTATGATATAGACATAGATGGGTCAATAGAATTGTGTTTGAACAGTATTTGACAGTATATTTGTTGGTATATTGTTTCTTACGGCAGGACGATGTACTTGGTGAGATGTTGCGGTATCGCGCCGAGAAGCTTCTTCTCTTCGAGCCACTTCTTGGAGAAGAGGCGATCTGCGTAGCGGTAGGCGCCATCGCAAAGCAGTGTGACGACGGTAGAGCCCTTTCCAAGCTTCTCTGCCACCTCTTTCGCCGCGACCACGTTCAGGCATGAGCTGGCGCCCAAGTAGAGACCTTCCTCGTCCAGGCAGCGGTACACCATTTCGATGGTCTTCTCATCGCTGATGTGCACTGAGCCGTCTAGCAGGTCGATGTCCGGCTTCAGATTGTCCGTCACGCGACCCTGACCAATTCCCTCTGTTATTGAGCCACCTTGCCGCTCTGCAAGCTTGCCTCCGCTCTGGATGTACGAGTGGAGGACAGACCCCGGTGGGTCCGCAAGGAAGCACTTCACCCTCCCGTCACTCTTCTCCTTCAGGTACCTGGTGACGCCCGCGAGCGATCCTCCGGTGCCGGTTGCGCAGGTAAATGCATCGATCTTGCCGTCCGTCTGGTACCAGATCTCGGGACCGGTAGTCTCGATATGCGCCTGCCGATTCGCGACGTTGTCAAATTGGTTTGTCCATACCGCGTTATCCAGGCTCTCTGCGTGCCTCTTGGCCTGATGGTTGTAATTTTGCGGGTTGTCGAATGCAACAGCAGGTACTGGGTAGACCTCAGCGCCTAATAATCGCAACAGATCAATCTTGCCCTGCGACTGCGTGTTGGGCATGTAGATGACCAGCTTGTATCCCTTGGAGCGGCAGACATGGGCAAGGCCAATGCCGGTGTTTCCTGCGGTTCCCTCGATGACGGTGCCACCTGGTTTGAGGAGTCCAAGCTTCTCAGCGTTCTCGACGACATAGAGGGCGGCGCGATCCTTCACGCTGCCACCAGGGTTCTGGAACTCGGCCTTGCCCAGGACGTTGCAGCCGGTTTCTTCGGAGAGGCGCTTGAGGCGGATGAGCGGCGTCTTGCCAATTGCTGCTAAGTGTCAATGCAAACAACCTACTGCAGAGCAGGTGATACACCATACCATCCAGGAAGCCCCGCTGGCCAATGCCTTGTGCTTTTGAGATGTTGATGGCCTTCTGGTACCCAGCTTCTGACTGTATGCTCTCTGCGCCCCGCCAGAGCGAGGCAGCGAACCGGCGCGGTGCGGTCCTGAGCATTGTGCACGAACGTCAAGCCTACAATGCGTTGGGCAAGAGCAAAAGGCGTTGCGCAGCAAGAGCTTTGTGCCCAGCGGCGAATCAAGTCGCCTCGCCGATGGCGCAATTGCATGACTCGTGCGCTCGCCCGTCTGCACGTGCCCGCGTCTCCGCAACGCGCTTGTCCGCTTGCAGTCCAGCCGTAAACACTGCGAATAAACAACAACGCATCCCGCCACCACCGCGACCGGACACGCCCGAATACACGATGCCGGGACGAACCGCGGCGCGCTCGACACGCTCAGCCCGCTCTTCGGCGGCGACGGCGACGGCGACAACGACGCGCAGATCCACCAGAGGACGCAGCTCCGCAGCCAACGTCGAGATACCAGATGAGGGGCTGGATAGTTCGCTACGCACCGAGATCAATCACATCTTTGACGATGCCCAAAACACGACAGCAACGCAGCGGAAGCTGCAGACCATGCTGCGTAAGATCCAGGAGCGATGCTGCTACGAGCAGGACGAAAGCAGGAACAAGAAGAAGGCACAGGAGGAGGAGGAACAATTCGATGAGCAAGACTTCAACACCGCGGTCGTGCGGTGCCTGTTGAGAGTTTTGAATGTGAAGAAGGGAGTCCAAGAAGGGGACCGCGTCATCAGGTTCTTGGGTCTGTTCGTCAAGAACGCGTTCGAGAAGGGCAAGTTGTCCGCGGGCAGCCCCTAGCCAACCGTTGCTGACACTTTCCAGACCGCCAAATATACCAAGGAGACGCTGAAGACGGAACGGAACTGCAGTCGCCCGAAACCCCTACCAGCCGTCTCGTCGAGCTGATTATTCGGACGTTACTTGGCATTCTCTTTCCCTTGGAAGGCAACCCTGTATCAAACAAAGTCGTTCACTTCCGAGCCACGCAAGCTCTGGCACATATCGTCGGCCAGTTAAGTACCCTAGACGATGACCTCTTCGCGTTGTTGCGAGTCTGTCTTAAGAAATTGTCCCGGCACAAGGAATCATCGGTCCGCGTGCAAGCAGTGCTGGGTCTCGTTCCTCTCATGAACAACGACGAAGAAGAAGAAGATGAAGACGATGAAGACATCACCAGCAACATTTTGGAGAGGCTCCTCGATATGATGCAAAATGATCCAAGCGCCGAAGTCCGACGTGCTATCCTCCACAACATAGATCGAAGCAAAGATGCGATACGCTATATATTCGAACGTGCTAGAGATGTGGATCCGATGGTCAGGCGAATAGTCTACCGCACGGTCCTTCCAAGTCTAGGTGACTTCCGGTACATGAGGCTTGTTGAGCGAGAAAAGCTCCTTCGATGGGGCTTACGTGACCGAGACGACATTGTGCGAAAGTCTGCCGCCCGTGTTTTCTGCGATAAGTGGCTCGAGGACTGCGCCGCTGGGTCCGATCCTCGTCCAAAGGAAGAGCAAACCCGGCCAGCCCCGCCTAACCTTGAGGCCGTCCGGGAACTTCTGGAGCGTATCAACGTGGTCGACTACGCAGCCGAGGACGGCATTGCGCACGATGCCATGCAGCACTTTTGGGAGATTCGCACAGACTACCGCGACTTCATCACGTTCGATCACGAGTTCTGGAGGGACAAGCTAGACCCATACAATGCTTTTATGGCACGTAGCTTGATGGACTACTGCAATAGCCTCGACGACAAAACCGACATTGCCCTGAAGCAAGACCTAGAAGACAAGTTCCCTACGACGGCGCAATTTGACTATATTGTCAATAAGCATCTCAACGAGCTTCTCGACACCATCAGTCAATATTATGGCTCTGGCCTCCCGGAAGATGACTCCGAGATGCTGCAGCTCCACGACGACATGAACGACAAGGAGTTCACGGTGGAGCAGCTTCTCCACATTGCTCTCAGCCTCGACTATAGCGATGGTGTTGGGCGAAATCAGATGATGAACATGGTACGCGATGTTCTGTCTAGAGCTGAGCTTCCGGAAGGATGTACCAAGCTAGCCATTCAAGTTCTACGCGTCTGTTGCGATACGGAGTCCGAGTTTTGTCAGCTCATTGTCGAGGCCATCGCCGAAGTCAAAGATACCCTGATGGCCGATGACGCCACCGTCACAGGTGACGACGATGACGAGAGTTTTCATTCGGCGCAGTCCGATGTCGAGAGCGACAACGGTAGAGCCGGACTGAAGAAGGCTAAGGCCACGAAAGAACTGGACCCTGAAGAACAGGCAAGGCGACACGAGCTTGAGGTTAATGTATACCTGAAGTGTCTGGATATTGCTCAGAACATGTTGCAAACCGTCGTCACTACTGATTTTTCAAATACTTATCTGACAAACGTCCTGAACACTCTTGTTGTGCCGGCCGTACGTCAACAAGATGCTATGATCAGAGAGCGCGGTATCAATTGTCTTGCCTTGGGTGCCATTCTCAGCGAGGTATGTTTGCTTAGTACTGATCTCAACCCATCCTAACCTTGTCTGTTTAGGATCTTGCAAGAAACAACATTGAGCTTTTCATACATTGTTTTACCAAGGGCCACGATGCACTTAAAGTGATTGTTATACAAGCGTTGGCCGATATTGTATATCAGCATAGATCCCTTCTCAAGGAAGAACCAGCAGAGGACGGTTCCGAGCCGGTACCGAACGAATACGTCAAGAAGGTCGCGAAGAGTGTCCTCCTCAAAGGCATCAGATCGGACAACAACGAAATTAGCCTTCTCGCGTGCAAAGCCGCTTCGAAGCTTCTTCTTTTCGACTTGCTTCCCCGCGAAGAGACAGCACTGATCTTGAGAGAATTGGCTATAGCCTACTTCGACCCAGACACGGCCCAGCAGCCAGGAATTCGGCAAGTGTTGAGCTATTTCCTCCCAACCTTCTGCCACTCGAAAATCACCAACGCCTTGCTGATGGCTCAAATATCGGTGCAGCTCTTCAGCAAGCTATGGCAGAAGAAGGAAGATCTGGACGATGATGATGAGGAAATGGTCGGTTGGCCAGTCATCACTGCGCATATTGCAGATTGGACAGATGGCCGCCAGGTTGTCAATCAGGTGCGAGTAGACTTTGACGGCAAATCTTCCACAACACTAGAGGCTGAAGAGCCGCACATCTGTCTCGCTAGCGAGATCCTGGAGCATGCACTCACCCGCAACTGTAGCAGGGACGAGAGGAAGCCTTTGCTCGCCCTGCTTACAAAGGCTTACATTGCGCCCACTGGACCCGCCCCTGATGAAGAGCAACTCAGCACGCTTCTGCGCCTTGTCAACGAGGCAGTAGAGAGTAATCTAGGCGTAGACGCAACGCAGCGTAATTTCCTGACCAAGCTTGAAACCAATCTCACCAAGAGAGTAGGCGAGGTTGAGACAGCCACGCAGGCTGCGGAGAGTGATGCTGAGACCGCCATGCCAGAAGCCACAGAAGTCCCAGAGACTGCACCTGCAGAAGAGACAGCGGAAGAGACAGCGGAAGAGACGGCAGAGGAGGAAGAAGAGGATATCACAATGGCTGGCGTGCAAGGAGAGTCTACCCGGATGCCCTTGGATCTCGAGGATGATGACGATGTCGAGATGGAAGACGAACCAAATAATGATAAGCCAATCACCGAGGACGATATAGTGAACAGTCTCTTGGCGAGTGAGCTTGATGAAGATGAGGAGGACGATGATACTGTTGTGGCGCCTGCGAGAACTTCGAGACGCTAGGTGCTTCCTCGTCGACCTCGTTGAAATATGTATCACTGGGGGGAGGTTATTGGCGTTTAATCGGTCACTTCTGGGTGGGTTGGAGCCTAATCGGCTGGCCAGGGGTTATGAACTTATGAATGTAACTGTGAAGGTTGGGCATGGTTGGATACATAAACTGGCATATTAGGTGTATGTTCCCAGCTCGAAGGCCGACGAATCAATTATCGTAAACCGCTGTACGTGTGGGAACAGATACATCATCCGCTGTTCTCGACCCCTACACGCACTACCGCTGCTTTTCACTCGGAATCTCTGCCGTTCTCAGTTTTACTCCCAAAATGCCCAGCTAGGCATGTTTTCACTTTGAAACCCCCTCGCCGCCCGCTCGTGCTTCACCACGCTCGTCTCCCTCCACACCAGGTACGGCAGGTGATCCACTTCCACCCTGTCCTCCGGCATCAACCTCAGCATGCGCCCCAACACTCCCCTCAGCTCCCGCGAATACCCTGGCGCCGGATCCGCCCTAACAATCTCCCCCAGGCGCGGCGTGTCCCGCAGCGCCGCAACACAATACACGCTCAGCGCGAGGGAGTACACGTCGCTGGTGTCGCTATAACGGGGTTCCTCAGGCGCAGCGAAAGGCTTCGTGAACGGTCACCCAGGACTAGGGCTAGATACACGCTCTCAGTTCTGCTGTGCGCGAACGTAACGAAGATATTTGCGGGCTTGATGTCCCGATGCAGAATCTGAACCCAGCCCAGCGCGCAGCCAGACACGGGTTGTCCGCTCTGCGCCAGCGACGAAGACTTCAGCCCCGTCTGGAGATAGCACAGTGCGGTTGCCATGTCGAACAGGATCTTCCAGAGGAAGCCTTCAGGCGGGAAGTTCGAGCGCCGTGCCAGCCGCGAGAGCAACCCGTCGAGAGACCCCAGCTCGCAGTACGACATGTAGATGCTGCCGTAGCCGTAGCCAGCGGCGTCGATGTCTGCGAACACGAAGGAGATGATATGCGGGTGGTGGCAGGAGCGCAGGGCGCGGGCTTCGCGGGCGGCGTGGCCGGTGCGGATGGCGCGGGGGGAGACACGCTTTTCGATATAGCAGGTGCCGGTGCGGCGGTGGCGGACGATAAGGATGCCTTGGTTGAAGCCGCCGTCTTGTCCGGCGGTGAGGTGGCGGAGTTCGGTGAAGGAGGTGCGGGAGGGCATTGTGGTGGGAATTGAAGCACACAGCGTTGTACCGGGAGAATCAATGCAGTGGGACCAGTTGGTACTTGGTGCTTTTTGGTGTTGTGGTCGATTACGTTGTACATTCTCGGTTCAGGGGGGAAGATATATTGGGGAGGCCTGAGAGTAAATATCTGTGGGGGTGTTGTGCAAAACTTGAGCTCGATGAAGACAATTGGGCAAGATTACTTTGTCAAGGGAAGCTCATGAGGTCTCATGGTTGTAGGCATCGTGATGGAAGAATATATGGGCAACAAATGTACAATGTATGCGGGAACGAACATCTGGTCGAGATCCATCGCTCTGTTTTGATGAGTTGAATGAAATACTATATCTCGGACTCGTGTCGAGATGTCGAAGCTTGGGTTTGGTTCTGGGGCATACAGCCTGTGGAATGATGAGCTAGATAAAGGCTAAGAATACTAGGTATGGGTTCAATAAGAGGATTTTGACTTGGCCGAGGATAGACAGTGACTCAGTGAATCGCTAAGCTCATTTGGACTTATCATCAATTCACGCAAAATTGTCGGCATTACGATGAAGCGCAGTTTTGGATGCAGTCGACCTCGCAGACCGTCAATGTCGGTTATACCAGCCGTTGTCGAGGATTTGTGGGTCTCTTGTTCTGACTACTCATATGTTGATATTCCCCTCTAAGCTTTCTAATTGAAGCAATACTCTTCAAAGCACGCTGCACATCCGTCTGGCAGCTTCTTGCCATTTTTCTTTGTAATACCGCACGCTAGACACAACGGCCAATTGTCCTTGCCACCATAGTTGCCTACCTCCACGCCGTTGCTTATCATTCCTACGGTTTCGTTACGATGATACTGGATCTTGGACGTCGGCTGGCCGCTTGTGAATGTGTAGTTGAAGTTGGGGATGAAGATGATTGTGGCCGCCTCCGTGCTGTGACAGCCGAAGAACGTCGGCTTCTGGTTCAGCTTCTTGGTCACGAAGGTCTCCACGGAAGGGATCGTTGGCATGCGTTTTAAACCCACTGCTACTGCTGCCTTATAGGTATTGACGATTTGTGTACCATCGGGATAATTGTCGCGTGTGTCGGCCGAGTTTTCGTTAACGATGATGACATCTACGTCCGACCGATATAGGAACGGCCAAATCGGATTGCCCTGATAGCCAACACCCACGCCGCCATCAACGAGCTCTAGAGTCGAGAGACCTGAGACCTCTGGAGAATCGTGACGGCCTTGGAAAGGATTTGGGAACAGGCCAAATGTCTCGCGCACGGAGACGTCAGAGCCGGGCTTGGAGACGAAGGCAGCAAAGTTTTGTACTAGTGAGGCATCGGCGGAATTATTGGCGGGGACGGGCGTGCACGCTGCTGCAAAAACGTTGGAAGATGTGCCAAGTACGTAGCTGAGCTGATCATAGTTTGTGATACAGCTCTTGATCGGACGGCCGTTGGAGAAGGACGTGCCGACATACTTGGAGACAGCGAAAGCCGCAACACCAGCATCCCATGAACCAAACTCATATGGATGGAACTCGTACTGTGTGGCGTTGACCTCCGGAATACACGACCCAGTCTCGACTCCGAGAGCCGTGATAATCGGGTATGGTGCCATATAGGACTTGAAGCTGGAGGTTTTCGTTAGGCCAGACAGGGTGGCACGGACGCCTCCGTCAACGCCGTACAGAAGACCATAGGCAAGAAGTCGACCCCAAGGATCGATAATGGTTGGTTCGAAGCCAGCATCTCGCTTGGCTTTAACATTCGCTTCAACCGTGGAATAAATGGTGTCTTTCGGAGTCGAGACCAGAATACTAGTGACCAGGAGGCTACTTTCAAGTGCTTCCTCCCAAAGGCTTTTCTGGAGAGAGCTGATTGTCGGGTAGTCGTTCGCTGAGAGAGACGATAGAAGCCAAGACCCGCCGGAGAGACCTGCTTCATAGGTGAGGGCCTGATAGAGTCCACTGACGCCCGTCTTGACTTTCTCACGTCCATCAAAAGCTTTGACGACACCAGCACCGCTAAGCATAGCTCTGTATCCACCACCACTCGATGTAAGCGCAACGACAGGCGCTTTCGCACCTTTTCCGCTGCTGTGTGCAGGCCATTCTTTGCTCACTGAATCGAACCCCTCATCAACAGATCTCAACCACGTCTTCAAGGCTGCTGAAGCCTTGCGATGTCGCCGGGTGATATAGTCGGATTCAGCGGCAGAGATGCCGGTAGCACCCCGAACAAGTGGTGTTGCTGGGCATGTCGCGTGCTTTGGTGCGTACGCGGAGTCTGCTGGAATATGTAAAGCTGCGGCGACTGCTGCACCGGCTAGACAAGCAATTAGGTTCCTCAAGGACACCATGATTGCAACTCACCAGAGAACTTCAGAAACAGTCGGCAGAGTTGTAAGACAAGATCCCAGGGTGAAGAGCTCCCCGGAGAGCTAGTAGAGTTATATCATGTTCCTAGGCTTCGGTACCATGATGACGCGATGGCGTATGAGATCCCGCCTTTCCTCAACGAGGCAAGCTGTCGCAAAACCAGCGTGGCAAACCACGCTTGCAACGTGGGAAAGAACTAGTAAAATGCGGAGATATCTGTATATGTGTATGTACCTTCTGTTATCGGGGTAGCGTAGTTGTAGTGTGCCGAGGTAGCTGTGGGGTGGCTGGGCGCTAGCAGGTACCATTCCCGTCTGCGTAATATCTTCGAGGAACCTAATGGCTTCCACGCAGTAGTTTCTGAAAAGCGGCAGGAAGACTCAGTTCCTCACGCCTTCCAGCAAGGTAGAGTTACCGCCCAGAAACGTGACGAGTCATTTTTGCCACACGTGCGATATACAGCTTCTCACGAGAAGCCACTAGAAGGGGACATAACGTCCGGCGGACGTTGAATCGGCCGGCCTGTGGTCGTACAAAGCGGACGTGCATCCAGTGATGTAGGTCATCTAGAAAAGAGCACCCATAAATCTAGAGCCTTAGCTTCGTCCGCCTTAGAGTGGAACTTGTGAACGCTTGACCTGAAGTCGTAGTGGAGACCCTCACTCAATAATCGGCAGAAGCTGCAGCCATTCTATATTCTTGCGGAATGCCAGAACATCTTCCACAAAGATGAAGGCCCTGCATAAGACGTACAAGGTCATCAGGTGAAGGTCAGGGAGGAGTATATGCCGCGGCACATCCAAGTTTGGGTCATCTCTCGGCAAGCTGTTGCGCACTAGAATAGCCAGCCGGATTAGAAATTGTTCCCGCGCCAGGTCCTGTGCTTCCTCGATCGGATAGCAGAAGTAGCGCGCCAGGTGAGCGACGCATCCCGCGAGTAAAGACAAGCACGAGCAACGCCGCGCGCCACAGCCACTACTCGATGAGCGCAGGAAGGTACTAGGACCACGCGAAGAAGTTTATAACGAGGAAAGGGATCGAGAAGGCTGCTTCTACTAGCTCCAATCGCAAGGATAGCGGCGGTAGAGGCATGTCCGATATAGGAGTCAGCATTGCGGCCCAGCAGCGCCTTCCTGTCCATTTGGAGAATTGGTGCGTCCAACTAGTAGGTATATGTTCAGGAGCCGTGTCAATCTTCGCGACACACAAAGTCGAGAGGTGTCTGGTACCAGGGTTTTGAAGCGCGGGTGTCGCCCAGCTCGAGTGCTCGCGCGTGCAGCTCTTTCACGGACGCTGCTAGATGTAATATCTGGGTTATCTGGATGCCGCTAGGCTTGTCCTTCCAGAAAACCAAATCCGAGTATAGGCACAAAGAAGCGAGGACTGTTAGTTCGAGCGTGGTAACAGGTAAGCTCTGTGCAAAGCGCGCAATGCAATCGATCGCGAACCATGCCGACTGAGCGAGTGCAGTAGTGCGTGAGAATCAGTCGTACTTGTTCAAGTTCTCGCTCTCTCGTTTGTTGATGTAAAGCTTCTGCCGCAAACGTTCATACATGTGGCCAATCTCTAAGAGGTACACTAGGGCATTACCGTTTAACGGGAGGCGCACTCCGTCGCTCTTTTCGGGCCACCAGAAGCCCATCTCTCCGCAGAAAGCGTGCCGCAAGGACTAGGATGTCCATACGTTGTGATTGAATACACGGAGAGTTCGTGGAGCTGCTGTGGTGTAGAAATTGGCTAGAGCGATAAGACATCGAGGTATGGGGATAGGGTGGGTCCAAGAGGCAAGAGGAAGCGACAAATCATTTAGTAAACGCAAGGAAGTTGAAAATATATATCAGATAACGAAGCCAAGGTAGTTAGATAGCTAATTATTAGGAATCGCAACCTAATGTACTCTTCTAAAGTTCCCTCCTAGCAGCCTAACAACACAACACTGCGTGCCATTATTCTATCGCCACGACTAAGGTGAACTACGGGCAGAGGAGGCAGATTGCCGTCAGCCAGGGTTTCCTTCCAAAGTTTGTCCAGCATGGTGTCCCAGGTGCCGGGATGTTGATGCAGATCGCGGACCAGCTACAGAGACCGAAGGCTACTAGACACTAAGTATGACATCCACAGATTTCTGGCCGTGTGGACTCTGAATTCAGCATTTTGCACCGTCTGGAATGTTTGGCATGCTCCGCGATTGCGGCTTGAGGACAGAAAATGTTGAAAGACTGTGAAATGCGGCGCGAAAGGACAGAGAACCCTGCGAACTGGAAACGTAAGGTATTGACGTGAAGAGAAGAGACATCGCAAATAGGGTGGGTTCAGATACAATAAGCTGGTACAGGCTACGCTTTTGGGGGGTCATTTACAAATCCTTGTCGTTGGATCCGCCGTGTCTTATAGACCGGCTCCATTGGTTTGACTCGTTGAGTGGTGGCCCCTGAAGGAACCGAAGGCAGGATCCCCTCGACCCGCAATGTATGATCAACAAATCAAGCAAAAGCAACGCGACTGTCGGCGTCAGTACTCGAACGTATGTTCCCACCGTACTTCAGCGAACGGTACACTTGTTTTGGGTTTACGAAATTTACCATCATCTACTACCTTCGAAAGCATTCAGCACCGAACTTGGTGCGATAGATTTCAGTCCTCTATATCTTTCTCCCCACTCTTGGAGCCCTTTTTCTAGTCCTTCGATCAATTTCATGTTCAGCGCGTACTCTCTGAAGCTCACTCTTCCTGCCCACCAAGCCAACACTTCCTCGGCTCTCGCCCCGCTCCCAGCATCCAACAACCCAACCGCAACATCCACTATACTCGGCCTGTTATGCCCATCATAGAAAACATTCGCACCACACCTCCCACAGAACGATCTGGTGACGTCATCCCTGCTTCGATAGGTCTTTATGGTACCCCAGTAAGGGTTTCGCGCAAAAGGCACTTTGCCATCGACATCGAGCGTGATGTTAGCGGTGGGAATGAAAGCCCAAAATGTGATGTCAAATCCTGAAGCACGTGTACAAGAGCGACAAGCGCAGGTGCCGGCTAGGTAGTGGTGTGGTGTGGGCAGCCACCAAGGGGAGTTACCAGGATTCGCGGAGCTGCCTGTCTCGGACGGTACAAGGAGATCTGGCCAGGGAGACTCAGCTTTTTTAGATGCTGCATCTGGGGGCATGATCCAAAATTCTACACCTTTGCAGTGGCAATGGGCGTAGATGGGGGTACTACCGGGCGCGGAAGCTTGAGATTTGGTACACCAATCTAGGGGCACAAGGTCGCTTTGGCGCGGTTCCTGGAGGTACCGATCGAGCGGCTCCCCGTTCATGTTTACGAGGAACTGACTTGCGCCCCCGTCGGGCGTGTCTTCGATCCAGATGTGGGCTTTGTAGTCGAGGAGGCCGTCGGTGTGGTCTACCTGGAGAGTCCCGGTTGCGGCTTCAAAGTGGTCGTCATGATTGTATTCTAGATACCTGCGATCATGCCCACGTCAGCCGTGGTAGCTTAATTGATGACCCTTTCAAGGAGAACGTACATTTGTGTTCCGCATGTCGTACAAAAGTGGCGCGTTAAAATATTTGAACTTCGGTACGGCGTCAGACTACGTAGGTCAGGCTTCGATGGGTTCGAGCTGAATGTGATATTGAAGTAGCTAGTAAGGAGAGAGCCTGATATTCGGCGAGAGATATTGCAGCTGCATAGATGAGTGGGAATAGGAAGCGAGAAGTTTGGTACGGTGAAACTGTGCGTGGCTGCTCCGCACATGCAAGCCACAGTCAGTTCTTTGAACTCTGCCATCGAACCAGAACAATGTTTTGAGGTTCTTTCGAGTCCATTCGGACCATTCGGAGCTGAAATAAAGAGAAGGTTGACGATGCCGTGTGAAGTTGCGGCGTTCGAGTGCCATTGGACGGACGCTACCCCGCTTTTCGGCATTGCGATGAGCTTGCAACCTAAGATACGAAGCAATTTGTACTCATAACTCGTACATTCCAAGTTTAGCACTTTCAGCCTTTCGTGTACCATTGAGCAACGCCATGCAAGCAGACATCACTCGCGCGACAGATCAAGTTTGCTGTCGCACGAAGATCCACGTATGTACCACTACAATGTCAGCCACACCCTTACCAAGCAGGTCAGCTTACGAAAGAACCGATAGAACTCACACGTCTTTATTGGTGAAGATGGTACATTCAGACACGGTAATAGACATCTCCCGGGAACGCCTGCAATCCTTCTTCCAGACAGGATGAGATGCCTTCGACATAATACGATAACGGAGGGTAGCCTCCGCATGCTCACTTCAGGGCAAGATCCTCCGTGTTTATGGGCGCCCCACAAGCCCTCTTCGTGAAAAGCTTTTATACGAAGCGCCTCACATATCTAGCTTCAGCCACCGACGAGCAGACCTACATTAGTCTCATTCTCCATTTGGACCCGTGAAGCAGTAAACCTCGCTTACATTGAAGACATCATAAATTCTGATCGACGGGATGCCCACACGACGTGTACCAGTAATGGGTCGTGACCGGACAACAGTGAAGCTGTTCTGGACCCAGACGCTAATGGAAGGCTGCATGACCGGAGCCTAAGCCTGCTTGTATTGGAGAATGTTACTCGCTCGCTTCAACTGACACATCAGCTTGTGCCTGGCCCTGGACACGATACAAGATTATCCAGGATGGCGTGTAGATCATATCCTATTTAATTTTTTTTCGTTCAGTTACCAACGGCCAGGAGGTAGGAAAAGTCTTGTATCATCAAACGCCAACCTCGTAACGCCACAATCCTACGACATAGCGTAGGTGATGGCTCAACGTTACGCGAGATCAACACTGCGATGAGACTCACTTAAGTATCGAACAGCCTCATCTCTATGGGTAAGTCTCTCCCCCTTCAAGTATCTGTCTAAATTTGTGCGTCGGCTATCTCCACAGTGGCCATTGTCATGAAGTACTTCAGCCTTGCTACCACCTTGAGCATAACGACCCTATTCCGGAGTTCGGTACAAGACTGTACGCAATGCTCATCCAATCAGCCTACTATATCTGCGCCACATAAGAACGTTTGGCGTCCACTTTCTGCAGAGGAGCAAATCGCGGTCTCAAACGTCGTCACTCAAAAGCTAGGGGTCGATCCTAATCCGGCACCAAAGTCAGTCGACGGAAATTATCACGATATCGATAAAGCCTTACTGATCATCTTTTAGTTCCACTGCAACGAATGCGTATGATAGATCAAGACAACCATGGAACCCAAACAAGCTGACCGAAGCCTAGACTGGGCGTGGGCGGAATCACTCTGCTTCAACCGAATAAATCCATCGCTCTCTCATTCATTGACGGTAATGACGAAGAGCCAAGTCGATTCGCCCGTGCTACAGTTTTGTTCACTTCACAAGAGGGACCCTTTCGTCAAGAGTATTTAGTAGGACCTCTGCCGGCTACCAATGCAACACCAATTGTACCCCTCACGTACCCGTTCAACAACGAGCAGCCGGGAAAGAGCAGGTCGCCGTACTTGTATGCTGTCAACACTACAAGCGACTGGATAGCGTCGCTCAGTAACGAAATCGCCAACATCACCAATCAGATATGGAATTCGGTGAGTCGAACGATGCGCTCGTAGGTTGCAACTGACTCTCAGAAGACGATACTAGAAGGCGGTATTGGACCACGTCTCGGGAATGTCATCTGGGAAGATGACGGCACCCAATCGCTTTGGATTGCACTTTATGGACCATCGCCCACCGGGTTTGACAGTACTACCCTACTGTAAGCTCATCTACAATACACAGCTCTATACACCACTAATCTTAATCGATAGCCCTCTTGGTGTGTATTTCAAAGTAGCCATACGTAGTTTGCGATGGCAAGAATGGAAGATAGACGGCTGGTACTACCGTGGTGTGTATTACAAGAGCACAGAAGATTTCCAAGACGCGATCTACGCATCTACATTCGACAAGCCAGTCCCCAATGTGGACGGTACCTGGACATCGACCGATAAGCAAGGCGAGCTACACTTAGATGACTTGCCTCCGCCTATTACAGTCGCAGAAGGGGGCAACCGATTCAGTCTTGATAAGAAGGAAAACTTCGTGTCGTGGATGGATTTCGGATTCTATCTGGTTACATCTCCGGAGCTAGGTCTAGCTTTGTTCGACATACGCTTCAAGAACCAGCGTATCATCTACGAACTTGCACTGCAGGAAGCGCTGGCTCATTACGCTGGCTCCGACCCTGTGTTGTCCGAGACACTCTATTTTGACTCCTTTGGGGGAATGGGTAACTCAATGGTCTCGCTTGTCAAGGGTCATGACTGTCCAAGTCATGCAACCTATCTAGATGCGGCGTACGTCACCTCCAGAAGCTCATCATGCCAAAATCGATGCTGACTACTATCACAGGGTACCAGACGCGATTTGCATGTTCGAAGCCGACACGAACTACCCAATCAGAAGACATTTTGCCTTTGCCCAAAATTATACTAGCGTTGCCAGGAACGTTGCGTTCACAGTTCGCTGGATTGCCACAGTCGGCAATTACGATTATCTTTTCGACTACACCTTCTTCTACGATGGCGCCATTGAGGTCTCAGTTCGGGCGTCAGGATATATTTCAGCCGCATACTTCGCCGAGAATGATGACTATGGCTTCAAGATCCACGATTCTCTATCTGGAGCTCTTCATGACCACGTCATGACATTCAAAGTAGATCTAGATGTTCTTGGGCGACAGAACAGTGTACAGAAAGTCAAAGTCGTACCGGCGACAGTTGAGTATCCTTGGTCAGCTGGCAAAGCTCGCAAGACGATGAAGCTAGAAAAGAGCTTCATAACCCACGAAGACAAATCTGGTATACCTTGGGCGCCCAACGATGCGGCGATATATGCCATCGTCAACAAGGATTCTCCGAATAAGTATGGAGAGTACCCTGGCTACAGGGTAAAGCGAGGTAAGCTTTTGCTCGTACTATACATGAATCGGGATCAGAATTAATCATCGCAGCTGCTGGGGCGACCCACCTCACCATGTCCAACTCATCTGACGCGGGCCGAGCGGCACACTTTGCAACAGCAGATCTATTCGTTACAAGGCAGAAAGATACGGAACCTAGAGCCGCAGACTGGGTCAACACTTATGACGTGGATAATCCGCTCGTCGACTTCGCCAAGTTTCTCGACGGCGAAAGCTTGGAACAAGAGGACATGTAAGTCTTCAAAGCTCAACCACTTACTTTAGTGCTTCTGACGTTTCTTCCAGCGTCCTCTGGTTCAACCTGGGAATGCATCATGTACCAAACACTGGAGATTTGTGAGTCGCTACCCACATGTGAAACGATGCACAGTAGACTGACCAGCTAGGCCGAATACCGTCATGACATCGGCCCACTCTGCTATGAGACTGGAACCATTGAATTACTTGTTAAACGATCCTTCCATACAAACAAGTCAACAAGTTAGGGTCAATCATACCTCGGGGGAGGTTGAGACGTTCGACGCTCAGACCGCGAATTGCTCGGTGAACTTCGTAAGTAGAAAACCAATATTATTGGAGAAAAAGGTTAGCTGACTGCACACAGAGCACACTGAATCAATTGTTCGTGTAAAGAGCCGACATATTATGTTTGATGTGCCGTCAAAAGGTACCATACGGTGACTAGACAGCTCGACCAATGAATTATCATACCACTACTGCCGGCTTGACTGTGTACCACCATCCTGTCTCAAGAGCCAAGAGCAGTGATAAGTTGTTGGATACTATGGTAGTCTAGCAATGTGATTTATTGGGTATTGAACAGCGGCTGTTTCTTCCCGCCGCACAGCGCTGTAGTTATATATGCCAAATCACAACACACATTATCTTCATCACCAGCATCTTCTCAAAGCACAAATCCTTCCTCACCATACATTATAGAAGTTTGCTCCTCCCCCTCCTCCCGCTCGCCAGCAGCGTCCCTCTGGAGAAACCCGTTCACCGACTGGCCCTATCCTTCCAGGCAGACCGCACTCCAAAAGTCACTGAGTGCAACAGCCACGGCGGAAAAGGTTGTAACGGGATCAATTTGGCATGTGCGTGGGCGCAGGGCTTCACTTCTACGGTTCGTGGCGTACGTGCGCTGTGCGATGGGAAGTGGGTTCCGGAGAGATTGTGGACATCGGCCGAGTGGAGTGTACATATGCACCGGGGAACGAGTTTGTGCAGATGTGAGGTGGCTTGGTTTTCGCTGGCTTGATGGGCTGGTGTTCAGGAACGAGGATACAGGGGGTGGCCGCGTCAATATGCACATGCCGGCTGTGCAGAAGTCCCTCTACAAGTTCTGACCAAAGACGTCCATAAATCTAATTCTCTCGTTAGATAAGACAAGTAGTAGGTACAAACTGAGCGAGGATTGTGAGTTGACGCTGCCAGCCCCTGTAGCAGAGTGATGTAGCGCGATATTAGATTGAGCAGAAAGGCTTATGGTGGCATCATCAAAGCGCTCGACGGGATGATGTATGAAGTCGCCATGAGGTGATTTGCTGATATCTAGTCTACTGCACTGTTTTACAAATGCGCTACAAGTATGCATATTGAAAGAAACCCAAAATACCATGGAGCCGAAACCGACGCCGCTGCGCCCTTGTTTGTCGGACTCGATGGTACCCCTGTTTCGCTCTCGCCGCCGTTAGCACCTGCTGAGCCAGTGCCGGATGCGGAAGAACGTCTTGTACTGGCCGGATCACTTCCTTCTCCAATTGATCCCGTCGACGCTGCCCCAGTCTTGCTCGTTACAGCAGACCCGCCCTGAGCATCTCCCGTAGAATCTCCAGTGTTGTACGCCGATGCCGCGCCGAACCCTTCATCGCCGAACGTCGCGCCCGTGAATGCAGCAGCGTTGAAGCTCCCTTCGCGACCGGTGACCACCCCCTCAACGTCGGTGAAAGCAATGGTTGTCTGTTCTCCGTTCTTCATGTTGCTGATATGCACACCGTCACTGCCTACGGAGACTACCATATCTCCTATCGTCTGCGCGGGATCTCCATCCTCGATCGTGGTCTTCACATCGAACACCAGAGAAGAGCCGGCTGTGGCTATCGTGAAGGATCCTCCGTTGCCGAGACCAACGACGGTGCCGACAGCATTCTGGGCTGCGTCTCCTAGTGTGATTGATGATGTACCGCCCGAGGACACCATGGTTAGAACGCCGGAGGACAGGTGATATGTTGTACTGCCGATGACGGCTGAGCCGTCTGGAGCGATAGTGGTAGGTGCGTGGATGACAAGACCCTGGCCATCTGGAGCAATGGGGATGACGGTAGGACCGACTGTTATTTGTGGCCTTGATGCTGGATCGGCCTGTGCTGGTCGAGTATACGCAGGATTGTTTGGGCTTTGTCCACCATTCGGGTTATTGCCATCGGGTGCTGGATTGTTGGAAGGAGGGTTGTAAGTCGGAGGCTTATTCGTCGGAGGATTGGCGGTTGGCGGATTGTTAGGATCGTATGGCGAAGGGTTGTCCGTCGGGGGATCGTTGTTGGTAGGAGGATCGTATGGAGGAGGCGCAGAAGAAGGCGGTTCGGCTGCTGCGGGACTCGATGTTTTAGCGGGCAGCGCGATTACTGAGCTGGCTGGTGTAGCTGGAGTGCTCGCTGGATCAGGCGACTTTGTAGTGAGGAAATTGGGCGCGCTGTGAAGAGCTATTGGAGGATCGAACCACGTGTAGCCATCTGGAATTTCGCAATCGGCGAACTCGGGATCCAAACCCTTGATCGCAAGCGGAAGAATCATCCAAGGATTGTATTGCCCGGGCAAGACTGCAGACCTGTCGCAGATGGCCGTCTTGCAGTATACCGAAGAGCTGAGGAGTTGTTCAGGAGGGATGGCGGAGAAACTCATCCCCTGACCTCCAACGTATGCACTATACGGTACTGGTTCGTCGAAATCTGCCCAATTCACAGGCCAATATTTACCGCTGACCGGGTTGACCTCCATGGCTCGTTGAGACTGAACATCAGAAGATGCAACCGGAAATGCGATGTCATGCATCACGGTAGTGTAACCGCAGTTATCGCCTACTTCCAACTGATCGACAGAGATGTAAACATTACCTTTGTATAGTGTTTTCCCATCCTGAACGACGAAACCTTCGGTAGTAGTAGGAATGTAGCTGGAGTAAGAAATAGGGAATTCAGGCGTTTGAGTTGGAGATGTCGCGCACATGTCTCGCGACACGTTTCTGGTTTCTGGAAAGTAGAATAGCTTCAGACTGTTCCAATAGCGCTCTTGTACACCAGGTGTTGGTATGGCGCCTTTGTCGCCTCCTCCAAAGCGGCATGTCGTCCTTTGGCAACCAGCGGTGCAGCCAGGCGTCAAAGGCGAGCCTATTCCTCCTGTCTTGCTCCATGCCTTATCAGCGGAGGTATAGCTGGTCCACAGCTGCTTGCACTCCGCTGCGGGTACTGTACAATTCGGCGCAGGTCCAGAGTATGTGAGTCGCGAGGAGAAGGAGTACTCGGTCGTCGTGTACTTCCCAGGAATCAAGACAGTCTTAACAGATAAAGTGTCTGCATAGCAGATTGATCCACAGTATGAAGAACACGTCTGTTTGCCCATCAAGCTGGTGCTGACAGTGAGAGTCCTTGTAATTGTCGCGGTGTCTGTCTCATACGGTCTTGTCATTCGCGATCTGTACGATTGCCAGGCGCTATTGCAAGATTCTATGGAGCCTACAGAAGCAAATCAGCGGGAATCTACGAATCCGACGGAGGTTACCGTACCCTGGGAAGAAGAATTCAACGTTCTTGACGGAGACGGCGTACCTGTCCCACCCAACGTGGGCGACAGGATGGGCTGCGTGCTCGAGGCATTCTGGAAGCTCTGCACAGTCGCACACGGCCACGCGAGCAGCCCGAGCAGGGCGAGATGGAGGAACATGGCCTCTTCACCTTATTCTACGCGCGATGTGCATGTGGCCAATATATGCCACGCATGTCTGATCAACCCGTGCGCGCGAACCCTGGCAAAATACCCCCCATATCAGGAAGGTTAAGTTCGGGGCAACTACATTCTTGGGCCGGTTTGTGCGCCTTATAAGACCGGGCGATTGTCACAGAGGCCACACCGTTGTGCAAAATAGGGGCTGCACTCTGAACATCACTGCTTTGTGGCAAGTAGGTGGCCAATCAAGGAGAGATATTCCAACAAGCTTCACCACATATGGAGATGACCGTTGTCTGGCCCGCTTCCTGCCGCCCGCCCCATGTCTTGCTAGTGCTGCGGGGCGCAAAAGTGAATGAGCCTCGGGCGTTTTGTGGCATTGCGCGGCCTCAGCCGCGGGCCAAACCTCAAGCTAAGGTGTTCGATCGGAACAATTGTAATGACACCGATGGGACCGGGGCCGTTGTCTTCGCTCGTGATCGTCACTTTGGTGTTACCGTGTATGAGGTACAGGACATGTGCCAAAGCCGTGGGCGTGGTGAGGAAAGAGCCCAGGCGTCAGGGATGTAAATTGCGATATAGGACGCTATTCCCCAAAAAGCTGCGCGATCTTTACGTCATCCCTGTACACAATCTAACCGCAACTTCCAAGCTTGTGCAGTCTGCACGCACATGTCCTCTACTTCGCGCCGATCACCCACGACCATGACTGTACCCAGGAATTCATTGCGCGGCTTCTTAACCCAAGCCCGAGGCGCACTCCGAGGTGCCATCGAAACCAGCCAGAATGTTACCATTGTCATTGGAAATGAGAGCGCAGATCTTGATAGCATGTCATGCTCCATCCTGTCAGTTGGTCACAAATCATAGGCAATAAGCAGCCTTTTGACTGAAGCATTAGATATGCATATATACGGTCTATGGCTCCACCCCGAAACGCCTTCTCTGCAATCTACATTCCAGTAACCAACATACCCAAATCAGACATTCAACTACGCCCTGAATATCTGGAACTCTTCAAACACGCCAACATAACCTCTCACCACATATTGACACTAGACGATTTACCTGATCTGTCCACTATCAAGTCTCAGCTACCACCACAAAACACGAAGTGGGTCCTAGTAGACCACAACGCTTTACAGGGCCAGCTTGGCAGCATTTACGCCGACAGGGTTGGAGGCGTCATCGATCACCATGACGAAGAAGGTAAAGTACCATCCGAGACCGGCGACGAACCTCGCATGGTGGAGAAGAGTGGCAGTTGCACCAGTCTCGTCACCAAGTATCTGCGGCCGTCATGGGATTCGCTTTCGGGTCTAGGAATATCGTCGGCTGCTGCCCAGGCACAAGGAGACAGCCTATCAGATGACGCCGCCGTCGTCAAAGTCTGGGATGCTCAAGCTGCGCAGCTTGGATTGGCGAGCATTCTTCTTGATACTGCAAACCTGCAAGACAAATCTAAGACTACTGGCCATGATCGAGAAGCTGTTGAGTATCTCGAAGCCAGAATTCTGGCCTGTCCGAAACTTGCTGCGAGCTTTGACCGCAACAAGTTCTACGAGGAGATTGATTCGGCGAAAAAGGACATAGGAGGAATGCAGCTGTACGATATACTGAGAAAGGACTACAAGCTATGGAACGACAAGGGCCAGAAAGTCGGCATCAGTTCCGTGGTGAAAAATATTGAGTTCCTGCAGAAGAAGGCGGCAGACGAAGCAAATACTGGTACGGCAGATGCCGCTTTCTTGGAAGCACTCCAGCGATTCGCTACAGAGCATGAGCTGGACCTGTACTCATTGATGACCACGTCGACTTCAGCAGAGGGCCACTTTCAGAGGGAGCTCCTTGTCTGGGCGTTCAGCGAAACCGGTATCACAACCGCAAAAAAGTTCGCAGCAGAGTCCGGCAATGAGCTGGGCCTCGAGGAGTGGCAGAGTGGAGAAGGGAATTCTTACGATCACGACGGCGACGGATATTGGAGAAATGTGTGGTGGCAGCGCCATGTACAACACAGTCGAAAACGTGTCGCACCGTTACTCAGGGAAGCCATGATTTGAGACAGCGCCATGTATCTTATCTGACATACAGCGCGCGTTCGGAACATTGGGCCTGACAATTTAATTCTAGAAGCTTGCGTGGGAAGTTTTGCAGGCGAGGATAGGCCGGTCTTTGTCGGGGATCAACACTGTCTGATGCCTGTATTGGCGATCCTGTTGTGAACGACGGTCGTTGGGCAACGTGCGCCTCAGATCGATTGATACCCAAACAAGGCACATGCAGGATGCAATTCCTGGGCGGAACTCGTGGAGCGGTGGGGATACCACGTCGTCTTGTGGCCAAGGGTGATGGGTCCTCGTCTCTACGAACCGCTTCACGCAGTCTCGTACGGCGCCGCGCAGCATTACCAAGTCAAATCGAGAAGAACACGCACCTGGATCGGACGCGCACTCACCTATAGGCACGAATGCGACAAACGTGACATGCACCTCACCTTGTCAGCAGCACCTTTGCATGCCGCCAGTTCGATTTGTTTTCTTGCATATGTTTGCAGTGGGATGCAACGTACGAACACTAGCCTCACGCACGTTGAGCTGCAGAAGGGAAAGCAGCAGTGTGGCTCATTGGGCGGTGTTGGGTGCGGTCGAATTTAAGCGCAATCTAGAGCTGCAGGCCGAGATGAAGAGGGATAGCAGCGGCTCTCTGGGCCAGTGAAATGGCAGTGGGACGCGGTATTTTGGCGCAGGCTTCTTTTGACATGTCGGTCTGCATGCGCGACGGTCTTGGAGTGACAACGCATCAGTGCAGACAGGGGCGATGCGCGAGAGCAGACGCCTGATCCACTGGCCGGGCGTCACGTCGGCCGTGTTGCGTCGCCGGCGGGCGGTCAGCTCCTGTGCGCACGGCGGACTTGAAATGGCACTTTCGACAACGAGCTGGTCGTGATGTAAGGCTTGGTGGACTGGGGGTGGGATGGGGAGGGCCGTGTGGGAGGGTCGCCAAAGCGGCCACCCGGCCACGAGCCACTGCGGGAGGCCCGTCGCCGCCATCTGGAAGCTTGGAGTGAAACACGGCCAACGACCACTGGGGGCCGTATCGCGACAGCCACACGGCAGCTGAAGGGTGCTGGTCACCACTGAGTGTGGGCGCGTGATTGGGCGTGCAGCGGGGCCTTTTCGTCCCACGGCCTGCAGGACAGCATCGCGCACATCAAGTCGCAGACCCGCCGAACACGCTGCCCGCCGTGCACAGTGCAGAGCCCGCCATTGCCACCGTGCGCGTCGGCTGCAAATCGCATCCTCTTATTGCGCGCAGACGAAGTGTGTTGTTTCGCGCCTTGCTCGAGTCGCAGGCCCCGCCGTCGTCTGGCCCGAGCACCTGCAACGACGCCTGCCAACGCATACACGCCTGGTCGCGAGCAGGAGCTACCGACGCAGCCCACGACCCCCAGCGCCGCTCGCCCAACTGGCAGCAGCATGCTTCTGCTGCAGTAGAGCTGCGTGTCCACTCCCGGTGCGCGCTGAGCAAGAACATGGCGATATGATTAGAAGAAGCCAACACTCCGCCTCGCCGTCGGCGCAGGCCTCTCGCACCCCTCCTCCGCGTACGTGCTTTCCATCCTGTTATTTGCTGTCGCGACGCCGTCCTCGCCCTGCTGTGTGCTCTCCCAATCTCGCTCGCCAATAGCCCTCGCCCGGATCTATGCGCTCTGTGCGATGCGCTGGCAGCCGTACTGACTCTCCGCCAGCCGTCTCGCCCACCGTCACCCACGTCTCGTCCAGAAGCCACACGCCCTCGCACAAGCCTGCGCATACAATTGCAGTCGATGACCCGACCCCTCCCGTAGAGGCTCCGCCCCGGTCCTCCTCCCCGCCCAGGTCGCCATCACCCGCCTCAACCAAGCTACCCTCGAACATAATGGGGAGTCGACCTGGCGGACCCCACGACACCACCAGCCATGACAGACACTCGCCCAGCATCACCCAGCGGCCGCATCTGCCCCCTTCCATGTCCGCGCCAGCCGGGCGTCTGCCGCGTCTCCTCCCCGCCGACCTCTCGTCCTATACCGACGCGTACCTGCCCACTGCGGCAATCCCAACGTCGGCCACTTCGCTCGCCGAGCTAGCTCACCTGATCCGCCTGCAGGGCTATCAGGAGCAGCGAAAGGCCCAGTCACGGATCCGCCTGCACCGGTGGCTGGTGTCGAGTGCCCTCTCCGCACGTCTGGTACATTGCGGAGAGCTGGCCTACCGAACCTTGGTTGACAGCTTCAGATCTGACGACAAGAAAGGTTTTGCTACACTGTATAATGCTGTCAACGATGTCCGAAGCTCGTGTGACGCGGTGCGGCAACATGCACTGTTGGAAGCCGATTTGGAGTTCGGCAAGTCAAAAAGTATGAAGAGCGACAAGGCTCCGTCTTTTCCAACGTTTCTCAATCAGGTTCCGTCCAAGATCTTGGACGACCTCCTAGATTTCGTTTCTGAAATCCGCACCAATCCCGATTTCCTAGCTACTCGCATTCTCAGTCTTTCTCAACAAGAGCTCGCTTCCTTAACGTCGTTCCGCCAGGCTTTGGATCCCATTGACTCGGTCATGGCCATGCAAGCCCGCGGCAAGTCCCTCGGCACCCAGAAGCCTACCGTTCAGGGCCCCAGTCCAGTGGAGCGCTTGCTTTCCTTCCAGCGACACGACCCTTTTGCTGCTCTCATCTACACCATATTTGCTAACTCATCTGGACCGGATTCTGCCGAAGATCTTCGTCGGACGGATGCGTGGGCCACCACATGTGCCAGGCTTATCATGGAATCCAAGCAGGGAACTGAGAAGTTCATCAAAGCTGTCCTTGACGTCTACGCCGGCATGCGTGAATGGCCCGGAAAAGCTAACCTGGAACTTTACCTCATGCAGGTGCTGCAGGATGGCCAATTCCTCTTAGAGAAGGCCGAGGAGCAGTCCACCAGGACCGGATCTCAGCCGATCGCTCCGACCACGAAAGACACAATCGCCGCTGACGAATTCTTTGACAGTGCTGTGAAACGCCTGTTTGAGGTTGTTGACGATGATCCGAGTGCTGGAGGCATTCCCGAGGGTGTCCTGGAGATTGGTAATGCCATCCTCCGGAAGCTGGATGAGACGAAGAACCTACGCAAGGGAGCTCAAAACTTTTTTGTCTCACGTTGGCTCTTTTCCACGTTCTTACTTAACGCGATCATCCACCCAGAGGCATGTGTTTTCTGCGTCTCGAATTGTTGAGATGTACTGACCGTTACTAGACGCACAGCATCATGATTGGACACCACATCACCGAACACGCTCGTCAGAAAATTCTCAAGGAGATTGCCATCCGAGCCCAAAAGCATGTTTTGGACATGACCTACAATTGGTACGCGAGCACATTTGGAACCATCTACCTGTCCATGACTAACGTGGCCGTTAGGCGTCAGCAAGTTCCCATCTTGCCTGAGATTCGCGGGCACATCGAAAGCATTTTGGCCAGGTTCAAACACACCAGATCACCGTCAAAGCCGGTGCTTCTCCCAGCAAAAGCAATCACATCACCTAGAGAGACAGTTGAGGTACAACCTTTCATAGTCATGTCTCCGGCCGATATTGTTACCCTTGTGAATACGTTGTTCCCGGAACGCCGCCCTGCATCTAGCCATTACGACAAAACCCAACAGCGAACCGGGCTCGCCTCCTCCGCCTCTTCCATATCCGCGATTTCCATGCCTTTCCGCAGCACGTCTACCCCCGGCGGTGATGCTAGTTCCATTCTGAGTGCAAGTGCCTCTTCCATGACGAGCGATCATACCTCCAGAGAGCCATTATTGGACCTCTCAAATCAACCTGGCATGCCGCACGAGGAGCTAAACGAGGCGAAGATCGCACCCACCGAGCTTTACGGTCGGCGGTTGAGGATGGCGTGCTCAGAAATGACACGCATACTTGGCCCGGATGCTACCTCTGGCTCTTGCCACCCGTGTGCTGAGAAATGGGCCGTGTTGTACATCTCTCCGGATGGCAAGCAGCTCAAGTCGCGCATGCGCAAAGACTTCGACGATGAAGAAGAGCACGACGAAGACTCGCCTGAAAGCGACAGTAGCGACGACGAGGGCCCACCAGATAGAATTGATCTGGAGAATGACTATCATCAACTCAAAGAGGCTATCACCAAATTGGTTGAGGAATACGAGATTCCGAAAGAGCTCACGCCCGACAGCGAGTCCAAGACGTTTAGTAACCGTACCTCGACGCATCGGAGGGGCGCTCGGGGAAGGGGCCCGGTCCGACACCACAGTGAGACGCTTGGATCAAGAAATCCATACAACCAGACGCAAGCGCAGAGCCAGAGCCAACTTACGAACCTCATCGCAAGCCAAAGAAACCTGCCGGCTCGCCATGGATCTCCGCAAAATCGCCGAAGCAACAGCAACCCGCAACTTCCCGAGAAGACGGAGAACAACGCGGTACTGGTCACGATGCTGGAGACAGCCATGCATCAGTGCCAAGCACGAGGGGCCTTCCTCGACTCCCAACTCTACTACAAGACTCTTCTGGCTCTGCGGAGACTGAACTCTCCCACCCTGACGAAAAACGGCTACGCAGCCTTGTTGAACTATTTCTCTCGCGGACCGCGTGACTCTCTCGGCAAATCCGCGAACGCCATCGAAGAGTTCGAGGCTTGGTTCGTCTGGCTCAAACAGTCTCAAGAACGACATGACGTTGCGATCGAGGACATGATACTTGGCTTGAAGAATTTACGCGATAAGATGTGGTACATCACTGATGTTCGAAATTCGGGAACCTATGAGGAAGCTCGAAATGTTGCGCTGGCGCTCAAGATCATGGGACAGCCCACGAAAACTCTCGATGGCAAGCCGATCCAATCACATCGTCCGCGAAACTACTCCAAGTCTACCAACAACAATTTCATACTCAGGGCTGAAGCTCAAGTTGTTGACATGATGTCTGCTCCTACCGAGTTCGGTGGCCCCAATAAGCTGTCTGACGAACAGTCTGAGATCACCCAGAAGTGGATCGCCCAATATGGTGTCGAGATCTTCTGCAAAGGCGAGGAGAGGATTCACCGCTTCTGCTTGGAGATTGACAAGTGTGTGAACAAACTTGTCGGTGACAGTATGATGGATGGCCCAGTCCTCTGGGCGAGCGAGCTCTACAGACGTGACAAGGAGGTCCTCGACAGTGGCCGCCAAAAGGGCGATCTGTTCCTTACAGGTGTTGGCACTCTTTCCATCGCAGGAGATGAAGAGTACGAGACTCACGGTCGACCTACTCGCAACCTTGATTTTGCACAACGCCCAAGTCAAGGCAGCCTTCGCTCCCTTTCCGGTCGCCCCTCACAGCAAAGCTTTGATGTCAGCCCTTGGGGGAGGTCACCGAACGACAATCATGACTACTTTGGCGGCAGTAGTCCTGTACTAGCCATCGATACGTCCACTACTTTCTGGTCTCCTTTCCAGACGCATGCTCAGTCGCCCACCAGCGCTACCAGCATCAGACCTCGTACCGCATCATCGTCTAAGGGGACAGTGATGCTCAAGCAATCGATAGCTGTCAACGAAGACAAGCGAAGGTTTTTACTCGACTTGAAACAGATCTTGACCGGTTTGTTGTTGAGCGACCTGGGTACTGTGGTGTTCTCCAGTGGAAGCGAGACGGACGCTTGGTTCTCAAGCGATCTTCTTGAAGATTGCATCCAACACAAGTACACTGAAGAAGAGGAGCGGAAGCGCCGGAAGCAACTGGCACGCAAGAAAAGCATCAAGGGCCTTCGCAAACAGGCCAACAGCAACAACCCGCTAGAGGCTCTTGGGCGTAATGAGCGAGGCGTAGCTGCACCTCCCATTGCCACTCTGCAGCACGCCGCTGGCTCTGATGCTCATCATTCCGCCGGAGAACACTCTTCATCGAGTGATGCGACCTCGCGGTCCTCGGGAACGTCAGCTGCCAAGAAGGCAGGTTTGCTGGAATTCCCATATAACGTGGCCTTTCGACGTCTTCTCAAGAGGTTCGCAACGCATCCAAACCCATTCTCGAAGCTCCATGCACTGTACGAACTGGAACTCCTCATCGTAGCTTCACTTTCTTCCCGCACAGGCCGTGCTTACAACAACCGTCGCGAGGCAACTCTCCCTGCTGTCCCGCAATCACCCACTCTTGGCGCTATGCCTGAGCTCAGTTCTCGAGAACCCACAACAAACACAGAGCGCGCAACGAACGTGAAAGGCACAATTGCCAATTGCGAGGAGCGCCGCTCTCACTCTATGAACCAAGAACGTGCCTGCAATGCGTCACCTCTGCCTCGCAATGGCGCTCGTTCTCCCGTCGGTCCCCCGAGCACTGACATGATTGTCGACGTCATCCAGGGGCTCTTCCGTGATGCAAACATTCGCCCGAAGACACTATTCCGCGATCTGCAATACATTGCTTCATTCGTACCAGCACAGATGCTGGACAAGACCCCTCGAGGAAAGGCCTTCTGGGATGTTGCTCTGGCAGCGCTCGGCCTGAAACAGGACGTCTGTCGCATCATGGTTGAAGTCGCAGATGACATTGTGAGTCGCGAAAGCGCGAAGCGAAGCAACGTTATCCACCAGAACACTGATCCCGCGCCATCAGACGGGCCCACTAACCCGCTGGTGTCGCGATACACCATGGACGACGTGGCTCGCATGCTTCTGATCACAGCCAAAGAGGGCGATCCCACTGCAGAGCGCGAGCTCGCTACCATGTATCTCACCTCTCCCGAGCTGCTCGAGCGTACCGTGCTCCCGCTCAAGAAGACGGGCGAGATCTTCAACAAGCAGCTCCTCAGCCAGCACAGAGACACTACCCGTAGCGATCCACTCATCATGTGCATTGCCACGCACTGGATGAAGGAAAGCCGCGACGGAGGCGATGAGCTTGCGGCGCAGTACCTGCGGCAGCGCACCGACCTCGAGAACATCCAGCAGCGGTAAGCGGTGATGCCCACCATCACCATCACCCAGCCGCCTGCGCAACTTGCCTCCCATGCTATACATCCGCATGTAGTTTTTTGATGTTTCCTCGCGTTCTGCACATCCAAGCGTTGCATTACTATCCCACGTCACGCACCGTCACGTCGTAACGGCCGGCCTGCTCACATGCATGCATGCATAGCGAGGCGTTTGTCCCCTTTCCCTTCCTTCCCCGTCTCATCTTTTAATTGAACACTATTACTGTTTGTCGTTGGTCCTACGTTTCGAAGCATGATTCCCCACAGAGCCTTTTATTCTATACACCCGACGTTTTTGTTTGCTTCGTTTCGCTTCGCTTATATCGCTTTATTGTTGATGGGAGGTCTTGTAGTTTTCTAGCCATTGGTGGTGGCGGGTTCCAGCTAGGGAAAGGACTGAAGCGTTCTAGCGAGGCTGCTTTAGCTGTAGGCTGGGCGCGGTGTGCATGAGAGGGAAAGGTGTATATGAGACGCGATGCGCATGAAGAGGATACGTACGTACACGAATCTCCTTGGATCTGGAATCGGGAACGGGATTAGTATTGCTTCGGCATGGGAAATGGGCGGGGACTTTCCGCTGGCGCAATGATCGTAATGAATGCCCTTACTTAGATAGGTGAATGCACAAAGAGGTTTTTTGGTTTATGTGCGTGCAATGGTCTTGACGTTTCTCTCGCATGCAAATTGAGCGCCGCCTGCCCCCGCTGTTGAGACGGCTGCGCCGTGGTGACACCCCGCAGGGTCGGTAGGGCGGGGAGCCTGTAGAGTTGCGGCGTGGGAAGAGGTCATTCGGACACTGGGCACGGTAGGTGTGTGCAGGTAGTAGGGCATTGGGAGGGTTGTCTAGGGTTGTAGGACGAGTTTGTGCTGCAGTGCGCTCTCGCGTAGGTGACACTTGAGGTATTGGATGGCAGAGCTGTGAAAGCTGGCCGTGTCTTTGGGTTTTGGTTCAGTTCAGCTGGTATAATCAGGTGTTATTTATCAAATGTCTGGAGTAGTGCCAGTGAACTGAGGCATCATTCACCAGCGTCTAATTTGTATGGAACCGGGAGCGCCCGCAGCTGGCCCCCGCAATTTTACATTATCCTACCGCAGGAAGACGTCAATGATAATGTAGGAATCTGGATCTTTCGTGTTATAGCGCCCCACCGAGATCCTGTGCTGCGATTCCTTGTACCTTGCAAGCGACAGGTATCATTGATAGAGCCCATTCTCGAATCTTGATAGGCCAAGCGCGTCCGTAAGTCGTGCTTCTCGTCGTGCGGCTGAACTTCGTCCAGGACGAACCAGCTCGGCCCACATGCAGATCCCCTCACTCCGGTTGCTCGAAACAGTGCTTTTGTATGCCACAAAGACGTTGTATCACCAATTCCGTGCTAGCAAGTGGCTCATACGCAACCACCTCACCGCTGCACCACCTGTCGCATTCCCAATGGGCCTTCCACATCGGCTACGCCACTGCTTGATTGGTTACGCTTTGTGGCTTCCACATCTTGTCCCACGCAGATCTCCGACGATGTGCTTTTTGACGCTGGAGCCCCGCTTCGTGGCTCTTCCTGTTCTCGTATCCCTTCGACACCACCTAGCCCTCTACCCTGTTGCGAGATGAGTCTCGTGAAGAAAGCCAGCAAGCCCTTCATCCTGCTCTTTGTCCTTGCGTGGGACTTGGGACTATTCATACTCAATGTGGTTATTCCTAAGCGTAAAGTTGGGCATGTTGTGCCGGTAGGAGCGCCGGGGCATGCGCGGAATTGGCCAGCGTATGAAGCTCCTAAGCCGGGCGACTCTCGCTCTTCTTGTGCGCAATCACCATCCAACTACATCTTGGCGGGATCTCTCACTGACTCTACTCGCGTCTCCAGGTCCTATGCTCAATGCGCTAGCCAACCACAACATCCTTCCTCACTCGGGCCGCGACATCCCTTTCCGTACACTCAACACCGCCATCCGCGAATGCTTTAATTTCGCGCCCAGCTTTTGCTTCTTTGTGCCGCACTTCGCTGCCGACTTCCTGAACCGCTCGTACTGGAGCGGTACTCTCGACTTGGAGGAGCTGAGCTTGCACAATGCGATCGAGCATGATGCCAGCCTGACAAGGCGGGACGTCGCGCTCGAACCTGACCAGGCGAAACCTGACATACTACTTGTGGAACAGTTGCTAGCTGGAGCTACAGGCGGAACGCCTGAGGCCAGACTGTTGACGAAGCAGGATCTCAGCGCGGCCTTGACTCGCAGGAGGGTGGAGAGCAAAAGGGAAAATGCATCGTATACTGAGTCCCTATTCCACAAGGGGTTTGGAAGCGCGAAGTAAGTCCAACATCCACAGTGGCTGCCACGAAAAACTGGACTTGTTGAGCATACTTCATCCTGTAGGAACTCACTGTATGGTACGGTTATAAACCTGTCATTTCACAATTTACCCTGAACTCTCACGGCTACAAAAGTCCAGTTTTATTGTCAGCCACTATGGACATTGCTCACTGTAGACTGTTGTGCTGATTGAGCAGTTCATCAACAATGCTAACCATCTTCGGCGGCCGCATCAACGACCTTAGACCCATGCTCTTAGAGGAAAGGTTCCCTGATGATTGGGAGCCGCGTATTCGCTCGCACTTCGGCCTTACCATGGCGGCATTCAATGGAACGGTTTTACCGGTCGAGAGGGGCGTTGATACGAGAGCGTACGTCAAAAAGCTCGAAGGCGAAGACGCGGAACCTACCGAGGCCTCGAAATGAGTTGCTCGCGTGGCAGAATGAATGGCATTGTGTGGACCGGGCAATCGTTGTCGCGTTCGAAATGTTTTGACCTCCATGCGCACCGTGGCGGAGACGTTGTGGGGTGGAGGGGCTTGGTGGAGACACCTAGATTTCGATGAGGGTGCATGGATGCTGACGTGTCGGTGCTTGTGCTGGTTCTGGGATGTGTTCCTGTTCGCTAATACTGAAGCAAGTTGCGTTCGCTGTCTTTCTGCTGGTCAATGACTCGAAAGATGAATCCTGCGTGGAGCTACCCCGTCTTGGTGCTTACCAGCATATCCCACTACCACCGGGCCACTGAGAGAGGGCGAATTGAAGGCGCTCTAGTGCAGGTTCCTCATGGGGATCAAGTATAGAACAAGGATATCCTGCCCGCGCCTAACCTTCTTGGCTCGACTGCCCGTTACTTCACGAAATACCCCGCTACTATCAAACCTCACACGTATGCCCCTCCTTTCATCCCGACGTCGCACTTTGCCTTGAGCACGTCGAACTTTGTGAAGTCGTCAGCACAAGCAATGAATCTGATCGGTGTGCGCGGCTCGCTTGGAGGCTCTGCCATCCGCCGGGAACAGGCACGCATCTGCCGCCATTGGCGGAATCCCTCTCCTCATTTACGCAGACCCCATTATTGGATGCGTATAGCGGCTCGCGCGATACTTGCCGCGCAAGTTCACCCTGCATTGCAGCTTTATCTAGACAGTCGGCTACGGCGGTTATTGCTCGTGCGTCGAATGGCATTGCGACATTTCACGGAGACTTGACCACGTACGTAAGACGCGGAGGCGGGATGGCCGAAGGAGAGCCCACATGTTCTCTCAAGCGCTCGACACCTGCCAATTGCGTTTGCCGCCACCGCGCCAAAGGACCGCCTGTCAAGCGCTCCGGGCCGCCGGGTTGATCCTTCGGTGATGTATGGCCTGCAGAACGTGGGATGGCCCGGCTTTCTTTGGCGCAGCTGGCGCAATACGTTGAGACGGAGTTCGAGCATGGCGGGTTACTTCAGTCCTTAGAGTTCAACGTGAAGGCCATGTTGCCCCTGTGATGGAGGCAAGAACTTCGGAGGCTCCACACAGGGTCGGCATGGTGCAGTGTAGACCATGCCTAGACACAAATGGATACGCCCATCAATTCGCATGTAGCATCTAGCGCCGAATCCGTCCTGCTGAAGAAGATGCAGCTAGACTAATAGAGTGTACGGAGACGCAGACGAGACAGGGGCACACAATGGAGGGAGATCCCACGGCGGCATTGATAAGTGGGCCCATTGTACGCAAGCGACTGAAGACTTCGACCTCCTTCCAACTTTCAAACTCACTCCAGAATGGCTACAAACGGTGTGTCTTCGCTGAGCGAAGCATTCGGCGGCAAATGGTCAGACTCGCCCTTGCCCATCTGGACTCGACTGGCGAACGCCGCACGGGATTACCCTGACAAACTCGCCATAGCTTGTCTCCACCAACCTACCAGACTTTATGGCATACAAAGCTCGCAGTATGCTGTGCACGGTTTTGACAAACACTTGCAATGGTCATATTCTCAACTGAGCTCCACTGCCGAGCGCTTGGCTGCTGGACTACAAGCCCAGGGCCTTTCTTCCGGATGTTCCATAGTCACGATCTTGAGGAATGGAGTCGAGTTTCCTATGGCCTTCTGGGCTGCTCACAAGCTTGCATGTCCATTCGTGCCGCTTAGCTCACGGACCCTCACAAATGCCGTTCAGACTCGACATATGCTGACGGTTGCTGATGTCTCTGCCGTCATCGTGGAGGACCTGGAGTCTGCGGCGGCGTTCGATCAAGTGTGGCATGCAGGGGCTCGGAAAGTCGTCAAGATTGTAGCAGGAGAGAAGAGCTTCGACGGATGGACCAGCATTTCGGAACTCCTGGAGATCGGGTCAAGGGCGTTATCAGTCCAGAACGGCGAGAACGGGACGCTGCATGCGCTCGAGCCTGAGCACAGCTCAGAGTCCGCGAACACTGTGACAATACTGTTCACCAGTGGCACTACATCACTGCCAAAGGGCTGTCCCCATACAAATCTCACCCTCAATGCCTTCTCCAAGCTTCTCAGCATCGGAGGCGCCTCTCCACAGGACATCTTCTGCTCAGTTCTCCCAAACAGTCATGCCATGGGCTATTTCTTCGTCCTCCACTTCTTCATGAACGCCGGCACCGTCGTCTACCCATCCGCGACCTACGAGGCATCCACCATGGCGCAGGCCCTGGCCGCTCACCGCTGCACCCACGCTACACTGGTCCCGACTGCTCTCCACAGCCTGCTCGAGTGGATCGAGCCTTCCGGTCTTCTCTTCCCTGATCTCAAGGATCTCTGCTTAGCGGGGTCCTCTATCACGCCGCAAAACATACGCTCTGTGGTCCGTGATCTGGGCGCTCAGGGGGTTTCGACTGGGTATGGCACTACTGAGGGCACACCGGTGTGGAATGCACCGGTCTCGGACCCGGAGCTGCTCATCAGGGGCGACGACGTTATCTGTGGATCTGCTGTGCCGGGACAGCACGTGCGCATTTGTGCGCCGAACTCGACGCAGGTCATGCCGAGAGGCCAGCCGGGTGAAGTTCATGAGAGTGGGCCAGGGATGATTGCTGGTTACCTCGGAGAGAATGTCGGGAAAGATTCTTTCTACGTGGATGATGACAAGACTTGGTACAAGACTGGCGATAGTGGTGTAATGTGGGATGATGGGCGTGTGTCTGTTGTCGGAAGGTAAGTCGCTTGCTTTTTTCCGACCTGACGCCTAAATACTTACGGATATCAGATTCAAAGATATGATCATCCGAGGTGGTGAAAACATCGCCCCTGCAGCGATCGAGGTCGTCCTCAACCAGTTCCCTGGAGTCGAGGTGAGTCTTCCCCCTGTTCATGGTTGAAGCAACATTTGACAATTCACAGGCTCAAGTCGTTGGCGCATCAGATACATTCGCAGGTGAGGTGCCCGTTGCGTTGGTACGAGCCCTCCCACCAGGCGACAATCCGGCGGGCCAACTCCAGGAAGCGGTTCGCAACCACATGGGCGTGTTGCACGTGCCTGATGAAGTGATTACCCTTGCTTCCCTTGGGCTCGACGACTACCCACGCACCATTTCTGGAAAGATACAAAAGGCTGCACTTCGAGTTATCGTTGCAGCTTACCGGAAAAACCGCGAAACAAAGCATGATTCAGCAGCCGTTTCAATCGACGGTGACGCCATTCCTCATACCAACGGTCACATGAATGGCAACACTAATGGCACCGTGCGTCGTGATTCCGGGACCATTGAGGATAGAGACGTCGAGCAGACAGTGCTCCACGTATGGTGGAGAGCCACTGGTATTGAGCCATCAAAACTCGACAAGCAGACTCCCACCTTCAACTATGCAGATTCGATCACGCTCATGCGTGTAAGAGCTTTGTACCGCAAAGAGCTTGGTGTCACGCTCACTGCAGTTGAGATGTCGCAGAACGCAGACATCCAAAGTCAGATCAATGCGCTAGAACGCAAAGTCTCGCAGTCTCAAAAGCATAACATCGCACAACTTCCTCACTTCGAGAACGCGCGGACACTGGACGAACTCCAGGTTGTCCTCGGGCCCGAAAATGACGCCCGAACATTCAAGGAAACCGCAAGCAGGGCCCTGGAGAAGCAAGGCTTCAACTTTGATCAAGACGTGGAGTCCGTCATTCAGATGAACGATTTCATTGATGTGCTGGAGCGCGAGAAACTCATCAACACGTGGAACTTTGGCATTTCCATCGTGGCAGACGGCTCAACGGTGCAGGTGGGTGACTGGGCGCCTTGGTAGCCAGACAAACAGCTCTAATATACAATATAGGAATTGAGAACAGCTTTGACGGCCGCTCTGACTAACAATTCGCTATGGACGTCATTTTATGTGCATGGGGATAGCGGGGCGCCTATCTATGTTACGATGAAGCCCCAGAAGAAGCTGTATGACCACGTCTTGATTGAGAATGGGTCCGTGAAAAGTGTTGCGGAGCTGCAGCAGATTGCTGTGGAGTACCCACATAGAGAGCATTCGGTGTTCCCTGGGCCTTTATTCCATGCACTCCTGTACGATATCGAAGACATCAAGTCTGCCGGTTTCGTTATGTATGGTGTGTTGAGAAACAATGCTTCCTAGTGCATGGGTCCGTACTGACAACTTCCAGTCCATCACATTGTCCACGACGCTTCGTCAATGCGTCTGTTCTTCGAAGATATAAACAAAGCACTACTCGAGCCAGCCCGACCATTAGCTCCACACGTGCCATACCAGCTGTAAGTAAAGACGGAGCGTACAAAGATGCATGCTAACGGTGCACAGATGGTCAGACGTCTACCACTCCTTGCGCAACTCTCCCCGCGCCACAATGGAGGTAAATTGGCACGTCAAGCGCCTCTCCAACATCCACCTCCACCGCAAAGCCCTCTACCCGCCCGCCCACGTGCCCCGCCAGGAAATCCAAACCTCCCCCGACGGCATCGACTACGGCTTCGACGCGCCCGCCCTGCTCAACCTCAAGCGCCACCACTCTCACATCACCGCCTCGGTCGTCCTCAAGGCCGCCATGGCCCTCGTCAACGTCACACGCACAAAGCACACCCACGCCCTCATCTCCAACTACGAAGCCGCCCGCTCCTCGTTCCCTTTCTGGCCAGACACCCTGCGCCACCTGCCCGGCCCAAATGGAAGTACGCTCGCGGATCTGGATGCGAGCGACGTCGCGGGCCCGACGATGAACGCCGTGACCAACGTCATACCCGTCGACCCTGCCGAGACCACGCTCGCCTTCCTGAACCGCCTCCAGGACGAGCAGCTCGCCCTCACCGCCCACGGTCACGCCCCCTGGCGCCGCATCATATCCGCTCTCAACGCGCTGCACCCCGGCGAAAACGCGGGCGAGCTCGTCTACGAGACGCACCGCACCCAGTTCCTCACGTGGGTGCCGGGCGCGCTGGGCGAGTACGAGCGCATGCGCATCGCAGCCATTGCGATACGCGCGGCGCTGGGCTTGGTGTTTGTGGCGGGTTTGGGCGGGCCGAGGGCAACGAGCTATGGGATCAGTCTCCGGTGGGACGTCGCCAACTATAGTGCTAAGGAGACGATGCGGTTTGTGCAGGATGCGGAGAGGGCGGTGCTGTGGATGTTGGAGGAGGGCAATTGGGGTAGGGGCGTGGGTGAGTTCCTGGCCACGGTTGAGGAGCCTGCGCCTACCGCGGTATCCTCGGAGAAGACGGCGAAGGGCGACTGCGAGGGTGTTGGGCAAGCTACCAACGAGACATTTGAGCTCATCAAGGAGAGCGAGCCTGTGCACAGCGCGCCTGTTGAGGGCAAGGTTGAAGAGCGAAAGTTTCGGGGGTCCAAGGTTGAAGAACTAGAGGTCGAGGGGTCAAAGGGTGACGAGTACAAGGTCGAAGCGGGAAACGCTGTAGCACACAAGGTCGAAGATCCCAAAGTTGAAACAAAGGCTGACGAGAGCCTGCCGGGAGAGAAGGTGTCTCTTGAAAGCACGCCGGTTTCGAGCTCCCTCGTCGACAGCGTCCACCTTGATGACAAGGTTGGGGGCAAGCCCGTTGAGGTTTAAATTGTTAGATAGGCTATTTTGCTTTATATGGCGCTGCGGTAGCGATTCGTTCGTCCAAATTTTAATTAATACATGAGTTTACAGTCGAATACACTTCATATCCTCGCTTGTAGAATCCGTGCTTATCGTCGAAGCCTCCCATCGACCTGCACCGCTACACTGCCTCGTCTGCGTGATGCGGACGCGAAACGGGAGGGAACATAGCAGACAATGAGGTCCAGGTAGAGCTACCCAGCCAGCACTCGTAGCGATGTGAACGTACTAGGCCCCGGCACCCCATCCCGCTCACTCATCCAGGGCGTCTTCCCAACCGTCGCCGTCTAACCCGCCACTAGTCCTCATCCCCTCGCCATCCACCCCTAACAGCCTCTCCGCGACCATGCTCCTCTCCTCCGCCAACACAATCTCAACCCTCTCGTCCCCGCCCCCTCAGCACCCCAACCGGATCCTCGGCCCCAAACAGCGGCGCCAGCGACGGCGAGGGCTTCGATGCAGGCTGCTTCGCAGGCGGCGCGGGTGTTTGGCGTGGCGAATGCGGTGGCTAGAGCCCGGAGGTGGGCGGTGCTGGACTCGAGGTTTGCGCGGAGCGTGCGGTTTGCGGTGAGTAATGGGGTGAGGACGGCGAGGGAGGGAGAGAAGAGGAGCTGTGTGGACTGGTTTTCACGGGAGCACATGCTGTGTGTGCGCTGTAGACGGCTGTGGTGGGGTTATTGTGCAGTTTGTGCGGGAGTTGGGCTTGCTTGGGACGTGTTTTAGATGTGGATGAGGTGTGTGATCGGATAACGAACTAGGAGGGAATACATGGTGGACGTGAGGGATGACGGCTGTGATGTTGGGGGAATGAGTGTTGAAGGTGACTGACTTGACGTGCTTGAAGTGTGCCGCACTTGTGTTCGACATCGCGCTTTCAATTCCAAGGTGCCATCATCACATAGCTACGCGCTTAGATCCCTACTCTGCTATCCTTCTTCGGCTTCGCTACCGCGGTCACTTCACTCCCGCGAGACACTGCGGTGCCCGAGATCAGCACGTTCAAGGCCACAAGTACCAGCTGGGTATCTCTAGATTATCTTCTCCTCCTCGTTCTTCCTCTTCATGTCTTCCTCGTAGTTGAAGCCTACCTCCTCCAACGTCTTCACTCCAAACCTTTTCTCCCCCAGCGCTCCGAAGGCTGCCCGGATCTTGGGAAATTGCTCTCTACACCAGAACTCCCACTGGCCCCACACAGGCGGCTTCTTCCCAATCCCCTCATTCTCCAGCCCGTCTCTCGCCTCTGCACTTAGCGCCCAGTCCGCCAGCATATTGATGTAGTTCCCATCTTTCGGAAACGGCAGGAGGTGAAAGTTGCGCCCGTTGCCCATTTCTTGCGCAGTAGCGCTTTCCCAAGCCTGCATGGATGGTAGCGAAGGGAGGGCTAGCCGACCAGAGTAGACGCGCGCGAGGACGGCGGACTGGGCTTCTGCGATGGGGAATGGGATAACGCGTTGGGGGAGGGCGAGGAAAGAGAGGGTCGGACGCGGCGCGTAGAAAAGGTGGTGGTAGGTGTGATTGACGTGGGAGCCATCTGTGATCAGCTTTGGCTCGACGTTGGACAGGAAAGGCAGCGAGTAGAAGTAGCCTGTTGCGAAGACAATGGCGTCAATGTTGTTCTCGGAAGACCCGTCTTCGAATTCAACACCCCTGCTGGAGAGGAGGAATTTGGAAATTGGGGGGCGTTCGTGCTTAGTGGGGGAGGTGCGCACGTTGAACATGGAGGGTGATTTGCTAGACCAGAGCAGGGGGAGCTGCGAGTATTGCGCGATCTGGGTGGAGATGTCGGTGCCGGAGGCGGAGTTGCCGACGACAAGGACTTTTTTGTCCTTGAAGTCCGCTGGGCTACGGTAGTATTTTGCATGGGATATCGCGCCAGGGTACTTGGCGTCCCATGCTTTGATGCCTGGTATTTCTGGTAAATAAGGCACGATGAAATGCCCGTTAGCCACAATGACGGCGTCATATTCTTCATCCTGCTGTATGTTGGAACGTATATTGCGTGTTTGCACTTTCCAGCGCATACTTTGTTCATCTACAGGCTCGACATTGGTGACCTGCGTTTCGTACCGTATGAGATCTCGTACGTCTCTGCCGTAGTCCTGGATATACTTGAGGACAGTTTCATGTTTGGGAAAAAGTTGGCTGTCTTGAGGCCAATCCAGGTCTTGGAAGCCCATTAGGCCACGCGGGATATTTGTCTCCAGTCTATCGTAGATAGGTGATAAGAAGCTTGGGTCTTTCTCTGCGCCGTCTGATCTCCCATCTGCCGGTCTGGGCCGTTGGGACCAAGTCGGGTCCTGGTTCTTTCCTAAAGGATTGGTCTGAGGTACAGTAAAGAGGTCTTCGTCTCTCTGATGACCAGTGTAGTTCCATATTCCGCCACTCCTACTTCGTTGTTCGAAAAGGACAATCTTGTCAAATGCCCTCTCCGCTCGAAGATATCTGCTTCTTTCAGTATACTCTAGGATAAGGGTAAAGTTGAATATACTTCGCTGCTGCCAAGCCTGACGGACCTGCTCCTATGATAGCAATAGTGCGTGCTCTCATGGATAGCAGTTCTGAAGCTATCGAACCCATTGCACGGCGTTTTGCGAGCAAACTTATACACAATGATGGGAACGGTGGGAAGCCCCCGGAAATTGAAGATATTGCAACTAGTGGTCAGGACCCCAATCTGGAACAGTATGAAGCCAAGAAGAGAGGTGGTTGCCTCAGCGAAGATCGGAGGGGCGCCACAGCCGTGGCTGGTTTAGCGCGCGATGACGAAACGCGGTCTCACGAAAACGGACGACATGTTCACTGGCTGCGGCACCCAGCCCACCGTCCTTTTGGTACACAACACTGCCGTGATCAGGCGTCTGCCGCTCCAGCGACTCCCTGTGCCCAAATTGACGTGCCAGAGCCGCTCTTGCAGCCACACGCTCGGTTACACCACGTAGACACGAGCGATGCTCGCCCGCCTGCGAACCGTTGCACCCATAACCCGGCAGGTCCGAACTTTCTCTGCGCACAACCCAGCGATGGCGCCACTGCGGATAGGCTTCGTCCCCGAGCACTTCTCCACGCCCCTCGAATTCGCCAAGAAGCACTACGGCCTCAATGCGCGGCTCCTCCCGTTCCCCTCCGGCACGGGGCACATGGTCACGGCGCTCCAGGCCGACGAAATCGACGTGGGCGTTGGACTCACCGAGGGCTGGATCGCGGCGCTGGGCAAAGCACAGGAGGCAAAGCAGGACGCGGGGTTCAAGCTCGTCGGCACCTACGTTGAGACCCCGCTCTGCTGGGCCATATCAACGGGCGCAAAGCGCGACGAGCTGCGCAGCGTCGACGACCTCAAGGGCAAGAAAGTGGGCGTGTCAAGAATCGGCAGCGGCAGCTATGTTATGAGCTTCGTGCTGGCGGACCAGCAGGGCTGGCTCGACCCGCAAGCTTCTGGCCCGCCGTTTCCTGTCGAGCCGCTCAACACGTTTGTGAACCTCCGCGAGGGAGTGAACAACGGCACGGCCGACTTCTTCATGTGGGAACATTTCACGTCGAAGCGGTACTACGACAACGGCGAGATCAAGCGCATTGGCGAGATCTACACGCCTTGGTCATCGTGGAAAATTGTGGCGAAGAATGATCTCGTGAACCCCAAGAACTGGTCGCAAGGCGTGCAGGCTTCGCATCCTGCGCTCAAAGGAGAGCTGGACGATGCGCTGCAGAAGATCAACAAAGGCGTGAAGCACTTCGAGGACAACCAGGAGGAGGCGGTTGAGTACATAAGCACCAAGTTGGACTACTCGCAAGAGGATGCGCGGGAATGGCTCAAGACGGTGCGATTCCCGCAGGAGGTGAGGGGTGTGGACGATGCCGTCGTGCAAAAGACGGTGCACATACTGCAGAAGGCGGGTGTGCTTGGCGATGCAGTGGACGAGCAGGTCATGATTGGGCTACAGAGATAGCGAATCTCAGACTCGGCGAATTTCTTCCATCACGTTCAAGCTGCTCTACCGATTTGGAGTATAGTCAATAGTCTGGGCGGACATGCCGGCATATCTTGACACCGAAACACGGCTCCCCCGTGGGCAGGAGCACATTCTCTTGACTTGAAGCATGTGCTCGGAGTACTGACTCTGGGGAGGGTAAAGCTCGGGTGCCACGTGCTGCAGCTTTGTCCACGGGTGGATGGACGTTGCTTCGGATGGTCCGCAAACACTGGACAGCACGACGCGTACGCACCTGTTCAGCACGCAGAGTAGAAGCCTCAGGTACAATCCACAAGCAGCAGGAGCATAACCTCACAACATGCCCAGCGGGATGGCCGCCGCGTACACATCGATTCACCGTCCTGATGATCCGCACGTGCCAGCGCGATGCTCGCTAGCGGCATCGTGGTCGGGCCGTTTGAAGCACCCCTGCCAAGCGATCCCGCATAGACAGCGTCGCCCATTCATAGCGGAGCAATGCCCCGTCACAGCCACTGCAATATCGTCGTACGCAATCACATCCCTGGCAGGTGCGGACATCAGAAACATTCGCGCTCGCGTCCGCCATGGCGACTACTAGTCGTCGGCAGTGCACCCGCTGTGGCAAGCTTGCTCCGTCGATCTGGGGACGAAACACCAGGGTGCCGTGTATATATACAATGGAGCGTGCCATGGGCAGCGGTACGAGTCTGCGTAACCGTTCGTTCCTGCTTTCCGCGCTGTAGTCCTTCGTTCGCTCGTTGAAGCCATATCAACATGCGCTCTGCCCTTCTTCTCGCTGCTGCCGCCGCCGCGCCCCTCGCGAGCGGCATCCGCATCGTCCAGTCCAACGACGACGGCTGGGCCGAGATCAACGCGCGCACCCTCTTCAACAGCCTCGCCGCTGCAGGAAACCAAGTCGTGCTTTCCGGCCCAGCAGAGAACCAGTCCGGCACGGGTACACACCACCTCTTCCCACCCAAAGTCCCTGATCAACCACACTAACACACTCCAAGGCTCCTCCGACGCAACCCCCACAACCGTCGACGCAGACGGCTGCGAGTACTCGTCGTGCCCGGCAAATGCCCCCGCCACCGGCGCAAACACCACCGACCCGCGCCTCAACTACGTAAACTCGTACCCAGTGACGAGCATCAAGCGCGGCATCTCTGTGACGGGCCCTGCGCTCTGGGCCGGCGCAGCACCCCAGCTCGCCGTGACAGGTCCCAACGTCGGCTCCAACGTCGACGTGCAGGCCTTCTTCTCCGGCACCATCGGCGCCGCCGTCTACGCCGCGCACACGGCGGGCATCCCCGCGCTCGCCTTCAGCGGCAAGTCGGGCGATCCGACGGCCTGGAACGTCTCCCCCGTCCCCATCCACAGCAGGGTCTACGCCGACCTCGCGCTCAATCTGACGACGACCATTGTCAACGCCGGCGCGCCGTACCTCCCCGCGGATGTGTTCCTCAATGTCAACTTCGGCGAGGTGACCGAGTCCACGTGCAACTCGGCGAGCCAGTTCAAGTTCATTGCGACGCGGGTCACGACGGGGCTGCTGAGCGCGCGGGACGCCGAGGTGTGTGGCAGCACGCGGCTGCCGTGGGAGGTCGATGTGAGTCAGTTACGCAGCGGGTGCTTTGTCAGTGTCAGTGTAGGGGATGCGGCGGATAAGACGACGGCGGATGCGGCGAGGCAGAAGGTCGTGTTTGATAAGCTGAAGCCGATTTTGAGCTGTTTGTAGAAAGGCATCAGGGGGTTTACCTTTATTGTGTATATTTTGGTGGGGGGTTGACGCGGCGAATAGGACGTATATGGTAGTGGGCGAAGGAAGTATGTCATGTTGCTCCAAGTCACCACCGTCTCTTTTTTCAAACGCCCGACAAGTTGCACGCTCAGGTCCCTCTGGACGTCTCTTTGTAATGGGTTTGTGCTGCACTCGCACTCCCACCCGTCCAACATCCAACCTCAAACCCTAACCCTCTCCTCCGCCATCCCCTTAACCGAATACAGCAGCATAGCAGACATATACATCCTCCTCTCGCCCCTCTTCCCATCTGCCCCCTCCCTCCTTCCACCTTTCCCCCCGCGACCCTCCCGTCCAACTCCCACTCCTCCCTCGCAACCTCCCACCCCAACCACCGCCTCCTGCACATGCGGCGCTCCTTCCCCGGGAACTTTTGTCGAAATCCCATCCCTGAGCGAGCCTTCGAGCCGCGTGGTTCTCCCATCTGGACCATCATCCTCATTGCCAATCGGATCCTGCTTCACCACCGCGAACTCCCTCACTGGCACCCGCTGAGTCACATGCGCCCTCGCTCTTGCCCAGGGCCTCCTCGTCCATACCGTCACAACCCCCAAGACAGTCACGAAGAGCAAGAGCACAAATCTGCTGGTCAATCCTACAGTCATGTCTTCCCTCTAGCTCTTTGATGACTGAGGTGTCGTCTGCCACGCCAACAGTGCAGCGTTGGCTAGATCACGCGGGCAGTTTGTGAGTTGGAAGTTTACAGCATCGCTCACACGGGTCAATATGGGGGGTCTCGTAGGTGGTAGGCGGACTCTGGTCCTAGGAGGGGGATCCCACGTCCGTACAAGTGGGCTCGCCCGACCAATGCATCAGTCCCATAACCCACTTTCTCGTGCCCGCGTCCCACCCGGCCCAACTCGCGGAGCAGTCCGTGTAACGTGTGCATCGCGGTTCCTCTCGGTCCAGGTCCCAGCCGTCACCTCCATCCGCGGTCGTCCAGCGTACGTGTAACGACCTCAGCGCGCGCCAGCATTCCAGCCCCGTACGCCAGCGGAAACGGCGAACATCCCACAATGCCATTTCGCAGAGCCAAGTAACACTTCGGAACCAGTACTATCAAGAACACTTCGATTCGGTCATGTGGAGTACTCATCACATACCCTCCTATCTTGGCTTCGACAGGCGTTATACCCGTGGGCCCGGGCGGGCCATCCCGTTGGAAGACGCACATATCTCGTCGCATCCGCTCCAAGCACGTGTGTGCCTGCAATGGGGCCAGCAAAGGTGCGTCACTGTTCTCGTAGTCTGGCGTGTGATACGCGGCGTGTATATGGTCGAGACGTGGGTCCTCGTCCAGGTCGAAGCTGTAGTCGCGCTGACAACCAGAGCTATGGAAAACACACATGTCGCATACCTACGTGCTTTCGTCAACAACGTGCCCCCTAGTTTGAAAAAACTCACATGTTGACGGAACGATTCTACCGGACCCGAAGAGCTGTTGAGTAAGTCGCATGCAGGAAGTGCTGCTCGATGCAGGGAATCCGAGCAGTCTCACACCCCGCCTGCCTGTGTGCCATTCCCGAGCTCCTGGTACGTGTACCGCTACTCGCAGAATTGCATCGTGCCACAACTCCAACAGAAAAGTTCATAAAACGGGACGAGTCCGCCCATGTGGCATGGCGTCTTCACTCAATGTGTGCTACAATATCATTCCCTCGTACAGCCATATTAATCTGGCCTTATGCTATCTTAGCCCTCTGCTGAATGCATCCATAGTTTCATACCAGATACCATGTCTAATGCTGTTCCTAGGTCCCGCCGATTGACGAGCTCCTGACCTTCGCTTGGCGAGGTGACACAGTGCTGGCAACCCACCAGCACAGCACAGCGCTTCACCTCTCTCCCGCACCGATGAACACAATCACACCCACCCCCCTCATGTCCACTTCTGCACCACCACACCCCCGCGCTTGAACTCGGGCAGATCGCCTAACGCCTGCGCCTTGTCCGAGAGCTCCCTGCTCGGAAACGTCGTCATGAGCGCATACGGACGCTGTGTGCTCGCCGCGCTGGCCGAGTTGACGAAATCGTAGACATCGCCGATGGTGTGCGTCGTGTTGAACCGCGAGGGGAGGCGTGTGCCGTCGGCAAGACGGATCTGGAGTGTGACGACGGGCGCGCTCGAGTCAACGTTGACGGTGGGCTTCGCAGCGTCGGCAGTGCCTGCGGCGGCTGTGGGACCTGACGAAGATGCGGCCGGTGCGGGCGGCGGAGCAGACGAGCTTGCGCCGAATGTAGGGCTGCCGAGACGCTGGCCGGAGCCTGAGAAGGGCACCCACTTCTTCTTGGGCTTGACGTAGTCCTCATCCTTGTGTGCGTGCACCTCGACGTCCACCTCTTGTCCCTGCTCGACGTTGAGGATGTGAAGCGGAGCGTGGCCGGTGTTGATCATTTCGAGTGTGCGGGCATTCGCCGGGTCATCGTAGCGGAAGAGGTCGCCGTCGTCGACGGAGAAGCCATCCCTCCACAGGTGCAGCTCTCGGTGTGCGCGGGGTGGGAGGCTCGGGGCGCTGGCGGTAGGGTCGGGGATAGCGCGAGAGGGCGCATCGTCGCCGCCCAAGGTCATTCCCGTGCCGCGGAATCGCGTAGCAGGCTCCTCGTCATCGCCGCCTGGCCGAGGAGCATTCCTATGAGTGTTAGCACAGGCCGGCCAGTCACCATGCTGGAGTACTCACTGCCGAGCACGTCGGAGAATATTGTTGATGTGATCGCGGGGGTTCGACTGGTTGGGGTTCTGCACCGCAAGCCCGGACTTCTCGCCACCGGTGAAGAAGTCGTGCTGCTCGTCGTCGTCATCTGAATCGTCATCGTCGTGAGCGTGGCCGTGGCCGCCTCCGCCCGACAACTGCAGATCTCCCAGTGTCCTCGCTCCTGCTACTCCGCGCGACGGCGGGTTCCGCCGCACTGCTGGCTGCTGCGCCGACGAAGCGCTGGATGCGGTGGGCGGCACATAGGCACCGCCCAGTGTGCGACCGCCGCCCGGTGGCTGCTGCGCGGGCGTCTGGTTGTCGTTGTCATTGTCGCCGGCCATGATGTCTTGTGATGTCGGGTCGTTGGCCGAAGTGGCGTTGTGCTCGTCGTCCGGTGCTCCGTCGAAGTAGAGAGCGCCGGCGTGCTCGAGGTTCCAGTTGGCGGCGGCGAGGTACTGTTCTGCCTGGTTGCGGGTTAGTAAGAGTGGAGAGCTTCTACGGGGTTCGACTTGCCTCTGCCGGAGCTAGGCCTGTAAGACTGGCGAGAGATGCAATGAGCTCGTCCTGGTTTGCAGGCGCGCCAGAAGACATGTCACGGAACTGGGACGCGGGTTCAGGCTGAGATGTGGTATGCAGATGCCTGAGGGTTGCGTCGCTTCGTGGTGAGGGCCAGACGCGGGTTGTGTGGTTGGTGGGGTCTGGGTCCTGTGCCTGGAGCTCTGGGGCGGGCGCCGCTTTCTGACGTCGATGATGGATGGCCCCTGCGCCGCTTGCACTGGCAGTCCACACCCACCTCTCCAGACTTTTGCACGTTGACCGTAAGCCCCCGGAAGACCTCCATGTGTCCACAACGGTCTATGAAGAGTGTCATTGCGTCATCCGAAGAATCCATGTGCAATCTGCTATGCAAGAGTGCAAAAGCGCCATTGGGGATCAAGTGCAAAATGTTCAATTGCATGTGTATGCTTCCCTGGTGAAATCTAGCGCGTACGTTGTCCCAGACGCGCGCGCAATGTGTAATATGTACAACTACAGTGATTGTGTTCCTCCGCCTTGCAGCGCCTTTCTTCACAGCCCGCCCGCCGTGGCTGTACCGCTGCGCCGTGGCGACCTCATGCCCTCAGACGTCCATCCTGTAGCATGATGCTCCTACTTCTACTCCAACGACGTGTACATGTCCAACTCCTCGCCATCTCTCCGCCTCCGCTCCACAGGATCCGCGCGCATCTCCACGCCTGGGCCCACACGATGTCCGCCGCCAGCGCGGTGCGTAGGAAAGATCTGTAATCCTAATGTCAGCCCTCTCTCTCCGTGTCCCACACAGCCTATTCACCCCACGCATGCAAACCAAGGCCCGATTCTAAAAAGCAAGTAGTTGGGAAACGTACCTTCGTCCCACTCCACCCCAGCCTATACGCCGCCTCATTCGCAACCAGTTCACCAAACCCCAGCATCAGCCCGTTGACAAACGGCAGAAGCAGATTAATCGCGGCGCCGCGGAGTAGGCCCCATAGTGTGGGCGGCTTGTAGAGGATCAGCGGCGACGAGGTCGACGTGTCGCTGGGCGGGGCGTCGGGTGAGGCTGCAGCGTCGGGCGAGGTCGAATAGTTTTCGCTGTCCGAGGGAAGGGTTGCGAAGGACGACGAGAGGGTCGGGTCGGAGGTGGTGGAGGACATTATGGGTTGGTGCGGTGGGAGGAGAGGTCGGACGAGGTTGCGGTGCGCCTTGTTCGATCCGTTTCTCAGCTATATGTCTGCCTGTGCTGAGGTAGCGCGTGTCTCGAATAGCGCGTGGCGTGATGGGACGGGGCCCGTGTTGGATGTTGGAGGTAAGGTTGGAGGTGAAGATGGACGGGCGGCGCGCCAAGATCGGAGCTTTGGCGTCGCGTATCCCCGCAAATACTAGATTGTGGACAGGGTGAGTATCCCGGAGCAGGTGATATGGCACCTGAGATTCGCGCGAGATGAGAGATCCAATAATTCTGGTATATCCATCAATGCGGCGGAGTGGAACAAGCGTCGTCTTCAAAATATCATTTGGCACACTACGTCAACTTCACGCGAGTGAACGGTTCATTTGTGCAGGGATTTGATTTGGTACAATGGCTCCAATGCAACCCCCCAAGCATCCAAGCCAGCCCTCTCTACATCTACTAACACAAGATCGAAAGCCCTCCCTTTCTCTATCATACATGAATACAACACGACGACAGTCCCATCTCGCCCAACGTTTACCTCCACCCTATCTGTGATTCTTCTTCTCCTTCATGTATTTCTTGAGGTCCCGAGCCTGCTTCGCCGCCGCATCTTGCTTCTTCTTGACGTCCGGGTCCCGCGGGTCCTGCCACTTGCTGATCTTGCCCTTGATCGTGCTGGGCGTCGACTTGAGCTGCTCCCACGCGGTCTTGGGTTCTTCAGCCACATCCGCCTGGGTTGGCGCTCCCCGCATGTGCGCTGGGAGCGACGCCGACGACTTCAACCTGAGGCCGCTCGGGGCATTGTGGCTCCTGGACGCCGGAGGGCTGGGCGCTTGGTATTGGATTTTCCCGTCAGGTGTCTTGATGCTGTTCATGTCGATCTCACCCCTCGCGACTTTGCCCCAGAGTTCGTTGGATTGCGGCGTGGGAAGTTGGCGGATGCCGAGGACGCGGCGAACGGCGGGCTGGCGGAGAGAGTAGCCGGTGATGGCGCCCGTGATAGAGGTTGCGAAGAAGTAAAGTTGGATGGCAGCTGGCTGGAAAGCTGTTACTGCAGTCATGAGGACGGGCAGGACGACTTGAACCTGCTTCTGCAGGCTGGTCTGGGCTGTCTGATCCTGCATACCCGTTTCACCGCCTCTCTGCTCGTCGTTAGCTGAATGATTTGGAACACACGTCCCGGGATCACTTACCCTGATGACCTGGTACATGATACCTCCCGTGATCACGGGAAGCATGTAGTAAGGGTCCGCAACGCTCAAGTCGGTGAACCACAGCCATCCGTCAGTGGTGATTCCGGGAGCCGGCAGAGACGAAATCCCACGTAGCGATCTCCATGCACCGTATCCGAAGACACCCTGGGCGATAGCTGTGCCCATTGACTTGAAGATATCCACGCCGACATCTTTCATTATGGTCTGCTGTTTCATTTTGAGCATCTGCACCCTCTCATCGTCGCCTCGTCGCTTGGCTTCTTCCATTTCATCCTGGAGGGGCTGAAGAACAGGCTTCATGGCTGCGGACTTGGCCATGGCGTCCGAGCCCCATCTCTGGAAGGTGAAGAACAGACCAGTTCGCAGGATCAGTGCCGAAGCCACAATGGTTCCTGCCCAGCCGAGCTCAGCGTTGATGTAGACCACCTCAAGCAAGCTCTCGAAGAAGGCGGAGGGACCCCAGCCGTAGTCAAGTCCCAGATCTTTGAGGTTTCCCCAATACGAGAGAGGCACGGTCGGGTCTATAAAGGAAGAGTCTGAGGCTTTTGTCGTGATTTCGAGCAAATCCTCCACCGACTTGCCTTCCAAGGTGGATGTGGGGTTGGCGGACACGGCGGTTGTTTCTACTCCGGCGGGCTGGAGCTCTGGGGTGGCAGTGGTGACCACGGGCTCAGGGACCACTTCGGGGACGGGCGTGGGTTGAGAGGCGAGCTCGGAGGCGGCGTTCGAAGGCGTGCCGGAGCGACCCCATGTCCAGGGTGCGTACCACGATGCATATCGGACTGCAGAAGGCGAGAGAACGACGTCAGACGATGGGGATGCGCCGATGCGCCAGTTCGAGGAGCGGAGGGAGCTTGTCCGACATGACGCGGGGAGTGCAGTTCTTCGTGGGACGGAAGAGAACTGTAAATGATTACATTAGCGACTGTTAGCTGCCTGTTGCGCAGATGCGACGCGGAGATGGAAGGTGCTCATATGCTGGAATGGTGCCACTGGGGATGGTGGAAGAGCCATTGCGCACCTTTCTCGATGTAGCGGACCGCAGAGCAGAGGACTGACGGGAAGCCAGCGAGGCCAATTGTCGGGGCGGAAGCCCTCTACTAGGAAGCATTGTGAGTTGTCGTCCGATCGATCACCTCGACGGGCTCAAAAGTTTGGAAATCATATCAATGCCAAGCCCGCTAGGCCCATACGCTTCCCCACAGCGCGTCTGCTTCTTTAGCGCGTCGTGTATGGACAACAATCTGGAATACCTCTCACACCGGACGTGGCTCCGGCCATGGTTACATTCAGCTTGATGGTTCCTTAGGTGCACGCTTGATTTTCAATGCTAAATTCGTTCATTACTCGCCGCATACATCCCGCAAAACCTTTTCGCACACAACATCCCATAGGCGCACTGCCTATTGACAAGAACCACCATGCGCACAATTCCAGAAACAGCTACCGTGCAGTATACTAAAGTACAGGATAAGTTGGAACCCAAGCGCCGCCGCCGAGGCAGCCAGTCGCTCTGTGAAGCGAAAGAAAAAAAAAGAAAAAAAAAGCCCAACCGAAGCTGGTGTTCATGGCAGCATCTGCTGCCTTCAATGGAAGGATGGAAAGTGACATCGTGCCGGGTCGTAATTTTGGGGTATCTGATCTGATTCCCATGCCGTGCCCCTGACGACCGTAACGCCTGCGAGCATACAGTGTATTGAAACAGAAAACGAATAGATGCTAAGGCCTGACTCCATAGAGTATCTTCGTGGTAGATAAAGACTAGGGTTGATGCCGTGAATTGGATATATAGAGCCGAACCAAGTAATCCGTAGTCGCGAGGTAGGGTCAGTCACTGGACCACTAGTCCATATAGCTGTTGCCTTCCGTAACAGCAAGCGCCTCTTCAGCCTGACCACCGCCTGTCTCCATCATCTCGCCGAACATCTCTTGACCGTTGCCTGAGCTCTTGAAGACATCCTGCATCGGGCTAGTTGGCTCGCCTCCTGCGCTCTCAAAGAGTCCCGGGTCGATGGGAGCGATAGAAGAGCCGAAGTTCATGGGGGCATTGGTCGCAAACGTTGGAGAGTTATTGAATCCGCTCGTGACTGGGTTGGAGTTGAAATAGTCATTCTCGCCAAAGCTACGGCGAGGAGCAGGAGGTTCACCGGGCGGTGTGTGCGATTGTTCTGGGGCAGGTTGGAGACTTGGTCTGGTAGGGTCCAGTGACTTGCGCTTGGTCTGCTGTGTTTTGGGTCGCATATGAGGAGGCAGATCTTCGGGATTGGTGATGCCAAGTTGCGACATGAGCTTCTGCTGCTTGGTAGGCCGCGGCTTCCGCGTGGAGAGTGAGACACTGAGAATTGGAGGCGGCTGGGGTGCGACGGGAGCCCATTTATGCAGCTCCTGACGGAAGAAATTTATTTCGTCCGACAGGAGAATCTCCGCCCCCTCTAGTTTCCTGAGATAAAAACGTTGGGTTGTAAGCTCTTCTGGGCTTGACATGACAGGGTTGATGTACTGAGCAACATATTCTCGGAATTGAATGCCGTGATTGATGAGCGATTCCAAAGTCTCTTCTTCCTCAGGTTGGAAGGGGAGAGAGAGTATCTCGTCCTGCCACGTCTGCAAATCTTCGAGCTTCGGTCGTGTAGCGTCCCGAGGAATCTTGACCCGGTAGTCGCAAATCGGGCAGGTGTACTTGTCTTCTTCCTTCAGTTTGCCTCGGGCGAGCTTGAGACATTTGCTGTGGTACCTGTGAGGGTTAGTCATTGGAACAGTGAGGCTGAGATTTCTCACTCACCACTCATGACAGAGATCACACTCGATCATGATCCCCGCCTCGGGTTTCCGGCAAATGCAGAACACATCCCGGCTCGAACCAGACCCATCAACATTTTCTTCATCTTCTTCCGGAGTGTTTGCGCGCGAAGACGGCTCAACCGGCATACGAGGCTGGTCAGACAAGTCGAAACATGAGATGTTCCGCTCGTCGACCTGCTTCATATGGGCGTGCAGAATGTGCAATGGTGCGTTGGCTTTCCCGAAAAGCTTTTTGCCGCGTCGCATCCAGTCCTCGTGTCGCTTCTGCTCCCGCTCGAGATCAATCGTGCCTGTAGGCTTACTATTCAGCGCACTCAGAGCCTCGACAGCATTCTTCACTTCTAAATATTTCGGTCGCTGGCGGAAGTCTGGATTCTTGCTTCGCTCGTACAAGGACAGAATCAACTCTTGTGCATCTCGCTGCTTTTTCAAAATTGCGTCAACAGCAGCAAGAGTTTCTGGCACGACCGGAATACTGTTCGCCTGTTTTGAGAGAGCATCGAGCTGCTGGTAGTGGACGTTCTCCACGGACATGAGCTCCTTCGCTTTCGACTCCCAGAGCTCGCCCTGGACCTTCTTATCTTGCAGGAAGTGCACTTCAGGGTGGTTCTCAGGAATGCCGAGCTCGATGCCCTGCTCGATCAGCACGCTAATATCTTTTAGAGTCGGTGCTTTTTGTCTGCAGTCGTCGACTGTTTTCAGCCATTTCAGTTGCGCAACCACCTTCTCCAGTGAATCCAGTTCCGGAAGATCAACATTGAAACCTTTGCCTTCCTCGAGAAGCTCGTCCAATCTCGCAATACTTTGCTGGGCGGGTCTGTCCCGAAGTGCAGCACGAGCCTTGTCTTGAAACTCTGTAATGCTATCGAATCGTTCACGCAGTGCCGTGATCTCTGGACTGTCGAAGGCCAAGTTGTTCGCCGTTGCGAGCAGTTTCTGGATGCTTTCGATATTACGATACTCCCGTTCTTTCTCGTCAACTTCGGCAGCTGCGGCTTTCCCTCGGCCTCGGCCACGGCCTTCATTCTTGCGCCGCGCTTGTTGCTTTCGCGTCGTGTAGCCCAACGCTTCTTCTGCTATCTCAGAGCACTTTTCCACGAACTCTTTGAGGTCCGCAAGACCACTCAAATCCCAATCGATGCGTTCTCCTTCGTTAAGCAGTGCGCGAAGTGATTTCAACTGAGGCTTTGGGCCTTCAGCGAGAAGTGCCTCGAGCTTGGCGTCCCACGCTTCCGGCATGCCCGCCTTATCAACGATCTTTTGAATTGTGGACTCGAAAACGTCGTCGGTCATACGGTATGTGAGAAAGTGCTCGCCGCGAGCACCGAGGTATCGCTCTCCTTCCAGGCTCCCGGGACAGCATTCGAACCACCCAGCATGGCGCAAGCATAGCACCTTCTTAGAGTTTGCGCAGTAAAACCGCGAAAGATAACCGTAAGCCTTACAGAAACTGCAAATGAGTTCATCTTCGTGCATATCTGTGTCGTTGAACTCGATCTCAATGTCGCATGTCCCGTCGCCGTCTCCGGTCCCATCAATCTTGCACTTTTGTCCGTGGAAAACTTTATGCTTCTCGGCAAACTCTGTTCTAATCTTGGTTTCGTGTGCGCGCATTCGTTGCAGGGCCGGTGCTAACCATTTTGCGGTCTTGATCGTCGTGTCTTTTCGCGAGGCTGCTGCGAGAAGAAGTTCATCGTGGGAGAAACATGGCTGCCGACGGTAGTCCTGGAGACGCTGAACTCCGAGCTCGCCAAAAGGCTCCCAATCAGAAGGCGCAAAATTGACAGCTTCGTTGAAGTTGAAGCCATGATTGAATCCAGCATGATAGGCTTGCGGGAAGGTAATGACGAACTCGCCAGCGCGCTGATCTAGCGCAAAAACCCTCACCCCAGCCTTCTTGAGCTGATCAGGGGTCAACAACGTGACCAGTTGGAAGAGGAGGTCGGGCTGAGACTCAAAAAGTTCTGGCACAGCATCGCGCATTGCTTGCTCGAACTTCTCCGTATCCTCAGCTGGAATTCCATACCACGTCTTGGTTGCGCCGAAATGTTGGTAGTTGGCGGAGTAAGTGAAGTGATCTTCGTTGTGCCAACAGAAGGTTGAGAAGACCATGCCAACGTACAACCATGGCACTGTCATGCCGGAGATATCGGACTTGATATGACGAAAGAGCGATTCCGAGTTGTAGGGCATGATGTTCAGGTTCCAAGGATCAGTTGCATAGGGCTCCCGGGGATTGCGTTCGATTGTGGGAAATCCACTTCCGTGTGTCGTGGAGTGCACATCGGCGCCATATTCTACTTCGACTGTCTCGGTTATGCTTTCCACGAGTCTCCAGAATTCCTGTTCGATGTCGTCTTCGCTCACAGGCTTCGGAGTATTGGTGACAGGGTCAAAAGGCATCTTGTTGGCAAAGTGAGCTTGCTTGAAGAGGTGCGCACGCTCTTGAAATTGTCGTAGCGAGTAGGTACCGCCCTCTTCAAATCCGAATTCGCCGGTGCCAACCAGGCACTTGGGACAGTGCCAGTCGTATTCCGGAATGCCTCTGATTGGGGGGTCAAGACAGTATCCGTGATATCCGGCATCGCAACTGTCGCATAGTAAAATGTTGGAGGGATCGCTCTCGGTGCCACATGTTTCACATCGCTGCTCATTGGATGAGTAACTTGGAACAGGGATGTCAAAGGACAGTGCACTTACATCGCCAGGACGCTCGTCGGAAGCGCGAACACGCGGGTGTAACGTTCGTCCACCACTGGGTGTCGACTGGCGAGGTTGGGTCATGTGAGAACCCGCCACGGTCGGCGCCGCATCTGCAAGTGTTGCTGTTAGCCGGAGTGGATCGCCAATAAAAGATACAGCGACCGATCAGAGGCGCCGAGATCCAACCAGGATGGCGCTACAGCACAACCCTGCCTAATTACAGGTGGAGGCTGCAGGTGACGGATGCGCTTACCTTTCTTCAGACGTTTGCTTCGACGGCCATTTGCCGCGTCGGCGTCGTCAGTCATGCCGCCCTCCGTTTCCTGGGAGAGCGTTCGCTTAAGATGCGGAAACGCTTGCGGATTGGAAAGCGGAGTCAGACCAACAGCTGACGGTCGCAGATCAGGCGTATTGTGCGCTGACAGCATTGGACTCCCGTTTCGTAGGGGTGTCGAAGTGCGAGAGTCACCATTGCTGTGAGCATAGCCGTTCATTGCGTTGATGTGGGAGAGTCCATTTGGCGCTGGTGCTGGCGTGCTTGCCGCTGGCGGAGTGGGTTGCGGGGACTGTGCATTCACAGCTGTGAAGCCTCCTGCGTTCACAGCGGTAAAGCCAGACGAAACAACAGGTCGTGGAAGATCTGCTGGGGGTGGTGTCGGTGCAGTATCAGTATGCATTGAAGCATTGAGTGCGACCGTCGCCCTCATCGCTGGCGAGTCGAGGGCGTTGCCATTCGGTGTGCCGTGCGCTGATTTCTTCATAGGCGACGGCGCTGGCGAAGGAGTGTAAGGGCCGCCATTTTCGTGCTCTATCATTTGCTGCACTCCAGGTTTCACAACTCTCAGATACTCTTCGTACGGATGGAGCCACTTCTGGTACGAGTTCTTGAGCGAGGTAGACAGCGAAGACATGATCTTGCCGCTGTAGCCGAGGTCTCGTCCAATCTCTGCCCACTTCTTCTGCTTGCAAACACGTTCGAAGCCGCCTCTCGTTTCGACGGCTTTCTTAAGCTTGTAGAGATCCAACGGCCTCTTGTCTACACTAGGGAAACGGGTAAGACTATTGCCATGCTGCTTGTGAAACTTGGCCAGCTGGTCCAGATAATTCAAGTTTGCGCGCGTGCCGCCCTCCACGGAGTTCAATTCTTGTCGGCGGGTACGAAAGTGGAAGCGCTCCGTGTCGATGGCGAATGGCGGGTTCCAAGAGGCTGGCGGGACGATTTTGGCGATGCCAAACTGCTGTGCCTCCTCACGGATCGAAGCAATGTATGCCAACGGGTCCTTGAACTCTTCCGTGGTCGGTCTGAAGGTGGGTGCTTCCTGCAGGCCGAACATGCGATTCGGCTTCGGTGGCGGATTGTTGGGCATGCCTTGCCCTCTGCGCTCCACTGTCGCAAGATCCAGTGCCTGCGCTTTGCGCGCGCTGAGAGGTATCCCATTTATGCCGACAGATGGCGTACCGCTCGCTGGAGTAAGCGGCGTGCCTCCCATCCTGCTTTTCGGTGCAGCGGGCGCTCCGTTTGCGCTTGCGACTCGAAAGGTGGCCACCGTGCCGCCCATCGGCGGGCCGCTGGGGGGAAGGAGATCGACCATGCCGTCGCTGCTGCACCCAGCGCTGCCCTCTTCCGGCCCAAACTACAGAGAGGTAACGATGGTGGTTGTGTGATTACTGCAGTGTCGCATTCGCATTCGCATATGTATTCGGGGCGCAGAGCTGGCGGGCGGGAGCCTGGGGGTCTGGCACAGAACGAGGGCTGCGGCGGAGGCGACTGCTGGGATTAGAATAGTGCGAAAGCGGTGTGCAGCTGCACGCAAAATGAACGAGTAGGCGGTTAGATTGAGTGTTGCGCTCGCACCGGGTGGGGTGAGGTTGTGGGCAGCAGCGTAGAATTGGTCCCGGGAGACGTCGGCGGAGAGGTGAAAGAGTTTATGGACTGATGGGGGAAGCGCGAGTGGACGTTCCTGCCGGCTCTGTAGTAGTGGTAGACTAACCCAACTCGTGCGAACCGATGTCGAGGCAGGCCCAAGAACGATCCTCAGCCGACAAAGAACGGCAGATAATATTCACCGATCACGGCGACGATGCGGACACGGAGCAGTCTAAAAAATGTATCTTTTGAATGAGGTACCAGTCTCGGAGGATATTGAAGGTATGCAGTATGAGAGCACACGCTCAGTCGCCATGCCGCCTGAAACAGCAAGGCGAATTCTGGGACCGGGTTTTCTCACTCCCCCAACGCTGCGAGTTGCCAGCCATGTTCTAGCGGATCATAATCGTCTGCATCGGGAGACCTTCCCATCTCGCAAGCACGTATCAGAGATGTTACTGAGCAGCTGTCGCACGTTCGTCAGCGTTACTGCCAACGTGACGCTCGGCGATTCGTATTGAGACGCACCTAGCCAAGTCGCCTGCGTATTTTGTATACCTCAATATTAACTCGCCGGCCGCGCCAATATTTTTGACCATGCCGCACGAGTTGACGTTGGCCGCTGCAAGCAAGGATGCGCACGGAACGCCCCCCATCCCAGCCAATGGCGCCTCAGCCCTGCACGCCTTCCGACTTCCTTTTGTTTGTTGCCTCTGCTGTTTGCGCGCACCTCTATTACCACATTTGCAGTCTCGCCGTGTCGCCGTGCGCGGCCATGGAGAAGCCGATCCCCGCCTTCTACTGCTGCTATTTGTTGCGCTCCAAGAACCGCAAGTCGTACTACATCGGCAGCACCCCCAACCCTGCACGTCGGCTAGGCCAGCACAATGGCTCGAGCAAGGGCGGCGCGAAGCGGACATCGCTGCAGACGAAGCGGCCTTGGGAGATGACATGCATCGTGACCGGCTTTCCATCCAAATACGCCGCTCTGCAATTCGAATGGGCGTGGCAAAACACCCACGCGACTCGACACATCGACAGAGATGTTCGCGACGCAAGGGTCGAAGCGCTGCAGAAGAAGACAAAAGCCACGCCAAGCAGGAGAAGGAGGCCACCCATGTCGCTGGAGGCACGGTTGAAGAACCTGCATTTTTTACTGGGTGTCAGAAGCTTCAGCAGGTGGCCGCTCCACGTGAGGTTCTTTGCGCCGGATATATTTACGACTTGGGAGAGGCATACTGCGAAAATGGCGTCGAAATTGAGAGCAAGCATAACAATACAGCTCACGCCTGCGGACTCCCCAGCACCTATTGCCGATCCCTCCACCGGCGATATGACTGTATTCAAGATTCCCGACGTTATACAAGCAATACCCGTAGCATATGAGGACTGCAAGCCTCATGTCGAGAAGGTAAATTCTTTGGTCGAAGAGCAAAGGCCACGCTCTTGTGGCGTCTGCAGCACAAGTTTGAGTCTCTCCAGCGGCCTTGCATTAGTGTGCCCGGTCGCGACCTGCCGGAGCACTTGTCATTTACACTGTCTATCAATCCGGTTCCTAGCAGAAGAAGGCAGCCAAGATGCACTGATCCCCATCGAAGGCACATGCCCAAGCTGCCATACACCATTGAAGTGGTCCACCTTGATGAAAGAACTGAGTCTCCGTACACGAGGCCAGAAGGAGACCGAAGCCATGTTCAAAATCAAGCGAAGAAGAAAGCCAGACGCTATCTCTGAGTCGGATGCAATGGAACCACAAGAGCTAGGCGAAGAGGACGAAGATCTGGACGAGACGTGGATGGAAGATGTTGATGACGGAGAAGCCGTTGCTACAACGTGACGAACGCGCAAGTTTCACCACGACTCTACATGTCTGAGTGGCAGCTGCCCACTATCGACCCTCCCTATGGCCTTGTCCACCTCTTCCCGAATCCTCTGCTGCACCTCCTCTACACTCGCCCCTGCATCAATGCGCACAAAGTCATCCCTCTCCTGGCTCTGCATCATCACATCAAATAGCTCTCGCACACGATCCTGGAGCTCTTTCTTCTCGTACTTCTCCGTTCCATATCCACCGCGCTTCGCTGCATCTTCCGCGGAGATATCCAGGAACAAGGCGAGATCGGGCCGCGGCAGCCCGACTTCAGGATGGCGGGACCAGGCTAATGAAAGAGTAGGATTACGTTTTGCCGCGCTGTACACGCAGCCGGAGTAGTAGTAGCGGTCTATTATAACAGTGGTACCGGCGGCGAGGTCAGCTTCAATGGAAGGTCTGTTCAGGTGTGAGAAGGAACAGATTGCAGATTCTGCTTTCTATACTCACGCTGCTTCCCAGCGGTTCGCCGAGAACAGTAAATGGATAGCATGGTCCTCCTGTTCGCTCTGTCCGCTGAGGTAGCTGTTGATCATCTGCCCTATCGGTGTCGTCCGATCTAGCAGTACTTAGCCCATGCGCCAATATAAAAACAAAATGAATGACCTTTTCATAGCGAAGGCTTTTTTTGGTTTCAAATTTGAAGTTGAATCATTCGAAGACATACCAGGAAACCGCATATGCTTCACCCTAACGCCATCCTTCTGCAGCGCTTCCACCAGCATCTGGCATTGTGTCGACTTGCCCGCGCGATCGAGGCCCTCGAACACAATCAATTTCCCCCGTACCATAGCTTGACCAACAACTGTGTAATTCAAGGGAGCGGGTCCAATGTACGTGGCTGTGTTGTCGAAGAAGTTCGCGGTCGTGCTCGCAGCTTCCACGAAAGCTAAGCGAGCTCGAACAGGGGTTGGATCTGACGCTAATCTGTGGGCTTGTCCCACTGCGATGCGAGTTTATTTCCTCGTCCCGCGTGTCCACGGTACACCGCGATCTGGCAACTTTATGCGCATTGCTGGGATGCTTGGTTGTTGTCGTCTTTAGTAGTGTGGAGTTGGTATGGCCATGATGCTCCTGCCCAGTATTGTGCATTATCCGACGTGCATCCACCGGGTACCGCCCAGGATTGCCTATAGAAACTAGGCATTCGACAAAGGCATCATGCTCATTATAAAGAATAATCGGCTACGTGCACTCGTTGCTTCATCTCGTCAATGACCGATCGCATAGTCGGAATCTCAGCAGCCCTAGAAATCACAGCATATTAGATGAGATCACAGCGCTGGTACACAAATTGAGCAGAATCTCAGGACCAGGCATCACTCGCGAGCTTCATAGCTACGATCATCTTGCTGCGCTCGCCACTTCTACAGCGACTGAAGATACATGAATGCACCAGCTCACCTATTTCACATGCCATCGATATGCTCCCTGCCACCCGCTCTATTTCCCGCCTCGGAGACAACCAACACAGAATCCGCGGCACCCGCCCATCCATCATCCTCCCCTCTAATCCTTTCTCTTCTTGGCCAATATTTCATGGACACAGCTTGGTGACGTAAGTTTCTTAATGCTACGGCGGACAAACAATAAACAATGCTGATGTCTATACTAATTGGTAAACAGTCCAAACCATTCCCACTAAAAATACCAGTAAGCGCACCTCTCGATTTTCACTCTCAACTTCCGATCCAATATGCGCATTTCGTCAAGGTTCTTTAGGATACATTGCGGAATACGTGACTGGAACATCAGAGGAGCCAGCCGACTTGTACATTCGCTTCTCCGATCGCTTCTAGGCCCAGCTTGGGTGGCTGTCGGAACTGTCACTTCCAGCATGCCCAATCAGAGAATCTTCATCATCGCTCGGTTCGGGCACCGGCCGTGGAATCCTGCCCCTCCTTCCTCCCCTGCCTCTGCCTCTGCCTCTTCCGCCTCTTCTCCCTCGGCCCGGCCTAACAGCGCCCCCAATACTGCTATCCGAGTCGCTGTCACTAGACGGCCCAAATCCTCCATACCCTCCATACAGAAGTGCATTGACTCTGCTCAAGATAACTCCCATGGAGCGCGGAGAGTTGTGCCCAGTGTAGTCTTGATCGAGACACATCTCGATTTCCATTGCCATCATTTCAAGCGTGTAGGGTGGGTAGCTTGACAGTTCCCTCATCGACATAGGGTGGCGGTGGGCCCAGATGGTGCACACGACTGGGCTAATCGGTATTATTGGGATTATTGGCATTTCCAAGGATTGAGGGTTTGGAAGTTGGCGTTCGTGTTACTGTTAACGTTTTTGAACGTTGATAGTATTTTTATTTTGAATGGGAAAACGGAGGTTGCCAGTAGTTTGAAGACTTATATACATTGGTAGATTATCTGTTGCTGAGGTGTTCGGGGTGAATATGGAGCATGGGAATGCTGTATTTAGTGCCACGAACGCGCTTTACGTGTGCACAACTTAAATCTGGTTGTGCTTTGCCAACAATAATAGCGAAAGTAAGCACTTCTGCGCAAGCAGCGTTCTATTCAACTTGACTCTACCAATGCGTCACTTTTAGCGACTAAGATCCTTAGTTCCGAGACTCATTGAAGACCTAATAGCCACCATAACCATAAACCACCTTCACACAAGCACTGTACCAGGTCATATCCCGCAGTTTTGTAGCTAGTATAAGCCAGCCATGCGACCGCCACGGCTGCCTAAAATAGCAAATTGCTCACGAACACACTTGATGCAGGAAGAAGCCAACGTGATTTGTATCAACAGGGATCTCACCATCTGATCATAGGAAAATGGGGGCAACAAGACTCTGGTATGAAATCTGTAGCATCTACACCAGGACACCACCAGCTGCACAAAGCACTTCTTGATGGTCTGCAACGAGCTGACAAAGGCAGCTTGTTCACCCTGAAATCTGACTTTGCAAAGCAACAAGCCTATGGCAATCCTTCTGCAAACGTACTAACGCGACAAATCAGCCGTGAACTTTCTGGGCAGCCATATATATACTACTGCCAGGATGCTATACTCAGCACTCACCGCAAACCAAGCGACAGCAGTCCGTACCTCGGCCTCATCTCTTGCCACCGGCGATGCCCTCTTCGCAGAAACGCAAGCAAAAGCGTGCAGACCAACAAAAGAAAGCCCGCGACGAGCGCCGCCTAGCCCTCATCCACTACCCCGACGCCTTCTCTAAAAAAATCACACTAGACGCACACACCAACCTGCTCAACAACCTCAGGGATGACGAAGCTGACTATCATGACCTCTCCTACGTCGAACAAAGCATCCAGGTCTACGATAAAGCAATCGGCCTGTTCTTTGACCACCTCCTCATGGCCGCCGAGCGAGCAAGGCATTTGCAGCATGTAGTCGTGACGGGTGACAAGGAGGCAGCGCTCGAGCATATCACGACGCAGCTGAAAGCCAGCATCGACCACGGGCAGAAAATCGCGGGACTCGCATACATAGAGGCGGCGACGTGTTGCCTGCATCAAGAGTATAGTAAACACGCCAATCCCTTGCAGATGGAGAAAGTCCCCGCTGGGGTCACAGTGTTAGGGTACTTTGAGGAGACGCAAACAGCGTACGAGGACCTGAATACGGCGCTTTTGACACACATGGAGCTCTGCAAGGGCATGGGCGATGCGTATGAATCCCAGATACTGGACGAGACACTGGACGATGCTGGTGCGGAGAAGCTCAATGAAGTAGCTGCGGCGCTGGAGGGGGCCTGGAGATGTTATGCCGTTCAGCAGGTTCATGCGACCGTCAAAGCGCAATTTGAGGAGTTTTCAAAAAGGTTTTTTGAGGATGGGAGGGCCCATGTAGAGGCGGTCAGGGTACTGGATGAGTTGGAAGAGGGTTTTGAGGAGCCATGGGGGTGGGTGGACAGGAGTGAGCTGTGGTTAAGGGAATGGATAGAGGAGGGAGAGGGCGAATCGACGGATAAGGGGGAGAATAACAGGGATGGTGAAGTAGAAGATTGGATGACAGATGAAGAGGGGAGTGCCGAGGAAGAGAATACCGGAGGCGAAGAGGGACTAACAGAAGGAGCCTAGATGAGCTTACAAGCACGTTGCATTCTGAGACACTCAGTGAGTGACTACCTATTAGCATACTCTCGCGTTAAAGTGACCTTTGGGCACATACTCCTCCCATTTGCCTGCATGGAAAGACAAAATAAAACTTTCGTTCCCTCAGGACCCTCTTAGAACGCACCGCACCGCCGCCGCTGCGTCTTAAAAATAGCAAAAAGCCATTTCACCCGCAGGCCCCGGCTCAAAGTAGTTTTGATTCGGCTTCGAACCGGTGCACTGTCAACGTCGACTTGGTGCCAAATTCAGGTACTAAGCGACTCTTTGTGTCGGTCGAAGGATATTAGGATTTCAAACGAAAAAGTATGTATAGTACTATAAATTGATGGAGATGGCAAGACATAGCGGGTAGAGGTAGGCATTGGCGTGCGGGTGAGGCGGGCATGTGCGGTGCAGTGAGGTGAAGTGAGAGGTGAGAGATATAAACAAACGCTGCTGCATGGGTAAGGCGCGAGGTCGTCGATGCGAGAACATAACCCTGTATGACACAATGTATCGAGTGAACAATTTCGAGTAGAGAAACGCCTTCCTAACCCATTGCTATGAACGCCTTCGTTGTCATTCGTTATGTCTACGTTACCGCATGCGCGGGCGCACGCTGAGCCATACACCTCCACTAACACATACCGTTCAGCAGCGCCAGCCCCGCATCCACCTGGCCAGCCTCAGCCTCATCTTCCTCCAGCAGCTTGTTGATCTTCTCGACGCTCTTGATCCTCCAGAAGGCCTGCACACCGTCGCTAAACCGCTTTGTGATGCTCTTAACTTCGTCCACGGGACACGCCGCGAAGCACAATCGCGCGCAGTTGAAGGCGTCACCATCCCTGATATCGGCGGTCGGCGCAAACATCGCACCAGGCGCCACAAGGACAAGGTATGGCTTGGTCGTCCAGAACACCCAGAGTGCTTGCGAGAGGCGCTGAGCGGGGACCTGCTTCGCGAGCGGGTGAGACGTGAAGTCGAAGCGGACCCAGACGAACATGCCACCAAGCGGGCGGACAAAGTCGTAGATCTTGGTCTTTTCCACGACAGCCCACTCGTCCTCGTCATCGGCGACATCAGTCATAGACTTGCGGCGCCCGGCCTTGACGGCGTGTTTGTTGTCATCAAGAACGTCACACATGGCGTTCATCCTGCGCTCGTAGTTGCCGCGAAGACCCTCGAGCCAGCGCACCCAACCATCAACTTTCCAGCCGCTGCCGTCTTTGGCTCCGCCTCGGCCTGGGTCAGTGGAGCTCTGAGGGCCCATGAGAAGCTCCGCGATCATCGACTGCACAAAACCTGATGGTTGCTGGGTGCTGGTTTCCGTGACGCGTAGGATGCGCTCAATGAGAGCCGGTTGCGCAGTGATCCATCCGAGACGGCATCCCGGAGCGACGGTCTTGGAGAAGGTGTCTAGGCGAATGACGCGGCCCTGGTAGTCGAGCGACAGGTAGGAAGGAATGAGTGAATCAAGGAACTCGAAACCGGATGACTTCTTGGGCTTAGGAGTTGCGGTGGCTGCAGGCGAAGATGAGGGGAACTGGAGATACCAGTATGGGTCATCCTCGACGATCAAGATATCATACTCGACGCATAGGGCATAGATCTCGGTACGTCTCGCCACGCTGAGGGTGCCGCTTGTGGGGTTCTGGCCAATGGTGACGGTATACATGAGGTGCGGCCGGCGTCCTTTGGTGAAATCCCAGTTCTCCAGCACATCCTGAAGACCTCCCGGTCCCTTCGCGACCATGCCCTCATCGTCAATAGCCACGGGCGCAATGTTGAAGCCCTTTGGTCTTGCCGTCTGGATGGCATTCATGTAGCAGTATTCTTCAACCAACAGCCCCGGTCGCTCTTCAACAGGGTCATGACCCTCTGCCCACTCGTTGGAGAAGGCTTGAATGGTCTTGGAAAAGCCATCCGTTGAGCCGCAAGTCAGAATGATGTCTGGCCCACCTTTGTACGGTACGAATGGATGTAGGTTCTCTCGTGTGAACTGGCGAATGAATGTGTAGAGCGAAGGGTAGCCTTGAGCTGTGCCGTATTGCAGTGCCGACTTGAGATCGATAATGCGGGTTGGGTTCTGGACGCCGGAACTGTGGGGGACGACAAGGCGCGCTGAGGGCGGTTCATCTTTGTCTTTGCGTGTGGCGATAGACGTAGAGGCTAGCTCTGCAGTTGGCGGATCGTTGGGTGGAGGGTCAATAGGCCGATTGGGCGTGGGCGTCCAGCGGTTGGGATGCGCGACCTAATACCGGTCAATGACGCTTCTGGGGGCGCAAACTGTATGACTCGCCTTGGCCTCGAGGGTATCGTAAGGAAAGTACTTGTCATTAGGCAGACCTGAGGGGTGTAAGCTCTGGCGAAAGTACAGTGCGTCTTTGAGCAGGGTAGCAACATGAGAAGCAGGGGTGTGAGCATACCTCCTGCGAGTTGGGAGATTCCGGGTATGGCAAAGTACTTGTAGAAGCGCTTGATGGCGGAAGCTTCACGCGCCTTGGTGCTGCGCGACAGATGGTGGGACAGATCGACTGGCTCAGGAAAGCTGTCTGGGTCTGATGTGTATGACATGATGTTCAAGTGGCGGTGTATTCCAAAATACCAGGCTCTGTTCAATATAAACGGATATTACCACATATGGAGCAGCGACCAAGCCCAGATGCGAAAAGATGGAAGCAGTACAAGTGCAAGTGCGTTCCGTCCGGGGTGATAGTACTGGAGCTCTGTAGCGTGCCGGCGATAACGATAACGTCCGCTTAATAATGGAAGAGCGTGCTCCTCACCTTCTATGACGAGTTACAGCTGTTTCGCTTGACACATAGCGGCACAGGATGCATGCGCCCAGTTCCTGCATGAGTACTGTCTTCATATTCACCAGGTGCTTCTAAAGGGTGCAACAGCCGGCCCAGAGCACGAGCACCTCCACAGCAGGCGAGGCTTCGCGCTGCTGTGCGCCTTCGTCCGCTCACGAATGGCAAGGCTGAAGCTGTTAGCGTGACGGCATCGGACCCACGGAATGGGCCCGCTACGTGCCGGCGTCATGCAGGTCCGCCGCGTGCGCTTGTTCTTTGCGACAGCTCCTACAACGCCTATACACATCTAATCGTTGGATAGACTCTCCTTTGCCGTATACTTTGTTACTCCTTCTGTGTCTCGTTCAGCATCGTCTGCAGCGCCTTTCCTAGGACACCTTGCCAGCCCTCAGCCCAGCGTGTGTGGAGCGCCCGCCGCCAGCCTGCCGCGACCGGACTCACGTCACGAACTCGGCAGTATCTACGAGATGCCGCCCGGGACCGAGCCTGTCGACGAGGGCGTCCCACCCCCAATATATCGCGATGACGAGAACGAGCAACCCTTCTCAGACGATTCCACTGCCGCCCATGCGACCCTCGTAGACGCTTCCGAAGCTTCCGACGAAGAGCAACTCACGCAGAAACCCTCCTCCGCGAGCAAATACATTCCCCCGCCGTTGCAACGCGCTTGGAAAGCTACCAAGGCGTGGGTCAAGGGTCCACAGCCTCCGCGACCTTGGAGCATCCGACCGCTCTTTCCTCGTGTACAGCGCGCGCCCATAAACCTGCTGGATCGTTACTTCCCAAAGCGCAAGCACAAAATCGCCCTATTGGTTGTCTTCTATATTGCATGGTTCTTGAGCTTCTCGTTAGTTCTGCATCGATCTGCGTTCGCCGCAGACATTCCCGGCTACGGTTCACCTGTCAACATTCGGTGCACCGACAGGCTATGGAGTGATGCGAATAGCTGTGGTCTTAATGGGGACCAGTGCCGACCATTCGCCAATCAGACTATAGCTTTCAGATGCCCCGCGAACTGCAAGCGGACACAAGTGCTCAACCCTCACGCAGTGGGCGCTAAAGAGATCAACTACAGACCGCTGGTAATAGGCGGCCCGACCGATGAGGAAGAGACACTGGAGAATACCTACTACCGCAGCGACTCGTTCATATGCGGAGCAGCTATCCACGCCGGTTTCATCAGCGACAGATCTGGCGGATGTGGCGTTCTCTCTTTCGTTGGCGAAAGGAGTTACTACCCCAGCGTCAACCGTAAGCACATCAAGAGCATTGGCTTCAATTCGTACTTCCCGAGGTCATTCGGCTTTCTGGAGGGCACTCACTCCAAGTGCCAAGACCTGCGATGGCCCCTCTTAGGTGTATCGTTGACCTTCACCATCCTCTTGTCTTTGTTCACAAGTTCGCCCGCAGTGTTCTTCCCGTCCATGTTCCTAGGCATCTTCTTCCACGTCGCGCTTGCATCTGATCCTCCAAATCTTACCGACTACTATTCTATTGTCAGCATCGCTCTCGGTCGGCTCTTACCTGCCAGCTTCTGCATGTTCGCCGTGTATAAGTTCTTCGTGAGGAGGACGCTGCTTGGGTTGGATGCTCAGGTCGAGAAAACCATTCTGTGGCTGGGAGGCTGCTGGGTGGGAGCTCTCAACAACTACACCTTTGACAAAATTCCTATCGAGCGGTTGACTCCTCACGACATCAAAAACCAGCCTGGAGCTGTCCCTGCCCTGATCATCATCGTACTGACCCTCCTTTGCATCGCGATCGGGCAGGCCTGGTGTCTTCGTGTCGAAGGACGTCTACCTCGATATCTCGCTCTCTACGGCATCTACGTCGCTGTTATACTGATCTTGGTTGCCATCCCTCGTATGAATGTCCGCATTCATCATTATATCCTCGGCCTACTCTTGGTCGGCGGAACGTCCATGCAGACAAGGCCCAGTCTGCTCTTCCAAGGTATTCTCATCGGTCTGTTCATCAACGGCATCGCACGCTGGGGTTTCGACAGTATCCTGCAAACGCCGGCTGAATTGCGTGGCGACGGGCAGTTAGGCACAACCCTTCCCACTATCACTGCACCCATCCTTTACAACAACATTGGTACGGGTCTCAGGCCGAACATCACTTTCGAGTGGGCGCTCCCGCACCCAAAGCACTACGATGGCATCAGTATATTGGTCAACGATGTAGAGCGCTTCCGTGGTTACGAAGACGCGAGTGAAAGCTCCTTCACTTGGGTACGCCACATGGATGGTGTACCAGAGTACTTCCGTTTCGCTCTCTTGGACGGTAGTGCGCGTGGCGACTACACCAAGGCTGGAACGTGGCACAGCGACGGTAGCTGGAAGCAGATGGCGGCTGGGCCCTCGTAGAAACCTTGTAGAAACCCGCGATACATCGTTACCCAACGGTGCGGCGTTCGGAAATACGCTGAAAGGTGTTCATGCTGGGTAGTGCTCTGCGAGACTACGTTGCGATTTGGAAGGACATGGATCTGGCCAGTGGTGGTGCCTGAGGTTTGAACACTAACGGGGGCTTGGTACATTCCCGCGGGCCTGGAGCTGGGACGCGCCATCGCACCTCGATCATGGGAAACCCTCATCGCGCTCATCTAGGCCCACAGATAGAATCTCATCGCATTGCCCCGCACGCGGGACAGAAGACTAGAAGTGTTTCACGAGTCGCCTTCACGTGCACAGCTGCCTTAGACAGTAACTTGTCTACAATGCTCGTTGCTTTCACCTCCCGCCCAGCATGAAACGGTCTCCCTCTCAGGACAATCACCGGCTGGGTGCCTGACCACTATCGTTCACACACAGGATCATATTACATACCCTAGGACAGATATCCAAGCGAGGAGTGAGCGTACTGACAGCGGTAAACCCAGAGACCACGATCCTACGCAGATCTGCGCCGCAAAGCTGGCCGGGAACGTATCTGTAGGTACACCGTCTTACGCCTAGGAATCGCCTTCGCGCTGCCCGTAGCGCGAGAAAGGTGTTTGTGGGAGGTATTTGCGGGAGGTATTTGCGGGTGTTCCAGGCGCAGCTGTGCCGCCGGGCAAGAAAAGCTACCTATATGGAGTCCATTCTGTGGTGCTGGGTGAGCACCAAGCGAGCCGAGTCGGCACGTTGTGCTATTCCGGCCTGCCCTCGGAGCAGGAACTGTCTGCCATGGCGGGGCTGAGCAAGTCTCCAGCATCGGCACTGTGTCGAGACGAAGAAGTGCACGCTACGGACTTGGTGCTTCTTGCGGGCTCCTTCGCAGCCTCATCACCGCAGCAGACTCCTTCCCTCCCAGAAATCCCATCCCGCGCGTGATTCGTCTGTAGACTTTTCGGCGTCCTCCTAGAGACAGCTGCGCGTTCGTGTTTCTGTGAAACAGGTGCGATGCAAGCGCAGCAAGGTTCAGGCGACGAAGGCGCTTGTCAGGTACCGGCAGCCTGCGATTGGTCTGCCGGAGACGAGCCCAAGAGCGCTGCACGATGGCGACGCATGTCCTATCGATATGGATGGCAGTACGGGAAATTGGGTCTCATGCTGGGCGCCTACCCTGACCGCGGCCGTTGCCTTTTTCTCTCGGTGCTGCGCGGCCACGGCGGGATGCACAGCAGCTGCGGGCGCGCGCGTTGGCGACTTTGGGTAGAGGCCCTCGGCAGGTCGACCTCCTGAGGATCATGACGGTGACGCCCACTCGCCTGCGGACGATGTGCGGTGCTTGGACAGCGCGGCGAACCGAAGACTGCCGGACTCGGCGTCGCGGGTGCAGCTCCCGCTGATCAGAGAGCCTGCTGGATTGCGATGGTCCGCAAAACTGGGCCTGGTGATGTAGCGCGCGCGGCGCTCACGAGTATTTTCGGCCATGGAGATTACGATCACGACGCACTGTGGACCGCGGCGGGTCCAAGCCGCCTGGGGAAACAGGTGGCGCCTGTCTGCAACACCGACAACTGGCGCGTTACGAGGCATGCGCGCCTGAGATAGTTCGCCAGCGTCGTCGCAGTGTGCAAGAGCTGCTGACTCCCGCGGTGCTGCAAGAGTTGCGTGGGACAGAAACCTCGCGAAGCAGGGCAGCCGAACATGGCGATGCTGCAAGGCTGCATGGCGCATGGCTCTCCAGACGCAGGTCCTAGGCGATCCCTTACCTCCCTCCGTTTCAGCAGCGGGGATCCCTGTGCCCAGGGCGCACATCCCAGCCCCCAGCCCAGCACCGTTTCACTTCTTTAAACAGACCATTCCTTCATCTCCCCTGGCCCCCGGAGAACACCATCGGACTTGGGGTCGTGATATCTGCCCTTCGTCCTCCGTCCGCTCCCTTTTCTACAATCGCTCCCTCGCCCTTGCGGTGCCTGCCATTCTTTTGTCGCCTACGCAATCTTCCATTCGCTACCCTGCTGTTCAGCTTGCTGGACGCTATCCATTCTTTTCGAGTGTACAGTCTTGATCGAGCGCTTTTTGAATAGGAAGAGAATAGTCCTGGAGGCCGAATTTTGATCCCATCGATACCCCATCTACATCCTACGCCAAATCGCATCGTCGCATTCACCGCGTCGCCTTCGACATACCCGTTCCCCGCATACCGACTATCGTATCGTTCATTTCAAGTGTGGGACCGTCAAATTCGATCCGTCGCCTCGCACTCAACCTGCGCATCGTTGGCCACCTTTCTGTGAAGAGTAAAGATCTATTGTCACCATGAAGTCCATTACTACGCTCTCGGCGGCCGCCGCCATTCTTTCAGGAACCGCCGACGCTTTCTGGCGCATGGAGTGCCACTCGCGCTCTGGTCTCGCGCGTATTGATCCCATTGTTACCCCGGGCAAGATCTCCAGCCACGCACACGCTATTCACGGAGGAGGCAGTAAGTGCATCCACTTTCTAATTATTTTCCGCTCTATGGGTTTTTCGTCTCCAGGTCAGCGCTGTCGGAAATTACAATGGGGAAGACAGCGGGAAACTGCGACGAACTCATCCAGGAGTTGACAGTCTAAGACTGGGGTGATCCCGAGGGTTGTTGTACGATGAGGCGTTTGGGGTTTCACAATGGGGAACCATGTGCTGATCCTTGCTACAGACTTCGGTCTGAGCGCGACCTACGACGATCTCAGGGCTTCGGAATGCACATCTTGCCGAGCCACTGACGACAAGTCGGCCTACTGGTAAATAAACAATCTGATAGTCATCTGATCCTGTATTAATTTCTTGTAGGACACCAGCGTTGATGTTCCAGCATGAGAACGGTACTACTCAGGTCGTTCGACAGGTCGGCGGTATGCTTGCATACTACCTGCTCTTTTCCAATGAGGGAGAGACGATCGAGACATTCCCCAAGGATTTCCGCATGCTCGCTGGTGACATGAACTTGCGAAACTTTACGGGTCCAGTCCCGGACCCAGAGAAATCGCTCTGGACTGAGTCCGACAAGAGCCAGCTCCTTCTCGGCCAGAAGGGCATTGGCATGAACTGCTTGAACTACCAGAAAGACCCTGAGCCGTCCATGTACCGCCATTTTTTGCCTGACAAGCAGTACCTCGACGACAACTGCGTCGACGGTATCCGTGCTGAGAGTGAGTAGTCAAGTCACCCCCCCAAAGAGCCGAGACTAACAGGACATTAGTCTTCTTCCCGTCGTGCTGGAATGGCGAGAACGACTCCGCCAACCACAAGTCCCACGTCGCCTACCCAGACCTCGTCAACGGCGGTAAGTGCCCTGAGGGCTTCCCTAAGCGCATTCCGTCGCTTTTCTTCGAGACCATCTGGCAGACCTACGACTTCAAGGGCATGCCCGGTACTTTTATGTTCGCCAACGGTGATCCCACCGGCTACGGCTACCACGGTGACTTCCAGAACGGCTGGTCGACCGACATCCTCGGGAATGCCATCCAGCAGTGCACCAACCCGTCTGGTCTCCTTTCCGACTGCCCCGTCTTCGAGCTGCAGACTGAGGAGGAGGGCTCAAAGTGTCAGTTCAAGATGCCAGAGGAGCTCGACGCCGACAACTGCGAAGGTCCTGCCCCTGGTCTCTGCGGTAATGTGCCCGTCCAGTTCGGCCCTGAATACGCCACCGGTCTCCTGAAGCCCGGAGAGACTGGCTCTGCCACCGCGGCCCCTACCACCATCGCCTCCGAGGACCTCCCCGCCGTGCCCACCCTGTCCTACACCACCGCTAAGAGCGCCGTCACCGACGAGTTCGGCGGCGGCATCTCCGTTGCCATGGACGGCCAGGAGTCCATCGGCGCCGACGCCCCCGAGCCCGCGCCTGCGACACCCACTCCTGAGGCCCCAGCCCCCGCTGCCTCCTCAGCAGCTCAAGCTCCAGCTCCCGAGACTCCTGTATCTGCGGAGGCTCCCGCGCCCACCTCGCCACCCGCAGATGCCCCTGCCCCGCCCGCTGGCAGCATCATCTCGACGTCCGTCTACACCAGCGCCGGCACCGTCTACGAGATTGCCATCCAGCAGGTCGAAATCACCGTCACTGTCGACGGCCCTGCCCCGGCCGAGAACACGCTCGCCGTCGAGCAGCCCTCGCCCGCCATCCTGCCCCGCGCTCAAATGCACCGCAAGCACTCGCACCACATGCACCGCCGCCACTTCTAAGCGCTGTGGGTTGAAGAATGGCGTTGGCATGCATACTGCACTTTGGTTTGGTTTGGTTTCTAGCATCATATCATATCACCTCTCCCATCCGGTGCACTTCCCGTACATGGTGTGCGTACGCAGTCGCTGCACGAAGTCACGATGGCTTGTTTATAACTCTTGGTTTGGATATACTGGTGCGCGCGATCCCTGGGGATAGGGACTCGTTGGATTTGGGTTTGGCTTTTCGTATACCACTTGCACATTTACTTTCTGCCTGCTCCATCGGGCATCTGGACGCGTCGACGGCTGTGCCTGAGACGTTTGTCTGCTTCTTTTTTGTTTGGGGGCGAGGACGGGAAGGAAAGAAAGGAAAGAAAATACATACAAACACGCTTGCGAATGAATTGAGATACCCTTTGATTGACACATCCGCATGAAAAGAAGTGCTACGCTGCGATGTGAGGGCGCCACGTAAGGTGACTGTGGCGGAGGGGGAAAACTTCAGCCACGACAGGTTGGAGCGTTGCACCTCGCTAACCCCGAATGCGGGCAGCCGCAATCATGCACCTTTCTCAGCGCGCAAACACATCGCGCAGGCGTCCACATAATCGGCTTATACTACCCTATGACGCATACTGCTGCCTGGCCCCTGGTCTATCCGCTCCCAAACGCTTACCTGCCACCGGTGAAGCGACTACCCGCCCTTCACTCCCCCACTTCGCCATTGGCCGCGCGACAACACCCTCCCGCCCTTCAGCTATGCCAACCCGCAAGGCTGTACATTTTCCAGGCAACAGGTGACCCGCAGCCTATCAGCGGCTGATTACAGAGATTTCCATCTCACGCACCTACCGCAGGAATAGAACTAGACGCATCGGGTATATGGGCCAGCGCGCGGTGGTGCCGGTAGAGGTGGCCGCTCGTCGCTATCGATGAGGCTGCGTGGACGAGGGAGTATATAGTCGAGGAAGGCTTTTCCCATGCCTACCGCAGCAGCATTACAAGCGCTCATCATGGACTTTCCGCGACTGAATAGCCTCAAGTTCGACTTGGGGTCGGCAAATGCGACACTACCCAGTCTCCCTTCGACTCTGCTGGACGCCCTGATCCCTGGATATGGCATCTTCTCCCAGGTCATTTTTCGCCTCCTCGGCTTCGACATTGGTCTTCTCGTCTCGGGATGTCTCATGGTGATTGGGCTCGCCCAGGGAGGGCAGTACTTGTACCACCGCGTGTATGCGATCTTCGCAGGCTATTTCATGTCGTCGGTACAGATAGAGGACGAAGACCAGCTTTTCCGGCAGGTAGTCGAGTGGATCGCGGAACAAAATATGACGCGGGTGTCCCGCGACCTAATGGCCGTGACCAAGTGGGTCAGCGCATATGAGGACAGCGACGAAGAGCAAAACGCCAAAGACGAGGACGTGCTCGACGAGTCTGGCATCTTCAACTACGAGAAATGGGCAAGCAATATCCCGCCGCGGTATGAGCCCAACTTCGGAAGCGACAAGTTTTGGTACGCAGGCCGTATGTTCACATTCTCGCGCTCGAAGAAGGAGAAACCGAGGAGTATCTGGAATAACTCCGATACTCAGTTCTTGGTGATCCAGTGTGTGGGACGGAGCACGGAGCCGATCAAGGAGCTGCTGAATCATATCAAGAGATGGACGCTCACGAAGGAGCATAAAATGACGAGCGTCTACCGGCCAGCACCCAAGGAGGAGCGCAGAGACTGTGCGTGGGATAGACAGTCTTGCCGGCCCTCGCGTCCTATGAGCACCGTCTCGTTGGACCAGGAACAAAAGGCAAAGATCGTGATGGATATCAATGAGTATCTCCACCCAGCCAGCGCGCGATGGTACGCCGCCAGAGGTATCCCTTACCGCAGAGGCTACCTCTTTCACGGTCCACCTGGCACTGGCAAGACGTCGCTCTCGTTTGCGCTCGCCGGTATCTTTGGCCTTGACATTTACTGCATCTCGCTCATGGAGGTCGGCCTCACCGAGTCAGACCTAAATAAGCTCTTCACCACCCTCCCCCGCCGCTGCGTAGTCCTCCTCGAAGACATCGACTCTGCGGGCCTCCGCCGCACCGACGACAGCCCCACCATCGATACCTCCGACGCCAGCAGCGACGGCACCCCCTCCGAAGACGGCGTCAAAGTCGAACCCCTGCCCAAGCTCCCCGGCGCCGCGCTCCACGGCACCGGCATCAAGTCGCTGATCTCGCTCTCCGGGCTGCTCAACACCATCGACGGCGCTGCCAGCCATGAAGGCAGGGTGTTGATTATGACGACGAACCACCCCGAAAAGCTCGACCCCGCGCTCATCCGCCCCGGCCGTGTAGACCTCCAGGTCCAATTCACGCTCGCGACGCGCGCACAAACGCGAGACATTTTCAAGCGCATGTACAGCAGCACGTCGTCATCACCCTCCACCGCTTCCCCACCTCCATCCAAGCCCGCTCGCCCCTCCACGCCCACCGCGCAGCCCGCGCTCTCGAGCACGCGCGAGGACGAAGAGTTCCTTGAGCTGCTGACGCGCGAGCCCGAGCTCGATGTCGTGGAGCTGGCGCAGCTGGGCGAGATGGCGGAGGAGTTTGCGAGCAAGATCCCGGAGGGAAGGTTTAGCCCCGCGGAGATACAGGGGTTTTTGTTAACGCGGAAGAAGGAGCCGCGCAGGGCGTTGGCAGAGGTGGAGGGGTGGAGGGATGGGGAGTTGAGGCGGAGGAGGGAGAAGGGAAGGGTGTGAGAGACTTAGGGGAGCGTAGGGTATTGCTGGGGTAGAGGTGATGTGTGGGTGTGTATAGAGTCTGTTCGCTAGATTTAAAAGTGTAATTGTGCCAGCGCTGGCTTCCATGAGATAAGAAAGCAATTTGTGTCGTAGTGGTAACTCGGCTGTCACGCAGTACTTCTGCCCAGCTCAGCTGGGCTCGTGGCTGTGGCTAGACCTCGTATCCGCGTTCGTCTCGGCTAGCGCTTTCCTTCTCAGGTGGGCGGCTGCTTTCGAACTAAATAAGCTGCCCGAAGACACCGTGCAGTCGCGCCTACTGACTTCTCCTGGAGGTGCACGGGCATAACTTACTCTGATCTACTTTCTTCACTGGAGGATGTTCGAGCATGATAAAGATACTGCAGGTGCTGATGTGGGCTCTCAGTGGACTCATCCAGTACGTTCAACTCCTACGACAAGATCACACGCTCATGCTAAGCTGTCCAGAACTCGTTTTATATCTATAGAAAGCTAGAAACACCATTGAGCTTTCGGCTTCTGAAAGTCGAACGTCCTTCCCACCGGCAACAAGACGGCAGGGGGGTCTTTTCCCTCGGCAGCCAAAGAATATCGCCGAGCCACACATGTTCGGCGCGTGGAACATTGGATGTTGAAGGATCTCCCGAGCTTGGAGATGTCCCGTGCTACTACTCGTTGATCGAGTCAACTCTGGATCAAGCGCCCCATTACGAGGCTCTTTCCTACGTGTGGGGTACAAGTGATCGAAACGAGACAATCACCCTCAATGACGGGAAGCTTCTGTACATCACAAAACCATTGAAGGAAGCTCTTGCTTTCGTGGAGAGACAGTGTTCAACTGGATATCTGTGGATCGATCAAATTTGCATTGATCAAGATGACATGAGCGAACGTGGTCACCAAGTCAAACTCATGGGTCAGATATACACTTCGTGCCATCGGGTTCTGGTGTGGCTTGGTCGAGTGAGCAAGCCCGACGCTGAGCTCCCTCCCACAGAGGATCTTGGGGGCAGCCAATTACCAAAGGACCTATTGATTCCGAAAGTTTCGTCCATGGGGCACATGTTACGTGGTCTCCGCAAAGCGCATGGACCTCGTCGTTCCTCTACGGAAAGCTTCTGGTTGGAGTTGTTGCAGTCGACGTGGTATCAGAGAGCATGGGTTTTCCAGGAAGTCGTGCTACCCCCGTCCGCAATGTTCATTCTAGCCACGACATCGACGCTCCCAGATCAAGCGCGCATGATCTCCCTCGCAGATCTTCACGCAAAGGTAGAAGGCATAAATGAGCCCAACACAGCAGTCGATAACATTTGCATTATGTACGCTCGATACATCGAACAGCGCAGACATACCAGCCATAATTACTCCCCCATCGAGCAGACGCTTTCGCACTTAGCACCTCGCGCGAAAACCTCGGAGCAGCTTGATCGCCTGTACGCGTTCTTCGGGCTTAATCACGATTCTTTCATCAATTTGACACCTTCGTATGATTCTACCCTAGAGGTCGCCATGATCGATACAGCTACCGCAATAATAGAAGGAACCGGCAGCTTAGATCTCTTCGAAGTGATCCCTAGGGCCGTGGAGAACACGAAACATAAAACGCAAATCCCGACTTGGACGCCAGATTTCAGAGAAGATAACCTCGTCGCGCCATTTGTACGATCAAAAATCAACTTTCGACAAGATCTTAGTGCACGCTCAGAGTTGTATCCTGTGTTTCTCCCTACGCATACCACATACTACCGTACCACCTGGCGTGGTTCGATCTACTGTGCGGGCGAGGAGAAGCGGACGATACTGGCTCATGGGTTTGTGCTAGACCACATTGAAACCGAGATAGGCACGTTGTCTTCCCTAACGGCTACCGAGATCCATCTCAACGCGTTGTTGGACCGTTGCATCAAGGCATGGAACAGGATAAAGAGGCATGCTGAGCACAAAGCCTCTTCAGCGTCAAGACAGAAACGTGAAAGCACCGGACTTGCCGAATCCACCGTTGACCTTGGCTTCGCTCCAGAACCTACCATGACAAGGCTGCGCCGGGCTCTTGTTGCGGATCACTGTTGCGCAGCGAGCTACGATCGTTTACCGTCTGGCCCACCCGACGTTGCAGACAGTAAATTAGCGCCAGAGCAAGCTATGGTAGAAGTCATGCGTGGCCGCACGCTGTGGATAACGCGATCTGGTCGGTTCGCGCTGGGGAGCTATCTATGCTGGGGAGATCATATTTGCCTTGCTTATGGGTGCTCAAATCCCATAGCGCTCCGATTCGAGACTACGACACATGTTTTGGGAACCTGTTATCTGGAAGATTGGATGGATCCGTGGACCAATGGAAGTATTGAAAGGCTTGAAGAGAAGTCTGCTCCCATTAGGTTTCATATAGTATGACTGGCAGTCAGGTGTGCAGTAGGGCATATGTTCAGCGCCCAGTTTGGCCAGATATATGACGTGAGAAGTAATCTGACATTCTTGGATAACTCTCGAAGGTATTCATGTATAATTTTTGACCTATTATTGAAACATTTAAGTACTTGCAGCTATACATGTGCGTGGGATAGCTAGAGTGTATTATTGTCAGCATCAGTGCCCTGTGAGTGAAGCGCATTGATAAAAGATGCCGTGTCTTGCAATATTTTGCTGGAAATTGTCTATCCGAGCGCATCTGCATGCGCCAATGTGATGTGTTCCAGCAATCTTTGTCCCATTGCATTGTTGCCCCCTTGAGAATGGCCCCTAGAAATATCTCCGAAGCGTATCCGCGACCTGCAGGCGTGTTTCAGAGCGAGCGCCTGAAAGTCCGTCGCTCTGACCGAACCCCTTGCAAATCAGGCAGGTACGCGAAGAACATCAGACACTTTCTTTCCCTGCTTACACACCCTCAAATATCGAGAAATCCAAATATGGAGCAGATAATTCATACAACAAAGACATAATCAAATTGTCTTGGGTGTTTGATGCGGCGGTGTCGATATAAGCTCGTTCGGGTGAGAGGAGATCAAGGGGCCCGCTACGTCACCGGCAGAGTGGGCCTCTCAACGGACTTCAGAACTCCATCGCTTGCGAACGTGTGGCCTTGGAGGCGAAGACTTGCAAGCCCGAGCCGCAACTCCGCATTCATTGCGAGATGAGGCGGTGCAGGCGAACGGTACGTGCGGCGTTGAAATGCTGAGCGGCGTGGATGAACCTCGTATTGAGGCAACGAGCTCTTGGCGCACATCCTTTTTCCTCGCATCTCGAGCATCCACAACTACAACTGGGGCACAGAGCGTACTGCAAGATGGAGTTGTACATACAGACATGGGAAAGATGCGGAGATATTAACTGGAGCCTCGGACACAGGCGAAGGAGGGATCTTGAAGAGCGTCCGCAGCGCACGGCACCGTTGCCGCACCCCATTCAGCCGCCGCGCAGGGGTGCGACCGCCATGGCCGTACGCAAAGACTCTAGCCGCTCCACAGAGGGCTGACACCCTTCTCTTTTTGTCCATCATCTTCATTTACCGGCGAATCAGAGTTGCGGCGTGGGCACAGGATGCCGGCACCACGGCTAGTTTCGAAACAGGGCTAGCCCAGCGAGAGGCATGTTCGATGGGAGATGCGCTACAATAAGACGGAGGCGATCCCCCACATGGGAAGGACAACGCCCTTTCGCACAGTCGTTTGTGTGAAGGTCTATTCATTCGCTTGTTTTTGGTAATTGTTTGTTGCGTGTCGAGGAAGCATCGTTTCGACAGCGAGCGGGCACTTGCATACGGGCTTAGACTAGCCGGACTTTGGAATAACTTGAAGACGTGGTTTCACAAAACAGATTGTTTTGCGTCCTCGAAGAGCTTAGGATTTCAGGAATTGCACGGCTGGTATCGCGTTCGTTCGACTTTACTTTCGCTTTTCGCTTCAATCCGGCTATATTCCAGCTTCTTAAACTATCGAAACTGCGCCTCGTATTCTCGCATTTGGGAAAACGTATCGCTATTTCCAAGCTCCATCGAACCCCTCCTCACGCCCTCGAGCTAGTACAGCTGTAATTTCTCAACATGAGGTCCATCGCAGCAATTTCGGTGCTGGCATCTGTCGTTACTGCGCAGATAGAGACATTTTCCTTCAGTACAAGTGCAACGGCAGACAGCAACCAGGCTACATCCACAGCATCTGCTTCAGGCCCGATAGAGACAGGAAAAGCATGTGGTCAGATCGCAGAGTTGATAACTGAGACTACCGTTATTGATGCAGAAGTAAGTCAACCCTTGTTGCTTGCAGACAAAATCGCAAGTATATACCAGTGCTGACAAAGGACCAGCTCGCCTATGCATGCCTCAAGTCCGTTCCCATCAACAAAGATGCCGCGACCGATACGGTGAAGAGTGTGAAGAACATGGTGGAGTGGCAATCAACGTTGTCGTATCTGAAGAATCCACCAGAGGGATATGGTGACGAAGGGGTAGATCTGCAACAAGGTTTGGACGACATTGGTAAGAAGGTCTCGAATGGCGACTACGACAACGAATATGATTTTGAGATCGATATTGCGAGATTGTTTGTCAAAGCACACGATGGGCATCTCACGTTCTCTGGAATGGCACACAGCGGAGTTTTCACCTGGCGAAGAGACCGCGAAATTGCGCTCATTTCGGGCTCGGAGGACGGCAAGAGCAATCCGAAGATCTGGGGTATCGGCGACTTTAACAAGACCTTGGACGCGAACGTCAAGCGATCCGCAATTTCGCAAATCGACGGGAAAGATGCCGTGCAGTTCGTGAAAGACGAGAGCATGGACACTACCTACCACGATCCGGACTCGAGATATAACTCCATGTTCTACATGCAGCCAGCAGAGAACTTTGGCTACTTTGCCAACCCTCGCTTCTACCCAGGCGTTTCGGTCAATATCACTTACGAGAACGGCACCTCGCGCGAGTTCGTGAACTCTGCTGTCGTTAACAACCCGACAGAGTGGGCCCTCATTAAGGATGGCCAGGACTTTTACGAAACATTCATCGTACCGCGCTCGACCGTTCTTGAGACCACCGAGACGAAGAGGTCTCTGAACCACCACAATGTACCTCGGAACGTGGAATATCCTCGCGAAGCAGAGCTCAACCGCCGATGGGTCCCTTGGGCTTACCCTAAGGCTGTTGTTGAGCATGGATCAGACAATGTCAAGCTGGCTGGCTACTTCGTAGATACGGGGGCCGGCAAAGTGGGTGTCTTGATGGTCCAAACGTTCAATGTAGAGGCCGGCGAAGGCGACAATTCAGAAGCTAGGGAGTTCCAGGGCGTAGTACAGCAGTACATCAGCCAAGCTAAGGACCAGAACGTTGACAAACACATCATCGATGTCCGAACGAACGGTGGTGGCAAGATTCTGCTCGGATATGACATGTTCCTCCAGTTCTTCCCCGATGAGAAACCCCAGCTACAGTCGCGATGGCGCGGGCACAAGGGCTCCGAGCTCTTCGGCGACAAGTTGTCGTCCATCAAGACAATGAACGACTCGAACGGCAATTTGTACACCTCTCCCTGGAACTTCCATTCCTACATCAGTGCCGATGATGAAGAGTTCTCCGACTTCAAGGATATGTACCCTCCCCAGAAGTTCAACGACGACTCTTTCAGCGACCTCCTCAAGTACAACCTCTCTGATCCAATCGAAACTTCTGACGACACCTACGCCATCGGCATCAGCATGACCGGCTACCTCGACCGCGCCAACTTCACCAAGCAACCTTTCAAGGCCGAAGACATCATCATCCTCTCCGACGGCATCTGCGCCTCCACCTGCTCTCTCTTCACGGAATTAATGGTGCAGCAAGCCGGCGTTAAAACTCTCGCAGTCGGCGGCGTCCCCGGCACTGGGCCCATGCAGGTTGTCGGAGGCACCAAAGGCTCCATGCTGCTGCCATCTGAATACCTCCAACAGGTCTCTACCAGCGTCATTAAGGGCTTCGCTTCCTCCATAGATGAAGCTAACGACTGGTACGACTTCCTCCCCATGCCCTTCAGCATCGCTGTCAATACCGCCGGCGTCAACTTCCAGGACAACATCCGCAAGGGCCTCGAGAAAGATGGCATACCCACCCAATTCCTCAACGATACTGCAAGCTGTAGGATCTACTACGAGCCCAACATGTACCTCAATGTGTCGGCGCTGTGGAGCAAGGCGGCGGAAGTGGCGTTTGGAAAGGACGGTGGCATGGATGAGGAGGCCTGCGTTGCGGGCTCGGTGACGAGCAAGGAGGATCAGACGGGCCAGGGCCAGGGCAGTCCTTCCAGCAGCGGGAATGGCGGTACTTCGACGAACGGTGGCAGTGGCAGCGGAACAAGCGGCGATGGAAGCTCGCCGAGTCCCTTGGAGTCGAAGGGTGCGGCTGCTGGCGCCATCAAGCCTGCGCAAGGAGGCTGGGCCGCGATTTTCGCGTGCAGTGCGGTGGTGCTGGGGTCGATGGCATTTGGGGCCAGCTTGGTGTGATGATAGGACGCGACGGTCGTTTGCATATAGTGGCGTTGTCATTTGTATGTATGTCGTGGGCTGGATAGACGGCATGGGCTCGCTGAGAGCTTTAATGTGTACAGCTGAAATCTATGAATTTAGACCTGCTACGGGATTTATCGACATCAAAGGGTTACTACTGCAATGTGTCTGGGCCAGCAAAACACAAAGTCTTCGACTTCTGTTCTTATAATCTAACCTTTAGGGAAGACCAAGATGTACACTGGCACTTCCTACTCTCATCACTGCACTGTGTGCATTGCGTGCACGATCTCGTAGACATCGAAGCGCTTGTTGATTTAGGGGAAGGTTTGCGTCTGAGAAACTCAGTCGTCATCTGAGTGCGATAAGGGTGGAGGAGAATACGGCGCGTTGGCGTACTCAGACATGAGTGACGTTGGCGAATATAGCGGCAATTGCAGCTCGTGATCCGTCAGGTACCCTTCGAGGGCATCTTCATCCGAGAACCCCAATGATTTTGCTCCCAAAGAAGGGGAGTAACCGAGGCTCACATCATTCCACTTGACCTAGAGAGCATTGTCATTGATGGTGGCTCTGACGCGGCTTTCGAAGAACTCAACCAACTCCGACTAGTGATGCACATTTCTAGGGTCCTTAGTTACGGTAGCTTATCCGCGGCCGCAATCAGTAATTCCTAGTATGTTTAGAAGATGCCAGGTTGGGGACTCTAGACTCTCGTTATATTCCGCGCAAAGTTCTTCTACCGTGTGGAACCTCAAGTCCGGCGTCAGGAAGACCATGGAAGGATCATGATCTGGATGGTTGATCGTTGTGTGGTCCCACCTAGGATAACTCAGCATTGGCTAGTACATAACAGGCTGTAAAGTGTACTCGGTTGTTCCACCCATTTCCTTCTGGCTCAGTATGAGGCCAGTGCATTGTATCAAGGTAATCTCCTGGTTCAGCCAAAATGTCCAAGGTAAGTCGCTCAAGGACGTTGCCGACGAGCTGGGTGATGCAGTCGACAAATTGAGCTGTCGACGTGAACTGGAACAAGTTGATGTAGGTGCAGACTTGGAGGCAGAAAGGCAAAGTTTGCACGGGACTGCGAACGGCGTCGGCGCCGTAGACAACACTGAGTTTCCATTGCAGCGCCAGGTTAACCATCTTGAGTCTGCGCTGCACCAGCGTACCTCTGACCCCGAGGAGACAGATCACGGTGTCATATTGGTCGACTGGTACACCCAAGATGACCCCAAGAATCTGAAAAATTGGCCCGGTCTCAAGAAAGGTTTTGTAGGTTTCATACTGTCGTTCTACACAGCGGCCGTTTACGCAGCAGGTCTCTTCTACGCTACCTCAGTTGGCGGCGGTCTTCTAGAACACTTCAACGTCAGTCCAGTCACTGCGTTCCTTGGACTTTCGCTCTTCATCCTGACTTACGGCATCGGCGACATCGTCTTGGCCCTTTGTTTGAGATCTTAGTGATTGGAAGAAATCCAGGTTTTTACATCACCTTGATCCTGTTCTGGGCCCTATCTTTCCTCACAGCCACCAGCGACCATGACGGCTCACTTCTCGCCCTGCGCTCCTGGATAGGCTTCTTCGAGAGTCGTGCGCTGGCGAACGGCGGCGCAACCATATCCGACTTGTTCGAGCTCATCTACATTCCGTACGGGCTATCATAGTACGTCGTAGCCGCATAGTACGCGCCTGCGTGTAGGCCGATGATCAGCGGATACACAGCCATGGCAAAGGCTGACGATGGTCCTCGTGGGAGATCTCCTGGATATCCTTGCTCGTCGTCATCCTCCTAATCCTCATGCCCGAGACGTCCCCCGAGAATATCCTCTTCCGTCGCGCCCGCCGCTTGCGCAAATTCACAGGCAACTCCAGACTCCAGTATCAGAGCGAGATCGCCCAGCACCACATGTTAGCCTCGCAAATCCTGACCTCCGCGCTCATCTGCCCCCTAGAGATCATGTTCAAAGACCCATCCGTGTTCGTCAACGTCTATACGGGCTACTTGTACGGCGTATTCTATACCTTCTTCGAGATCTTTTCTCTTGTATTCCCGCGCTCCTACGGCTTCAATCCCGGGCAAACCGGTCTCACCTTTCTGTCCTACTTCGTCGGCATAACGATAGCGCTGCTTGGCTACTTCGCCTACCTGCACTGGTACATGATACCCGACAACATGAAAGCCTTTCGCGAGCAGGAGCATTGCCCTTTTCCCGCGCTAATTGGTTCCGTCTTGCTGCCCGCCGGACTCTTCATCTTCGCATGGACTGCCGATCCGGACATCCACTGGGTTGTACCGCTGACAGATGTAGCGAACTTTTGCGTCGGGCACTTCTGGCTGATGCAGAGCTTGGTAATCTACTTTCCGATTTCATACCCAAAGTATGCGGCCAGTTTATTTGCGGGAAATCGCCTGTGGAGGAGGAGCATCACCGTGGGTGCGAGCGTAGTTTTCGCGACGCTGTTGTTCACTAATCTAGGCATAAGGGCGTGAGTTTGTTGGGTGGGCTCAGTGTGGTGGGGATCTTTGGGACGCTGGTATTGTCCAGCTTTGGGGAGGAGGTGCGGGCGCGTTCGAAGTATCATGAGACTTAGAATGGAAATGGGATGGCTCTTGTGTAGATGTGGGCATCAACGGTATAGTATCAGGTGGCATTTGGGGATGTGTTGTAGACCAAGATACTCGAGGGGCAATTATGGGGACTTGGGCTTCTGAAAGCCCAAATCTATCTCCTACCGTCGCTTAGGAACGATGAGGCGGCTCTAAGAATGCCAATTTGGAACACAAAGTTTCCTATTGCCAGAATTCGCACTCTAGCAAGGGCTTACTTGCACCTCGCCGGGAGAAGACCACGCCAACAAAGAACAGCCAATCAACACCTAGACGCGGCACCGTCAAAAGACAGTGCCTACCCTGAGCCGCCTCGTGAACAACAGCACGCAGAATGCCGAATTCAGAACTCCAGCAGCTACCCACCAAACGCCGCGAAATTCCCGCACAGCATCGGGGACATCTGCTTTCTTGGCAGAGCCCGACAATGGGTTCCCGACAAGCGCGCCAAACGCTGCAAATACATATGCCAAGCCCAAACGTACGCTGAGATCCGCTGCACCAGGTGATAGCTTCGATATGATGGGAGAAGGGAGGATTAGCGTGCCTGCCGACGCGAAACCAAAGAGCAGGCAGAAGACGACCAGTGAAGGGAAGTTATTGGACCAGAGCAGCGTTATAATGAAGGTAAACATAAACGGTAAATGAAGACTCATCCCTCTGTAGCTGTAGGATTTCAGCGTGAATGCACCACATAGAAATTACTACGACTGGATGGAGACCATGCAAACCGCAATCACAGTCCTACAAGAGCACCTTGAGAAAGCAAAATCTGCCAGTATTGAGTCGAAAAGAAGACTGCCACAAAGCCAGTCATCTCGAGCGCTGACCCTACTGCGATGAGGCCTTGAAGGTACCCTTAGTCCAGCAGAATACCGGCGGGAAGACAGCCTATTGTACAAAGGAAGGGCTGCAAAGAGCCGATCCGTACAATTGTGGCGGTGTCATACTCGGATAGTAAATTCTGGGTGTAATAGGTCTGGAACGTGCCATACGCGGATGGTAATTCCCAGCTGTTGGCGAACAGCACCTAGCTCGCCATGACTTGGAGCCATGGTATCCATCCTTGGTCGACTGGGAAAGAATCGTGTTGCGTCTTCGCACATGTCACACGGCGGGAGGGCAGTTTTGCAGCCAGGGAAGGCGCTTCGGCGTTCACGCCGTCGAGTAACGGGCGCTTTTCGTCGATAGTTCGCGAGGGCCATCGATCACTTTTTGGAGTTGGGCGTGCCATCTTCCTCCGCGCGCGAGTGATCAGAGGTTGTGAGTCGGGGTGTCATGGTGGCAAGTTGTTGTTTACGGTGGGTGCAGGCCTGGCAGTACATATGCTGCGATGCAAATACCTCCATAGATCACTCGGGGTGGTGTCTCTGCCTGACAGACAGTTCGCTCGCGTGTTTGTCAAAGACCTTAAGCAACTGGGCATCTAAAGAGGGACGTGACCTCGAAATCTGAAAACAAACTGTCGACCGATAGTGCATGAGAGTGAGCTAGATTCACGACCGACTGCAGGTGTCTCGATAGCCACATAGATAGATGCGCAGCGATCAGCTAGCGAACGGGGAAATTCATCAATCCTGCCTTCGCTCCGTGTCCAAATAGGCTAAAGCGATTGACTAGCACACTATAATGCCACCCGAACTCGAACTACGTACCCAGAACCGGGGATAGGCAGGTCGACGGTCCGCGACATTAACAAGATATCATATAGAGTGGTGGAATAATTGAGAATGACACGTGGGATGGGCATGCTTAGCGTTGATCAGCGATTAGGTTCAAAAGAAGCTTATTGCTCTGTGTTTCGATCAGGTCGTCGGCCATTGCCCGTCTCTGGCATCGAAAGTCATGTTTGCATCGTCAGTCGTCATGTCGCTGCTGGCAGCTGTTGCGCTCGCGCAACAACTGTCCTCAAACCTCACCCAAGTCGTAGACTTCGGCCCGAATCCCAGGAACGTGTCATTCTACATCTATGTCCCTGAGAATCTCCAATCGAAGCCTCCGATTCTTGTTGCGCCTCACTGGTGCCACGGAACTGCCCAGCAAGTGTTCGAATACCGGTCATGGGCGGCCGCCGGCGATAAGTACGGCTTCATCACTATATATCCAAATACTTCGAACGTGGTGGACCAATGCTGGGACGTGAGCAGCAACGCTACTTTGACGCACAACGGCGGAGGTGACTCGCTAGGAATTGTGAGCATGGTGAAATGGGCGTTGAAGAAGTATGGTGGCGACAAGGACCGTGTTTTCGTTTCTGGAACGAGCTCAGGCGCCATGATGACGAACGTGCTCGTGGGCGCCTACCCAGATGTCTTCGCTGCTGGAAGCGCTTGGGCTGGAGTCCCATTCGGTTGTTTCGCTGGCGACGGCTTCGACGTATGGTCCGACGCCTGTGCGACGGGCAAGATCATCAAGACCGGAGCTGAATGGGCAACACTGGTGAAGAGAGCATACCCTGGCTACACTGGATTCCGACCCAAATTACAGGTACTCCATGGAACCGTCGATACGGTCTTGTACCCGCAAAACTTCGAAGAGGAGATCAAGCAGTGGACAAGTGTGTTCGGATACAGCCCGACGCGTAATGAAACTACGCCAAACACACCGCTTGAAGGATGGACTAGGTATCGCTACGGGCCGAAATTTGAAGCGTACTCAGCGGCAGGAATAGACCATAATATTCCAAACCAAGACGACTTGGTTCTGGAATACTTTGACTTGGTAAGTGACAACGTGAGAGTTGAAGCTGGGGTAGTCGCTAACGCCCGCTTTCACACAGAAATGCAACGGCACGAAGAGGGAAAAGTGCTATTCCAGAGCCTCAGGTCATCGGGCGTAGCTTAGCAATATGAGGAGTAATACAGAGTCGTTCATGGGCTAGATAACTGCGATGTCACCTTCCGCCCCAGTGGAGAACGTCTGAGATGCAGCCAGTCTGAGTCGTGGCAGGTGCGAGTGCGTCTCGCCTAAAACACGCTACATCGATAGCGCGTGGCGCTTGTACTAATTTTCCAAATTCACGTCTGCCCCGCAAACACCCCCACCATCATCACCCAAGCTTCACGCCTGCCCCTCCATCTTCGGAGCCTCACACCTCACACCTCACCCATACTTGTGCATCCTACGTCTACGGGTGCTACTGCTGTCGCCGAACTAAACAGTTATAGCCCGTTGACTGACATGCTGCACGTCTGAAGCTCACGCAATTGACACCCCACAAACATGGCAAACGAGGATGGCGACAGCTCCTCCAAGTCGCAGAATGCCGTGCTTGAGTGGTATGCCCGTATCTACTCCCGTCGCGTCGACATCGTCGGCGACTATTCTGGAAATGAGCTGTTTCTAGTAGACGGCGATTCTCTGCTGTTGCACTGCTTTAGCGACGAGCACCTGGACTTCGAATCCGGATTCCAACTCCTCCACGCGACCTGGACGGTCGAAAACTTCTTGCGCAATCTGATCTCAAGAAGAGCCAACTTCCACGTTGTCTTCTTTGACCAGCATCGCGAGCTTTGCGTTCCATCCTTTGCCCCTACAGCTTCCCACGCCAAGTACCTTTTGGCAAGGGAGGCAATCATTCGGCATCTTGCTGTCAATCTCAAGGCTACCCACCCAGAAGTGCTGATTACCGTGTTCCCATCAATCACCTCTGACGACTTCGTGGAGTACCTAAGAACCACAGAGTTCTATTTCATCCTCTGCCATGACGGTGCTTCTTCAAAAGCTTTGCGAAAGAGAAATCTGCTAGACAAGACTCTAGACGCCCTCGAAGATGAAGACCACGACGAAGACGAAGAACTGCGCAAGAAGGTCATTTTTCGCCAACTCATACACTGGAGTATGGCACAGGGTTCCAGCATCGTGCTAATAAACGGGCTCGAGTTCCAAGATGCTCGTATCATCGCCACAGTTCTAGAGAACCTACGTGGTACAGGTAGTGGGCTCTCTCTGGAGGTAATTTCGCCTTTTCCTCGCGCTGCAGAATGCCCAAGAATGCAATGCATATTTTCTAGTCGTTACAATCCCCGGTGGGCGTTCTTTCTGATCAACACTCAACATGCTGTGACAAAGCATGAGGCTTAGTCTCAAGTTTACGAAAATTTGCTGACATGTGTTTAGATCGATCTTGACGAGGATGATGTTATTGATGAGCCCCGCCAGCGATACCTCGAGCGCAGCACTTGGGAAAGCGTTGCCAGTAAAGTCAAGGTCCAGTTGACAGAGCGACACTATCTTACCGCAATCGTCCTGTCCGCCCTGCTCGCAGGTAACAAGGTCACCAAAGAGTTTGTTTCCGCTTTTCTCCGGCATACTGCCTTGATTTCTGGTCTCTCGCTCCAAGAACGCTTGGTGACCGCCGCCGGTTTGGATGAAACCGTCAAGGAGTCATTGGAAGTCTTCTGCGAAGAAGCTTCGACCATACTGGCTTCTGAAGATTGGGCCGATAATATGGAGGCATGGCATTGCGCATGTGATGTGGCTGATCTTGTTGACGGACGACTGATCTCCGCTTGTCTTCAGGATACGGCAATAGGTCTCAACGATGTATCCCGCACGCTAGCACAGGCTTGCGAAGCTTTGGGTTCGGGATTCTCCAGCGACGATATTGCCGCTAGCAATGGCACTGCCAGTGAGCAAATCATTATTTCGCGCTTTCAAAGCTGCGCTGACACAACACCAGCAGCAACATCGCACATATCTCAGACGACAAGCCGCGAGTCGTACGCGGTCCTACCCTTCTCCAATGAGATATTCGATCCACACCTTGCACCCGTGAAGCTCGAAATCGATCGCGTGGGTGATCTGGAAGACGCAACGACGGCGAACATTTTCCGGGAGATTTCTCATTGGCACAATCATAAAAGACCGTTGGACCCGAAGCTACGTGAAGAGCAGCTAGCCAAGTCAGAGAAGCAGAAGTTCTGGACGCGGAAGCGCAATCAATGGTTCATGGACGAGATGCAGAAGTATGCTCAAAGTCTCACCAACACAGTTGGAAAATCTCTGGACCCAGAGACCATTACTACTGGAGGACGTTCTGTGAAACCGATTGCTGAAATTGAGGAGAACGCCAAGCCAAAACAAAAACCAGCTGCTAAGGGCAACAAAAAGGCTGCCCCGTCCCGCAAGGAAGCGATGCTGGCTAAGATTGCCGCGGATCGAAGTGCAAAGGAAGAGACAACTGCGGAGAAACACATCCAGGGCTGGCGAACGACCGTCAGCACGATCGAAAAGGAGCCTACTGCGACCGGACGCTATCAGCGAGCGAAAACCTACCTGGCTACACTCAACACGGGTACCTCGGCAGACTTGAAGCGAGATACGCTCGAGGCGGAAGTACGTCTGTATATGTTGAACGCTCTCCTGGATCCGTGGCTGGTGGCATGCAAAAACGACGAAAAGCCCGAAGCTATGAAGATTGCTGCACTCATCTTCGCAGAGCTCGGAGCGTTTTCCAAGTTCAACAGACCTGTCACGCCGACGATCATCAAGTGCCTTCAAACGGTTTTCAAAGAACTGGCACTGCCTCAGCTGCCTCTCCCGCAGCCGGAAGGCGATAGACCCCTGGCTTTCAAGTTCGCACTTGAATCTACGACACGCTCGTTGGCCTTGCCGATTCCACAGAAAGAGTTCCAATTGCTTCACTGCGGTCCTTACTTTGACCGAAGCATTGACTCAGCTCCTGATCCTCGTGTGCCGTTCGAGCCGGATGCATGGCAACGTAAGGTATTGAATGAGATCGATGCGAAGCGAAGCTTGCTGGTTGTCGCCCCTACGTCAGCCGGTAAGACATTCATCTCATTCTACGCCATGAAGCAGGTTCTGGAAGCCAATGATGAAGACGTACTGGTCTACGTGGCGCCCACAAAGGCTCTGGTCAATCAAATCGCCGCCGAAATTCAGGGTCGCTTCTCAAAGCGCTATGGCTACGCCGGAAACAGTGTCTGGGCGATTCATACTCGCGATATGAGGATAAACAACCCGACTGGTTGCCAGATTCTCGTATGTATCCCCGATATATAATCATATTGTCAATGCTAATGCCCAATTTAGGTTACGGTACCGCATATCCTGCAAATCATGCTGCTGTCGCCACCCAATGCGAACTCTTGGTCGAAACGTATCAAGTGGATCATCTTTGATGAAGTTCACTGCATAGGGCAAGCCGAGGACGGCTTGATCTGGGAACAGCTGTTGCTCATGGCTCCTTGCCCGATCTTGGCACTCTCCGCTACGATCGGTAACCCCGATGAGTTCAGTGCCTGGCTGGACTCTACCCAAAGAAGTGCTGGCAACAAGTTGACCATGGTGCAGCATCCTCACCGTTACTCGGACTTGAGAAAATTCATCTACAAACCCTCCGACACCGACACTCACAAGTTTACTGGCCTCGAAGAGAACCGCGCGTTCGCACAGTTAGGTCTGGACGACAGTAAAGACTTCCACTTTGTCCATCCTGTTTCCACTCTTGTCAACCGAGCTCGAGGCATACCTGCCGATCTGGCTCTAGAGGCACGTGACTGCTATCTGCTGTGGCAAACTTTGTCCAAGCGCCAGACTGCAAGGCATCCTTTGGACAAATCACTCGATCCGGCGGTAGCGCTGCCCTCTGTGATCCGAAAGATCGATACAATCAAATGGGAGGCTGCACTGAAGTCTGTGCTCCGTGATTGGATGCAGGATCCGGAGTCTCCATTCGACGCTGTAGTGAAAGACCTAGGAGGAGATCAAGAAGAAACAACCTCGGAATCGCTTCTTAACAAGGATAGTGAAGCCACGCCGGACGAAGATGCTGATGATAGTGAGGAGAACGAAGTTGAGATACAACACGACATCAAGAGCATTCTTCCTATGCTCTCCAAGCTTCACGAACAAGATGCCCTCCCTGCGATCCTCTTCAACTACGACCGCGGTCTGTGCGAACGCATCTGTCGGAAACTGATGGAGCAACTGGTAGATGCAGAAACAGCTTGGAAGGAGTCCAGTGCCCAATGGAAGGGCACGCTGGCGAAGTGGGAAGAATGGAAGAAGATCATGCTCAAGGCTGGTAAACGCGGACCGCCTAAATTGTCGAAAAAGAAGGGTGGTGCCGAAGAAGGACTGACCAAGGAGGACATTCAACGAGACGCAGCCAACAATGAGGCCAGTCCTTGGGCTTCTTTCAACCCCGAAAAGCCAATCGACAAATTCCATTTCGCGGACAACAGGAAGATGTCGCAAGATGAGATGGACAAGACTGAGAGAGAATTGCTCAGACGAGATGTACCTGAATGGCTCATCACTGCTTTGAAGCGCGGTATTGCAGTCCATCACGCTGGTCTCAACAGGAAGTACAGGCAAGTGTGTGAGATCCTGTTCAGGCGAGGCTTCCTTCGCGTAGTCATCGCAACGGGTACGCTAGCACTCGGTATCAACATGGTAAGTTTGGGCGTTTATCTATCTTACTCTCATAAGCTAACATGCTCCGCAGCCCTGCAAGACGGTGGTTTTCACTGGAGATTCCGTGTTCCTATCGGCCCTTAACTTCAGACAAGCAGCAGGTCGTGCCGGTCGACGTGGGTTCGATATGCTCGGGAATGTTGTGTTCCATTCAATTTCTACCAGCAGAGTCCACAAGCTCATCAGCTCGCGTCTTCCGGACATCAACGGTCACTTTCCCATTACGACGACGCTGGTGCTCCGTTTATTTACGCTCCTGAATGATTCGAAACAATCTCAGTTCGCAACTCGATCTGTGAACGCACTGCTCTCGCAACCACGCCTGTACCTTGGCGGTGAAGAGTCTAAAATGACTGTTCTACATCACCTTCGGTTCTCCATCGAATATCTACGACGGCAATTCCTTCTCGATGCTCGTGGAGCTCCATTGAATTTTGCCGGATGCGTAAGTCATTTGTACTTTACCGAGAACTCTTCGTTCGCATTCCATGCTTTGCTCAAGGACGGTTATTTCCATAAGGTATGCGCAAATCTGAATGCGAATGACACTGCCAAGGAGAACGCTCTGCGGGAGCTTATGTTGACCATGGCCCATCTCTTCGGACGACAATATTGCCGACAGGCGGACCAAGAGTTCGTGGAGAAGGTCGTGAAGCGCAGTCCTTCTGTAGTCTTTCTCCCTGATATGCCAACCGATGCAGCTGAGCTGCTCCGGAAGCACAATCAGTCTACTCTCGACATTTACAAGGCCTATGTCGGAACTTTTGTGGACCAGCATCTCAAGGAACAGGACGATGCACTGCCATTGACGCAATTCAAAGCCGGCAGTGTTGGCATAGCATCGGCTGATGGCTTGCAGCTGCGTGCGCCCACTAAGGTTCGCTCACCCTTCGTGGCACTTTCAGGACACGAAGACGTCTTCCACTCTGTTCATGATCTTTGCACAACTACACGCTCTGGGGTCTTTTTGGAGGAAGCGGTCATACCATATGTCGGTCTTTACCCTGAAGAGTCGGAACTGCCTCTCAATGCCTACCTTTATGATTTCTTCAACCACGGAGATGTTAACGCCATCGTCATCGCGAACCGCATTAGACGTGGTGACGTGTGGTTTGTCCTGAATGACTTCAGTATGGTTCTGGCGACTATCGTTACCAGTTTGTCGAATTTCATGCAACTTACCGCGGCGTCCGACTTGGATTTGTCCGACGTTCGAGGCGAGGGAGAGGATGCAGAGGCTATGCAAGACGACAAGTTCCTTCCCGATGACTCAGGCTACGAAACTGCCTCAACGATTTCCACAGCTACACGGACTGGTCCGGCTCAGACAGAGCTGCCCGTACAGGTCAAAAAGAAGAAGAAGGTTGTGGACTCTTGGGATGATGATGCGGATCAAGAAGACCTTGAGGAAGAGGTTGCTGCTCAGAGGGCGAAGAAGGAAGCTGAAGTGGCGGCGAAGAACGCACAGGACAGGCCAGCTTGGGAAGAGGGCGCGGGTCTGCTGAATGTGCTCAAGGCATTCCAAGCGTTGAAGGAGGACTTCGATACCAAATTCCGAGCCATGTGGGCCTAAGAGGTATGGTAAGACACTCGAAGAGGACGCGCAAATTGTAGCGGTGGTGTTGCATTAAGGCATCGTGCATGGAGCAAACGGAATTAAAATGAAGAAACACACCAAAAGCATCATGATGATAGATTCGATCTAGACTAAGACTTAGCATGAAGACAATTGGCACGCGTGGTGTTCACGTGGCTCACTTGATAACTGTAGGTCGTAGCGTTTGACGCGTAACTCACTTCGTGAAATCACTATTAGCTCCTCCTACCGTGTAGCATTTGCATTATTGCTTCTAGCGCTACAGAAACTACAACGACCGTTTACACTAGTCCTATAATGGCCTCATCGCAGGCTGATCAAAATTCGCGTGCGCGGCCAGTTTCATCACGTTGCGTTGCGTTGCGCTACCCTCCATCCATGCCCAACAATCTTCACCCGTGTTGTCATGGCATTGCTAAGAATCAATTGTCTGACATGGAGGACTATGCATCACAGACCTCTTTCCGTTTTCGAAAGGACCAGCCCCCAATGTGGGGCCACGACAGGCTTGAAGGATCACTAATGACTAGGCTATTCTTAGTATGGTTCTCAGCACGTGAAACGCAGGAAGCGACAACCAGCTTTTGGATGTCAACTCTTCCCTTCTATTCTTCCTCACTCTTGGACAATGTCACTGCGTCATGGCATACGTCTCAGTGTCAACAAATGACGAGCCGGTAAGCCTAGCTGAGCCTTCCCAGCAGCTCACCGAATCGAAGCTCTCCAACGAGAACGTTTTCTTGCAAGATATAGGTTACTCGAAAGTCCCAACAAAGAGCGAAAATTTTGTCATCTCTTCGACAGCTGCCCGACATCCTTGTCGACCACCATGGATCCCGTACACTCTTCGTGTGCCGTTTCTGACGTTTATGACCGTGGTCTCTCTTAGCCTCTGCGCGATCACGGCTGTATTGACTGGTTACTCGAAGCACCATGATGGCTTGGGCAACGATGACGGATCAAGTGGTCTCCTTTTCGGTTGGAGATTTACGCCTACCATAGTTGCAGTCATATATGCACGGTTGATCGCCATGGTCTTCAACGACTTCCGCAGGACCGAACCCTTCGCTAGAATGGCACGAAGCCCTACCTCTGCCTCTAACTCGGTCTTCCATGTCCCTGGGGCTTGGTGGAAGATGTTGGCGGAAGCGTTCTCTCGCAAAAAGAACGGCGGAGCTATCAATTGGCCACTGGCAAACGCCACTACAGTCTTTGTCATCGCAAGCTTGATTATCAGTTCCATGTCGGCCAGCTTTCTTACGACGGGCGAAATCACATTACTCCAGACTTTGCCATTGCAGAGGAGGACACTTCCAACAAACGCCTCACTGAAGCTTCAAGCTTCTCCAGACGTGTTTCTCGGTACAACCGGTAGCATCATTTACAACCTTTCAGTTGACCCTTGGACGCTCGGTGAATACACCGTGCTGCCTTTTTGGCACGAAGGAGCGGACGCGGCCGATATGTTGAGGGGGATTGGTGGAAACAAGACAGAGTCACTGAAGACAGAAACCTCAGTTTTCCGTACGGAATACAACTGCAAGACCATGAATGCAACCATAAGCCTCAACAACACCAGAGGTTTCTCTGCAACTGGCCACAGGAATCCTGTATTGCCTGGGCATGACGACACAATATTGATCAATGGCACCTCAAAAATGGACACTACAACGCTGCTATCTGATAGCGGCTGTCGGTTCCAAATCGACATGGCTCCTATGATGATGGCGAATAGAGTAAACAGTGCCGTGTGGGGACGTGCCCTCGATCCACTCGATGACATCGGACAAGGCTGGACAGCTTACATGGACTCGGAAAACACAACACAAGCCTACGTATATGTCCCTGGACCCTACACATACTCCTTCTACCAGTATAGTGGCCCAGGGAGCCCTTTTCTTAGATACAACGGCTCCACAGCCTGCGCAGATAAGGACATTATACACCTTTCGACTCAGCTCGTGGATACTTCGAACGATGTTGTGAAGACTCTTCAAGGCAACTACTCACAGAAAGCCTGGGAATGTCAGCTAGAGATAACTACTGCGGAAATTCCAGTGAAGTTCTCGCAGTCACAAATCGGCTCCGTAGTCACTTTTGATCGCGAAGAGTTTGAGAGGAATTATGTTCAGGTTGGCGATGAAGTCTTGAATGGAACAGAGGCACGGAGACTCTTGCACCAGTCCAATTGGCTATCCTATCTGAACCCTGCGCACTACAAAACCGATCATTCTGCGCTCCTGCTCTCCGCTGAGTACCAGTATGACTTCAACTCTATGATTTCAGACGATGAAATACCGCGAAAAGCCCAAGCCGCCATGGAAACCTTCCTTGCTAGTTTGCTACAGTCGTCACTGGCGGGCCCAAATGCTTCAGAAACGCGGACGACGTCAGGAACAAGTGCGCGTATCGTGACCCGTGTGGAAGTGTTTCAAGGGACGGGAATAGCGCTTTCCGTTCTCTATGGCATTTGCGCTCTGTTTCTTGCTGCACTGGCCTGGCAGTGTGGCACGACTCGACGGTCGCTCAACTTGAAGAGTAATCCTTCCACCACAGAAGGCATTGCTGACCTCATTGCATCAGGGCAATGGAACAAAGCAGCATGGAAGCCACTGTTCATCGCCTCTTCGGACGAGACGCGAAGATGCTTTCAGAGCACGACATATAGCACTGATCCAAAACTGCAGGAACACGACCAGACATCAAGTTTGAAGAGCAACGATACAAGCCGTGAATTGAAAATAAACACATCGGTGCACGAATGGAAGCCAACAACGCTGCGCATCACTTCACTTATCGGCCTAGCAATTTACTTGATATTAATCGCGATAGGAATCTCGATACTCTATGATTATTCAACGGGAAATCGTCTCTATCAGAGTTTGTTTGTAAACCAGGTAGAACTCGGAGAAATCTCAGGTCATGTCGCTAGATTTACGCCTTTCTCCATTGTTCCAACTTTTTTGGCGGTAATACTCGGTATGTGGTGGGATGGCATACACCAAAAGTTCTGCCAGCTACAGCCTTTCAACGCGATGACGCAGCCCGGGGGTGCGCCATGGAAAGACGGTCCGGGAATGCACTACAGTGCCACCAATTGGATTAAGAGCTCTTCTCGTGCAGCTCGGAACCGCCATTGGCTGTTGTTCTTCGTAATCATTGGCAACATAATGTGCCAGATCTGTAGGTACCAAAGTTGGTCACACTAAAGGACCATTGCTGATTATTTGTAGTCGTAATCACAGCTTCCGCACTGTTTGCACGTGAGAACGGGTACAAGTCAACAGAGACGCGCCTGAATATCACGACAGATCTTCGGCGTCTCCCAATGATTGCGAGTACTCGCAACTCTTTTTCGGTGAGCAGTGATCAGTTTCAGAATAACGATACAAGCGTGTTATCTTCAGCCGATTTGGAGAGAATCGTCACCTTCAATTCTGATTACGGTATCTATTGGACCAAAGACTCTACCTGGCTGTATAGCGCTACCAATCAGATCGTCCATGGAGCTGATGAGCCAGCGTGGAGTAAAGACGGCTGGGCTTTCACACCAGTTGAACTGTCTGAAGTAACGAATAATCAGAGCATGACCGTCATGACACAAGCGATAAGAGCTCGGGCAACTTGCAGCTCCACGTCGCAAAGCTATCAGGTCTCTCACGAAGACTCGTGGCTTCTTACCTACGATCTCACCGATAAGAATATCTGGAATACCTCGGCAAACCCTCAAGGCATTGAAAGAGGATACTTCATCGGAAATTACACACTTTACGGCACTCCATTTTACGAAGGCAACGGTCTCCAGTTCTGCGCAAGCGGTTCTAACGCCTTAATGACTGGTGCCATGTGGAATGACTACAGTGTCGGTATGCCAGGTAGATTTCCGTACCGCTTCTCCCAATGGCCAATCAATTTTACCGCAGCTTGGATGCAGGGAGCTGCCCAGTCTGGTTTCTTTCTTCGCGATAATTTCACGCTGAGTTCCAGAGCGTACGACGAGAGAATCTATCCAGCAACCTACGGTTGCGCCGACACTCAGACAAGGCTCAATCTCTCCATGTTCACCGAAGTGCCAAAGTTTCAGTCAGTGGACTGCCAACCAGTCATCGAAATCGCCAGTGCGAGGGTGACTGTTGGGCAAGATGGTGGCGTCAGTAATTTTGAGCTTATGGAGGATCCTAAGCCTTACAATGACCCGTGGAAAGATGTATTCGTTAGTTATACGCACAATAGCAGCGATGCAGGCCAGTCCCCGAATGATGATTATCAACAAAATGGCAATGTCACGTCAAGGTACGTCGATACGATCGTATCAACCCTCTTAGTGCTTACCCGCCACAGTTACGGTATCTATTTCCTCTCTTCACTGCTTAAAGCACCACAGATCGGTTACGTTACATCGGACGATGAAACGAATGTCTGGACCTTTGATTCCATCTATCCAAACTACACGCGAACTGGCGCACCATTTTTCATTCGCGAGGATCAGTCCGGAATGGACTTGATGTCCTACTGCATGCACTACCTTGCTGATAAAAATACCACTGCACTCTTGACCAACACTACACTATATTCGGAACTAGTAGATAAGACTATTGGAACCTTCTTTGCCCACTTCGCTACGGGGGATACAGATGCGATGCCGCGGCGAGTATACCAACAGCCGGGAGACCGGATGCCTGATCTGGGCAAGAAGGTTGTGTTCGACGAGAAGACCAAGACACTAAAACAAGAGGACCCAGAGACATATCCGCCAGCGAAACCGGATGCGACTGTAGACGCGCGGCTGGATCATAGAGTCCAGCTATTGAGAATGAATCATGTCGCAACATGGCTCTCATTCGGTATTCTTGTCTCACTTCTTCTTATCACCATTGCTATTAGCTTTCTACACAGGAGGTTTCTATCACCGCTACATCGCAACATCGAGAGCATGGCCGACGTCATGCTTCTTGTAGCTGGGAGCGATCATCTTCTCACGCTAGTTAAAGACCACGGCATAGAAGCTCTGCGGCAGGATGAAAACTTACTCGTAAGGCTGGGCTGGTTCAGAAGCGAGACTGGGAAACTGCGATGGGGTATCGAGGTGGTTGACAGCGGCGATGCGGACGCTGGCATTGGCCAAGGCTTGGGAGTCGTGTGGGAAGATGAGAGTGGGTCGAGAACCCAGAGCAAATGGGAGAGGGTCAGTACGGGGCTGTCGAACCTCAGTCTGGGAAAGAGGAGGGTGATGGTTTGAATGCCATACGCAGTGGCGTATGCTGTAATGACACAGAACTCTGTCATTTGAGAGACATCAACGAGAGAACAGGCATCGATCTAAGTCTCGACTTAAAGCCCGTTGGTAATTTTCTATGTTGGACATTGGACAGGGTCATACTTTAGAGTCACCATGTTTACACAAGGCATATATTTGTCCTTTGTGTTGTTCGATCAGAGTGCACAGCTATGGGTGCACAATGTTGTTCTGGATCTCTCATTCACATAAAGGAGCCTTCGTTGACTTGCACATACCATCAGCTGTGAGAGACTCGGGACCAAGCAGCCTACCTTGGAGAACTCACTGCGATTTCTCCGCACACCGACTTCTCGATTTTCAAACTCGTTCTTGAGTATGACTACCACCTTCGTCCCAGGTCTTCGGCCTTCATTCGGTCTTATGTCTAGTCTTTCCTCACCTGCTGGTACAGGTGTGTCCGCTGCAGGCTCAGCGTTCGAAATCGCTATCGCTGCGGTGGCTCCTGAAGGGTTGGGTCCTCTCGCACCGCTCTGGAAGTGGCTTTACGGTTTCTTGAAGCGCAAGGCTAATTTCGACATAACTTCCATCACTCGAAAGATGTTGATCGCATTTGGTGCTGCTATGGACATTCGCTTCGCTTGGGGTTATGCCAAACCTCTCATTATGGAGCACTTGACTTCCAGCATCACGCTCCCTATTGAGCACAAGACCACATGCGGCATCCAGAAGTGGCTTGATGCCCAAGGGGCTAGCCGCGCCAATCGCCATCTGAAGTACACCGTTTCTTCGGGCGAGTGGAACACCATTACACAGACGCAAGACTTCGTGGGCAATAAGCGGACAGCTATGACGGGTGGGAAACTCTTCTTCCAAAAGCACCCATTGTATTTCTCATTTCAGACTCCAAAGGCTGAAGAGAAGAAGGATGAACAGAGCATCTGGGGGAATCGGAACGAGTACGGCGCACGTGATTATTACGAACTTTCCGGTGAGCGCATCACCGTGTATTCCCTCGACCCATCTGGTACCTTGCTCCAACGCTTCGCTGACTACGTCTCCACCGAAGAAGTCAAGGAGTCGCGCGTTACGCCCGTCTTCGCGGTTGCCCAGAGCTCGAACGCGCGTTGTCTGCAAATGTGGGACCAGTGCATCAAGCCTGTCCGCCCGTTGAGTACAATCGACCTCGATGAGCAGGTAAAGGCTGATATTGTTAGTGGCATCGATCGGTTCCTCTCCAAGGACCGTGCGAAGTGATACTCTGCCAGCGGTATTCCATACAAGCGCGGTATCCTCTTGCAGGGCCCGCCCGGCACCGGGAAGAGCTCCATCTCACTGGCACTCGCTGGTCACATTCGGGCCTCTCTGTATAATATCACTATCGGCGAGGTCCGCAATGGGGGCCACCTAGTGGAACTTTTCCTGTCTGCGAGACATGGTTCAGTCGTGCTTTTAGAGGACATAGATTCCGCAGGCATCGGACGTGAGAAGGTGTCAATCTCTGAAGACTCCCCGAATGCATCTAAGAACGGGGAAGAGAAGCCAAACTCGGACACTGAGCTGGCTGAAGGTGGTTTCTTCGCCCACATTACGCGATCATCGCGACCAACCCACGGGAATGCCCCTACTGGTTCCATCTCGCTGAGCGGCCTACTTAATGCGATCGACGCACTTGCAGATGGCGTCGTCCTCATCATGACCACCAACGAACCTGAAAATCTCGACAAGGCGCTTATCCGTCCAGGCCGCATCGACAAGCAGATCCACGTCGGCCATGCGAGCCGCGCAGTCGCAGGGAACATTTTCACGCGCTTCTACAGCGATATCAACAACGAGCGAGACGTCTCGGACTATATCTCTGAGATGGCCATTGAGTTTGTCGGGTAAGATCCCTGACCTCAAGTTCACTCCCGCTGAAACCCAGGGATTCTTGATTCCGCTGAGCGATACTCCAGAGAAGGCGATTGAGTATGCTGGTAAGTGGGTCATGGATCTGTTAGCGGCTAAGACGAACGGAAAGATTCTTGTCGGCTAGGCTGGGACGACGGTTGCTGATGATTTCGACTCAGACACGTTTTACGACAGCTTCGAGGTTACGGATGAGTAGACTCTTTTCATCGGCCTAAGCTTGTTGCAGGAATCGAAAGCTAGTTTGTATTATTAGTTGTAAGATCAATCCAGTTCATTCACTCACATAAGTATAAGTGTTCTGTTCCCATATCAGAAAGAGCCTCTGAATATGTCTTATTCCTTCTGAGATTATATGTGACAAGCGACTGAAAATCACCATCAGTACAAGTTGCCTTTGCATAAGCTCCCGCAGCGTAATGCTGGCTCCTTGAAACTTGGAGTTGAGCCTCATTAGCGGTCTCTAAGAACTAGTACGGCTCATACAGGGTATACCGCTCAGAAACACCTTCTCTGTTCTTTCCCACGAAATCTCAGGCACAGGTCTTCTCCGTATGGACAGAGTGTTCGCTACTATGTGAAGACTGAAAGTTGCGGATAGTCTGTTGAGGGCAGGGCGTCGGTGGTTATAAGTTCTATATGTTTTGCCATCCAATTCGAGGTGCATTGCATTTGATCGGAGTAAATTGCGAAAAGATTGAGGTATATCTCTCGCCGCCGAGTTGCCTTCTGATGTGAACGGGAAGAGAGACTTTCTAGCACTTCTCCGTCGCAATCGAAGTACGGTTGTGAGTAATCGTAAGAGGTACAAAGATGTCGAAGCGCACCAAACTATGTGCTTAGATCAATCTACCTCTATTCAAGATTCTCGGTAAGTCAGAATTTTCAAGTGTGTTGAGGGTTTCGTACGTACATGGTACGTCGGCCATATTCCACTTCGGAGGCGAACCTGCAAGCGCACTGAGTCAAAGCATGTGCAATACGTACAGATGCTGAATCCTCCATGAATTAAACAGGTTCAAAACTCCGATACAAGTGACTCATACCTGGAACGTAGATTGTCTTTTTGTGGGGATCAGCATTGGCCGAAGAAACATGAGTGGAGCTGCTCTGCCAGTCTAATTCGCCCTCCAGAGCCTCTAGAGGGTTTATCCCCGTACTAGTGAGCTTTTTGATATATGTACGATAGCTGGGTGAAGCATCCGCCGTTGCTACTTGGTGTCACGGTAACCTTAGAGGCTACCTGACAAGCATGGATATACTGCTGGCAGTAGTATATCTTAGAGATATCGCGCGCTGGCAGTCAGTCAACAGATTATTAGATGGGTGGCCCGTCTACTAGCTGATTGGTCAAAGCATGGCGCTAGCCACCCTTGGCGAGGGCGTGCGACGAAGCGAGAAGATAGATCTACGCTGGATAGGGGAGAAGACCTTTTCTCCTTATCCAACGTCTTGTACCTACACGTAGATACCGAACGCAGTATATTGATCTAGCCTACCTGGGCCTCAGACATCTTGCTCGTTGCTCTCGTGACACTTGGGATGCATGCGCGGGCCACGGGTGCCGATCCAAAGGTTCTGCAAGTGCACCCGACGTTGCACAGTTGCTCGACATGGTGCAAAATCGGTACTGCTCCATACCTCTGGATCAGGGGATTGGAGTAGTCCCGGTAATTTAAACATACGTTGTTAATTCTTGGGAGATGGACTGAGATGTTGAGAGTGGTCGTGGACCTGGCTAATCGATGCTAGCAATTTAGCGTCTTGGCGTGCCCTCGTCGCCGTCCCCAACCGTCCCCGACCACAAAACGCCATCGCACTGTACGTTCTGCCCTGGCATCCCGTTATGTCCATCATGAACCATGGGAACCACTGTTGCAGCATTTCATTTCATGTGCTTTTGCAAACTGTCTTTCTTGTCAACTGCACAGTAAGCAGGAAGGCATGCTGGGGCAGCTGGCAGGCGCTCCCAGTATGCACTAGCCTATGCAGGCGTTCCGCTGCCGGTACTCTAAAGCGACTCGCACTCTTGCTCCTCACTTTGAAACAACATCGTGTATCCGAACGGAGCGCAGAGACAGCTAGACCCAGTCTCGCTGGCGACGTGCCGGAACGTTTGTTGAGCAGACGATCACCCTCCAGATGCGGCGATGGATGCGAGTTGATCTGCGAGTTCGGTCCGGTGCGTCCCACGTCGGACCGGGCTGTCTTTCGTGGCACAGGAGTGAACCGATGCAACAGTATGAAGACCACAGAAATGCCGTCCCCTAAGGACACTCTGGATATGCCGTCGTAGCTCAGCCATGGATTCCGTCACTCGGCCTCGCACGCTCTACGAGAAGATCTTCGACGCTCACGTTGTGGCTGAGCGGGAGGATGGCACAGTGTTACTTTACATCGATCGCCACCTCATCCATGAAGTCACTTCCCCACAGGCCTTCGAAGGGCTGGACAAACACGGTCGCTCTGTGAGGCGTCCTGAGCTTACCCTTGCGACATCCGACCACAATGTGCCGACATCAGAACGTCCTCAAGGCGTGAAGGCATCAACATACCTCACCCGCGAGGACTCTCGCATTCAGGTCCAGAAACTAGAGCGTAACGTCAAGCGCCACCATATCCCCTACTTCGGTCTTCGATCGAAGAGGCAGGGTATCGTTCATGTCATCGGACCAGAGCTAGGCTTCACCCTCCCTGGAAATACAATTGTCTGTGGGGATAGCCATACCAGTACCCATGGAGCTTTCGGTGCCCTCGCTCACGGAATCGGCACCAGCGAGGTTGAGCACGTCCTGGCCACGCAGACTCTCGTGTCCACGAAGAGTCGTAACATGAACGTGGTAGTTCGCGGGCGTCTCGCAGACGGTGTGACATCAAAAGACCTTATGCTATACATAATTGGCTCAATTGGTAAGCCGTTCTCAGGCATACTTGAAGATACTCATCAAAAATAGGCTAACACAAACTAGGTACGGCTGGTGGAACCGGCTCGGTAATTGAGTTCAGTGGGCCTGTGATCGAAGACCTCAGTATGGAAAGTCGCATGTCACTTTGTAACATGTCGATTGAGGCCGGTGCAAGAGCCGGACTCATTGCCCCAGACGAGAAAACGATCTCTTACGTCAAGCGACGCGAGATGGCGCCACGTGAAACCTGGGACATGGCGGAAGCCTATTGGAAGACACTCCGGACCGACGCAGGTGCCGTCTTCGACAAAGTGGTGGAAATTGATGCCAACGACGTAACGCCAACGGTCACCTGGGGAACTTCACCGGAACAGGTCATTCCAATCACCGGCGTGGTGCCTGCTCCCAGCGACTTTTCGGATCCAGTCAAGAAGGAGGGCTGCCTTCAAGCTCTGGCATACATGGGTCTTACCCCTGGAACGAATGTAGCAGATATTGCGGTGGACAAGGTCTTCATCGGCTCGTGTACCAACGCCCGCATAGAAGATTTCCGCGCGGCTGCTCAGATCTTGAGAGGGCACACCATTGCACCTAACATCAAGCTAGCCCTTGCTGTGCCTGGGTCGGGCCTCGTCAAGCGTGCTGCCGAAGACGAAGGGATTGACATAATCTTCAAGCGCGCTGGATTCCAGTGGAGGGAGGCCGGGTGTAGCATGTGCGTGGGCTTGAATGAGGACTCTCTTGCACCGACAGAGCGATGTGCCAGTACAAGTAATCGCAATTTCGAAAGTCGACAAGGAACAGCCGGAAGAACACACCTCGTCTCTCCGGTTGTTGCCGCTGCCACTGCAATCAAAGGCACACTGGCGGCACCTTCTCAGGTTGCGAAATCCGTTGGGCCTGCTGCACGCTTACAGCACGTTAATGTCGATTTCGATGTAGGATTCTCGAGTGATAGTGAAACACTGTCGGAGGAGGACAGTTCCTCGCAATCCTCGCTCATATCCACCTCGTCGGAGTACTCTGGGTCACCAAGCAAAGCCAAACGCGTGTGGACAGCCGTCAAAAAGCACGTAAAAGAACACCACGATAGCATGAATCAGGCTTACTCAGTTTACTACGGTCAGGGTGCTGGAAGACGAAGCTTTTCAGGATCTGGATCTGAGCATTCAAAGCATGCAGCCGAACAGGTAGCGCAACAAGCTACCAATAACTCTCGTTTCGAAGACAACATCAAGGGATCTGTAGCCGTTATCGAGCGAGCAAATATCGACACAGACGCCATCTTTCCCAAGCAATTTTGTACAACCACTCAGCGCACTGGCCTAGGTCATGCTCTTTTTTCCAATCTTCGATACAACCCGGACGGGAGCCCTAAGCCAAATTTCGTCTTGAACCGCCCTGAATCTCGCAGTGCATCGATCCTCCTGGCTACAGGGCCTAACTTCGGATGTGGTAGCTCTCGGGAGCATGCCGTCTGGGCATTGCAAGATTTTGGTTTCCGTTGCGTAATTGCTCCCAGCTTCGCAGACATCTTCTACAACAATGCTTTCAAGAACGGCCTGCTTCTAGCGCAGGTGAATGCAGATGTGGTAAACCGCATTGTGACCGAATCGAATACAGGACAATGTATCAAGATCAATCTTGAACAGCAGACCTTACGAAACGATCAAAATGTTGTTATTGGTCGATTCGAGATCCCGGAGCGTCGTAAGCAAGAGTTGCTAAGTGGTATCGGTGAGATCGAGGCAAGCCTTGCATTCCACAGCCAGATCAAACTATATGAGGAGCTCAGACGCCAACTATCACCGTGGTACGAAGAAGGTGTTCGCTCACAGGCAAACGTGCGACGGCGTCAATTAGCGACCGGCCAGAGTGACCCTTTCGCGGACGACCTCAAGAACGAAGCCCTCGCTTGGTAGGTACATTTCAATCGTTCGATCTGGAACACTTCATATCGATTAAACAGCCCATATGCCCGACACGATCTTTTATTTTATTTTATTTGTTTACGTTGGGATCATCATGTCGTCTAAACTGGTAATGTCGAATATACTTTCGGCGATATCTTGTGGAAAATCAAAACAGCCAAAATCGCCCGTTGTCTCGCATATTCCCCTGTGGTCCATTTGCAGTCTTAACGGGTCACCTTCGATAGAACCTCTCATCGACTCTGGTGGTGTTTGATACTGACCCAGCGTTTTTGGATGTGCTGCTAGGAACAGCTCACTCACCTCCGCGAACAGATCCGCGTTGGTTTCGGCTTTCACACACAACTTGCCAAAGAAACCCGATGCTATGCCGAGGTAGGGCAAACAATCTCCTCCTTCATCGCCTCTTCTCATCAGGATATACAGAACCATGGCAGATAAGGCCGGAAGCATGACAACAGGCCTGATACAATGTCAGCCAGATCGCGAATCGAGCGGGGGTCGCATCGGTTTTGGGGGCATGGAATGACCTACCAGTCTGTTCCAGAGTCCGTTCGACATGAATGCGCTGCCCCAAGGACTCGTTTCGCTATCATTGCACACTGAGATTTGCTCGATACGTGAGCCTTCACCAGTTCCGGAGGACAATCGCTTGTAGCAAGAACCCATCGATGGATGGCGAGAGATACTTCCGCATATCTGAGGGATATTTCCGACCTAATGATCGCATCTCCGGCATGCTCGTGACATTCTGGGCCGTCCAGATCCCGGTCGGGGCGATATGCAGCTGGTATTGACAACCTCCAAGACTCAAGCATACCAGATAATCTCTCGATTGCCGCGGACACTTCAATTGCTGTCATACGTAGGGAGAGGTGGCTATACAACGTCTTCACAATCACCGAACATAGGCGGGCGTATCGGTAATTCACGATCTCCCAGCCGGAGTAGTCAGTCACGCCTTGGGTGAAGAGACCCGATCGCTTTTTCGAGGGTGCGTGGTATACGAGTAGATCGTCGTCGACTACCTGAGCAGACTGTCAGAATACTATATCAAGAAAGGCCACGACAGCTAAGACTTACAGAATGACTTCCGAACCGAAGAGCGTGTGGCTTCTCAATAGAATAGAGAAGCCAGAACATACGCTCAATTTCTTCTGGGTTGGTGGTCGCTGTACCGCTTGCCGTTGGGGTAGTCAGACTGAGATCAGAGATCATGCTGATTGCTTGCGACAGTAAAGATCTTGTCAAAGCTGAATCGTGCCCGCGATGCACGAATAAAATCTAGGCCGAATCAGATCGCTTCATACTACTTGCTTTAGACACCTACCATGGAAACAAGAGCCTAAGTCAAGACATGAGTATGCAGCGGCTCTGATGGCAGAAGATGGTCCGTACCTGTAGCTTCAGCACCGTTGGCGGGCCGTTCGAGAGCTTCGCGCGGCGGTCCAAGGCGCATTGAAAGTATTGTAGCGGACGCACGGGAGATACCGAGGACGTCTTTTCAGACTTCATCCGATGCTTGCGTAGAGCATCACGACAGCCGATCGCAAGGACTGAATTTAACAATATCAGTGCGCTTGGCTCTATCTGAGTAGCCGACCGCATGGCCTCCATCAATATCTCCACAACAAGCTGCCTGCTGACGAAAATCGGGTAGCTGCAGGTATCAACATAGAGTCTCTCGAAGCTTGGCAAATATATGCGTACCTATAGTGTTCCTGGAAGAACACTATCAGCTCAGGTTAGCGGATTCCGGGAGTCGCATTTCAGGGTAATCTTACAATCGATAAACTGCAAGATCTCCGGCTGTGCATAAGACGGCAGCGCTGCTTGTGTCTGTCCCTTGTGTGGATCATCCACTCTCGTGGGCCCACGAACCTTGTTCCATATGCGATGCTGAAGATCCTCATCCCTACCTGAGGCACGCAAGTCGCCCGCCGACTGACCGATAAAGCGGACAACTGCGAATGACGAGAAGTCCTCTCTCGAGTATTAGCAAGAAGGCAACAACAAAATCGGTTCTGCACGTACTATAAAGCTCTTCAGGCCACACCCTATTCTTCTGATGCGAACTATCACCTAGGTCTATGCTATGGTCCAGCGGGTGATCTTCATCGCATGACGCGGATGCGGCGCCGCTCGCCCAGGGAGATACGTCGTCGCTAACGTCTGGTGTCAACATCTGCGGGCCGATACCCTCGATAGCTGGAGTCGGGAACGACAGGCCTGTGTTTCTGTTATCTGTGTTAGATAAGGTGCAAGTCTTGGACTGGACAGGCTTACAGCGTCGAGTCCAAGAAGAAGGTTCCCACATCTGTCCCGTTAGTAGTCTGACTGGGACTAACCGTGAAGTTGTCGATGCTTCGCGGTAGGTCATTGTTCACATCGATCTGTGGTTCTTGACTCCTTTCGGTCCTTATCTCAAGCGTATTCCGACGGGGTCTCTCATTTCGGTTGGTCGTATTGTTGCTGTAGCCGCATTGCAAATTCAGCTTCTACACCATCCATTGTTAGTCGCTCCGAATAACGTGCATTGCCACCACAGGGGCGCTCACAAGGCACTGCGAGCACGTTGCTGCTCCATCGCCTGCAACCATCAGCATAACCAATCACACAACAGAACGATCAAGCTGTGCCGCCCCCTTACATCGTACTTTTCTTTGCCGACAGTTAACACATGCACCTTTACGGCGTGTGATTTTCCGATATCCGCTCGGCTCCATGAGTTGAAGGTTTTGCGAGTGCAATGGCCGCTTGGTGATTCAGATCTAAGGGCATCCCGCGCGCTCTATGTGGAGGACCAGGTACCCTGTGGCAACAACCAGACACCGAGCACCTGCACGCTCAGACACAGCTGAATAGGGCAGACGAGCGATATGACATCAACAAGAGATACGATTGGACCCCAATAGTCTTTGTGTGCACCACGTAAGATGTAACCAAGAATTCGGCTTCTGTGAGGATGGTTGTAGACCAATCAGAGTGTCGTCCTGGTCTGCTCGAAAGGAGCCATTCCACTTGGGGAAGGCCTCAATTAAAATCTCAAAACTCCGGCGCATGCGGGCGACACTCGCTCAGACCTGGTCGCAGACCCTCGCGATCAGCATGACGAGGCGTAGGCATAGCCTCCCCCAAGGAGCAGACCCACTTTTGCGGAGAGCACCATGCATCCCGTTAGCACGTTTTCGGAGCCTAACCAGGGCAAGGTTCGTACACAAGAACACTCTTCTGGCTTGTCAAAAATTGCAAGTGGGTCAGACTAAAGTCTTTCTTTTATTTGGGGGCCAAATCCATGTGAGTGCCGCTCTCGATCCTGTTTTCACTATGGCTAGCTGATTTCACTGACCGGAACGCTCCAAGGGTGCTCTTCCACAGCATATTGCCTAGCCTCAATCCACTCCTTAAACAGCGCCGTTATCGCTCCCGCGCTCTGATGGCGGGATAGTCCGCATTGAACTAGAGTGTCACGATACTTGATCGCGCGGATAGGGCTGACGACAGCGGCTGTCCCTGTTCCGAACACCTCGACCAGCTTCCCCACCCCTGCTGCGTGCACGACTTCTGACATGCATATTTCGCGCTCACTAATGGTCCACCCCGAAGGCGCGAGCCTTTCCCTGGCCAGACTCAAGACACAATCCCGTGTTACGCCAGGCAGGATCATACCGTCCAACGGCGGCGTAATCAGCTCGAAGCATCCTTCTTGTTCAGTCCGCAACACTATAAAGAGGTTCATGGTACCGGCCTCCGTGATACGGTCATCGTCACCAAACAGCCAGAGGAGCTGTTGGAACCCTCGCGCTTTGGCTGCTTTCTCCGGAGCAATACCTATACAAGGCAAGAATCAGCATGCGTCACAAAATTCGGGACTCGCCACCAATTGTTGAGGTGCCTCCCATCATCGAGAGTGGCCGGACTAGGCCGAGGAGATACATACATGGCGCATAGTTGCCTCCGATTTTATGGTTGCCAGCCCCTCCAGGCCAGGCTCTCGTCGCCACAACGCTGCTTGCGGCTTCTAGGGTAATGGCCTTGAATCCTGCGGAAAAATATGGACCGACAGGACATGCAATGCAGTACAGGAGGGCGGATGTGGGGGCAGCGACACCCAAATTAGAATTGGTTGCGATGATGACCGGACGGATATAAAGCGAGTACCCCGGTTTTCTGCGACAGCACGGTTAGGGTTTTTGGCCGACTTCGGACGCAGGCCGGTCCAGTTGCTTACCCGTATATGAACCGCTCCTCTAACTTCACAAAGCGAGCGATGAGCTTGAGGAGCTCGTCAGCATCGAAGGTTGGCAGCGCGATTCGGGCAGCTGAGCGGTTGAGGCGGTCAAGATTAACCTCAGGCCTGAACAATCTGACGCTGCCCCAAGCATCCCTGTACGCTTTCATGCCTTCGAAGCACTCAAATCCATAATGGAGAACGGCAGCTGCAGGATCGAGGGCCAGGTGCTGGTATGGCGCGATCTGGGGCGTTTGCCAGCCGTGTTCTGAGGTCCACCGGACTTGGAGAATGTGGTCTGCACGAATCATGAGCATCGTCTGACCCACTCGTTTGCGTTGTTCGCGTCAGGCCATCTTACCCGTGTGGTGACTGCCAAACGTCAGGTCTTCGGCCGGCGGCAGCTTCGATGGATGTAACGTCTTCGTGACGCGCAGTTTGGATGCATCGAGTCTTGCTGGACCTGAGGATGCGCTGTCTTGCTCGAATGAGCGCTGCGGTGAGACGATTCCTGGCGCCATGGCTTAGCTGCTCTCACTCGAACCATGGCGTCTTCCATCTGGTCATTATAGTCGTCGTGATTGCGCGATACACGGTTGTAGTTGTGTGGATACAGAGGAGCCGAAGCCTGCAATCCATCGTCGCTTCGGTCCGCAGGTGCGTTCCCTAGCGAGCGGTCCGACGGTCCGCATGCTACTAAAGCCCATGGAGACAAGTGCTGGCTGAGTAATAGGCAGTGGGTTTTCCAAGTCCTTCCAAGAATGCCGAAGGATCAAAAATTGGGGTACAGGAGACAGCCAGTTGTTTGATTTTCGGGACTGAGTGCATATACATACCGTTCACAGCAAGCCGGCGTGTTGATCTTGCTTAGCGCACTGTCCCCCCGTCTTTTCCGACGGCTATCATTGCGAATTCGCGGGGCTAGCCCGCAAGAGTCATCGAGCGCTTTGTCTAACACTTCCTAGGACTAGCGTGGGGGCGAGCACCCCAGCTCAAAAGACGCTGGTCCTCACCGTACAAACGCGGGCACGCAACGTGTACACGACACCCTCAATCTAGTTCTGTGTGCCTGCGATCTTCCTTGTGGACCTGCACCTGCACGCTGCATACGAAACCCCCAATTTGATCATGGCTGACGCAACTCCGGCGTCGTCCGAATTCGAGCTCGAAGACCGTGGCGAGGAACTTGCGCAGCAATTGCCGCCTGTGGATGGCGGGAAAGATGCATGGCTATTTCTAGCTGCCTCGTTCGTGATTGAGGCCCTGGTCTGGGGTGAGTATGCTCTGTGACGTATCATGCTTGCTGCATGCAGCAACGTGCATACGATATCCGAGTAGCGAGTCGGATTTCGCTAACGTCCTGCAGGTTTCCCCTTCTCATTCGGCGTTTTCCAGGACTACTATTCAACTCATGAGCCGTTTGCGGGGAGTGGCAATATTGCCGTAATCGGCACATGCGCGATGGTAAGTTGGCCCGCCTGGCTAAAGGTTGCGATGCTCTGAACCACGAGAAGTGCCCGAGCATTCGGCCCGATATTGCATAGAAGGATGGCGCTGACTGAAGTCCAGGGCATCATGTATCTGGATCTGGTCATGGTCTTCTCGCTACTGAAAATGTGGCCGAGTTATCAGCGCTGGGCAACATCCTGCGGATTGTTCGTTATGTGTCTCGCATTAGCACTGAGCTCGCTGTCGAATAACACAGGGGAGCTCATCGTCTCACAAGGCGTCATCTATGCCATTGGTGGCAGCTTCACCTATTCGCCATGCATTTTGTACATGGACGAGTGGTTCCATAAGCGCAAGGGCCTCGCGTATGGAATCATGTGGGCAGGCACTGGCCTTGCGGGCGTCATCCTTCCTCTTGTCATGGAATGGATGCTGCGCGATTACGGCTTCCGCACGACCCTCCGCGTGTGGGCAATTTGCCTCTTCGTACTTACCGCGCCTCTGCTCTACTTCGTCAAGCCCAGAATCCCGATCGCCCCAAAGCAACGAGCGCGCAAGATCGATTTCTCGTTCCTCAAGACGTCGACCTTCACGATTCATCAGGCGTGCAACACGATCGAGGCCCTCGGGTTCTTCCTCCCCTCAATCTACCTGCCCACCTATGCGCGTAGCATTGGGGCGTCGGGCACGCTGAGTGCACTGACCGTCATCCTCTTCAACGTGGCTTCGGTTTTTGGCTGCGTCGCCATGGGGTCCATCGTCGACAAGTGGCATGTGACCACATGCATCCTCATCTCGACCATCGGAACTACCATCTCTGTCTTCATCGTCTGGGGCTTCTCCATGTCCCTTGCACCTCTCTACGTCTTTTGTCTCATCTATGGCTTCTTCGCTGGCAGCTTCACGAGCGCATGGCCCGGCATCATGCGCGATGTGACGAAGAAGAGACAGACGGCTGATCCCAGCATTGTGTTTGCTTGCCTGGCTGCCGGAAGAGGCATCGGCAACGTGGCGAGCGGACCACTAAGCGAGGTGTTAATCCGAGGTCTGCCATGGAAGGATAGCGTGGGCTTTGCGTACGGAAGCGGATATGGAACGTTGATTGTGTTCACGGGGGTTACAGCCCTCCTGGGTGGCTCAAGTATTCTGGGGAAACGGGTGGGCTGGGTGTAGAGCATACTGCCACTATGCTGTACTAACAAGTTTTCGGGAGGCGATGGTTCATGTGGCCCAAATTAGACTGCATCAGCTCACGCTGTGAATATAGACTTGACGAAAGTTTTTCTACGCCTTACAACTTGCACTACTGGCTATGCGCTACTTTTTGGGACACTTGCGCGGCGAAATGCAGCTCTGTAGCAATTCTGTAGATCTCGAAACTTCTTGCATAGATCGGCTGCACAAAGCTCTGCTCTGTCTACCAATGGAGCGCATAGTTGAACTCGTGACACATAGGAATATGGTAACCTACTCCAGCTGCTTTGGGTCTTGAGGTAAGTTCTTTGATGCACTGATCTGCAGTGAAGTCCTCTCAAGACAAGATGCGCTAGGTGAAAGACTTGAGTTGGGACTGGTCTTCTGAGTGACGTTGAGGCCCTCAAAGTGAAGTCTGGGCTTTCAGCCTCCTGCGCCCCGCCAGCGGCATCCTTGTCGCCTCTTGTTGGCAAATCGCGTTACTATCATATAAATTGATGACCTGCTGGTCGAGTGATATGTTGCTTGTGAAGGCTACGGCTGCCGTTTCGGTAAAAGCGGTTTCCGAGCGAAGGATACATGGATTGCGAGCGCCAGCGTGAAGGTACAACCACAGAAGTTATCGTGGGAACCACGGAAAGAATTGACAAAGCGACGGTTGCGTTGTGTCGATTACGAAATCACAGTCCGACGCAATGGAAGGGTGAGCCAGTGATAGTGAAGGTGATGACGTAGATTTCTAAACAAGCTATGCTATTCAAGGAAAGCGCCGACACAAACGTCTCCAACCACACTGCACAACACGCCCTTCCTCACTCCACACCACATCAGTATGCTGCCACAGCTTCCATCTGCTCTGGCTCTGGGTAGTGAACCGCATTCCTCATCGCCTGATACTCCAGCGCAGTGAGATCCTCGTACATCGGCTTCTCCTCCCCTGTGATGAACTCCTTTAGCGGGCCAACATTGACGTGTCGGTCGGCCTTCACGAAGTACACCAGACTCCATCTTTCTGGGACCATGTCGGCGTTGGGGTCCATCTCGTGAGGTTTGGTGACGCGGTGCAGACCAGCCCGCACGCTGCCGTTGGTCCAGCGCTGGATCGTCTCAGATGCAATAACCACAACCTCGTCGTCGCCGTTGTAGGGCATCGGAATGAAGTTGCCCGGGTTCTCACGGTCTTCGTACTCCAACCCGCCAGTGCGGTCGGGGAACACGAGTGAGATGATCCCGAAGTCGTTGTGCGGCCAGATGCGGCTGACCTGGCCTGTCTCGAGTGTCTCGCGCTTGACAGGCGGGAAGTGGTTGATGCGGATAGTGGTGGCTTCGTGCGTACACTTTGAGGAGAAGAGCTTGGACTCGTGGCCCATAGCCGAAGCGAGAACCTCCAAGAGATTGCTGCAAAGGTCACCACAGTCGAAGAAAAACCGGTCCATGGTCTGCTGGTAGCCGGGCAGAGCTTCCTGCGTGGGCCATCGGTTGGGGAAGTGCTTGTCATTCGGGTGTCCACAATCGAAGGATTCCTGTGGATGTCAGCATGGATTCCATGAGCATGAGGTTAAGAGACTTACCTTGTTGTCGCTGAACTTGGGCGACTCTACATCGCCAGTGTTGCTCTCCAGCCACCAAGTCTTCTCCTCGCCTGGTGGGCTCCAGCCGCGCTGTTGACCCTTCTTGGGGTCGTTGATGATGTCCTTCTTCTCAGAGAAAGGAAGCTTGAAGAAACTCTTGATCTTGTTGAAGGTGTCTTCAACCACTGGCAGAGGTACGCTGTGGTTGACCAACTTGCAGAAGCCAAACTCAGTCAGTGCCTCAAGAAACTTTGCGCTGAACTCCGCACGCTGCTGCGCTGTGCCGTTGGACAGGCAAGCAGCGTCGAGGACAGGGATAGTCTTGGGCATTTTTAAAGGTGGGTGTGGGAGAAATGGAAACTGTTGGAGAAGAAGGCGTTGATGAGCTGTTGATCAAGTCGATGCTGTGTGATGCTAGAGATAGCAGCGCGCAGCGGGCCATTTTGAATTAACCCCATCCTCATAGAGACCCATGTCGGAACGGCGTGAAGTTGCAGAACGTTGACGGTCCGTCGGTGTCGCAGCCGCAGTACAGCGATCATTTCCCTAGGTCAAGCGTGAAACAAATCAGCGGAAAGCGATCGTTACCGCTTCCGGGCGCTAACCGAGACCGAGTCAGCACAAGTGCCGGTCCGATCGTACCTTGCATCGGATTTGGCGGCTCGGCTTGGCTCGGTACGTCTTATGGTGACGATCGGCATACAGTGAGCAGACATACTGACGATGTGAATCATATGTAAGTTGGCGTTGGTTCGAGGAATGGTCATCTTAACGACACGCGGGTAGGAAAATTTACTTTTCAGACCAACACTAAGCAACACCTTCACAATGCCTATGTGAGTTGCATTCAGTATTCTCTTCGCAATGATAGAACCTGCTAACAGTTACAGGCTACGCAAATCATCAGAAAAGTACGAGTCCTTTTCACCGCCTACCCTCGAAGACCGGACATGGCCGTCCAAGAAGATCACAAAGGCTCCGCGATGGTTAGCAACAGATCTTCGCGACGGCAACCAAAGTCTTGCACACCCCATGACAGTTGAGCAGAAGTGGACATACTTCAATCTTCTTGTCAAGATGGGCTTCAAAGAAATTGACGTAGCTTTCCCTGGAGCTTCAGATACTGAATTCAATTTCACCCGTCGGTTAGTCGAGACGCCGAACGCTGTCCCGGATGATGTGTGGCTGCAAGTGCTATCGCCCTGTCGAAGAGAGTTCATCAAGCGGACAGTTGAGAGTGTGACGGGAGCAAAACAGGCAACCATCAGTTTATACATCGCGTCGAGCGATTCCTTCCTTGACACCATATTCGGCCTCACGCAAGAGGACATACTCAATATGGCAGTCGACTGTGTGACCTACACCCGGGAGATCACAAAAGATGACCCAACAAGGCAAGATACAACCTGGAACCTGATGTTCAGCCCCGAAGTAAGTACGGTCGAATCCAGATAAGGCACCAGCTAATCTGGTTTCAGGCCTTCTCCGACACCGACCCATCCTACGCGATTAAGCTCTGCGATGCGGTACGACAGGCATGGAAACCCACTCCAGAAGTACCGCTTATCCTGAACCTCCCTGCAACCGTCGAGATGAGCACCCCAAACACCTTCGCCGACCAAGTCGAGATTTTCTGCCGCGCCTTCCCTCAAGACTCCGTCATCGTCTCCCTCCACCCACACAACGACCGTGGGTGCGCCGTCGCCGCCGCTGAGCTCGGCCAACTCGCCGGTGCCCGTCGTGTGGAAGGCTGCCTCTTTGGCAACGGGGAGCGCACCGGGAACGTCGACCTCGTCACCCTCGCGCTGAACCTCTACACCCAAGGTGTGGACCCTAACCTAGACTTCTCCGATCTACCTGGCATCCGAAAGACCGTCGAGGAACTCACCCGCATCCCGGTGCACACGCGCGCCCCCTACGCAGGGGACTCCGTTTTCCTCGCCTACAGCGGCTCCCACCAGGACGCCATCAACAAGGGCTTCAAGCAGTGGGAGCGCCCAACCTCGACACCAGGCAAGAAGAACATCTGGAAAGTCCCGTATCTACCGCTGGACCCGCAGGACATCGGCGCGACGTACGAGAGCGTGATACGCGTGAACTCGCAGAGCGGCAAGGGCGGCGTGGCATGGACGCTGGAGCGCAGCGCAAACCTGAAGCTGCCACGGACGCTGCAGCAGGAGTTCTCCAGCGTGGTCAAAGCCGTCAGCGACCGCGTGCAGCGCGTGCTCTCGCCGGAGGAGCTGCAGGAGTTGTTTCTAAAGAACTACAGGGTGCTGGAGCGCGAGGGGAAGGTACTAGAGTGCAGCGCGGTGGAGAGTAGCACCGGGCGGTTCGAGGTCCGGGCGACGATTCTCATCAACGGGCTCGCACGTGAAGTCAGGGGAAAGGGGCCGTCGGTGTCGGCGGCGCTGTCTGCGGCGTTGGCTGTGGGGACGGGGCTACAGATCTCGTTCGATGTGTATCAGCGCAAGTGGATGGAAGGCGGGAAGGAGCAGGATATGGTGCTTGCGATGTGCGACTTGAAACGGGGGAAGTACACGTCGTGGGGTGTCAAGGTTGGGTCGGCGCTGGAGGTGGAGCTGTTGGCGTGTCTTTCTGCTGTGTTAGTGAGTGCTACCACATTCATTCCCTTTTGTCGACGGCATACTAACGCATCCCAGGGTCTCGAAAATCTGCTGCAGAGTCTGCGGTTACTGCCGCTCTTCCACGGCGCGCACAGTGAAAGCACGGATACGGGTGCTTTCTTCCGCAAAGCTGTATCTGTGGGGCCATGTTATAAGTTCGGCTGATGGCTTTTTGGTATTTCAATGCCTTCCTGCTCATGTGTTTGCGAACAGCGCATTTACTATTCACGCATCTATCCATAAATTTTCGACCCGATCACCGAGGCAATGTACGCTGTAATACGTATTTCGTTGCAGGGAAAAATTAGCTAAATAAAATGATGCTTGTAGATCGAGCGTAATAGTCTGACCTGCAAGGCTTGATGGAAAACTCATCGTCATTGTTTCGATCTGACTATGGACATCATGATAGCTAATCTCAAACCACGCCTTCCAACAGTCTTTCAATCTCAACCCTCTGTCTCGTGACCAGCTCGTTCAGCTCAGCCTGATGCTTTGCTTGCAAGAAAGAGTACCGCTGAGCGAGCGTCCTCTGCTCTCCTGCCGGCGCGATGGTCTCTGTCTCTGCCTGCGGAGTAGCTTGACCTGGTGCGTCGGTTTCGATAGCAGCAGCGCTATCTTTCCGGGGCCGCTCGGCGTCCTTCGCTTCGATGGTCTCTGTCTCTGACATAACCGGGTGTTGTTCCTGTGTCTCAACAGCGACAGTGCCGTGAGACGCTTGCTGTGCATCCTCTCTTACTTCACCGGTGTCCGGCTCTGGTACGACTTCGGATTGAGTAACCAAATCGCCAGCAACTGTGCCATTGGTCGCCGGCTCCTCACCCTCTTTCGAAAAATACTGCACATCCAACCCTGCCAGATCCCCTGCCTTTCTCCAGTCGGTCAGAAGTTTGATAAACGCAGGGCTGCCGAATCCATACGTCGCGTTCCTCGCGCCGCTTTCCGACGGCTTCCCTTCGTTGTTGTAGTATCCCGGCGTGCACTCCTTGAAAAAGTCCCCTCGGATCGCAGTACCCTTGACAATGATGTCGGTCCAGCCTTCCTCTGCTTCTCGAGTCGGCTCAATTGTCCGGATCCCCTTCCTCAGACACTCCGAGATGATATACGCATAGTGTATCGCCTGCTCATTCGTGACATGCATAAAATTCGGCGTCAGCGCTGCTTGCACCACTTGCACAAAGCAGCAGTTCGGGAACGCGCGCGTGCCCCAGCCATGCAGGGTTTGCGCGCCGTCGCGCCATTTCTCCGTGATAGTGAGGCCATCGCGACCGTGGATCTCGATGCCGGTTTTGTGCGACCAGTCGTTGGCGAGCTCGAAGCCGGTGGCGTAGATGAGGCAGTCGAGTTCGTATTCTTGGCCGTTGGCAACGACGCCCTTCTCTGAAATACGATCCACGCCCTGCCCCTTTGTATCGACTAGCTTGACGTTCGGGCGGTTGAACGTCTGCAGGTACTCGTCATGGAAACACGGCCTTTTGGTGGTTTTTGTGATCAGCAGAATCAAGAAATGCAGGCAAACATACGCTCCTCACCTTTTGCAGAATTGATTGTACCACGGCTTCAAACAATCCGCCGTCTCTTTATCCCCAACAACCTCGTCCGTCCGCGCGCGGATCTCGTTCATCTTCTTGTAATCCGCGATCTGGCGCTTCGCTGCTGCTTCGATCGGGTTGCTCATGTCGATGCCTGCGGTGATGAGGTCGCGGATGATGCTGGTCCAGCGGTCGCCGACCATGTCTTCTTCTTCAACGCCGCCGTTGACGAGATTGTCGAAATTGTCCATGCGTTTCTTCTGCCATCCGGGGGTGAGAGAAGCGGCCCATTGCGGGTCGGTGGGCGCGTTACCACGGACATCGATGGAGGACGGTGTGCGTTGGAAGACGTAGAGCTGCTTCGCCCAAGTGCCTAGATGGGGCACGATCTGCACGGCTGTGGCACCGGTGCCTTCGCGCTATCAGCAATGGGATATTCTAGGGCGTGCATGGAGGGACGCACCGATGATGCCAACCCTCTTGTCCTTCAGCTTCTCCAAGTGCCCATCAGAATCGCCACCTGTGTACCCATAGTCCCACCTACTTGAATGGAAAGCGTGCCCCTTGAAGTCCTGAATACCCTCAAGACCTGGAAACTTCGGTCGGTGGAGAGGTCCCGCTGCAGGAATAATGAAGCGCGACTTGATCTCATCCCCCCGCGAGGTGTACGTCGTCCACTTCCCCTCCGCCTCGTCCCACTTCATGTCTGTGACTTCAGTCTGAAACAAGGCGCGGCGGTATAGATCGTACTTCTCGCCGATAAGATGGGAGTGTCGAAGTAGCTCCTTTGCCCTTGCATATTTTTCCGTAGGCATATAGCCCACCTCCTCAAGGAGAGGCATGTAGATGTATGATTCGATGTCGCATTGCGCCCCCTGTACCCGTCAGTCTTCCTCTTACCCATTATTCTCAGTCTTCCCACACATGCACCAAACAAGAAAAAGACTTACAGGATATCTGTTCCAGTACCTATCCCACACATTAGCCCCGTCGCTCAACACCAGTGCAAGGAGCAAAGACAGACAACTCACCACGTCCCCCCGAATCCCCCCGCCTTTTCCACAATCCGAAAACTCTCCACCCCAGCCTCCATCAACCGCACCGCACAAACCTATTCAAGCGTTAACGAGATTCATCAACTGTTCCAGTCTCTAACAATCTCAAAAGGAATGGACCACAAACCTGCGCTCCATACCCACCCCCCACAATCACAACCTCAACTTCTTCCTCCACCTTCTCTCTCGCAAACCCCGGCTCCACCCACGGATCATCGAGGTCTACACTCGAGTCAGCGGAACCACAAAACCGGGTGTATGTAGAGAGTCTCTGTGTTCAGTACATAGCGATTTTGTACGAAAAGGAGGTATGGCACGTACACTTCAGCAGAGGCCCCTCAATCAGCGTGTACTGCGCCACGCCCTCGGGGTGTCTCGCAAGCCGCGTGTCGCGCTCGGCGAGATAGCGTGCCTGGAGCGCCGCGGGGTCGAAAGGCAGACTGTCTTGCGCAGCGACGGAGCCGACTTTGATGTCCACGGGGATTTGGGCATGTCTGGGGGAGATGGTTCTGCGAGAGGATTTGGGACCTGGGGGAGCGTCGGGCTTGCAGTGGCCATGTTGGGTTTGCTATCTCTTTTCTGTCCTCTAGTACTTCGCGTGGAAATCAGGGCAGGAAGCGGGACGTTTGACGACGGGCTGCTCAATTGGGTCGTCTGTATTATAGGAGGAGGTTCATGTTGTACGCGGTTTCGAAATAGTGTCGTAGCCGCGGCTTCTAGTCATGGAGCGCGAAGTAGCTTCCCCGCCTTCCCAGCACAGCGGCCGAGTCAAACACGCATACCCATGAGTCGAACATGCCGCTTGATCCCCCGCATCGATCACTTGACGAGAATCTGGGGTAGCGAGGCAATGCTGGTGGGGCGGCTGCGCTGCGGAAGCCGACTAAGTCTGCACGAGTCGAGTCGCTTAGCTTTTCATGGGTCGATACTATGTGTACGTATGCTGTTGCTGTCACTGTCACAAATGAGATTCGCTCGCTAGTACGCTACAACGATATAGTCAGGTATCACGTCTCCAGAACAATGCTCTAGAGTTAAACTCCATTCCGCCCCTCGATGATATAAACTTCGCTGCTCCCGCGACTGCTGCTGCCGTCCTTCTTCCCCGCCGGACTGTACACCTCGTCCTTCTCGATCTCCAGCTCGTCGATGCGGACCTCCGTCGTCGTCGTCTTGCTGATCTCACCCGCCCTGAGAGGCTGCAGCTTGATACCAGTGCCCTGACCTTCTTCGTCCATGCGGCTGTACGCACCGGCCGAGTGGCCGAGGTCCGCCGCACGGATGGAGCGGCGGGGTCGCGATTTGGCCGTCTGCGTGTGTGAGATAGACGCGGTAGTGTCGCGGAGCGCGCCCTTGACGAGGTTCATGAGTTGGTTTAGAATGGTGAATTCGATCTTGAGCTTGACGGAGTAGACTGCGCCTTTGTAGCTCGTCTGGATGTCGTATACTGATCCGAGGTTAGCATGGACTTCAAATTTTGTTTGGGAAGGGGCTGCGGGATTGGGGGGAGACTTACACCCCGCGAACTCGAGACCCAACGTTGTGACATCGAGCACGATGATGATGATGCTCATCAGCAGCGTATGCAGAATGACTTTCCGCCCTCTGCTACCTCTAGCATTCTCCTTGGCGTTGAATATCGGACCCTCGGTTCGTAGCATAACCGATGTTTTCCAGATGTATATTCCAGAAAGTACACATTCCTGGATGAAGAACATTGTGATCTGTATCTTTTCGACGACGGAATAGATTGGGATGTACGGTGTTGGGTCGGGCGCGCAGTTGGAAAGGAACGTGAGCACCCCGGTGACTCCGTGTAGTATGACGCCGTCTGCGATGATGTAGACGAGGATCCACTTCACCCACGGCGACTGCACTACAAGGTGTAGTCTCGAGTAGAGCACGATGGACTGCCCTGTGACCATGGCAATCCATCCCGAGTACGCGAGCACAGTGTATCCAATGTCTCGTGCTTGAGAGCCGTCATCCTTGATGTGGTAGAACTTGAGGAACTGGCCAAGACAGTGGAGGAAGATGCCATACGTAGCGACAAGCAGGGAGTAGTAGTAGAAACCGGCGCGGCGCTTGAAGAAGGAGTGGATGAGGATGGTAAGCTCAAGAACGTTGTACCAGGCGATGGTGGTAAAGGACGCGATGACGATGGATTTGGTCAAGGAAAGTTGGACGTTGGACCCAATGCCCGAGTCCTCGGCGGCGACCATGAGCGTGGCAGGCTGGTCAGCACTCACTCTCTGCAGTATATTGCGACCGTGTGGCTCGTGAGCACGCGTATCGACTCCGGAAAGTTGGATCGTCGAGAGGGTGGGCCCCGGGATGCAGATTGCTCCCGACTTTATGGCTTTGTGCTACCTGTTCATCGCATCAGACCAATCCTGCGACCAACAACGAGGGATGCATTATTGCGCAGGATTGTGACTCGTTAGGAGTTGGTTTCTATAGGCGAGCTTTGGTCTGATTGGTGCAATTGTTCTCGTTCTCGTGCCTTCAGATTCGCGCGAGAGGGAAGGATCTTGTAGCTTTCGGGTCCGGGGGTGCACGGCCCGCGGCTGGGGTAAGGACGAGACGTTATTTGACAATCTGGAGGGAACGCGTGGGCGGCGAGGCCACGGTGCATTGACGGATCCCTCAATATTAGGGAGTCTGGCCCGATGTTTTGGATGGTCAGCCCTCGGAGATGAGCGTGGCACAGGGAAGTCTGATCCAGTTAAAGGTCAAGAGCGTCATATTCAGACACATACATCGTGCGCAGCTCGATGCATACATGTTATAGGTAATAGTACATTTTGTACAGGTCTAAGTGTTTATACATGCAGAAGAGACGGGGTATTAGTCGACGGTGAAGGTAAAACCAAGGGGCGCCAGGATTTTGTCTTGGGTGACTTTGTTCGCGACTTCACCTCCCCGTTCGAGGGCAAGTGCGCCAATGATGGCGTACAATGAGGTGTTGAGAACGGATTCTAGACCTGAGCTCTGGAGATTATCCGCCTAGTAGTGTTAGCGGGCCGCGAATCGAGGGAATCTCCCGAGTGCCAAGTAGGGAGTTTGGGATAAGCGACGTACTCGTTTCGGCTGCCACCTCGTAACTTTGTCCAAGCCGTAACGCTCGGCCAGGCCTGCTAGCCGCGACTTGTCCAGCACACGACCCTTGGCTTCGCCCGTCAGGCCTTGCAGGCCGTGGAGCGCAGGGTGGACAAAGGGAACGCGGCCGTAGCCGTCTGTGAGGGGCGTGCCGTCGGCTTTCCTCGGCCATGCTTCGACCTGCGGTGCGTTGATGAGTGCCTGCGACGTCTGCAGCGACACGATCCGCCGTCCTGGATGCTTGTCAGCCCACTCGTTGGTCGCTCCTCGGCGCGCGGTTGAAACACACCCAGATACGCTAGCCGGTCGTTGAATCCTCTCTTGCCGTGGTCGAAGCTCTTGTGCGTGACAGCCAGCCACTTCACCTCTTCAGACAGCACCTTGTCGCCACCGGGGCCCAGCATGCGCGAGTAGACTTCGTCGAGCCGGCGGGGGTCCTCGTTGACCTTGAATTCGGGGCCCTGCGGTTTCGGCCGCACACGATAGGGGGCCACCATGCGCGGCGGCGTCTGTTGCCATCGTGGCCGGGCGGCAGCTTCTGTGTCGTATTCGGGGCCCCGTGACGGTGCCGTCGTGGAGAATGCGCATGCGGAGGTCCGCACGAGGGCTCGCCGGGCGGGTTGCGCGGCGCCCACGGCGGACGTTGCCGTCGAGAGCAGGCTTCGGAGGGGTCGAGGGGAGGCCATTGGGGCCTGCGATGGATCGAGCGACGGGTGACGGGCAGCGGGCGACGTCCACGGCGATGGCAGCGTGAGGGTGTCACGACGGCCGGTCAAACAAAAGTTCGGATGGCTCCAGCGCGCCTTCCTTGCTAGGCCCGTTCGGGGCAGGCGCGACCCAGCACCAGAGGAAGGCGCGCCCCACGACTCGACGTCTCTGCCCGCGTCGGCACCGGACAGCTATCTCACTGGACGTCGTGGCGAGTTCCTCGAGGGCGTGGCCGCCGCTTTGGTTGTTTTCTGGGGCGTCGCCGTCTTGGTTGCGCCGCCATGGCTGATATCGCTACCGGGCCATCTCTCTACGACCTCCTCGCCGAAGCCCTCCCCAACGACGCCGCATTCACCTTCTACCACTACTCCACCCCGCCGACCAAGTCACCCCCGCTGTTTGCAGCCCCGCCGCATGCGAAGCCCGAGCGAACCTACTGCGAATCGCACACCCTCGCTGCTTCCATCCATCCAATCGCCTCTCCCGGCGCAGCAGCGTCTGATGAGATCCTGGTGCTCGCCATTGAGGTCTTAGTCTACACTACGAAACATCTCACCACCATATTCGTCTCAAAAGCCGACTCCACAGGCTATCTCTCGCTGCTCGGAACTGGTCGAGCGCAGGGTGGATCGCCGCTGAAGGCAATATGCGGGACATTCGTATCATGGCTGGCAAAGGAGCGTCAAAGAGAGGGTAGGAGGACGGTCGTGTCGCTCTTTGCGAGGGCGCAAGATCAGTATCTGTTTCCGGCAAGCATAGAAAACAAGGAAAAGCATGTTCTTGATGACAAGGAGCTGGTGCGGTGGTGGTGCAAGGTACTTGACCCGCTCGTGAAGCAGTACAAGGAAGAGGAGGCAAAATCGCTCAGTGAGCGGCTGTCTGCGGCAGATGGTCCTCTCGCGTCGTCTGCAGACTTCACCGCCAAGGGGTACCTGGTAATCCCGGGCTTCGAGCCCAACGATACCCTTCGCTACTACACGCCACCACCTGCACCCAATGCGCCGCGTCGTTGGGCTGCCTCACATCCGCTGCTTCAGATTGCGCCTTATCCAGCCGCGCCGCCTCGCTGTTTGGTTCCCCACTTCCCAGACGACCCCAAGGCACGCTTCCTGGATGAGCTAGACGATGAGCTCCCTGATCGAGGCACCGATGCCATGACCAAAGAGGGTGGCACCCCTTCTCGAAGCAACGGCCAATGGAAAAGTGTCAAGACTCTGGATCAGTTCTGGGAGTTCATGGCCTTCAGGCAGGAGTGTTCAGCTGGCCGAATAGTGGGGTTCATATGGGTAGTAATAACCCCGCCGAAGCCTTCCATCCCGGAGGAAGATGAGAACGAGCCATCACAATCACAACTTTCATCCTTCTCCCAAGAGACATTGCTTCCTTCACCACCGTCCAAGCCAAAGAAGAAAACCCCAAAGAAGTCGAGGCGGCGGAAAGTCAACACGGAACATGGACCTATACCGCTTGTTCTCCCGAAAATCAAGTCCTCTTCGTCAAACGTCTCGACCGTGTCGACCGGTTCTACGGGCGCAGCAGCGACGACGGCTCCCGAAATGACTGCGTACTACTGGTGGCCTGCGAACTCGCGGGGCACTGTAGTGTTCTCGTTGAAGAACTACAACAGAGCGCATGAAGTGCTCCTGCAACAAAACTTCTCCACCCGTGCCGCGGCAACCAGGAGTACCCGGCGATGGAAAGAGGAGGTTGCAGTCTTGGGACGCATCGATGAGTGGAGTAAGACGGTAGTAGGGCGCAGGAAGCCGGCAAGTGCCACCGCTGTACCTGCCAACGGCGCACCCGTCACTCTCGTCGCAACAAGGAAGAGAAAGCCGACAGACGCTAGTGTCCCGGGTCAAAGCTCGCAAGGAGCGGCGATGTTGGGGGAGGGATTGGTGCGCAAGAAGCCGAAGGTCGAAGCCGGCGTCACGGATGGTGCGAACACGCTGGGTGCAGGCCTAGTGCGGAAGAAGCCCAAGAAATGATCTGTGTTTGACGGTCGGGATTTGGAGTATTGCTTGGTTTTAATAGGGGCTTTCTTTTCTCACTAACCTGGCTTGCGATCTTAGGGATTATTTCTTCGCGTTGAGCTTGGACTCTTTTACTTCTTTGGGGGTGTCCAGACGCATCTTGAGGTGCATGGGAAGGGTTCCTGCCTTATATCTTTGTATTAGTATCGAAGTCGCCGCAAGCTTCGAATTATGTATACGAGACAACATGGCTCAGCAGGCGCGTCCTGCCTTGTGAGCTGAAACCGCAGAGGCTCATAATTTTGATTGCAGAAACGACTTCGTCGTCATCTTGCCTGTCCACTGGGGTCGCTCGCGGACGCGTGGATGCTATCAGGCAGTGCCTGCGTATGGCGAGAGTGATCTCGGAACCATCGGAAGCACAGCCTCTGGTGGGACTGAACGTCAGCGTGCCCCGTTGACTCGCGGTTTTCTTCTTCCTTTTCTCCAAGATTGCCAATCCGTACCTGCATTAGCTCCCGTTGCCAGTCGTCCCCTTTTCGACACGTGACAGGAAGTCGGCAACGTCCGCGCTCCGCGACCCAAATTCACGGTGCGCCCGCCCAGCACAAACAACACCCCGCTTCCACCTAGGCCCGCAACAACCACAGCGCATGCGTCGCTCGGCGGCCCACGACGCCGGGGACCATGTCTCCACGGTGCGCCACTACGCCGCGCTGGTGTGCCTCGTATGGTTCGCCATAGTATGGATGGTATGCGCCATCGGCGTCACCCAGCTGTTCCGCTACTACTCGAGACGCCCGCGCCCAGCGACGTGCCTGGCTGCCGCGAACGAACCGGATGTGCCGCACGTCACCATCATCCGCCCCGTCAAGGGCCTCGAGCCCCGCCTCTACGAGTGCCTCGCGGCGACCTTCCGCCAGACGTACCCCGCGACCAAAATCCACAATGTGCTCTGCGTGTCGGAGCGGTCGGACCCCGCCATGCCCATACTCGAGAGACTTCTGCAAGACTTTCCAAACGTGGATGCGAGGATCACCGTCGAAGACGAGGACCCCGTGCTGAAGGAGAACAAGCATGCGCTGGGTCCGAACCCCAAGATCCGGAACATGAGCCGCGCGTATCGGGAGGCCAGGGAGGACAGCATCGTGTGGATACTCGACTGCAACGTCTGGGTCGGCAAGGGCGTGTGCGGGCGCATGGTCGACCTTCTGTGTGGCTACGGCGGCACCATCAAGAACAAGTTCGTGCACCAGACGCCGCTGACCGTGGACCTGGACTCGCATTCGCTCTCCACCGAGGAACGAGAGCTGCTTCTCGGCGGCGGCGAGCATGCCATCGACGCTGTGGACATCGCCGCCAGTACGAGCTCCGACCCGCGCAACTACTCCCGCAGCCGCTTCAGGAGACTTCTGCAGCGCGGAGGAGGCCGCCTGGACGAAGCCTTCCTCTCCAGCGCCCACGCAAAGTTCTACAATGCCATCAACACCGTTCTGGTCGCGCCATGCGTCATGGGCAAGAGCACCATGTTCCGCCGAGCCCAGCTCAACTACGTCACGTCCACCCCGCCGGCGGCCTCGATCCGCCGCGACCCCGGCATCGACTTCTTCTCCGACAACATCTGCGAAGACCACCTCATCGGCGACGCCCTCTGGCGCAAGCCGCAGGCCTTCGAGGAGCGCGGCTACAAGCCCGCCCCCGGCGAGCCAGTCGAGAAATGGGGCAAGCACGCCATGCTCTTCGGTGACTTCTGCTTCCAACCCATCTCGCACACTTCCGTTGCCGCGTGCATCGACCGGCGACTGCGCTGGCTGCGCGTGCGCAAGTTTACCGTCACCGCGGCCACCTTTGTCGAGCCTGGCACCGAGTCCATCCTCTGCTCCGTCTACGGCGCCTATGCACTGACCACGCTCCCCTTCTTCGCCGCGCTTATCCCACCGACCTGGGCGTCCTTTGCCCTGGTGTGGCTCGCGTCAATGTCCCTGTGGTGTCTGGTCGATTACGTACAATACCTTCTCCTCCACTCCGCCAAGACCGTGGAGCTGGACGAGCATACGCCGGACTTCATCCTCCCCCAGCGCTCGACGAGGGCATACCACAACGCGCCGTCTCTCGAGCCGCTGCTCGGCGCGAAGACGCCCCGGACGCCCAGTCTCCTCGACGGCGCAAGACGCACCTTCAGAGAGTGGTTTGCGGCCTGGCTGGGGCGCGAGGTGTCGGCGCTGCCCATCTGGATCGTCGCCTTCTACGGCGGGGTGACGGTCGAGTGGCGGGGCAGGAAGTTCTGGGTGGGCTTGGACATGCGGGTGCACGAGATTGTGGAGGACAAAAAGGCCTAGGATCGTGTACGAGGACGGGAACGAGACATGTACATATGGTACACGCGATGGTGCGATTACCGAGTCACGATTTGGGCTTCGAGCCGACATTTGCAGGCGTTTGGTAGACTTTGTCTTTTGTCTGCTCTTGCACATGGATAGACAGCATGAATGCATCTTTGCGCGTTGACAAGTTTGTGTTCCGGGGCAACTTTGTTGCACTAACAACTGAAATGAGAGTGGGATTAGAATTGGATGGATGAACCGTTGATCAACGAATCCAGTGTCGATGGTTCCACATGCCCCTCGTGCTGTTGTGTCCCTTGTGCGCATCAGCAAGCGCCTGCATGCATATCAGACCTCGGGCAATAGACTCCCCGTGAGTGGGAGAATGCTTTAGTATCTGCGTTAGAGGTAGGATCCTGAGGTCTGTTAGCATGATCTTCCTCCACCAAGCAATTGACAAGCCTACATGTAGCTGAGAGAAACCTGAAACACTCTCGTACACTTCGTCTTCGTCCTCCGCAGGGTATATTGTTCTTAATCAGGTAGCATCACGCGCACAACGATGAAGACCTCGTTCACCCCGTCTCTCACAGCGGCGGAGTGGCCATCCTCCAACTCCGCGCGCAGGCAGACATCCCTCGACTCGGCCCAATGAAGTCCTGGAATACGTTTTGCTGTCGCCGCTTCTCGGATAGCCTGTTCTTTCCTCCCGTGGACGGTGTAAGACCGTCAGCGCTAGTCTACCGCAAGCGCGAGGCACAGCACCGCGACGTCAGTATAAACCCCGGACCCCACCCAGCCGTAAACACATAAATACCAACCCCCACATCCGACGAACATAGCCCGTCCCACTGAGCCACCATCACATTCCGGACATACTTATATTTGACTGGAAAGAAAGAGTTATGGAAGGTAGCGCAATGGCGGATAGACACGCTCTGAAAGAGATAGACTCCGTGACCATTCAGGTCCTCGTCGACAACGAACTCGATCCCATTACCAAAAGCCAGAACCCCGCCGTGGTGGATGCGACGAGTTTCCGCCTGAGGGAGCTGCCGGCGGGTGAGCGGGGCCCTGCGGCCATGGAGATGCGCATGGAGGATATATGTTGCGGGGTAAGTCATGTCACGGTCCCCTATGTTCGGGGGAGGAAAAGTTAGTGGCGGAAGCTGAGTGCACGGTACGGTTCGGCGCCTGAAGAAGCTTGGAAGCTGCGCCGCGTGGCCCTACGCGGCGGTACAATGGACCTGGTATGGCACATACATACGCACATGATCCTGCACCGCCGGCGTTGACCTCTCCGATCTACCCCCTATATACCCCCACACGCAACTCGCTCCCTCACACAGACACAGGCCCACGGCCTCTCCCTCCTCATCACCGCCTCGGCAGGAGACGCATCTCACACTCTCCTCTTCGATGCCGGCCCCGAGGAAGACGTCTTCGAGAAGAACGTGGCCCGCTCGCGCGCCGACCTCTCCACCGTCGAGCACGTGCATCTCAGCCACTGGCACCGCGACCACTCCGGGGGCCTGCCGCGCGCGCTCCGCATGATCAACGCCGCGCGGAAGGCGGACAGCGCGCTGGGGAAGCCGGTCATGGATGTGCATCCCGATCGGCCCATCTATCGGGGGTTCAATGCGGGCCCGTTTGTCGCGAGCTTGGAGGCGGATCCGACGTTTGAAGAGCTAGAGGGCGCGGGGGCGAGGGTAGTCAGGGAGGGGGGGACGCATGGGGTGCTGGAGGGTGAGTTGGACCTGCGGGGTGCCCATCCCTCTCTCTAATGGCGCTGACTCTCCCGTGTACAGACACGTTCCTCGTCTCCGGCGAAGTACCCCGGAACACCGCCTACGAGGTCGGGTTCCCGCGGGGCATGCGGTTCACGGCGGAGGGCGTGTGGGTGCCCGACGAGCTAATCCGGGACGAGCGCTTCGTCGTGTGCAAGCTCAGAGGTATGTCATGTATGCCCCAGCGTCTGACTTCTCACTCATCATACTTCTTCTATACATCTCCTCCAGCCCCCATCGCTCTCCCTACCCTTCGCACACAACTGACACCTCCGCCCACCGCATAGGAAAAGGCCTCGTCGTCTTCGCAGGCTGCTCGCACCCCGGCATCGTCAACATCTGCCAGCACGCGCTCGCCATCGGCGGCGGTGCGCCCTTGTACGCCGTCGTTGGGGGGTTCCATCTCGCCGACGGGGACGCGGCGAAGTTGGAGGCCTCGATACAGGGCTTGCAGGCGCTGAAGCCAAAGATCCTCATGCCTGGGCATTGCACGGGGTGGCGGTTCAAGTTCAAGATCGAGCAGGAGATGCCTGGGGCATTGGTCCCGTGTTTCAGTGGGACGAGGTACACGCTGAGTGGGGAGGGCGTCGGGGAGGGGGTGGCGTGATGGGGGAAGGGAGTTTAGAGGCGAGGCGCAGGGAGTCGGAGTGGTAGGGATCTAGCGAGGCGGCATGGTCGATCTGGTTTGCTTATGGGCACCAGAAGGCCGGTGTTGTGGCGTGAGCTTCAAGCGGGTGTGATGGTCAAATTGTCAAATCAGCGATTTCCATCAACCTCAGTATAGGATATAGCACATCCCACCGCATCGTAGGGCGCAACATTCAGACACTAAACAATATCAATTAAGCACTACTACTATCCTTGTCGTTAGATTACCAGCCCGACGCTGCTCTGCTCATCCTCATTCACCCCCTCAAAAACCCATCCCCATCATACAAACTCCCCGGCGTGCCCTCCAGCCCCCCACTACTCGGCGGCACCACATTGATCTTCACATTCGGTGTGCCCACACCGAGAACGCTCCTCTTCCTGTACTTGCCGTTTGCGCTGTCCCGCTTGGCGTCCCTTTCCACACTCCCTTTTGCTTTGACGGCGTCTTCCTGCGCCGGCGTCTCGTCCTTTGCGACTTCGAATGCGCGCTTCCTGCCCGCGCGCGTGGAAAGGGGTGAAGACGACAATGGCAGGTAGCGGTCCTTTGGTTTGTTGGGGGAGGTGAGGGATGGCTGTGGCGGCGGCGGCGGCGGCGGCGGCGTGCTGGCCCAGAACTTCTCGCCGTCGTCCCAGATGCTGGAATTGTGGTCGCTTCGGAGGCCGCTCGGGGGTTGGGCGGTTTCTGCTCTGGACCCCGCCACACTCTCTTCCTTGCCGGCCCTTTTGCTGTGCGTCTGGTCACCGTTGACTGTCGGCGTGGGCGTCGACGACGCAGACGTCGATATCTCCGGGATCGACGTAAGCACAGGGTCGGTATAGAGGTCGAGCACCGGTGCATTTCCTTCTTCGTCCCAGTCAAATCCCAGATCGCCCACCAGCGCTCGTCCCTTCTCCTCATCCCACGTTTCGTCCTCTTCGTCCTCGTACTTGTCAAGGTCTTCCAGCCAGCTCTCCTCCCCTGGAAGTGCGATGCTGTCTTCGCGCCCGAGGTTGGCATACCGTCGTTCCGCCTTGTTGCCCTTCTTCGTGTCTGAGTTCATGCGTCGGAGTGTCTGGATGGACGAGCGGAGCGAGCGTGCAGGGGGTTCTCGGGGTCCGCTGGGTGCTAGTGTGGGCACGGCCGCGAAGTTTAGGGTTGGTGTTAGGGTGGGTAATTGAGCGTGCGCGGGACGAGGGGATCCCGGGGCGATTGGTAATGGTGATGATGGAGATGGGGTTGAGGGGCTTGAAATAGGCGATGACTCGATGTACAGACCTGGTGGATCAAACACCATTGAGTCGTGTGGCACGTGGGGTGAAGTCAGGTCGATGTGTTGAACGGGTGGGCTGGAAGGAAACGCGGCGTCCAGGAGTGGCTGCATCGAGTAAACTGCGGCAGTGGGCCTTGTTGGCATGTTGCGGTCACCGTTTGTGTCTTTGGTAATGCTTCCGCTTTGATTGTCGAAGGGGCTATTCAAGCTGGTGAAAGCATCTTTACTGAGGATGGCAGGGTCAATGGTATCTATTGGCTCTTCTGGAATGGTGGTATCTCTGATGGGTAAATTGTACGCTGCGCGGTCGCGCAGGTTGGAACAAGAATCAGATGGCATGCTTTTTGGTGAACAAGGCGGCGAGTCTTCCGACTTAAGTTGCTCGTAGCCTTCAGGTCTAGGACTAGACTCTTCTGGAATGGTAGAGAATGGAGATGAAAAGTTTCGCACTAGTTTGGTAGTTGGCGTTTGCTGTACATAGTAAGGTCGTTCAAGGTCATAATTGTCCACAATAAGAGGTCGGCCAGGAGAAGAGTTGATATCGAGAAAAACTTCAAATGGGGACGACATCATTGGCATCTCATCATATGGTCGTTGATCGTCTTCGTATTCATTGGATGGCCGTGATAAAGCAAACATTGGGGGAGGTGAAATCGTAACCCTAGATTGCGGCAGATCATGGCATGGGCTGGGAAATGTGCCAAGGCTAAACACCGAGCCCGTGCTCATCGTTTCGCCATCCTGCTGCAACGTGCCATAAAGGCTGGACTTGTTCTGCGTCTTCACCGGTGTGCCTATCGGGCCGTGGTCAAAATTTGCCATGGACAAGGTCGGCGAGCTTGCGGCGAGTGAAGCACGAATGCTGGTCGCGTTGAACTTTAGTTCAGGTGCGAAAATCGAAGTGCTAGGAGGAGAAGGCAGGGACCTCATGCTCGAGAACCCAAGTCCGACGTTTTGCACCTTTTCGGAGCTGGCTTGTGGCGATTCCTCCGCAATGTCGTGAATGGCAGGGCTTGGAGAGCGGCTTTGTGGCCCTAGCATTGTTGGTATCAATGAGATACGGACGCAGTTCTGGCGTTTGTGCCCGGGCTTACGGGCGCTGGGACTACCCTTCAACGCTGAGGGTTTGCCTGCAGATACAGGCGCTGGATCCCATTGGAATGGATTATCATTGCTGCTCCGTGTAGATGACGCCCGTGTGGAAGTTTGTGAAAGCTGGCGCTTGGGAGCGCTTTGGTTCCCGGACACATTCTGCAAGACTGAGGAGCGGCTTCGTCGGTTTTCAGGAGAGCCATACGGAGTCACGTAGGAGCCCGACCTCCGCTTCGGAGTCGACGCATTCCGCACTGACAGACTTGGTGCAGGCGATGGTAGCTTGCTGAGATTTGCTGAATCGACAGTCTTCACGGTAGTGACAGACTGCAGGCTTGAAGAGCTGGGAAGCAGCGGTCCCAATCTTTCAGTGTGCGTAGTTGACGTTACCGAGCTGAATCGAGCTGCGGTGCTCTTGATCGAGCCTTGTGAGGATATGTTCTTGCCATGGAGCGTCAGCGTGTCGCGGAATGGTCGTGGGCTGACAATCGTACAATTCCTCAGGTCCCGCTTGGCGACCTTGTGCACCCGTGTATTGGGTGAGCGTATGATGGGACTCGGTTGCATAGCAAGTATAGAGCTTCCAGCTGACTCATAGCTCGAATTTGACTGACGCGATGGACTACGGCTGAGGAGGCTGCGTCTGCGAGCCTCGGATTTGATTCGCGCGATCTCCAAGGGAAGGATGGGCAGGCCGCCATCGGGAGGGTTTCCCGAAGCCTGGCTAGAGGTGCTAACTGACCTCTCATGGAGCTGTGGTCGCGCGAATCTGGTCATGCTCCCAGGCCTGCTGGCGTTCGAAATGTCAGCAAGAGACTGGGATCGGACTGGTCGTGTATATAGCTCCGTTTTGGGTACAGGCTTGGCGGTCAGGCTCCGGCGAAGTGGCTCTGGTTGAGGCTGGTCGAGTTGTGGTGCAGATGCCTGCTCTTGCCTGCGTAACGCAGGATGATGCTGTAAAAGTGATTGGTCTGAGGAAGGACGACTATGGCTCTTTCGTGGTGAGGACTCCCCAAGCGGACCACTCAGCACCGGAACCAAGGGCGAAGGTTTTGGACTCTCTAGGACTGTAGAGAGCACGGGGACCCTGATCTTCCTCATAGGAATTGCTCTGCCCGAAACTCGACGCCCTAAGAATGGCCACGATAGTCTTTTTGGCTTCGGTACGAAGCCCGCAGGTTTAGGGGGCGCGTAGTGTGGAGGGACGGATCGCGGCTCAGGTGGGCTAATTGTCTCTACAGACGTGAGGTTGCCCCAACCCGACTTCGAATTGAATGGCAGTATTGTGTCCCGTCTCAGCACTGCCCGTGGTTTGGTGACTGAATTGCGCTTCGCGACCTTCCGGGTTTGAACGATTGCGTATCCTCGCTCTTCCAAGTCTGCCATATGGCGTTTGTGCTCTCGATGTGCCCGGACAAGAAGTATCACAATGAAGACCGTAAGTCCTATGACAAGCACGCCGACACCCGCGCCCATTGCGCCGATGGTGGTAATGCTCAACTCCATGGTGGAAGCGTTGCGCGTTTCAACCGGCTGCATCCTTTCCGGGCTTGTTTTCAGTAGCTGGGCCTGGTGCAAGGCGACGCTATGTTGACGCGTTCAACGTCGACTTCTCGTTGTATAAGTCCGGTCCTGTGGGCACAGATTGGGATTCGAGTACACTAGTCAGTCGATTCGGATCATCCAACCCGCCTATTACCTACTCTCATCGGCGCAAAGGAGAGCGCGAAGTGGCGGACCGTGCAAAGCACTCGCGGCAAACGCGATCACCCAAACACGGGGGAGTATGAGGGTAAACATACACTTACATCTGTCTCAGGGACATTTACTGGTCGCCATAACACATTTTGAGGAATGAAGTGAAGATATGGGAAGAAAAACAAGATAGCCAGTCAGGTGAGCAAGGGAGCGGGCCGGAATGTGGCCGTTCGCTCCTCGCGGGAAACTCATTGGTGGCTACCAGAGTATAGATCGATAGGTTTGGTGTATTGTAGCTGTCAGTTTTGTTATGGGTCTAGACCCGCTGCGCCTGTGAAGGTGACAGCCGCTTGATGCTGGGCCAGCTTAAGGGTTAGCCCTTTGTCGCAACGGTTTGTCGTTCCATCCATGGACCTTGGTCTAATCTTTAGGCTCCGTCGCGTACACAACTGACGGACGCGACTTTTTGAGACAGCTACTCGTAAATCCGAGCCCGGTCGGCAGACGCGATCCCCCGCGGTAAACTGTCTTGCATCTGCGACACCACGTTAGCCACACCCATTCGACCCGCATCCAGGGCCAAGTTCCAGGCGTGTGGAAGAGCCGGGCACAAGGCTCAGGACGGTTCGTTCAGAGTCATGTCTGGGCCATGTGTGCCTTTATTCGCAGTGTTGCAGACAGGTCTGAGGTTGCTGCGTTCAAGCAACTGCCCTAGGACGGTTGAGGGGTGCCACTCCCCAGGCTCGTGGTACTGATGCAGACTACAACGGGTCGTTGCACGACTTGTTCCAACCCACTGTTGCTGCAGAATGGGGTCGACGTGAGAGAAAGACAAAAGTCTCAGATACGCGTCGCGACATACGAGAGAGCGATTCGCACTGCATCGGACAAAAGCGAGGCCAGAGTCGGGCATAGCTCCGTCTTACGCGAAGACATAGAAGGAGCAAACAGGAATTGACGAGCTTACTTCAATTCCCGCGAATATAGGATGGTCTGCTGTGTTGGGAGTCCGCGGGCGTATCGTCCCGGCGCAAGGTGGCATCACGCGGCACCTCGGCGGGCTTCGGAGTGACATCGGAGACAGATCATCTGATAAGATGAGACCTGTCCACGTTCTCCACTCTTCTTCCACGTACAGCCATGACAATGTTGATCATTACGTCTGATGAGATGAGATCAAGGAAATCCATCCGCTTGCGCTGCCTCTTTGAGATTGCGCTGACGCTGAGCTACAAATTTGCAGTTCAGTCTGTTACCGGCAGGCAGAGACCTTCATGGAGAAGATAAATACACGCTCCGAAGCGATGATGTGATCGCTCGCCAATCCGAATCATCTCGTTCAGCTCCAATAACAGTAATGCGTGTCCAGGCGTTGTTATGGATGGGTATAAGCGCGGTTTCGTTGGCCTACGCACAGAACAACACAACTTGGCCATATCATACATTCAGGTCGCTTCCTGGCTTTGAACCACCTCAGCTCGAGATTGCTACTATCAACGAATCGACAGCCCCTGGACTTATATTCTTTCCTATTAGTGGGAACGGAGCTCACAACTACAGCCTAAACATTTACCAACAAGATGGCGAACTGGTTTGGCAGTCCGGTTACGGCGACTACGCTGCGTTTAAGCCCACGACACTGTTTGGAGAGCCCGTCCTAGCCGCATGGAGCGGCATCAGCTTTCCCGAGCCATGGGGATTTGGCTACGGAATTATCAAGATACTCAACCAGAACTACGAAAATATCTACAATGTAACGTTGTGGAACACGAGCTACCCCACTCTCGAAAGCATATACCCGTTGTACGATCCCATCCAGTACAAACCGTTCAGCTGGATCGATATGCACGAGAACAACATCACCCCGCGGGGCACCATGTTCGTGGGAGCCATGAACGTTACATCCTGGGATCTGAGGTCTGTTGGCGGTTCTGAGGATGGCTGGATCGTGGATTCGATCATCCTTGAGTTGAACGTGACCAACAGCGAAATTCTGTGGCAGTGGAGTCATCTCGCGCACGTCAATGAGATTCCGCTGGTAGACGCTGCTCCGACCTACCCGCGTGGGGAACTAGGACAGAACCAGTCTTATCCTTGGGGCCCGTTCCATATCAACTCTGTGGATGAGTTCGAGGATGGGAGTTTGCTGGTTTCGTCGCGGCATTACTGCTCCATCTTTAAGATCGGACGTGATGGTGAAGTGCAATGGACCTTGAACGGACACTCTGGAGGAGACTTCGCTCGCAAGAACAATCTCTCTTTCTGTTATCAGCACGATGCTCGCGTCCAGGCAGAGAACGGCTCGACCATACTGATCTCGATATTCAACAACGATAACAGTGCTGTAGTATCCTTCGTCAACCAAACGACTGGTCTGTTCCTGAGCGTTGACACCGACACCAAAGAAGCCACACTAGTCAAAGAGATCTTCGACCCCGCGGAACCGATATATGCTGTTAGCCAGGGCAATCATCAGCTCCTTTCAAATGGGCACTCGTTGATGGGATACGGCAGCGTCCCATTTCTCAAAGAGTTCGACGGGGAGAGAAACGTCGTCCAGACCATCAAGTGGGGTGAAGCACAGGCGGTCCAAAGCTACCGAACCTACAAGTCTGAGTGGGTGGGAACGCCATCAACACGTCCGGATGTTTTTGCTTGTCTGAAAGACGATGCCACGATCAACGTGTATATGAGCTGGAACGGTGCGACAGAACATCAAAGCTGGCATGTGCTTGCCGGTTCATCGAGGCAAGATCTGAGGATGAAGATTACTGTGGATAAGACTGGGTTTGAGACTTCTGCGAACTTCGCCGGCAGCGCACAATATGTTCAGGTTGAAGCCTATGGTACTGGGATCGAGACTGGGATTTCAAATGTTGTCGTGGTGGAGGGTAAGTGTTAGGAGTCAAAAGCAAGCTCGCCTAGAAGCATGTCTCGGAACACACGATCCGCATGGTGATGTGTGAGCTGGCTCATGTAGATTGCGTATAGACTGGTAAAAATAACATATACAAGAATAGAATGTCAACCCTCCCCTTCAAACCTCAAACAGCGATGATAACTTCAGTCAATCCCTCAAGCTCCGGCGACCGCACTGATGGGCTTTTGACCTGGGAAGTAGCTAGTCGGCAGAGCGGGAATCGGGATGCTCTTGGTAGTACCAAACGCTGACTTCAAGTCCCCTGCCATAGATGCAGCAGTATATCCTGCAGGAGCCGCAGTCTGCGTGCTCGTGACCATGGCGTAAGACGCACCCGTGCCAGCCTTCAAGCACCCACCACTTCCATATGCAGATCGACAGGTCAGCGTCTGCTTGTTACCGCTCTCTGTCCACATGGCGAAATCCGAGATCTTGATGTCAGTGCAAGGCGCGCCGTCTGCACACGCAATCTTGATCGGCCCGCGAGACGCGCCGTTCGCCTCGGTACCTTTCCAGTTCTTGATGGTGAAGTTGGACAGCTGGACGCCATTCCCGTCGACCTTGCTCATGCTGGACCAGTATTGGTCGATGTCGAGGGAGTATGCGTTTCCGTGGCCGATGAAGTTCTCCAGGACAACGTCTTCGACGTAACCGCTGCCGCCGTATGACTTGACCATGAGCATCTGGTTCGAATTCCACGTGTAGATGTTGCGGTACACAACATTCAAGATGGCGGTGTCGGCGCCCAAACTGCCGAAAGCAGAGCCGCCCGACCAGTTGCAGTAGATGTTCTCGACGAGGATGTTTTTGGCTGGCGACTTAACGGTTACGCATTCGTCCTTATTGGTGACCATCACGTCGTGGATCCAGATGTTGTTGGACCAGACGTCGATGCCGTCGAGGCAGCCCCATTCACCGCCACGAATAGCCATGTTGTAGACCTCACCGTTGGTGCAGGTGTCCAAAGAGTAGTGGTACATAGGCGAGTCAACAAGCGCTATGTCGTGAACCGAGAAGTTGGTGACTTTGTAGGTGCGAAGAAGACGCGCGCCCTTGCATTGCCCTTGCGAGGCGTGAATTTCATAGCCATTGCCTGTCGCACTCGTCAGAGGTGATAGTATAAGAGCTCAAGAAGAAACAGACCTTGAATAGCACCCTTGCCGGTAGAGCTGAAGAATTCAAAGTCGGAGGTATCCCTGATCATGATCATATTGCCACCATCCGTGCCGGTACGGTAGATGATGCCATCAAGTTGTATACCAACTCCCTTGCCATTCTTCAGCGTAACCCACGTCTTCATGACATAATCACCGCTTGGGATGATGACGATTCCACCACTCTGGCATGCAGCCCAGGCCGATGCAAGTGGTGGTCCGATGTCAGTGGATTTGTCTGCTTTGGCACCATACTTTGTCACATCGCAAGTTTTGATGGCTCTTTTCGCAGCAGTCTTGGTAGTAGGTCCGACAGAGCCCGAGAGCTGAGCAAAGGTAGATGGGAGCAGCGCTATGGCGCTCAAAAGAATGGAAAGGCGCATGTTAACGGGGGATAGATCGGAAAGAAAAAAGATTGAACGAAAGACTACTGCACAGCAGGCAGAAACAGAAGATGCAAAGAAGAGTAGATCAATCAATGAGAGACCGGAGACCAAAAGAGTGTATGAAGTCGACAAACTGCCGGCGTTCGTGCAGTAGCCAGGTCATCATCCTATTAATGTTTAGCCGCGCCCCTGGGTAGATTAGATTGATTAAAATCGCCTTTGCGGGGGCTAAGCGTCCTTCATATTGCTGGGCAAAAGCTTGACTAACACTATGGAGTCGGAGAAATTAGTCGTTTCGAAACGCGCGCTGTCGTCGAGAATATAGCTCTGTAGCCCATCAAATCGCGAATTATCAGAGATGTCGAAGCTGCACCTTAAACAACTCTACGTTGCGAATTTGCCGGCAATGAGTGCAAATGAAAGCCGTCGCACTGTGGCTAGTGGAATTAAAAGGGATTCGTGGAAAGACGAAGGCGTGTTTCGCATTTCAAGCGAAAACGATCGGCGCTAGGATGTGGGTGCGAAAGATGAGGAGACGGGACGCGACGCGTGGCCAACGTTTCCCTGCAATACCGCTGAAGGTAACATTGCTGCTGGTAAAAAATTGTCCGTGAACACATTTCGATTATATCCACGAACAGCGCTGACATGGGCTTTGCTGATGTTCGGATGTCATGATGTCATAGCGCGGCGTGATATTCCCTACATAAATACATCTGGACACAAACTCATTTCCATCCCCATTCCATCTTTGCCAGTGAAGCTGTACTCATGCACTTTAAAAATTTTTAGCCAATCCCACGACACACAATCATGGCATAGGTGCTCACGATTGACGAGCTTCGGCTCCAGTCTGTAAGACCCAGCACACGCCAGAGATTCAAGCGTCATGGTTCTTAAGATGGCTGCAACAGAGTCTGCCTCCTCGGAGTATTCCGGATCGTTCTCAGCCTTCCATTTTCTGATCATCGAAGAGAGAGCGTGATGACCGTGCTGCCACGCCCTAAATACGGTCCTCCGATAGTTGGTGTTCGTTTTCCCCTTCAAACTGTCGCCCACCCCTAATCCAAGGAGATAGCTTGCCATGTCCATGCGGCCAGCTTCAGCCGCACCCTCGATAGCCGACCTTCCCTCAAAAACGCCCGGGGGCGCGGTCAGGTCAGCTCCAGCATTAATCAGAAGATTGGCTATCTCAAAATGGCCGTTCATCGCCGCAAACTGTAACGCCGTGGCGCCATGATACTTGGCTGGCCGAGCATTAACATCAGCACTTTTGTTGAGCAGCGTCCCAACTAGCGAGATCTTGCCATCTTTTGAAGCGATTTGAAGGGACGAGTGCGCTAGGGGTCCATGGCTGCTGTTTGTTGCAATCTCGACTTCTGCGCCATTTTCCAGAAGCCAGTCCACGAAGTCGTAACGCTTAAATCGGACTGCTAAACGGACGGCTGACACATAGCATCTGTCTTCATTTGGGACTAGAGTAGGCAGCGCCCGGTATAGCACTGCGTTGATGCCTACTGCTTTGGCAAGCATTTGTCCTAGATGTATGTCTCCGCACCGTATGGCTATAGCGTATGCTTGTATGAAATGTGTCCTGAGCTGTGGCTCCTGGGCTCTGCTGGCGAACTTCTGGTAGTGGTTATATATGATGGGTGCGAAAGGATGATTGTAGATTGTAAGGGTATGCCTGAGAACACTGATCTGGTACGCGGTATCTTCTTCTTTGTCTAGTGGAGGGTATCCGTTGGGCCAGATGTGAGCACCTACAGAATCGTCCGGCCAGCTCCCAGCATCAAGGAAGGCCTGGATCACACGCTCTTTTAAGTAGACCGCTGCGTGCGCAAGGCCCACTCCAAGATCTTGAGCGCTGAACTCATGGTTTTGCAAAATATCCTGCAAAGCACTCTGTGCGTTGTTCTTCACGGCTAGTAGCATCAGCTGACGAAAGACACGAGGAGATCTTGAACATGTTTTACTCGAAAACAACAAGTCAAGAAAGCTCGCATCGAAGGCTTTGATACATTCGACAACACAGCGAGTAGTCATCCATGGCATCTGGTCCGTGGTCGCAGCTGTAAGGACTCTAGTAAAGAGTTCTCTATTCTTTCCTTTGGCGGCATTGAATAAGGGATTCCAGACGCTTTCATTGGCCTTTTGTGCCCAACAGTCCTTGTACATCCAATTGTCATCGTTCTCACAGGCTTCTTCGTAGTCTACTCGGCAGGGGCATGGAATGGGTTTTAAGGGTTTTGAATCTGCGCGTCCTGAAATTGCTGGCAATATGTGTCGGCTTAGGGATATATCTTCTCGTCGCAAACAAACACACGGACGATTATTTGGCAGGCAGGCTCCATACTGAATGAGAAGTTCGAACATGGCCTTATCGCCTCTTTCCAGTGCTATTTGGATAGCACTTTGTTCAGGAGAAACAGAGTGGTACTTCGTTTGAGACCAGTTGGCGTTCCATCCTCCGATCCATATGTTATCCAACTCATGATACCCGTAGGGGAGGGTCGCATAGTCAGCGCACGCTCCAGCTTCGAGTAGGACTCGAGAGATGTCCAAGTTACCGACGCACGCAGCCATCTGTATTGGGAGTCTCTTCCCAGTTTGATTAGGATCCACTCCCTTCAATATGAAGCGGCGAAGCACCTCAATATTTTCGGTTAATACAGCCGCGTGAATTGGGGCGTACGTGTGTGCATCTCGTGTCAGTCCAAGTTCCCTGGCAAATTGCATTCCACATATGCTATTAATGGAAGCATAGGTATCAATATTGAAACCATTTTCGAGAAGATAGTTCGTGACATTAGTATTGTGGCTGAGCAGCGCGTAAACTAGCGGGCTCCCTTGACCTAGGTAGCTTCTTGCACAGTGATCGAGACCCATGGTTTGCAGTGCTATCAGCATTGGGATACTTCCTCCTAAAGCGGCAGCTTCGTAGAGGATCCAAGGTGTCTTCCTCAGATCGTCGAAAGTCTGATTATCTTTCGAGATTAACAATTCAAGGATATCCACGTCACCTCGGTGAGCGGCGAGGACGAAGCTAGCCGCCTCGTAGCGGTTGCTTGTTTCATTCAAATTATCGTCGAAGAATTGGATCAGACCTTGGATGATGTTGAAATTTGCCTCTTGGATTGTGTAGTCCAATAATGAGATCTTTGGAACATGCTCTCTTCTGTCAATCCATTTTAATGTATTCGAAGTAAGGTCTCGCATTTCACGCTCAACCCATAACTGAAGTCCAGCTCCATTTTCGAGCAGGAATTGGAAGAGTTTTTCGTTGCAACTTTCAATCGCATAGGTAATCAATGTGCTACGCCTGAAGCGTGTGCTGTAGCCTCGGTAGTTGATGTTGGTGCCGGAATCGATTAATGTCTCGATCAGAAGAAAATTGTTTCCTATCGCTGCCGGAATCAGAAGTTTTTCTGCCATGGCATCAACTGTATATAGACCGCTACTGATGAGTCTGGCGAGAAATTTGCGATTTTGTGCGTCACGGGCAAACTCGACAATGGCTGGCGCAATTTCGTCCGGGTTGAAGTTATTAGAAAGCAGATAAACAACGTGTTTCAGAAGTTCGGTTTGCTTTCCAACCGGCGAAAGAGTGTACCGATCTTTAAGGTTGATGTCTGCACAGCAGTCCTTTCGAGGTGCCATATAAGGAATCGGATCGAGAAAAGCGGGATGTATCATTGGTGGATAGGGCTTGTCGTCGAGGATTAGAGCGAAGAACTCTTCGCTCAGGAGCGAAATCCAAAACAGGTCTTCAATCGTGTTTTCGAAATTTGAAGAAGCCACCATAATATCGTGCGTGACGAGGGCGTCATGATCGGAGACAGTTCGGTCGGCCGATATGTGAAGATCGCTCAAGGCTTGCATGAATTGCCTCCACGGTATATTGTCCGCACTTGTGAACTTCCTCTCTCCGGTCATGGCTATGCTGATTCTGGCTCCTGAACTCTGGCATGAGGAAAAGTCCGCAGCGGGCATGGAAGTGATAGCCTGTAGCACAGGCGACACAGGAGGTGTATAGACTTCGACATTCGGTGGCGTTACGGGTCGAGGCGCAACTTTCAGCACTGTTCCCCATCAGCTTATGACCAGTCGCAACGATTGCCATTGTGGCCTACACAACTGTTGCCTTTCCAATGTCATCAAAGCGTAGTTCCTTCTTTGTTTCTTAATCTTTTTCTCAGATACCACGAGACCGTGGAACTTGACGTGGGATTGCAATTGACCATTTGCTTCTCGCTCAGACAGACGTGACACTATGAATTCCCACTCTTTTTTTGAGATGTTCCTCTTCGTGAATCCCCATTTCTTGAAGACTCGCTCGTATTGCGGTTTGCTATGCGACATTATTCACAGGCATCAATGCAATTTGAACAGCCGTACCTCTTGTCCAGTATACCTCGAGACTTCATGTGATTCATTATGAACGGTAAGGACTTTCCACCCGTTTCGTACAGTCGATGCAATTCCTCCTTGTGGGGCTCCCACATTGACTTTTCTGCCTTCCTTCCAGTCATCTTGACGTACAGCCTTGTCACTTATCAGGCTGGTACGATCAACTTTGGAATATTGTTCTATCACATGTGCAGTTTAGAGACAAGAACCTCAATATGTATACTTGGAAGCCGACCGTTGCCAGGCTATCCAGTTAAAGAGAGTATCAAGGAAGTGGGAGGGTTGAAGACAGCTATCAAGCTGACTTTATCACAGTCCGAGGCAAGATCCCGTGCCCACCAATAAGCCGCCTTATTTTTACAGGCTCACATGTGATTGGAGGGTTCCAAAAGTTGCATACCAGTCGTGCATCCCTATTGGCCGCTGCCAGAAGTTGCATACCTCCTCTATATCCATTGGCCGGCGCCAGAAGTGTCGTTTCTACCGTCAACGCCACCTCTAAGCCTCGTTAGACTTTTGCGACAACAGTTACACATCTCAGGGTATATAAGAAATCATATTGTTCATTGGTTAAGGCCAAAAGTGTGGTTTGTGGAATGACCAATCGGAAAAAGACCCCCCTCCCCCCGGAGCTCTCAAAGCGAATTGAAGTCTATTTGCTCGGCCATTCACCGGATTTCGTCACACTCCTTACAGAGATAGTCTAGTCCAGATGTGTAGGCCGTCTGCTACAACTTTGCGCTGCTTGTATATCTTCCCATTCGCTAAGACTAGTCACAGTATTCCTCACAGCTTACGTTATCTGCTCATTGTTTTATCACAACTTCTCTTAACGTGCCCTGGATCGCAATTCTTGGAAGTATCCTGCAATTATCATCCTGTGCTCGACTAGCCCTGTCTCATTTTCTATACCAGGCCCCGCGATCAAGATGTCTCTCAACTCAGAAAGCATCATCGGACTTGTCGCACTGCTCGTCACAAGCCCGCCAACCGTGTATCTGCTATACAAGCTTGCAACCGGTTCCCGTACCAGAGGAGAGACTTGTACGATATCTTACAGGGAGTTTTGTCTCATCTTGCTAACACATAGCTGATCTCCCACTACATCGCAACGAGGACCACGACGAGCCGCAGCACCGTATGCAACCTCCCACCCTCTACCTCCAGCGCCATGAGACATGGTCATGCTACACGAACATCATCGTAAAACCAACGGATGCTCGCCAGAGGAGCATGACGGCTGGCGATGAGACGACGGCGTCAAGGGAAATCTAGCATACAGCAGGTAGCGCAATGGCAATATTCCATTCAATTCATCAGCTCACCCGCGCTTCGCTCCGTGAGCTCACGCTTCATTCACTTCCAACCATCCATCATCTCACTCACCACCCACCAATTACACAAGTATACATACCACTGTTCTCCAGGCTTGGTCGTCAAATCAAACAAAAAACTCAAGCTATTGGGTTTCTCTGAGCCGGACTCCGAAGTGGCTTTTAGTTTTTGCGGCTTTTGACACCTGTGGCGTGACAAAGGGTGCGAGTTCGAGCCCGCCTGTTGGCAGGTGAATACCAAAGGCCAGTTTTATATAAGCCCTTCGATATTGCGACGCCATGTAACTTTGACACGCAGGGTCAAACCCTTCCTGAGAGCGCATTCCCAAACGGCGACATTCAATACTGGCTGCACTAGGACACATGGACTCACTTTCGTCAACGAACTCTGTGACGCAGGCCTGAAAAAACGCTGCTGAGCAGGAAATACAAGCTCGCGTCGTAGTTGTGTAGTCTGTTGTAGATCCGCTTTACATTTCACAAAGGTCTCGCGTGGTACCCTAGTCGCTAGCGGACAGGCCGAGATTCGGGCACCACGCTGTGGAGCCTAGGGTGTCGCGGGCCGCACATAGGGACCAGATCTCGATCAAATGGGCAGGGCTAATTATTGCTATGGAGATCTGCCATGTTGAGCCATTCAAAATATTGTTCAAGTCACCCTGTTCGGCTAGAAGGTCTTTCAGCTGGGACGGTGTGATGCCAAGGGGCTATATAGGACGAGTGTACTCATTCAAACTGAAGAAAATTGTGCAGTCCATCCAGGCTTCCGGCGAGACCGACGCTTGCTTATCGAAAGTGACCGTCGCATGACTCTCTTGTGGGTGCTGTTGGGTTGCGGCCACAGACCAGAGACGTTGGGCAGTTCTGCACATTTGAACATGCGCAGACACTTGCAAATTTATACGAGACGTTCCAGACTACCACGTATACACAGGCATGCCATAGAACACGTGGGTCAGGCTCTGGGATGGTTCCAAGGCCGAAGGGGCATATGGTAGTTTGTTCATCGCGTCCTCAGCTGGGTCGTGGCCTGCAGAAGCGACAAGATGCGGTGTGTTTTTGCGCGCGAGCGCTTAGCTGAGGGCTAGTGGCGCGTGGGCGAGCGTTTCGACATCCCTATCGATACCTAGTGCAGCTCTGGCATACTCGAAACGCGAGTTCGCTCTGGCAACGGTAGACTAATGGGCGCAAGGCGAGGCTCCGGATGGGGTGGAGCGCCGCAAGGGCGGTGGAGCGAATGACGTTGTGTCGAGGTCGCACGGCGGAGGGCGGCCCTTGCGTCTGGCGGTCGCCGCGACAACGCACACAGGCGACAACACAACACACTAACTCGGGCAGTCCGTCCCAACCCCGGTATTCGCTATCGCGAGCCATCGCATCCTAATCGTTCCCCGCTATCCCTCCGCTGTTTATACTTGCAACGACAGGCATTGCGACTCGCCGTGCCTTTTTCCTGCTCACCGCCACGCACACCGCAGCTTGATGTCGCGCTGCTCCCGCTCCACGTCGCCCGCTGGATGAGATTCCCGCGGTAGCCAGCATCCTCTCGCTCAACACACTCGCTGGCCATGGCGCCCGCCGCACCTGGCCTGCCCACGCGCTTCCCGTGCTGGTGCAAGGCCGTGTACTCGTGGGGCGGCGAGGTCAGTCACGACAACCGCCTGCTCCACCACGATGCGCTGACCATGCTGCAGACCAAACGCGACCTCGGGTTCATAGAAGGAGACCTGATCGAGTGCCTCAACGCCGGCGATGGCTCGTGGTGGATGGGCCGCTTGAAGCGCGACAGGCGCATGGTCGGCCTGTTTCCCTCCAATTTCGTCGAACTGCTGCCCGAGGACTTCCAGCCATGGAGCCGCAACACGAGCCCAGCAACGGGGAGCATCTCGCGGCAGAACAGCGCGCAGCCCGTCAAGCAGGCGCCCCAGAAGGCGAAGACGTTCCGCAAACCCTTCACGGCCTACGCTGCAGCGGCAGCACCCAACCCGGCCGCTGCGGCGCGCCAGATCGAGAAGGCCGGCGGCTTCGCCAGCCCCAATGGCAGCTTGCGCGTGCAGCACAAACCGTATTCTTCCATGAAGAGGTCGTCCACCGAGAGCCGCGACAGATCGTCGACCGAGAGCCGTGCGTCTCCTCTGCCCTCCAAGCGCCCTTCGAACCTGCGCGCGGTATCGCCCCGCCCATCGACAGCGCCTGCGCCAAAGTACACACGCGCACCATCGCCAGCGCCGCCGAACAACTACCAGGAATACTCGCGGTCGCCGTCTCCCGCGCCCCCCGTCCAGTATCGGCCCCATTCAAGAGCTGTGTCGCCTGCTCCGCCAGCCCAATATCAAGCGTACTCGAGATCTCCCTCGCCGGCGCCGCCTACGCAGTATCGACCAGTATCGCGAGCCGTTTCTCCTGCCCCACCCGCCCAATATCGACCACCGTCGCGCGCTGTATCTCCCGCTCCTTCTTTCCAGTATCGTGCCTACGATCGCGGACCTTCGCCATCGCCATACCAAGATGAACAATTCCGAAGACAGTCAGTTGCGTCGTTCCAAGACATGGGTTCTCCTCCTCCGCCTCCGCCGCCTCCACATCGCGTTGCGTACAATCCAAGCAGAGCGCCCTCACCCGCGCCGCCGCAGCATGGCTACCACACCCCCGAACCTCCGTCTCCTGACCCGCGCACGAGCAGCAAGGGCAACTTCACACCGTCACCGTTGACAAATGCCATGGGCGATGTCATGTCCGCTTTACAAGACATGAGCGTGGCATCCCCGGGCGAGCGCTCCACACCGCCGAGTGTTTGGTCTCCAGAAGCGTTCGACGAGGTGTATCAGGCGTCGGCGAGAACGGCCCGTGCACAGACCTCAATCGGCATCAGCAACGACAGCGGGTTTTATGAGGGCGACGCGGACGAGGATGGACCAGCACAGGTTCAGAGCTACGTCCAGCGGATGGAGAGTCGCTTGCGCCGCATGCAACAACAGGAGGGTCGGAAAAATGACGAGCTGTTCATACCCGGAGATGGATCCGACCGGCCGCCATCTGTCCCCCCGAAGAACCAGTACATTAGGCCAGGGTCTGTCATGGCAGAGACTGTAGACCTGGAGCGCAGGGGGTCGAAAACACTGCGGCATCGCAAGTCAGCGTACGACATTGGAAAGAGCGTCTTGGGTAGAACCTTTACAACGAAGACCAACTCGACGACTACCACGCACACGAGCAGCAGTACGAACCGAAGTCTAATGTCTGGAGCATCAGCAACAGCTATGAGCTCTACAAGTGCCGGAAGCTACTACCGCAAGAAGTTCGCCAAGGACCGCCCAAAGAGCGTGATGGAAACTTCCCGCGGTGCAGGGAAGGGCTTTGGCTTCGATGATGGACGACCAGAGTCACCGTTTACAGGCATTACCTACCATTCAAGTCACGCCTCGGGAGAGCGACCTGGTTCGAACGAGGGGCAGCCAGCTATGCAAGATGGGTCCGACCCATTAGGTGGTTTGATGCAACCGACCAAGAGGAAGAGCGGATTCTTCAGGAAGATGATTGACACTGCCAAGACGCAGGCAGCCAACGCGCGCAGTACTATTGCTTCAGGATCCATCAGCAGGCCAGGCTCACGTGCAGCTAGTCGAGCGGCGAGCAGAGCGGGAAGCCGAGCCGCCAGCCGAATGGACCCTCGAGGTCCGACAGGCATGGGAGGCGGAACCCCCGTACAGTCAAATGCTGCGCGAGACATGGGTTTGAACGGGTCTATCGACTGGGTTCAGGTTCGAAGAGATGTCAATCGGTCAAACTCCCTTAGCAAGAACGAAAGGACTGAACGCGCCGATCGCTGTCAGATGATGGATATACCAGTCATTAATCCAGTCGACATTCTGTATGATTCTGCAGAAGGAGACGAGGGCCTGGACGGCCTGCCAATATCTGAGCCAACAGACTTCAGCGCGAGTAACCTTACTCTGGTCGACAAGAGCGCACGATTCATCAACAGCATACCTCTCGGAACAACACCTGCATCGTTAGCACAAGGATACGTCTGCAGACCATACAGAAGCGATGTCCAGCGTTTGAGAGCCATCTTTACGTGGGTCAGTGAGCGTATAGGCTGGGAGGACGACTTCGAAGGCGAGATCGACACACGGCATGTGCTTCAGAGCAAACGGGGATGCTCCCACGAGATAGCCATCATAGTGGCAGAGATGTGCGCATCCGTTGGCCTACATGCTGAAGTCGTCCGAGGATACCTCAAGACACCAGGAGAGTCTCTTGATCTGGACAGCGTGGCGCATCCCAACCATTTCTGGAACGCAGTCATTGTTGAAGGAGAATGGCGCATTATGGACTGTTCGCTGGCCGGACCCACCAACCCCAAGAGGGCACAGTATTCTAATGCCGGTTCCTCAGTTGCAGAATTCTGGTACTTCCTCGCCCGGCCGATGGAGGTCTGCTATTCTCACGTCCCTCTACTGCCGGAACAGCAGCACATCTGCCCACCGCAACCCCATGATGTCTTGATGGCATTACCTTGTGCAACGCCTGTATATTTCAAGCACAAGCTTCGTGTGGCCAACTTCGATACGAGCTTGCTTAACCTCGACAACCTTGAGATGGCACATATCCACATCGACGTCCCCGAGGATGTTGAATGCGTTGCCGAAGTAGAGGCAAGAGCCATCACCCAGGATGTAGATGGCGACTACTTTGAAAGTGGGGATGTCGTCCGGAAGCCAGCGCTTGCACAGGCGGAATGGATCGGAGGCCAGAAGAGATATACCGTGAAGGCAGTATTGCCGGGCGATGAGGGTCGTGGTGTGCTCAAGGTGTATGCCGGACCTCGCGGTCTTATGGTGAGATCTTTGTTTGACGGTTTTCCTACTCTCTGCTAACAATTATCAGCACTCCAACAAATTGAACCCTCACTCTCTAGCCCTTGGTCTGCCAATCACGCACACAGGCACGAACCCTCCATACTCGTTCCTGACGCTCCACCCTACTCCCCACGCGCAACGCCACGACCTATACGTCGCCCAACCGCAATGCGCCAACATCGCGCTCAACAACACCTTCGTCTTCACCGTCCGCCAGCATCCCTCTTCACTCACGCGCTTGCCCGACGTTACTTCACCTGGCCTAACTGGCCGCGCCTCACCAAACCCCTTCGCCCGCCCTGCTTCAGCTATGAGCATGCAGAGCGTTTCGGCCTCAGGATCAAACTACACAAATCCCTCGCAGGCATCCTCAAGTTCCTCAGGTAGCACTTCGATGAAGCCAGCCAAGCTCGCGGTGCAGACGCCGTCGGGCAAGATCATTAGATTGACGAGGAAGGGCGAGCACATGAGCGGAACCAACGACGGTGATGGAAGTTCGTGGGAGACAGTCATCAAGATTGGCGAGAAAGGCACGTGGAGGGGACTGGTGCTTGCGGACCGGAGCGCGAGGTGGTGTGTCTTCGCACAGTGGGAGTGTGCTTAATTCCTTCCATCCCTACCGACCCCCGCAAAATCGAGGGTGTATGAGTAGGGCGGATGTCTGCAAAAGCTGAATTGCTGCATTTCCTTTTCTTTCCTTTTGTTCAAGCGATGCATACTCATGATTCTACCTCTACGACTTGTAATGCTACAGCGTTTGGGTCTGGCGCATGTGCTAGCATTATCGGCGGCGTCTGTATAGTAGGGTAAAGCATTGTGGCTTCCTTTAGGCGTATGAATGAAGTGTTGTCTGTTTGAGTCTGTTCCAATGATGATTAGATGAGTGTGATCATGTGAAGCAACTGAAGATTCTAGAGAAGTCCAGCGGGTGGCGTCACTGCGTAGCGCGGGGCACCCGTCCCTGCCAAGACCCCCACTGCGACTCATCCACTACACCAAAAGTTCTCAACTTCATACCACACTCCTCCTACAATCTCCCTTAAACACACAACCATGGACACTGCAATCGCCGAATGGCAGGCCCGCGCTGAGGCCCTGAAGCCCCTCAACCTGAAGCAGATCGAGGGTCCTCTGGGCGAGCTCTCGGACCACCTTACACTACGCTCTTTCGTGGTCGGCTATGAATACTCGGCGGCGGACGAGACGCTGTTCAAGACGATTCGCGGAAACCGCGTGGCGCATGCGTATGTCAAGCAGAACTTGATGCCCAATTTGTGCCGCTGGTTTAGGTTTATCGAGGAGGTGTATGCGCCGCAGGTTGTGACGGTGCAGAGCAAAGGGAAAGACGGGAAGGCTAAAGATGATGGGGCGAATTATGATATCGGGTGAGTTTTTATTCTTCAGCTGACGAGATCGCGGCTGTTGGAGAGGCGGAGCTGGAGCGTGCCATGACATCGGAAAGACCTGCAAAAAAGCAGATTGTTCCTTGTAATGCCAGGCGTGCACATCCTCCCCTTCTGACCTCGTTCCATGCATTATGGCGCAGCTGTCCCGGATTACTATGTTCGACCACAAGCTAACTTATCTCAGCCTGCAAGATGTCGGTGACGGAACTGGCGTCGTGACCAGGTTCCCTCCCGAGCCTTCGGGCTACCTTCACATCGGCCACGCAAAGGCCGCTCTCCTCAACGACTACTTCGCGCACGAGAAATACAAGGGCAAGCTCATCCTCCGATTCGATGACACGAATCCGACAAAGGAGAAGCAGGAGTTCCAGGATGCGATTGTGGAGGATCTCGCACTCATGGGCATCAAGCCTGACCAAGTGTCATACACGTCCGACTACTTTGACCACCTATACGAGGTTTGCGTACAGCTCATCAAGGACGGTGGAGCCTACGCGGATGACACGGCGCAAGACCGTATGCGCGAGGAGCGCATGGACGGTATTGCCAGCGCGCGTCGCGAGGCTTCGGTGGAGGACAACCTGGCGCACTTCGAGGAGATGAAGAAGGGCTCCGAGGAGGGCCTCAAGTGGTGCATTCGCGCGAAGATGTCGGTTGACGACCCGAACAAGGCTCTTCGCGACCCGGTCATCTACCGTTGTAACCCCGAGGCGCACCACCGCACTGGCTCAACGTGGAAGATATACCCAACCTATGACTTCTGCTGCCCGATTGTGGACTCCCTTGAGGGCGTGACTCACGCTCTCCGCACGACCGAGTACAATGACCGCGATGCGCAGTACCAGTGGTTCATCAAGACGCTCAAGCTACGCGGCGTCTACAACTGGGGCTTCGCTCGTCTGAACTTCATCCGCACACTACTTTCCAAGCGCAAGCTTACCAAGATCGTGGACGAGGGTGTCGTAACCGGCTGGGATGACGCGCGCATGCCGACCATCCGTGGTGTACGTAGAAGGGGTGTTCAGGTTCCTGCCCTTCGCGAGTTCATTCTCAAGCAAGGACCCAGCAAGAACATTGTAAACATGGATTGGAACTCCTTCTGGGCAACCAACAAGAAGCACATCGACCCGGTTGCCGCCCGTTACACCGCCATAGCGGACGCCAACAAGGTCCCTGTCACCGTCGTCGGTCACACCGGAGGCACCACCATTGAGGAGAAAGCCAAGCACGCCAAGTACGACCTCGGCAAGAAGAAGGTCGTCTTCAGCAAAGACATCCTTATGGAGCAGGAGGACGCGCAGTCGTTCGCCCAGGGCGAGGAAATCACTCTCATGAACTGGGGCAACGCCATAGTCAAGAACATCTCGCACTCCATCAACCCGCTGTCCGCGCACGGCTTCAAAACCGTCACCGGCCTCGAGCTCGAGCTCCACCTCCAGGGCGATGTCAAGACGACCTCCAAGAAGGTGACGTGGCTGTCCAAGGACCAGAACCTTGTCCCCGTCGAGCTCGTCGACTTCGACTACCTGATTACCAAAGACAAACTCGAGGAGGAGGACAAGCTGGAGGACTTCCTGAACAAGAAAACCGAGACGAGGGTGAAGGCGGTGGCAGACTTGAACGTGGCCGACTTGAAGGTCGACGACGTGTTCCAGTTCGACCGCAAGGGGTACTTTAGGGTGGACAAGGCGTTCCAGCACGGCGAGCCGCTTGTCGCGTACAAGATTCCCACGGGGGGCAAGTAAGCGTGCGGGCGTGTTTCAAACTCGCCGTCCGAGGCAGCATGCAGTAGTGGAAAGTAGTTTCGGAAATTAGAGACGCGCACCTATCTATGCGCTTGTGTAAATGTGCCATCCAGCTCTTGCCTTGATCGACCCCACTCAATTCTCACATCCGTTCTTGCTCGACCACAAGAGGAATGAAGAAAGCCGCGCCCATGGCGGCTCGAACTCGCGCATCGTCCCGTGTTAGGAAGGGAGAATAAGGCAAGGAAAAAGGGCAAAAACTAAAAGCCACTTCGGAGTCCGGCTCAGAGAAACCAAGTATGGTTTTTTGTTTGATTTGACGAGCTAGACTCTGCTTCAAAGATATACATAGGGGATGCGGTAAGTGGTAGGTAGGGTAAAGGTTGAAGGGGTGAGCGAGGATAGCGAGGTTGAGTGCGGTGGGTGCGGTGAAAAGTGAAGGGTGCATGCTTTGCAATTGAAAGGGGGCGGTGGGGAGCAGTAAAGAGCGACCAAGTTGGATTTCTTCTTAAGTATGTAGATAGATGGACAACTGACGCAACGACAAGACTCAAAGCATCGCGAAACGAGCGTGTGGCAAAACGAACCGGAGCGCCCACGACAACGCCGCCGTGCAGATGAGACAGACCCCAACATCAGCGCAGAACGAGTGTGCCGAACCCCCTCCCCTACACGTGAACACGCAACATAGACAATTTGTATCCAACACCCACCCACTCAGCCACCACCCTCCATTCTGTCTCGGTCGTGGATGTTCTTACTTCTCCAAAACAACCGGCTGCACGCTCTCAACCCTCTCCTCGCCAGTAAGCACCTTGTGCCCGCCACTCCACAGGCCTATTCGACGCTTGATTGCCTTCCAGACCTCGATAGCAGCAATGTATATCGCCACACATCCAAAGCTCACGCCCCACTCCCACGTCATAGCGCCGTGCTTGAACACCTGCCTGTTGATGACGGGCAGATACACAATGGGGAACATGATCGTGAAGCCCGCCGTGACGGCCCAGAAGAGGAAGCGATTGCGCCAGATGGCAGGAAAGACGGAAAGACCGCGGGTCGCTGTGCTGTCGGGGTAGAGATTGAATAGACTGCGCGCGAAGTGCTTGACTTCCCAAGCAGTGACGAGCAGTAGGAGCGTGATGGTTGCGTACGTTGTCGCTCTTGCGCGGAACGCCACGCCACATGTCTCGTTCCAGCCTTCGTTGCACCCGCTGCCCAGATCGCCGCCACCGGGTCCTGCATAAGCGACGATGGCGAAGCTCAGCAGACACAGAGAGCCCATGAAGAAGCCATAGATGAATTTGTCCGTGATGAGCTCCTTGGTGAAGACGCCGACGGAGAGGTTGTGCGGGGCGCGGACCATTGAATCAGGCTGGGACTCTTCGAGGCCGAGGCCGATGGCGAGGAAGGACGAGGTGATGAGGTTGACCCAGAGGATTTCGATGGGGGAGAGCGGGAAGACTGAGTGAGCGTCGCGGTCTTTGAAGGCGAGACCAATGAGAAGGAGAATCACTTGGGCAATGTTGGAGATGAGGAGGTGCATGAGGAACTGTGAGTGTGTGAGCTGGTGTGGGTAGGAGAGACTGGGCACGAAAACTGACCTTCTGAATATTGTCGAAGAGCCGACGGCCTTCTTTCACTGCTTCGACGATCGAGGCGAAGTTGTCGTCCGTCAGTACCATCTTTGCAGCGTCTTTGGCAACGTCGGATCCTGAGCCCATGGCGATGCCGACGTCGGCCTTCTTGAGAGCAGGCGAATCGTTGACTCCATCACCTGTCATAACGCAAAATTGCTTCCTCCGATGTAGTGCTTCAACCATCTTGACCTTTGTCGAGGGGCTGCAGCGGGCGACAACAAGGGGGAGCTGCTCCATGGCGTCGACTTGGTCCTGATTCAGGGCGTCAAAATCCCTCGCAATCATGACAGCCTTTCCAATTTGCCCACGGGGTAGCGAAGCATCGAGGATATCAACAGCTCGCGCTATAGCCTCCGCAGTAGCGGGATGGTCACCCGTGAGCATGTGTACCGTGATACCTGCGACCTTACAATCGCGGACTGCCTTTTTGCTCTCTGGGCGAGGCGGGTCGTAGATGGCCACCATACCGATGAAGTTCAGACCCTGCTCCACAGCTTCACGCTGGATGAGATCCGTGTCCATTGGCAAGAGCTTATGGGCGATACACAGCACACGAAGACCATCTTTGGCCATGTTCTCTGCCATCTCGTTGATCTCGGTCTTTTCAGACTCGGGAATATCCAACACTGGCAACATGAACTCTGTAGCGCCCTTGGTGTAAACGTCTAGATGTTTGGCCTGCTTGTCTTCATAGACGACGGTCATTTTCTTGACGGATGAGTCGAATGGGAATTCAGCGGCGAGACGAATGTTGAGTCCAGAGAGTAGTTCTTCTTTGCCCATGCCGAAACGCATAGCCAAGACCTGGAGGGCGACCTCTGTGGGTTCTCCAAACGCTTTCCATTCTCCGGGGTTCAAGGTACTTTGGCCAGAAACTGTGGTTGGGCGAGTGATGGTAGCGGACTGAATGGTCGAGGCATCGGTACCGTCGTCGTCATCACTCATCATGCGTTCGTTTGCATCTTTTCTGCCAACCGTGACATCATCAGTCGTGGCCGTATACTCAACCTTTGATTGGTTGCAAAGTGCAATCGTCTTGAGGAAACGAGTGCAAGCACCATTAGGCGAGAAATTGTTAAGATCGCAACGGGTGCTATCGTGAGTGACGAAGCCACTGCTTGGGTCGTATGAGTGGGAAGTGCCATCCACTTCCAGGGTGCCAAAGCCGGGGATGATTGCCCTCCGAGCAATCATTTTACCAGTGGTAAGGGTGCCTGTTTTGTCACTGCAGATCGAAGTCACCCCACCTACGGCTTCTATGGCAGAAGATACACGGATGATAACATTGGATCTAGACGTAGATGGTTAGCGTGACCACAGATTGAAACCTTGAGTCAACTCACTTGGCCATCGCTTTAGCCCCCACGGCGATGGTGATCGTCAACACCGCAATAAGAGACTCGGGAATAACCGCAACAGCAACACAGATTCCGTAAATCAAGACTTCACCGCCAACCTGCCACTTGTTTGCCGAAAAAACAATAATAGCAAGCAGAATGGCTAGACCGAAGAGAAGAAGGGCGAACTTGCTGAGACTGATCTGAAGAGGTGTCCCGTCAAGTCCAAGAATGGATTTCACTGTCTTGACGAACTTCTTCCAGCTCTTTGCCAGCAATCCGAGGTCATTCAGTGTTTCGTCTTTTTGGCGAAGCATGTTAGCGATCTTGCCGACCTCGGTCTTCATACCGGTCGAGATGACGATGGCCCTGCAACGCCCGCGTTTCATCTCGCTTCCGGAGAAAGCAAGGTTTAGGCGGTCTCCTAGGGGAACATCTGGGTCATCGTAGACCTTCGAGGGATCCTTTTCTATAGGCTCCGCTTCACCAGTGAGGAAAGCTTCATCAGTAGAGACGTTGAAGCCATCCACGAGGCGAATATCAGCCGGGACCTTGTCAGGTCAGCATGTTGAAAGGTACAGGGCAGCTGTATCAAAGCGTCGGCACATTGTGCTATCCCAGGATAGGCAAAGTGACGTCCAAGCCCGTGCCGCCGCAGGAATGAGCTACTCACAATATTACCAGTCTCCAGCTGTACAACATCGCCAGGGACGAGGCTCACTGCTTGGATCCTGATGGTGTCTCCACCGCGAATAACGATGGATTCTGGTGCAGTCAGGCTTTTGAGAGATTCTATCGTCTTCTCTGCCTTGTAATCTTGTACGAACCTACAAAGTCAGTAGGATGCCCACGCAAGAGAACACAACGACGCTTACCCAACGACAATGTTGAGGAGGATGACTGCGGTGATAACGCCACCTTCGATGTAATCATCAATACCAAAGCTTAGAGCCATGGTGATAAGAAGGACCTGGGTACATTATGTTGGATTTCGTTGGTGAACGATTCGTACCTTCCAAGGTTCGCCCGACACAAGGAAAGCACGTACAAGTGTGAGACTGTTCGACACCTGCCTTAAGAGAAGCGCCCACAAGGATAGCCCTTCAGCTCCTTTAACCTTGTTAGGCCCATGGAGCCGAAGGCGAGATTCCGCTTGCTCGACGCTGAGACCATTGCTATGCAGATTGTCAGTGAGTTCTACGTAGTGTACATAGACATGAGAGGGTACCTGATGTCCACGTCCAGCGTCTGGGCGACTTGTGCTGCAGTCTGGCAGTGCCAAGCGATGAGCGGCGAATCATCCCCGTCGTCGCGTGACAGCGGTTGCGAAGGCTGGGGTTGGTGTTGGTGTGTAGGGGCTCCATGTTGGGCACCTAAAGGGGGTTCGGATTCTTGAGGGTTCTCCTCGGCCGTAGAGAAATCGGTTTCACCCATTCAATATAAGATACACACTCGCAAAGTGTCGGACTACAGTAGGAATAGGGAGTGGCTGCGCGGGGCCAGATATAAGGCGGGGTTACATGCCACGGCTAGCGAGCGCGCGGAGTTGGCTTGTGTGTGGGCCTACCCAAGGAAGGCGCGTGGGGAGAGGCTTGGTATCTCAATCACTCTTGCATGCCTCCCCAGTGAGGTGCAGGCACATCACATCCACTGCAGCCTTGTGCGCCCTTCCAAACCCTCTTTCCATAGCAATAATCAGTCGGTTTCCTCAGGCTGTCTCCATGAGCGGCTCTGCTGCACAACGCGTGCAGTTGCTGCTGTCCCCGGTTTGCTGAGCGACAAGAGCCTTGGCTGACGGCTCCAAGACAACAAACATACTCTTTCCTGCTGAATCTGTCCATGTAGATGCCGCATAGCCACGATGCCGAGAGGTCGGAAGAGTTGGCATAGCGTTTCATGCAGTCACCACTCATTCGATGTTGTTAACCCGTTTACTGGGTGCCCTGTTTGTAAGAAGACGCGTGCATGTCGTCTGCACCGTTCGATCCGATAGATGGACGTTTGGCCCGGCAAGTACTGTTTTGAACGCTCCCATTGGCTGATCTTAGCCTTTGTAAGCTCGTATGGTTACGACTCGTATGTTATTTGGATCGACCGCGAGCCACGTTCTGCCGCTGAAGGAAGGCTGTTCTTCTCGTGAGACGCTCCCCCGCATCCAGCGTGTAGGTCCACACTCACGGCCACTTGTCGCGGTCCATTCACAGTACTCCACCGAGATCCCGCAGCTGGTCATCCTCTGCGCGGGTTTTGTCACTGTACCGCCATGTTGGACCCTGTGGCTTGCTTTACCCAATGGCAATCGATGGCGCCACTCCGCCACGGTTTGTGCCTCCAAGCACTCCTTTGTGCATCCACAGATAGCGAGGAGAAGATAGCAACGCCGCGGTGTTGCAGTCTTCACCGCATGTTGGCGCGCTGCGGTGGTGTTGGGTCTGCTTGTCTTATCGCCATCAGCCCCGAAGAGCCTCGGCCAGTCGGCTCGCCTAGCGCTTCTCGAAGGATGGTAGCCCTGCACCCGCCTGCATCAGCATCATCGACATGGATTGTTCACGATTTCGAGGCACAGGCAATAAGACAGCTTTTCGATTCAGTCCACCACAAGATTCCGCAGTAACGCCGATTACCCAAGCCCGTTTGCTTTGTATGCCAAAGAAACCTTGCACCAAGCAGATGCCGCAGTCATAACAGTCGTAAATGCTCAACTAATCACCATCCGTCTCTCAACATCTCAGATTCTGACACGCCTGATGATCGGCGGGGCGCAAGCTGGATGTCAGCTTCGGCCCTAGCCGCCTCGATGCTCATGTTGAACGTCGAGGCGAGATACTGTGCGTAACGCTGGCGGTATGCTGCCGACTTGTCTTCATTGGACTTGTACAGCTCCCGTTTTGATGCCTGACCTGGGACAGAGGTTAGAGTTGCAGCCTTTGTTGCAGCGATCTAGTATACCCGAAGCCGAGTGGAGCACTATCGCAGGTGGGCTTGGCGAGAGCGTAGGTGACGATGAAGGAGAGGAAGAGGCGCTGTTGAAGGGAAGAGAAGGCATGATGACGGTGGCTGTGGGTTCAAGAGATCAGCGGCGAAGATGAAGTGAATTGTGGCGTTGATCTCGTCTGAACGAAATACAGTATGTATGAAAAGGTGAGGGTGCGATAGGTGTGTAGCTGAAGCTAGAATTGAAGCTCGATGATTGTTGCTGCTTCGAGGAGTAAGCAGGGACTTTATATGCGCACGTCAACCTCACCGCATCAACAGACAATAAGATCAGAGACGGATACCGATGGTAACACGTTCTCCTGCATCTCGATCAGGGCCCAGTATTACGCTACGATTGGCAGCTGAGTTTTACCAGGGACGGGCAACATGGATCGGGTATAGTGCGCCATTTTTCTTAGACGCTCCACTTCACCGCCAGAACCCGATTCAGCCAACGAAAGTCTGGGGAAGGTCGAGATGTTTCAGGGGAATAATACATCCCAGTCTATTCTCGGGATCGCGCTTTTCTGGCCATGCACCACTGCGCCCCAATGCCGGTTACTTGATTTCAATCCAGGGATCGACGTGGTAACGGCTAGGTCCACGATAGCCAGCTCTGAAAGGAAGTCCACGATGCATTGGCATTATACCGTTTTCCACGGTCAGGGCCTCGCTATGACTAACGATCAGATCGCGTGCATGCTGAGTTTTCGCCACCATTTACTGGGCGGTTTCTAGAACCGCTAATGATGACACAAGGTACGCAGCGAAGCATGCCATACGACAACATGATGACGACCCGCTCATGCCGTGGATCCGCCGAGTGGGTTTGTGGATACAGCCGTCGCCGTACCGTACCCACTGTTGTTGCTGTTTTCGACATTTCTGCACCACCCTGCGCGTTGCTGCAGCAAAGTGTGCCAGCAAGCTGTGCCACGCTCAGCGTTATCGTTTCAAGACTCGCACATGCCGCGATAAAATGGAACCTTCATTTCTGGACCCATCGTGGAATGCGCTCGCCTGCACGCCCCCTGCAACTAACTTCAGCACAGCTCTTAACCCGCCACAAACCGCGCTCAATGGCTCGTCTCCCTTATCGCACGTTGTGCCTCTGAATCGTCACTGTGTGCGCCGAGCAGCACTTGTGCCTTTACGACGGACAGCGCATCGACAAGGTCTGCTCGACGTGCATCTCACGCGCCGCCTTCTTCTCGATCCCGAAAGTTAGAGCGGTGTTTGTTAGGATGACACCACACCGCGTCGGTGGTGTCGGTCTCGTGCCTCATTATGGCATGGAAATGGCTAGATGCCCCATCGGAAACCACAAACGTCACGATGGTCTAGGCAAGCCATTGCAACGAATTCCATGCTGGGTGGCTGTCACGAGGGCTGTCCGACGTTCCGCTGTCGATCAGAGGGGCTTTGCTTGTTGCGGGGCCGTCGCTAGTCTGGTGTCGGCAATCACCCCTCACCGTGCCTGGGCGCATGGGGCGCCGCCGCATACGCCGCACGCCGTCACTATGCCCGCTGACTCTGCTGGCGGGGGTCATGCTCCGCTTTGTTTGTTTGCATATGGTCCGGAAAACAGAAGCCGTCTGTTTGGACCCTCATTTTCGATGAAAGAGAAAGTCTCAGACGTCTCGGGATTTAGTACTCGCATCGGCAGTGTCGGGTGCGTGCCTTCACGCAGCTGGGCAACTTGGCTCGCCACAGGCCTTGCAAGTTGCGATGCTCTGCAACACTGCAAGTAGATGATTCTAATGGACGACTCTGGATACGAAACCCAAGAGCTCACGCATACTCGCTCCAGCGAATGCATATCAACGAGTCTGGGGCTTGCATACCGGTCAAAGACATACCCATATAACGATCCGAGATGTGCAACCCTGCAGGACCACTGGTCCAGCTTTCGCAGAGTCACTCTCAAACCACCAGCACAATTCAATGCAACATTCTACCCTGTCCATTCCAGGTCTTCTCACATGTTCGTCGCAATTCCCGCGCTCTAGGCACGCCCTGAGGCATTTTCCACCTGCGCTAGCACTACCGACGCCTGGGGTCACTACCAACTCTAATCAGACTTCACCTCCGTTGCTTCGCCATCGCAAGAACCTGGAAGATCCAACATGGCTGAACCAGATGATCACCTAGACGCTGCTTCCTCGAACGACGATGCACTAGAACAGTTCCGACGCGCGATTTCCATCCTTCCGATACCGCAAGTAGCGACGCAATCACGCCGAATATATAGGCCGTTGAGAGCGAAAGGGGAAGTGCATGAGCAATTATCGCGCGGGAGATGAGAAGCATGCTAGCCTGCGCGAGTTTTGAGAGGCCGGGAAGTGAGTCCTCCGAAGCTTGAACGGATGCGAACGATGTTGTATCACATTTCTGCCCAGGAGTCGTATCCAGATTCGCTTTACGGCATTTTGGACAGCCTGTGTCGGTTGTCAGGTAAGGCCAGGTTCTATGCCTACTCCCTGGCAGCAGACGGGCGCACAGCTGCGTCCGCGCAACAGTCGCTTCACAAACGATAGTGGAAGCATTAAGGATCTTCATTGGGTTTCTTCCTGTAGAGCATGCCGCAATTCATAAGATCAAGTGCTGTCCTCGGCGCGAACCAGGAAACCATCACGCTCGAGCGCCCCTTTTCCAACATACCCGTCTCCCCCGCGTGCCTCTGCCACACACGTCCTTCCCACACCCCCATACCGCTCAACAAGAACAACAACACCCCGGCGACAGTACCCACCGGAGTCAGACTCTCGTCTTACCTACAAACCTCTACGTTCCCAAGACACGATCTTTGTCTAGAGCATCTGCCGTGCTAGGACATTTCCCTCAACTGCATCAACACAGCCGCGATGCGGCATTTTTACCCCTATCAAGATGGCGTGATTATGCTGCGTCCTTCCCCTCAGTTCGCATACACAATGTGCAGAGTCAGCAATTGTCGAAGCGCCGTCTAATGAGGAGCAGTATGACGGCTTGATGCGTGATTTTGGCGCTGGTGACACCGTGCCATGGATTTGTGGGTGAGGAGACCTGCGGCTGGAAGTCCCGCGAAGAGGACGATACGCGGAGCTGCGTGAATCATTACGTGCTCGTTTCGTAGTGTTGGGGCGTGATGTCCTGCGGTTCGTCACTGCTTTCATGCATAGCTTGGATGTGTGAGCACCGCACTTCGGAGGATGGGCCGTAAAAGGACCGAGTGAGCCTTTGAACGGACGTTCGATGCTGGGAGGTAAGCACTGCGCGATTATCTTGTACTTCTCGGCACTGAGTTGACTGCGGCGAGGTCATAGGGGCGACCGGGCGCTGGTTGAGCGTCAAGGCACTGGCCTTAGCACCAGCACCCCAGGACGCTGAGAAATCAACAGTCTAATCGACGTCATTGCAGTTATATGAGTGTACATACGCTCAGACTGTTCAGCTGTCGACATCTTCCTCCTTTCGCTACCACATCCCCATCTCCATCTGCGGCGCCGCCGGCATCTCCCACCTCCTCTCCCCTGCCGCCCCCGTCGCATTCACACCCGCACTCAAGCTCGGCGGTACATCTTCCGCCCTCGTCCCCCACGCACTCTCCGCCGCTCCCAGCGTCAACTCCAGCGTGCCCCCCTCCAGGAAGAAGCTATGCTGCAGCCAGTTCCTTGTGTACGCCTTCCCATTCAGCGTTGCAGACTGAATGTAAATATTCTTGCCCTGAGGATCAAAATTGACGTTCTTGATCGTCGCCGTCTTCCCCGTCTGGCCGTTCCTGATGGAGACTGACTCGAAGAACGGGGGCGTGATGAAGTACACGTCCTGCCCCGCATTAGGGAAGATGCCCATCATGGTCAGCGCCTCGAAGGAGCCCATGGCGCCGCTGTCGTCGTTGCCTGGGATGCCGTTGACGGTGTCGTTGAACTGGCTCGGGATGTAGAAGTGCGCGCGCTCGGCCGACTTGGCGGGACGCCCGGCGTAGTGGTACAGGAAGACTTTGAGGAAGGCTTGCTCGTCGCCGATGTAGGCCATGCCCGAGTCGTGGAAGAAGTCGAGCCGCTTGACGAAGGTGTCGGAGCCGCCCAGCGTTTGGACCAAAGTCTTCATGTCTCCTGGTGCGAAGAAGGTGTACAGCCAGACAGGGCCTTCGTAAGTTTCGCGGCCGCTCGGGTTGAGGTAGCAGCCGGTGAATTCCTGGAGCGGGCTGCAGAAGATGGGGTCTTGGAAGCCCCAGGTGCCGTTCGTGTAGCGCGGCTGTAGGAAACCTGTGAAGCCGGTATCGGTGCCATTGATGGTGGAATTTTGGTCGGCCTTGAACATGTTGTAGAAGTTGCCGGAGCGCTTGAGGTACTTGTTGTAGTCTGCCGTGTGTCCGAGAGCGAGGGCCAGCGTGGCAATGACGAAGTCGTTGTAGGCATACTCGACTGTCCGTGATATGGAACGCGTCTCTGTGCCCACGCCATCAAGGTCAAGATTCTCGGTCGGAATGTAACCCAGATTCTTCCAAGCCGCGAGACCTCCTCGACCTTTCAAACATCAGTATAGGTGCCGAAGCGGGAAATTATTAGGCTTGCCTTCGATGTCCCAGTTTGGGGGTTCTACCTCGGCGTCTGTGACGAGGGCCTCGTATGCCAACTTCCAATCGATTCCATTCGTGATGTTCTTCAAGTAGGCATCAACGATAACGATATCCGCATTTGAACCGCCTTGAGTGAAACCTAGCTGGAGTCAGTTACTCCGTTGGCACAAATAGTGTAGCTGACCGTACCTTTACAGAAGCTCATGCGGCAGTCTGGTAAAAATCCCTCGTGTTTGTATATGTCAAGGAGACTTCTCACCATCAGCGTTTGGCTGTGTGGGTCGAGCAGTGTGATCAAAGGATGGATGCTGCGGAAACTGTCCCATATGCAATAGTAGCTGTCATAGTATGGCTCGTCCGACTTCCAGAGCGGGTTCTCTCCGGTGTAGTCCTGCGGACTGATCATGCTGCGATATACGCCGCTCCAGAATGCCGTCTGAATGACCTCACTCGCGCCTCCCGGCACGATCTTGATAACATCAAACTTCTCTTTCCAGACCTTCTCAGCAGCTGCGACCGTGCCATCAAAGTCGAAGTCAGCCTGCTCTTTCTCGGCGTTTTGACAGGCTTGGGCCTCGCTGATGAACGACAGCCCGACGCGCACGAGCATCTGATTGTTACTGGTAGGCTTCTGAAATTGTACGAACCCACCGGCTGGACGCTCAGCATAGCGTTCGGTCTCGGTGATGGATCTGAGCGATTTCGCTTTTGTAGTAGCACGCGAGTTGGAGAATACTCCAGAATCTTTGATTTGCGCACCCTTGAAATCAACGCATACGTACGACGAGTAGCGCCCTATGCCAAAACTGGGAGAGAACGAACCGCCAGCAGTGATGCGGCCTGACTGCCCGTTGATATTGATGGAGGCATTGGTCCTCGTTTGTGGGAGGTCTTGGAGCTCGAGAGATATATGCGGGCTGAGCGTGGTGTTTGGTGTCAAGGGATTCTCCGGAAATGTGAAACGATACAACGCCGTGCGGTTCGTTGTGGTCATTTCGGCGCGGACACCCGATGCGATTGTGATATCGAAGTAACCAGGTTTCGCGTGAACTGTGCCATTGATACGCGGGGTCGCGCGTTCCCAAGAGGTATAATTGCACGCATTGATGTCGCCATTCGGACAGCCTGCTTGCGCGAAGATGGGGAAATTGCCCAAGCTACGAGCCTGGCCGAATTAGTATGGTAGCCAGCTGTACGCTTGCATGAATACCTACTCCTCCTGTGCCAGAATCATGCATGTGCGAAAACCCTATAATGGAGCTATTATCCGAGCTGAAGCCACCTTGGTTCTCGTCGGCATTTGTATCTGGACATGCTTTTGCCATGCCTGTCTCTCGTGAGCGTTGTGAAGCTGAGAATCGCCCTTGATCATCATACCGAACGGCAGCGTCGCACCAGGAAAAACATGGCCTGGGATATGTCAATTGTGCCTTGTCTCGGATTCCTACGATATATACCTCCATTGACTGTACCGATGAGTGGATCTACGTATTCAAAGGCCGTCTTCTGCGCGCCCACGGCCGTAGTGCAGGCCGTAACAATAGCGTATATCCGCCACATATTTCGGGTTTCTGTTGCTACCGAGACCCCTGAACTAAATTGAGAACCGCGTGCGAGAGGAAAACGCGCTGCGTGTGTCCTCGTCCCCTATTTAAGCAGCGCATTCCACTGCACTTGGCAGGTGGCCGGCCCACACTCGCATATGCTCTTCCAAGGCTGCGTCGCGTTACATCGTGACCGTTTTATTGAAGCATGCGCACCTGCAGGAACGGGAAGGTTGTTCAGTTTAGCCAGAACAAGTAGCCCGTGTTCGGCAGTGGCTGCGGGGTACATAACTAGCGGGGGTGTAAGGACGTCATGGGAGTATACAGGAAAGTTCCCGGAGGAGTTGTGGCCGAAGGGAACAATGCTGTCGTCCTGTAGCATGTTCAAGTGGGGATAGTTGCCTATGTACCTAGAGTTACTTGGTAGTGATGTACGGTTGCATCGTGCTCCTCCCCGCATAAAATGGATTTAGTCTCTGTCGATCAGATACGGTTGGAAGCTGCGTAGACCGCATGTGAACCTTTTGAAACCGTCCTACGATGGTATATAAAGAGTGCTTTCAATATCTAGACAATTGATGCAAAATTGATGTTCTGAGATTGGGCGTTTAGCTGGCTAGCCGAGATATTTCCCGGCAGTAGGATCCTTGTTGGGCGGTGCTCATGCCTTGGGAGACTCCAAAACTGCTGAAAGCACTTCTCTAAAATCAACTAGTACGCTACGATAAGGATCTTGTGCGTGAAAGCAAGGATGGAAAGCAGTGGAAAGCGCCCCTATCGAATGTAACGTGAAATTTACACGCATAGCACTCCCTCGCGCGTTTGCGAGTCGCGACAGTTGAGTGCAAATTTTTCGGCAACAGTTTCTGACAAAGGGAATCCGAGTTTCTTGTCTTGCCAAAATTTTGTGTATTCTCATCGCCTGTAGGATGTTGAGGCGGCTGGTAGGGTGTGGAATCTCGGATGGATCTGCGGCAGCCATGGGCCAGCCACGTCCGCGACGGGCGGAGGGAGCCGAAAATCGCGAAAATCGGAAGGAAATTGCAGCTAGCGGGGAATAATAATTATTCTTCGCGAGTTCGCGGTGCTAATGCCATGCTATATCCGTTGCGGGTGGGCTGGCCTTCCCGCAGATCGTGGGTCGCTTGGTGGAGCCTCCAGTCGGCGAAGCTTTAAAGGGCTGATTCTTACGAAGGCGCACTTTACCTGACGCAGAACGCACGAAGGTCAAACCATGACCATGAGACGCCGTCGCATCCTTTCTCGCTCTCACTCAGATGTTGGACATGTGGTTGTTGTCAAGCATGGCGCTGACGGAGACCTCAGGTTGTTGCGCACTTGACCTGAATCGGCAAGCGTGAACGATAATACGGTCGGCCGAAACGGTAGTATGAGGTCACCGTCCTCCAACTTTTCGGCGAGACGCATGCCGTTGTACATTATGGAGCGCAAACCCGCGGGCGGGAGTTTCCTGTCTCGCGAAGTACCGAGAAGTCCGGGATTGTGGCCATCTTCCAGCGCGAGATCGCCTCCCAGGGTAAGACCTGCGCGGCAAGGAATTATGATATATAGATGACGGGCGCCACATCTACGTTTGTGAGCCACAGTTCTAATCGCTGCAGAGCTGCAGTGTTGATAATATGGCAGACAACATCGAATTGTATCCCCCCACCAGCAGAGGACGCAGTATGAATCCCCACGCCAATGATACAGAGGCGCAGTGGGTGGAATCGGCAGTCGAAGAGGGCGAATCGCCACTCGAGGAAGGCCGCAAGAGGAGGAGCGCGAGTAACTCGACGTCTAGCGGGTCGAGCTGGAACACGACCGACTACCTGGGCGCGGCCAAAGACGACCATGACGGGCACCGGCCATCGCGCCTCGAGCTGGCTCAGTCCATCTCGAGAAGTCGCTCACGCAGGGAGAGCATGCACCGCGCAAGATCAGAGGCGCAAGGCGCGGGACTGACGACAGGCATGTCGAATCCGGTCACGAGGACGATGTCGCGGCGCGACACAGTTTTGAGTCGCATCCGCACCAGACCTGCTGTTGCACCGTTTGATCACCCGTTGGCACACCAACCGACCACGGCGGATGTGCTGGTTGATTTTGACGGGAAAGACGACCCGTATAGACCTATGAACTGGCCGACCAAGAAGAAGATTATTACCACGGGTCTCTACGGGCTGTGCACCATGTCTGCTTCGTGGGCTTCTTCGTCGTATTCTGCTGGCACGTCGCAAGTAGCTCGGCAGTTTCACATTGACGAGGAGGTGGCAACGCTGGGTACAAGTTTGTTTCTGTTTGGCTTTGGATTGGGGCCGCTGCTATGGGCGCCGTTGAGTGAGGTGTACGGAAGACGTATGGCCGTGCTGGCACCTATGTTTGTGGGCGCGTGCTTTAGCTTTGGGAGCGCGGTGGCCAAGGACGTGCAGACGCTTATGATCACGCGATTCTTTGGAGCGTTCTTCTCCAGTGCCCCGGTGACGAACACGGGCGGCGTGCTTGGTGACCTGTACGATCCGAGTTGGAGGGGCATAGCCATGGCTGGGTATGCAATAGCGGTTGTCGGTGGGCCTTGTCTAGGTATGTCACGATCTCCTTTCCAATATATAACACGAGACTGACCAAAACCCAGGACCCATCGTCTCCACCGCCTTCGTGATCGACCCCTCCCTCGGCTGGCGCTGGACCGAATACTTCACCGGCATCCTACAAATGTCCGTCCTCTTCCTCGGCACCATCTTCATTGACGAGTCCTACCCGCCCGTCCTCCTCGTCGCCAAAGCACGGCAGCTCCGCCACGAATCCGGAAATTGGGCCCTCCATGCCAAGTTCGAGGAATGGGACGTTTCCATCGTCGAGCTCGCGCGGAAGTTCCTCTTTCGGCCAGTCCAACTCCTCACGTCCCCAATCTGCTTCCTCGTCGCATTGTATGCGAGTTTTTGCTACGGCATCTTGTACATGCAACTCGGCGGCATCCCTATCATTTTTGCGGAGAATAGAGGGTGGACGCCGCTAACCGCGAGTCTGCCCTTCCTCTGCGTCCTCATAGGCGCGTTGCTAGGTTGCGCGGCAAACGTCTACAACCAGACCCTCTACAACAAAGCCTACCACGCGAACCTCAACCGCGCCGTCCCAGAAAAACGGCTCCCGCCAATGATGCTGGGCTCGCTCCTCTTCTCCGGCGGCCAGTTTCTCATGGGTTGGACCGCAGACCCGTCTATCCACTGGATCTGCCCGTGCATCGGGCTCATCCTTCTCGGTACGGGCTTCTTCACCATTTTCCAGGCTGCGTTGAACTATCTCGTCGATACTTTCACGCTGTATGCCGCGAGCGCGGTGGCGGCGAACACGTTCCTGAGAAGCTGCTTTGCGGGAGGGTTTCCGCTGGCGGTCGGGCCATTGTATCATAATATCGGGGTTGGGCCAGGGAGTAGTATTACGGGTGGTTTCGCGGCGTTGCTGGTGCCAGTGCCGTTTGTGTTCTATTTCTACGGGAGGGAGATACGGAGAGGGAATAAGTGGTCGAGGGGGAGTGTGTATGATTAGAGGAGTGGACGTAATGAGGATTTGGTGTTGTATGTGGTGTGTCTAACAGTGAATTGTCTAGTTCAGCTTTTGTGTCTGTTAATGCAAAGATATAATACCTGTCTACAATTTTAGCCGTCCTGAGTACTATTGGTTTCGCCTGATTTGTAGTCGTGCTTACGCCATGTCAACTGGTTCAAACACTACTCCACCAAATACATGTTGCCGGAACTTCGATCGGCAGCAGATGTTGATGATATCCAACATCACGAACGGACAAATACTGCACCTTGGGAATGATTTCTTGGCATAAAACCCGCGCCGAGCGGCGTGAAGATCTCAACACAACCTACGTCTCAATGGACTAAATGTGACCTAGCTCCCCGCCATGTTCCAAAACAAGACGCCGGTGCGCCATGGGTGGTGTGCGTTTGCCTTCTTCAAATGTCGCAGGCCTAGGTTGAGGATAGGGTTGCATAATGATGATGCTGCGCACCACCACGCCCCCAACTACCATACCACCAGTTGACCGGCACATCTTGAGATGACTTCCAGACAGAAAAGCCGTGACTCGCGCTGGCAAGATTCTGCACACAACCTTCTGTTCTTACGACTAAAAATTTGAGTCCCAAGACATGATGTCGCAACAATGACGCCGATCCGTCGCATGGGCGTGGTTCGTTCCATTTACAATGAGTCCAGTCTTGGGACAGGCAGGGTTTGATGGTGATGAGGTGCATCACTATACTGCGACTTGAGAAGGGACAAACACGAGGTATACATTCTCAAGTTGGGAGCCGGACAAAGGTTCATACAGCCCGCCCACAAAAAATCCCAGCTGCTCGTATAAGCCCACGACGGCTTTGTTCTTTGGGTGTACGAAGTGTCTGAATCGCGTCGTGGCTCCCACTGCCTGGCTCACTGGTGCTGTTGGAAGGGACCCCTGGGAGATGGACGCTCCTGCTCGCACAGGCCCCAACGTGAGTTTGGCAGTTAGCCCCTTCCCCTCAATGTTCCGGAAGCACGAAGAGACTCAAATAACACCTCTTCTCGTTCTCATCCGCGCTGGGTACAGTGTAACTTCTCTCAGCATTTTAGGCAATTTCGAGGTTTGATACGCGTGCAGAGTAAAACAGTGTCTGGCAGGCAGGCCTTTGTATATCGTCCTTTCACGTCAAGGTGACACTGGAGATACAGTAACAGCTAAAAGACGTAAAGACATATAGTATCATTGCAGCAATCGATCTGCTCAATAAGTGGTGACTACCGTCATTAACGTGGAGAGGCGGTGAGAACGCCGGGACCAGGCAGACATCACGTGATCGCTAAGGCAGCCATGGCACTCGCTCCATGACCCATGTCTGTCTCAAATTAGACTCGTCAACTGAGCAACTTGATGAATCACATGCTAATTGGCGCGACTTACGCTGTCACCGCCCGTGGCGCCCTTGCGACTCGGCTCCCGCAGGCATGCACGAAAGTGTCCTCGTATTCAGTGAGTCACCCTTGCCTACTTCCACACACCGGGGGCTAAGAGCCTTTTTATACCATACATAACAAGCCACTGAGTAGGGTTTTGCAGCACCTTCACCTCACTTCATCTCAATTCATTCTGCTATACTCGAGACGCCGCACCAACAGACATGGATGCGTGCACGATGGACGACACGACGCAAAGGCCTGTGCATCGAACTACAATCCTGGATCTCCCGAAGGAAACCCTGCTCGAAATTTTTGGTCATCTCGTCGAGAAATTCCCGGTCCATGACCCTTCTCAGTATTATAAGCCTCGGGCCTCCGAAGCCAATGACCGGCTCACGCTCTTGGGCAACAATCGTCTAGTCTGTCGTGCATTTAACAGGATCATCAGTCCTTTGCTATGTCCTGTTGTGACTGTGTCGCTTTGTTCAGGATCGATTGATCGTTTGGAAGGCCTCCTCCGCAACCCGCTGATCGCGCAAGGTGTACGCGGCATTGCTATAAGTCTTCTCTTTCGACCACGCGGCATTGCAACCGACTTCAAGAGATATCATGCGCATGCAAACACAATCCTCAATGATCTCGAAAGGGAGTGTGATTGGAATACCGAGTTCCAGCATTATGATCAGGACGACATGTCTGATGATGCTATCACCTGGCGAGGGTATCATGAAGCTTGGTCTAAAATTGCTCAGATGCAGAGCGCATGGGGTAAACTATTCGAAGGAAGCACTCAAGATGCTGGCCCGGAAGATGTTGAGATCATAGAAGACGAAGACCAAGAAGATCAAGAAGTCAACGAAGACGAAGCAGACCAAGACGACGAAGGAGGAAAACATATCGAAGAAGCACAGGCTACCTTAAGAATCTGCTTTGAAAAGTATGCTGCTGCACATGTAGAACAGGCTCGCATCATCTCAGATGGGTCATTTGTTCGCAGCGTCACAAGGGCACTGTCTTGCTGTGGCTCATTGCCCTTCATTTGGTTCAATGAGGACCAGCTCGTCAAAGACGGGCCCGACAACCACGCAGTCGCCTTGTTAACTTCTAACGAGGCTTTGCTTCATGCACTGATGCAAGGTCATGAGTGGCTCACAATCGAAAGTACCCTTTGCAAAGATGATGATGACACGGAATTGTTCTTCCCCGCCAGCGTCCTCACCGGGTTACCGATTGCCTGCCATGACGCCGGGGTACCTCTAAGAGGGATCTCAGTCGACTGCTTCCCCTTGCTGAGAGGCTACCGTTGTCTCATTCCCAGTGCCACTCAAGCCGACGACAGCATCGATCCGGACCCCTGGACTCGATTTGCTGCAGCATGTCATGACCTGGAGATCTTCAAATTTGGCATTCGTGGTATGAATTGCTCACCAATACGCCCTGAGCGCCAAAGTACTTCCGACTCAGCAATCATAAATGGCTTTATCGGCGCAGCTATTTCGGGGCCGCGTCTGCAGAAGCTGTGTTTGAGCATGACCCCTTTCAGAGTAAGGAGCGGATCTGCAGGTCAAAGGGGTGAGGAGCATTCGTATCTGGCCTCGCCCATCCTGGCTGCAATCACCTCCACACAGCTACGAACCATCACTCTCAACACCGTCGAAATTTGCGAGCGGGACCTACTAGCGCTAGTCAAATCAGCTTCTCCGGTGCATCTTACATTTTTATACTTTGCTGCTGTGACTCTTTCACGTGGCCTTTATGCAGAGGCCATGGGGCTGCTCCATGACATCGTATCATTGAGGAGAAGCAACAATCGCTCCATTCCGAAAATCCTCTTCAGTACTTTACAGGGCGCGGAGTTTGGAGGACCTTCCACCTTCGACGATGGCGGCAATAGTTGGATGTTTGGATCGAAGGAGGAGCGCGAGCTTTTTTGGGACAGATTGAAGCAACACCAGCATCCCCAGCTCCTCAAACAGGTCGAAACATGGGTTACAAACGGTAAAGCAGATGAAGTGAATCCTTTGTTGCAATTGAAAGACGTGCAGGACTGGGTGAGTTAGATTTAATACCTCATACAAATGTGTAAGCCGCGCCAAAACAGGACTGGATGTGTACATAGTTAAATGGTTCTGGGCAATCCGGAGCTGAAGAGCTAGACCTTGCTGTGGGAACCACCATCGTCAGATTGCAACTATGAAATATTACGCCATCTTTTGTTTCTGATCCTGAAGTTATATATAGATCACGCCCAATCTCTCGACCCCACGCCATCCCACTGCAGCACTAAAAGCTAAGATTGACTAAACCATGTGGACTGAAAGCACTGATGGAATGCAACCATGATGAGGCTTGCACCTCGGTACGCCAACCCAAGAGAATGACTCTTTGCGTTTCTAGCGAGAAATCGGACGCAATGCACAGTATACGTCCTCTCATTTGACCTAAAGTGTATCAAAGATTTCTTCTCTTTGCTTGATCTCCTACACACAGCACTGTGTTCCATAAGAGCCTAAAGCCGTGATGCAGAACGACTTCCGGGGGCCAAAAGTCTTTTGCCCCGGACTGCGTGTCCGGTCCGGGATTTGCGGTGCAGACATGGATAAATACAGAACCTTTCATGTAGCGTCAAAACCGCATTGAAAGGCGAAGAATCTAACCATCATCACTTAGTGCGACTGAAATTCAGGCTGAACACATGCATGAGACCAGAAACAAAATTTGTCAAAGCCGTGCGGTTGGGCCCATCCGGACTTGGTGGGGTGATCAATACAACACGTCGTCAACCTCTGTAAAGCGGTGATCCCGGGATTGGGGCGCATATACCCACAGCATAGACTCAACTTGAGGTTGAGGGCATCTAAACCACTTGTCTTCGTTCATAACTTTCATACATATCACTGCACTTTGGTGCGATCAGATGAAGAAGTGCTACTCTGCGTGGGGACCGAAAGAGCTTTTCAGAAATGACAGCTGTAACGGAAGCAAACGCGATACGCTTGCATAGATATAGTCAAAGAAGTTAATAATACGCTTCTCTCTTCCCAGTCTTTTAACACGCGCCATAGTTGCAGTAAGGAGACTAGAATGGAAGCTCAAAACTGGAGTGAATAGGTCTCATGTCTGGATGCATCTCCCTTTCTTTCCTTGGAAGGGCGAAAAGTACTACTGTTCGACCTAATGCGCGGGGGCTCCTTTCAAAAAGTCCAAGTAATTCATTTATGCCTCTTGTCATAGTTTATTGTTGAACTCACCTACACAGGTCAGAGGGGTTGGAGAGGACACTGACAAGACGGGATAACGTAGTCTTGAGGACTAAAACACCGAGACGTCGCCGTCATGCCTGTGCTCCGCCTTGTTGCCTTCTCGATGGAACGTGTCGCTGGTCTGACTACACGGGGCGAAAACCCTGGAACAAGGCAATTGCAGTTAGCAGTATGAATCTTTCAGCAGATCCAAGGTCAAGTCTGCCTATAGAAGCTCTCTCTACTTCCCCAGTCTCTGTTCGGCCCAGGCCTGGGTGCTCAGTGCGGGTTGCAAAATGGTGGAACGAATACAACATAGGAACAAGAACTGCACTGCAAGATTACCATGGGTATCTCGTCTTGGCGCCATATCAACGAAAACTCCAGCGCATACAAACGCATAGGAAGCGGACCTGGCACACGAAAGGGTTTAGCAACTGTTGCATGTGTCTCTCTCGGGCCTTGGCTCGTAGGCATGCAAACGAGTCTACTCCAGTCCTGCGCGAAACCATGCCAAAATATTTCTTAAGGGCACTAAAATTCGCATGATAAAGAGTATGTGGGGATAAAAGCTGCGGCGGGAAGGACTCATGGTTCGGTCCTGCCTTCACACCCAATTGACTAAGATATGTCTACTACAACCTCATGCGGCGAAAATCGTGACACAAATTAGTGTGTGCACCCCCAATGCGTCTTTTCCGGCCCTGTATTCAAGGGTACATATATACTTCCCATTTTGCGTTTCCGCATCCTGCGCGCATAGAAATACACGCCAGGATACTCACTGTGATACTAAAACCCAAGGGGTTGTGATCGTGTGATGAAGAAAAACCCTCGCATAAAGATGTCATGATTGAGTCCAGTGTTAGTGGCATTTATCCATTGACCAAAATGCAGGAGCCAAATCTTCATTGAGCGAGAAACTTCCTGGAGTTAATGCAATGAGTCGTTGCCCGTTGCCAAGGGGACTATAAAGCTGTCTTCTTCACCTGTCTTGCACGCGCCCACAAACAGCGAAGCGTTCAGTCAGCACTCAAACAAGGAACAATCAAGCCTCACGGGGGCCCACGGGGAACAAAAAAGTGCGCGGTGATGATCATGGTGGATTGCGTCTTGGTCCCTCTCGTTGATGGACAAAAATGAAGCTGTGTTCTCTCATGAATCAAGCAGCGTAGTAGAAGCAGTGATACTACTCAATTATGTGTTTCCGCCGAGTTTTAGGACGTGGGCTTGAAGGATTTTCTCCTATCCCTGTCCCATGTTCACCTATGCCAGAGTATTCAAGGGTGATACTAAAACGACGAGGACTAAGCCAACATGGCAACAAAATCCCGCACATCGACTATTCATGCTTGTGTTGTGTTGGAGGTGTGTTTCATTTGACCAAAATCTAGGGCAGACGAGTAGATGGAGAGGGAAGTCTGGCAAACACGAGAGGAATGAGCGATAGGGACCCTTGGCAAATGTGAAACAAGAAATGTATAGAAGGGGCCTCGCACATGGTGTCTTTCTTCCACGGATGCTCAAGTGGCATGGGGATCACTAAAATTTGTAGACGAAGATTATATGGTTGGATGCTGGTCGGGTGCTCGAAACAAATTATTTGAAGAGCCATCGCATGGAGTGAGAGGTTGGGAAAAGGACGACAGATTGAGCATTATGGAGCCCTGTCCTATCTGACGTCGGGAACATGAGAACGGGACGCGCGCTTGGAGTCTCCCGTCCACACACGCCAGAGCATCCGGATTGGAAACTAAAAGCATATTGGTGTCACAAATATAGGGACGAACAAGTACAGCACGGATCATCATGGTTGAGCTGCGACCCGGTGTTGTATCAAAACCAGCGCTATACCCCCTTGATAAGGCGAGAAGTCTAGCGAAAAGCAAAGTAATCATCAATATGGATCCTGGAAAGATTAGAGAGTAGGAGTATTTATTGTTCGAATTGAGCAGTCTGGCGCGTACGCAAGACAGAATCCAGAGGCAAAGTATTCTTATATAGACACTTACGAGGTTGCTATGGAGACAAAGCCCTACAACACGAGATCGTGATGTTCTTTTTTCACTCTGCTGGTTGGATCAAGAACGAAGTGCAGAACCCCGCATGGGGTTGAGAAGTCTGGGAAATAGGCAATGAGATGAACAGCCCACAGCCTGGAGCCTGGAGCCTCGGCAAATCAGGGATTGGAAGGATAAAGATGCTTTGCGCTTCACGTCTTTCATCTTCACAGACAAGAGTGCTCAGGTGGAAGACTAAAAGGCAGGCAGCTAGAGAACGATCGGTACGAAAAACGCAATCTGCAAATAGCATAGTTGTGTTACGTTCCAGTGCTTGGATTAAGACATGTGCAAGCTTACACATGGAACGAGAAACCTGGCACAAAGGAGAAACTACCGTCTCCATGTGTCTTCCGAGAGCCTGCGATTGCGGGTATATAAGCAGATTCGTCATACACAATCTCTCTCTTGCACACACAGGGCCACATTGCCCGGTAGGCACTAAAAGGAGAACTACCAAAACCACATGGGGAGGAATAATAAACACATGACAGCTGTGATGGCGCTTCTTCTCGGCATAAAAGCACTTAAAAAGCAGTCTATGGTAGGAGACGCTCTGGAAAGCTGATGCCATGAGCATTACGCGACCTCTGTAGATCTGAAGCTAGGAGTATACAAGACGCTCTTTCGCACACATCCTCTCTTGCCTACCACGCCAGAGTCCCTAGTAGGCACTGAAATCTCAACGCATATCGCAACATGGGACTAAAGAAACGATCGACAAGACTCCATGGTGTGGTCCGTCTCGGGACCAAAAGTACCGCGTCCCCGTCACTATGAGGTGGGAAGTCGCAAAAAGATGACTACAACATTCATCATGCTGCACTCCGTGTGACTGTAAGGGTTTAAGGTTTGCCGCGCACGCAATCTCTCTCACTTGCACGCTCACGGTCGGGCGTTGAACATCTACTAAAAGCATACCGCAAGAGAATACATGTGGACGAAAAGCTCCGCCCGCGAGCTTTCATAGTTGCGGTCCCTCTCGCTGCGACCAACACATCTAACAGTTTATTAAAAGAATTTGGAAACCCTACGCAGGAACGAAAATGTTCGTATGCGAGACCTTACGGTTGCGTTCTGTTTTGTGCCAAAGACAAACTACAAGCATCTTCATGCGGTGAGAGCTGCTAGCATTTTCAAAGGCTGCGCTAACAAAAGAATACAAAAATTTCCATGGGACGAAAAGCGAGGTATGATAATGCTATCGGTGGGTCCTGTCTCGGTACGAAAAAAAAAAAAAAAAAGACATGCCAAACTTCCTGGCGCAATTGGAGATGGAATCCACATCTGGGTTTATGGCAGATCTGATGCTGTGTGTATATAATTGGCCACGGACTCGTTGTCTTATCTTGCGCACAAGCCAGAGTGTTTAGGTGGAACATTAGAAGAAGGAAACATTAGATCCATGGGGCCTTGAAAATCGCTGCAGCACTTCCCGATGTCTGGTTGTGTCTTGTTACTCGAGCAACACCTCTTCACGAGGTGTGTGCATGTCCGGAAGCACATCTTGCGTGCTGATGATCCAAAATTGACAACTATTGGTACTCCTCTTCATCAGCAGTGGAATGAGTCGAATGATGTTTTCTAGATATATACAGGGGATCATAAAACTGACAGGAGAGCTGCGTGACGGCCATACAAACAACGTCTGTCTTCCTTCCACACCCATATCCAACGCCAAACACCACATCATCACCTCAACAAAATAGCTTATATGTCGCCGATACGGCCCAACGCATCCAAGCAACATCCTACGCGCCATCTCCCCAGATCCCAACCACACCCATCGCAAACGCCACGCCCGATATCCCCGCCCTCACTGCCTCCGTAAACTTCATCCTTTCCACCGCATGCCGCACCTGCTCGCCATTGACATCATCGCCCTGCGCCTCGAGATCCAGAAGCGCACGCTGCTCGTTCTTGCCCTCGCGGAACGCAACGGCGTAGTCGACGCCGGGGCCGGAGACGAATGCGAAGATGGAGGTGTAGAGGAGGTAGGGGTGGCGGAAGCGGCGGGGCGAGAGGAGGTATGCGGAGAAGAGGGTGAAGGTGGTGATGTGGCGGAGGTAAGAAGAGAGGAGGCGCGTTTTGGAAGAGAGGTAGGTGTGTGTTGAGCGGGCGGTTACAGCGGTGGGGAGTGTGAGGAGGGCGGGGAGGGCGGTCGTGGAGAGCGAGGCGGAGATGCCCTGTGGTGTGTCAGTGGTTATTCAATGGTAGGGTGCAGAGGAATTGCTCCCTAAAGCTCCGGGAGAGACGGCGGGCAGGGCGGCGGAGAGACGCGGTAAGGTGAAGACGTACAGTGAGCAATCCCAGACTTATCGTCCCCACGAACTTGCAGATGGAAACCATCGGGCTCGTCATGGTGTCACAGCTCAGGTGTCAGGCAGCGGGCCGAATTGATGAGACGTTGGAGCTTGAGCTTGAGCTGGAGCTTGGAGGTTGGTGTGGGGGCAAGGCTGCAGTCATGCACATTGACGTGTTGCTGATTGAGCAGCTCGGTTGGACACGTGATGCCCCGGATTACTACGTAGGAAGCGGCCCAAGCTCCCGCGGTCCGACGAACTCAAGAAATCCACGGTATGGGGCGCTGACATGATGTGCGACTTTGAACTTGAAACGTGAATTCACTGAGCTGTTTAGTCCACTTTCAGATCTCCTTAGACGGGATGCAATCCCTCCGCTTGATCCCTCGACGCGTTGGTACGGCTGTTGGTAGGTTTCGAGTAAGCGCGCCGCCAGTACCGAGCCTCGGTCCAGCGTCACTGTGGTGTTCTGGAGCTGCGACACCACGACTCGTCGTCGGGAACAGCTTTAGATCTCACGGCAGCAGCTTCTTCCACACAGCGTGAGCATTTCCCTACTTCAACCGGAGAGCCTCCAGCTTGTTCGCCGTTGGTCGCCGTGGCCTGTCCGAGACGCCAGCTTACATTCGCCAGCTCCGCGCTGCAACAGTCCTCCGAAACCGAACAAACCACACGTCCTCTTTGGAAAACACCACGCACCATGCCCATGGAGAAATACGAGTACTTGAGCGATGTGTGGAGGGACGGTATTTTCGGTACATATCCCAATAATTGGATTTACGAACACCTGGACAGAACGATGCGATAGCCCACGACCGTCCCCAACCAAAGAACCGACGCTGATCCTTTCATCTCCTACAGATAACAAAGTAGTCTTCTGCACCGGCGGAGCAGGCTCAATATGCTCCGCTCAAGTCCGCGCTATGGTACACCTCGGTGCTAATGCCTGCATTATCGGACGCAATGTCGAGAAGACGGAGAACATGGCCAAAGACATCGCAACCGCAAGGAAGGGTGCAAAGGTGCTCGGTCTCGGTGCTGTGGACGTAAGGAAACCAGAGGCGCTTGTCGCCGCCGCAGAGCGTTGTGCGAAGGAGCTGGGCAGCATAGATTTCGTGATGTGAGCTCCCTTGCGTGGAGCCTGAGACGACTTACTGATGCAGTGCAGTGCCGGTGCAGCAGGCAACTTCCTCGCTACTATCGATCAGATATCGTCAAACGCGCTGAAGTCGGTCATGGACATTGATGTGCTGGGTTCCTACAATACACTGAAAGCTACTCTACCTTACCTGGTCGAGTCAGCAGAAAAGTACAAAGTAGACGGCAAGACGCGCCCCAAAGCTGGCACTGGAGGACGCATAATCTTCGTCAGTGCCACCCTACACTATTCAGGTACACCGCTGCAGAGTCATGTCTCTATCGCCAAGGCAGGTGTCGACGCCATGTCGGTCTCTGTGGCCATCGAGCAAGGACCGAAAGGCATCACTTCAAACGTGATTGCGCCGGGCCCCATCGCGGACACAGAGGGCATGGCGCGTCTGTCTACAGATGACAGCCGCAAGGAGACGCCTCGCCTGATCCCGTCCCAGAGAATGGGCTACGTCAAAGAGATAGCAGACGCCACCGTCTACCTCTTTTCGGACGCTGGAAACTTTGTCAATGGCGAGACGATCGTCGGTAAGTTCATCTGCCGGAGCCTCATCTCCACCATCTCGCCTCGCTGACTCGAATTGCTAGTGGATGGCGGTCAATGGCACACACAGAGCATCGACAAAGGCGCCTTCAAGTATCCCGACTTCCTGCTCTCAGGAGAGACGGTGACGGGGGTGGCTGGCATGAAGAAGTCGAAGTCCAAATTGTAGATATCAAATACCATCTACCACTCCGAGACCCTGATGTGCAAGATGCTGAGATCGTGATCCATGCTAGTTTAGCACAGCCGCGCGTTATGACTATACATCGAGCCAACCATGGGACAAACCCAGCGGCTAGTCCTCGGGCAACCAAACATCCAGAAAGCTTAGCCATCAACATGTCCCTCGACCACAAAGAAAAATTCCTTTGTGATCCGCCTCATCCGCTCCACCTTCAACCTTTCAAGATTGGCGACGTAGGATCTCCCGAACCGTGTCGGACAGGCAACGCAGCGCGGCGCGCATCATTGGCCGACACCACGCTTCCCAAAACACGAGTGACGACACCGGCTGCGGGCGCGCGAACATCCTCATCTCGTCTCCTGGCGATCGCGTCGTGTGCGTGCGCTCCCCGTCCCGTGCTTTCAGGATCGCCACCGAGGCCAAGAAGGGCGTGACGCCATGACCTAAGCATCCGAAAGGGGATGCAGCGTGGCGCAGGCCGCGGACGCGGTGGGGGGTGACCCCTGTCAGAAATGTTGAGATGGAGCTAAGACGAGAGGGTGAGGCTTTCAGGCTGATCTCCAGAGGGATGCGCTGCCGACGCGCTGGAGATGGAATTTCAGGTGCGCGAGGCGCGTGTAGCATGGTTGGTTGCAGGCGTGTTTGCGATTGAGGGCTTGGGTCACGATAGACGAGCGCGGCGGGGGTGCTCATAGGCTTGCAAGGCTTCAATTGCGCGCGCGAGTGGCAGCGTCGCGCTCTCGGCTCATGGGGAATTGTTGCTGTCAGCAGCCGGCAACGCTTCGCTGACGGCGCCTCTTGCGGGCGTGCCAGCTGCCAGCATCGTTTCATGAGGAGACCATCAGGACGACCGTGATGGTCGTACATACGCGCTCCCGCGGACGGCGTGGCGAGTCGAGGGTTTTGTGTGTCGTTACAGCGCGGTTGAGGCCGTGACGGTGATATATTGCAGCGGGAAACCTGCTAATGGCGGCATGCTTGCGAATACATGATCCTGCAGGCCCTTCTATCAGCACCGAGTATCTGCCCCCGCAAGTTCTCGGTACCGTGTGGCAGTCATTGGGCTGCTCCCACGCCTCCCCTGTCGTCGATACTGGACGACACGACGGCGCTCCTATTTTTGACCGTGCGCAGGTGATCACCATCTGCGGATTCAATCATACTGGCGGACATTATCATCCACACGGCCCCGTGCTCCTCGTCCCTTCGTTTGCACCCTTTGTCACCAACGCACATTCGCTTTTCGACCGGTTCTTTTGTTCTTTGTCGTCCTCGGGGTCGAGTTCCATTCGCTTTCGCACTAGAGTTATAGAACGTCTTTGATCGCACTACCGCCGTGCCCGGAACTGCATCCGAAGCGGATAGCGTGCACGAAAACACGGCGCCAATTGATTGCAGCGCGACGCTCCTGTGCTCCTCAAGGCTCCGCTTGTCCTTGGACGCCGAGGACCTGCCCGCTTGGGAGTTGCTCGTTCATGCACGTCATGACGAGAGGGGCTCTGAACAGCACTACGCATCACAACTACTAGCAGGGCAGACACCCTCCCGTCTGCGGCATTATCGGCGGCGGCACACAGGCTGCTTGCAAACGCTCGCTCACGCGTCCTCGACGGACTGATTCGAGGTGAACGGGAACCCACGGCTCGCGCTTTCCTCGGCGGGGCCAAGCGTTACCACAGCACGGGCGCCGCGTGCAATTGAGTCCAAGGGTAAGTTGCTAGTGCGTAGCTCCACTCAACACCGCTTCCCAATTCCCATGCCATCCTAGTCCCTGCTCGCCCGCCTCTCTGTTTCTGTTCTTGTTCTGCTTGCATCCCACGTCGGCGCCGACGACCATTTCGTCTTCGTCTTCGTCCTGTGCAGACATGCTGACCAGCCTTCCTCTCGCAGGTTAACCTTCTTCAAGGCCTCACCTCTGCGAGAGCCCCGGATCTCCACGGCACTGCTCCCGTTACCACGCTCGCTGCGACTGTTTCCTGTTTCCTTGGACGGAGTCTGTACGCTGCAGCAACAGACCAAACTCACACTCGCTCGTAGTGCCTACCTCGGCAACAACCGGACCTCAATTCACCACGTGCGTACGCGGGAAGATTGCAAACAAAGCTGTCGTAGCCACACCCTCCGCTGCGCCGCCACAGCACCAATTATAGTGGGACCGCCAATACCCTCGTTTGCCGCAAAACCACACTTCAATCGCCGTCATGTATACAGCGTCAAGGGCAGCCTTGCCGGGCTTGGCCACTTTGCTCGCTCTGTACCTCCTCATCGCCACAGCCATGGCCGATTGGGATCTCAAATACTGCTCATCGCAAAACACCGCCTCGGACGACGCTTGTAAGTGTGTCGCTTTTGCACTGCGTCGATTTACTGACTCCTGCAGTCAACTGGACCTGGCAATCGAACGGTAAATGCCACGACCACTGTGTTGAGCAGGGCGACTTTGCTTTCTTCGTGCTCCAGGACAAGAACTGTTGGTGCACTAATTATATACCCGCGGAGCAGACGGATCTCAGTGACTGCAGCGAGACTTGCCCCGGCTACGACTCGGAAAACTGCGGAAAGGCGGGCCAGTACTACATCTACGTCAACCTCAACGGAAACCCCGCCGGCACTGCGGGAGCGTCGCAGCCAGCATCCACAAGTGTGAGTGAGAGTCCTTCCTCTAGTGAAGCTCCTTCTTCGACACGCCCTCCTGAGGCTACGACAGTCAGTAAAATCCCCTTCTTTTCCCAGAAGCGTTGATCATACTGCGAGTCGAGTCTTTTCTCTATTGCATTTCCCGCGAGTCACTGCGTGTAATTTCCTTGCTTTTCAATGCTTTACTTTGGTTCTGTCCTGCTTTGCTTTTGGAGGAGTGGTGTTTGACTTGCAAGTAGCCTTCATCGGCTCCGCCAAGTTCCTCTGCTGTGGTAAAGTCCAGCGCAGTGTCGTCGTCCGTCCCGAGTACGGTCACATCTGCTGCGCCTGTCACTTCCACATCTCCTGTATTTCTTCCCTTTCTTCTTGTCCGCCCACTCCTCTTCGTTTGTCCAGTCTGAAGCTGACACCCCCTCTAGAGCTCTAGCAGAACATCGCAGAAGCCCACCTCGACCGCTAACAATTCTCCTGATCCAACGCAAGGCGTGCAAACCCAGATCTCAACCGTCGTAGACCCCAACAACAGCGGCAACATCATCACCCAAACTATCCTGGTCACTCCCACTGCCACGCCCCAAACCGAACTAACCGAAAAATCCAAGTCGAACACCGGTGCTATTGTTGGAGGAGTAGTTGGTGGTATTGGAGCTCTTGCGGTTATCGTTGCGGGTGTCTTCTTCCTGCTCTGGCGCCGACGCAAGCAGCAGCGGGAGACAGACAATGGGGAATCTGGCGATGCATCTGGCGTACACCGCTACGCAAGCACCATGAGCAAATCAGGTCTTCTACGTGGCGAAAAGCAACCCGAGTACCCTGCACCTATCGCAACGACCTTCAACCGCCGACACAGTCGCACTCTCGACCAGGAGTCTATCAGCCCGGTTTCTGCTTCAGATCGACGAAATAGCTCTTTCCGAATCGCGGATCAGCGACTCAATCCCTCTACCATCTTCGTCTTCGACAACACAAGTAGAGCTAGCGTTGGCAGTTTGGATGACAGTCGAGATTACCACCGCACTCTCAACGTACGTACTGGCCGTTGACCTGACTCGTTGGAATGCTTGGCTGACCCCTGATAGGTACGAAATCCAGATGCGCAGTGATGATCGCGTGCGACACGTTTCTTATCGGCTAGCGATTGCCGTGCTGCTCCTTCATTTGCAGTTGGATTTGACTGGCTGTTCACGACCTCATGAACATATTTTAGACCCACATACCTGGCATTGACAGGCGCCAGTCGTTATCGGCACACCAGGAGCGCTGTCGGCAGCTCGCAACAACCAAGCGGCACAGGCGCCTCGTCGCTTTTTTCTTCTCGTGGCTATCGCTGCTAATGCCTTTACTGTATATTCTACTTTCTAGTTACTCTACCATGCTGTCACGTACATAAAGGAAAGGACAGGACGCTTCCGCAAGGGGCGTCGAGGGCAGGGAGAATGATGGATATTGGGCAAGCCACATGTTGGCTGGCGGATGGCGGGAACCCGACCAAGAGATGTACGGGTCGAGGAAGAGGTAACATAGGTAGCCAGACGACAAGTGCTGGTGGGCTGAAAAAGCCTGCGGTAGTAATGTCTACAATTGAAGACTATGGCTTTTGACCTCCATCACTGCTGAACTTGTGCATCTTTGCGTGAATGTCAGTCCTTGAGTTGCTGCAGCGTCGCAACTTCCGCATACGAGTATTGGATCCTAATGTAACCACCTATAATTAGGACTACCCACAATGCGATTGTCCGTCTATGAGGCTCAGTCGGAGCAAGGGGCGCTTGGGCCACATCTCCAGGGGAGGGCTGACGTTGCTGCCCCTCGAACATCGACCGCTACTTGTGCACTGGACCTCCGCGCCGCAAATCCACGTTACCTCCACGTTCCTTCCCTGCACTTTCGCTTTAGACCGCATACGAGTCGCGCAAACTCGTGCACGTCGTCACAATGAGTAAAATGTGGGAGGTGGATCCTGAGACGAGGAGCAAGTTGCTGGAGATTCAGAAGACAAACGAGAACAACAGGTGTGTGGATTGTAATGCGCCGAGTCCGCAATGGGTACCTCCTCTCGCTCCCTACTCGACACATATATTGATGCCATGCTCAGGCCTCTCCCAAACTCGGCATTTTCATGTGTCTCTCTTGCTCCGGCGTGCACCGCGGCCTCGGCGTCCACATCTCCTTCATCCGCAGCATAACCATGGACGCGTTCAAGGGCTCCGAGCTCGCGCGCATGGCGGCCGGCGGCAACAAACCGTTCCAGGAGTTCTTCGATTCGCACTCGTCCAACACGAAAGACGGGCGGAAATTCGACACCAGCTCGATACAGGAGCGCTACGATTCCGAGGCGGGCGACGAGTGGAAGGAGAGGCTGAGCTGCAAGGTGGAAAACAGGGAGTTCGATAAGAGTAATCTGCCCAAGCGGCTGCCGAAGAAGGAGACCACAGCGTTGGGTTCGGGCGCGCCGCTGAGCGGGAGAGCAAGTGGGCCGGGCAGCAGGAGCGGGACGCCGCTCGGCAAGACGAGGAGCAACGACTCTGCGGGCGCGCTGCGTTCTGGGTCTCCGGCGCTGGGCACGAACGCCATGGGCAACTCGCAGAAGGCGCGCAACGAGGAGTACTTCGCACGTATGGGGTCGCAGAACGCGAACAGACCGGAGGGCGTGGCGCCGAACCAGGGAGGAAAGTACGCGGGCTTTGGCAGCGAGCCGGACCACTGGAAGAAGGAGGACGACTTTGACAAGCCGCCTGCGTTGGACGACTTTCAGAAGGATCCGGTCGCGGCGCTGACGAAGGGGTTTGGCTGGTTGGGCGCGAGCGTGAGTAAGGCGGGGAAGACGGGATACGAGGGGTGGGTAAAGCCCGGTATGGCGAAGGTATGTTTACAATGTCCCACACAACAAGTTCACATCTGACGATACATTAGCTTGCAGAAGCAGACCTTGCCTCGCAAGCACGCCAAACCGTCGGCGTTGTTGGCCAGGGCCTCCAGACCGGCGTCGCAACCGCTGGCACCACATTCAACCGCTTCGTCGAGGGGTCCGACGGCCCCGCATCCTCCTCCCGCTCGCGCGCCGAGCCCGAGAAGAAAGACTTCTGGGACAGCTTCGGCGCGCCGCCTGCTGGGCCGGCGGCAGATAAGAAGGACTTTTGGGACGAGTTCTCGAACGTGGGTGGGCAGGCTGCAGCAGGCGCGAAGAAGCCGAGCGGGATTGGGACGAGCGCGATGAAGAAGCCCGCTACGAAGAAGGAGGAAGAGTGGGGGGATTGGTAAGGAGATGGTGAATGAGGCTGCATGGGTGGAGTTTTGGAGTAGGAGGGTGGGCGATTGTAATGTATACAAGGTCTGGATGTCTCCTTTTGATGTGGAATGTCACATTGTTATCATCATTACCGCTTTCTTGCACGTCTCATCTTCTTGCTGCGCTTTGAAATCCTGTATTGCAGCTGTTCGCTCAAGCCTCTACAGACGCGGTACGGTCACTACAGAGGCTCCTTCCTCCGCAGCGTCATACGCTCCTCCTTACTAGGGAACAGCACATCAGCACCTACTCCCTTCTTTTGGATTTCCGGCTCTTCTACGTCACAGCCTGAGCCGCTCCTACTGCAATGCCAGCCTGCTGCCGGCGCCATTGACTTTCGCTGGCCGCTCCCACTGATCTTCCTTTCTTTACCACACCACCTCGAGTGCCCACCTTTCGACGACTGGCTGCTTGGACTGCGAATAGCTTTGAGGTACGTGCAACTGCCTTCTCACGCCTCAGTTCTCTTTGCCCTCTCGCTTACACTGTGCATCCTCCCATCGTCCTGGCTCCCTTCCCCCACTCCCAGACTTCCAATCCGACACCTTCCTCCCCCACCCGCTCATCGGCAGATGTCGCAACTACAATGAAACATCACTGACGCTTCTCAGGCTCCTTCCTGCGTTTTGGTTGCATCGGTGTGTACTTCGCCCCGCGTACCGTAGCCTGCTCTGTCCTGTCTTGCACCGGACGCTAGCAGACCGAAAACGATGATGATAGGTGGTCATTATGCTGATACCAGCTGGACAGATCTGTTCGGCATTGTTTTACCGTTTCTTTGGTATGTGCGGAAGAGGTTTTCGTTGCTCGTTGCCCATCGCTCCCACCTACTCCAGAGCTCACCTCGACACCCACCATGACCACTCGCGTCCACTGCCCATTACCGACAACCAGCTTCGTCGCTCCTTTCCGTTCATGCCCGCCGCCGCTCCTTCCCTACCTTGTTCGCCTTCCGTTGCCTATCTATCCACGGCCCCTCCTCCACTCTCTTTCACCCTTCGGCGCCGATCCGGATCAGTTTCTATGGTGCATGGGGTTGCGGCTACCGCAGTGCAACTCCGGTTCAATTCAAGGGAAGACTTTCTGACTGAGACAGGTACTATCCACCATGGCAACTCTGAGCAGCGTCCTTACGGTCGCACTCCTGGCCCTCGGCGGCGTCGATGCGAAGCGCAAGGACAAGGTTTCCTACTCGCGATACCTTGCACGCGATTGCAATGGACATCCTCTCTCGGGCGACATCGATGATCTCCAGCTGAAAGGCGGAGCCAGCGGATGCAAACAGATTGAAGGGCAGGGCGTCCGGTTCCACATGCACAAGAAAGACAAATACAACAAGTGGATCGACGACGTGAACCGTGGACTATGGGAATGCGGCGCTACTGTGTATCGAGGCGTTGACTGCGTCTTGGAGGATATCATCGACCAGGTCTCCCTTCCACAAGCCTTCAACGAATGCAACCCTCTGCATGCGGACGCCGGCTCGATCTCGTTCTGGTGCCGCCCCAACTACGGATACCAAGGCATCGCACAGCCACGAGAGATGGAGCTGCCTGTTACCTCCTACTCTATCGACAAGTATGGGAAAGCCCATCCATCGATGTACACGACTGTCATCAACGCCACCCAGCATATATACAATCCCCTGCCCGAGTTCACCGGCATTACTCCTCTAGTCACGGTGACCGCCACCAAAATCCTAGAAATTTCCACCAAAGTGAACACTGTCCCACAGGTCGAGACAACGACTACGGTTGCCGTGCCGAAGGTCAATGCTCGTGCCGAGCCAGCCCCCAAGGTGGCACTTGAGCCACGCGGGAAGCAGTACAATGTCAAAGGCGTCTGGATGAGACACCCGTGGGGGCAATCCGCCATCTGCTTCAAATGTTGGACCAGGAAGGAGATGGATTTCGGCAAGTTCAAATGTCGCTCTGGCAACTACGATAAATATGATGTGCCTTGCCCGCCGGTTCCTAATACAATTGCACCGACCACCACCGTGGACATCACACACACAAGGACCGTGGAATTCTGGAGAACCGAGGCGGATCACTTCTCCTTTGCAACTCAGCCCTCAGTAGCAGCTGAGAAGCGCTCGCCGCATAAGGCTGTTGTCTTTCACAATCCCTATTTCCCTGACTTGAAGGTGTGCGCCGACGCCGAGTGGGAGAACTCGGGCAAGCCCAAAGCCGAAGTGCGCCTTCAGAAGATCAAATCGTTTGACAAGTGCGCAAAGAAAGACCCCATGTACATCGACATAGGCATTCCGGAGCAAACTCGCATTGGCCATACGTACGTCACCTCGAGCATCACTCACACAACCCGTCCTGTCTACGCCGGGACGAATACCGTCACCACGACCAAGACAATTATTCAAACTCACCATCCTTCGATCACTTTCACCGCGACCATCACCCAGCCTGTAAGTCCTTCTACAAAGGTCGTTCTTGCTCCTGGGAGCACCACCACTGCAACCATTGTTCAACCCCTCTTTTCTTTCCCTTACCACCCTTCCCAGTGAACGTGCTGTCATCGCAATCGATATCGACGGAAGTTTCGAAGGGCAATAACTTTCGGAACCGATGATATTAGTGCACTGAGGTTCTGTTCATTTTCTCTTTCGGCATGGGTATGACAGCATGGTGTTTTGGTTCCTTTTCTCTTGTTTCTCAATTAATTCCATAGATAGACGTTCCACACAATAAAAATTGTTGACGCGCATGTGTTGTGGTTGTGTGTTGGTGCGCCGACGCTGAGCGATTGCAAGGGTCTGTCAGGTGAAGTGATGGCTGCGTTGGCCCTGTGGTAGACTGGCGCACACCTTTCGTGGCCTTTTCTGTAGTGGCTGATACAGACGAGCCGGCCTGTCGAATGGGCGGCGCAGCTGTGTGTCTGCTGCCATGGATACCTCTGGAACACTTACATTATTGATGTCGGAGAAAAGATGATTGCTACTGCTCATTGAGTTTTCGCTGGAGTATGCGTGGAACATGTATTGCAAGGTGAAAAAGTCCGGCAGCGGATAGTGCTGTGGAGTTTAGGTTTTGTTATATTGGATGAATAGGTGGGCGGATCACGTAGCGTAGAGGTGTAGGTGTGGAGAGGTGTAGGGGTGGTGAGATGGGTGTTGTGGGGGATATGGAGGAGTGAACGAGGGGTGGATGCGTTGTTACTGCACAGCCGTGGGGATGCGATATGGCTGACGCGTGTGAAGGGGGTGTGACTGGTGGATGGTTGGTAGGTGTGGCGTGGCGCGGGAGTGGGGAGTCAGCGCTAGGGATGGCGATGTGAGATTGCTTGATTGAGAATGTGTTAGATAGTAGGGTAATTGGCTGAGGTAGTGCCTTGGTTGATGGTGTTGGTCAGCAAGTCGTTGGCTCTGCTGGTGACGGGGGGTGAGCTGGGGATGTAAATTGTTGTGGATTGCGTTGCGAGGTGTGCGGCGTAATTTGTTAATCTTTCTGAGTGGAATAGGGAGATGTACAGTCGCGCGAATAGAGCGTGGTCAGAATGGGCAAGGGGTGGACCTCCAAGGCGAAGTTTAGAACGCATGTCATGCCATCATTGGGTTTGCGACTAGGGATGGGGTGGAGTACAAGTGAGCTGCGGTATAGTTGAAAGGGTATGAGGATAAAGCACGGACTCTAGGTAGGAGGGTTGGAACGAGAGGTTTAGAAGGGATCATCAGAGGCGGTAGCGAACGGATCTGGTCAGTGCTTGGAGATCGGGAAAGTGTGTTTCTGCGTGACGCTGAGGCAATCGCAAGTTTTAGGCTATCTTCATAGTTGAACGTAGTAAACAAGATACATCAGATGACGTCCTTATGTTATCCCATCGATATACGAGATTTTCACTCAACCTCAGCCCACACTGGCTCAACCGTACTTCTCAATGCTGCAATATAACGAATTCCCCGCCCCAGGATAGCGCTAGCTCCTCTCCAGCTTCTGTACCCAAAACGCATGCACCACATCCCCGCTGCCCACCCTCCTGAGCGTATATCTCGCCACCGTCCCGTCATCTCCCGGCCCGCCGATCTCATTTTCAAGCCGCCGGCCGTCGTACTCCAGCGTTACGCCAACAGGGCCGTCAAAGAAGAGGGCCCACACGCAAGAGTCCATTTGACGGAGGGTGGTGGAGCGAATTGGGAAAGCCTGCGATGTGTGTCTGGGGGTGGGGAGTTAGTTGAGTTTGGAGACAGTGTGGGTGTTGGCTCCGGGTGGATGTCTTTGCTAAGTGAGAAGGATAGATGTACTCAGTACTTGGAGGGCTACTCATTCAGGTAGAGGGGTGGGAGGGTGGAAGGTCTCGTGGTGGAGGATGTAGCAGGGATGAAGGCTGGGTGAGAAGAAGGGAGATGCTGGGGAGCTGGGGGTAAGGGGGTGAAGCAGCGTGGAGGACGGCATAGTAGACGGATATGAGGTGAATTTGGTCACCGGTTTGGTGGTACAAAGTGGATGGTTGGTCAAGGGAGATGGAGTAGGCGGTGATCTTAGATTTATGGTGAATGTTCGAAGATGACGTGGGAAATAAAGTGAAGTGACACGTTACTGAGTGATGATGGGACAGATGCGTGATGTTACGCGAGTGTGTGCTTTGCTGGAATCGTGTTATGGTCGACAACTTGATAGTCGTGAGTGAATAACGTTTTGGCAAACGGCGTGTTGGGTGTTATGCCAAAGAGGGTCGCGCTCAGGATGCCCCTGAGGCACTCTCATCAATTCGTGAGATATTGATACGGCGTTAATGAGCGTGGTGACGATCCCATTGCATCCGCTAGCCGAAGATGTGCTGGATCTGAATATCTTAGCACTTTCTTCGTCACTTCAAAGCTACAACATGCAAAGATGCGTGGGCCAACAACTCTCAAAAGTACTGCCCATTCAGCTTGACCTTTGTGTCACTGTGATGGCTATATGAATCACCTGCATTTCTCATCTCCTGCTCTCTCATACTGAAACAACCACCGAAACAACAACTGAATAGTAGAGAAACGAAAGCTCACAAGCAAGGCGAAACACTACACAATGCCATCCTCTGGAACAAATTCTCCACCAGTGGAGTACATCTATGTCGTCCTGCACGACCACTACAACATGAACGGAGAGTGGGTCACTGATATCACACAAGCCTTCCAGCACCGGGAAACTGCACAATACGATCTGGTTGAGAATGTAGGTAACCTTATATATGATGGCTTGAGGCCTGAGTGGAGTGCGAGTGGTGACGGCGAGGACCTCCTATCTGGGCTCAAAGAGTGCATGATAACGAGTGCTGTGACGGGGGAGCCGGCACATTGGTTTAGGATCAGGGTTGCGAAGCTGAAATGGTGAAATATGGGATATCTTGATGAAGCGTAGCTAGACAATCGAAGCTGAATGGAGGTTTATTTGACTTCACTGTTGATCAAAACGTACCTGCTTATGAGTACCGTAGAGCCAAAAGAGACCTTGAAAATCTTTTTCGTTGTTGTTAGTAGGAATGCGGCTGGCTGCCTTGGGTAGACTAGCGGGCACCACCTCTGCAAGCTTCGGTTAGGGACCGATCTTTCCATTCTTCTCAGACTCGACTATCACACCACATATCGCTGACTACAAGCGATCACAATCACACGTGGTACTCTCCCGCCTCGGTACATGCGAAAACTGAGATAAACGCAACTCTGGGTGGGTACCTGAACCCAGAAACGGCAGGAGAGTCGGCAGCCAAGAGACCTTCCATTTCCCCTCTCTTGGCGAAGACCTTCAACGGGCAACACGCGTCTTGGACTGACGTACCTGCATCGCAAGGTAAAGCCAAGAATGGGGTTCAAAAAGATAAAGGCGGCGCACGGAACAGAAGTTCGTCTTTGTACGCGCCAGAGGGTTTCGTCAACTTGAGGAAAATGTTCAACAACATGAGAGCTGCGCAATTGGCGCTATTCGCGTCCACAACATTAGCTCAATCACAGTATGGAGAGAACCACGTTAGTAAGTAAATAGTTGATTCATGTGAGGCATACACTAACTTCGCCTTTTGCAGATGTAAATCTAGACTCACAGCTGGTGGAGCAAAAAGCATTTCCCGCACCAAATACCACCCTACTCAGTCCTGCATTCTTGAAGAGTGGAAATGCTTCCTTCGATCCAGGCTGGTTTACAGGAAGCGAAGGCGCGACAAGTCAAGACGAACTTAGTATGGTCAAGTCGTTGCAATCGCGCGAACCCAAAACTAACATTGTTCGTAGCATCTTTCTTGAGCGATCTCGCTGCCAACAATCCATCTTGGATGTCGTTCCATGAGGCAGCTTTTCTGAGCGAAGAAGGCAACACATTCCCATATGTCTATCTTTCGACTTCACAGAATAATTCTGCCACCGGCTATGACCCAGGAAAACTAAGAGTTTGGATCCAAGGATCCGTCCACGGCAACGAGCCCGCTGGTGATGAGGCCACTCTTGCACTGCTGGGAGCCATGGACGCCAACTCAACATGGGCAGCCACCTTCCTTGAAGCAATGGATGTTATTGTTCTCCCACGCTACAACCCCGATGGAAATGCTTATTTCCAGCGTACCCTTGCCACAAACTTCGATCCTAACCGCGACCACATTAAACTCGCACGTCAACAAACTCGCGACATCAAGGAGTGGTTCAGCGCGTTCTCACCCCACATCGCCATCGACATGCATGAATATGGCGCAGCAACGCGCTATTCGGTGAACTACAGCAACGCAGCAGATGGCATGTACAGTGCCGCCAAGAATCTTAACATCCATCCCTCGATTCGCGAGCTGTCTGAGAACGTCTTCGCGCCGGCCATAAATGTATCTCTGTTGTCGAAAGGTCTGAGAGGCGAACCCTACATGACCGCTGCACGCACCAATCCTCCACGTCTCGAAGAAGCCGGCACGGACGGAAAGATCGGACGCAACGCCATGGGACTGACACAATGCGTTACGTTCCTTTTCGAAACACGCGGAATTGGCATCGCCAGTCAATCATTCGCGCGTAGGACGTTGGCGGGCTTGCAAATGATCCTCGGTGTATTGGAAACAGCACGAGACCAGAAGCAAGAGGTACATGACACGATCTCAGGCGCGATTAGTGATTTTGAGAAGAGCGACGAGGACATCGTGATCACGGACTATACGAGCTTTGCGAACAGAACATACACGATGGTTGACCGTCGCACCGGTGATGTCGTGCAATTGCCAGTGGAGTTCGCATCCACAACACCCGTGACCGCAAACTTGACCCGTGCCAGACCTGAAGGCTACGTGATCCCCCGCGCATGGGCTGATCTCGCCGAGCGCCTGCGGGTCTCTGGATTGGAGATTGAGACGATAAAAGACGTTTTTAAAGAAGAGGTGGAGGTGTACAACATCACGTCGTCCCAGCTTGCAAAGAGTTACTACGAAGGCGCTGTATTGAACACTGTCACGACCGACACGACTACCCGGGAAGTGAATCTGCCTGCTGGCAGCTTTTTTGTGAGCAGTGCGCAGAAAAACGCTGGACTTGCATTTGTGGCGCTGGAACCAGAGAATATTGATTCCTATGTCAGCTTTGGAATCGTGCCAATGGAGGTTGGGGATCTGTATCCCGTTTTCAGGAAGGTGTAGGTAGGGCGTATGATGTATGTGGTTTTCTCGGAAAATAATCACGATATTTTCAATAACAGAAATTCGCCTTATGTCGAATCTAGAAAACACGGTCATATCCTTGATTATTGTTGCAAGCATATTCGCCAGCTTTGCGATCTAGGAAGCCGCCCTCATGAGGCCTTAGAGATGAATCAGATTGACAATAACTGAAAACCATGTATAAATGTGCTGATCCAGCGACCAGATACAAAATCCATCGAACAAACTCCTCGACGCACGCCGCTTCCTCCTACGCTACCCTATCAAAGCCATGCCCCGATACGCCTCTTTGAAGCCCCGCCAGCAGGTCAATTTGAAGAGCTTCATCGCTCTTTTGCACCGCCGCACAGATAGTGACTACACCCTGCGCCCGAGACATAACCAATCATACACTTATCGCCGCGCACTCATGGCGCCTCGGGACGCAGCCCGTGTACGCAAGGTGCGGAAGGTGATGGGGCGGTATGGGCCGTGTGTCACGGATGAGCAGTTTCGCGAGGCGGTTCGGGAGAGGAGGGTGAGGGGTATCTTGATTGGAGGGAAGAAAGAGGACAGCGGGATGTGGGTTTTTCCGGCGTACGTGTGGGTGTCGGCTAGCCATAGGTTGGGGGAGAGCGTGGACGAGATGATGGGGGTTGATGAGGGGGAAGAGGCGGAATGGGAGACGGAGGAGTTTGCAGCGTTTTTGGAGACGAGTGAGGGCGTGATGGGGGAAGATCAGTGGGAAGTACAGAGGGGTTTGGATGGAGAGGACGCGGGAGATGATTGCGGCGGGTTCGGAAAAAGGATCTTGAGATGATTGAGCAGGGTGATAGGACGTGGTGCCTTTACGACTTTCTTCATCTAGGTCTAGCTGGTTCGAGCAGAGGACTCAGTGATTGTTGTTGGGTGAGTCCTTGAGTAGATCATCCCTCAAGCATGAACGATGGAACATGGTCATTCGGATAAAGGGGGTATAACGATCGTATTAACATTACTGTTCATATATGCATGTCCACATCCTCCTGCCTCTCCACGCTACTCCTACCACATCTCCTCCGCCACGGGAGAACTGACGCCTGTGATCTGCCAACGGTATGCAGCGAACCCTGCGGTCCCTGTCGCAAACCATCTACAACAGGCCGACGGTCCTCTGCTTTGTCTTCTTGACATCCACGTTCTGCCAAAGCGCGACACTCACCCAAGTGATAAGGTAAATGCACGTCCCGGAGATGAGCATGTAGCGCTGCGCCTGGCCGTAGCTGAGGTTGATCGCATCACGTGTCGGGCTACCGAGTGGGTACGAACTCTGGACATCGAGATCCCCATAGATAGCTGCAAAGTCCTTCTGGCTCTCGGCAGGTAAGTTGGCTAAGAGGCGCACGGGGAACACGCCTGTCCAGATGGCACCAGCGATAGTGGAACCGATGGCGGAGCCCACAGAAATGATCATGGACTCGGTGGCGAGCAGAGCGGGGTAGTCCTGCTGCTTGGAGACTGTCATGAGAGTGGTCTGTTCCGAAATGACGAGGATGCCGCCGCCGAAGGCGATGAAGATGAGGCACATGACTATGTAGCCGATGTTGACGTCGGGCTGGCGGAAGTGGATCATGAGACCGACGCCGAGGATGGTGAGGGGCACGCCCAGAAAAAAGGAGTACACCTTAAGTTTGCCGTAGTAGCGGAGAACAACGCCGTAGATCAGACTGCAGGTGCAGGAGCCCATGGTGTACGTGTTGTTGATGTAGCCGGCATAGAGCACGGGCTGGTTGAAGACGACGACGAGCATGGAGTAGAGGTAGGAATCCCAGACGTACCAGCCAACGTAGAGCGAGAAGGCCATGGTGTAGGTGAAGATAACAGTGCGGTTCTTGAGGAGGTGCCACGGCACAAAGGTGACAGGGGCGCCATATTTCTCCCATAGGCCGAAGGCAACCATAAGGAGGAAACCGAAGATGATGAAGCAGATAATCATGGGCGACTTCCAAGTGTCTTTCTGGAAGCTGTAGATGTTGAAGGCCAAGAGGAAGAGCGCGAGACCAGTGGCCAGCAACAGCAGACCGACAACGTCGAACTCAACGACGTAGTACTTGAGTGCTTGGAGGAAGCTGCCGCGGCTGGGTTCTTCAGGGACAAGGCCCTGGGCGCGAGCCTTCCTGTTGTTCTTAACGAACAGCCAGATAAGCGGCGCGGCAACAACAGGGATAACAATTGCGAACACGCCGAAACCCCACTTGAATCCTATGCCACCGTCGGCCAGGACTCGGGCCATTGCAGGGGGGTAAACCCATGTGGTTATGAGCCAAGGCGAGGCGACAAAGGCGAGAAAGAACGCCCGGTTACGAAGCTTGGAAGTGTCGGCAACGAAGATAGTGATGGAGAAATCAACCATGTTGAAGCCGGCGGACCAGAATGTCATGGCAGCGCAGTACGTCTGGACGTTCTTGCAACCGGCCATCATGACCAGACCCATGACGCAGCTGATGATACCAATGGTGAGAGCCATTGGCCTACCCCAAATGTTCATGATCTTGGCGTATGGGAGCTTCCAGATACCAGCGACGAGACTCGAGATCACGCTGGTTAACGCGGTCAAGGAATGGGCTTCAAAAGAAGAGGTGACGTAAGGCGTTAAGAGGTAAATACTACTCGACGTGAAGGCAAGGATCCAGGCGAGAAGCCATACGCTGTTACGAAGTCAGTACTGTCGAACAGAAGTGACTTTCGGACTCACTTCACATAGGCCAGGAGCATTTCCTTCTTGGTCCATACCAAGGTCATAGCCTGTGCCTTCCGCACACCAGCCTCAACCGTGGCGTCGACCTTGTTCAGGGAGTCATCGTCGGTCTCTTCCTCAGAGCGAGGAGCGCCCAACTTCTCATCGACAGGTCGGTGACCCGCATCCATGCTGGTGGAGTGGCCAGCGTAAGAAGCCGGAGCATCAGCGACATCCTTCTCAGTCATGTTGGCGTCGCGGTCAGTCTTGCTGACCAAAGCAGCCGACGTGAGGCCTCTGAAGCTGATACCCATCTTGTCCACACGTGCAAGGCCGTCGAGAGATGGAGGAGATGGAGGCGTGAAAAGATCTGATAAAGATTGATAAGATCCGAGGGCCTGCGCGAGACACCGGCAGGTACATATACTGGCGTCGGTAATAGAGCTACGGCAGGCGAATTGCAGGGTCCACTGGCCCTACTGACCCAGGTAATCGGCTCTTGCAAGCGGGTAAGCCGACTTTTCCATGACTTTACGCAACGAATGCACATTAAGCTCTCGCGCAGACGCACGAAGAGGCGCTAGACCTGCGTTCCCGCGTCGGCGCTCCCGCTCATTCCACCCATCCTGAGAGTACAATCCAAAGCATTGGAACGATGGGCAAGCCAGCACAAAAATTTGCGCAGGCCGGCAAGCTCTCGTCGATGCGAAGCAATCCGACCCCATTGTGGCAGCTCGACCGTCCATCACTAGTCCCAGTATGCGCGCTAAGCTCCGACCCGACAACGCTTCGGCTGCTTACTTGGGCATAGGGCGGGGCGTGGCGTCGATAGGAGCCAATTAGCCCCATCTAATCTTTATCAGATGAAGATTTTTCATCTAATCAGATCGACCAAGTAGCCACCCCATGTCCAGTCGTACGTCTGGTTGCGTGGCCGCATTTCTATTGTCAAAGCGTGGGAGTGGACCCGATATCGGAAATCAGGTACTCGTACGGCTGAAGCAAAGTGGTACCACGGCTTGGGGTCACACGACGTGGGCCTGCATTCCTTCGGCGCGATCCGGACCAGAGGTTCGCAGCTCGTTCACTTCTCAAGTTTCGCTACAAGTCTTGGTCAGGCTGTGACAAGCACATGCAAGGACACACGACTGACCCTTTGGCTTGGCAGGGTATGGTGATTTGTGGCGCTGGCTAGGCCGTTCGTCGGTGCTGGGCGTGGGCTGCTGTCGGGCATGGTTGCAGCATTCGTACACCAGCGATTTCTCAAATCAATGCAATAGACTTTATTCATGAGCTTAGGCGCTTTAGGCGCGAGTAAACTCAAAGGCAGAACGACTCGTGCGCACAACTGAGGCTGGAAAAGTATTTCGATTCTCATGGCAGCCGCCGTCGCAAGTGAAAGCTCAGCGCTCCACAAATCGTGTCACACTGACGCGAGCTGAGAATGAACAATGGGTATTGGCAACGCGGATCGACCGTATACTGGGACGTTATTCCAGATCAACGTAGTGCATATGATGTACCGCATTTCGGTCTGATATTCGGCGCAGGTTCGGCTGGAGTGCGAGGATAATCTAATCTGATCTACCACAGATCTAATCTGATTGCGCTTCGGGAGCTGCAGTTGCCCAATTTCCCTCCCTCAGCCTGGGAAGCCTGCATCTCGATGGCCGAGGCTTGAAGGTTGCCCGCGCGGCATTGCCGAAGCTGGGCCGACATCGCGGTAGTTTTCGCATTCCGGCTACTTCTGCCGATCTGTTCGAAGAGTGGGGAGCTTTCTAGGCAGCTTTCCGTCTAAGTGGAGAAGGACTTTGGCAAAGCGTATCGTGATGTCGAAGGCTTGAGGGCCTCTCTCCTCGAAGAATGAACAGTCGGAGACGGTGCCGACCTGTTGTGCCGTTCCTTCTTTCACCTCACGCTTCGCCCCTTGCCTTGTTTCTCGCTCGCCGTACCTCGCGCTGCGCTTTTCGTGCCTGGTTCATGCTGGGTACTCTTTCCTGCTCCGCCAACTTGCTCACTTCCAAGCCTTGCTCGGTCACTCCATCGAGCAGGAATTTGCCCATATTGCCCGTCCTCCACTTCTGAATCATCCACAGCGCCGTGGCCTCCGTATCGGCCTTTCCACCCTTGCCTAGTCTACCCGTTCTTTTCGCAATACCCTCCAAAAGCTCCACGATGTCATTCGTGGGTCCATGGACATACTCAGCGTAGAGAGTGGTATCGATAAGGTTCATGTGGTAGAGGAGATAGTCGGCAAGCATGACAGGCGGGATGATGGAGTCCTTGACGCTGCCGCAAAGCGCGAGCTTCATCATCGCCTCCGCATCAGGAACATATGGTATAAAGACTCCCGGCGTATCAACGAGATAGACGCCCCCGCCCACACCCTTGTACCTCTTCCTGCTCGTCTCGTCCATGCTTTCTGCATCATCTTCGCTTGGTATGATCTTGACTCCGCTGCCAATCTTCCTCGTGACACCCGGCTGGGCGCCTGTCTTCGCGACCTTGCCTTTGCCAATGCCATGTGCGCGGAGCGCGTTGAGGAGCGTTGACTTGCCCACGTTTGGCATACCCACCACGAGGAGCCTATGTCCAACGAGCTTCCACCGCTGTTGTGCATGCTCCCGCAGGAATTCCAGCAGCTTCTCTACACTTCGCCGCCTGCTCGCCTTGCCCTCCTCATCGCTGCTGTTCCTGATAAACATCGTTGGCGTCGGCGCATGCCACTTCGTTATGACCTCTTCATTTCTGCTGTCGCGAGCCGGCCCACCGAGATCGCGCTTCGTATACACAATGAGACGTTCTTTGCCTTCGAGCGATTCTTCGAAGAGCGGGTTGCGCGATGTGAGCGGCACACGGTAGTCGCGGCATTCGATGACGAGGTCGATGCTGGAAAGGAGGGTCTTCATCTTCTGCAACCCGGATTTGTGGTGGCCTAGGAAGTAGGAGCGCGGCAGATGCGAAAGCGATGGGAAAGCGGCTCGAGGAACGAAAGACATCTTGGAATTTTGGTGGTTGAATTAAGTGTATACAAGTCTATGGTGTTGGATGTGCGCAATGGCGCGTCTGGAAGCTACCGTCTCATGTCGAGTGTAGTGGCGGGTGCCGGTAGGCTAGTAGGTCTGCTCGTGGAGCCTGGAGATGTGTCTTTTGGCTTCTGAAACTGTGGAATGAAGAAGGAACAATGAATCTATATCTAGTGCGTGAAGTTTGAAAGCGCACATGAGTATACTGGACCGACGCGGAGGTCCGCAACAATTTTGGGCCGCGAGTCAGGCACCCCCTCAGCTAGCGCAAGCTGAGTCATTCACCTTTCAACTCCAACCACATTCCCAAATCGACTATCATCAGCTCCGTCATATCCTATCACTTCCCTGTGCATGCAGTAAGATTCCCAAGAGTCAGAATGAGGAAGCGGTTCAAGGAAATATGAGGGCCCAAAATGCAACTTCTGCGGGATCCCACCCCTGGTTCTGGAGCATCACCACGCGCAAGAGAAATGTGGATATGGTCATGGTCGCGCAAGAACAGAGTTGCAGAGAAGTGCATGTAGGGCCACGGGCGTTTCATATAATCGCCCGACTAGCGAGATGTTGCGCCTGATATGTTATTTTTATCCGTATAATCCGGCCCCAACGAGGCTGTCTTTTCATCCCGTCTCCATGCTATGTCCGCTGCATCTTCCAAACAATCTTTTTCTTCTTCCCTCATCTTATCATCAGACAATAAGACTGTATTGGTCCTTCAATAGACATCCAGCCGCCTAAGTGAGATCTTGACGTCCGAACGTCTTTGCATGTCAAATGAGATATGGTACCATTGGTTGGCGTCGAAATTCGCCACGATGTCGCGTCAAGTGGAGACACAGTGCCGAGAACCATCTGTCTGCCTCCCGCTGGGTCTATAAGATTTGTCTCAGGGGAGCGCGAATGGTTTATGTTTTGGCAGGATGATGTGCGTCACCAGAGAACAGAATTGTAGAAAACATGGATTTCGGGCTCCAAGCAAGGCGGCCAACATCAGTTTTGTATGGATATGTTCCAGCGGCTTGACAAAATACTGGGCCCATACAGTGGACATGAATCCCAACACCAGCCGGTGGTTGTCCAAACGTCGCCTATGAGGGTCGCCACAACAAGATTGTTCTGCATGTGAGTCGCAAGCAGTAAGGTGAAACAGCGTAGATCTGCAGTGCGAGTGTACGGTGTACGCTAAGGAATTTGCTTGGCTGTATCGTTCACATAGTGTAGGCTCAGATCGCCAAGAGATCTGGGGCCAGAATTAAGTTGGAAGCCATAGCCTTGCGCTGCGGCAGGGTTGTATTGTCCGCCTCAAAAGGCATAGATTACGCTCAGCTGGTGATATATGCTATCTCGACTCCATGACGTTCTTCTCGATACCGACAACCGCTTCCCGTATTGTCGGGCTGAAATGCATTCGTAAAATCTCGCCCTCCCAAACTGTGCCCGCGAACGGGTTGCTGCCTTCGATCTCGGGCTTGAGCGCATCGAACACACCGTCTCCGCGGCGTTCTTCCGTTATCCATAGCGCATTGACTTTGCGACCGTGCGCTTTTGTGACTTGGGTTAGCAGTCCGAGCATTGCTGTGCACGACTTCTCGGGTAGCTGCAGGGATATTGTCATCAACTGCTTGCAGAAAGCAGCAACTCGGTTCGGTGGCACGGCCCGTATCGCTGTTGCTGGTAGAAGAATAGATGATAGAGACCGGATGAGCAGGACTATGGTGGTCTGGACATTGATCTTGTTCGTCGCCTCGGCTTGTGGTTGTGCCTCCGCGGAATGCGGATCAGCGAGATGCAGCGACTTTGCACTTAACTCGATGTCGGGGTTAACCGATACTGCGTGGAGTGTGCGATACAGATGTGTGATGAAAAAGCTGAGGTCCAACTTCAGTCCCGATGCAGATTTGGTAACATCTTGACCTTGCAACAGAGCAAAAGCTGTGATGACGCAGAGAAGGGACTCGCGTGTGAGGTTCCGATCCGGTGCTTCGTTCTCGTCATCTTCCTCTTCCTCTTCCTCCTCATCATCGTCTATTTGCGCAGCCGCCGAAACTTCTGCTGTGCTGATGATGTCGCGCAAAGCTTCAAGAATGTCACCAAAGAAGTCCTGGTTGATAAGATGCGCGTACTTCGCGAGACCCTCGAGCACGGCACCCATAAGCTTCCCGGATCGCGCCTTCAGGATCCTAAAGTAGGCGACAAAGACCATCTTCAGCGTCTCTGCCTGCATTCTATCGCGCTCTTCGTGACCTACTGCAGCGTCTGCCTGTTTGAATTCTTTCTCAATTTTCTTGTTCTCTTTCAGCTGCTTCCTGAGCTTCTTCGTTCGGAACTCGCGCTGTTGTTTAATCTTCTTGCCATTGATTCGTTCAGGTTCCTCCTTGTCAACGCGGTTGTATGAAGCTTTCTGGGAAAACTCGGAGAGCAGGCGCAGGTGAAGAAAGGTATTGAGAACGCTTTCGTCAAAGTGGTAATTCCTACTCTTCATCATCTTCGTCAACATGGTGACGGCATCCAGTGAAACGTTTCCTTCTTCGTCTTCCTCAAAAAGCTTCTCTAGCGTGGTCCGGCATTTAACGAAATCTGCGTCTGGATTTCGCGTGCTAAGTTTGCCGATAATGATGCCAAGCAGGTCTCCCCGAAAGTTGAAATGTGGTACGGCCAGCAGCATGCTGCATGCGCAAGTGATGGCAACTGTAGCAACGCTTGCAGCAGCGGCGTCGCCACCACTCCTCTTTGCCGCCTTGGCCAAATCCTGCACATATGCCTGGTATCCCGCAACAAGCTTCTGCTCGAATGCGCGAAGTTTTCGAACCTCCTTGGAAACTTTATCCGTCATGTTTTCTTCAGAGAGCGGCCGTATACGATAGCCAGGAATCAAGTCTTTGAAGATGGCCGTCTGCGCGACCAGCGTCAACTTCCGGACGGTGGTGTTCTTGGATGCCGCAAGGGCGGCCAGTGTCTTGAGCGCGCCAATGTGCTCTTCGGGGTCTTCATTGACGAGGGTGGCTATTCGCGCAACTTCCTCTTTCGCCTCGAGAATCTGCTGCTTTGGCGACACCTTGGGTTCCTCCACCACTGGTTCCTCCTCCTCTTCGGCCTCGCTGCCCGAGCCTAGAAAGCTGTCCGAATCTTCTTCCTCCTGCGCACCGTCCGCTGCGGGCTGGGTCTGCCATCCTTCCGTCGTCCTTACAGGCAGTTTGGCAGCCTCTTTTTGCTTCTTCTGCTTTCGCGGCCGTTGCTCGTAGTCCTGTTCGAGGTCCCATTTGGCTGCATTGGCGAGGTAGCTAGCCTTCTTGTTTTGGGCCGGCTGGACGGCGCCGCCGTCGTCTTCGGGCGGCGACAGACGCCTTCTCTTCGCTGCGGGAATGGTACGCGACATTGGGAGTATTTATGCGAGTGTTGCGATCGAGTGCGCGGAGGTGTTGCGGCGCGCTCGCACCAGTAATTTTTCTCTTGGCGTCGGTGGTTGCGCCTGCAGTTTTCGCCGACCTCCACATTTTTTTGGTGCAACTGCATCTGCATCGCGCCTGCCGCATTGCGCCTCCAGACTCTTCATACACCACCATGAGACCACTCACAGAGGTACACGCGCGCAACCCACACGTGACGACACCCGTGCTAACATCTGCAGCCCGAGACGAAGACGCTCTTCGAGAAGCTGGCCGGCTACTGCGGCAAGGGCATCCAGGACCTAATCACCGCCGGCGGTGCAGACGACCGCCATGTCTTCCGCATCCAAGGCTCCCGTGTCTACTACGTGCGCGAATCGCTCGCCAACCTTGCCACATCGGTAGCGCGCGACAACTTGCTTTCCCTCGGCACCTGCCTGGGAAAGTTCACCAAAACGGGAAAGTTCCGTCTACACATCACCGCACTGGCTGTGATCGCACCGCATGCGAGGTACAAGGTCTGGGTGAAGCCGAACGGCGAGATGCCTTTCCTGTACGGAGGCAATGTGCTCAAGGCGCACGTGGGCAGGTGGAGTGAGGATTGCCCGGAGCACCAGGGTGTGATAGTGCTGAGCATGAGCGATACGCCGTTGGTAGGTCAGGCACAAGTGCAGTCGGAAACATCTGCTAACACGCATGCAGGGCTTCGGTGTCAGTGCGCGGTCAACAGCTGAGGCGAGAAAACTAGACCCCACCGGCGTTGTGACCTTCAGACAAGCAGATATCGGAGAATACCTCAGAGAGGAAGACACGCTGTTCCAAACATGAGTCACAGGTATTCACCGCAAAGTTTCGAAAGCAAAAGCAAGCAGTACCCGCCGAACAAGTCCTGTCACGCGCCAGGTCCGTGGAGAATACTCACTTGGGGCTTCGGATTCACGCAATAGAGAGCGTCCAAAAGCGCGGGGACACATCCATGTATACGAACGGTTCAGACGAAGAAATGATACCCTCTATGTTCAAGACTTTGCGATGCTTCTGCGAGCCATTCCTAATCTTCTAGTCATTTCGACATGTTATCCCTTTAGCCTGTTGATCCCATGCCAATCTAACCGATGTCCTTTCGCACCCAACGCAACAAGTCCCTAGAATGCTAACAAGTTCAGCGAGGACTCCAAGTCACATGTAAGTGAAGCCATCACTCGCAAAGTACCCCTATAAATCCTCTCGGGCTTACACTCTACGATCGGCACTCTTGGATGCACTGCTCCGACACTTGCTTACAGACACTGTCATGGTTGTCCAAGCATCTATTAAACTGACCATTGAGGGACTATTGGCATAGTTACAGCAGTGTCGCAAAGAGCCCGTCGAATTCCTGGTCAGATTCGGAGCACTGTTCTCGCCGCCGACGCTGGAGCATCTCTAACCTCTCTTGCCGATAACGAGATCGAGCGCATCCACTTTTTAGGCGTCCGATGCATCAGATTTAATGGCTCCTGTGGTGGATCGTGTCATGACCGCGCGTGAGCGCACAGCTAGATGAAAGCACTTGGGCACCTCAATCCTGCGGAAGTAGCGATGGAGCAGCTCGGCACAACTACTGTTGCAGCCATGGTCACATTGAAGCAATTCATCTTGACAGACGGTGACCTGACTACTATTTCCGACATGGCAGATCAAGTTCCTTCACTGTTCCGTCAAGTTACGGAAGCGCGGATCTGGACGACTTGGTCAAATTTCTACAGTCTGGAGGAGTTTACGTCAAGATCTCGGCCCTGCACTGTCGTAGTCCGCATGAAATCGACGTTATGAAACCTGCCGTAAGATTTCTCGCTCAAGTTGCACGGTAAGCGCTACTGTGGGAAAGCGATTGGCTATCTCGCCATGCACCTGCTTTCTGCCATGCTCGTGGCGAAGCTCGGGCCCTCTCTGTATCTCATATGTTCCCCATGCAGATACATACAATACGAAAGCATAATCTTTGATCTGCAGCTATGTTCTATCATTTCTTGGGCCATAGTATCCGGCTGCATTGCCACTACAAATGAACATCATCGATGCTTCCTTCACCCAGTCGCTAGGTGAGTCTTACACTGTACGCAAGGAGTCAAATCCACAAGTACTGGATGCTTAGAGTTTGTGCGACTTTGATTACATCGACAAACGTCTGCGGCAAATTCAGTGGTCGAAAACCCACTTCTATGATGTGCGAGGTTATCCATTCTCAATTCGACCGTGTCGGATTGGCCCCAAGAATGACTCACATCCATGTAAGGGCCAGCAGATGTATACTCTTCTGGTTCAACAAGGAGAACGTGGCTTGGATTCCTGAGACCCAGCAGTCGCGCTGGGCACCAGTTGTTGATCCTCAGATGGGAGCAACCAGGATGGTTTTGAACACAATCATCGAGCTACCGTTGGACAAGAAATTCGCAAGCGATATATCGGTAGTTGAGCTTGTCACGTTGCACTTCCTGGGCTCCGTGGAGCTCCGAACCGGACAGATGCCAAATTCGCCGAGTACAAATCGGGCGGGGAAGCAGTGCCCTTACGAAGCTGGAAAAAGTGCAATGAATTGTTGATGCACATCGCTCTTGTCGGGTCCGCGTGAACAGGCGACAGAGAGCGAGGTGATTGCTGTGAATCGCTCGACTTCCGGTACATGCCTCCTCACGACTTCCAAGCCCTGAAGCATACATGACACGATTCAAGAGCTGATTTCCGCAGGCTGTCCAGTGTCGTATGGGGATTGAAGAAAGCGGGAGGAGGGATCCTGAAATAACCGCATTCGTCGAATGCATTGCTTTGCCAGTAGGTGTGCGTAAACAGCTCTTCACAGGTCTTGCAAAGCATCTCATAGGTCCTTGGCCGGGAGTCACTTTGGTGAAAACTTAAGATGTTGTTTGAGGGTCGTCCAGTCTTACTACCCTGCAATTCGAGCGGCCAGCTTAGCCACTAACAGCGTGGGGGCCGAAGGAAGCTTTTGAAAGCAGCAGTAGTCGATTGCTGTCGCTCAGCCGTAGAAGATCTTTTGTAAGCCTGGTTCGTCCAGCTCGACTCTCTGCGACTGGTTCGCATCAGCCTCGATAGGCGCTCAGTTCGCGCTGACAGCAGGCAGGTCCCCGCGCGCTAGCTCTTACCCTCTCCCAGCAGATTGAGTAAGATCATTCTGCCGTCTCTGCATCTTCAGCCTCTAGATAATCTTGAGTCAAGCATCGCGATACGCTTGTTCCATCGTGCCCTTGAAAAACGACATCAGCCACCACAAGCAGCTGACCTCCATATCTTTAACAAGCACCTACTCGGCGTCGCTAATACCCTAGCCTTCTTCGTCAAGCTTAGTATCAGCGCCGCCTTTAATGACAGAGTAATTGGCCTGTATAGTCATAGCAGACGCGTGTGCACGCATCTTAATGCCTGTAAGTATACTTCAGTAGTAGCTAGGGAAAGTGAGGTTCTTCTGTCCCTATCACCCTATGCCGGGTAAGATAGTAACAGCTTCAATGACACTGTAGGTGTTAACTGGACGTAGGCCGGTCAGGTACTAGTATGTGTGTTTTAGCATATCTGGAACGGTGTGCGGAAGCTGCCATAGCCCATCTCGTCATCGGACCAGAGCGCCAGATGTATCAACGAGCGTCCAAAGTGATCGATCTACATCTGTTCGAAGACACCTCGCATCGCTCTCAGTTTCTTACTCCACCTGCATACTGTGACTGTGAGAATCGGGAATACGCCGAAATAGGCCAGGGTGGCTATAAGCCCTGCAGAAGCCTGGGTCCCGCTTCAACAAACACTGCGTAGTCTTCGCTTCCTAGTTTCGCTCAGGAAGGGGTCCCACACTGTTTTGCTGAGGGTAATCAAGTTTCTCCATTGTAAGTGTCACGCTGCCGCTTGCTCATCAGCGCCCTGGTCAGCCTATTCGTGCACCTGCTGCGCCGGCTATGCGATGGTTACAGAGCCAGAGGCTACAGTGAGATGTGAGAACTATGGAGTTAAACCAAGTCTTCACAAGTCGATCATAGTAGACTAGTTCCATGGGCGACCCGGTATTAATATCACGTGTGTTATCCTTCCTCATAACCATATCAGACTCCATGGAAGACATCTCAAAGCTAGACAGAGTATCAAAGCTACACTTACTCGCTATCTGCAAGTATAGCTCTCCCAATCATCAACATCTCCCTCCGCGTCCCATCGTGCAACTTGCGGCCATGTGCACAATCGCCTTGTCCTATCGTCTCCATTAGGTGGTCCCCAGCTCTTTATGCCTCTGAGAGGCTCATGGCCCGTCTCTACCCACGCCACCAGTGCAGCTGAAAGGCCATATCGAGCCGGTACATAGGGATACATCGCATTGCCCGAGCCGCAGTGACCACCCCCAGGCACCATGACAAGCTTCAAGAAATCGTTTTCCTCTATCGTTATCCCATCTCCGATGGTGTTTTTCGTGACGGCTTCAACATGTTGCATAGACCACATCGGAGCGATATTCGGATCTGCCCATCCGGCAGACACAATCATCTTGCCACCGTTGTTGCGGAAAGAAGATAAGTTAGTGTTGATTGCATCGATTAGCGGACCCGCTCGTGAATCTAAATAATCCACATCGGAGCCCCAATTGAATGTTACTGGGTCGTAAGACAAGTTTTGGTAAACCAAGTTCTGTAAGAGAGGAACGCTGAAAGCATTGGACAGGGCGGCTGAGCACTGTGGTAGGAACCAGCCGGCTTCGGACCCTAGTGAAAGCCCAGGAAACAAAGACGTGTTGGGAGAGTCCAGGCGTATAGGCCCATTATAGATTGCTTTTGCGGCAGAAAGCTGGGAAGTTGTAAGACATGTGGAGTTCTTGACAAGATCATCCTTGACACAAGCCAGAGATGAAACGTTGAAGGAACAGGCGAGCGGGTTTTCGATCAGGTTGTCTGACACGCCGTCTAGGTCATCGCATGCCTCGAGAACCCTCGACTGTATGAAGTCGAGAACGGTCGCTGGAAGAGATGTTTCGTTTGTCTATATCACCTGAATGAGCGCGCAGGATTTCCAGTGGGTGCATGGACCTACATTTGTGTGTTGGGCGTTCCATAGAAAGCTCAACATCAGATGAGTGAACCAGTTGGCAGGACACCCGGCAATGATTCCATCAAATAGATCTGGATGGAACTCGGCCAGCGAAAACCCCTGCGCACCGCCGGAGGAGCATCCGCGATAGTACGAATGCTCCACTTCATTCCCGTAAAAATCCTTGATTGTCGCTTTCGCAGCGGGTGTAAGGAGGCTGATGGCGTTATGGAGCCAGGCCTTCACCTGATCCTCATCGTAGAAGAACGGCTGATAGACTCCAGGCGAACCGGCACCGGGCCCAACCCCAGCGTCGTTGTCTGATGCCAAGTGGCCTGCATTCCCACCCGCGACTGCAAAGCCAAGATTGTTATTGAGCTCTTCCATCATATCATCGTAATTGATAACCCCTGCTTCACCGCCGTTACCTATCGCGATGAATCGCGACAAGTACTGCGTGTCGGGTAACCAGAGCGCGAAGATAAGGGAATCATTCGTGCCGTAGCTGACGGAAGCGTAAACCTCGCATAATGAGACCTTGTTGAGTGTTCCAGATACATTCAGCGCGCCTGTAGGATAATACGTCGTGTTCAGGAGAGAAGTATTGTATGCGCTTAAAGACGTGGTCTGCGCAAGTGCCGAGCAGTTGGGAGTAGAGTAAGAAGCTGCTGTAGCTGAGTTGCCCGCCACAATTCCGGCGAAGAAAAGGTAGAGACGAGTATGCATGGCTCAATACGTAGAACGAAAATTCAATTATGATAAGTGAGTTCAGATTGCTCTTTAAATAAGCATACGTACGACGCAAACGGTTAACATTGAATTCCTGAACCGAAACATCGTACAAACTATCTGAGTAATGCGAGCACGTATCAAGCCACAACGGCGCGTCTGCTGCTGGGATTCATTTGGTTTAATCAATTCTTTTGTTCAGGCCTCATCGCTATGCCGCAGGGTGGCATCCTTTGAGGAAGGGTCGAGCTTGTGTCCCGCTGCATACAAGGCGTTGATGTGTTCCATTCCCTGACTAGATTTCTCGCGCCTTGTCTTATTGGTGGTCCTGCCAAAGCTTTGCGATCCGCCCCCAACCGGCTAAGAGGCCACTGAGCGTGTTTGAGCGAATAAATAGAGTACAACTAGATTGACCCCGCACCCCAGGGAATCCTGGTTACATGACGTTGCGTATATCTCATATTTTGATTAAATGCGGCCACAAGTATAAAGTCAACAAGAACTGATTTTGCGATGGGACCAACAGCGTTGTAAAAAGAAGTTCTTTTATCGAGAGGCCTGTTATACGTTAAATCATCCGACACGCTTCTAATGTATGTGAATGCGACAGGGAGGACTATTTGTAACGATTCACTGTTTGATATCATGTAGCTTTTTCGCAAGATAGTCGAGCTGCCAGAATTCTGACTAGCAAAGTATGTATGTAGAGATTAGGCTAACTTCCCAATTGTGAAGAACGCTCTGGCTCCACATTGTGGTCACTGCTGACATGTGTATTGGGGCGGGAGATACTATGGCAGAAGCTCTCGGACAGCGTCGACGATATCGGCTTGTAGGAGACATGAAGTCCTCATTGGGGCTAGCGCAATGCCAGAGATGTCTCAGATCGAACCAACTCTGACGCGATTTCACAAGGAGGGGAGGTGCAAAGGGTTTCACAGTGTTCTGCATTCGAAGTTCTACTGCTCCTGGGAGCGAGCTATATACTGCGTGCCTGCACAGAACAGGACGAATAGAGATTTTGGGGACTCTGAGCAAATCAAAAAGTATATGGTGAGAGCAGATCTATCATTAATGAGCGAAAATTTCTCTCTGACTTTAAATACGTCGCTCTGCTCTCGTTTCAAGGTTCATAGTGCGACATGTGACTGTTGCTACCGTCCACACAAAATGTCTCCTCGACCGCACTTTCTTGTGAGCATTTCCTACTAGGCTTCCTTAACTGCTAGATTTCTAACTCGTCTATAATTCGTTTCGGAAAATATGGTTGATATCACAGAAAGTCTGATTTTCATGGGGGAATAGCATTCCCGGGGTTGCCATAAATGGTGAAAAATATCTACCCTGTATCGCAAACATCTGAAGCTTCAAATCACAGCTTTTCCAGAATATTATACCCGCAGAACCATAAACTACGCCCATATTTTACAGGTCTATCGAGTTCCGATGACTATCACGTTAACGATTTCTGCGCTCGCGCTCGTGCGTTCGCAAATATGATGTTGACCTTGGCCGGATGACAGCATATCCACGTTATACATCTAGTTCGATGGGAACGCACGGCCAAATACTAAGTCGCATGACTGTGGCCCAAGAAATTATCTTCGTTCCATTGGCAGTCGATATTGGCCAATCGGCGTAGGGGTAAGCGCCGCACTGTTAATCAAAATATACAAGGCTTGAAGTGATCTTCCTCATCTCTACGTCCCAGGTCTTACAATATTCTCACACGAATACTGTAAAGCGGAATAGAGTCCTATTTCGGAAACTTATCCATCTTGGCATGCGAAGTCAAGGGTTTATAGACTGCAACTGAGAGGTAGATAACGTCTTTCAAACCTCTCGATTTCCTCGATCTGATATAATCTGGTGTACTAGAATGCTATCACTTTTAATTGGTTTCCTCCTCGCTGCTGTGGGAGCTGCTAACCTCCCCGGTAGCATCTGGGAACCTACGGAATGCAAGACGTGCCCGTATAGCTTATGTACAAACAAGAAAGTCTATGACAGGGGAAACGCAATTTTCACATGCTGGACGAGTGGCACCGATATCTACACCGATACGTAAGGTTACTTGTATTAATACAGAGACTAAGCAAAGGTAGCTTACTATCAAAATAGGACCTGGCTTAAGACCACTGACAATTGTTATGTCGCCCGATATGATGTCGAAGAATTTGCTGGTAGTATTGACCTACACTTAACAGTTAAAAAAAAATTCCTGACGACCCGTAGACCCATCGGAGCTTCCGTACTGTGGCCGTGTCCAACAGCCCGAGTGGCCAAAGCGCAACGGCCGCACACGTTACTACAGCGAATGCTACCGAATGCCGTACCTCCAAGATAGGGCTAGAAAGTACTACAAGAACAACGTCGATCTGAATCTACTTTGCGTGGCTCGGAATGTCACAGGATACGCGCATGAAGTCATGGGGAAGACGTACGTGGGAAGCTATTTTCTAGGTCGTAAATTGACACTGCACAGTACATGGTACAAGACGAACAGCGACTGTTTCGTGCACGAGACAGGCATTTGGCCCGTAGGTACTGAAGCACCACGTCGAGTTTCAATTGTTACAAACACTAACCAGGCACATAGAGGACGACCTCGAAGACTGTGGACCACTCGATACCGAGTTGCCGGAGCGAATACTACCGGAGACAGAAACAACCATCCCAACGTCAGCCCCGACCCTGTTTCCAACTCCAACGACCGTGCTTCCCAACACCACACCATCAAGATCTGCCTCTGTCGCATCGACGGATATCCACCCACTGAGCCGACGTTTCCTCTACAACACTACCATCGGCGAAGAGTATGTCAACTGCACAGAAACCAGCAACTCGAAAGACCGCGTGCATGGGGTGAGACACGTGTATGAGTTCGACCAGCCTGTGTTTCCACAGTGCGGGACAGTGGACCAATTCGGACCGCACCCAGACAATTACACTATCATGTTGTTTACTACTGATTTTTGCTGTGAGTTCAACACCCTGCAAAAAAGCATGGGATGTGTCCTGCGATTGATAGATTTTAGGTGCTGACGTGTATTAGGGATTAGAGATGATGAGTGTTGGGAGCAGTTGTTGCAGTCGAGTTTGCGGTCTGACCACTTTCCGCACTGTGAGTCTTTTACGGATACGGTTTCTTGAGAGCGTTCACAATTTGGGAAAAGTGGTTATGAAAGAATGCCATGAATGGAGATCAATTTATACATGGTTGGCAAGATCGCTATTTGATATATTCTTCCTAACGATCAGAGAGTAGCTTGCGGAAGGCGAGGAAAGTCCGCTGTGGTATTTCCAAAACCGGGAGGCTACCTAGGAGGATTCGATTCTTGAAGTGAGAGAGAGCTTGTTTTCGATTCCGCGAACAATCGTAGCGATGTCCGTTTGCGGGCTATCAGACCAGCAAGCGCAACCAACGGGAAGCTGAATGCCGCAAAAGCCATGCTAACGCTCCTAGAAATGCTCGCCTCCGACGTCAAGAGTCATGTATCCTTCTCCTCCTTCTTTAAACGCCCAGCTCCAAACGCAGGAATCACCAACCCAACTGCCTCTCCACCCTCCATCTCAAAGACAAACTCATCCAATCCAAAACCACCCACCTGCAATCGATTGACGTCCCTCCATGTCTCGCAAGTAGGCGTTCCCGTGTCTGTAAGTGCCGATATATCCTGGAAAACCCCCCTGAAAACCTGTCCCTGCGCGCGGCTCCCGACGTCACTCGGATAAAGCCGAAAGCTGAGACTCTCCGGTGCAACGCCATTTAACGCCGCATAGACCGCTCTCACATCCATTTCTCCAGACTGGAAGCGTGGGACAGAGAGACCGGGGCTGCCGTCTTTCGCCTGCGCAACAACGAGCGTCATATTCGTGGGCGATATGGAAGTGTATGTCCCAGCGAAAGCCTCGGAAGCCTGCATGATAGCGATTTGCTCGAGCACGGGGACAATTTCGGAAGCCAGAATGTCTGCATAGGCGTTGAGATCTGGGCTTCCTGCACTGGTGTCAGAAGCAAGAATGACAAAGCCTGCGCCGTAGTCGGGCACGAGTCCGATGTGAGACGCGTAGACGCTTTTGCTGCCGCGGACCTGGTAGACGGGGATGACCGGGGAGATAGGGGTTGCTGCTAGAGAGTAGATCTCCCACGGGCGACCAACCGTGTTGACGAGGTTAGAACTGTGAGATGCGGGTTTAAGCCAGCGGCGGGTCGTTGATTGGGGGAGAAGTGTAGAGCGAAGTAAGTTTTTGAGGGCAATAGTGAGGTCGTGGGGTGTTGAGGCGAGACCATTGAAGGGTCCCTCGACCGTACTTGGGAGGTATGTAGTCTGTTTGAGATTGAGCGGGCGAAGTATGGAGCGGTCGAGGAGTGCGGCGTAAGAAAGTCCCGTTATAGTTTCTAGGGCGTGAGCGAGGATGATGAATGCTGCATTTGAAAAGATAGGCGTTGAGCCTGGTGCGAAGACTGCATCGCGGCCGCCAAAGTGTGTTAGAAACTCTGCGCGGTCGCACGTCCCTTCACTAGAATCACAAAGAGTTACTCTTGTGCTATTCTTCAACACCAGATCTCCAAGCATTGACGCGACCTGACTGCTTTTTTCGGATGGGGCATACCATCCAATTCCTCCTAAATGCGCAGCCAGGTCTCCAAGAGTCACGGCATCCCAGTCCACTGCAAAGCTGGACCCCCTGTTCTGCGCAGCACTGAGAAGCTCTGGGACCCATTTACTGACAGGATCGATCCAATGCTGCTCCCCCCCTTCAATGAGAAAAAGCCATGTCGTAAAGAGCGTCGTCAAATCGCCGATCTGATAGACACTGCTTGCATTGGCTTCTGTTGTGCTGAGTGTTCCATTCTCGACAGACGGTGCGCTGTGGTGATACTCGTACAAGGAAGGTTGCGTAGAGTTTTCCTCTTCGGTTGAGAAAAGTGTGATACTAAAAGATGTGGTCGTGGAAATTGGTCCGAAAGTGCCGTTTAGGTTGGTCACGTAGTCGTCGAAGACCTGCGTCAAATGTTCCAGTCCTGATTGGAATATCGGAGATTCTGACAGGTTTGTGGGAATGGGGAAGCGCGGCCCTAGAAGTGGGCAAGGCGAGAAGGGCACGTCCTGGCTGGAAGCATGCTTTGTGAGAATGGACATGAGAGACAAACACGAGGATGAAAGCGCTTTTAGACTCATTGTGACTCAGGGATCTGGGATGAAGAATGACTGGAAAACCGAGAAATGAGCGCATCTTTATTGTCGATGTTTCTACAGTGATTGCTTTACCGTTACATTGCGCCTCAGTGTGCGTCGGTCTTCCATGCCATTCGAGATTGGCCTTGAGGCGCATTTGCGCACGTTATCTTCTTCCGTCGTGTGCGTGGGATTTAACGGTCATAAAAATCTTGGAAAGTCTCTTCATCCGATGCTTGAGTAGAGAAAGCTTGGTCTTGGTAGAAGTGGGCGTGAAGGAATAGGTACCCAGCTTAATCATACGCTAAGGCGTTGATACTGTGACTCGGCTCTCTTAATTGGTAGGCCGATGACGCCGTCCCAACAGTCCACAGGCTAAACCATTTCGGGTGGGCTTTGCGACGACTTCACTGCCACAATAATGTCAGAAAGGTGCTGCATGTCGGAACACCAACCTCTTTACACCTATCAAGAAGTCCAGATCCTTGAAACATGCCAAACATTGGTCGCCCGTCAAAAGCATGCGTAACCTGCAAGCGGAGAAAAGTCAAGGTGCATCTACATCCCCTGAGTTATGCATTGCCCACACTAACTTGCAACCGAAGTGCTCCGAGACGCCTCCGAAATGCCGTGCTTGCGCAAGACTAGGTCTCACATGCGAGTGGAAAGACATATCAGTATTCCGACAGCAGGACGACTGGGCAGGGAAACTTGTCGAGCGCAGAGTGAAGCAGGCAAAGTTACGTCGTGGTGATAGCCCAGCAAGTGGCGCAACTTCACCAACTTCGCCTCCAGAAGCTCGCTCTTCGCCCACACGTTCCACAGTACAGAATGCTGTAGAACTACTAGCACCTGGACGTCCACTATCCAAGCAGCTGACATCTGATATGGAAAATGCTGCCCTACATCGCTTCTACATGGAGTATGCTTACACTTCCGGAACTTGCCCGTTTCTGTATCTCGTCGCGCCGTTGTATGAAGAGGCGTCGACACCGTCATGCCTGCATAGTGCAGTGCACGCCGTGTCTATGGCAACCATGGCAAGGCAATTCAAGCGCCACGAGATCATGACAAAGGCGGAGAGGTGGTACGGAAAAGCATTGAAGAACCTCGCCGCTGCTTTGAATCAGACTGAGGTTGCAAAGCACGACGGTACTCTACTTGCTGTTGCCTTGTTGGGACTATACGAGGTGAGCTTTACGTCCAATAACAGGCACGACTGGAACTTTGCATTGTTTCATTCTAACTAATAAACACAAGCACTGACTAGAATCATAGACGGTTATCTTCAGCGGCACTCCAGGAAAGAAGGAGTTAAACCAAATCCACAGCCAGGGGCGACTGGCAGTCCTTCGTTTGAGGGGCCCGGAGCAGCTGGGAGAGAAGGTGGGGCGTAATCTCTTCACACTCGTCTACCACCAGCAGCTCATCGGCTCGTTCTTCGATGGCGGATCTACCATGGATGAATATCCCTCTTGGATGAGCCAGTGGTATCCCGAAACACCTGTGGCACGACTTGAGACCCTCATGCACGAAGTTAGTGTCATAGTCTCGGGCATCCGCCGCGCGCTGGCCAGAGAAGACGCACCTTCTCTCCGCGGTCTATTAGAACGAGGCAAAGACATGGAAGACACCCTCGCCACCATCATCTCTGACCTTCTCGGCTCCTGGCCGCACCCCGAGGTCGTCCTAGCCCGGCTCATCGGCAGCGAATGCGCTGCCGACATCCCCAAGCAGCTGGAATTCGACTTCGAAGACCTCTCTGACAACGATATGAGCCGGTACCTCATCATCACACGCGCTCTAGTGGCCAACATCTTCCGCGCAATACGCATTCAACTCCTCCAGGCCCTCAACTCAGCCGTTCCATATCTGCTTGACGCGGAGGTCGGGCTGGACGATAGATTTGCGGCACTGGTACAGCGCTCGAGTAGAGTGATGATGGTGCTGGCGGAGAACATTTGCAATGATCTTCCGCTCGCCATTGCTGATTACGAAGACGACACCCAGCCGCGAGAACCGCGTATTCATGGGCGCGCCATCAGAGCGTGGGCGCAGCTGTTTCCGCTGGAAAGTGCGATGAGCGTGAAATGGCTCTCGGATCAGCAAAAAGAGCGAGCCGCACAATTGATGGAGTATACCATGGGTATCTTGGGTATGCATATGCATGACAAGGCCACGGGCGATGTGGACTATACCGCGCTGGTAGCTATACGGCAATTACGAGACGATTCGCCGTGAACCTAGAGAAGAGGGAGTGGGGACCGCACCGCAGACGGAATACTCCGTGTGATTTCATGCGACGTGTACCCATCGAGTCTGCACACAAATTTTAGAAACCTAATCATTCTTTAGATTCACGTTCTATATCCCGCAGTGTTTTCTCGAACGGCGGCGTTAGGTACCTTCGCGCGCGCCAACAATGACTCCGGCACCCTAATGACTACCCCTCGTCAAACTACTTCATCTCTCACAGCGCTGCCTCATCGCACGCCAAATCTTCGATAGAGCCGCAACACATAAACCTCCCTAGGGTCAGATCGATTGAGAGCTGCAAAGGTACATCCAGCAACAAGAGCCGCCCATCCAAGATGTAGGTGTGAAGAGCCCGCGGGAGACAGCCGAAGAGGAATCGAAGTGACATCTCCCGGTCTCCGGCGAGACTGATCTGACTCGAAGCAACTCCAAATTATACGAAGCAACAACGCTCCAAGAATGCAAGATGCCTCGGCCACTTTTATCTCCGCCGTATCGCCGCACGCGGCACCCCACACCTACGCAGCGCCCCTGCCGAGGTAACTTTCCACACGTCCAGCATCGCGCGACTCTCCAGCTCGAATCTCGAACCTGCCCACAGCCAATTGTCACTTCATCTTCCCTCCCCGCACACTCAAACGTTCCTACAATCAACAACCCACGCAGGAACTTAAACACCAACTCCCTTCTAGCCGGGACCCTCAACGTCGAAAGCCACACCTCACAGATCCACCGCAGCCATGGCAGACGACCTCACCACCTCGACCCTCTTCAATTTCACCTCGCACATCGCCCTCATCACTGGCGGCGCGTCGGGGCTCGGCGAAATGGCCGCACAAGCCTTTGTGCAGAACGGCGCCCGCGTCATTATCGCCAGCCGCAAAGAGTCCGAACTGCGCAAGACGTCTGACCGGCTCAACGCCCTCGGGCCCGGGAAATGCGAGTACGTCGTCGCGGACCTCAAAGACAAGGCCGGGTGTCTCGCGCTCTGCGAACAAGTCAAACGCCGCACCGACCGCTTGACTGTGTTGTTGAACAACTCGGGCGCGACCTGGGGCGCCGACTATTATGATTTCCCCGAGAGCGGGTGGGACAAGTTGATGGCGCTGAACGTGAAGAGTATTTTCTATGTGACGGTCGGGCTGGAGCCGCTGCTGCTCAAGGGGACATCGGCGGATATGCCGTCCCGTGTCATCAACATCGCGTCCATCGCGGGCATTCAGACCGTCGACGTGACGACGGGCGAGTCCGGCGGCCTCGCGCAGCCCGGCACGGGAACCTTTTCCTACGGCCCGTCAAAGGCCGCGTGCATCCACCTCACCAAGATCCAAGCGTCCAAGCTCGCGCCCAAGAACATCATGGTCAATGTCATCTGCCCCGGCGTCTTCCCGTCGCGCATGACGGCGTTTGGCCTGGGCAAGTTCCGCTCCACACTCGAAGCAGGGCAGCCGACTGGGCGGATCGGCCGGCCGAGCGATTTCGGCGGGCTGGTGCTTTTCCTGAGCAGTCTGGCGAGCGCGCACATGACGGGCAACGTGCTGGAGATTGACGGCGGGCAGAACCTCACCGGGTGGAGGGGCAAGGCGAAGAGCGAGAGTAAGATATAGGATGGAGTCTGGCCAGAGGCTACGTATCAGCATTACCGTAAAAATATTTACCTGCATAACATGCGCCCACGTGTGGTGTACGCGCTGAGAAGTCGAGAGGCGCATGGAATACGTGCAAGACATACTCCGGCGGGTATACCATGCGAGACGAAATCCACCCTCCCTCATTCCCCCATCAAGCCATCTCCACCCGTCATCATTCCCCACCTCACCACCCTCACATACATGCACGTCGTCCAGAATCTCCGTCACCCATCATTCTCCCATCTCCGCACGCCGCACGCCGCAATTCCCAGTACCTACCCATCCACCCACGTTGGATAGAACGCCCATCTCCTCATCCGCAGGTGGAACACTCCCCAAGAAGCTCCATCCGCCACAAAAGCGTGCCATGAGCAGATCAACCCAAGCGAGCCAGACCCCTAACCCCGACTAATGCGCGCCCAAGCAATTGTCGCCCCCTGCGTTGAGTCCACAGCGTCCCGTCTCACCCCGCATGCCTGCACGCGACAGCTGGTTTGGCCTACGCGCCACCGGATCCACCTGTTCAGGTGGCATCTCATCCACTGCATGCTTTAGGAGATGGCTAGACACATTGACAGTGACAGCGCCGCTGGAGCCTTCCCCCGTGCCCAAGCCAACCATGAAGACATCAGTTCCCCGCAGCCGTCCAGCGCAAACATTACCCATGGCGACGTCGCGTAGTCAACATCGCGGACGCGTCGAGGACATCATCGTAACGCAGAGAAGCCTCGGATTATATCCATCATCAATTCCACACACGTCAAGGTATCTATGTTATATGCTCTTTGCCCACCCGTGCCCCTGCACCCCAGACTGAACAAAACAGGCACCGCGCTCAGATCGCACAACCAAGTCTATGCATATACCTCTCCGCCCCCTGAGTACGCCCTGGGTATGATTCCCCTCCCCTCCCCACGCCCTCAGCCAACGACCAAAGAAACTAAAAGGAAGGCCACGTCGCTTGACCGCAGTGTGATATAAACTAGGAACGTGTCGCTCGACCGTTGTAAAAGATGAACAACAAACCCCACCTGCGCCGTGCTATCGTCAATGCAGGGACCGATCCAAGACCGCAAACGAAAATGCAGAGCGCAAACACCCAAAAATCCGCTTTTAGAAATGCAAAATGCTGCCAAGATCAAACTGAAAACTATGCTTTAACCGACCGTGATTGTGGGCCTCTCAAGTGCCCGGGAGATCTCTTCTTCTGTGGCTGCCTGTGGCTCTGTAGCAGCTTGCAGCAAGTCTTCCTCCGACTGCTTCGGCGACTCCCGGCGCGACTCCTCTTGAATCTCGCTCATCTGCGATGCAGCGTCCGAATCGCTCCCCTGACCCTCGAGGGATTGCTTGTAGCTCGCGGGGGTGATCGTTTGCGCCGAGACGTGTCGTTGCTTGCGGACCTCACTCGACGCAGGCACGCGAACGGAAGCCTCCACGGCTGTCGCAGCAAGCGCAGCCACGGCACCCTCACGGGCAGCAACAGCACTGTCAGGTACCACAGTGCTACCCCGTTCGTCCGCTGAGCCGGCTTCTTCCATCGCCTCCTGCGCCTGTTTTCGGGTCTTGAGGCGCTCTTCCGCTGGTGTGTTGTGCCAGTCAGGGCCGAATTGAATGACGGACGCTTTCTTCCCGTGCACCGTGAAGCTGCCCTTGGTGCGCGCTAGGCCCTCGCTTTCCGACTCGTTGCTCACGATTGTCGACGCGGAGTCTCTGGCCTTGTGGCCACGACGATGCGAAGAGCTGCCGTGTGACTCCCGGAGCGTGCGGTGCAGACTCCTTCGGACCTTGGAGCGCGATTCGGGCGATCCCGTCAAAGCAGCGGGGGGTTGATCGTGTTCAGAGTCGGAATCATCGTCTAAGCGCAGCCCGTCCACTTGCAGGTCGGGTGGTGTTCTGGGACCTGACCTTCGGCGATCGATGGAATGTGGCGGCGTCGTGTACTGTGAACCAGCATCAGATGCACCATCGGAGCTGATGGCTACCTCGTCAGTGGTGGATATAGAGGGGCGGTGATCGTTGGGGGAGAGTTTGGGCGATTGTGCCATGGAGCTGGCGAGTGATGGCCTGTGTGCGGATAGCCGAGGACTCAGTGAGATTGGAGGGAGAGTGAAAGTAGCGGGTGTCATGTTGGGACTGGAATGTGTGGTTTCGGGTGGTGTTCGAAACATGTCGTCCCCACCGAAATCAGAGTCTCGGGACGATTTGGTTTCTGGACGAATAGATGTTGGGGAAAGAGGTGGCTTCGCTGTGTTGGTGAGAGAGCTTGTCTTAGAGCTGAGGCGCGCCAGACTGCCAATCCTTGATGCTCTCGAAGACTTTTGGTCTGAAGCCGTTGATTGAGCTCGCTCGGTTGGGACCGGGACACTAAGTTGTGGGTGTTTTTCGTCTTCGAGAACCTGCGCTAGGATATCTCGATGGCACTTCATGCGCCAGATCTCAATGCGAGACCACTTCAACTTAGCCGATAACCGACCCGCTGCGTGGATGACGAGCTCTCTACTCTTGGGCTGTATAGGTGCGAGAATCTGGAGATGCCGGGCGTCTCTCAAGCGACCCTCTAGCTGCTTTATCGATTCGGTGAGTCGCTCCTCCGACTCTGAAATGCGAGTTTGCATCAAGTCTTTCCGTGCTTGGCGCATCTGCTGCTGGAGCTCCTTGTCAATCCCTCCACTCCGAAGTATTACATCCCCAGTCGGAGAGGTTAGCGTTTTTGTCGATGTCGCGGATTCGCCGCGTCGAATCGCTCTGTTCCTCTGGCCTTCGTAGAGGTCGCCTTGCAACCCGCGCGGCCTGACGCCTAATGTCTCATGAGCAGCAGTGTAGTTGAGCATTGCCAGCCAATCGTTCAAGTCCTTCTCGCTGTCCGCAAGAAACGTTTCTTCGCCGACTCGTGAGAACATGACAAAGGAGTTCTTGTGCTTCTTGTATGTGTTGTCTACCAGCGCCACTGCACCATCCATCGGAATCATGTGGTCCTGCTTGAACTCTTGCAGTGGCGGTTGGAAGTGCACTGGGCTTGTGTCGCCGTGCTTTTCATGCTGCTCGTGCTGGTTCATCAGATTCTTTGCCCAGCTGGAGTTGCGGAACAGCGAAAGACCTGAGCGAGTCAGTATAGCACCCCACTCTTGCCACGGCGACCTGGTCTTCTTCCGCTTGTTGTCCTTCCTCCACAATACACCGACTTTGGTCACAGGCATCTCGACTATGCCGACCGAGCTCTCCTGCGGATTATCCTGGCTGTCCTGCGACATGAAAGCCTCCGGTCTAGATCGAGAGGATACGATTTGGATGATTCCAAACCTTGAAAAAGACCTCCAGAGCGTCTTCGTATCTAGGGTAGGTGCGGTGCCGAGGTAGTTATACGGATCGTCTAGATTCATCACGTCCTTGATGTTAGGCCGGAGAACGTCGAGCTTGCCTTCGAATATTAGGGTATATGGGTCGATGGGCTCGCGAGCGGCCTTTTTCGCGGGATCGTTCATGGGGCCTTTCAACGCAGCGGTCCGTCTGCTCCGTTTCGAGGAAATTGTTTTCAGATCAACATCATCTTCAATGTGGATAAAGGGAGTATACACGACATTGTCGTAGATGCAGCCGAGCACGTCCTCTGAGACGCCCTCGCAAGATGAATTCTTTATGTAATCGCCTCTCTGCATTTTCCGCTTGTTATTTTTGTTGAAGAAATCGGTATGTAGGATCACGATGGAGAAGGAGATAAAGTAAGCCTTGTCTGCGTCGTGTTAGCGGTGAGTAGTCGTCGGACAATGCATTCTTCGTACCTGGATTGACGTATATTCCGGGGTTGCACTCGTGGTACCGGTCGGAGAACCCCTGCAGCACACGATCGATTTGCTGTGTCTCTTTTGGGAGCTCAACCTGCATAAGCAACTTGCGGATGGCCATGTCAATGGGATCTCCAAAGAAGGCGAATTTGCGCATGTAACTTCGCAGCACAGCAAGGAGGAACGGATCTTCGGTTTTAGTTAGGTAGCTAGCGATGGCGCTCTTGCCAATGCTGTTCTCCTCCATGCGCTCCAGATAGTGTCCTGGCGTCTCGCCCTCCTCTCGCTGTGGCATAACCAGGGCTTCTCGGCTGATGTTCAACGAGTTCTGATGGGACATCATTCCCGGGGTACCTAATCCACCATGAGCGGGGGATCCGTGGCGGGGCGAGTGCGGTTCGGAGTTCTGGCGGAATCTTGAGCTCAGCCCGAACAAATTGCTGAAGCTGCTTCTCCCTGCGGTAGACGTCGAATTCCTCCCGCTTGTAGCGTACGGCGGCGTTGGAGGCGGATCGTCGTCGGATAGGCCACCAAGAGAGCCCATGGTGGACGAGCGTCCTCGCAGGCCCAGTATCTTTGGCCTAGGCGAGTGAGGCGAGGAGCGAGCGGAGTGTATGGACCTCTGGGAGTCGTTGCGGAGGAGAGCGCCTGCCGGGGAGGTGGAGAGGTTCATGTTGGCAGCGGTCAAGGCCAATTGGGACGGGGACGGCATTGGCGATGGTCTCAATCCATTCTCCAGGTCGCGGGGGTGGTGGATGGCGGTCAAGGGGGGACTTTCGGCGCCGGGGGAATGGTGGGCAGAGCCGGTGCTGATGCCGCTTGTCGACGCGCGTGGCGTCGCTGGGGCCGTGTCCGGAAATTCGGGAGGGGTGATCTTCATGGGCAGAGGGAATAACGATGCGCGCTGCTTCTTGCGGCCAAAGAAGTTGCGGCCCGAGCTGGGCTTCGGCGTCTTCTGCGGCCTGGGCGTGTTCTCGAACGAGACATGGCCGGTGGAGCTGCCGTCGGATCGGGACGAGTCTGACTGGCGTGGAACAGGAAGCGACGGGGCGGACATGGTCGTGGCTTCCGCCTCTTCGTGGGCAGACTCGGCAAGCGTTGCCGGCCGCTGGCTGGTGGACGAGCGGCCCGGCTCCTGGATCAAGTTGTCCCTGCTCTTGCCAAAGCCAAACGCCGACCTCTTCACGTCCATGCTGCTCTTCTTGTCCGACGACTTGCGCAGGATGCCCGGCCGGTCGACCGACGTCGGGTCAAACGAGCGTCTGCGCAAGCTCAATTGCTGCAGGCGGCCGCGCTTCCTGGGGGGCTGCTCCTCGGTGATGACCATGGTGGGCGCGGTGGTGATGATGGCGGGCGCTGCAGCGTCACTGGTCAGCACTGGCGACGTGCGGGGCGCGTCAAGGGGAGGCATACTTGTGGTTGCGTTGGCGGGCACTGCGGGAACGGGCGGCGGGGCGTCGTCGTCGTCGGCATGCTCCTTTGCACGGGCGGACAGTTGCGAGTCGGAGGCGTGACGGAAGCGCATCAGACTGAAGCGGCGGGTCAAGGGCGTGTGCTCCTGGACGGGCGGCGTGGGCGGGCGGTTCTCGTCGCGGGCTGCCGACCACGACCCTCGGGGCTCCTCGACACGGCCTGACGACTGCGGGCGCGCGCCGCCGTCCTCGGAGGCAGCATTGCGCGCGTCTCCCAGGTGCTCGGCCGACTTGTTCAGCTTGCCGGCGCGCGTGAAGAGGCCGGCGGGATCCAGGGTGCTCCTGCGCTTGAGGTCCTTGTCGCTGCGACCAGGTCGAAGAGGCCGCAAAGGCATGGCAGCGCGGGTGCTAGCAGCTCATGTACGCAGGCATGCGGCGGGCAGCACAGCACATGGCACGGGGTCTGGCAGCGAGGGTCGGGCGATGGGGATGCGGGCGGAAGCGGTGGATGCGGTGCGGTGCAGCAGCAGGGAATGGGCACGGCTGAGCGCGCGGGATCAGCTCTCGCAAGATGCCGGCTGGGCGGCGCGGACGAGTCCCGGGCGCGGCAATGGCAGGCAGGCAGCGCGCGGGTGCAGCGAGGACTGCGAGTCTGGCGCCCTGGGGGGTTGTCTGCGGCCAGCGAAGGAGCAGCGTGTCGGCAGCTGATGTGTCGTCGGCGCTCCCACACTACCACGGGGCGGCGCGGCCGTTCCACGTTCCAAGCGACTGGGAGGGCCGCCAAGCGACCGCGCCGGCCAGCAAGCTCCATTCACTCTGCCAGGCACGCGAGCATGCCCGCGCACTCCCCCATCGCCGCCGCCCGCAGGCGCATTGTCGTCTGAGCCGAACCGCACTTCCTGCACGCCCCCCGCGCATCCTCCACCATGCGCCGCCCGACGTTTGCTGTGCTGAGCCTGCTGCTGCTGGGCCCCTCCCTCATCGCCGCCGCCCCGCGCGAGTCGACACCGCACCGCCGCGACCCCAGCCCTGCCCCGCGGCCCTGGCGGACGCTGTCCGACGCCCTCATCAGGAGGGTCTGGGGCCTGCCACACACGCAGGAGAGCCTGCGCGCAGATGCCGGAGCTGCGCGCGGGACCCCCGGCCGTGACCTCGTCGCGCGGTACGGCGAGGACATTGTGCTGCGCTTCACCATTGCCACCCCCGAGGAGGCCTCCGCGCTCGCCGAGGCTGCCGACATATTGTTCCTCGATGTATGGGAGTTCACTTCGGACTGGGCCGACATCAGGATAGCAAAGGACGTGGTATGTCGTCTTGCCCTCTCATGCGTTGCTGCCTGCTAACGTCCCAGCTACCCTCCCTGCTCGGCCTCCTCCCCGCCTCCCTCCAGACCGCCCATGTCCCCCTCATGCAAGACCTCGACCTCGCCCAGGCCATCTTCTCCTCCTATCCATCCCCCTCCGGAACCCAACCACACCATGACGATCACTCGTTCTCGCCCAACCTCAAGCCCGCGCCCCGCCTGGGCGGCAAGGGCCACCCCTTCTTCCAGGACTACCAGCCCCTCTCCGTCATCAACCCCTGGATGAGCCTCATGGCCTCCATGTTCACCACCCACGTCCGCCGCATCAACGTCGGCGTCTCCTACGAGGGCCGCGACATCCCCGCCCTCCGCGTCGGCGTGCACCCCACCAACGCCCAGCAACGCATCCTCCCGCGCCGCACCGTCCTCATCGCCGGCGGCTCCCACGCCCGCGAGTGGATCTCCACCTCCACCGTCAACTACGTCGCCTGGACCCTCATCAACGCGTACGGCAAAGACCGCGAAATCACCCGCCTCCTCGAGCAGTTCGACTTCGTCTTCGTCCCCACGCTCAACCCCGACGGCTACGTCTACTCCTGGGAAACCGACCGCCTGTGGCGCAAAAACCGCCAGCCGACATCCCTCCGCTTCTGCAAGGGCGTCGACCTCGACCGCGCCTACGCGTTCCAGTGGGACGGTGACGCCAAGCCCACCAACCCCTGCTCCGAGAGCTTCCCCGGCGACGCGGCCTTTGCCGGTATCGAGGCGCAGCGCTTTGCCGACTGGGCCCGCAACGAGACAGACAATAATAACGTCGAGTTTGTTGGGTTTCTCGACTTGCATTCCTACAGCCAGCAGATTCTGTACCCGTACTCGTATACTTGCGACGAGGAGCCGCCCGCCATCGAGGACCTCGAGGAGCTGGCGATGGGGCTGGGCAAGGCGATCCGCACGAGCAGACGGGGGCATGCGTACAAGGTGACGAGCGCGTGCGAGGGCAACGTCGCGCTCTCCTCTTCCTCCCCTGATGGCGCGAAAGAAAAGAGAAAACTTTTTCCGCGGATAGAGTCCGCGGGCGGCTCTGCGCTCGACTGGTTCTACCACGAGCTCAAGGTCAAGTACAGTTTCCAGATCAAACTCAGGGACACGGGGTCCTATGGGTTTCTGCTGCCGAGCGATAACATCGTGCCGACGGGCAACGAGGTGCTCGAGGCGGTGTTGTACCTGGGGCGGTTTATGCTCGGGCAGGTGGGCGTGTTGGAGGGGGCGCCCAGCAAGGACACGGTTGTTGACGAGAGACAGTCGGAGGAGGCGCACGAGGAGCAGATTGAGCTGTAACCCAACACAGAACGGGGCGTTGTTTTCTTGTTGTTGTCAACACTTCTCACTGGGCTTGTACATGTTCTTGATACCACGTCCGTTTAGCGGGATTAATTCTTACTTTTTCACCTCGTCCTGGTTCGGTCGTTGCCCGTGCTGCGCGGCTGAGACGGAAAGGCACGTAGGCACATGAATGAGGAGATGCTTGTGGAGACTAAAAGAGTATTTGCGCCGGTACATGTGGAAAGAAGCAATAGGGGGCTAAGGAGCGTGATTAGGGACTAAAAAGGTCACGAGAGGGAACGAAGAGGAGTTGCTGGGAGAGATGTTTGAACAACAAAGGCTGAGTCAATGGCGACATATGGGTGGTGTTATTTGAGAGACTGAAGACACTCTGAGAAACGTGTCATGGGGAGTAAAGAGGTGTTCGTAGCGGCATACAGATTGTACGAGAACGGCATCATGGGATTGGAGTGGAGTGGTTGTGGGGCCGAAATTCCGGAAAGACTAGGCTGATATTGGTGGGAGGTGTGGAGATCGGGGCACTGAAAAACGAAGTGACGAGGATGTCATGAGCAGCGTGCGTCGGGAACGGAAAAGAGCGTGGAGGACATGGAATGTGGGTGCGGAGCGTGGGTGCATTGGTACTCTCTCTGCCTCTGCTATCGAAATGCCCGACCTCGTCTGGAGCTCCTTCGCCTGCACCGATACATAGAAGCGCGTCCAGCTCCGTAAAATTATCCTCTTCGTCACACTTTTTCTGTCTGGCTGGGCTGGGAACCCAAACTAGACAACTTCACGACCATGAGTGTAAGTGTGTGGAGGGAGACTGGAATTTGACGATATCCTAGAACACAAGATTGTGCGTGCGGGGAACGAAAGACGACAGCAAGTAGCGACATGGGTTTGGAGGAGCGCAGGAACTGATAGAAGCAACTAAGAGACTACATGGGAGTGGGGAGTCCTCCGCTTCCAAAAGATTAGAGCTCGTCCGAATCTCCTTCGCTACGCCTCGATGCATAAAAGCGCGTCCGTTTCCACAGAAACATCTTGCTACTATTTTTCTATCTAATGTGAAGACTAAAGAACGACATTTCCTCCGTATATAGGTATGGCGTATGGAAGGGTCCAAAATCGCGGAGCTGACCCGTGAAGGGGTGGGAGGTGCGGGCGAACGAAATGCACGCGCGATTCGATCCATGGGAGTGTGAGTGACTTGGACACGGTATAATAACTCGATATACAGCATATATGAGGGACGGAGGCGTCTGTGCGACTAGATGTCCCCTTGCCAGATTACCCGAGCTCTCTTCCAGCACCCTTGACGCATTGAATGCATCCAAGGCTGCGCTATATTCGCTCTCAAGTTACTCTTGTCTGCCTGGGTCAGGAGGTAAAGCAGGACTATACCAGGAACATGGTGTGGCCTGTAGTCTGGGATGAATGACTAAACTCGCGGGGCTGATTGGCGATGGGGTGGGAGGTGCATGTGCGGGACTCAATGTAAGGATGTGCCCTTGGGAACCCAAAGACCTAGGATATCCCCAGATAGGATTGGAAGACTCGCAGAAGACTCAAAATGTGGCAGGGGAACTTTTCGTGAGAAGTGCCTGTGGAAATGGTAGGGACACTAAAAAATGACATGGAAGTGTGCTAGGGGGCTAAAATAGTTTCACCCCTCTGCTGTATGGGTGAGAAGTACGTGGATGACCAAAAATGCGCGTCGACAGCCCCTGATGTGGGAGATATAGAAGGTAGAGGGATTGAAAATGACAAAGATCACATCGATGTGTGCAGGAGGTGTATCTGTGAACCAAAATGCAAAATGAAAACATCATATGTCTCTTATGTCTCTTGTAGATGCGTTTCTAGAGTTCAGAAACTCGTATTTCAAAGCGGAAAGTGGGCGGCGTACATAAGTGCCCTGAGGAGTAAGAAGCTCAGGAGAAGACGCGATGTGGGAGGGTTTTTTGGAGTTCAGAACAACAAATTGATCAGGCCATGTAGGAGCGGCTTGTCGGACCAAGCCATCGACACGGGAAGCACATCACATCGAATTACACTGAGGGGACTGATATAAGGCTCGGACTCCCATAATGTGGCAGGAGTGTGGCGGGATGCCAAACCACCTTGCAGAAAGAAGTCTGGCAAGAGATGCGGCCAGTGACCGAAGAGACGATGATTACACCTGTGGGAGCGCCCATGCAAATGGAAAAACTTTTGCTTGCTGGACATGGTAGCTTTGGAAGCACCAAGAGCATGGAAGATCTCATCATAGGTGGTGCGCGTGAGGGATCTAAATTCATCATAAGAGCTTATAAGCCAGTGCTGGAAAGGTAAAAAAAAAATGTGTGGCTGTCTGCATGAAGAACTTTTGAAGTAACCCTACTTTGAGATTAAGGACTAAAATTTCAGTATGGTCCGTACGACGAGTGTCCTCTGGGCACAAAAGTCAATGGTATTAGATGCCATGTCGAAGACACGCATAGGTCTGGGAACATAAGCTGGAGTAGATTTTCTGCGTCAAGAGGTGGAAAAGTTCGAGAAAGGTTATCAGACAGCTCCAGCATGTGTGGTAGCGAGATGTTGTTCATGGCCCTAGTGATTTGGGGGCTGACTTTGGTGTTGTCGCTTTCGAGCAATTGTGCGCGTGTGACACGACTACTAGATGTGTAGACAACGTCAGAATTGGAGAATCCCACGGCACCTCATTGAATACAAAGCCTTTTTTCCTCGCTTCAGCATGTCAACCAATGCCGGCTACGAATACCATCTTGACTTGGAAGGACAACTTCCGTGTAATACTTGCCGATAGCGTTAACATAGTCACAGTCACGTTTCTTGGCGTCAAGTATACTTCCGCCGCCTTGCATTGGCTTTCTATACTCTCACATACCCGGACGTTCGCAATGGGCGACATCACATTGGCTTCAACATTCTTACATGCGCATTACCCTTTATATACGTAGCATGAAAGTTTCCGCTTACACATTTGCAGGAATGCCGGGATAATACACCTGTCCAATTCCACGGGATCGGATTCGGTTTCATCCTGATCTCCGGCACCAACATAATTCACAAAGCACTGACTACGGACAGTCACCTGGATTGGAATCACACGAACGCTCAAATGTTCGGGCATTTGTTCAACACGCCCAAGCAGATTTGTGACGCCACTACAACTGACGACTCAGGAATTGGGATCAAGCCATATCCCGACAGCTCTGTTTTCCCCAATCAACGCCTGATACGCAATCAGCTCTTGTTCTTCAAGGATGCCTTCTCAAAGAAAAGCATGGATGGACGTGTTAGTTCGACGCTTCCTCTGCAACCTGGAACCGAGCCATACCGAGCTCGACATTGGCAAGACGCAACTCTACCAGATCTTTACGTGTTATTGCGCAAGTTAATTCTCCAGTGCAATATTGCCTCGGTTTACGGTCAAAACATGATTTTTTTGAATCCAGGCCTAGAAGAGGTTGGGTTTAACGGAGAATGATCTTGGGAGGTATGGGTCTGGGGCTGTGCACCCGAAGCAGGAAGTTGAGGCTAGAATCAAGCTGGGGGGCGTCATGGTTCGATAGCTGGGAACGAGCTTTTTGCGCATACCCACACTATCTTGCCTCTACTCGCAGGCTGAGAATTTGCATATGGCTGCGTGATCTTGTAAGTCCATGATACTGGATCAACGCTAGCTGGACACGCGATGACTCATGGATGGGTTGTAGATAGCCCGGACCATACAACGGCCCTACGTCTGCGTACCGGGGATCCCTCGAACCCAATTCCGCATCCACGATCGTCTACGCTGTCAACACAAACGCGCCGTTGATCTTAGCTTCCCCCGGGGATGCACGTCTCCCTGGTACTTAGAGTCAAATGAACAGGTGCCACAAGCAGCCAAGAATGAACCTTGAACGACGAGTAGAGAATATTCCTGGGGTACTCTGCATCACAGGTAGATGGATGCCGGGAAATCCCCAAGATGAAGGGCGGCTTCGCGGATAGCAAGACCTGTCCGATTGAGAATCCCATTGCGGCTGAGGAAAAGTAGTAAGCGTCGAGTAATAGAATCATGCAGCAGCGAAAACAACGACTTGAACAACGCAATTTGTAATTTCAGTGACGTACCTGGACGTCTGCCTGGTGTAACACATATCTCAGCAACGGGATAAGCCTCGAACCATAGGCATAGTAGTTGGAACTGTAACTCTGGCCGCGAACAATTATCGCAGGATTTAGGAACTTCGTTCACAAGGGGTCTTAACGTATCGAGATGTCGATAGCAGTGCAAAGATATTGCCAGGAAACTTTAATAATAAAGGGAAGGCCATTTCTACCCATGAAACTGATGTGCCTGACAGTCAGAGCTAACTGTAAGCAGTAAGGTGTGGCCTTCCCTAGCGCAGCCTGGAAGACTTCCCCCTGCCCCGGCGATCACTAGGCCATTGGTAATTCCCAACACCACTGCCACCACTCTGTTCCGTGCCACTTGCGCAATAAGGTTTAGCCTTGCGCCAACTTCACATGCCGAAACTGAAGGCGAGGCCACGCATCTCGGCAACATTCTCGGTGGATCCTACCCAGGAATGACGCGTCGTGAAGGAATGGCGAATCTGAGCAAGGCTGCCAATCAACTACGAATCTCGCGTCGTCGAGCGTGTGACTATTGACATCTCATTAAATGCTTCGATTCATGGTCTTAAGCTTCCGTAACAGCCCAAGCATTGCGATTGTAGTTTTGCACTGCGAAATCGCTACAGTCTACATTCATGCACTCCACCACACCAGGCAAACCTGCTCCTATCACTGCTTGTGAATGAGGGCTATCGACGGGATTAGGCACTGGCAATACATTGGAAGAGGTGGCGTGATCGTGAAGGTATAGCGAGACGACCAAGAGACCAAACCGCACACCTCCTTTACCTTGATCTCGATACTTAAGTACACCTTCTACTCATAAACGAGAAAACAAAGTTGCGAAGGCTTGCTCTTTGGCTGTCGGAGACATCCAAGCGAGGCAAACTACGGTACTGCCTGGCGTGAGATCGAGTAGTTCTTCGGGATCGGGTGCCTTGTGGGACGCTAGGCCCCACACCCGCAACACTCTCCATGGCTCGTTGCTCAGGGACGCAGGAGGGATGGCTTCTGAGGACGATAGCTCTGCTGCCCAGAATGACGTTCCAGTACGTCTTCCGAGGCCAGAAAGTCGGCGCAGTCAACAGACTGGAGATACGAGAGTATCCTGCCGTCTCAATCTGGTCTGTGATCTCCGATCATGCACCTGCATGCTGCCAAAACGATCTTCCTCGAAGGTTCGGAGGCTAGTCGCATGCTAGCCAATGAAGCGACGTGCGTTGGAGCCGTCGTTGAACTGTCCATGCGGCTGAGCTTTGTAGTCCCTGGGTCGGTTGTCGGCCGCGCGATCGTTCACACAGGGGCGCATACATGTGCAGGTTTCGGTAAATGATGCGCCCCCATTCCGACCGGCCAGCCTGCTTAGCGACTTTACTAGGAGCCTTATAATCCACCGTACTCCACTGCGTTGTTGGAGTGTGGGGAAACCGAATTTATTCTACCATCGACGACGACAATAACAGCCTTGTTCACTTCTGGGGACAGTCGACATCGACATGTCCTCCAACAACCCCCGTGGGAGGCAGGCCATAGACGTTTCCGCTGCTTTCACAGGCATAGCGGCCGTCCTCGTCATTCTTCGACTGTACACGCGGTTTTTCTTAATAAGATGTCCTGGTCTCGAGGATTACATGATAACCATCGCAATGGTGAGTAGCTCACAGCGTGCTTTGCTTATAAAAACTCATATATTTAGGCGTCTTCGATCGGTCTAACCATCTGCATTGCTTTACGTGCGTGCTTTTCCTCTGATGTATGAGTGCTATCTAATTCGAGCAGAGGTCCATTGGGGAATGGGACAGCATGTTACTGAGATCGACCCGGACAACACTGTCAAAACTCTGAAAGTAAGAATTATGTTCTGTCGAAGCACTGATCCCTATGTTAACGAGGCATAGGCATTCTGGGCTTCACTTATCACATATAATCTGGTCCTCACCACGACCAAGATTTCTATCTTACTACAATATCGAAGAGTCTTCACTACAAAATGGGTTCAGATCGCTTGCTGGGCCAACCTTGCCTTCGTAATCGGCTTCAGTCTGTGGGCGATGCTTGGGAGTATATTTGCATGCGTTCCTGTGCAGGCATTTTGGACAGAACAGCCAGGCGCGCGGTGCATCAATAAATTCGCTATGTTTTTGTGAGTAGGTCCTAGTCACAGATTTACTACCCAGACACTGACTATGGCACAGCACCAACGCTGGAGTGAACATCTTCCAGGACTTCCTGATCTTCCTCCTACCCATTCCAGTCGTACAGGGCCTAAACTTGAACAAGCGGCAGAAGATAGCATTGATCGGCATTTTCGCAGTCGGTGGCTTGTAAGCTTTTCCAAACAAGCGCCTTCTTACTCAGGTTGCTGACCGACCTGCACAGTGTATGCATTGTGTCAATACTGCGATTACATTCTCTTGTCGCAATTTCAGGATCTCGGGATCAGACTTACGACAACGCGCCTGCTGCAACATGGAGCTCTGTGGAAGCCAACGTAGGGATTATCTGCTCTTGTCTACCGCTTATGCGACCTCTCGCCACACGATGGCTTCCAGGTGTCTTCTCGTCAAACAAGCGCAGCATTCCAACAGGTGCACGCCCATATGCCACCATCGGCACTTCTCGCACGAAGCGAAATACGACCCGCAATGAGTACGCGCTCGACTCTAGACCCCACTCGCGTCAGTCCGATGCGGATATCCGTGAAATAGTGGTCACAACAGACGTCCGAGTACAAGTAGAAGACGACGAGGGCAATGTCAGTGGGTGGAGAACAGATGTCTCGGGCAAAGAGTGGACGGAGATTGCAAGCAGTAAAGACACCGAACGGGCAAACAGCAGTACGGACACGCTGGTCAAAGAACCTGGTCGTGTTGTATGATACCTTGATGCCAGTCATAATTCAACGACCATGTAATACATTGATTCGTCAGGCTTGTTATCCGAGTTCGTTAATATCGTGTCTCCACCAGACCCACTGTATCTGCATGCCAGTCACAGTTCGAGGCAAACCATGGTATCTGCAACGCCATGCAGATAAATCCGGCATTTGGGAATTCGACCAAACCCAACGAAGCTTCGGCAGAGGACCAGACCCAAGCTACAGGACACAGGGCAGCTCTAGAACTGCCGCTAATCCAGGCTCTTCGTATTCGCACGAGGCACCGATCAGGGGCGAGGCTCGGCTGCCCTATGGCCGGCCGCGCCGCCGCACGTCATGTTGGAACACTAAGCGCCTAGCGTGCGTTCCGCGCGTGTAGGCGGGATGTGGGGAGGAAATGCAAGTATGCCTGACCAACAGGCATGGGTACTGGTAGCGCCGAGCAGATCGCCGAAAACGAGTACGAAAGCGCTGGTCGAGATCTCACCCGAGAATCAGGAACAAAGACTTCAACGGAAAACGTCCAACCACTTATCAGTGATTTGGAGTAATTTAACTTTAAACCTTGATGCTGGGATTGAACGACGTCTAAAAGTCATTGAAACCAAGGCGCGTGGGGAACAGGCTGGAAGAAGGTATACAGCCTCGCGGTTCTCTCCTAGAACGTCTCCTTGGCAACATTGCGGGTCAAGGTGATCAAAAGCGAAGAATGAGCCTGCGATGGAGTCTAAACCCCTAAGCTTCATTATCGATGTGCAGTCGGGGGTGGGGACCAATATCGCATCCTTCCGTCGTCATGCGAAAGGATGAGGGAAAGACTTTCAACGATGTGTGCGGACATTACCAAAGGTATCTAGTTGGGCTAGTGACGATGACCATCAACTTTGAGCCATAATTGGGGGCTGGCTGAAGGAAGGTATTAAACCTCGGTGCTCGCTCGCCGAACGTTCACCCCACAGCACTGCAGAGACGAGGGGAGTCAAAATGATCTCGAAAGCGACACATGGTCTCTGAAAGCCGAAGAAATACGGATCATGTGCGGGATAGCGAGGACTAAGAACTAAGTAATGTCACCTAATGCGGGAGGACGAGGAAGAAATTGTGCAACACGTACGCGAGTACCGGCATACGGTGATGAAGAGAATCGCCACCCATGAACTTGTTTGGGAGACACGGAGGAAATATATCAGCCCTCATCCAGTCTACATGCGTTCGCTCTTTCACTCAAGCAGATTTTGACTAAAAGCTGTCATGATGAGCGACATGGGGTCCAAAGCGATCCCAGATATGTGCAATGTGTGGGAAAGAGGAAGAACTAAAATCAGTTGATGATCTACACCATGGGAGGTGATATCTGGACCGTTCGTTGTAGAAAGCGCTTGGGGTGCCAACCCTTCTCTTCGGAGGGTGATAATGACCATCTCGAAACTAGCTGGGGACATTGGGAGGCTAGATTAAATCTTCCATCCTCTCTGCGAATGGATGTCAGAACGAAGGCTGCAGATCCCCCGACGAACCGGTGTGGGCGACAAACAAAGGACCGGAGGGTGAAGCCCTGTGTAGTTTGTGCTACCAAAGATACCAAAGAGTAATCAAAGCCGGCACAGTGGATAAGGGAAAATGGAGGATAGGGCGGCCAAACTACGTCCAAAAGAAATCGAAAGGGATAAAGTGCGAAAATCCCCAATGCAAATCCATAAATCAATAGTTCGTAATAAAGGAAAAGAGACCTTAAGGAGAATAACTCTGCAAAAGTTGTCACAGAAGGCATCAAAAAGTATCTGGCAAATGAATTGGATCGCCCTGAGGACGTGTGGAGGACAACTGCAACGGCTCGGTTGAAGCCGGGGAAACGAAAGAAGGAGAAAGCTGTGGAGATAGCCAACTCAGACTTAGACGAAGAACCGCTAAAAGGACAAAGAGATGAGTCCAAGAGAGGAACCAAGCTGAACAAAAGGGTACTGGATAGAGAGAGGTGTCAATACTGCTTCGACCTTGCTCTAAATTGTGAAAAGTAAGAAGGAAGGAGGTGCAGGTAGTACGAAAGTAAGAACGCTATATGTAGACCCTTAACACTAGGGTCGAATGGGGAGCTGCTGGAGAAGAGGCGATTCAACCCTGCCCTAGTACTGGACGAACTAACCCGAAGATTAGATGAGAAATGCTGGAATTGCTTCGGCAACAACCGAAAGTACGATTCCATGACACTAATAGATCTAGAAAATCCCTACACATGATGTATCAAGACAAATGGGAGGTGTATCTTAATTGAGCACTATAACAAGGCGTAAATTATAGCAGCGTGCTTTCATTATAAGAAGGCGAACCACCTAAGGCGTTGTGATAGAAATAGTCCATGCAGTAACTACAAGAAGAACAATAGTACTATATGCTCTTATGATGCTAGTGATGGCTTGAGGCGCTGGTTAACGTTGGTCAACCCTATGTCAATCGAAAACAGGACATCGAAATAGGATAGAAATGCGGAAAAGTATGATCCAAACAAGCCAGGCTATATTAGCTACAAAAATATTGGCAAGGGATATAAAGTAGAGCTAGGTGGCAAACCATACACTTGCTGCGTAAGAGGAGTTAGAAAAGATAGTAACCTCTACATAGTATAGACAGCACCAGGAAAGTATGAATCAATTATACTCCACCGCTATAGTGTTAACGAAGATGGAGATGTAATCGAACTGGCTAAAGGAGAATACAGGGAACCGCTCTAAAGAGAGAAAAGGAAGAGGGATTTGGAGTTTAATAACTTAGATGAGGAAGAAGAGTTAGATATATATGGAGAAGAATCTAGACTCACAACCTAAAGGAAATTAGCGGAGGTATGGTTGCCCGACACTTTTCTAACACAGTTATAGTGTCACGGTAACCTTAGAGGCTACCTGAAAAGCATGGATATACTGCTGGCAGTAGTATATCTTAGAGATGTCGCGCGCTAGCAGCCAGTCAATAGATTATTAGATGGGTGGCCCGTCTGCTAGCTGATTGGTCAAAGCATGGCGCTAGCCACCCTTGGCGAGGGCGTGTGACGAAGCGAGAAGATAGATCCACGCTGGATAGGGGGGAGAGGACCTTTTCTCCTTATCCAACGTCTTGTACCTACACGTAGATACCGAACGCAGTATATTGATCTAGCCTACCTAGGCCTCAGACATCTTGCTCGTTGCTCTCGTGACAAATTACTACTATCTTATAGATTAATAGCTTATTATGCGTAGTCGTCTGTGCGGAGTACCTATTCCTTATTAGAAGCTCCTAGCTGGGAGTCTATACCTTTGGGTAGTTGCCTCGCAACTTTAGTTCTATATTAGTATATAGTCCCTTCGCCCAGCAGTAGAGAGAAGAGGTGAATTCAATATTATAGGCTAGATACTTAAGGAGCTAAGATAGCCAGAATGAATATTTATAAATTTACAAAGACTTAAAGTTAAGCTTCTGCTACCGAAGTTATATATCTACCCCCTAAAGCTAACATCGGGTCCGAGGTCCTAGCCGGTCCTAGGCTGAGACAAGACCTCTAGGGCGTAGCCCATTATAATAACTATTATAGTTGAGGATAAACCGCACCTTAGGCAGAAGAAATTATTAGGCACTAAAGATTAATTAAATACTAGCTATTGTGGTATATATATGTGTGCGTGAAGCGATGTAGTATAGAGCATGGGTAAGTAATGCTGGACCGAGCCATGGTGTTGAGGTTAACAGGGTAAACCGCGATAATATATGAGGCAAAACTCTGTATTATCTGCCGTATAGGAGGAAGGCCACGTTCGGTAAGCTGTTTAATATATTGTAGAAGCTCTACTTCTTGTTATTGGTTGAGATTTTGTTGGTTTCTGTAGGTAGTTGTGCGGGGTAGGCATATCGCCTTGTGCCTTCGAATCAATGTAGATCGCACAATATTAAAGTCTTTTGCTATTTTATTATATGAAAAATACTTTCCTGGCTCTAGCGAGTCAATTGCTGCTATCGAGGCCTCAATCGGATCCATATTGGTGGAGATGAGGCGTGTCAAAGTTGGTGTTGATTATGGCGGGGTTCCGCATGACGCGACGCTGCACACAACAGCAACGAACTGTCACGAGCAGCTCTATAGAAGTAGAATATGTAGCAGCTTTAGACGCCTGCAAGGAAGCAATTTAGCTAAAAGGATTTTATAACGAAATTGCATAGGCAATGGACAGGCCACTATAAGGATCAATACCGCTAGGAATTGACAACAAGTCGGCTCTGAAATTAAAGAAGAACCTATAATTTCATGGAAAAACAAAGCACATAAACGTACGACATTACTTCATACGCGAGTGTGTGGAAAGGGGAGAAGTTAGCCCATAATAGATCTTAGGAAAAGAGAACCCAGCGGACATGTTTACGAAGGCGGTAGTAAGGACGGCTTTCACAGAAGGAATGCAGAGATTACAGGAAACGACCACCACGGCCAAAGCAACCGATGTCATTCACGATGATGTCGTTGACGACGGCATCAATTGAGGGGGAGATGCGAGGTGTTCGAGTCAGGGGGAGTGTTGGTCAGGCGACTCAGCCACCTCTCAGTCCTTTATGTGAGTGGGTGGTTTCTTTGTACGAAAACCTATATAAGGAAGTAGATGTGTACAGTAGGAATGGTATATCTTCTGGCCAATAGGTTATGAGCACGGGGCGGCTGAAAATTGTGGCGTAAGCCCGATATGATATTTAACGTCTGTCCCCGCGTAGCGAGACACCCTGTGTGGCGGGACGCTTTTTCGCCCGGACCTTCGGCATCAGGCCAGCGCTGCTGCATGAATTTAAGCTTAGTGCGAATCAATTCTGCAGCTGCCGCTCTCCCAGCAAGTTGGCCTTCGACAAAGAAGAACATAGGGTTAGACGCACTGTAGACTGATCTGTCACTACTATCAATCAACCTCCTTCAAATACCCCCCTGTCTAATCACACATACTAACTTAATCTCTGTAAACCGTTCGGAAGTCTAGAAAGAGAGCCTAGATCTCGAAGATTAGGACCACAGGCTGTAGAAGTTGACTTAAGGTGAGGAATGTGCCTTCCGGCAGTTTCTCCGAGCAAACAGTAAGATTGCCAAACTTCCTCTACGCAGGCATAGGGCTATCGCCGCTCTTGGCACGCAGTAGCTTGTACGAAGTAGTAACGTGCTCAGATACCGTGTCCGTGCACCTAATGCACGGATTCACCCAATGGACGCCGAACAACATAAACGCTATACTAGAAATGAGGTCATAGAATCACCCACAGACAATATTGTCACGAGATTTTCTAGCGGAGTAAGAAGTCGATAGCTGCAATCAATTTGCTTTACTTAAATCTATCTGAAGCTTAACGTTGCGGCCGCGGCGTGTTGATCTAGCTGGGGCAGCAGATGCGCCCTCTGAGGCCTCCCCAACATCTTGAGCATCAGCAACTCGTTTCTGACGCTTTCTAATCTGTAGAGATAGCTTAGAGGCCTTTCTTTTCCCCTTTTGGGATAGTTTTAGAGCTTTTTCAGCGTTGTGGGTAGACTTCTAGGCAGCGCGCTGAGCTGCCTTTTCAGCTCGCTCCTTCCCCTTTGCCTCCTTAGCTGCCTATCGCGCAACACGCTTCTCCTACTAGATCTTCTCCTTATTGAGCTTAGCTGCCTTCTTTAGCTCTGCTGTCTCTACTTTTTGACGCTACTACTCCTTGTCTTCCTGCTCCCTAATAGATTGACGTACACGTGCCTCCCTCACCTTCCTAGGTGACTAGAAAATTAACCCACCATGATACTTATCACGCTGTTGTAGATCTAGAGCTTTACCCTTCTTCTTACGCTTCTTCTTTGTTGCTAGCGCCTGCCTTAGCCCATCAATATCATGGTGGAGTAGCTCATTTTGAACAGATAGGTGGTGGAGTGATTGACGAAGCTTCTGAGTATCCCTACTACTCTAATCCTTGACTACAAAGCGTATGAGCCTATCCACCTTTCTCCAATTATGATCACTAAGTGATGATAAGGAGCTCTCTCTTGATTCTTGAGATCTGGTGAATCTATCAAGAACTGGTTGAGGATCAGGTGGTGATATACCTGATACCTTAAAAGAGCTGAGGATTGTCGATTCCTTAAAGGAAGCCTTCGACGCATTCCAAAATAAGGGGAAAAAGTCGCCTTTGGTGATAAAGGCTAGACCCTAGCCCATTTAAAGGTGTTTTGATAGCTCTGCTGAGTAGGCTGTTGATAGAGGCTTGAACATTGCCGCATCGAGTGGCTGAAGCGTATGAGTTGAATGAGGAGGCAGAATAGCAAGGAGGATCCTATTCTGATCACAGTAGTTGATAAAGTCCATAGTGATATGGGATCCGTGGCCATCAAGGATTAGAAGTCGATGTGATCGTCGGGTCTTCTCTTTTATACAGCGATCGGATACCTGTTCAAGCTAGGCAAGCCCGATATCGTTGTTCATCCAGCCAGAGGGTGATGAGGTGATAAAGATATCATGTTCTCCTGCCTTGATATCCTCCACCCAGGCTGATTGAATGGCCTTGTTGGCAGCCTCATAAATTAGACTTGGCGGCTGAGCTGATCCATCAGCGCAGATACATGCTAGGAGCGTGATCCATGCTCGATTGCCATCCTAGAGTGATGCCCTAACCTCCTTCTTCTCCCACATTCGTCTATTGAATATCCTCTTTGATCTGCCAAGGATACCGATCAGGAAGCCTTTCTCATCTATATTGTAGGTATGGCGAGGATCTATCTAATGTTAACTGATCTTGCCATGCAGATAGTTGAAATAGAGGTAGTATTTATCCTCTGAAGTAGCTTTGTGGCGATTGCTGTCCATGCTAACTATCTATTATGAGATAAGATGAATGCTGTGTCAGTTGATAAAGCGGGTAACCCAGCTCTCGCTGACTAGCTCCATTGCTATCGTAGGGGCAAAGTTCTATATCATCTCCCTATTAGGAGTTAGGTGTCTCTCTATAAGTCCTTTAATATATTGTACAAGCTCCTGCTCTTGCTGTGGGCTAAGCTTTTGTTGATTATTTCCAGTGGCTACACGCGTTGCTAGGATACCTTGGTGTCTTCGCGAGAGTGTGGATCGATTGATACCATATTTAGTAGCAACTTCTGTATATAAAAAATCTTCCCCTAATTCTCACGATTCGATTTCATCTACTGCAGTTTGAATTAGGTCCATATTGGTGGAGTTATCACGCGTTGAAGATTAGGGAGTTTTGACGCGTCGGGTGTTCGGCGTGCATTGGGTGAATCCGTGCATTGGGTGCACGGACACGGTATATCTGTATGCTAATTATTGTAACAAATCTGACGCTATGCCCACAGCGGAGACTTCTAAAGATAGCTGTGGTGCATGCTAACAGCGCAGACCACCTCGAGCGGCTACCAATGCGGGTCGGCTCTGCCGCGCTCAGCTCATGCTGTCCTAATGCAGCCGCCCTACAGCCTCACGGCTTACATGCTGCTCGTGACGTTCTGCCACGCCTACCCCGCTCAAGGCCTGATGCGACATTGTCACCAAAGCAGCTTCAGCTCCTACACTGTTGCGCACTGCCGTTTGCGTTTGATCGATCTGGTGTTTTAATAGCCATTCATCCTCTGTCTACATGCTGACCTAGAGCAAACAGGGAAAGCCAGCTGTCGCACTCTGACTACTAGGTTGCCGCATCAAGCCTCCCGTCTCGTTCGTATCCCATGCGCTTGCCCCACATCCACACTGATCGATGCGTCTCCTGCAGTACCGCGAAAACGGAGAGCTCACTATCGCCAGCTTCGACGATAACGAGCTGCCTCCTTATGCGATACTTTCTCACACCTGGGGATCAGATAAAGAGGAGGTGACTTTTGCGGACATCGTACAAGGCAGTAGCAAGGCTAAGCTTGGCTACAAGAAAATTCGTTTCTGCGGAGAGCAGGCGCGACAAGATGGACTGGAGTACTTCTGGATCGATACTTGTTGCATCGATAAGACGGACAAGGCTGAGCTCTCCCACGCTATCCAATCCATATTCCGCTGGTACCAGAACACAGTGAGATGCTACGTTTACCTGTCAGACGTCTCGAAAAGAAAGGGGAGGTTCGGCGATATGCGTACTGAGTTCAGTTGGGAGCCTAGTTTCCGGGCAAGTCGATGGTTCACGCGTAGTTGGACGCTTCAAGAGCTTCTTGCCCCAAGCACAGTCGTATTCTTTTCTCAAGAGTGGGAGAAGCTTGGCGACAAGACGTCGCTCATGTCTTTAATCCACAAGATTACGAGCATCCCATACGAAGTGCTCAATGGAGTCCCTCTTTCTCAGTTCAGCGTCGACGAACGGTTGCGGTGGAATGAAGGCCGGCAAACTAAACGCGAAGAAGATGGAGCGTACTCGCTGCAAGGCATTTTAGATGTCAAGCTGGCGCCAGTGTATGGCGAAGGTGCAGCTGGCGCCTTCAGGCGCCTTATCAATGAGATCGACAGTTCAAAGCGATGTATCCGAGACCTACGCAGCACGGACCCGCGTGACGACAAGAAGCGCATTGAACAGATCAAAGGCGGACTGGTAGCGGACTCATACCGCTGGATCCTCGACAATACCACTTTCCAGCAATGGCAACAGGACCCGCACAGCCGACTTCTATGGGTAAAAGGTGACCCTGGTAAAGGCAAGACGATTCTGCTCTGTGGCATCATCAACGAACTACAGGAGGCAGCAAATAACTCTGTCACCGTCTCATACTTCTTTTGCCAAGCGACCGACTCGCGCATCAACACCGCTACCGCTGTGCTACGAGGGCTGTTGTACATGCTCGTAGATCAGCAACCGTCGCTTATATCACACGTCCGCAAGAAGCACGATCTTGCCGGCGAAAGCTTATTCAACGACGCAAATGCCTGGGCGGCCTTGACAGAAATCTTTGTGGACGTGCTACGAGACTCAGACCTGCGCCCGACATACCTCATTATCGACGCGCTAGATGAGTGCGTCACTAATCTACCTATGCTGCTTGACTTTATCACAAAACAGTCATCGGTATCTTCTCGTGTCAAATGGATCGTCTCTAGTCGCAACTGGCCAGATATCGAAGCGCAGCTAGAGCGGGCAGGCCACAAGGTAAGACTAAGCCTCGAGCTGAACGCAGAGTCAGTTGCGGCTGCAGTTGCTGGCTTTATTCAGCAAAGGGTGGATCAGCTGGCGCAAGAGAAACGGTATACTGCAGAGGTTCGAGACGCTGTGCTCCAGCACTTAACGATAAACGCGAACGACACCTTCCTCTGGGTTGCGTTGGTGTGCCAAGAACTTCAGAGGACGGCGAATTGGCATGTGCTGAAGAAGCTAGCCGTGTTCCCGCCTGGGCTAGACGACATGTATATGTGGATGATGCAGCAGGTGAGCGAATCAGACGATGCCGATATCTGTTGGAAGGTGCTTGCTTCAGTTGCGATCTTGTATCAACCTGTTTCGGTCCCTGAACTAGTTGCGCTCGTGGAGCAGCTTGAAGACTTAGTTGACGACCTGGAGTCAGTGCGGAATATTATCGGCTTCTGTGGATCATTTCTCACTCTGCGAGAAGACACAGTCTATTTTGTGCATCAGTCTGCAAAGGACTTCCTTTTTGCAAAGGCATATAACGAAGCCTTTTCAGATGGGATCGAAGACGTTCATTGGACGATCTTCTCAAGGTCGCTGGCGATTCTATCCAAGACATTGTACAGGGACATGTATAGCTTGGAAGCGCCAGGAATTGCTGTTGAGAACGTCAAACCACCGCATCCGGACCCATTAGCAGAGTCGCGCTACCCGTGTGTCTACTGGATCGACCATCTATGCGACTCAAAAACCAAATTTTTAGAGAATAGTGGCGGTGACCTGCAAGTCACTGAAGTACTTGATAAGTTCCTGAGAACAAAATATCTCTACTGGCTGGAAGGGCTTAGTCTTTGCAAGAGGATAGCCAAAGGCGTTATCTCCATAACAAAACTGTGGTCATTAGTGCAGGTAAGTCATTAAGAATCTGTGTGTCTATGTACTATAACTAAGATACTAACGCTAGTAGGAGATAGGTAACCAAGATCGGCTTAGTCAGCTTGTTTATGACGCATGGCGGTTCATTATGTATCACAAAGGGGTAATTGAGTGTTACCCTCTTCAGACGTATGTATCTGCGCTCCTGTTCAGTCCAACAGGTAGTCCGATCCGAAATTTGTTCCAGCACGAAGAGCCAGACGGAATTCGCGTTACGCCACCCCTGAGCAACGGCTGGAGTGCGTGCCTGCAGACGTTCGAGGGCCATAGCCATGGTGTTACGTCAGTGGCCTTCTCGCACGACTCGACGCGGCTAGCATCGGCGTCTGGAGACATAACTGTTAAGATCTGGGATGCGAGCAGCGGCGCGTGCCTGCTGACGCTCGAGGGCCACAGCCGTAGTGTTAGGTCAGTGGCCTTCTCACACAACTCGACGCGGCTGGTGTCAGCGTCTAGCGACAAAACTGTCAAGATCTGGGATGCGAGCAGCGGCGTGTGCCTACAGACGCTCGAGGGCCATAGCAGTGCTGTTAGGTCAGTGGCCTTCTCGCACGAATCAACGCGGCTAGTGTCAGCGTCAGATGACAGCACCGTCAAGATCTGGGATGCTAGCAGCGGCGTGTGCTTACAGACGCTCGAGGGCCATAGCAGTGCTATAAGGTCAGTGGCCCTCTCGCACGACTCGACGCGGCTAGTGTCAGC